GATATATATATCTCGCGAGGAGACGATATATAGATAGAAGGTATAGAACCTATAGAGTTCCTAGTAGACTTAAGTCGTACTTTAATTACTAGCTATCGAGACTAACCGAATCCCGATCCGATTAGCGCCGAAGTTAGTACCTACTAGTACTACTACTACGTAGAGGATATAAAGTACTATATAGCGAGCCGAGCGTAGATAGACTATATATAATATAGCGTCTTTTCGCTCTATTCTCGGGGTATATTCTCGGAGAAAAAGTTACTTGTTTAGGAAGCGCTTTACCTAAATAGGAAATTACTTTCGGCGAAAATAGGACTGCCTCTAGGTTAGAGTTAGAGCTCTCGTAGAGTATTATCTTACAATCTAGGTACGAGCTAGGAAAACCAAGATAGTAAAAAGAAAGCTTACCTAATTTAGAGGTAGGGGTAGAGATAGGGATAGGGATTCGTATAGGCTTTAAGGATTGTAGTAAGAGGCGAGAAGGCGACAGCGAGAAGGCGCAGCGGGGTTGTGGAGTGGAAGATGGTGAACGCAACGGTGAGAGTATGATTGAGTTGAATATATACCAAGTCCAAGCCGAACGCGAGCAAAAGTCAAGCACCAACAACGACACCAAACCCAACAAGCTGTCCACGAGCACGCCAGAAGACCTCGTCGGAGCCACGAATCTTGTAAGAAACCAAATTGGCGGCGTCATTGCCGCGAAAGGCCCATCGCCCGTTGGAAGCAGTGCGAGCGAGGCGGGCTCTGTGGTGGGCAGCAGCAGCACTGGACGGCTCCGGGTTCATGGTAACCCAGTCGGGCTCGCTGGGAGGAGCTGCAGCAATTCGAGCAACGAGCGTGCAATCTGATCAATCCCCGGAGACTGCACAGGTGCCGTGCCTTCGAGAATTCGGCCTACGGCATGGTCATAAACGGAGTTGTGGGGAGATGCGCCTCGAAACCCTTTGCTTGAAGGCTCTCCTGCTAGCCACTTGTGCGGCAGGCAACTGCCTGTCTTCTCTTCCCGACGCTCGAAACACCAACGGTGCATCCAATGATGGCTGCACTTGAAGTGTATGACGGCCTCCTCTCATGATACGACCTCATCGCAAATCAGTACCGTGCGATCTTGCCGCTGTAGTGAGAACTTCTCCAGCAGATCGACCGCTACAGCAGTGAGGCAAGCATCGTCACTCGCATGGCCACCTTTCTACTTCAGGAGAAAGTGGCCGGCCACCAAGTACGAGCTGCGCTGGGCTGTGTCTGGAGAGGCGGTGTACGTCTTCGAGGAGCCGGACTTTGGAGAGACTGTCGCTCGTGGCCCGGTCGAGAAGGTCGGCAACTGGGACGACAGCGGCTGTGCTCGTAAGTTCACCTGTCTTTCATGATGATGACTGGAGATGACAACCACTGACATACTCCCCCAGAATACGAAGTCGTCCAGCAAGGCCATCCCCAACCAACTCATCAACACTGCAGAGACATTATCCTCATCGATGCCTTGGTCGATGCTTTGTTTCCACTTTTCGATCCATCTGGCACCATTCGCCGCCATGACCTGACTCGTGCCCATGGCAAGGAATGGATTCTTGGCCGAGAATCATCTTCAACATCTATCATGACTCTACTGAGCTACATGCTCTCACGGCTATTGCGATAATTGTTTGGAGCTCACATCGAACATTAGAATTACGTAGGCAGTCATTGGTTCGCGATCTTGGAATCTAACTATCTAGGGAAGTCACGGCCACCCACAATACTCGGCGGTGCATCGGATCAATCGTCGACAACATGCACTCTCGCAATACCATCGGTTCAGGTAGCGACTAACCACCATTTACAGCACCGGTTGTACGGACATTCTCGATACTGAAATGACAGATGATTGGATCACAAATCCATTCTCGAACGCATCAATCAGAACTCGTACTTGCATTCGGACTGATTCAAAATGCTCAAAGCTTTGCTTACGGCCGGCCGATTCTCTTCGCAATGATATCGCTAATTCCAGGCAACTACAATGCTACATGTTGAGTCTGGTAGCCGAATCATTTCTGCAACATAGTTAAGCATAGTTGTGTGTTGTCATAGATACCCAAGCAAGCCCTCGGGCACATTTTGGTACGAGTCAGAGGATGCACAACGCTTGGCAAGCACATTACAGAGCTGTTGCGTATGACAATCTCCGTGTCTAGAGACGATGGTCGCTTCATAGTTAAGTATAGTTGTGTTTAGTTCACGAATCGGGGGTTTCGATCTTGATTAACATTCCCCCACAGCTGAGGGGAATTCAGACATCTCGACCAATCGAAGGCGAGGCTCCAAAGGCTCGCCCATCGCGAAATATGATCACGATTATGCTGATCTGCTGTAGTTATTCTGGGGCGGGCGCCGGGAAGAGCGTCCTGGACTTGACGGCAGAATCCCAGCGCCACGTCAACTACCACGGCCAGGTAGGTGTGATACAAAGAGTCGACGAATGTTTCCGCAGCAAGCTCCATGCCAGCCATATAGAGAGTATCGTACGGCAAATGATGGACAGTTGGTTCGTGGCGATCGAATTGCGCAGTCTTCGTCACACGTGAGGCTGAGCAACGGCAGGCTGCCCCTTGAACTAGCCTGGCACAGTGCGGCTGTCGTTCCCGCCCAGCTTGATCTGGACCGCTCACTTTTTGAATCTCTTCTCCGTTGGAACGACGGGCAGTGAGGCAACAGCGAACTCCTGACTGATTCAAAGGCAATCTTCGTCGAGCAGACTCGATGTCGAGATCAGAGCCACGCCGAAGATCGTTCCGATATCACATCGATCATCCAAAGTCCCGTCGGAAGTACCTTGCCCACGCACCCGCTGCTGGGACGAAAACCTGATCCACATCTCGACCCTAACCCGCATAAGCAATGGGGCAGGTATTAATGAATAGGCCTCGTAACCCTTTCACGAGGAAGCGTCGCGCATAGCTTGCGTATCGATCAGACAGCAGGTGAACGACGGCAGTCGCTTGCCCCGACACAAAACTACAACTATCAAGCTCAGTATACACATACTGGCCATCGGACCGGACGATGTTCGTGCTTCTGGGTAACATCTCAACCTGGATAAGGTGCTCTTTGAGTCGTCACATCCCTGCAATTCCGTTGAGCTTTGCGCATAGCTTACCCAAATGAGAAGTCCTTCGTCTCCACCAACTCAGCTGCTTTTCACGGAGAGGCTGATTACCAAGCAGCAATCTTGTCCAACATGCCAAGTGGCTTTAGCAACATTTAATGTTGAAGCATTTGCCAGGAAGACCACCGCAATCGTCGTCTACAATCAACAACCTTTCAATGCCGCCGTCAAAACCAACTTTGGTCTTCGTCCACGGAGGATGGCATGATCCATCTTGCTTCGACTCCGTCCGAGTACCACTTGAATCCGCAGGATACAAGTGCCGCGTTCCTGCTCTACCTTCCATCGGCGAATTATCAGCTACGAAGACATCTAGCGACGATGTGGCTGTGGTGCATGGTATCATCAGCGACTGTGTTTCGAAGGGAGAAGATGTCATCGTGATCGGGCACAGCAATGGTGGTCTCAAAGCCAATGGGGCCTTGAAGGGACTGGTTGGCCCAGATAGCACTGTGGCCGATAGTACGGGGAAGATTTTGGGCCTCGGGATAATCGCAGGTCTCCTTCCTCCAGTTGGGAAGATGGGTGCATCTGCACCAGCACCACAATCGCATTTGAGCGATAACCGATGGGTCTTCAGTGTAAGTACAACTCGTTTCTGAAAAAGGTCATTTCATGACAGCAGACTTCACAGGAGACCGATCCGACCATGCTTCCCCGAGATCCAACGAACCTCTTCTACAACGACATGTCTCCAGAACAAGCGGCTTACTGGACCGCTCGTATTAAACCGATGCATACACAAGAGATGTTCGGAGGCTACTACGAAGCATGGCATCATGTGCCAGTTTCGTACCTGGTCACTACCAAGGATAATGGTATATCTGAAGCTCAACAGGATGCAATCATCAACGACGCCAAAGCCGAGGGCGGAATCGTGTTTGCAACTCATGTCGAAGCCAGCCATAGCCCCTTTCTGAGTGTGCCCGACAAAGTTGCGGCATGGATCCGACGTGCTGCAGAGGAAGAGTTTGTGACGACGTAGCAGACGCAGAGGTTTCTTCAAACTTCTTTCGATTATGCATCGCATTTAATCTCGATGCCGGCCTCTTCTACACCATGTATGCGGAATTCTCAATCTTAATAGCTGGCTAGAGCGGCTTTCACAATCTCGTCAAGATCTTCGTCTTCCAGCCCCAGCGCCTCTTTGTCTTCTAGATGTTTTGACTGGTAGTCCCCGCCTAGCCCTTCTCCCATATATGATGCAAACATCATTTCTGCCATCCCATTGAAGTCTCCTTCCGCAATCTTCTCCTGTCCATCTTTAATGCGCTCCTCGATGGATGAATGCTTGACTGTCCAATCCTCGTCGGACGTATGGGTAGCTCGCTTCAACGACTCGAAGATCTTGTTCTGATTGAGCAAGAACGAGGAGATGTAGACGAATCTGTTGGCGTAATGTGCCAGCGACGCAGTCGGATTGCTAGTCGACATCGTAGGCAGGGAGATCAGCTGCGCGATTCCCCGCCCGATCTGCTGCATTGAACTGCCGTTGAACGAGCCACTGCCGCTGTAGAAAGTTGCAGTGCGCTGCGGAGCTTTGAATCCGAACAAACCGTTGAGGATGCACTAAAACAATAATCAGAATCTCACGGTGCAGCAGCCGAATAACATACCAACTCTGTCCACGGATTTGTCGCTACACCGATCCACTTCATTCCCAAGTCTTCGATCTGCTTTCGTGCGGCGGCCTTGCCGTGCAAGAATTGATTCGACTTCAACATCGCTTCATTCATCCCGTCTGCGCCGTACTCGTTGGGAATGATCCATTCTACCCCGGCCCGTCATCATTATAAGTGAGAGCCACTCTCCGTTCAGCAGCAACAGCAAACTTACCTTCGCTGCGAGATCAATCAGTCTCGGCTGCAGTCCCTCTGCATATAGACTCAAAGCAAACATGGCCATCTCATTGCCATGTAGCGCAGAACCCAGAAACGAGGCATCATCGTACGAGCCCTTTCTGACGATTATTCGAGACGACGAGGAAAATGTGGCGGTGGACTCGTTTCGACTTATGATTGTAACAGAGATATCAGGATTGATTTGGAGAAGATGCCTGATAGTAGAAGCACCGACATTGCCGCCAGCCTACAATTCAGTCGCCGAGAGCGTTAGTCCTTGAACAAGAACTGAATGAATTCTCACAACGTACGCCGACAATAGCGAGCCTCTTGATGTGATTGCTGTTTGGCATGATGAGAATGAGGACTGATATAATGTTAACTCGGCTTCACTTCGTCTTGCTGTGCGTGCTATTACGATGACAATACCTGCCACGACGAGTCCTCTTTTCAGTTGAGCTTTATTCGGGTCGCGGATACAACTTAGATCCGGCGTGCTCGCTTTCGCTGAAGTTGATATCCAGCGGCATGCATGCCCGTTTAGGACAGCACAATCTTCGTTCCAGCTACGCAATGCGTTGTAGCACGAGCTCTCGACCTGGGACTCACAAGTCGCAACATTCTGCTTTGACCCATGTATTAGCTCCGTCGTGACTGAAAGGCAGCTGCAGAGATTGTGTCGCAGCCGAAAGCTGCACGTTGATGGTTGCGCTCAATGACAGGAAGTCGTGTACAATGTCGCAAGGCTGTTGAGGGCGACCTAGTCGAACGAGAAGCTGCACGCTTGGCGGCATGATTCTGCGACTTCGCCTTCCAAGTTTCTGCGAGTGAACTCGGGTCTCTACGAGAGTAAATATTTTGATGTGTTTATTTATTGTCTAAGTAAGAGAGATGGCCGCCGTCAGGCGGTCTCTTACTTAGTGTACTGGGGGTCGGTTTTGCCAAGGCCCCTCCTCATTGGCCAGCGAAACGGAGTGGAGCCGCTAGTGACCCGCTAACCATCTTCGGAAGCCAACATCAAAATCTTTCTGAGCTATCACACGCTCCTCTACAGACTGCAGGACATGAAGTTGAGACCAAGATTTAACCAGGTCTCCAGAAAGTCGTAAGTGTGGCGACCCAATGGTGAAGTTGGCCTGCCCGACCACCGGGCAAATCGCTGGACATTGGTTTGCGGCCGCAAACTCATTCCCTCTTGACGGCGTCAATCGAAGCACAATGATCAAATGAATAAAATTTGCACAGCTGTAGGATTGCATGGCCTGTGCAGCCTCACATGCAAGCTTTCAAAATTACCGCTTTGGGCAATTCTCCAAACACTACCATCCAGCGCGTTGGCTCCATACGCACGGCTCACACCATCAATTTAGGCGGCAGCAGACATCTCATTGCAATTACCCAAGATCAATCGCCACTGACAAAAGAGGCTGATGACGATGGCGAGCTCCGCAGAAGTTCATCCGCTTCTTCCTCCCCCGTTCGGGCCGAACGAGCATTGGGGGTCAAGCCACCTTTCTAAGCACGACCCCCAATAACAATTGCGGAACAACTTTCGACATTTTCTTCACGGATCAAGCAGTAAGGCCGACCTCTCGGCGGGACTCGTCCCCGTCTCATGATGATAAGAGAAAATAATCCCCCATACACAACTCTCATCACCTCACAACCCATCTCACCATGTCTCAGAAGTTGATCGTCGTCGTCGGCGGCACTGGCAAGCAGGGAGGTTCAGTCGCACGAACTTTCCTCAATCTCCCAACATGGCGAGTCCGCATCACGACCCGCAATCCTACATCTCAAGCAGCCACAGAGCTCGCCAATCTTGGAGCGGAAGTTGTACAAGCAGACCTGAATGACGCCGCCTCAATCGAAAAAGCCTTCACCAATGCCAATGCCATCTTCCTCAACACCGATTACTGGGCTGTCTGGCGGCCATTGAAAGCAGCGCTCGACGCCGAAGGCAAATCATACGAATCGGCGAGCGAGAAAGCGTATGAAACTGAAACTGGGCAAGGACGACGAGCTGTCGACGCTGCAGCCAAAGTCCCATCTCTCGAACGCTTCATCTTCTCTCCATTGATCGACGTCATCAAAGCATCCGGTGGAAAATATCCTCGATCGCAGCACGCAAATGCGAAAGCCTGGATTGCCAACTACATCGAGACTGCACATCCAGATCTGGCCAAGAAGACGAGTCTCATCTACCTCGGCGGCTACAACGACAACCCATCTCTCACACCACGGCCAAACGAAGCTACCGGTCGCTACATGTTCATCATGCCTCTGAAAAACACTTTCCGCATGCCAATAATCGATCCTAGTAAATCTACTGGCAAGTTTGTTCGAGCCTTGATTGAAGATGAACAGCCTGGGACGAAGCTCCTGGCTTATGACACTTTCCCCACGATCAGCGAGATTGTGAGCAGTTGGAGCAATGAGAATGGCAAGGAAGCAGACTTGATCCCAATCTCCATTCAAGCTTTGCACGAAAAGATGGGAATGACTTGGGAGCATCTGGACATCTTATCGACTCTTGACGAGACTGGTGACTACATGGCTGGCGTTGAGGGATACATTGAGCCCCAGCAATTGAAGGCGTCGAAGATTTGAGGCATTGAGTGATGGTGGCTATTGGTTGGGATTCCTCCTTTTGAGTGTACATACGTTATGCATTCATACTACGGGTTTTGAGAGTACTCTACCTATTCTTGTGATATCTCGTGCTGGGGAGCAACAGAGACGGGGAAGGACAGCGCCAAGTGATACGATGAGCGGCTTGATTGAATGCCTATGATGAGCAAGTTACGTTTGTCGCCAACCCCAAATTCTGCAATCCCTAACCCTGACGACCTCTTCCAAACTCTCACAATGGTTTGCTTCATCTAAAATCTGCATAGCGGCAAACCAGAAACGCGGTGGGGGGACGAAGTCCCTCCTGAGCCCGGACGAAAAGCAGGAATTCGATCGAGACAGCGCACCTCTTTACATGACCAACCCGTTCGGACCGATGCTGGATTTGCCGGCCTCCTGTCTCGGATTTGCACCGAGGAGTGGCTTCAAGTCGAATATTCGCCGAAGCTACCAGGGGTCTGATTGAGTCTGTTCACTCATCTATACTACAGTACGAGGATTCAGCCCACCCTGCCAGATCCGCAGCACTAGAAAAGACACCCCAGACGCCAAAGCAAGCATACCTGCGAACGTCCAAGTGCCTGTCCAGTCCAGAGACCCAGCCTTACGCTGCAGAGCTCCCCCTCCACCAGGTCCTCCCACAAGCACGCCAAGACCAACCATAGCGAACGCCATCCCCAAACGTGTCCCAACTTTAGATTTGTCTGAGCTGAGCCGTACGAAGAGGACTGGGGGCGTGGCAATAAACACTCCAGAGAAGAAGCCAATTCGGCAGGGTCCTCCCAAAGAATGATCCCGTATTGAGAATGCACACCAGATACAACGACTTGCTAGCGCTCCAGAATCCGGACGATGAGGCGAAGAAGGGGACGTAGAAGAACGCAACGTAAATGCCGGCAAACCCAAAGAAGCATCCAAAAACACACAACATAAATGGTCCGTCCGTGAAAGCAGTCATATCGAGTAGCTTTCGAACTCTGCCCGGTTTTGTGAGCATCCTCGACACACAGATCGGAACCAGCAGTGTCGCCAGAGCGGCAAAACCGATAATTCTCGTCGTCCAGCCAAAGCCAACTTGATCGATCAATTTCGCAAACATGACCGGATAGATTATCCCTCCGATCGACGACCCCGATGCTGCAAGTCCTATGGCCAGTCCAAGACGGGTGTTGAAGTATGGTGACAGTATTGCCAGTGATGGGACGAAAAGACATCCACCACCAATGCCAACCACAAAGCCCTGAGCCAGGAGCGCCTCCCAGAAAGTGTGACAGAGTGACAGCATCATATGCCCAAACACTACTCCGAATACACCCATGATAAGGAGCAATCGAAGATGGCCGCGGTCATAGATTGGCCCAATCAATGCACCCGTCGCAAATACCATGAAACTTTGAATGGAGCGTATCCAGGAGATGTCTGAAGAAGAGGCATGGAAGATTCTTCCGGACTCGTAGTACGTTTGATAGTCTCCGAAGGTGTTGAGGATTCCTGGAAATCATCAGCTAAGCTCTTTCGCGAGAGGAAAGATGCTTCCACACCCCAAGTATTGAAGATCATCATCCAGCTGCCGAGCACCTGCAACCAGGCTTGAAGTCCTCCATCAGGGCATTGTGGCTCAACCAGAGGAGATACGGGCTTCTCCTCAACCGCATTCGTAGTGGGCGACGATATTTCATCTTCTGCAGCTTGTCCCGACATGATTGCGGTGTTCTGTCTAATCCAGCCCCTAGCTTCAACCTCTCACTGTGCCGCTGGACATGCGTCTCGAACCGATATAAAGCAGCCTTGCGCAAGACTCGACCGAGAAATGCCTTCATGCCCGTCAGCCGGGTTTAAGCAGGCAGAGCCGGCCCTTACATAAAGCCCGATCGAGCAACATCCCTTTAGGACCTGCCAGGCTGTGTTACCGGCCAGAACTCACTCGGAAAGGCAATGGAAGCGTCTTGTTCTCGAATCGTGTTCTACCTGGGTGCAAAGGTGACGGTCCTTCGATCATGTCTGTCCCTCTCCTCCTTCAGACTGCACACTCAGGGCACTCGCTTTTTGAGCCTATCCGAGACAATGAGCATCCAGCCACCGGAGGAATTGAAGACCGAATGTTAAGGCCGCAGGAATGATAGTTCAGGGGTCTGTCTACCCTTCACGAAGAGGATCGAAGTATTATACAGCGTGATACCGTGGCTCAACATTTTCCAAAGCCACCTCATCAATCGTGGACCCCAGCCTTTTCGACCGTAAAGAAGTGTGTATCTCTTGTACGAGCGGCCGCAACACAGGTATACATTGCACCATGATCGTCCCAGTAATCTCTGACGAGTACCAGATGTTTGACATCGCATTGCGCCAGAAGTACCCTGAGGAAAGTCAGCAGTATCCGAGTACGATCGATCTTCATACGAACATTCATCCTTCCCATTCCCATCAAACTTCCACTCTGTGCGGATGGCAGTTGTGATTGCAACAATCATGCCCTGAAAGAGTCAAAAAACAGTACATCATCAAGAAATGCCGACGAACCAAGCTCAAGGTCACGCAAAGGCCTATCTTCTCCTTCCTTTTCATGTCGAGATTGTAAGTGATTGCCCACGGAAACGCAGCAAAGACAAAGTCCATGACCATGTTGTAGTCTAAGCGCAAGTCAGTACAACACGCTTCCCATAAGATTAGTACATACAATTCCCTGCCTCCTTAAACTTGTTGCGAGGCGCTTTGTACATGCAAAAGTCGAGACGATACCAATCATCGTAGCTGTGATCATCACACACCTTTGCCCACTGGATGAACACCTGAAGATCGTCAGCCACAAACACCACCCGCTAAGATCAGTCCATACCTTGACAAGGTTGAAAGAACACATGCTGATAATACAGAACCACAGCACTATATGGCAAGTCTTCCAATGCGCGAAGCCCCTGGTCAGCTTGAGAAGTGTCACAGCGAACGCCGTCTTCGTAAGGCTCTGTCCAAGTAGAGTTCCACAAGAGGTGATGTTGATCAGGATATGCATGCGGTCATCCCATGTGTGAGTAACATATCCTGTCGCATACTCGACCGATATCATGATGTCGTTGGCGGTCAGTATGGCCTGAAATTTGTCAGCGACTTACACATCAACGCGATAGACATACATACCCAAGACACCAACAGAATGTAATCATCATACCAAAGACCATGCCGACGGAATATCTTTGTCCATACTCTCAAAGCGAGAAAGGCAGTGGCACCGGCATAGAGCGCCCAGATTCCAGCATTGAGTTCCTTCTCGGGATTGACGTAGTAGATGTCGGGATTCCGCGACCCAAGCAACATTAGTCCGCCCTGTACCGCAAGAAGCGGCTGAAAGTAATCGACCAGCGAGGAAAGTAGAAGTGAAGAAAAGAGAAGGTACTGGCGATGTTGCGTTTAGCATCGAATGAATGCGGGAAGAAAGGAAGAGGGAAAGCCAAGGTCGGAAGGAAGAAGCGTGGACGGAAGAAGCGTAGAAGAATAATTGATGAGATGGCGAGAACATCCTGGCACACCACCAGCGGAAGCGACATGTGGTGTATGTCTAGGATCATGGCAACATCCAGTCGCACGAATGACTATAGGCGGAGAGGAGACCGATGGGCTGGACACTATCAACTCGCTTGAATGTCGAACATGCATGAGAATTGTGTTTGGCAGGTTTCATCCAGCGCCGCGAACCCAGCTGTGTATTCATATCACGCCGATAGTTATTCGGTAGTTGTTCCTCCTAATCGGAACAAATGGCGCCACCAATATATTGTACGGGTTGGGACGTCCCATATAGATTGGTTATGTACAGGGGTTATAAGCGAGCCCTCAACTTCAGCTCCAGACCACGAGACAGCTCTGAAGATGGAGGGAAGATTCTTCTTGACTTTAATTCTGTCAGAGTCTCATCTGCAATAAGAACAAACTCCAGATTGAGGATGAATTGTTGCCGCGACATAGCCGTGGTGGCAGCCTAATCTCAGCCAGACTGGTTATAGCCATGGGGTCTTCGTATTTGCATCAATCATGCTTTCAATCGTATCAAAGCATGTGAAGTTCAGCTTCTCCCATGATACCTTCCCTGTCTACATTGTGTTCCACGTTGGCTATCCAAGTTGCACAGCTGGCACAAAACATTCAGAGATCGATGCTTCTACGGGTCCAAGCCGAGACTGTAGAGCCCATCATTTGTGCAGTGACTACCATCGTAACCGAAAACTGTGCCAACCCTAACCCTGACGCTTACTGCACAACTGAGCTGTATATTATTGAGGTTGAAAGCATGCCCGACTCATGTAAGAGATCATGACGAGGTTGCCTTCCAGCCATCCATCAACACAATCCCCGAATCAGAAACGCGGTGGGGGCACGAAGTCCCTCCTGAGCCCGGATAAGACCACTGGTGAAACGATGGTGTTGCGAAAGCAAGGAAACGTATGTTCGTAGCCGGCATCATTCAAGAAACAAAGCGCTCCACATGAGACGGATACTACTGCTGTTGATTTTGAATCCAACCCCAATTTCTGCTATCCCTGGCCCTGACGTTAAGTCCCGACATTTCATCAAGACTTCTTCTCCTCAGACGCAACGTCAACTGCTCCCAATTGAGCAAGAACCAACCAGAAACCAAGACTGACGACAAATCCACAGACTTGGCTATCCCTAACCCTTACGTTCTCCCCCTTAGGCCTCCTGGCTCAGTCGGACACACACCAAATACGGCGGGGGGACGAAGTCCCTCCTGAGCCCAGACAAGAGATATGCTAAGTAAAAGATGCGCTGAGAAGGCAAGACAGCGTTTGACCATATAAAAGCATGCGTCAAGGAGTCAAAGCTACAAGGCCCACATGAGATGGGTACGTCTACTGATGTCGGACCAACCCCCAATTTCTGCCATCCCTAACCCTGACGTTGACTCTCAGCTTTGCAAAGACTTGCCATACCTCAGGCGAAAGATGATCTGAGACAGGCCACACCCAGCGACCAAAATTGGCGACGAACCCCGACTTCGGCCATCCCTGACCCTTGCGTTCTCTTTGTAATGCCTCCAAAGTGCAGTCGCCCAAACGCGGTGGGGGGACGAAGTCCCTCCTGAGCCCAGACAAGAGATGTGACTCCACTGAATCGTTTCATCGCCTCAGATAAAAGTTATTCTGACACCACTGGAGTAAACCTCACCCGCAATGGCGGCTTCTTCCATAGAAAATACACCTTCAATCCTTCATCCCACTGCTCCGATCCAGGCACAAACTCCATATCAAACGCAAACACCAGCCGTGCCAATACAAGCCTCAACTCCAGCAATGCCAGTTTGAACCCCACACAGGCTCTCGGGCCGCTTGAGAACGGCTTCGATGCTTCGCCCCTATCATTCACGAATTCGCCCCCTTGAATTGACAGCCATCGTTCTGGCCAGAACTCATCAGGACGAGACCAATACCTCGGATCGCGACTCATATCGTAAGTAGTAGCTGATACAACAGTCCCTGCCGGAACGTAATGCCCATAGATGAATGCACCAGGTGACACCCTGGGAAGTCTTGACGGTAGGGGTGGGAATAAACGAAGAGCTTCCTGAATGACACCGTTTAGATAGGGCATGCAGCTCGTCGTTTGATCTGTGATCTCGTCGGCCTTCTTTATCAATCCACGAACCTCCTTTTGAAGCTTCGATAGTGCCTCTGGCTTTTTCAGCAAGTAGAAGGTCGCGCCAGTAAGAGCTGACTGTACCGTCCCAGAGCCCGCCGCCAGGAAGATCATCGATTGACTGACGAACTCTTCCCTCATAGCTTGTTTGTCCGTCCTGAGATGGTCGAACAGGTCCGTCGCAGCCACTTCTACTCCTCGCTTCATCCGCTCATCCACAAGCTCTTCCGTCAAAACTTTGTGCTGCCTTCGCTAGCCAGCCGCAGGTTGAGGGACGTAGAATCGATACATCAATCTCCAAATCGGTAGCCTCTTCAAGAAATTCGGCAGCAGACCCCACAGAACACCATTGAAGAGTAGACCTGTCCAGAATCGGGTGTTTGCGTCACCGTCCAAGGCTCCCAAATTTTTGCTGAACGTAATGTCGCCGATGATGTCGAACTTTGATCATCAGCCTCGATTGACCTGAATTGAGTCCCAACATACCGTCAGCCATGTATACAGAGGTATCACGTCAAATCCATGAGGTCCGTCGCCATTCATCCTCAAGTATTCAACGAGCTTCCCAACGTATGTGTTATGATATCTTGCTTCTCACGCACAGCCGCCGCACTGAACGCCTTCGACATGGACGATCTCTGCATTCGATGATCTCCTACGTCTTGTACCGCGGCCACACTTGCCAGCTCCTTTCTCTCGTAATCATCGCTCTTGAGTAGCTTCGGACGGCCGTTGACCACATGATAGTAGATATCTCGTGCAGCATCTGGTGTGTTGAAGGACAAATCATTCGGTGCGATCCTCACGACGTCGCCTGAAGAGTACATCAGCCTTTGAACCCACATTTCCTCCAAAACCCATACCATACTTGGGATTCAGCTCGCCAATAGTCCTCGGACAATCTCCATCAAACCATGTCGTCACATACTAAAACTCAGAGACAGCCGCTTGTTTGGCTCCAGGGAATTTCGCCAGTGGATGGAGATAGAGGTTGTAAGCAACTTGTACTACGCATGAGATTATAACCTGACATGTGTCAGAGACGGCGTGAGGTCAAGAAATGACAGGTTGAATACCGGGGCAAGTACTGCTAAGAACCAGGACGGACAAACTCCTGGAAACCCGGGAACGTCAACGACATGCTGGAGGTGGCTGTCGAAAATACTCATGTTTAAGTGGTCGATATCGGGGAATGGAAGGAGGAGGTACAAGAGCTGAGGACGTCGAAGTCGGTAAGCCACGATCTGCAACCTTCGAGTATTTGAACAGGCAGATCACGCGGACTGTCTTGTTAAGCTCAGCTGCATCCCTATTAGGCTGGTTTTCCGATCCTCCAGTCTTTCAAGGTCCTCGATTTATGGAAGCATATCCTTGCAGAAGTATTCTCTCAAGTACCGCCTCTCGTTTGGCATACGCTCAAATTCATTCTTGGAATAAAGCCGCTTGTAAGGATCCGAGTGATCGCGAACCCACCAAGCTGAACCCTATCCTCTGAATACATCCGCAGGATTTGGCCAATCAGGCTACGCCACTGTAGGGGATCGCGTACAGTGTCCTGCTCCTAATTTGCATAGAGAATTGAAGGGCATTCATAGCGCCAAATGCACTTCAATCGAAGCTCGGCATCTAACTCTCTCATGTGTGCATCTGACTTCGCGAGATGAATGTGCCTAATCGAGCTTCTGTGCTAGTCGTTGGAGGGGGACCAGGTGGCTCGTACGCAGCTTGTGTACTTGCCCAGAAAGGTGTTGATGTTGTACTGTTGGAGAGTGATACTTTCCCAAGGTGAGCAAAACGATAGGAACTGAATTCATCGGCTCACATCTCGAGATAACATGTCGGCGAGAGCATGCTTCCCTCGATGCGGTACTTCCTGCGATTCATCGACCTGGAAAAAGATTGTGATGAAAGAGGATTCGAGAAGAAGGCAAGATATTCACACAGTTGTGAGGGAGACTGAGCTAACCCATGTCTACTAGTTTGGGGCTACGTTCAAGATTACAGAGGAGAAGCCGTCATGTATGAGCTACAGCCTTGCAGCATTGAATCCACTCAAACACCATGCCAGATACCGACTTCTCCGCCACATTAGGACCAGGTGGCCACTCATGGAATGTTATTCGTGCGGAATCAGATGAGATGATCTTTCGCCACGCCACCCGTTGCGGAGTGAAGACATTCAAGGGCACCAAGGTTGAATCGCTTTCATTCGAGCCTTTCGCTGATGCCAAGTTCTCGCCTGTAGACTACATGGCAAACCCCGGACGTCAGGTCTCCGCGACTTGGTCACGAAAGGATGGTACAACGGGAGCAATCGCTTTTGACTACCTCATAGATGCCAGCGGTCGTTACGGGTTGATGAGTAACAAGTATCTTCACAATCGTCGCTTCAACCAAGGCCTCAAGAACATCGCCAACTGGACATACTGGAAAGACGCCAAGAGATATGATGAGGGCGGTCGGACTGAGAACTCTCCGCTATTCGAAGGTCTATCAGATGCGAGCGGCTGGGCGTGGGCAATTCCTCTACATGACGGTACCTTGTCGTGTGGGATTGTGGTCTATCAGGAGAGGTTCTTCGAGAAGAAGAAAGCTTCTGGATTGGATGGTCTCGCATTCTACAAGGACTATCTCAAGCTCGCACCACAGATTAGTGATCTACTTCATGATGCAAGTGTCATGGCAAACTTGCGGCGGGACTCCGACTGGTCCTATGGTGCTTCAGCGTATGCTGGTCCAGGTTTTCGAATCGTCGGTGATGCTGGCTGTTTCGTCGACCCTTATTTCTCCTCTGGCGTACATCTCGCTTTAACGTCTGGCCTTTCAGCCGCCGCAACAATCCAAGCATCAAGACGAAAACAATGCGATGAGTTTGCGGCCGCAAAGTGGCACGATACCAAAGTGTCAGAGTCGTATACACGCTGGCTACTGTTCGTCATGACGTTCATGCGACAGTTAAGGATGAAGCAAGCCTCCTTTGTCCAGAGCGGCAAAGACTCGAGCTTCGACACGGCTTTCAGGGCAATCTTGTCCGTAATCCAAGGCACGGTAGATATGGAATCAGAGGACGCGGCCACCCAGACCCAAGTGGCAACGTCAGTCGACCTGGCATTAGAACACATGCAAGCTACCCCTGAAGCTGTCACCGCGAAGATCACACAGGCGCAGGACAAACTGGCAATGCTCGAAACGTTGACACCCGAGGAAGTTGCCATTCTGAACAAGCTGATCAAGCGCACGTTGCAGCACGAGAAGAGCGATCTCAAACTCATGAATTTCGTCGGCCACGTTGTCGAAGGGCTGTCGGCTAGACTGATTCAGGGAGATCTAGGCTTGATGAAATGCGAGACGACTTGTTAAACATTGATTTGGCCTTTGAGAACTCCCCTTAAATGAATCTACTTTGGAAACTCGCCGAAAGTGTAGCCTCAAGATATTCGATGTCCGCCAGCCTCGCGATTTGACGAGGATGGCATCTCCTACTCCTTTGTCGCCATTGTGCACGCTCTTCAAAGCGCTTTACTCGAGCTGTGTTTGTTCACCTTTGACCTCTTGTATTTACAGAACAATAGACTTCATCTCGTCAATGGAGCAACCATTGACGGGCCACTACAATGCACGACTCAGCACATATATAATGCCACTGCTCTTCTCACATCTAAGTCTTCTCTCATACGTTCATCCCGGCTGACTTCTTCCTTCCATCCCAACAACATAATCGAGCAGGCACTCGATCGAATCACCACTCCCAGCATGACGTCCCCGAACAACACTGCCCCGCGTGAGTGCGTCCAGACTTCCCTCGTGGTCGCAAGTCTGGCTTCCGTCCAACTCGAGTCCCGTGCAAGCAAGTCTCTGGCAGACGAGCTCGACGATGCGCTCGAGGAGGAGTACGACATGGCCGAGAAGTATGCCGACATGGCCGAGAAATACGCCGCCATGGAGAAGAAGTACAAAGCCGCACAAAGCGAGCTCGATGAGTTGCAGCGGGACTTCAAGGAGCTCAATGAGAAGTATGTCACTCTTCAGATCAGGCATGCTGATTTGCAGAACTAAGTGCATGTGATGGACCTGGGGAGGTAAGTAGAAGTCAGAGAACGTATCATATTCCATTCTCACATCATAATCCTTCCTACAAAGTTGTTACTTTTTCAAAGATTTCAAAGTAATTTCCAATAGTACAAGTGTCGGTATCTTGAAAGGTGAGATCAAACAAAGAAAGTCAGGGGCGTACGAAGTCAGTTGATCTCCCATTTTCTTCACGTGGAGCCCTGGCAAGGTCGATGCACTGCCGTGTCATCGTTGACTCAAGCTGGGAGACGTCTCCTAGGGTGGGATGAGCGCAGAAAGGTCACTAAAAGAGCCTTGGATCGCATCTACGCGGCGGCCTGAAGGAATGAAACCACAATTGTAAGCGAGAAGTCATGCAATCGCTGCTCAGAACGCTCTATTGTAGTCTGGCCTATAAGGGTATCTATCGTCAAAAAGGGAACAAATAAAATCGATCATAATCAACATTAAACAGCAGATGCCGCCTCTCCAAGATCGCGCATCAACTGTACAAGATTCTCCACCATCGCAGGCCGCTGTGGGCCAGCCGATTGCTGAGGTTGTGCAGAACGACCACTCGTCCCTGGCGGCTGACTTGAAGGCGTCAAAGCATGAATCATAACATCCATGACCAGTTTAGGATCATCCAGCGGAACCGTCTCTTGCCTGGTATGTGGAGGTTCCGTCACAGGACCTCGAGCAGCTGCTGTGCCCACAGTAGTCGGTGGGCTGCTACCAGGACCATTAACTCGGGTCGAGGTGACGTTCGACCACGGCGATATAGCTGAGATGACAGCTCTGCCCTTGTTGAGACCGATGAATTGGTGACGATCCATGTTCGTCAGCTCCTCATCATCGCCGTCCAGACGAATGTGATCGCCGCCGTAGTCGACTGCAAGTGATTGTCCGTTGTTGTAGCCGTCTTCCGATGAGATCGCTCTTGAGAGCAATCCATACACCCAGAATGCAAGACCAGCGTGATAGAGAGCCACAGCGTTGAAGTCTCGTAACCACGGAGCATCTGGAGGAGCCGACTGAGCAGCGTTTGGACTTCGACCTGCAGGTCTTCTCGCAGCACGCAGCACTTGACCGGCATGCCAGAGCGCTTGTCGACATTCTGGAGAGCGGTACCACTGTTTCAGTGAAGGGTAAACTCGTCTCGCCTCTTCTTCCCCCTCCTTCCCAGCAATGAGCTGGAGATCTTCCAAGGCAACACACAAGTTCATGCGCAAGAGCTGCGACATCATGTGCACTTCCTTTGGGATGAAGACCCCCCAATCTTCAATCACGACATAGAAGGAGTCCAGTAGTTTGCAGAGTTCTTGACACTTCGCAGATGCGAGCATCGTACCGGCCCACTGAATGTCGTTGGCCTGCGCTTTGTTGGCGGAGCTGAGTTGAGTATACTCCCACGCCAGGCACCAGTGACTCAACAACACAAGATACAATGTCAACTCCAGGTCGATAGAGCCTCGAAAAAAGCCCATCGTCTCTGGACTACACATGCTGGACACGAATGTGGGGAGAGGACCGCCCGTAACATAAGCAAAGTACTGGTCTCGCCACTCTTCGGCTGACTTCGCTCTCCAAACTGCTTGTGGTGCCGGCAGCTCCAGTGTGATCTCAGCGTAGGATAACAGAGGCGGTGTCTGGAAAGCGACCGATACCTGGACGGTGTACAGAAAGACGTGGTAGGCCAGACGCTTGAACGATTCTGCCTCCACCCAAGTCCGCCACTTCTGTTGCAGCGTCTCTTTACTGTGTTCTGGTGATGGGCCTGGAGCAACTCCACGAGATCGTCGAAAGCCACCCGAGCGTCGTATCATGGTAACCAAAGGTAGAGCCGCAGCCTCAGCAAGTTCCATGGTTCTTTTGTTGCCGCTCCAGGTACCGATATCCAAACAGATAGCACTCGCTTGCAGAGCTTGCAGATTCCTCGTCATGCTATTATCCCGCTCGAACAGCTCAGGTAGTGCGAGTCTACCTTTCTCTTGCAGAGCGTATCCAAATAGCTGCGCGTGACTTGTCCTGCTCAAAACTGCCCCTTGAGCTATCATCGAAGTCAGCAGCTCTGGTATAGCATCACTGCTGCGGAAAGTGGGGATATGCATCCAGCTGTCGATACTGTGCTCCATCGTGACGAGACATTCATGCAGAAAGAAGTCCAGCACATTGACTCCCGGAAACATGGTGACCACCTTCTGGAAGTTGGGCTTATCACAACTTGATAGTAACAGCGCCACAATCCGATCTCTGTCCTGAGGCGTGAGAAGCTGAGAACGAGGGCCTTCCCTGACTAGCTGCATTTCACCAGAAGCCTTCCCGTCGATGAGGATGGACGCAAGTGACTGGTCTTTACTGGCCTTCCCTTTACCAGCATCTGGTACCCACTTCCAAGCTGAACGGTTGTAGGCTGCCGAGCCCATGTTGATGCTGCCATCTATTGATGGCGTGCTACCATCCGACACCGTGCGGTCTGTTGGCTTGTCGTATACGGCCGGTACAAGCGAGGGGTCAAGCCAAGTGTCCCATCCACCAGACAAGACAGCGTCAAGATCGTTGAAGTCCAAGCTCAGGTCCTGGCTAAAGTCCATCAGGTCTCGAGGAGCAAAATTCCCATTCCATGTTGTATCGCTACGTGGCTGCGCCGACACATGAGCTTGCTCGGCCGGATGAAGGACATCTTTCAAAAAGTCCGACAAGGATGGATCTTCCATTATCGGTGCTGGATGATGTGATCCAGGCATCATCACCGGCTGTACCACGGATGCGTGAGATATGTTGGCAGGGGTAGAAGTCGGTCCAGAAAGTTGATGTTGTTCGGAGGGGTATGTCCGGAAATCCGACTGTCCAGTCAATTGCTCAGGTGGAGAGTCATGATCATCAGAGCGGTACATGGTAGAGCTGGACGAAGCGTCTACTCGACATTCGAGACCTTTGGTTTTGCATCGTTTGCAAGGCTTCTCCTGGTCACATTTGACCTTGATTGTGGCGCATTGTGTACAGGCTTGTGAGGCTCTGATTTTGCGTTTCTTACCACTCTGTTCAGTAGATGTATGAAGAGTTGCGTGACGCTTCAGGAGATCCCTGTAATGATAGTCAGCCATGATCCGATATATCCTCATCCCGAAACCGAGGACATGAAAACTCTATTCCTCCACATAGCCTGCGAGAAAGCAGAGGAATATTGACGCCCACCCGGCTGTGAAGGCATTTGCCATGGCCTGATCAGGAGGGTAGAGCATTTGAAGATGAGTCTCCGACTGGTCGACCGAAGACACAACACCGGAACACGGCAAAGCATACGAGGAAATCCACTCACGCTCTCGCAAATGTCTTGCCGCACTCATCACACCTGAACGGCTTCTCGTTGGTATCTGCACACTGAATTAGCTGGTGACTTGCTACAATTTGGTTGAGATACCCACGACTCCGAAAATGCCGGGCAAGATGGTCGATCCGACCGTACGTCTTCTGGCACACGTTGCAGACGAAGGGATTCGTTCCGTTGCTTGGATAAGTGGCATCGCCAGGAGTATTCAAACTCATGGTCACGTGGACCTCTATCCCACCCCTTTTCGCTGTGCCTGAGGGATTCTGGTTGTTGGCGGTGGTCTGCCTTTTCCGACGCAGCACGGCAGAGGTGGAGAAGATATGGCCATGACCGGCGACGCGACGTCAACCCCTCGCCAAGCCTGATGCTTCGCCATCGCTTGTGTCTTTGCCGTGGGAAAAACCGTGCCGGCCGCGCGGCTTTGTGGGGAAGGCTATCAGCCATTGTGGAGTTCAACAACATTCACTTCATCTTGTGGTTATACCACGCAGGAACTTCCCACGATTTTCAGACCACAACTATCCACGATCATGCTGACTACCGAGTGTCTATCTTCATATATATGATAGTACGCGGCATCCCTTGCACGCGCGGTGCCAAGAGGTTGTTGAAAGTCTCTATCTTGAGTTGCTGAGAAGGCTAAGCATTCGGCGACACACTTGAGAGGAACAAGAACTGGCAGCTATGACTGTGTGAAGCCTCTCCGATAGGGATACTCGAAAGGGCAATGAATTACTATGCAATACGAGCTGAATGCACAGGTTTACCGAGACGCCCACTTCAGCCGACACAATCCTCAAGTGTTGCAAAGACTATGGCTTTAAAACAAGGCCTGGAATGTGAAGAAGATGGCAGCTAAACTTAACCTAAGAATACAGAATGGGTGCCAGGCGTCGTTGAGGTTGATGTCGATGCTATCGTCCGAAACACGCCCTTCGCCTACGCAATGGCGCTTCCCGGCTATTCTGTGGCTCGAGAGACGACGATTGACGCGCAAGATAGGGCTGGAAATGTGCTCCATCTCGCTCTTCCAATACAGTGCTGCTCAATCCACTATGCCATACATCTCAAGATCGACTTTGTCAAACCGGCCTCGCACCACTAACATCAGGAACACCAAGTCCCTCCACAACCTTCGCACCCACAACTTCATACACCGGCAACTCCTCCAATCGACTCACAACATGATTTAGCGTCGGCAAACTCTTCCAGTCCAATCCATTGATCTCGAACTTCGCCTGACTCGCTGTCCACACCGCCGTCACTCTGGGCTTCGGCTCAGCCTCTGCAAAAGGGTCGAAGCACGCAAAATCCGCTTCTGACTTGACGCCCTTGTTCTCTTTGCCTACCGATGGCATATATCTGTGCACGATGATCCCATCGTCTGCTTCGCCGCCGATGCTGCCGGCGGTCTGCTGCGGATCCACAGATTCGAGGCCGGTGAGGTGAAAGTGGCCCCAGACGGCACCTTGCCAGGAAGTGCGGATGTGATAGGAACCCTCGCCTCGTTGAAAAATGTCGATGCCGGAGTACAACTTTGGCATCCCCAGTTCTTCCCGTCCAGATACGATAGGGTCTGCGAGGTTTTCGAATAGGATGGGCAGGTAGGTTCCACGCACTGTCTTGCCACTTGCACTGGTATATTCCACTCCATGGGTGTACAACCCCAAATGATTGTACCCGCTCCCACCCAACCACTCCATCCCGTTCAATGTTGTTTGCGAGAAGGATGCATACGCCATAGTGCCAGGAGATGTAAAGCGATATCCACTTCGATCAGGCGGGAAGAGATTCTGAAGAGCCGTTCGTGATGTCTTGAAGCGGATGCTGGCTGTCGTGAAAGTCGACTGCTCTCCTGAGCGAGGATGGCCGAGATGATTTTGACGAGGACCTGGCATTGGACCGAAGGCGATAGGCATACGCCAGTACTTGTTTGGCACCAAAGACCATTGATACTCACGAAACCTCTGCGAAGCATGGTCGAACTCGTCATGGCCGAAATTGTAGTTCGTGAACTTGATCACTGGCGATATCATCAGCCATCAGTCTGCTTTCGAGAAAGTTTTACTGACTGTCAAGATCCTTCTTCTTCATCAAGTCATCGCCACCAATTATCCTCGAGTACGTCTGAATCTTCGTCGCTCGCTCATGCCGAATCTCATCGTAGAGTCGCAATCTCTCCGCAACTTCTTCTCTCTTCGTCCCCAGTGGCAAGACTGTCGCCAATGCCGCGCCATCTTCAATGGCCGTTCCAGCACCTTGCCCTTGATGTGGTAGAAACGGATGTGCTGCATCTCCCAACAACGCCAGCCTATCCTTGTTCCACACTGGAATCTCGTCCATATCCAGCAAGCTCCACACTTTCAACGTGTCTGGATCGGCCTTGCGTAGGAGAGCTTCAACACCAGGTTCGAATGATGAGTAGACTTTCTGTATCGTCTCCATACTCGCTCCTTGATTCCAATCTGCGCTCGTGTTGGATTCCGTGGCTGGGTGTATGCAGACGAAGTTGAAGAGCTGATTGTTTGAGGTCGGGTACATGACAATACGTCGATCGGATTCGTACCAGATCTTAAGCTCGCCCTCTTCTCCCACGAGTGGTGAGGTCAAAGGGTCGTCTTCAATCTGGCTTCGTGCGATGAGGAAACGAAAGGCGCTTTTCCCACATCCAAACGGCTTGGTGTCAGGAGCAATGCGTGTACGTGTTACCGAGTGAACTCCGTCTGCGCCCACGACAACATCGCCCTCTACAATCTGGCCATTGTCGAGCATGAGCGTTCCTTGTGCTTCATCCACGGCTTTGATCTTGCTCCTGGTATGTAATTCGGCAGGCCTTCCTTTCCCTTCTGCAGATGTGGCCGCTTTCTTCAGCGCATCGTGAAGATGCACTCGGTGGGCCAAATGCCATGGATGCTGCCACAGCTTATTCGACTCTCGCACGTCCATGCTTCTGATCACTTTGCCTTGTCCATCGAGCTCGGTGAACTTGCAGCAGGGGTTAGAGCCAAAGTTTTCTGCGTATATGCCCAGTCTACGCAGGATGCCATTGCTGTTGGGGGCCAAATGGATTGCTGCACCCAACTCAGCGGCGAACTGTGATTGTTCGAATATCTTGACGACGTGACCTTGCTGTCGAAGTGCAATCGCTGCTGTCAATCCTCCAATCCCAGCACCTGCTACCAGAATCGTGAGTGGCCTATCTTTCTGCGCCGCATTGAAATGATCGTGATGTCCGTTCGTATAGCTTTCAGGTGCCCCGTTTGTACCATTTGTGTGTGATTCTGTATGCGAGTGCTTCATTGCGATGGAATTCCTGGTGTCCTTCCTTGATCCCAACACGCATACACGAGAAGCCTACTGTGCTGCAGATAAATGCTTGCACGCAGGTCCACTTCATATGAACTGCTTCTGTCGTCCACCCACCTGGCCCTCCGAACAGGAGTCATGACGCCTCCGGCATCCTACCCCTCTCGACGCATCTGTGCATCGTTCTGTGACCGTTTTCTTTACCTGGAAAAGCCTCGCTTGCGGTTACATCCTGAGGGCGAAGTCACTGCGCCAGCCGGGCCCACCCCCACAAGCTTCCGCAATTTCTTCAAGTGAGTAGTAAAAGAGTCGTGACAGTCCAGATTGGATCGTTCTCATCGGCATCTATTCTTTGGCGATGCCCTTGCGGTTGTTACAAGTTGCCGATATTCCGAATCATGCGAGGAAACTGGGCGCCATTGCGTCTAAAAGAGCCGCAGTCTCTTGGGTTCCCCCACCAGGATCCGGGGGGCAAAGCAAGCCTGGTACATTAAGCATCGAGAAGATCATAGACAGATACGTTGCTCTTGATGCAAAGCTTCACAGCAGGAGAGGTCTTGCGCAGGCTTCGATTCATGTCGTGAATGACCGAAGGCGGCTTGTTCTTTACTCGCGGGACACCATGGTCACTTGAAGGACCCAGTCATTTATCTCCCATCGATTTCGACGTCGTACACAGTTTGAGTCTGCTGGATAGTTGTGTATCCTTCTCGACGAAGCTTAGACCCAGATGGATGTTCCTAGGCAGGCTGAATGTCCAGGAGAGTTCATCGATATGGCACCCACTGTAGACGCATCTCTCCATGGCAGAGAAGGGGACGTTATGCGGGCGGCGCAGCGTAGTTATTCCACTGAAATGGTACTGGCCGTGATCTGAACTCTCACATCTCACCTTCTCAATGGTCCCTGCTATGAATGCCAGATCTCGGGAAGACTCCACGGCGTATCGCCTCCATGTGCGTCTCCATTCCGTTCGTATGCTCACAGCGTTGAGCAAGTCTGGAAGCAGTAGCGACAATGCGTATTGTCGATTCCACGAGGATAGTAAAGAGAATTGCAAGACCGAAGAGCCGGCGATATTTTGGGAAGCGGCTAAATTTAAAGTTCGGAACTCACATGCGGACCCATGTCCGGGGCCGCCAAGCCACGCCCTCGAGATGGAGTGAAGTGAATGAAACAGCTGTCTTACTCTCACTTTGCTTCGCCATTGACTGCGACATTTGATTAAAACCCTTGTCGGCCAGGGAGATCCCGTCCGACGTCACCTCCCGATTGCCCCACGAAATGCTTCGCCGTCGATGTCGATAGGAGGCAGCCTCCGTCCCCGAACCCGCCCAAACTCGCTGGACCGCAGTTCCAGCTCGATCATGTCCGCGCGATCCCGTCTGCTCACCAAAGATGAAGAACTCGGCAAGCGCGACGACGACTTCAAACCACGACGAGCCAACTCCACGTCAATCTTGCTTCCCTGGAGATGGCGCAAGAGACGCTTCCTGGTCGGCATCGCGGTCATCGCGTTCATATACCTCTTCTTCCAACACATTCCCGTCGATTTGAACCCTACACAAGTCGGACCTCCACAGTACCAAGAGCCTTACCGAGCGGCGACATATCATGAACCAGCAGGTGCACCCCCGCGCGATCCTCAAAGCGAGCAAGATGAGGGTTCGAAGCATTACTACAATGGGGTGGTCAGATTCTACAAGCTGGCGCAAACCTTGCACAAGGTGGGGAGGACCATGGGCAACATGCTGCAGAATCGGAATGTGCTGTTCGTGGCCTCGTCCACCAAAAGCGCCGCAAACCTGATACCCATGGCCTGCGAGATGGCAAAGATCGATCGAAACTACGCCCACTTTGCGCTGTTCGGAAGGAGTCCGCTATCGATGGAGGAGATCCTCGAAGTCAATGGCGTTGATACGTCTGAATGCAAAGTGTTCTGGCACGATGCGCGTGGGGATTATGCCGAGTTCAGCAGCGATGCGAGGACAGAGTCGGCAACAAGAGGGGCAATGAAACATATCAACGACTTTGTACACCCGCAAGTCATCATCATGGATGATAGCAAGCGAGAGGACAGCTTCTTCTCAAAGGCTATGAAGACGAAGGTGAAGGAGACGGGGACAGCATTGATTGAAGTTCCATTAGGTCGATATGAGGAATGGCTGTGGATGACCAGACTGGATGCTGGCAGTCTGAGCAACTGGCACAAACCCAACATCGATATTCTCATCCATGCCCCAGCAGGCAGCTCAGGGAGTCTCATTCGCCTACTCAAGAGCCTTTACAACGCCGAGTACAGAGGCTTGAAAGTTCCCAGACTGACGATCGCGCTCCCGACCAAGATCGAGCCTGCGTTACAAAACTATCTCGGCGGTTTCATGTGGCCACCGTGGAGGGACTTCTCCGAACAGAATGGCCTTACCGTTCGCCATCGAATACCATCCTCGAGGACATCATCTGAGCAGGCCTCCATTCGCTTCGTCGAATCATTCTACCCTCCCAATTCAAAAGACAACCACGTCTTGGTTCTCTCGCCTCAAGCAGAGATGAGTCCTCTGTACTTACAATACCTGCACTCCTCGATCCTTGAGTACTACTACCAATACTGGGGAGCCGGGAACGACCTGATGGGCATCTCACTGGACGTGCCGACTGCCTTCCTCGATGGCAAAGATGGCTTCAAACAGCCCACACTTGGCAACATGAGCTACAACAAGCATGCGCAGGATGCTGACCCGCAAATTCCATCTCCTTTCCTTTATCAAGCGATATCGTCAACAGCCAACCTAATCCAGGGCGAGAAGTGGGCTGCATTCCATGACTTTCTATCTAAACGAATACAAGCATCGCACAGCGGCAAGACTGGCAAGAAAGACCACAAGGTCGTGCCTGAGACGGAACCGGCTTGGGTGGAGTTCTTCATGGAGCTCGCAAGAGCCCGAGGTTGGACAATGCTGCATCCGCCAACAAGTCTTGTCACTATCCACAATGAGCTTGCTCAGATACCCGAGGAGTTCTCGCGTCCTCCAGCTTCAGACACCAAGGCGACTGAAGTATTCAAGCAATCTGACCATCCAGAAGAGGAACCATTCCTACTGTCAGCTGACCCGCCTGTGCCCGTCGAGCATATTGAAGCGGATCCATCTCGCAGTTTCATGCCTCTGCACCAGATGTTACCTTTCAATGGCGAGCTACAAGACTTGGCGTCACTCCCATGGTTGGATCACGAAGGATCTCTCACCTCACAGTACAACCTCGAGAAGCGCAAGAACGAATATGTGCGATGGCTTCGCGCAGCCGTAGGAGGGTGCCAAGGCGCGGATGCGAGCCGAAAACGTGTTGCAGAGACCCTCAAAGCTGACGACCTGTTCTGCTTGCCTGGAGTGGAGATGAAGTTTGAAGATGAAGGCGAGCCCGGAGGAGATGACTGGGCTGAGCATGTTGCCAAGGCGATTGCCGACAGTACGGCTTCTGATGGGAAAGATGAGTTTGCGATGACTATGCCAACCCATGAAGAGCCTGTTGGTGAGAAGAAGACGCCCGAGACGAACGAAGATACGGCAGGACCGAAGAAGGAGCCTGATGTGAGCTGAATGGGATCTCGTTGAGAAGAACGACAACATTTGCCGCGAGAAATACTACCAGGGCAAGTCAGGAGCTCGACTTGATGGAATCGGACTGCATACCGCCCAGCATCACACAGCCGCCTGCCTGAAGATAGAATGTAGACGACGACGTTCGTTTTCAGGTCATCTGGCAGGCGCTCGTGAGAGTCGTCACCAGACGCCGTGCTCGCCGCTAGGCAACACGCCTTTAGATATAGAGCATCCCAAGGAATAGAGGGACGGGGTTAGCATTCTGCTTTGTTAAGCGATCTATACCATCGACGTTTCTATCAGGATTCACTCGATTACATCGCATTCACGGCAGGGAACATGCCGGGATTAGTCTCGTCATGGCTGACTGTACAAAGTCAGCGCAAGAGCCTGCATTGAAAACAGGCGACGTCAATCTGGCGATGTCATTCATCGCATCACTTGTTTTATACTGAGTTGATTTATTGTCTATAAGTACCAGGAGTGGCCGCCGTAGGCGGACATGTACTTATAGTATAGTGGGGGTCGGATTTGCCAAGGCCAGTGCTGATTGGTCGCTGAAACGGAGTGGAGCACGCTAAAGCTACGCTAACCATCTTAGGAACTGCGCCCATCTCCTCTTCGACCACACACTCCTCCCCAGCGCCCGCCGACAGCGTGACCTTGTCAGCCAGCACGGAGTAATGCGGCCTGCGGGAGGATTACACTAACAAATACCAAAGTACATATGTCTACTTCCAACTAGGCACCTACAACACGCCACGGCCGCAGGGCCATGACCGTCGCGATCCAACAACACCTCTCAGCCTCGTATTCGCCGAGCCATTCATCTCACCACATGCGCTGGCTGGCTGATTCACGTCATGTGCAACCTTTCTCGCTCAGCCCCTACAAACCTCTTTCCGCTCGCTTGGATACCGCAGACCTGGTAAGATGGGCGGCGTTCCTATAGGACATCCTGCATCGTGCTGACTACCGCAAAGCATGGCCTTATACACGAGGTCTGTACCACCTCTCGCTACGACGTCGACCGCCTTGGCTGCATGCTTGACGATGATTGATGCTGGGACAGTATTGACGGGTAAGCTTCCAACAAGCAACGTGAGTATATGCCTCCTGCGCCCTCATCTTCGCCTCCCATAGGCAGGCGTATAAGAGTAAGACGATCGAACACCTCTCCTCCAAGCTCCCCTTCTCCAGATCTCCCTCCATCCGCATCATGAACACGCTTTTGACCACCCTCGCCCTCGCCGGCGCAGCTACCGCCCGCATCGTCGGCCTCGCAGCCCCCGCCACCATCGCCCCCAACTCCAACATCACCCTAACCCTCATCACCGAGAACTACATCCAATCCGTCAAAGACCTCTCCGCAGCCTTTGCTCTCTCCCCCCAAATCACCAACGGCTTCCTCGGCACACAATACCTCAACTCTTTCTACCTTGGACCTGACAAGTCTAACGTCCTCAACAACCTCACCTTCACAGTCACCACTCCATCCGACATCTCTTCCGTGAAATACATCACCGGCGCCGTCAACTCCCTCTACGGCGCATCCAACGGTCCAGTCACCCTCCAATTCGACGTCCCCACAACCCCAGGCACCGAGACCAGCGATGATTTGAATGCAGACGTCGGTGGCACCAACGGCAACTGCTTCGCCTCCAACCCAAGCGATCCCACTCCACCAGGCGACAACTCTACCACACCTCCCATCTCAAGCGGGCAGTGCGATACCTTCCCCACGCAGACCCAGACCTTGATTCAATCATCCTTGGTCCGCGCCGACGCCTGGATCGGCAGCATCGCCCAGAACAACAACCAGACGGGCCGCCAGAGTCAGGGTGAATTCAACGGTGCTTTGGGAGATGTCTTCCGTGCGATTGACGTCAACCGACGAGGTGAACAGGCATGCAACAACCCTCCTCCACCCGCTCAGCCACCACTCAGTCCCGGAGATGCTCAGGTGCGGGCGATTCAAATCTTGAGGGATGCCGAGAGTGGACTGCAAGTGTTGCAATCCGAGGTGATCCAGTGTGATGCCAGTGGGGCGTTTAATTTTGTATGCCAGGTTCTGCGGCTGGTGGATCAGCTGGATACATATTACTCGTGAGGTGGTGGTTCCGTGGATGCCATGGTGGCTTTGAATAATGATGCAACGAATTCGTGAAGAATTGTAGTCGAAAAGAACAACAGTCTCCTTCTGCACGATTCGTGTTTCACGGGCATTTTCCGTGAACGTAGACTCGGCTTGCGGTGGCTCTTGATGCGCGTGGATGCCTGCCAGTCAGCGGTATAGTCGACAGCATGACCCATTCGTTGGCGGTTGTTTGCTGCAACATCCCTCGTCGTATATGTAGTGCTCCACTGGCGTAGCGACAAACCCACAAAAACTCGGACAGCTCCAGAGAAGACACCACAATGTGCCGGACGATCATAACACTTCTCGACTGCGGTCATCGCGAGGTTGGTCCACTCTTCCGTTGCGACATGGCGGTCGCCTCCAGACCTCGAGGATATCCATACGACGACGGAAGGATTGTGGTCTGCCAGCCCAATGAGATCCACAATATCAACCAGAAAAGCTTTTGCGAGGAATGTGTCGGAGAGATGATCCAGCGACTTTTGACGGCGGCTTGCCAGACATGTCGACGCAATATCGTCACGCGCATGGGCGAAGCAGTTCTCGATACGCTACCACAGGGTCAAGAAGCTGCCAATCAGCAAGGCGCAAGTTCCGGACCTGACACTGCCGAACACCAAGGTGCGGATGCAGAGTCCGACACTGCAACATTGTGCCACTGGTGATGTCGGCCAGCCGGGTATATTCATCTTCCTGTCCCATCCATCCTTCTGCTGACTTCCTGACCATTACAGTTTCGTGCTCCCATTCATACGATCTCTTGTAAAGACATATCCAGTCGCCACAGGACTGAAGTTACCATTCATCGGTTGGGGGAAGGGTGCCTTGCGAAAGTTGCCCATGAAAACAGGATGCGTGACGGCGGGATTGAATATTGGTTGAATCGGCTGAGCGGGTACTCTGAAAGGTTCGGGTATTGTTTTAGAAGGCGGCATGGCTTCTATCTGGTTCCTAGGTACGGATGACTGCTCGGTATGAGGCTTGACTTGGAGATTTCGGGTCTGTTGCTGGTGAAGCGGGTTTGGACGATTGTTCGTGTGAATCTAAGCGAGTCAGTATCTGTACCTTCTGTGAGCTGTATGATATATCCTACTTGCGGCCTTTGAGACTGTAATTGAGAGAACATGATGAAGTGTGAGGTGTTGTTGATAAGGTCGCAAGACCTCGGTGTCATTCACTGCGGAGACCCCACACGAACGTCACAAACATTGGGTAGACGGGCCGGGCTGAACTCAATTGAGGTGAGTAACCTCGACTACACTTCCTGACTCGATTCGCTCTTTTCACAACACATATCCAAAGAAATGTGGAGGCGATGGGCGGCGCCACAGTGCCAGCGTCGACTGATCCATACCAGTCCAACATCGGGCCAGAGATTCCCCAAGGTCATTGATATCGAAGACGCCACTTGTTACAGACGACACCCGGCACCAGACGATACACCGGAATCGAATCCGCCCCTGTTTCTGAACTTGTCATTTCGATTGTACAAAGACAAAGTTCCATATGGGAGATTGGCTGGTCAAGAAGAGCATTGGGCGATTCTGTCTCCATCATCCTTAGCCCGGACGACTCTTCTTCAAATCCTAGGCGGACAGCACATATGCATCCCACCTACCGCCCGCTCATATCCGGCCCTTTCTGAAATCTCAAAGTCACCACAACATGCGATCCGATATGTGGGGTTTGATGCGGAAAGAGGGAGCAGCGTTGGAGGAAGTAATGTTCGTGGGGCGTATCTCAGCGCGAGATATGAGAGTCGGCGAGAGGAGACCGATTACTCTTTGATGGACTACCTTACCGGTCATACTGAATTGAATGCCTTGGAACATGTCCTCTCGCAGAGTGATAAGGCCATCCTCGATGAAGCCATTCAAAAGCTCGACCTCCAATCGCTTCTGACAATGCCAGTGGCAAATCTGAGCAACGGCCAAACACGAAGAGCTCGCATAGCCAAAGCTCTGATGGCACGCCCAGAAGTCCTCCTCCTCGACGGGCCCTACATGGGATTGGACCCAAACACTCTCTCCAAACTCGATACCGTGCTATACGACCTCGCAGAACGACAATCCCCTCGACTCGTCTTAAGCCTGCGACCTGAAGACGGCGTCCCCGACTGGATCACACATCTAGTCGTCACAGATGATACTTTGCAAGTGCTACAGCAAGGATCTAAACATAATCTGTTCGAGAAATCTACCAACTCAACCTCGAACCGAACATCCCATCAGATCCTCCGCGCCGCCTCCCAACCCCACAGCACTACCACGACCCTCAGCAAAGACGCCTTCCCACGCACCTCACCACCTTCACCACCCGGCGAACCCCTCGTCGAACTATCCGGGGTCAAAGTATCCTACGGCTCCAAAACCGTCCTAGGAGACTGGCAGCAACCAGAACAATCCACCCCAGGCCTCCACTGGACCCTCCACCGCGGCCAACGAGCCGGAATCTTCGGCCCCAACGGCAGCGGCAAAACGACCCTCCTCTCCCTCCTAACCTCCGACCACCCGCAAACCTATGCCCTCCCCATCAAACATTTCGGCCGCTCGCGCCTCCCAGACCCGTCCTCCAACGAGCCAGGCATCTCCCTCTTCGACATCCAACGCCGAATCGGCCACTCCTCCCCCGAAATCCATGCCTTCTTCCCCAAGAACCTCTCCATCCGCCGCGCCATCGAATCTGCCTGGTCCGACGCCCCTCTAGCAAAACCCCACCTCACCGCCGACGCCGACCGCCGCGTCGACGCCATCCTGCGATGGTTCGCCGCAGACCTCAACCCCAGCCACTCAGAAAACCTCATCCCAACCCTCGAAGCAACCTACCACAAACCAACCCACCAAACCAAATCCACCACCCGCCTCGAAGCCGCCCAAACCTACCACGACGACAACTTCCACTCGGATGCAGATCTGCTCTGGGCGGACAGCACCCCCTTCCGCACGTTACCCTTCTCCTCGCAACGCCTGGTCTTGTTCCTGCGAAGCATAGTCCACTCCCCAGACCTCGTAATCCTCGACGAAGCGTTCAGCGGCATGGACGAAGACGTGCGGGATAAAGCGTTGCTTTTCCTCTCGCATGGCGAGACGATCAAAGCCGTCGAGAGCGTGCTGCAGAGATTGGGCAAAGTCACGTTGATGGGACTGAATGAGAGGCAGGGCTTGGTGGTCATTAGTCATAGTAAAGACGATGTGCCCGGGTGTGTGAGGGAGTGGATTTGTTTACCCGAGCCTGGAGAGGGGAGGACGCCGCGGATGGGGAGGTTGAAGGGCCCGTTGGAGTTGATGAGGGAGGGGTGGGGGGAGATTTGGGGGAGCGGTGTATGATAGACCAGATTAGAGACGTCAGATGCACAGCAATGTGTGTGATATTCTGTTCCATCACTACAACTACGACTACTTCTTTCGATTTCTCCTTTTCTGTACACCCATTCCACATCCCACTATACAAACTCGTCGTCATCCCCTCCCATCCCTCCCATCTGAGGACTTTTTCTTTCTCCTCTCCCTCGCTCACACAACACTCATACAAACAAACAAAACGAAAGGGGGGTATCAAGCTCTCTGAACCAAGACAGAAAACCCACACACAAAGCAGCCGGCCTCAGCCACCGCATTTCCCATCCTGAATCCCCATCCCTTTCGAGGAGAAGATCCTTCCTTTTCCATTCCAGTCCAACAATACAGCAATGAAAAACAGTTCAAAGCTCCACGAGGAGCTCTTCGGGGGCAGTAGTTACGGAGTTCTTGTATTCGTGTCGAAGGGTGTCGAAGGAGCGTATCGTGATGATCGTGTGGATCGTGAAGGTAACGGGGCGTGTACGTGTGAAGATCTTTCGATGATCGTCGAAGGGTATTGAACAAATGAAAAAGAGTTGATTATCTCGTGATATCCACATCACGACGGATCCTGCGGGAACGCTCCAGGCTCAGGGGTCGGTGTCGAGGTCCTCTTGTTATGCACATCCAGCAGCTTGGCACTGCCCGCAGAAAACTGCCTCGAGTGTCGACTTCCATACTGCACACTCGTCGCTCGTTCCAGCTGAGGTGCAGGCGAATCGGGTTCCTCGTCCGTGCTTCCATCGGGGGTGTCGACAACTTCCGCTGAAGCATATTCACCCACCAAGCCCTCGCGGGATTTCAGTCGAGGATTGCGCTCGACGAGCGTTGGACGCCTTCTCACACTCTCGTGCACTTTCAGAGGAGCAGTTGAACCTTCAGCAGCGGCATCGATGGGCATGTCTTCCTCGCTTTCTTCGTCAGGACTCGCAGCCATCAATGCTGGACTGCCGACTTTGCGCGACCGGTTCTGACTGAAATACTCGGCATCTTTGTCGCCACCAAGCTCTTCGTAGCTGGCGCTGAATTCTTGCTGTCTCTTGCTGAGCGATCTACTCAAGCCAGACTGTTGACTCTGCCTCTTCGTAGGACCACCTGCAAGCCACTCGCCTTCTGAATCGATAGATGCCAGCGATGCGGCGATTGCACCTCCTGGACTGCGAGTCTGGCTGACGGGAGTGTCATTGCGATCGGATTCACGCATTCTACCTGGTATGTCGACTGGCTGTGGCGTCGCTCTCCCTGCTCTCCTCGCAGCCGCCATTGCTGCAGCACTGGTAGTCACATCAGGCGATTGATTTCGAGAATCGGGAGGTGAAATGGGCATCTCTGGCAAGTCCTCTCTAAACTTGCTCTGAGTTCGAACGGGAGTACCAGATTTAGATCGCGCATTCGGTGGACGATGTGCTTGCGTGTCGACGAGATGCGCGGGCAGTGGCTGATTTCTCATCGACTCGCGCGAAGTGTTGGAGAAGGAGAACTCTGAAGGTGATGCAGCTCCATCTTTGCGTCGGTTTGTGCCTCCACGTTTGAAAAGAGAAGCCCAAGCTCCTGCACGCCTCTCTGTTGGTGGATCCGAACTTCTTCGCTCGACTGGAACGATCGGAGGCGGTCGTGGAAGAGGTGTACTTGCTTCGGCGATGCTTCGTTGAGCGGGTGCGTCCAGTTGCGAGGCGCTGGATGTTGCTCGTCCGGCATAGATTGGCGAAAGAGGTGGCGTGTTCGCAAAGGAGTACTGCACTGCCTGTGCCGTCCGTACTTCCGGCTCCTCCATTGGAGTTTCCATGGGTAACGATGTGCCAGACGCATTTGCCGGTCGTTCAGTACGTGGAGTGGCTGCGGGTATCTGAGCGGCATCTGTGAAGGGATTCTGCGGTGTAACGGTATTCGTCGCGGCCTCTGGTGCACGCTGTCGTTCAACGTCCATGGGCTCGACAGGTGGTGGCGCTTTTCCAATCCCAAGACCAACTGCTTCTTCTTCTTCTTCGGCAGGTATATTGCGCAACGCAGGATGAACAGCAGTCGGCGGACTGATGGCTCCACGAGCTTGAATCTGCTCTGCCACAGTCCCACCCTCCCGCTTCATCTCCTCACGCCTCAGATCGCTATCCCCTCGGTTGCGACCTTCTCTACTCCTCAATTTCCTCTCCAACTTCTCCATCCTGCCCTGCTGTTTCTTCTCTCTCCTCTTCGCATCTCGCTCCATGATCGTTCTGATATCACTCGCATCCAACTCATCTGCTTCCTGCCCGACGGTCCTACGTTTTCGGGCAGAATCTCTTGTCGCTGGAGCTTTATCCTTTTCCTTCGCTCTTGTCGAGTCAATCCGGTACAGAATACCAGACGTGCTGGGAGGGAGGCTGCTCGACACATACTGCGGCGTACCCGACAGACGAACATGCGGACGAGGACTGAGCACAGCAAAGCTGCCAATCTCCCACCCACGCTGCTCCATCACGCCAGACATGGCCGAATGTATCGATCCCTCTGGAGGCAACGACACCTCACTGTCTCTTGTCGCTCCCCGCATCTTCTTGCTATCCCGCCTCAACGGACCATCGCCAGGTCGTTTGGGAATGGGAATTGGCTTTGACATTGCGCGAATCTCCTCTTCTCGTATATGATCATCTCTTCGACGAGACTGTTTGCTGGACGTTCTTCTCGGTGGGGTGCTGTAGTCGGTGGTGCTTCTCTTCGAATGGAGGGTATGCGGTCGTTGAGGCTTCACAGTCGCCTCCTGTCGCTGAACGCTGGTCTGGGACATTGAATGGGGTCGGAAGTTGTACGGGATACTCGGTCGCTCGAGGTCGACGGGTCGGAGGTGAGGACTCTGCTCGAGTCTCTGCGTGATGGGCAACGCGGTGATATCTTCCCGGCTTTCATGGCTGCGAAGGGGTACGTTCGGGATGTTCTCCTTGTCAGTGGGGTCGTTCTGTTTCTTGCCGGTCTCGACTGTGCTGGTCGCGGGGATGGCCTGGCCTTGCTGCGACGCGCGACGTTGCGTGCGCCGACTGCCACGGCGCTGGACGGGCGGAGCAGGTGCGACGGGTGGTGACGCGGTCGCAGGTTTCGCCTTTTCGGAGAGCAATGCGCGCGAGGCTGTGTCGCCGGGTTGACTGGGCCGTCTCCGCCGCTTAAAGGGCCAGATGGCCATGGTTCACGGCGAGCAGCGAGGGATTGAAGGACAGCCTCGTATCGCGCATCCCTCAGTCGATTCCTTGCTGCTGATGCTGGTGGGTGTCGAGTTTTCAGTCGCACCGAGATGTCGACGGCGACGCGGTGGCGTTGTTGAGGGAGGGTGTGCTGAATTGAGTGTGGCTCTACCAAACGGCCATGGCGCACTCAGCGGCGAACGGTTGGCAATGGGCGTCAGGCTAGCAACGGCGATCTCGAACGGTCGGTCTGCGCGTTGGATTGGCCCGTGGTGAAATGGGAGGCAGCGCGGGCGGAGAGGCTGGAAATGAGCGACGCGAAGGGCGGATTGATTGGATTTGATGAGGAAATTGACCAAGCAAGGAGTAATACAGCAGTGCTAGAAGTGTAGGTGAGAAGAGGGAGGAAGAAGAGTGAGAAAAACGAAGCAATTCCTCTCACCAACACCAACAAGCGAGGCCAGTGGTGAGGATTGGGTGGGTGAAGCGTGACGACTAAACTGGGCCGCCTCGTGATCGTCGCCGTCTCTGCGGTTCGAGATTCTGCCCAGGATCTGATCGATTGATGCTTTTCATTAATGCCTTCGCTATTCGATGGCTTGCAGCGGCGATACAGCATGCAGACCACTGCCGAAACATGGCAGCCGTGTTCCATGACACACGCACGCACTGCACACGGCTTCCATCAACAATTGGTTGGCGGCATGTCACTATTGAATGGCTGCATGCATGTGTGGCGTTCGACGAGCCTGCTCGCTTCCAAACCTTCCGCTCATCCACGCCCAGGGTTTCCCGACACCGGCTCGCAGGGGATCGTGAACGGCGGCTGTCAACGTTTACAAAATGCTCCGACACGAACATCAATATCAATCACAATCCACGAGAAAGAGCATGTCCCTCAGTGTGTGGTTCATTCGAGTCGCACGGGTTCTTGTACCTGCGCACTGCACTCCTCCTGCACCTCCACCACGCGACCTACCAAACACACCCCCCCATCCTGCTTCCGATGCCTCGCAATTGGCTCCGGGGATGAAGCGTGCAGGCCATGCTCTGGAGCTAACAACTTCCCGATCCGTCTGGCCAGCCCTTCCTTTCTCCCTCCAACTTCCCCTTGCTTGAGCCTCATCACATTCGACCCATGGACAACAACAACCGTCGTGAATTGTTTCATTTCAACTGCAGCTCCTCACCAGCTGGAGTCGACGGACAGATCGAAACATGATCAAATTGCCTTTCGGGTCGTGGCCGTCGTGGCTGACGAGTCTTTGAGCCGCCTCAACTCTCTTCCCCCATGCCCAGCCGTCTTTCCGTCCTGCCGCCCACCTGGACCGACGACGACCAAACCTCGCATTCTGTCAGCGACATCAACACGACCATCATTCGTCTTTCACGTTCTGAAGAGACGAAGACATCTTCGAGACAAAGGCATCTTCTCATCCACCGAGTAGGATCTTTCTTTCGGACGCTGTAGCTGTTGCCTGTACGAGAGTCACACAAGTCATGGCACTGCATCTGCCGAGTCTCGAAACATCACCTCTGAAAGATGAGACTTGTTGTGAAAGTCTAGCAGAACCCTGCATCAAGAGTCGTGCTTCCATCTTGACCGCTTGTTAAGACATTCACCCTTCAACAATAATGAACAGCTTCCAAAGGCTGGAGGTTCGCCTATATTTGTTTACCTTCCGCTAACATATGCAAGATAGGCCATCCTCGCCGCCGCAGCGCGTGGACTCCGTGGTATGGGAAGTGTATGCCTCCACGGCCACCGCATTCGCAATTGTTACACGCCTATCTCTCACGCCCCGTACTTCTGTACGAAGGCACTCCACGCTAGGTAGCTTCCCCAGCTGCCTCTATAGCAGCCTCGCAGCGATAAGAAACACAATCGCCCCCAATCGAGGCATCACTCCCGAACCACACCTGCTTGTACACCACAGCACCTGTGCCACGCAGCGGCATCGAGCTCTAGCGCCAGGTACGACACTCCCATCTATACCCTTCAAAGCGAAGCGCCTCTTACCCCCAAGATCTTCCTCCACACGTGGTAGATAAGATAGTCGTTTGAGGGAGCTGTTTGCGAAGAATGTTGGCCTAGCTTAGGCGATGAGAACTCGCATTCAGCCATGGCGTCAAGTACGAAAGATTGAAAAGAAGCCTCGCCCGAGCCAGATGTAGGTAAGTCCATCTTCAGTTTGTAACGATGAAGCTCTTCGAATCTGCTGTACTTCTCTCCCTCTTGTCTTGCGTCTGCAATGCCTCCCCCAAACCCAAAGCACCATGGGTGAATGCAGCTCGTACAAGACTCATGAAGAGTTCCCACATCAATACCAAGAGATATTTGAATACCACCACCTGCGTCCAGACCGATCCTGTGACTGCCCAAGCACCCAAAAGTAACATCTGGGTCGGCTTGACAGACGATGAAGCTGCCAGCGTCACCAACTGGCTCTTTCACCAACCAGACCTCAACCTCACAGTCTCCGACAAGGCCGGCGAGTGGGATAACAGAGTCCTCCTAGTCGAGCTCAACCAGCCTAACAAGAGCGACGCACTGGCATACATCGACAATGGCAGCACACCACCAGCTCGATACGCCCATGTCGTACTAGACATCCGAGCAACCCTCGAGCCAACATACTCAGACATCCTGGTCGGTCCTCTCCCCATCCAAAACGGCACCACAACATGGCAACCTCTCGAATACCCATACACGCGAAAGACGGGAGGAAGCGTACGGAATCTCGATGCAGACTACGACAGCATGGACGCCTTCATCATGAACATCACCAGCTCCATCGAAGACATCACCATGAACCTGTGGGGAGGGTTCGCCAAAGGCCAAGACAACGACACCCTTGACGTATGGGGCATCGATCCCCTCTGGCAAGACGACGGCAAACTCATCAACTGGCTGACCTTCTGGAACAAAGCCACCGACGAATTTGACGCCGAGACCCTCCTCCCCCTAGGCCTCTTCCTCAAAGTCGACGTAAACGGCCGCGATCCCTCGAAATGGTCCTTCGAAGGCTGGCTCTACAACGACATCTTCTACCCAACCACCGCCGCATTCCGCGAAGCCTTCTACACCCCAGGCTTCGTCCAACTCCCACCCAACGTCGAAGGCGATTGGGCGAGGACAGACCGCAGAGGCGACCCCCTCCCTCTAGACGACGCCTCACCACCCGTCATGACCGCCCCCGGCGGCTCGCGCTACACCATCGACCAAGAAGCCAAATACGTCTCCTGGATGGACTGGACCTTCTACGCAGGCTTCAGTCGCGACCGCGGCCTCGCCCTCTTCGACATCCGCTACAGAGGCCAACGAATCCTGTACGAACTCGGTCTCCAAGAAGCCCTCGCGCACTACGCCGGCAACGACCCCGTACAATCCGGAGTCGGATACTTGGACTCCTACTACGGCTTCGGACCCTACGCCTTCCAGCTCGTGCCGGGGTATGACTGTCCTGCGTACGCTTCGTATATGAATACGTCCTTCTATACCGAGGAGACGACGCACACGCACATCAATTCGATTTGCTTGTTCGAGTACGACGCCGAGTACCCCATGCAGCGCCACTCGACGGGCTCATACGTCTCGAATACGAAGAATGTCTTCTTCACCGTGCGGTCGGTGTCGACGGTGGGGAATTACGATTACATGTTCAGTTACTACTTCTACATGGATGGGAGTATAAAAGTAAGTCATCTAGCCAATGTACACCCACGGCAACGACTGACACGTTCTTTTCTAGGTCGAAGTCCGCGCCTCAGGCTACATCCAATCCGCCTTCTACGCGCACAACCAAGACTACGGCTACCACATCCACGACTCCTTGTCAGGAAGCATGCACGACCACGTGCTGAATTTCAAAGCCGACTTCGACATCTACGGGACAGCCAACACGATGCAACTGACGGCCAACGTCCCCGTGACGGAATCGTATGTGTGGAGCGAGAAACCGCGCAACACGATGAAACTGCAGCGGAGGTTTGTTGAGAATGAAGATGAATCGCAGCTCTTCTGGGATGCCAATGGAGCCACGCAATACACCATCCTCAACACCGCTGCCGTGAACAAGTTTGGTGAATGTACGTCCACAACTCCCCAATCCAAACCCCATCAAACCCATCTCCTAACAACCCCCCAACAGACAAAGGCTACCGCATCCTCCCCTCCAGCCCCACAATCCACCTCACCGTCCTCAACTCCTCCAACCTACGCAACACAATAAACTGGGCCACCCACGACCTCTCCCTCACCCAACACCACGACACCGAACCGCGCTCCGCACACCCCTACAACAACCAAGACATCCACTCCCCGCCCATCGACTTTTCCAAATTCTTCAACAACGAAAGCTTAATCCAAGAAGACCTCGTGCTGTGGTTCAACCTGGGGATGCACCACGTGCCGTCGACGCAGGATCTGCCGAATACGGTGTTTACGACGGCGCAGAGTAGTGTGCATTTCATGCCGTTGAATTATTTTGAGGAGGGGGATGTGAGTCGGAGGACGAGGGGGATGGTGAGGGTTGATTATGGTGGAGGGGATGTGAGTGAGGTGGAGACGTTTGGGCAGGGGGTGCCGGGTTGTCAGGTGGATTTGGGGGCGGAGGGGAGGGAGTTGGAGGCGGAGTTGTGGGGGTATACTGGGGATGTGGTGATAAGGAAGTTTCCTTTTGGTGAGTGATGTTCGATTTCTTCTTTGAGAGTGAGGTGATGCTGATGTTGCATGATAGATCCGAATGATCCTTATTTCGACTCGGATAGTATCGTTTGAGACTCGATAGTCCGTGGTATGAGGATGGACCCAACATCCTTGTGAAGAGCGTGGTCTATGCAATTCATAGGCATTGATATCATTCACCGCGCAAGATCTAGCTCAACGCACAACAATAGAAAGGGAGCCTTTCCGGCTCTCCCAAAGACGAATCCATCGCCCTATAAACATCGTATCCCCCACTTCCCACCATTCATCCATCCTCCCCCCTTCACCACTCCCCTCCACTTCCCCTCTACTGCCCATTCAACCCCTTCAACTTATCCGTATTCTTGCCCCCAAAATACCTATAAACCACACTAAAATCCCTCCCCTTCAACTCCGCATCATTCTCCACCGCCTGATAGATATCCTTGGCGTGGATGCCCAGTTCGGGAATAATCCCCTGCTCAGCGGCCGCCTGCATCGCGAGCTTCAAATCCTTCAACATCAACTCGGTACCAAACCCGCCCTCGTAGCCGTTGCTCGCGGGTGCGGTGGGGACGACGCCAGGGACGGGGTTATTGACTTCCGAGGGCCAGCATTTCCCTGTCGCCGTGTTGATCATGTCGGCGAGGGCTTTGGCGTCCAGGCCCCAGGTGACGCCCATGTTCATGGCTTCGCACGTGGCGATGTTGGTGAGGGCGAGGAGATAGTTGTTTGCCAACTTGCCCTTCAATCCGCTCGTTTGAGCTCCGAGATGGACGACTCTTTTGCCCATGAGGCTTAATATGGCGTTGGCGCGGTCGACGAGCTCGGGTGGGGCGCCCATCATGAAGGTTAAGGTGCCGTTCGAGGCGCCTACTACACCACCAGACATGGGCGCGTCGATGAACTTGCCTTGGCCGGTGGAGTGAGTGGCCTCGGCGACTTCGGCTGAGGAGCGAACGTCAATGGTGGAGCAGTCGATGAAGAGGCGTTCTTGCTTGATGGGAGCGTCGGTGAGGAGGGTTGGTGGGCGGAGCATTTGCTGGAAGACGTTTTGAACGTGGTGCGGTTCGGGGAGGACAGTAAGGATTGTTTCCTAAGATCTCACCTGTCAGCAGTGCCATTGTGAAGCTGTCTTCGCCTGTGGTATAGGATGGGGTATGTCATTTTCAGAGGATTGGCTTTTGAAGTTGTGTAATCAGACTGAACAGCTCAACGAGCCGTCAACTTAGATCAGAAACGTTATAAGGATATATTGGTGCTCATCATGTTGCGGTATACATCAAGGAAAACAATGCTCTTCACACGTACCACATTCTCGGCAATCGCTCTTACATCCTCCACGACCGTCACGCCTTTGTGCTCCGACGCGAACTTCTCGCAAATAGTAGGATTGACGTCGTGGATGAACATGGTGTCAGAGGAGGGGATCTTGGTGCGGAGGTTCTTGGCCATGGGATAGCCTGTTTTGTTTACTTTGGTCAGCCTCGTCCATACCACTTGAAGATGCAATGGCGTACCCATCCTGCCGAGTCCAATGAAGCCATAGCTCGCCTGTAATCTGCTCTGCGTCGCAAACGTTCTTCGACTCGTAGGACCGGCGACGGCGGATCTGAGAGATTGCCTCAGCGAGGAGGCTGGTATGCTTGAGGCCCTCATCTTGCGTGGGGAGGAGTGTGTACTATGGGAAGAAGAGCTGGGCGTGTTCCTTCTCTACCGAAACATGACAAGCTGAAGGAATCGTACAGACAGTGAGGAGGAGATTGTGGTATAGAAGAGGTAGCGAAGAGAGAGAACGGGAAATTCAATCGTAGCACACGACGAGCTGGTCGTCGTGCGTGCGGCTAATGAGGTCCAGCGCGGATCACTGCCCCAAGACCGAGGGCGCATCGATGATTGCTTGCAGCAGGGCAAGTGGAGCTCGTTCCTGTTCTCTCCATCATCATCCCGTGATTTGAACTTCTCCTCTCCTCCGCCCGCCTATTTTTCTCCACATCCACCCACAGCCGGGAAACAAGATGGGGTAGTCCGCCGTTCATGCGCTTCCGATGTGCCGACAACAATCAATATACAGCAATCGCCCTAATATATACTTCTGTGATGATGAAGGAGAGAAGAGCAACAAGCAATTCCTCCCCTCCGGCACCGTTTCATCCTTCCATCAACTCCCGGATCTCGGCAGCGCCAAGACGTTGTTGGTTTCACTTTGAACGGACTGCTCGCGTGACCGCGTGAGTGAGCGATATATCGGACCTCGCCTGCTGAACAAGGACCGTTCGGATTCACTTTGATTGAGGCATTTCTGCTTCTGATCCGCCAAGGCTGTACTAAGGAAGACGGCTACTTGGAAGTGGCCTTTCCGGTTGATGTCCTTGGATGCTTGATGTGCTCTGAGTATGCTTCCCAATGATCTCTATCCACGCTCTTATGCTACTGTTTTGCGCTCCTCGAGATATGCAAGATCTCTTCTCTGCTGCCCCTTGGGCACAGCCATCAGCCTCATGGAATGAAACATGATCGCATGAAACAAAACATCCCCTTCCTCCCCATCAATCCCATACCTTTCTCTCATCAATTCATCTTCGCAAAGATCTTCATCTCCTCCACCAAATTCTCCCTCAACTTCAAATCCTCCTCAATCTTATCCACCTTGGCCTGCACGTCCCTAACCACAGCCCTCCCCAAAGCTGTCTGGTACGCCGGCCGCTGCAATGCCTCCCGGAAGGTCTCCAACTGCTGCAGCTCGCCATGCAGAGCTCTCTTCTGGTTTCTGAGCTCCTGCACCCACGCTTTAGCGTCTCTGTCGATAACGTAACCGATTAGCTTGGAGGGCACTGTTCCGGCGATGTCTTCGAGGCGTTGTTTGAGCCGGCTGTTGGGCATGGCGAGACCTGCCTGACGTCTGAAGATTGCGGCGTATGTCTTGCGCAGGCGGTTGAAGACTTCGTCTTTGTAGTGCGATTTCTTGAAGATGGGGAGGTAGTAGCGTTCTAGATTCAATGTCAGCGTATAGTAATATGATGGGGCCATCAGGTTGCTGACACTGACCGCGTTGTGGACCTTCATCTGCTTCGAGATTGATAGGTTCCTGCTGTGGTGTCTGTACTGGAGGCTGCTGAGGTTGGGTGGGAGCAGCGGTCGCCTGCGTCGCTGGGATCTCCTGAACATCATCGTCGTCTTCAGTGACATCAATGGCTTCGATGGCTGTCCCGCCTCTGGGCGGCATAGTCGACCTCCTTGATCTCAGATCGTCGTCGTCGTCGTCGAACTCGTCATCTTGGACGAAGAGCGGCTCGCTGCGCAGACTAGCCATGATAGACTCTTTCGATGGGGTTGTCTTGGAACGTTGGTGTTGTCGATGTCTCGGGGGGTGTTGTTGTAACGAAGAGGGTCACAGAGCAGCAGTGAAGCACCTTTTGAGGTTGATGCGCTGCCATATCAGGAGCACAATGAGGTTTCTTTTAAGGCCGGCGCACAATCCTGTCAGGTGCACAGTGAGGCCACAAGACTTTGCGGAGAGAGCATGTGAAATCACCTGCAAGAGCGAGTCTGCTCACATGGCCCTGTACGCTCTCGTCAATGCCCACACTCTCCTCTCACTCTCTCGCTGCTCTTGCAACACCTTCCACTTCCAAGAACAACAACTTCGATCAGATCACTCAACACCATCATGATGGACATGCCACCCCTTTCCCTCAAGCGAGAAGCAGACGCTGAGCTGGACTCGCCGAATGCCAAGCAGCCATGCCTCGAAGCAACACCCCATGAGTCCCCTCACAAAGCGCTCAGCGCTGAGCAGCAATCCATCGAGACCCCAACACCACCCCCCAAACGCACCCTCCCCAAACAAACTTGCGCCGTCTGCTGGGACCCCGTCCCCACGAGCCAATTCAAAAAGTTCGCAAGCTGTCCCCACGAACGCTGCAACAAAACCTGCAACTTCTGCTGGACGAAAGTGATCAAAACCCGAGGAATCGAAGATCCCACCACTCCGATAAGATGCTTCGAGTGTGAGGAGGTGTTGGAGAAGAAGCAGGTGATCAAGATGTTAAATGGGAATCAGAGGGATATTGCTCAGTGAGTTTCGTGGTGGTCTTGAGTCTTGTCCGGTGTCTAATCTGTGATGAAGTTATGAGTATCGGTGCAAGACGGTACAGATGCTCGATAACGACGAGAGGGGGTGTAGTCGGGGATCGTGCAAATCGTTCCAGGTCCACGAGAGCCAGGAGAGGGTCTTCGCCTGCGTCGCTTGCTCGGCTCAAGACTGCACGTTCTGCAGCGCGCCCGAGCACGCCGGCGAGACGTGCCGGCAGTACCAAGCTCGTCTGCTCGCCGAACACGGCGATGAAGAAGCCGCAACAGCAGCCTCCCTCCGCATCAGCGCCATCGACGCAACCGGCATGTCCAAGTCCGAGTTCGCGAAGCAAGACAAACTCCCAACGCCGTGTCCAGGCTGCGGGATCCTCATCGTCCGAGCGGAAGATTGCCATATCATGCACTGCACCGTCTGTAGCATGCACTTCTGCATTCGAGTGGGTTGTGGAGCGAAGTATTTGGGATCCGGCACCGTTGTTCCTCTTGTGGGCAATGCCGCTCACGCGAGTACGTGTCCACACCATCACCGGGCGGAGGAAGATAAGAGGTATGTGAAGCAGGACCCGAAAGCGAGGAAGACAGGCCAAGTCGGCGGGGGAGGCACTGCTGCGCCTGGAATCTCGAAGAGAGGCGTCGAGAAAGCGACCGAGATCTCGAGTTCAGCAGGAGAGTCAAAGCCAGAGGTGATGGGAAGAGGCTCTTAGTCGAATGGTCTGCATCTTGGGAGACATTGAGTGAGGTGCCGTAGATGAGGTAGACATAATTCAGTATTGTCAGCAGCCGTTCACAAGCATCGACGAAAAGCTCTCACTCACATGTGCCACTTCACATGCCAATGTCAGTCACGTGCAATCGTCCCCCTTTTGCCATCACTTCCTCTTCACTTCAAACTCCCCTTCCACTGCTTAAGACGTCCTCTCCTCTTCCCTCACATCCAAATTCCTCCAGAACAAACACCAACAATGGCAAACACCAAGACCTCCTCAAAGCCTCCAGATTGCCACATCTGCGACGACGAAGACACCAACCTCGCCAAGCCTCTCGACAGCCACGCCTGCTACGACGCCGAGAAGCAGGTCAACCGATGCTGTAGAGAATGCTGGGAGCATTGGTTCGCGTCTCAGGTCGAGACTGTGCCGTGGTATGAGATCCGGTGCATGTTCTGTCCGACGGATTTTGGACCGGCTGAGATGAAGAAGCTGGGAGCTCATGGCGACACTTTGGCCAGGTAGGTGATGGTTCGAAGTTATTGTGGCTGTCGCTGGCACTGACCTGTAGTACAGGTACTTCAAGAAGAAGACCACAGTCAACGAGTTCAAGTGCCAGAATCGTTGCCAGGGGACCGATACCATCGCTCAGCCATTCGATCGCGAGAAAGACGGCCGGGTGTTCACATGCAACAAGTGCAACTTCCAGACTTGCGTCGATTGTGATCGTCCAGAGCATCCAGAGAAGACATGCGAGGAAGTCCAAGCCGCTGTCCGTGCCGATCCAGCTGAAGCCGCCACGTCTGCGAAGTTCCTCATGTGTCCACAATGCCGAGTCACTTGCAAGGTCGCGAAGGGATGCGGATATACCCAGTGCGTAGGAGACGGAATGATTGGCGGGTGCGGTCATCGGTTCTGCGGTCATTGCCTGGTCAGCTGGGTGGGCGAAGGCAGTGCGTACGCTCTCGGGCAAATAGCGCATGCGGTTGGCTGCAAGTACTACAATCGCCTACTGGACAGTGATCACAACCTCTCGCATCGCTTTCCGCGCAGTGACGAGGCTCAGAAGGAGGTTGATGCAAAGAAGGAGCGGAAGAAGCAGACGGCAACGGCAAAGAAAGTCGGAGGAAATGCGAACAAGGTGACCAAGGCGACGAGCGCCAGGAAGACGGCGAGAGAGGGAAGGAAGTCGAAGACCGCAAGCTCTGCGTGGACGTTGGTATGAATCGAGAGACGGCAAGGACCAGCCGATGGCGAAAACTCGTCACACACTTTGAAAACAGAACCTGAGAAGACAACAGCAGGACAACATGTGGAAAGGCGAATGGGCTCTGGTCCATACCAAAGCAGTTCGTAGCTCATGAAATCCAATCCAGCGGATGTAAAACACCACCAGCGCCAACGCTAATCCAATCATCAATACATATCAAGTCGTAATCATGGCACTGCGGTAGCCTCCACTCCTGCCATCGACGACCTCCTTGGGGCATCCAGCCCGACAGCAATATGGTTAGGCAACTCGATCTTAGCTTCATTAGCCTGGTCCTCCGCCCACGCCCTCGCGCGGACGAGCTGTCGTATCTTGGCCTCCGACCTCTGGCCCCTACTCTCCAGTATGGCCCTGTTCACGCTGTTCGCTACTGTCTCGCGCAGCTTGAGGTCCAGCAGCTCTTTGAATTCTGGTGTCATCTTCTCTGGTGGGAATATCATCAGTGCCATGGTGCGTTCCAGCGCTTGTTGGTACTTCTGGTCGGTGGGTGCTCGAGGGGCGAGCTGCTCGGTGGCGAATTGGAGGGCGGGGCGGAACTCGCTGGACTGGATAGTGCCCGGTTTGTCGAGGATGCCGCGGATGATCTCGATGAGTTGGAGCTGGAGGAGGTTGAAGTGGAGGAGGTGGTCGGTGTCGAGGATCTGTGGACGGCGAGTCAGTGACGATCCACTTGCGGAGGGCAGTAAAGATGAGGTGGTGAGGGTTGCGGTCAGACTGAGGACTGAAGTGTAGTTGTGTATCATCAACGCCCCGAAGGACGGATATGCGTGGTGCATGAAACTGAAAATCATCATAACAGAGGGGTGGAAGGGGAGATGTAGCATACCTCAGGATCCAGCTCGTTGATCATCTCGACAGCTTCGTCGACCTTGCCGTCGTGGATAGCTTTGCGGATCTGCACGCGGTCTCGGATGTCGCCCATGTCGGTGGGGTTGCAGATGTTGGTCTCTTGCGCAAACTTCTCGGCGGCGCCGGGGTAGCCTTCGGAGACGAGATAGTCCATGATGACCCAGTTGATGTCGCTGTACCACGACCAGTCAGTCGGGAGCTTCTCCAGATATCTTTGCCATTTGACCCGCTGCCGCTCCAAAGCGGCGATAGCGGGCGGCATCAGGCTGAAGACCATTTCGTCGAAGTCGTCGTCCATGTTCAGAGATACAAGTAAAATGTGTGTTCTCCGCAGTGTGTCTAGGAGAGATTCCCAACTTGTGTGTGAAGCATCATGTGGAGGACGGACGGGCTGGGAGAGAAGGAACCGGCGTACCTCTTGCTGGGCTTCATGTCTTCCACCTTCCGGTCAAAGTCCTGGGTGAGGCGCATGTTTCTGAGCGAGGCAGCGGCCGGGGTCTGGATATACATGTTAGCCGTCTCGATTTGGTACCGCTCGAAGTCGGCCAGCTGGTGGTCCAGCGCTCGGATGCGCGCCTCGAGGTATTCGCGAGCCATGGCGTGGTGGTGGAGACGTGAAGATATCGTGACGTACCATTTCTGAACTCAACGCGACGGCGCCTTCCCAGACATGTCGTTGCTTCCTCCCACTGCCAGGCGGAAAGAGCAAGTTATACCGTGGCAGGTGCGATGGGGGATGTTGATGTGGGTGAAGATGAGGTTGATGCAAGCAAAGAGAGAGCAGAGCAGAAAGCAGAGCTTGCAGCCCACTAGAGTCGAAAAATTATGTCCGCCGGCGAAAGTCGTGATCCCCTCATATCTTGTGTCACGCGAGATTTCAACGTCTCGTTTCTTCAATTTCTGCCGAGTCCCTTTGCCACCTCACCTCTCTCCCACTCCCACCCCCTCTTCTTCCACCACCACCATGTGGACGATCACCGTCGCCGCCTCGGTCCTCTCCATGCGTCTACGATGAACATTCCCTCTCTCGAGCTCCCTCTGAGCTCGTTTGCCGCCCTCGAAGCCCCAGAGCGAAGCGTCACTCCCAAGGCGCATTATTCCCCGCCATGGGCCAACACTTCCATCATCGGCATCGCCGGTAGCTCAGGCTCAGGCAAGACTTCCCTCTCACTCGCTATCATCAAGGAACTCAGCCTGCCATGGGTCGTCATCTTATCAATGGACAGCTTTTACAAGCCTCTTACTCCCGAGCAGTCAGCAGCCGCCTTCAGAAATGAGTACGACTTTGACGCTCCCGAGGCCATTGATTTTGATACGCTGGTCGAAAGACTGCGAGATATCAAGACTGGGTGTGTCAAGTCTCTCCTTTGTCTCACTTGTGCAGTTCACTCATCTTTTCTAGCAAAAAGGCACAGATCCCCATCTACTCCTTTGAAAAGCATGCTCGATTGGATAAGACCAACACCATCTACTCGCCTCACGTCGTAGTCTTGGAAGGCATCTTTGCACTGCATGATGAGCGAGTCCTCGACATGCTGGATCTCAAGATCTTCACCGAGGCTGATGGCGATTTGTGCTTATCGAGACGTCGTGAGTGATAACGTCGTACTATCTGATCTGGGACTGACTAACATCCAAAGCCAGTCCTTCGTGATGTTCGCGAAAGAGGCCGAGATATCGAAGGCTGTATCAAGCAATGGTTCTCTTTTGTCAAGCCCAACTTCCACAAGTACGTGGAACCCCAGCGGAATGTTGCAGGTACGTTTCTTCTATCTTCTGTTTCATACCCTCATCATGATGATCAACCTTCAAAAGCATAGTTCACCTGAACATTATTGAAGAAAAACGATTACCATCTTTCAAACTCGTCTGACATGACTTCATCTCCACCACGTTCTCCCGATATCAGTACCACTCACATACTGACTGTCATTCCCAGACATCATCGTGCCGAGAGGCATCGAGAACAAGGTTGCCATCAGCATGGTCTCCGACCGCATCCACAAAACACTCGACCACAAGTCCAAGATGCATCAAATCGAACTTCGCCGCCTTGGCCAGGTCGCTGAGGACGCACCTTTATCAGACCATGTCGCGGTCCTTCAACATACCAACCAACTCCGCGGTATCAATACCATCTTGATGGATCCTACACTCCCTCGAGAAGACTTCATCTTCTACTTCGATCGACTCGCCGTCATGCTGGTCGAGCAAGCATTCTCCGCCGGCCTGTGCTATAAGCAGCACACTGTTGAGACCCCCGTCCGTGGATACACCTACGACGGCCTCAAGCTGGACGGCGAGGTATCGGCGGTCGTGGTGCTGCGAGGCGGCTCATGTCTGGAGACTGGCCTCAAGCGTGTCATCCCTGACTGCCGCATTGGTCGCCTCCTCATCCAGACCAACTTCCGCACGGGCGAGCCTGAACTTCACTATACAAAGCTGGCCGAGGACGTCTCCAAACACAAACGGGTGCTGTTGATGGACCCTCAGATGAGCAGCGGAGGCGCGGCGTTGATGGCGGTGAGGGTGTTGTTGGATCACGGAGTTGAAGAGCACAGGATCATCTTCGTGACGTATCTGGCTGGGAAGAACGGGCTGAATAGGTTGATGAGCGTCTTCCCTGAGATCAAAGTCGTGGTGTGTAGGGTGGTAGGAGACATGGAGTCGAGATGGGTGGAGCAGAGATATCTAGGCTGTTGAATGCAAGAGAGATTGGATCACAGATATCACATGTACTCATACTCCTCGAATGTGAAAGATGGCTGCTGCAGGCCGCCGAACTTCAAACATTCACTGCACCGGCCCGTGCGACCACCGTTTGCCGCTAAGAACCCGTCCCCCATGCCGCAGCACTTCACCTCGACTTCATGCAAACGGCGGTCAAACACTCATCATCGACAACATGGATCGCCTCCGCCGCTGGATCCGGTCCAAACTGCGTACTCCCAAACGACACAGCAGCAAGGTCTCCCTCACCACGCCAAAGCCTACCAGCGCCTCGTCGGCCAGCTCTGCCGCCTCCATCGCCCTCCCCCTCCCTACTCCTCCAGCTGAAGTGGCTGGAGAGCCTCCGACAGCAGCAGCACCACTACTACTACCCACGCGGCGACCACCACTACAATCGATGACGGAGCTCAACACCTCAGCGCCCGATCTGGGCCCTTATGTCGCTTTCCCGACCAACCAAGCAATGAGATCTCCAAGGCGATTTCCAGGACGGAGGATAGAGCCAGGTGAAATCTCTTGCCCGATACTGACGGAGCCTGCTGTTCTGAATTGCCCTACATGATCTCAGCCAACCGGTATCATCACCACCACATATGATGATCGGTCGAAGGTGCGATGGGTGCTCTTGCGGCGGAGATACGTACAACGGTGATACTGGGAGTCGATCACCGCTTGGTTCAGTGAGTCAGTGCAGACTGTATTCAGAGGCGGTGAAACGAACGCCTCCTGCCACATTGCCTGCAGGAGATCTCCCACAGTCTCTGAATCCACCATCATCCACCGAGGGCCTGCCTGCGTTCATTCATCGGCCGTTCAATGCAAGAAAGAAGAACAAGAACAGGGCCCATCATCCCCAGCGCTCATACACCGTCCAAGGCAACGACTTCGCAGAGAGGCCACCGGAACCATTGCCAGGAAGTGGGACACTCGTTCCACCACAATCGCAAACACCGCCTTTCAACCCCTCGACATCCTCATTGCCCGACTTCATCTCACCACGCAAAAGTCTCGTCGAATGCACGACCTGTACCCTCACGCTCGAGCTCAAAGACTTCCCAGCGGGGCCTCGGAGCTGTGACCATCCATCCCTCACATGTCACTCCTGCTGGAATCAGTGGCTTGGAAGCCAGGTGGCTCAGGTTCGGTCTCATCAAGTTGCTTGTACGCAGTGCAACACCATACTTGATCAGCACGATGTGAAGGAACTGGCTTCGGCTGAAGTTTATGAGAGGTGAGTTCATGTCTTCCAGCTACGTTTCACAGCTCACACGTTACAGGTACCTCGACGCCGAGCTGAAAGCTCTCCTCTCCGCCGACGAGGACTTCATATGGTGCCTCTCACCAACATGTGGCTCGGGACAAGTCCATGACGGGGGCGACATCTTCACCTGCTCGTCATGCGGCTTTCGACAGTGCGTGGAGTGCAAGACAGCATGGCATACTGGACAGAGGTGTGGACAGGTCCAAAGTCAAGGCCAATCTCAAGGACCGCAAGCGCAGCGGAGGTTGCGAGAGGAGTCTTCGACGATGGACCTTCTGGAAGCAGAGTCTAAGCTTTGCCCCGGGGAGGGTTGCAACAGGAGAGTGCAGAAGATCAGGTAAGTTTCATCCTCATAATCGCTCCAAACACCCACCGACTGACATCTCCACAGCGGTTGCGACCACATGACCTGTAAGTTCCCTAAATATACCAAACAGCTGCTATTGCGCCCTTGCTAGCCCTCGCACGACAGGCACGATATGCCACCACGAGTTCTGCTGGCTCTGCCTAGCCTCCTACGACCGAATCTACGAGATCGGCAACACGGCACATGAAGATTACTGCGAGCACCACTCGGACAACCTCGATAACCTCGTCCGGTAGCGGACACGGATGCGGATTCGGATGGGGATGGGGATGGCAGAACAGCTTCGGCCGAGGGGCGAGTGATCAAGTGGAAAGGGAGTAGTTGGGCAGTGGAACAGTCATGTCTCGGCTGTTGAAACGAATGTCTCGAATCATGACTCTCCTTTTTATAAACAGAGAGCACTGCAGCCTTCTGCAACTCAGACATCACACACCCTCACTCACCTCAGAACATGCGTGTCTCAGTCTGGGCATATCTGCCGCCTGGGATCGTCAGTATCAGCTCTGCTCGTGTTGTACTTGAAGTTCTTCGACACAGCAATCATGCACAACCTTCAAGACCTCTCCCCCCAACAACATGAACCTCCGGTGGCTGCAAACCACTCTCCACCGCACGGTCGAGCACAAACCCCAAGAGACCGCGACGGGCACCCACCCATCGAAAGATCCTCCCTGCGATTCCACCACCCTCATCGATCTCCTACTCGGTCTAGAACCCCGCGAGATACCTGAAGACTGCCAGACTTTCCCACAACATGCACAGGGCACTTGCGTTGTATCCACCAGGCTGGAACACCGAACCTGTCGAGCTCCAATGTTCCCCACAGACGCCACGCCCTTGCCAGGCATACCAGCCTCATTGCTCCCTGCTGCCGGGCTCGGCGACTTGTCTGACGATGATAAACTCATTGGAATACTCCTGACCATGATTCTCGTCGCATACGTTATTTCCGCGCTTCTTCTCTTGGCCTACGGGGTTGTGAAGTTACTCAACAGCACCCTTGCCAAACGGACCCAGGGAGTTGTGTGCATTGTCTGCGACGAGCATTTCTACGAGGTTCCCAGACTACCCAAGGACTGTCGAACTGAGCACGCTTCTGCCACTTGCAGATCGTGCTGGCAGCAATGGTTGAGTTCTCAGTTGTCGCAAATGGCTGTTGGTGAGATCCATTGCGCGCAGTGCAAGACAAGATTGACCCAGAACGACTTCAGAGCGCTTGCAACCCTGGACTTATCTCAAAGGTGAGCGGTGTTTCGCGAATCCCATTCATGAGGTGATGACTTTGCAGACTAACGCTGAGTCCAGATATCTCCAGCTTGAGGCCAGATCCCACCTCTCAACGGACAAGGACATCGTCTGGTGTCTCGCTCCCGACTGTACATCTGCACAGGTTCACGAGGGCGGGGACATCTTCAAGTGTATCGCCTGCGGGTTTCGTCAATGCGTAGCCTGCAACACGCCTTGGCATACTGGCTTGACTTGTGAAGAAGCCCAACGCCGACGAGAACGCAGTCAGAGAGGCGCCAATGCAGCTCATGACGAGGATGAGTAACGGACTGCGAAGGAACTCGAGAAGATCACCAAGGTCTGCCCGGGGCGAGGTTGTGGCAGGAGAATACAGAAGAATGGGTAAGTCGACATCGCACTCAAATGGGAGGCTGTACGGATCAATTCATTAACACTTCAACAGGGGCTGCGATCATATGACTTGTAAGGCTTCCTAGTACTGCTATCAAGCATTGGAAGATGTGCCATTGCTAACCAGTGCACTAGGTAGCGTGTGTCGATACCTGTTCTGCTGGATTTGTCTGGCTTCTCATCGGAGGATCATTTGCGAGGGCAATGGAGCACACAAGCGGTATTGTCAGTATCATTCTGATAATTTTCCGACGTATGGTGGTAGATATCCATGCTAAGCTGGACGATATCGGCGGATATGAGCGTGCAGTCTACTAGAGACCACCGATAGGCTCAAGAATGATATCCATGGACAACCCACACAAACAGCCAGAGATAAACACCCCCTCAACCGCAGCCATCAAACCCACTACCTCACCCTCCTCGCCGCAAAAAACCAATGCACCTCCTCATCACTATTCGCCTCCCTCGGCGGGACATGCAGCTCCGTCAAATCCGCCAAAACCTCAAACCCCTCCCTCTCCAACAACCTCTCCCATCCACTCCTCGTGAAAAGATCAATCTCCACATCAGCACCCATAAACCTCACCTGAATCCCCCTTGCACAACCCCCATCAGCATCAAACTCCCCACCCTTCCCCTCAACATCCACATCCTCCGCCGCGATAGTCCCCACGCCCAGAAGACCGCCCACAGGCACCCAAGACCTCCACCGTCCAACCTGCGCTTCGATCGCCTCCCTCCCCAGCGGGAAAAGCGACAGAATCGCCAGCACAGCACCAACCTCCCCATCAGGTTGATACCTCTGCATATCAGCCATCTCAAAAACCCCCTCCGGCACAGCCTTTCGACTCAACCGCACCATCTCCTCGGAGATATCAATCCCCGTGACGCGGTGGCTTGCGGCGGAGAGGGTCGATGCGACGGGATTGCCGGTGCCGCAGCCGATGTCGAGGACGCGGGAAGCGGGAGGAAGGTGAGTGAGGAGGAGGTCGAGGAATTTGAGCAGGCCGGCGTCGTGGCCGAAGAAGGTTTCGTAGGTGTGGCCGAGGGACGTGTTGAAGGCGGGGGACATTTGAGAGTTTTCTTGAGGTGATGTGTTCGTAGCCATGGTTTGCCTGGGCTTGTTGGGTGAGAAGGCAATGTAGAAGGACTTGGGATTGGAGGTGGTATCTATTCATCAATGTCTTGAAGATATCTGATTCAGCTCAGCTACACAGGAGTAAAGCTTAATAGCAACCAGGGCTCCTTCCCAATCCGGATGCTTATGAGAGCTGCTACTTAATTCGTAAGTCCAAAGCCGAGGACGGCGAAATCACGTCTAAACTTCGTCTTCCCACACAGTCTAAAATTTGCCATCTTCAACAAGCATGGAAACTATACGTCTGCCACCTCCTCGCCTGGCAAGGATTCCCTTTACAAACATGCATCTCCAACTTCTGCATGTCATAGATCACACAGGCGACCGTCATGGTTGGACTTCCTCCAATCGTGCTCGCTGCTCCTAAGGACGGCCTTGACCCTTTATCGACATGCTCACAGATCGATCGTGGGAACGAGGCGTGGTCTGAAAATGCTGACTTTAGGTCGTCGACGGTCAGGTCCATCGTGGGTGGAGTGAGTTCGTTGGGAGGTGTAGCAGGCGGGACTGTTACGTGCTGTAGGGCGAAGACTTGCTTCGAAGGATCTCGTTGCCGCCTTTTGGCTGCAGACGTGGTGAGCAGTCGTCGGAGTCCAACATCACGGAAGAGTGATGAGCCTCCGGGATAGGTATCTTGAACAGCAGAGCCCTCGACTGCAGCGGGAGTGACGAAATGATTCGCATGCGTGACTAGAAGTCCGCAATCCTCTCCAGCGCTGATAATAGGCTGCTGATGTATCGTAAAAGACCTCGACGGCGTCAGCTCGAGATCCACAGCCAGTTCAGGCGATGCAGCGACGACATTCCCAGACACATGCCGTGGAAACGTGCACAAGGTCTTAATCCCTTCAGCAAGGTTTTGACATTCCAAGAACATCCTCCTAGCCAAAGTGAAAGGCAACACCGGCCCCTCAGGATCAGAGTCCTCTTTCGCCCAAAGTGAATTCGCACAAAGTCCCAGCCCTGCCGAGTTCATCCCCGAGCGAGCAAGTTGTCCAGCCTCGGTAAGAGCGATGTGTACGAACTCTGGTCGTCCTTCGGAAGCCGTGCAATGGCTCTCCAGAACGATGATAGTATTCAGATCGTAAAGCCACGAAGACATATCCCAATTCTGCGCCACATATGCCGTCCCGTCTGGCCCATGATACGCCATGCTCGTGCACTCGCCCACACGGTGACCCGTCGCTCGAGCGAGATCGTATCGTGCGTTTAGCAGAAGCACATCTTCTAACGATATGCCGGCACCATCTGCTATGCCTTGCATTTCCTCGAGCCCGACGTTGAAGTACTTTCGAACGGCTGGGAGGTAATGGTCTTGTATATACGCCTGGCATGTCGCTCTTGGGGGCAGCGATGATGAGGTCTTGTATCTTTGGACGTTGGTGTTGATCTTTGCGTTGGCTTGTTGGCCGTGGGAGAGGCCTCGTTCGTACGGTGTCCCAGAAACGACGATTCGTTCGCAGGCATCGTTTTCGATATCGGCCGTGACAGTCGGACCAACCATGGTGTTGATAGGGAAGATAACGAGGTAGGCGATCGACTTTCAGAGGGCAATGAGAATGAGTATCACTGCCGCTCTCGCCAAGATAATGTCCCAGCAGCCTTATGCCTCCGTCGGCACGGCTTCAGCGGCGAGCGGCGAAGACGGCGAGCGGCAAATTCGCCGTCCTAGAGCAGAGAACTGTCCCCAAACTAGCTCTTGGTAAGCTCTCCACCCCATCTGACAGGCCCAAGCAGCCAGATACTTATCTACATCGCGGCGAGCGGCAAAGCCACTCTGATACGGCAGGTGTACGAAATCATGGCTAAAGAGCAGCAGATATCCCCCAGCCAGATGAGGTAGTCACCATCGTCGTTCGTGCGTTTTGCGACATCACACTACAATGGAGCTTTCTCATGCTGCCGAGATCTCGAAAGACAAGCCTTTCGACACGACAGTCGCCAGTCACGACATCCAAGAAGGCTCTTTTGCCGAAAAGCAAAAGTATGACCGCAAGAACGTCGACGATGCTCTGGCAATTTACGACTTGGATGTCTCTCCTGGTGATGTCGAGGCAGTAGATCTACGAAGGCTGGTCTGGAAGATAGACTTGCGGCTTATGCCGATTGTAAGTACATGTGTCTTTCGCGAGTCGTTTGACGGTCATTGATGTGTTCTCCAGATGTTCTTCGCTACCACCCTCTTCACCATGGACAAGGCCACGTTGTCGTACTCGTCAATCATGGGCCTTCGACGAGACACTCATCTCACCTGTGACGAGTATGCCTGGGTGGGATCGGTCTTCTCTCTTGGGTATCTCGCGGCCAACCTGCCGTGTGCAGTCATCATACAGCGTCTTCCATTGTCCAAGTGGATCGTCGTGACAATGTCCATTTGGGGTGTTATCCTTGCGTGCACAGCGGCAGCCAAATATTACAGCCAATTGGTGGCCATTCGCGTGCTTCTTGGGTATGTCGTGTGATTGCATGTAGAAGATAGACTGACAGCAGATCACAGCATCTTCGAGGCTTCTATCACCCCCGTCTTCGTCTTAATGACCGGCATGTGGTACACTCCATCTGAACAGGCCATCCGTCTGGGTCTGTGGTACTCTGGTCTCGGCATGGCAACACTCATCGGCTCACCAATAGCGTACGCCATCACCGGACGAGAGAAGATTGGTGTACTATCTTCCTGGCAATTTCTGTACGTCATCTTCGGTGTCATCACCGTAGTAGTAGCCATCGTCTTCCTCTTCGTGGTTCCAGACAGCCAACTCTCAGCTCGGTTCCTGACTCCAGCAGAGCGTGTTGCGGCCGTGGAGAGAATTCGCGTGAACCAGCAAGGCATTGGCAACCGCCACTTCAAGTGGTACCAGGCGCGCGAGGTTCTCTTGGACCCAAGAACGTATCTGTACTTTGCAGTCCAGCTCGTGTATAATATCGGCTTCGGTGCGGTATCGACTTTCTCGTCGTTGCTGCTTGTATCTTTGGGGTTCGACAACAGACAGGCCCTGATATATACGATGCCGCATGGCGCTACTACCATTGTAGCTATGCTGTTGTTCTGTGTTCTGGCGGCGAAGATGAACGATCGTACTCTGTGGGCGGGTTTGTCGTGCCTGGGAGGGGCTGTCGCTGGCTTGTGCCTTTATGGTCTGAACGACAGCAAGCACGCTGCCCTTGCGGCATTCTACGTGAGTGATGGCGAGTCGACGGAAGGATCAATGCTAATTCTCGTTTCCAGTTTCAGCACATCTGCACTCCGGCGTACATCCTTAGCTTCAGCCTTGTTTCTGTCAACACCGCAGGTGAGTGAAAGAGCTTCGCGCGCGAAGACGATACTGACCAGGCCAAGGGCACACAAAGAAAGTCTTGACAAATGCCGTTCTCCTCCTTGGATCAACCAGTGGCACGCTCACGGGCCCTCAGGTCACCAAGAATGTAAGCTGAATGCTCCTCTCCTTGGCATTTCAATCTTCGCTGACAGTCTCTTTCAGGACCCATCATATACCAAAGTCAAGCTGGTAATGTGGCTCTGTCCACTGATCTCGCTGGTACTCTTTGCTGCCATTCTAGTGCTCAACATCTATGAGAATCGCCAACGAGACAAGCGAGGCTCCGAGCATGTAATTGATCGAGAGTTCTTGGACCAGACGGACAGAGAGAATCCTGAGTTTCGTTATCTCTTGGTATGTGATTGCGATGTCTCCACGTTCGCAGCACTCGCTGACAGAATCTCCAGTGAGAGCGTTGGGTGGTGTGAGACAGTGGCCGCGGGCGATAAATGTCATTTGCAGTCGATCTTGAACAGCAAATAAGAATTTGTCATATTAAGTCCACATCTTCCTCAATTGACCGTTCTCGAACGCACTCATCAAAGTATCATATCTTGCGAGTCCCATCCTTGTCAGCTCATGTGATTTGCTGTGCAGCCAAAGCCACTGTCGATATTGATCACCTGCTGCGGCTGCCCGTTTTTGTGTTGTCTGCTCTGGTGCGAGAACTTGTAGAAGGATGAAGTAGTCCGCCGCTGTGCTGAAGTACGATCGTGACCATCGAAACCAGAAAGACTCGCTCTCGGTAAGCGTGATACGCTCAACTTCCGCGAGGATCCCGGCCGAGATGATGTCGAGACCATGCTGATATATTGGGTCGAATTCCGCCTTATGCAGCGCTTCTTCGAGCATGAAGCGTGACATTAGAATTCGGCAGTAGGCACATGCAACGCGCAGCTCGGCGGTATTGGCAAAGGCATTAGTGCTCATTTTGTCAACTCTTGCCATCCAGGCGTCAAGTTGAGTCGGAAGTTCGTTCACTCGCGGAATTTGCTCGTCTGAGAGCCTCCCATTTCTGCAAACTCATCAGCATCACTTTTAGGTGGATAGGGTAGTCCTACATCAAGACCAATATCTTCTCAAGAATACACGTAAGCTCACAGAAGCGAGCCATGCGCAGCCAGCTATCACTGGATTCTTGCCCTTCTGCATCGCCGTCTTGCAGGATCTCAACATCATTGCGGACGTTTGTGACAAGACAATGCTGGCCATTGATGGCAGCAGTCCAGACGTTCTGCATATGAGTTAGCCACCAAAGCATCTTGCGAGATCGATTCTGTTCGCTTGAAAGGTTCAAAGGACACATATCCAGATTCAACCCCAATGATAGGGCGACCGTAAGCGCCATGTTGGCGACAGTCGAGTCAAAGATGGTCTGACTGACGAAAGCATTTGGAAGCTTTCGTTCCATGAACAGCAGACATGCCTGGAGGGTCGCCATTGTCGGGCCATGCACTTCTTCGCAAATGCTTTCCCACGCAAAACGAAGCAGAGACTCGAAATCTGGCGGATTGCTCATGGCGGTGTTCTTGGCCGATTTCCCAAAACGAACCCATGGCAGGCTGGGGTCATTGCTTCTCCATGGCAGTGCCAGGGCGTAAACGACGGCTAGCAGAGCAGGTGTTCTCACAAAGTCAGCGGCAAAGTCGATGGCTGGATATGCAGAACCGACGAAGCGTTTGAAGAGCTCCAACAGGCGGTCATGATAGGGCTCCAACTCGGACAAAATCGCCTGACTGCGGTCTGGGAATAGGTCTTTCGAACTTCGCTTAATCGTCTGAAAAGGAGTCAGCATCAGGAGCGGACCCGCGCCTTCACCTGGCATCTCAAAGCTCCGCAGGTGCGAAGAGAATCTGCCGTGTTGATCGAAGTTGTAGAATCTGCGCAAAAATGGATCGAATTCAGATGAGCGTCCCAGAACGGTGGTGGATTGTGCATGCGTCGTATTTACTAGAGATATGACGTTCTCTGCAGCTTCATGGCTCGCGGGTGAAGTAGAATCAGCCTGAGCGTCTTGCGTGATTTCCTCGCCCGCATCATCCAGCAAGGCTTGAAATGCAGGTGTGTCCCAGGCAGAGATTGTAAGGGGATCATTCTCGATTGGTATTTCGAATATGCCAGATGCCTGGATATCTAACCCCGTCGGAGAGAACTCATTCTCGGCCACGTTGCCTGGTGCCCACTGAACAGTCCCGCTGGATGCGTTACCATGCGTCCGTCGAGGAGGGCGCCGGGCAAAAGTACAAGGCTGTTTGGACCGAACGCAGGCATCGCAAGGGGCCACACTCTGAATAGCACATCTGATCTTGCGATGTCTGCAACGATCGCAAGGCCGGTATTGTCCACGGCCGCGATAAGGTCTTGTCTCTGGAAGGCTCATTGATCTGGGAGGCTTCCGGTCCAGAAATCGAGTATGCCAGGCTCAACCATTTCATGGCTGAGATGCAGAGCTTCAAACTGAAAGCTTGAAGGACTAGCAAGAAAGAGATGCGATGGTGTTGATATGAGTAGGAAGTCTCGAGTGTCGCTGTGATGAGATACGGCTGTGAGAAAAGTGGGCCCTTGTGGTCTGTGCTCTTCCAACCTCACCTGTTCCTCCTCGCATCTTCTTTCACGAATATCAACATCAACAAGGCCGTTCTCTAAAATCGAAACCCACCCTAACCTCCAGGATATCTGATGGCCAAAGAGAGGAGTGTGGCGAAATGGTACCGGGCGAAGTGATGAGATGGCTGTACAGAACATGCGCGAAGTTGAGGTTCTGCTAAGGTCACTGGACACATTTATACCGGTCGAAGCCATTGCACAAGTCGATTCTAGAAGATTTCGAGCACTATCATGACCAAAATCATGATGTCAGCGTACTGGCTGGCACCTGCCTTTGTTAACAACGTTCTCCGCACGAAACATGCGCCAGATGTGCAGACCCAATCTCCCAGTGAACGTAGTCGATTGCGGATTAAAAAAATAAAATCGTCAAAGATATCCTGTAGCTGCCTCTGTACGCACGCTGCTGGATCAAAAAGCGATCTCTCAGATCCCAAACGCCAGGAAGACTCCAGGAATCGAACCCGGCACCTCCGACAAAAAGACAAAAAGATCAGCCATCAGGCTCGTGTACTTTTAAACATCATTGTGTTCAGGTATGCGGAGTGTTAGGCGCATTCACCAGGGTTCGAACTTGGGTGGTTTCGACTATTTGGTCCTTAAGTCCACGTTGATCTGGCGCCTTGCTCCTTGCGCCATCACGCAACTGATCTTGCAAGTGGGGTTGCGGAAATTGAATATGTAGGCTAATTCTTCTGCTTGCTGACTCGGGAATTTCTTATCTCTGGCTTATCTTCTTCAGCGGGAGATGAACTCAACCTCGAATGATGGCAGCTTGCTATCTCGACCAACCATCTATCGCCTGTAGTGCTCTCTCACCCTCCGTGTCATGCAATTGATTCATGCTTTAGTGAAGCTCTCACCGTCCAGATCAGTTGCCAAGTTCCGTACTTTGAATCAACCACACGTGAGTGGACATGCACAACACAAGACGCTGGAAAAGGAGATAGACCATGGCATTCACCGTCGATGACCGCTCACGTTGACATCATATGACAGCAGACAGCCAAGCGACCATGCCGCCCTTCACACAAGCGGATGTTTCAGCTTGACTGAGTGAAGACGTCGGTGTTTGCCGCCGATTGCACATGCACTTCTTCAAGACAGCACCAATCTATCCTCAGCATGCGGACCTCGACAGTCAGCCACTGCCACTGATACAACAGATCTGTCCATTTCGGCTACCTCCAGCACCTTGTGCTCCGTGCCCAAGAGGCACCATGAAGACCAAGGAATGCACCATCTGCGCGGGCGACGTCTTCGCCAACCAGTTCCCAAAGATACCACACGCTGACGCTGCTGAGCATGCTCGTGATGTCTGCTTCAAGTGCTGGGAGCAGCATCTTCATTCCGAGCTGGAGAACAAGGAATGGAATCAGATCAGCTGTGCTCAGTGCGACCACATCTTGACCGAGGCAGAGATCAAGAAGCTTGACACGAGCTTCATCTCTCGGATCTATCAGCAGTAAGATCACCTTGGACTGGCGGGGCAGTCCAATGCTAACATTCTCAGGTGGCTCGACAAAGCGGCGAAGGCCTTCAGAGAGCGCGACGAAGAGTTCAGAGAGTGCCCATCCGCTACCTGCAGCTACGGCTATTTCCACTCCACCAAAGATGACGGCAACATCTTCCGATGCCAGCTCTGCGAGTCCCGCTACTGCGTGCTCTGCGAGGTCCCAATGCACGAGAACATGACCTGCGACCTGTACCGCGAGAGCAAGCGTCAGGAGGCGGAAGCCGAGAACGATCGCAAGCGCAAGCGCGAGATGGCGGATGAAGAGGAACTGTCGGCGAAGAAAGTCAAGGCGGTTTCGAAGAAGTGTCCCAATCCCAAGTGCGGCATCAACCTGGACAAGTACACAGGCTGCGACCACGTTACCTGTAAGTGTTGTACATCGAAGAACCATTCAGCCATCACTTACAGATTCGCACAGGCCGCAAGTGCAAGCACGAGTTCTGCTGGCTCTGCTTTGCGCCGTACAGTGGTCCTCAGGGCATTCGCAAGATCGGGAATCGTGCTCATAGCCGCAGCTGTCGATACCACCCCAGCGCTCTGCCAGACTATCGACCAGTTGCAGTAGCAACTCCAGGTTGGCTCTGAGACAAAGGCATCGGGAAGAGGAACTCACAAGCTGGTGCAAGGCCTTGAAAGCTGAACGGGCGCAAAGAGTGGTTGGACATTTGGAAGACACGGACTGCAGAACAGGGAACGGCCAACACGCACATGGATAGCAAGGAAAGGCCGACCAATACTGTGCTGCTGGGGTATTGTTGACTTGGGGGTCGCTCCTTCCGTTTGTACCTCCATCCACGCACGTGGTAGCCTGAAGCTTATCTCGACATCATGTCTTTCCTTCACCCTTCACTCCTACATGTTGAATATACAATCGTACCAATGGCCTCATCGACCAAAAGCGATACCGGATACCGGGCACGACATATACCCAATCGCAACGGCACTTTCAGCGCCTACTTCGACCGTCCGCCAGCGATCACGTACAGCAAGCGCGTGACACCATTGCCCTTGAAAGGGACACACTTTCGACGACGCGATCCATACGAGATACCATCAGACAGCGATGACGAAGATACGTCTGTAGAAGATTCAACCAGCACCCGCACGAAGCAACCGTCTCCAGATGATCCGCCGCTGTCGGAAGACGAGCTCGAGGCCGTATATGGAAGGAACGCAAGCCCCATCGAATCAGTATCAAGCATCCTGGGAGTTTCGACATCGAAGGGCAAGGCCAAACTTGCAAGGTCCACACGAGAAGGGAAGGGCATTTTGAAGAAGCGTCCGGTTCGAAGGGAAGTGCCCACGCAGCGTTTGGTGCCAGTGATATCGCGGAACGAGGCTCGCACTTTCTCCAGGAAAGTGCAGACGACTGTAAAACCATCCAAGAGATCGGGACCATCGATACCGCCGCGACACGAGAAGAAGTTGACCGAAAAGGCTCCAAGAAGACGTCCCGTCAATGAGCTTCTCCTCGTCCCGTCACCAGCTCAAGACCATGTCCCACGCCAATCAAGTAGTAGCCCCCAGAGACCGCCCACTCAAGATCCCATTGCGAATAGCTCTTACGTTTCGCCGATCAATGAAGATTTTGGTCGAGAAAAGGCACCCTTGACATCCATCAGGAAGCGGCTCAAGACGCCGAAGTTCACACACAAGTCTGTTGCTGCCTTGCGCAAGAAGAAAGACAAAGAAAGTCGTGCTGAAATTGGAGACGGATTCGAGCGTTCAGAGCTTCAAATTGATCAACATTTCAGCACGAGTCGAAGTCGCAAAGGCTCCAAGTCGTTGGTTCAAGGCCTCAGTGCACTCGACCTCAAAGCAGGGCCATTGCCAGACGTCAAGTTCGAGGACAGCAGCTCGGTGTTGAAATTAGAACGTACATTCGGGGGCGATGGGGACACCCATCATAACCAGGAAGTGGTTGAGACCACAGAGCAGGAGCTGAAACCTGAAACTCGGCAACAGACTGCTCGAAAGGTAGGCTTCAGCGACCGAGTTCTGGAGGGTATGGTCATGCAGCAGCTATCGTCCATCTCTGCGCCTCGAAGAGTGTACAGCATATCATCAGACCACAGCAGCGAAGATCAAGATGACTTTGAAGAGACCGATGAAGACGAGGAGCCTGAAGATGAGAGGGCAGCGGAAGATGTTCAATCGCAAGGTCAATCCGCTTTCGAAGAAAGTGATGACGATGAAGAGCCAGAAGGTAGACGGAGAGCACCCACACCACCAAGCAACCAGCACGCCAGGCAGAGAAGCAGCTTCTGGCGAAGACAACCGAGTCCAGTCACTCCAGCTCCAGTACGAAACAACGGCGTCACGCTGGACTTCCGCAAGACAGCTTCGATCACCCTGGGACAACCACCAACTCCGTTCGGCAAGAGAAAGCTGATGGAAGTCGACGATACGATCTATGACGAACCAGATCGTCCACCTGCACCACCGCCCGCCTCGCTCAACGTCAACGTCGAAGACGAAGAAATGCTCGACGAAGAAGAAGTACCCCAACCTCCTCCTCCTCCTCCTCCTCCTCCTCCTCATCCCCGCTCAATCCTCCGAAACCACACCCCACGGCACCATCCCAACAACATACATAACGCCAGACCCGAACACACCGCAGCCAACACCCGCCGCAACAGCATGATCACGCTCGCCGACGAAGCAGAAAGCCGATACTTCGCCACAGCAACCGACATGCTTCGTCGACCTTCTCGCGATCATCATCATCCCCAAAACCCACGAGTCCTCAAACATCGCAGCAGTCAGCTCCGTCGCTCGGCGTATGCGGAGGTGCAAGTCTTGGATAGCGAGAGTCGGGTCTTGGAGACGTCGCCTGAGAGGCCGGACTATAGCAACTTCACGAATCTCGATGTGCTAAAGAGGAGTTCGGATATGGTGTGGACGTCAAGCCAGAGTCTACCAAGGGCGCCTAGGGATTTGAAGAGTCTGACGAGGACGGTGAGTAGGGAGCATGGGACGGTGAGCCAGTCTCTCAGGAGGCGATCGAGTTTGCCGTTTCAGTCGCCTGCGAAGGTACGGAAAGCTTGAGGGTAGGTGATAGTATGTGGTGGCAGGGGTATTTCGCTTTTGGCATGTTTTGGGGTTTCATCTAGGTGGCTATCTTGCGAGCCAGTTTGCTCCTCTTCTATTGCCTTGGTGCAGTATTCATAGCTGCTCGTGGTATCGTCATCTGAAGCAAAATCTGAACACGTGCATCAGCAGCGGCGTCCTCCGTCTTTCATCTTCCTCGTATCTCCCGTGAGGACGCAGTGACTTCGCAATCGCGTCCATTGTCCGAACTCTACAACGACGCATGCTCTACCGCACAGTGGCATTCGTAAGCGTCTTGACAGTGCACGTTCCCTGCTTCGTCTTCAACAACGCCACCTCCTTCTTGTCGCTCTCCTTCAACTTCTCAACCTTGGTAGGCTCAAACGCAACGACCTTCTCCTCGGTAGTGGTGAATCCGACTTGGCAGTCATCCCAGACCTTCTTCTTGGGATTCAGAACAGGCTCTGGCTCGCCCTCGAAACCCTCGAAGTATACCGTCTCGCCTGCCTCTGCGTCTGCGGGAGGATTGACGAGCTCGACGGGTCCAGCGTGGTGGTCTTCCTCGCCAGGTGCTAGTCGTGGAGATGCTGCGAGGACCATAGCCGCAGACTTGATGCCTCGCATGGTGACGGGCTTGAGATTGCAGACGGCGACAATCTTCCTGCCCTGCATCTCCTCCAGAGGTACGAGACCATTCAGACCTGAGCACACAGTCCGCACGACCTTGCCCTCGTATTCGGATGTGTTCTCAGTGCCTGGAGGATCGCCCACTGCGATGGTGGAGACATAGAGAGAATCAGCGTTGGGGTGGTTGATTGCTTTGAGGATATGTCCAACCCGTAGATCGATCAATGCAGGCGAGAAAGGCTTCTCCGGTGCAGGTGCATTCTTCGGTTGCTTGGGCTGCTTTTCCTTCTTTGGCTTCTCCTTCTTCTCGCCAGGTACTGATGCTCCAACAGCCTCAGCGACCTTATCACCAAGATCCTTGGCCTTCCCCTTCTTGGGCTTCTGGTTTTCTGCCGCCTTTGTGTCCTCACTTGCAGCTGAAGTCACCGTACCACCAGCTGCCGCCGCCGCGTCTGCTCCCGCCGCAGCAGCCGCAGCCTTCTCCTTCTTCTTCCGCTCCTTCTCAGCCTTTGCGTCTATCGGCTTGATGGGTGCAACGACGTTCGTAGGGTCAATGTCCACCTTGTCGTCCAGCTTGAGATCGAAGAGGGGCGCATTCTGGACGAAGTCGAGATGTCGTACGATGTGGTGATATCCCTGCTCCCCTGTCCGCTGCTCTGGCGTCCAGCTCTTGACGAGGGGTGCGATACGAGTGTAGATAGCCAGATCAGCCAGACTAGGCTTCGATCCCAGCAAAGTGGTTCGGCTGGAGAGGTGGGTGTTGAGGTGAGACAGGCGCTCGGCCGTCTTGGCACTGTCTTCGTTTGTAGATGCGATGTGGGAGGAAGTGATGACCCATTGCTCGATCTCAGCTTTCTCGGAGGGTGTGTACTATTACTGTTAGTTTATGCAGTGAATGGGTAGCATGATCGCGTGCTCACTTCGACAGAGGAGAAGATGGCAGAGGAGAGCTTGGCCGGGTCCTCGCCAGCATCCTTGGCCTGAGGGTAGGACTTCTCGACCAAGCTCTTGACTGAGCTGTCTATCGTCGCCATGATCGCAGAGACGCTCGATTGGAATGTTTTCGATATGGGTGCGAATGGGTGTTGGACGGCGTGGATTGTGTATGGTCTGCGGGGATGCCGTGTTGCCCTAGCGAGCAGTCGAAAGGAGCGGAGGGTCTTCAGTTTGACGGTCGAGGGTGGTGTGTTTGGGGGAATTGGAGAAAATTGAAGGTCATGTTGCAGTCATACTTTTGGAGCAGAGAGGGTCCGAATTTGCACCGCCACAGCAAAGCAACGCGCCACAAACGTGGCTGACTATTTACAGCGCGACTTCACCCATTCCTCCAACGCCCATCTCCTTTCCATGTATGTACCCCTTTTCTCCGCTGTGTCTCGGATTACCGAGTGCACGATGCGTCCTCGCACCGCCTTGTTCTATCCACAAATGCGGAGAGATCAAGGCTTTAGCGCCGCTTAGACAACAAAGAGTCGAGGATTGACTTGGCTCTTCCTCCCTTCTTCTTTGCTGGCTTTCCTTCGGCCTGGCCAGGAGCGTTCTGCGTGTTACCACCCATTGATGCTTGACCGTTTGCCCCTCCAATCTGTCCGTATGCTGGTCCGTACGCTGGAACTCTCTGCTCTGGGGTGCCGGCAGACACGAACAAGCTATCTCCGGTAGAGATGCCAGATCCGACCGGACTCACCGGCTGCTGCTCGCTGGGCTCGCGGCTGTAACGTTGGCTTCTGCTTGGATCGGGCGTTGGTAACTGTGCGGAGCTCTGGTCGATATCCATAGAGGCCGAATTTGGAGGCTCGCTCATTCTCTCGCCGAACAGGCTGTCCTCCCGGTATCCTGGACCCGGGACGTTCGGAGGCATCATCGGCTGTGGAGTGCTCTGGTCCGGTGCCGTGTTCGGAAATGGCAGCGGAGTGCTCTCTCCATCGCGAGCGTACAGTTCCGACGATGGGCATGGTTCTGGGCTGACGCGATCATCTGCGACTTCCGGAGATTGGTCGCGATAGCCACGAGGTGTCGAATACCTACGTCTACGTCGTGGTCGCTCGCTCACGAAGAGCCCGCTACTGCTTGAAGTGGCCGAGGATGCTGACGGGCTGTCTCCTCTCGTTGGATATCCTTGATCGCCTTCTTCGGACCTCCCAAGCTCGCCTCCTGGAGCGTCTACGAATGGCTGGTTTGCCCAGTCCATCGCGTCCTCGAACGTGCCCAGTTGCGAGTTGGTCTGCTCGAACTGCTGACCGAAGGGTTCGTCGAATGGCAGCAACGGAAGACCAAAGTCCATCTCGCTTTGTCCATTCGGTGTGGCATTCTTCGACCGCTTGTCGGCAACGGTGATGTGGCTCAAGACAGACTCTGCTGAGCCTTCTCTCTGTGCGCGGCCTTGCGTCTGCTCCGTATCCATGTCCGCCTCTTGTTCGTCCATATTCGCGCTGTCTCGTCCAGTGCTCTGCTCTTCTGCATAAGGGCTGGTATCCATGCCGCCGTTGTCAGGTCTCAGGCTTCTTCTGGTCCTCACACTAGTCGTACCGCCGCCCGCGTCCATCTCGGGGACGTGCTTTCTGTGGCTCTTGAACTCAGGGTTGTCTTCGAGGGTCGCTCCCTTCTTCGACGAGGACGCCGTGATCTTCTTCGCCGTTCCTTTCTTGATCGCAGCTCGATTGACTGGATCTGGTAGATCGTCTGGCGGTTCTGGTGATCCTGGTGCTCCGACGTGCTCGAGGTCTGCAGGCGCGAAAGGTCAGTACAGGCATCGTCCTCCCGATCCGTAAGATAAGACATACCCAATGGCTGTAGCAGCTCGTCGACGACGCCAACATCTCCAGGGGCTTGCAACTTGCTCCGCCTGTCAGAGATCCTGTCGGTGTTCCTCTGGACCACGTTCTTCAACTCCATATCCGCCCTGAACGCTTTCTCCAGCGCCGCCTTCGCGTCCTGATACTGCTTCGTCTTTGCCGCGACGTACGCAATCGATCGCTCCTTTTTCGCGAGGGCGTCTTGCTCCTGCTTGTCCAGGCGTTCCAGAGCCAGCCGCCGCTTGTGCTCGGTGACCTCCATCCTCTCGATATTCGTGTGAATATCTCCGTGCGACGATGGTGGTCCAATGTGCTGGTGCGGATGCTGATGGCTCGGTCGATCGGGCGCAAGTGGGATGGTGGGTTGAGGAAGTAGTTTGAGGGGAGGCTTCTGGCTGGTAGAAAGCTTTGTCCGCTTCACGTGCAGCGCATGTGGTGACGAAATTCAAGACATGTGTCTTGAAAACCGGGGCAAAGCACGGCACAGGCAGACTCCGCCGGAGTGAATGAACGCGATGCGGTTGCGGCGAGAGAATGCCGAAGACTCCCCCGAGCACTCGCCATCCCCGTTGCTATCGAGGTGTCCAGCTGATCCAAAGCATCATCAACGGCATGATCGATCAATGCGAGTTGGAGGGAAGGCATTTCGTTCCTTTTAGAAGGACGCCCGAGGACCGCTTCTCATCGACACAGTACGTGAGCCACAACGGTCAATTGAAAAGGAGCATCTATCCCCGTTACTCACGGGCTGTCAAATCAATCTCTCGCACCGTTGACGGCACGGTCGGTGCCTCGAAATGGGAGGGATGGCAGCACTGCTACCACTTTGCGTTCCCCTCTGAGGACTGTCAAGGGAGCTTCTCGTCGCCACAGCCCGTGAATTCGACGGTCAACATGATCGGAAGGCTCCACACTGGAGTATTTATCCCCACTACTCGCGAGGTATCCAAACAGTGTGTGGGCTGTGATCAAGAGCTTTGGTTGCTTGAAAAATCGTAGGGATGGCCATACGACCATGAACAGCGACCACGGCACTCTTTTTCCCGAGGGTAAGTCAAGAACAATAACCAAAGTTGCTGCAACAAGCCACCAGCCTTCCAACGGAGCCACCCCAACAGGCTGGCGACCATCGCCATCGCTCGTACGCCGACGAACTTGTCGAAGATGTTAACAGAAGCGTGGTCGCTTTTGAGCAATCAGAGAGACAGTGGCTCCATGCGTTCTACTTTGACCGGAACGACGGGGGCAGGAAAGCGGCATTGTATAGTCGCTGGAAAGATCTTGCAGCAAGACCGATATGCCCCTATATGTTTGTAGACGCAGCCTTTACAATACTGACGTGAGCCAGCACTTCTGAACCATTTTCTTGACTTCACTTCGAGATGGCCTCCTGCCTACCCTCACACGCCACCCCTGGGAAGATCACCACCTTTTTCCGTCTACGCGGCCTTCAGGCTTTCTCTCGATCATCGCGACCATCGACGTGAGCATCTTCGACGTGCACAGCAGGACCGGTTTTCTCATCGCTAACACCACTGTCGATATCGTCGAGGGAAACATCGATATCCCGTTGATACACCACAACTTCATCTGGTGCAGACGATCAGTAAGAGCTTGGGAATCCACACCACAAAAGAGGAGGGACAACATACCAACATCACCAAAGATCGCCGCAACTTCTTCCAACGGCTTGCCCTTGGTGTCTGGAAACCACACCCACATGATGACGCTCCCGATCGTGCCGGGGATGATGAAGCAGAGGTAGAACTTCCAGCCGATTGTCCTGCAGAAACCACGTCAGCCAAGTCATCTTCTCAAGACCCTCGCCAAGATGAACATACTCGAAAGCCGTGGGAGCGGCCTGCAACCACATGATATTCATCAGACTGATCATCGCCACACCTGCACTCATGCCCTTCGCCCTCAAATGTGCAGGCCAGATCTCCGCGATGTACGTGAACTGCAATCCGTCAAGACACCGATCGTACGGGATCTCAAAGATGAAGAGCATCGCTACAGCAGCTTGCAGTGCAGCGGAGTTGTTCGAGGGAACGAATTCGGCGATCAAGGCCGCTTCGATGATCAGCGTGACCATGCATCCGAACACACCGATGGCGAGGAACTTGTTGCGGGAGAAGTGGTCCACTAGGAAGGACGCCATTGCGTTCAAGCCAAGAGCAAGGGTTAGCCAGGCGGCTGGGTAGAGGAGTTGTTTGGTTTCAGAGAAGCCGAGATTCTTGTACAAGGTTGGACCGTAGTCTGTGCAGAATGTAAGTACAGCAATCGAGAAGGACCTCTACGACTTACTGTTGATGACCAGGACACCCGAGCATTGGATGAAGCCCGTCGTTCCAATACTCAGCCAGAGACGCTTGCGGAGAGACGGCTTGCTAAAGATATGCCTCCAGCTGTCGTCGAGGGTTCGGTCAAGAGCAAGCTGCTTCTGGATCTGGATATACTCGGAACGAGCAAAAGCATGGTGTGGGTCAGACGGATCGTCGTGGAGTCGAAGCAGGATGTTCTTGGCTTCTTCTCCACGATCTCGCATGAGGAGCCATCGAGCTGTGATAAATCGTCAGCGTCGTGGGCTCTGCGAAATGAAAGGGCGATGTCACTCACGACTCTCGGGAACCCACTTCAAACCCAACAACAGCAACAACGGCCAGACCATCTGGAACATCAAGGGGATCCGCCAGGTATAGTTCCCTCCATTCGTCCAGTGGAAGAAGCCAAACCCGATCCAGCTCTGGACGAAGTATCCAAACACTAGCGAGATGGCATGGACATTGACCAAGGCTCCACGCAAATGTGCCGGCACGACCTCGCTCATCCAGATCGGAACCGCGGCGAGGATCATGAAAGCGCTGGCACCAGCGATGAAGCGAAAGACGAGGAACTCTGCGATGTGAGTGCTACCGGAGAGGACTGCACCAGAGATGAGGGCAAGGACGGCGCTCTAGATGCTATCAGCTTCCGTAAAGTAGGAAGGTGAGAAGGTACGTACGACACCCATGCCCGCTCACCTGCCCCATCGATCCGTGAATATGGGAAGTGTCAAGGTTCCAATCACGCCTCCAGCCTGAAAAAGGCCGTTCGTCGCGGCGATGAGCTGAGTGCCATTGGGGCGAGTCGCGAGGTCGAAGTAGGCGATGAAGGTGGGTTGGCCTGGTCAAAGATCAGTACGTTTTGCCTTCCAATGCAGGTAGGTTGTCGGCCATACCAAGCGTCGATCCAATGATACTAGCCGTGTAACCATAGGTCATCGAGCCAATGGACACGAAGAGCAACATCCAAACATTGTAGGCGTTGAGCTTCCTGCCGCTGCCTTCTTCTCCTGTAGAGAAAATCCGTGAGAGCCAGCCCATGCTGAAGACTATCCTCAACCGATAACCAAGAAGTAAAGGTTATCAAGAAGCTCAAGACAAATTCCGACCAAGGTCAAGAACAGCACTCTACACAACACACCTCGCCTTCGCAGATCCCAACCCCCAGGATATGTACACCCTCGCGGCAATCCACAAGCGGAGTCGTTCGGTAGATGCCCATGGCAAGGTGAGGAGGCGAAGGAGTTGGAGGCTGGTTGCTCACTTGTGAAACCAGCCTAGACCCACGCCCACGAGACGAGCAGAGCTGTTATAGCCGGCTTGAGGGAGACGTCTTGTTCCCAGCGATTGGTAGTGTGAGTACCGTTTGGATGGGAGGGAAGGACCACACTTGCGACTTCGTGGAGACCCCGCATGGTGGCTTGCAGGTATCGATGTACTGATCGTGGGGTAGGAGGAGGCTAGTAGAATGTTGTTGGGGAGGTGAATGATTCAATGCTGATTTCTCGGAATAACAATAGTCCAGGATTACAAGCGATTCGAACTCGACTTCAGGGTCTTGGGAGTCAATGCAATGATTGAAATAAAATAGCAAGTTGTGTCTCCGCGCAAGGCCGTCAAAAGACACTCGAATGACAGCCACAGCGACTCCAGCCCGCTGACAAGCCAGATCCGAGTCGAGGGAAATGCGGCTATCTTTGACTTCCAGACTCTCACGTTGCGCTCGTTACCATTCTTCGACTACTTCTGTGGCGCTGCTGATAGGATATCCTTCGATAACGATTCGTCCTCGCTATTCCGAACCTTGAGTCCCAACTTCCTGGAACCGCTACGAGTCAGGAGGACTTTGGAAGAAGAGCATTTGGAAAGTGTGCTTGACTCGGTCGACTTCATGTTGGATCGTAGCCCGCTCGTCTCCACTAGTCTGCCCTCGTTCCGATCTTGAATAAAGATATCGTTCACTCTTCCAGACTTTCCGTACTCCAACTTTGCTGTCTCAATGCTTAGGCACACCAATCGCCAACCTTCCAATAGTGTCATTCCCAATCGTACTCTCCGCCCCTGTTACATAAATCGTCTTCCCAGGACCCTTGCTCAACGCAACCGCCGAAGCCCTCTGGAGGGCAGTCGAGTTGATAAGCCGCAAAGACTCTCGAGAGATGTCCACCTCAGTCAGCGTAAACGGGCCATTGTTGGCGATGAGAGCTGTTCGTCCACCATTCGTAAACGCAAAGTCGTCTGCGACGCCAAGATCTCTGGCGATAATCTCTGCTGGGTCCGTTGGGCAGTCGAGGTTGATAGATGCGAAAAGCCCTTGATCGAGGGAGGTGAAGTAGAGCTTACGGCCGAATATGTGGATGCCATTGACGCCGATTCCTAGATTTCCATCGTCCGAAGACAACGGCGCCATCGTTGCATCGTTGGAGAATTTCGAGTATTGACCAGTTCGGACATCGAGCTCGACAACTTGTCCAAGCTGAGAGTCTGACAAGAGCAAGTGATACTGATCAAGCACCGTCATGCCATTCAATGTCCCAGCGTCCGGGACCTTGGCCACCAAAGAGACATCCGGAGGTTCAATAACAGCACCGTTCGATGATTTGAAAGCCGTCAAGTCCACCTTCCAGACTTTGTTCGTTCCGGGAGCCACCGCCACGCCAGAAATGTCAGACCCGATCACATAGAATATGTCTTTTCCCAATTCAGCAATTCCCAACAGCCCCAAGACGGGGAAGTCGACCACGGAGACCACAGGCGATGGGTTCTGAGGCGAGACGAGGTACAGCGTGTTGTTCGAGACCGAGGTGACGAGGATGTCGCCGTTGTCTCGGATGGCGAGGTTCTCGAGTGTCTGAGTACCAGGTATGGTGGTCAGTGTGCTGAAGCTGTAGTCGAGGTGGCCATGTCTGAAAGGCCATGCCAGAGTCGTTTCCAGGACACTGGCAAGTGCAAGGAGAAACAAAGGCTTGATGAACATGTTGATGGTGCCACGGAAGAGGACAATGTAGACGATGTCTGCGAATAATCCTGCCTGGAGGGACCGGCGAGTATACAGCCATCATTTTAAGGCGCCAGGCCCTTGTCTGCCACCCTTGCATATTGACGGATTTAACGACTGTCGCCGATCGAAGTTTTCTTTTGCTTGCATAGCCTTGCCGTCTCGTTGCATGACTAAACGGCAAAGAATATCCGCCTGAACTGGCAGAAATCAAATCCGTTGAGGATGAGCGGTATGTGACTGTATGTGATACAATCTCGCGGATCCTTCGCTCGCACGTGCGGGAGATCGGTAAGTGAATGAGTCCGAATCCGAGTCTTGGCTTCGACCATTACCATTCTGGACAAGCCTTCTCTTGATAGAGGGAGCAGGACATCGATATCCTGGTGTGCGCATGCAGAACAAGGCGATAGATCTCCTTCTCAAGCGTGGGATATGATCGATCTCGCAAAGTTTAATGGCTTACCAATTCGATACGAGATGTAGCTTAGAAAGCAAGACTGCGAGGTTTTCGCTAATGTAGAAGAGATTGAAGGCCTTGCAGGGCTGAGATATGCCTGACTCACTATTACAGCTCTTTCATTCTTGCGTATTCAAGATCGATCCATGGGATTTGATCTACCTTCTGTCTGCCTGAAGCAACGCCAAACACAAGGCTGGCTGGTTGTCAGAACGGCAGGACTTTTACAAGAACATGTACACGTTCTGGACGTACTCATGCCTGCGTCCTGTGATGCTGAAATTTTGTTACCAAGAGAGCAGAATGTGTTGGAAAATGAACAAAGGAATGTAGTGCACGAGGTCAAAGTATCTCGGGTGTTCCATTGGCGATTCTTCGCTGGGTGAGCTTCTGCGCCCTGGCCATCTACCTTGCTGTTCGTTCTCTAGGCGCCTTGGTCTAGCATAAAGCAAGCTTAAATGCAGATTGTATCAGTTGGAAATGTATTCTTCGTCGGACAGGGCTCATCCTCGTAAGGTCGGCACGTCAGGCTTGGTTTGATACATCGTGTCTCCGCATTTCAAGGCGATTTCGCTGAAGAAGACCGTGAGATCGCAAAAGAAATACTTCCCTTGGTAAGTCTCGCAAGTCCTCGAACTCGTGTAAGATATGTCTCGTCGCTGTCGTAGTAGTCGTCATCCTCGATTACATTCACCCCCAAAGCGTTAACGTCAACGCCCTCCATCATATCAACCAAAAAAACATCATCACGGCAACACGATAAATTAAACAGGTCTCACCCGGAATCGAACCGGGGTCGCCGGAAAGTTCTGTCATGCCGAACCCATTGTAGGAACATCGACGTTATCAGAATCCGAAGTGCTAACTGAAGCGACGTTAGTACAGGGTCGTGGACAGGCACAGGCATAGCCTGCAATGCATGCAGGGCTGTAGACTCGACTTACCCCCTACACCATGAAACCGTGTGGTTGGATAGAAGAGCAAAAATTTGAATCCAATTATCATAGCTGATACTTCAGTGCCGAAGTTTGGCCGACGAGGCTTGGAGCTCCACAAGGCTCTGGTGATGGCGATGGGCTTTGATTCAAGAAATTCAGGGCAGATAGGACGTTGTATATGCTGTGCATGATCTGTAGTACTCACTAAGATGCCTATCAATCATTTACTGTTCATATGTCGAAGACGAAACGTTGACAACAGCTCAATGGCACCATCTCCCCTGCGCCGAGCCGGCGTCGGCGCAGCCCCACCCGAACCCTCACCACGTCACGGAGCATTGGATTAAATCAATCAGCAGGATCATTCTTCCGTCGTAAATGAATCTCAATCGCCGCTGTCCTATCTTATCCTTGTCTGACTCCTCTCATGCGTCTCTTCAGAACAGCTCATACTCACTTCCGTACACTTCAAGCTTCTTCGTCGCCGAGCCCCTCATCACACCTGCTGCGAGACAGCTTCCAGAACTTCCCAGCACGAAGAATGGCGTCTGCAATGGCCAAGCGCCTCGAAGGCAAGACTGTCCTGGTAACAGGAGCGTCCAGCGGTATTGGCAAGAGCACGTACGCAGAAACCCTCCAACTCTCATCCCGCCATCAGCTAATAGTGACATACCAGCGCCCTCGAATTCGCCCGCACCTCGCCCAAATCCCTCAAACTAATCCTCACCGCCCGCCGCATCGACAGCCTCAAAGCCCTCGCCTCAGAAATCCAGTCCGAAGTCGGCTCAGGCGTCCAAGTCCTCCCCGTGCAACTCGACATCTCCGACCCAGCCCAAGTCCGCGACTTCATCCCTTCCCTCCCGCAAGAATTCCAAACCATCGACGTGCTCGTCAACAACGCCGGGCTCGTCAAGGGCGTGGACAAAGCGGGGGATATCAAGGAGGGGGATATCAACGTGATGCTGAGCACGAATGTCACCGGGCTGATCAACATGACGCAGCAGTGTTTGAAGGTCATGAAGCCGCGCAATGAGGGCGCCGGGGCGGGGGATATCATCAACATCGGCAGTATCGCTGGGCGGGCGGGATACCCGGGTGGGAGTATCTACTGCGCGACAAAAGCTGCTGTGCGGTCGTTCACGGAGGCGATTCGCGCGGAGTTGATCTCGTCGCGGATTCGCGTTATTGAGATTGATCCGGGGCAGGTGGAGACGGAGTTTAGTGTGGTGAGGTTCTATGGGGATAAGAGCAAGGCGGATGCTGTATATGCTGGATGTACGCCGCTCACGCCGGATGATATTGCTGAGACGGTTGTTTTTGCTGCGGGCAGGCCTGAGAATGTGGTTATAGCGGATCTGCTGGTTTTCCCCAACCACCAGAGCAGTGCGACGTCGATGTACAAGAAGTCGTAAGGTCCCAGCATTCGTAGTTGGGAATCAGCGGCTGAGTAGTGGCTTTGTATAGAGCAAACAGTTCGAAATTGTAGAGACGAGCCAAACGATTCAAATCGAAAGCCAGTCGATATCTCAATCAATCAATCTATTTACTTGGATCCAACAACAACTTCCCCGTCGTCTTGCGTCCCTCCAAATCATTATGCGCCCTCGCAACCTCACTGAGCGGATACACCTCATGCACCCTCACATCCAACCCACCCTTCTCAATAAACCCAAACAGATCCTTGGCATAATACTCCAACTCCTCCCTCGTCGACACAAACCCAAACAACTGCGGCCTCATCAACCGCAGATTCTTCGGCGACAACCGCGCAATCGTCACAGGCGGGACAGCTCCACTCGCATTGCCGAAGGAGATCATGCTACCCTTGCGCGCAATGCTGTCGAGGGAGACGTCGAAAGTCGCCTTGCCGACGCCGTCAAAGACAGCAGCCACGCCCTGACCGCTGGTGAGTTCCAGCACCTTCGCCTTGATATCCTCCGAGCTCGAATTGAGCATATGCGTCGCGCCCGCCTTCTTCGCCAGCTCGATTTTCTCAGGCGTGCTCGCGGTACCGATTGTGTTTGCGCCAATGCTCTTCAGCAGCTGCACGAGCCAGAGACCCGTTCCGCCAGCCGCAGCGTGTACGAGGATCCAATCGCCCTTCTTGACGGGGTACGCTTCTCGCACGAGTGTCAGGGCCGTGAGACCTTGGAGGAGAGCAGCGGCGCCGATCTTGGGGTCGATGGAGGAGGGGAGCTTGATGGCTTTCGCGGCGGGGACGGCACTGTATTCGGCGTAGGCGCCTACGTCCATCCAGACGACCTTGTCGCCTTCGGCGAAGTCGAGGGTGTTGGAGGAGCCGAGCGAGGCGATTGTGCCGGAGGCTTCGCGGCCGAGGGTGTATGGGAATGAAGGTGGTGGGTAGAGGCCGGAGCGGAAGTAGCTATGTAGATGTTAGACTGGTTCTGGTTCCATCGAGTGAGGTCGTCCTTACGTATCGATGAAGTTGATACCAAGGAAGTCGTTCTTCACGAGGATCTGACCATCTTGAGGCTTTGGTACTGGGAGGTCGGTCTTGTATTGGAGGACTTCAGTTCCGCCGTTCTTTTCAATAATCACACCCTTCATCGTAGCTGGGACGGACGCCATGGTTCGTATCGAAGGTTTTGACAATTGGGAAGTGAGAAGAGAAGCTCGACGGAGTGGAGTGGATGCCAGGCTTTTGGATATGAACGTTCGAAAGGACATGAACGGGGGACGAAAGCAATATTCTTATACCACAAGGTGACAAGGAGTTAAGAGAGCAAGCACGAGATCAAAAGGTAGCTAAAGCAGAGAAACGTAGAGTTCGGAATGTTTTCTTGTGTTTGTAAGCTTCGGAGCAACCTGGTCGGCCATTGGAGCTGTCGTCATCCCAAACAGCCCCTCATCCCCGCTTCGAGGCAGCGTAGGGCGCAAACATATATAACCCCTAGGATGTAAGCCTACTTCAAGTACAAAGTGAAGACAGGTCTACCTACCTTCTCAGACCATGGCATTGGATCTGAGCCACGCATCCTCAGAGGACCTCACGATGCGTCGGAGAATCGCCGTCCCTCCGCCGTTGATTGATCCGAGACAAGAAGTCTCAATCAGGAATATCCTCCTCAGGCTCACGGATGACAACCTGCCCTCCAACTCCGTTATTCTTCTCCATCTGACGTAGCATCCACGCCTTGGGCGGGCCAGGCTCCTTCCAGTCTCGAAAGGGCTCATTGAGCGTCCAGGTGTGGAAGCTTGGATAGACGTACTCAATCGAGTCGATCCACTTGACGCCGATGTTGAGCTCCTTGACAATGCCCTCCAACTTCAGACCTGGGTAGCAGTATTGGAGGACTTCATCTTCGACCAGGAACTCGTACTTCTCGCCGATCTTGGCCTTCTGTTCTGCTATGACGCTCTTGGGGAGGTCTTTTGGCGCCCGGTGCGGAAGATCCCAACGGATGCAGTGCAACTTACCCGTAGGCTTGATGACGGTGCCCTTGACTTGATCACTGCTGTAGATGACCTCGGCTTGGCCAGCGCACTCTTCAACACGCACGACTTCAAGACCCATCTCCTCTTCAGAGATGACGGCGAGTTGAAGCTCTTGCTTCATGACCTTCTGGAGGTTGTTCAGACACTCCTCACTGCCATGAGCGAAGATGCCAGTGGTGAAGACATGCAGTGCGTCCTCATCGGAGAGTCCGATCGTGTCTCCTTCCAACACCCAGTCGGCACCTGGATCGGCAGGCCGGATCGAAGCGTACCTCCCACCACAGCGAGTGGAGCAGGCGATGTTGAAGTTGCCTGGTAGATGCTTGTTGGCCTGGGCGAGCGTCTTGAACTCTTGATCGGCCATCTCGCACACTTGACGAGCCTTCATGATCTGTTGCTTGTACTCTGGGCAGACGTCGTGGACGAGCAGGTAGTTGTAGAAGTTGCAGAGAATGTTGGTGGTGGACTCGACAATCTTCGCGTCCTGCCAATCGAAATGCGCCATGAAGTGGGAGGACAGAAATGCCTTGGCCATGCCTTCGAAGTCCACAACCCACGTCACTTCGCCGTCCTCGGGGTCGATACCGTCAATAACGGCGGAGGACACTGCAAATGGCGACTTCATCAGCACAACTTGCTCCCTGTCCAACTCCATCTCTTTCATGTCCTGCTCAGTCAAGCCTCCAGTGAATTGGTGCGGGCCCGAGCTGAATCCGCCGAACGTGAGGAACTTGGAGAAGATTTGGAGCGTCAGCTGGTGTATCTTGCGCTTGGACATGTACCGAGCGACGGCACTGTCCATGCGGGAGGTGAAAGACTCGTCTGGGTCGAAGAGGGTGCGCTCTTGTTCGTACTCGGTGGGAGTAACGATGTCGACAAAGTTCTTCTCGAATCCCGTCGGCTTGAGGAAGTTCTTCGTAAGCCACGGCTTCTCGACGAGCTCCTTGTTTCGGGCTTTCTTGGGGTCTTCTCGAGCTGTAGCAGTGACTGTAGTGTAGTTCGAATGATCAGCGGCTCGGTCAATCATAAAAGATCGGGGATAGGGAGGGGGTTGTTAAACTCACTGGGCACCTTGAGTGGCTCCTTGCGACGAATGAACTTGTTCTTCCACACCTCGAGCTTCTCGCTCTGGCAGAGAGATGCCTTCACACGAGCTGGCGGCTTGAAGCTGCGCATCTTCTTCCAGCTCAAGATCTCGTTGAGGGACACCCATTCTTGACCGGAGGGGCCGGTTTTGGAGAGAAGATGGGCGTCGTGGGGGAGGTTATCATCGCTGAAGTAGTACTCTACCTGTCGAATTATCTCCGCGGCCTGGGGGTGCGACTCGACTGCGGCTGGGGCGATCGGTGGCGTGGTAGTGTTGGTGTTCGGCGGGGATGGGGTCGATATGGCGGCATCGTCGCCGTGGGTGATCGGCTCGGGCTGCTGCTGGTTAGGAGATTTCTCCCCGTGCTCCACCGGTGACTGCATGTCGTTGGATGGCATGAGATGCTTGGTCGAGGTGTGGTCAGTGGGGAGGGGATGCTGTTGGGTCAGTTCCACGCGGAGATGGATGATTTAAGTAGTAGCGACCCGTGGAAGCTGCTAGAGCATGTGAAAGCCGTGAGCTGGCCTTTCAACTTCACCGAATCTTCTGAAACGGGCTGTCTGTCATGTGGACTTTGAAGTTGGTGAAAGTGAAGTCAAGAAGGAAACACGCGACGCGCAGGTGGTCGGCGTGCCACGCAAAGTCATGGGACGGAGGGAGAAACCAAAATCCGGCCAACCTCCCCCTTTTCACAACTTCATCCCCGCATCCCTCGAAACGACTACGCTTTCAATCGCAGTTCAGATCGCTTAGATGGCTAGTCGGCGACGGGGATGCATGTTCCATCTCGATCTGAAACGATTCTTGCCTTCCTGTTTTCTACCCTCCTCGTTCCGCTGGAATGCAAGGAAACGATACGTCCGATCTTCGATCTCCATCCCCCGTGTTCTAGTAGCGACCGAACATCAAGCTGTCCTTCGAATTGCTTAGACGGCTCGCGAGCAATGGGGATCAATGTTCCACTTGCTGCTTGACCAACAGCTCCGTCATCTTCTCGATTCGCTTTCCACATCCCTCGTTGGCTGCTCCTGCCGTCTCGATGATAACGGTGGTGGTCTTCGAAAGGATTGAACGGGTCGATGGTGTGTTTAAATGGGCACGAGGCGGCAACTGTATGGTCAGCCTCTGATCAAAGGGCTTGGGCAACCCAAAGTCTGGGAGTATTCGATTGGTTGGCTGACAGTATTACTTTTCTGATGGCAGTGATTCGCGCGACCACATTTCGTTGCTGCCAAGCTTCACCTGGCATTATTTATACGCTACTTTAGTGGCTCGCACGGGCACGCATTGCGGTACTGCGAAAGCCTGTAAACAATTTCTTGCGCATTTAAAAGCCTTACTGGTCGCTTTCTTCTTTCTCTTCTGTTCATCAGCGCCATCACCAGCAACATCGCTTGCGATACACTCCCTCTTGAAACCGACCACGCCTAGCGAAAGTTCGCCATCGAGACCATCATCATGGACCCATCACCTTCAATCGCCGGCTGGTACTCATACGCCAACCTCGAGACCGCAGAAAAGTACCGCGCATTCACCATGCTCGGATGCTTCATTATCGGACTCTTCATTATGGTCCTGGCAGCCAAGTACCACTGGGATCTGGCATCTCCCCCACCACGTCTATTTCTCTGGATGAGCTGCCTTTTCGCCGCCACGACGATTGCCTATTTAGCCGCGGAAGTCCTCACGCACACATACCTTGACTTTTTACCCAACACCTGCGACGCCATGATCGAGCTCGCAGGGCCCAGGCGTGGCAACTTCTCGTACCCATGTCAGCGAGACTTGCTCATTCGATGGTTCAACCAAGCCATCACGGCTGGCCATTTCAATGTGGAACAGTTGCTGAGGATCAAGAGGGTGAAGTTGACTCTCGGGCCGGTTCTTGGGTGTTCTTTTGCCATCGCACTTGAGGAATTTGCGAGATGGGCGGAAAATCGGCCGATTCGATTGGGCGACGAAAAGGACATGCGTGAACTGGAGGAACAGAAGTCTGTTTGGGGAGTATGCCCTCATTGCTCTCGTTCCCGTCAAAGTGGAACGCATTGAACTGCCATCTCTCAGAAGTTTCACAAGCATCTGCGTTGCCGACTGCACTCCGAGCTGCTCAGACGGGCTAGGAGTAGTGGGGAACAACGAGGGTATGCATGCAGACCGCCCGATGACTGTTGCCAAGCACTACATATTGCTCAGATCCATGTTCAAAAAGTCGATACTCTGCTGGGTCCCATCCATCCAGTTGTCGACAAAGGTGTACATGCCGTCCAAATTGGAAGGGTCGAACTGGCCCCAATTGAGCGCAGAGTTTTGAGCCGCGTTGCTGTATCCGGTCATCTGAGCAGGATCAAAGGCTTGCTGGATGTCTTCTCTCCGCACAATGGCTTCGGTCTGTACAGGTGCAGTACTCGGTACCATGGCATTCGTACCGACATATGCCTTGGCAACGGAGCAGAAGATTGCGCACGCGTTTCGAAAGCGGGTCGTTCCTTCAGATGAATCTGGCAGGTTCTCGAGAGAGTTGTAGAACTGCAAGAGAAGCTCGAGGTCGCGGCCGTCGAATGAGGATATGACGTGCAAGAAGACAACGATGATGGGTGTGAAGGTGCCGTATAAAAGGTTCCAGCTTAGATAGACGTGGACCATTTCTCCGTTGACAAATCCGCGAGTATGGTCGAGCGCTTCGAGATGGCATTCAATGCTCCGGCAAGCTGCTTGATAGCATGCAGGCGTGATGGTTCCAGGCGAGGCGCTGGTCGCATAGGTGCCGCGATGGATCGTGGATATCAAGGAGTACCAAACAACCTTGGTAGGCACAATGTATATAGTTTTGAAGTATTCCAGTCTATAGCAGTCCGGTACTTCTGACTGTAAGGCTTTTGGTCAGTAACAACAGTTCAACCTTGCGGTATATCAGCTTACAGGCATGTATTGCTGCCACCAGTTCTTCAAGCTCTGCTCTAGCTCTGCTGCGATAGCAAGACGCTCTTCGTTCGTTTTCCTGAGCGCAGCCGCGGTGTACAAACGAGTGTAGATCATGCCTTCGATCTTGGCCATATTGTAGAAAGCTTGATTAGCATGGTCCCAGGGCGCAAACCTGGGGTCGGGCGATGCGTCAAACATCTCGACATCAATATCATCATCTTGGATGGTTGGCGATTGCCCGAGTGTCAAGGACACCGATTTGTCGTGGGTGTAAATCGACCAAAACAGCCGACGTCTATTGTTGGCATCTTCTGCCGTCAGGTCGGCATAGGACGCCTTGCGATGAAGTCCTAGACTGAGAGCATGTCGTGCAGCACAGCTAGTGTTCATCCAGCATGTGTTGACGTCTGTCCTATCTTGTCCCCATGTTGCCTAAAAGTCTGTCAGACGTGCTTTCTTCAGATAACAGACACACGCACCGCAATCCTGAGAGCTTTTGTGTTGTCCAGAGTAGGGTTTGCAAATACTTCGTATGTCTTTATGGCTGATTCGAAGTTCTTCTCGCACAAAGACATGATCTCAGCATAGTCAAATTGTTCTGGGAAAGGCATTCCCGGCCGAAGGACCCACTCTCTGAGCAGGAACACCATGATCCCATGCATGGTGGCGAGCTGTCCGAGTGAGATGGGCTCAGTGGGAAAGTAAGCTGCCTGACACAGCCTCTCGAGATCGGAGATAGTCCCAAATCCATACGCAAGGAGTGATAACGAGGGCTCCATCTTGAAGACTTTCAAAAGCTGGACCACAAAGTCTGTGGGTGGCAGGTCCATGTTAGTCGCCGTTTTTGAGATCTTGCGTTTGCTTTCTTTCGGAGAGCTCCCCGTTGTGGCAGAGCTACTTGTATGCACGAGATCACGCAACGACCTGAGGCCATCTTGAGCAGCAGCCAACTGTGCCTGGTCTCGGGCGAAGATTTGAGATGCCTCGCCAGCATCGATTGCCTGATTAGCAAAAGAAGATACACCTTCAAATACCGAGTGAGGACTGTCACTTGAGGCGGACTGTTCTACCTCCGGCCCTGGGAGCGATTTTGGAGAAGCTGTAGAAGTTCGACGCTCGCTCAACGTCAGCAGATGTTGAACAGATTGCCTGATCTCCTCGATGTTCTGGGAAAGCAATTTGATATCATCTTTCCTGTATGTCGTCTTAGCGGGGTGGAATCGTCAAATCAAAACATCAACATACTCTCCAACAGCTGCTGGCCTACGAGCCGGAGCAGAGCGAACTTGGGTCTTGGCGGAGGAAATCTGACATTGAATGCCAGACGCCTCGCAACTCGAGCAGGGAAATTGGCGACTACATTTGATCTGACACCACAGCCGTCAATCATCTGCAGAGAGGACAGGATCTGGTCAACGCACTTTGCGGATTCTACAATTTGCGCACTTCTCGCCGTCAGCTTTTGTACGCATCCAAAAGCAGCTCAGCAATCACCCACCGCCTTGGGTATCACAGACATAGGTCGTTCACCGTCCATGATGATCGCGCATGTGGCTATCGAAGGGACCAGAGAATTGTTACAGGCGAGAGGAGTGCTCGTCGTGGCCTCGTGAGCGAAAGGGCCAAGACACAGCAGAGTTCTTCGTTACGGCAGATGTGACGCCACCTCGCGATCTCGTCTTAGCAGCGGACTTGGAGGAGGGCCGCGGGTTTTGGGAGATGCTTGCGAAGGAATGCTTGTCCTGTCATTACTCACCCAGCTGACTGATTGTCTGGCCGTCTCCCGATGTCAGCAAGGGCAGTTCAAGTTGTTGCCTGTCCACTCTTCGGCGCTGGGAATCCTGGGATGGTGTCGGTATCAGGTCTACGAAGAGTCCAGAAATAGGAAGTCTCTTGGCAGTTGGTCCAGTTTGGCGATGAGTGGTGCAGGGAATAATACTGAGATGGAGTGAGGTGAAGATGAAGGTGTCGTCGGAGAAGGGCTGGCCTTCTGGTGGTCCGTGCCACGCCGAATCCCGACCCCAATCTTCTCCTCGTTCCCGTACAGCATCGTCCCTGCTTCTGCGTCTCATGCCCATCCATTTTTGGGCGGAACAACAGCAACTCCCACAACTTTGCAGCCTGGCATCCAACTACTTGGGGTCGTGAACTCTCATGACAATGGTCTGGTTTTTCCCGGAGCCGGACATGACCGCTCGTTGTTCCCTTGATCTAGAGGCCCTGGAACCGCTGTCAGTAATGCAGCCATATGACAAGGCCAATGAGGCAGTGCAGGACAAAGTAGTATATTCAAAGTGAGTGCGAGAAGCTCTGTTAAGTACAGAGCAAAAGCAGACCGTCCCCGCGGGATGCGAGGGGAGTGAATGACCTCGCTTATTGTCCTTATTTGCACCTCGAGCCGACTGTCTATAGTGCATTGATACCGTCGGACGGTCTGCCATGAGCCAGTCATCAAGTGCTGTGCGCAGTGGAAGTGGAGGGTGCATATGTCTCGTCAAACGCTTGTAAAGCCAAAGGACCCAGGGACAAAATGCCATGCTCAAGAGACTGCGAGTGACGACAGTTGGACTTACCCTCACAAGAAAAGCCTTTCCAACACAGGATCTAGCAACAGACAGCTCTACCTTGTCTTGATGACGAGAGGGTCTTTGCAGCTCTGCACGTTCCAACCACTCTCTGGTGGCAACACCCCTCGGAATCCTGCTCTGGCAGATCGATGCCACGGAGAGAGCATGCATATCGTAGACTGGACCAACATCTAACAATGTTGTATCCATGAGTCCAAGCAGTTGCTCGGACTTCGTTCAGCAACGAGAAATGCCTGCTCGTGGCAGGGCTGCGCGCGCGTTGCTTCCTCCGCGCTTTCCACGGACTCTGGCTTCGTAGGGGCTGTGCCAAGCCAGTATAGCATCACAGCCTTGAGCCTCAATGCCAACAAGCACGATTGTAAGAGACATACTAAAGAGACGACAGTGCGTGCAAGATGAAGTCGGCTATCATCACAGCAGCATACATCACAACACAATGTCATCCACCATTCCCCGGCCTCCGGGATACCCAATAGTGGGCAATCTTTTCGATGTCGATCCGACCAACTCCATCAAGAGTCTAGACGACCTTGCCGATAAATATGGTCAGACTGATATCCTCCGTCTTATCTTTGCTCGTGGCTAATGATTTGCAGGCGAGATTTATAGCCTGAAGTTCTTCGGGAACGAAGCCTACTTCATTTCATCAGTCGATCTCGTTGAAGAAGTATGCGATGAGACCCGGTTCGAGAAGAAGGTTGAAGAGACTCTCGTTGAGGTCAGAAATGGCGTCCACGATGGCCTGGTATGGAGTTCTGTCCGTGAAAGCTCTGCTGACCTTGCTAACGTGGTCTTTCGTAGTTCACCGCGCACAACGATGAACCAAACTGGGGTATAGCCCATCGCATGTTGATGCCCGCGTTTGGTCCCATCTCCATCAAGGACATTTTCAACGAAATGCACGATATAGCCAGCCAGCTAGTGTCAAAGTGGGCGAGGATTGATCATGATACACCCATCCAGATCACCGACGACACTACTCGCCTTGCTTTCGATACCGTCGCACTCTGCGCTGCGGGGATGCGCATCAACTCCTTCTATCGTGAAGACATGCACCCTTTCATTGACGCCATGGCGGACTTTCTCACCGAATCTGGTCTGAGGAGCGATAGGACCGCCGTCGAGACACTACTAAACCCAGGTCTCGAGAAAAAGTATCGACGAGATATCGAACTTCTGAGATCGACAGCGCAGGAGTGCATCGATAATCGACGGGCGAACCCCACGGACAAGAAAGACTTGTTGAACGCCATGTTATACGGTAAAGATCCCAAGACTGGACAGCAACTCACAGAGGAGTGTGTCATAGATAATATGATCACTTTCCTCATTGCTGGTAAGATTTGATCAAGCCCAAGATTTCATACATGATACAATTGACAACGTGTTAGGACACGAGACTACTTCTGGACTTCTATCGTTCACGATATACAACCTTCTCAAGAACCCGGAAGCTCTACAGAAAGCACAGCAGGAGGTCGACACAGTGGTTGGAAGTGGTCCAATCCAATTCCAGCACATGTCAAAGCTGCCATACATTGAAGCAGTATTGCGGGAGACCCTTCGTCTTACTCCGACAGTGCCTTCCATTGCGGTCACACCGAAACGCGGCACGAAAGAATCTGTGATCTTAAAGGGCAAATATGTCATCCCTGCTGACGCTACTATCTACTGCCAGTTCACCAAGAGCCAGAAGGACCCAAGCGTCTTCGGGGAGGATGCCACGGAATACAAGCCGGAACGCATGCTGGATGAGAAGTTCCGACGGTTGCGACATGGGGCTTGGAAGGCAAGTGAAGTACATGTACCCTTGTTGTTCCGCTCAAAGTGGAACGAATTGCATTGTTATCCCCAAAACTTTCGACCTGTCCAAACATTCTAGAAAACGATCAAGAGCTTGGACAGCTCGCGAGTTTTGGGGATAATGTTCCACTTTGAACGTTACAAGAAGGAAAGAAGATATTTCTTGCGAGTACTCTGGACTAATTCATTTGTTAGCCTTTCGGAAACGGGGCAAGGGCCTGCATTGGACGCCCGTTCGCCTGGCAGGAGGCCATTCTCGCCATGACCATGATCCTGCAAAACTTCAACTTGCGATTCACTGATCCTAGCTATCAACTGCGTATCCACGAGACTCTTACGCAGAAACCGTTAGGACTCCAAATCAAGGCCAGTCTGAGGGCAGGAATTGATCCTGTTAAGCTCCCGCAGAAGCTGCATTCGGGCGCGCCTGTAAATGGAGACGTAGTACATGCACCCAGTGCAGCATCAACGACGAATGGCGATGGAAAGCCCATCACGATCCTATTCGGTTCGTCTGCCGGCACATGCGAAGGTCTCGCTCATACGCTCGGCTCTGCTGCTCGAGGACGAGGATTCAAGCCCGATATCCGGACGCTGGATGAAGCGGTGGACAACTTCCCCACCGACCACCCTGTCGTGATCATTGCGTCTTCGTACGAAGGTCTACCTCCCGATAACGCCAAGATCTTCATGGAATGGTTGAAGTCCACCAACTCGGACTTGTCCAAGGCCAGCTTCGCGGTCTTTGGTTGCGGCCACCGAGATTGGGTTTCCACCTATCAAAAAGTCCCAGCCACGATCGAGGAGCTTCTTGTCAAGAAGGGCGCCACGCTCTTTGCACCTCGCGGCGAGACTGATGTATCTAAAGGCGCCATCTTCGATGACTTCGATGCGTGGATGGACGTCCTAGCCGACAAGCTCTCTGCAGGTAACGAGGAGGCCTCGTCGCCTTTATCCGCAAGCTTCAATGTCCAGGTATCGACCAACGCTCGATCTGGTCATCTCCGCTACAACCACATGCACCATTCCAAGGTTGTTAGCAATGAGCGAATTGCAGGGACGGATGCCCCGGAGAAGAGGACACCGGAGAAGAGGCATCTGGTCCTCCAACTACCGACCGATATGCGCTATGAAGCTGGGGATTATCTGGCCGTGTTACCAGTCAATCATACTCACACCATATCGAGGGTATTACGCCGCTTCTCCTTGCCTTGGGACGCTGCCATGACGATCACAGATGGGACGCATGCCACCATCCCGGCCAACACAGAGCTATCCGTAGCAGCAGTCCTCGCCTCATACGTCGAGCTAAGCATGCCGGCGACTCGCAGAAACAAGGAGATTCTCTCCAAATGCACAGAGAACAGGTTGGAAGACGAGAGCATGAGTGGCTCAGTCATCGATATTCTGGAGAGATATCCGGAGATAAAGCTTCCTTTCCCAACATTCCTGGCGATGCTACCGGCGTTACGACTCCGCCAATATAGCATATCCTCGTCATCCCTGGCAGACCCCTCCACGGCCAGTATCACCTTTAGCGTGCTGGAGACAGAGAAGCATCTTGGCGCGGCAACGACCTATCTCAAAGATCTGGAACCCGGCTCAACAATTCAGATCGCGGTCAAGCAGTGCTCGAATGCGTTCCGTCTACCCCTGGACGACACTATCCCCCTAATCATGGCCTGCGCGGGTTCAGGAGTCGCCCCCTTCCGTGGCTTCGTCCAAGAACGAGCTGCGAAGAAAGCGTCCGGAAAGGAGGTGGGCGAAGCTGTGCTCTTCGTCGGATGTCGCGGCGAAAGCGATATGGTCTTCGCTAAAGAATTCGCTGAATGGGAAGCCCAAGGAGTCGTCAAAGTCTTCCCCGCGTACAGTCGACAGTCTGAGCTCACGAAAGGCTGCAAGTACGTTCAAGATCGACTGTGGTCGGAGAGAGAGCTCGTTTCTCGCCTTTTCGACCAGCAAGGTGCTAGGGCGTATGTCTGTGGGAGCAGCAAGATCGGACAGGGGATCTCAGAGGCAGTGGCCAAGATCGTCTGCGAGCAGGGTGAGAAGGATGGGGAGCCAACGACCTACGAAGAAGCGTTAAAATGGTGGCAGGATCTCAGGGGGGATCGATACGCCGTGGACGTCTTCGATTAATGGTCGGTGTTCCGCTGAAAGTGGTATTCATCCCCATTACTTCCACGCCTATCAAGCAGTCTGAAGGGCAGTTCGTAGCGTAGTCGCTTATGAAAAGTCGGGTATATGGCAGTTCTATAAGTTTCACTTTGACCAGCAGGAGGAGGGTAGATACAGAGACACGATTAACGACCACCGCAATCCAATTCACGATCACTGCGTCCCCCTGACCACATTCCCCACCTCAATCTTCACCTCCTCCCACCCACATGTCCTGTACGAATTCGCCGCATCGATGAATTTGCCCTCATCCGGCAACACGTCGCTTTCATAATAGGGATCCTCAAGGGCCTTCTTCAGACATTCCACATTCGGCACCGTGAGCTCCACATGTCCATCAAACTGCAGCACATTCGATCCGCCGAGTCCCGTCCAGACTTCGGTGGATTGCGTTTTCGTTTGGGTCGGGGTGTGGTACTACAATGTACAATCAACCAAGAGCAAGAGGGAAAGAAGAGGTGGAAGTGTCTCGGAGGAGGCATGGGACTTTACCTGAACGTATCGAATAACCCCATGCTTCGCGAGCCATTTCTCGACGATGGGAGCGTGGATTTCCGTCCAGTACTTGTGGAACTCTTCTTCGCTCATGTCCTGGCGGCGTTTGATGAGCATGCTGAATTTGAGGACGGAGGCGCGTTGTTGAACCATTGTTGCTGACGTCTTCGGAAGCCTGAGGAGGTGGGTGGGATATGTGCTAGGAACATGTGTGAAGTACGAAAATATATGGCTCTTGCCATTACTACACCTTACGCTTACCCCTCCCAGTTCAGATTAGAAAGATCAGAGATCTTCCTCATGCCTCGTCTCGATGTCATGGCACTTATCCGATGAGTTGATCGTGAGCTGTTCCTGCTCCAGGTCATGAGGGGTAAGGAAGCTCAGTCTTCTGAAGGATGGAGATACAACAATCGATGTATCCTTACCCCCCTCGCTCCGGTCAAAGAGGCATATCTATCCCCATTACTCCCAAGCTGTCTAAGCGGCTTGGGCTGCGACTAGCAGCATAGTCGCTTGTAAAAAGTCGGGGGGAGAGAGAGAGCAATTGCATACATTCGTAGTTGCGCATGTGATAGAGTTGTTAGTGGAGTGGTAAGTGAATGTTTGGAGCGAAGTGGGCTGGTCCCTTGCAGCTGCCGATTGCATCATCGCCAAAGCTGCCTGGAAGCTCCCTGCACTGCACATCCACCTACCTTCCTTCAAACAAACACCAACCACCCACTTGTTTCCTCCAACAACTCGCCACCGCCAGCTCCTCAAGCCCACGAAAATGGCCACCGCCACCGTAAAACCCCCGAAACGCTTCATCCCCCTCGAAAACAACCCCGAAGTAATGACCACCCTCCTCCACACCCTCGGCCTCTCTCCGACCCTCCAATTCCACGACGTCTACAGCATCTCCGACCCGGACCTCCTCTCCTTCGTCCCTCGTCCCGCCCACGCCCTCCTCCTCGTCTTCCCCGTCTCCCAAACCTACGAGAAATTCCGACACGAGGAAGACGCCTCCAAAACCGAGTACGAAGGCAGCGGGGACAGCGAAGAAGTGGTGTGGTACAAGCAGACGATCGGGAACGCGTGCGGGCTGATTGGGCTGTTGCATGGGGTGAGCAATGGGGAGGCGAGGAAACAGGTGCGGGCGGGAAGTGCGCTGGACGAGTTGATACGGAAGGCGGTGCCGCTGAAGCCGCGCGAGCGGGCGGCGTTGCTGGAGGAGACGGAGGCGCTGGAGACGGCGCATCAGGCGGCGGCGCAGACGGGAGATAGCGCGGCACCGAGCGCGGACGAGAGTGTGGATTTGCATTATGTGTGTTTTGTCAAGAGTGCGAAGGGGGATTTGTGGGAGATGGATGGGCGGCGGAAGGGGCCGTTGAATCGGGGGAGTTTGCCGGAGGGGGAGGATGTGTTGGGGCCGGAGGCGTTGGAGAAGGGGGTGAAGGCGTTCTTGAAGAGGGAGGAGGAGGCGGGTGGTGGGGAGTTGAGGTTTAGTTTGATTACGTTGGCGGAGGCGCTGGATTGATGAGACGGTGCTCATTGAACGGCGAGCAAGCTTCACACTCGACGGCAATGAGAGGGTCTTGGTGTCGAGATCATGGCTACGCGAAGCCCGACGACACGACTTGAAGGTGGACAAAACAGCGAGGGCCACCGCATCGACTTGGATCCGCTCGTCGTCTGCACACCCACCAGCGGGCTCTATCTTGATGGCGTAGAACAGAGAACTGTCTCGGGCTTCGGGAGCGTTCTGCCATCAAGTAGCGTATGTCAAGCGAACTTGAGTTCTAGACGACCTCGAGATTGCTTGTGCTACAGGTATTTGATGAAGACAAAGAAGATACTCCATGACCAAACCAATAAAAGACCTTGAGCCGTCTATAAAATACTGGAGTAATGTCAATACTAGAGAAAGTGGGCATCCTCTGCCTGCTAGGACCGTTCGGACCGAGGCTGTGATGCTGGTGCCGGTGTCTCGCCCTGCTCCCTGGCCCAACCCTCATAGCCCTCGGGAAACTTTTCGACCAATCTTCTCATGGCCTCCATCGAGCTATCGAGGATGTTCAGCAAGGCGTTCACATCAAAGACCCTGCTGCAGATATGCTTACTAGGATCTGTAGCGCATATCTCCGGGATATATGGCGAGGCCTTTCATCTCCCATCGCCTTTTCATACACATGTAAGCCAGCCGCTCACGGAATTCGAACATTTCGACTTACAGAATATACAAGGCATTACGATCCTCGAAGTCCGCCTCAGGTGCAGAGATAGGGAAATACCCGCAATATGCCTCCAGATATGCCCTCCCGAGTCGATGTCGTGCAAGACCCCAAGGAGCAAGATCCCCTTTTCCTCATTATCAGTCTGAATGGCACGAAGAGGCCAAGAAGGACGAAATACCCACATTCATTATGAGCATACAAGCACGTCGCATCGTAGACAACGGGCTCCAAAGCCTCCCAGTCCACCACGGAGACATTCCCTGTATACAGATCCCCATGAACCAGGCAGGGTGTGATGCTTCGCCCGCCGGACTCCAGCGGCCGCAGCAGGCGCGGGATGACCTTTTCCACGACCTGGTCGAACAGGTTTCTGAACTCCCGCCCGGGGTCTTGGGCCGCTTCAATCGTCCGCATCAGATCTCTCATGTAATTGGTGACGAACACCTCCCAGGAGTCAGTCCACGTCGTATACTGCGCCATTCGGCCCAGATAGTTCGGCACGGGGAATCCGTATCGTCCATCGGGGGAGGCGGATACGGTGTGCAGGTGGGCGATTTTCGCGGCAAAGCGATGCACATCGGGCAGCTCGTCGATCATGGCGACGAACTCGCAGAGGAAGAAGTGGATGCTTGCGTCGGAGGCGTAGACACCGCTCGCGATGGGGGCGGGCGTTGAGTGAGGAAGATAACCGTGTAGGAGCCTCACCGACTCGAGCTCGCCGGCGACCATGGCTCGTCCCATGGAGCCGGAAGTGAGCTGTGGGTTGACTCTGCAGTAAGCATTCGAGGCATTGCAATTTACATGGGGTGTGGGTTCAGATAACCTTATGAAGAACGACCGCTGGCTTCCATCGGCCTGTTCAGTGTCGATTCTGGCGGTTCGAGACCAGACACTCGCTCCGTGCGGGACCGTGTCGAGGACGCGGGTTCCTTGGGGGATTATAGACAAAGGGGTTATGTCAGGCTTGCTCTGGTGCGCCGTGGTGGTAGTAGAGCGTACCTGCGAGGACGTTTGGATCGGCAAACTTCGTCCATCGCTCGTCAGGCTGGTGAGCTTTGTCTTTGTCGGATATGACGTTGTTCTGCAAAACCATGACTGGGCGGAGGTGTTGATGTCGCCGTATAGTGAGATGTGAAGTAGATATGGAGTGTGCGGGCAGGTTCTGGATTCGAGGGCTTGTGTTGTGTACTGGGGTGACTATAGCAGGCGTTTTGTTCAGCTGCTCGGCGTCAAGTGCTCGATTTTGTCAGTTGGCTTTCAAGTCAGCCGATTTTTGACCAAGTTGCAAACTTGCCATACATGTCTCTGCCCTTTGATCTTCTCTACCCAGGACAACCCCGTGAAGACATCGCCCTCACGCCAGACCACGCAAACGCTTCGAACGCATCAAAAAACCAACACGGACATTGACTCGAATCACAACTCCCCCTTCCACTCCCTCACATACAACCCCTGCCCATCCCCCTCAAAAGGCGCACACATCTCCTTCCAAGGAATATAAACCCCATCGTCCCGCCACGCACCACCTTTTCCATCCTTCCCAGGCCCCATGGGCGTCGTCTTCCCATCCGGTCTCGCCTGCTGCCATCTCACGCCATCCACTTCAGCCAGCGTAGCCGGCCCTTTGCTTTTACCCTGCTTCCTCTTCGACGCCTTCATGAGCGCTTCGCCGTGCGGATGGAACCACATCCTCGGCCACCAGCGGTCTCGGACCGTCTTGTCGCCCGTGACGTGGAAGAGGCCAAAGGGGGAATGCGTGATGGAGTTGGCGCCGAGCATCATGTCTTTCCAGGGCTTTTGGTCGGGGAAGTCTTTGGGGCTGGCGGCGAAGGGGCCTTCGCTCCGCTCTACATCCTCTCTTAATGTCCATTGATCGATCCTGGGAGGGGCGTTTCCATCCGCAGGACTTGACCCGTTGAACCTCATCCACAGGACGTGGAACTCGAACGCCGCAGCCGTCTGGAAGAGATCCATTTCGTAATCCAGACAGATCCCATACTCCGTCTTCTTCCCCTCGGGAATCTGCGGCACGATAACCTCGACGTCGTCGCCGTAATCAGGCATGTCGACTTCTCCATCATTCTTCAACTTCATCCTGTTGATCTCCTGCTCCGCCCACACCTCGGCGAAGTAGTACTGATCGCTACCGTGGAACTCCCACCCAGAATCATACTGTCTCGAGAGCATATCCATCGTGGCGCTGAACATCTCCCTCATCTCCTTCGCAGGACCCATGATCGTCCCCGAATTCAGCCAGCGCGGTCGCACGGTCAACATATTCGTATCCGTCTCCGGACCGAAAGAATTCGGCGGAAGGTAGGACTGCGGCACCGCCCAAACCGCCGGATCACCAGGTCCTTGCGGCCAGAAGATCTTGTCCGGGCCGAAGATGAGGCTGTGCTTGACTTCGCCGCCGCCGTGGTCTTTCCCCAGGATGCCCTCGTCTCGGAGACGGGCGTCGTTCTTGCGGATCACGTCGTAGTAGCGCGATATGAGCACTTCCGGGCGGAGTTGAAGCCATATGTCGTAAGCGTCTAAGATCAAGACCATGTCCTTATCCGCGCTGGTCGGTAGTGATCGTAGATACGTCAAGGTCTCTGTAATCTTGAAGAGGTGGGTCTCCGTGCCATTGTACACGCCTCGTCCATCCCAGCCCACGAAGATAGGTTCGGGGTAGCCTAAAATCCCCGCTGAGAGGAGTAGTTTGCAGAAATCCAAGTTGGGACCTGTCGCTGGCAGGATGAGGTGGAACTGCCTCTCATCATGCTTGTTATGTCGGAAGCTGTAGAAGTTGCCAGTCTCTGGCGAGGGTGATGATCTACCGCTGCTGGTGAAGTGATATGCCGCTAAGAAGACTAGCAATATGAAGCCGCCGGCCGCAAGGAAGGCGAGGCGTCGTGGAGGGTACATCCTGTGTGTATTCTTCCCGTCATGGAAGGTACGGACTGACGTTGAAGTTGTGGGTGACGTTGCAATCTCGCTACCTTCTCGGCCTCGTCGTCAGCATGCCTTATCGCTCGCTAGACTCGGGTGGGCTTGTCGCAAGTAAAGCGAAGGATGATGTCGAGGGCTGCGGCTGTATAGCGAGTGTGTGGTAGCACAACACCAAGTGCCGTTCCACCGCTGACGCGTGTTCAAACCGCCTCAAACCGTTCTTGGGGACCCTCGGCTGGATTCGATTTGGTGAATGACAGTAAGACTCTCTCCGCGCTCCCCCAGAGTAACCCCATATAACAGACCGACTCCTTCCCCCCTTCGTGTGTTCCTCCCCCGGCGTTTCCGAGCTGGGATGGATCAAAAACGAGTGACTTCCGCGTGTTCTCGTGTGCGGTTCTTGTTGGTCGAGCGAAGCACAGTCTCGTCAGCCCTGCATCAAGCGTAGAAAGGGCAGCATGCGAGAAAGAGACACAGCCCACGCCAACACACTCCTCTTCGTGTGCGCAGTAGTAGTCAACGAATGAACGGCCAGCAAAGACGAGCAGCAGCGTTTCGCAGTTCGTGTTTCGCTCGCACCCCCTCGGGCTTGGCTTGCCAGGTTGGTTGCAAGCTCCATCAAAGTGTCGGGCAGCCAAGAAGTGCCCAAGAGAATCCCACCCGCAAGCAGTGACCAACCAAGGACCGTACCCGTTTTGTTGAACTTGCCACCACTTTACCCACTTCCCGATCAAAGGCAAGCATTTTTCGCTCTTTCGCATTCTATTTTCGTTTCTCTTCTGCACATACACGGGGTGTGCAGCGATAAAAGATTAGTCACGCTACACATACGTAGGATTCCTCATGTCACCATCTCCTCTCCCCGCCTCTTTTGATAACAAACCACCAGCCGGCCAAGTCCGCGGATGGCCGGTTGACGGGCGTGCAAGGATCGGAAGAGCATCATCCCGTTCGTGACCACAGGGAGACTCTTCCTCGGGTAGGGCTGTATGCAGCATTGCTTGAATGAAAAGACCAAGTGGAACCGCAGTAGTGTGCTCGATTAGAAGCCAACGAAGAACCCGGTTTCATCTGTGCATATCCGATCGCACTCGGCGAAAGAAGTGGAGCAAGAGAAGAGACTCGTCTGGAATGTGCGATATCTCTTGGCGAGATTGTCCGATATCAACACTCACGTCTGTCGTGATGGAGTTCGAAGCGGTGCCTGTTTAGTCACGCGACTATACCGCGAAGCGACACCGGCAAGACGTGAAGTCGCAACAACCTTTTTTTCTAGCCTTTCGATCCATTCAAGGCTTGATGTATGTGGCTGAAATGGAGCACGTGTGGTATACTTTGTACTGATGTTTGAACTTCATCACATCTCCAAGCAACCATTCCTGTTTCTTCTGCTCTATACACATTATCCAAAAGTCGCATCATCTACCCTTTCCAGAATGGCTGGCTTCGGCAGTGGCGTCTGAGTGCCACGCGGCCTTCGCCAGAGCATCTGAGAGATCGTCACGCTCTGCACCTTTATTTCCTTCATCAGCAGCGAGATTTCGCGCCAAAGTCGTGTGTCGTGTGCGTGTGCGAGGTACGATTCAGACCGCCCTTTCCCCCTAATAAGCAGAACCAGATCCAAAGGTATGCCGATTACCACCTACGAGGTCGGCTGCCCGGCTTTCCAATGTCTTCCACTGTGAACCCCAACGAAGCCAGCTTGGGTGCATCGACTACATTCCTGCCGTCGAATACAAGTCTCGGTCGCTTCATCGAGCTGGCGATCCGTACCCAGTCCACGCGCTTGTCGGCTGGACGTGATTCTTCGCTCACAACTGCTGAGATGGGGTTGCTGTCGGATGATGAGGGTGCGGGAGTGACGAAGCCGCTGTCACGGAAGTCTGCGTCGCCTTCTGAGCTTGAAGCTGAGTGCGACCGACGAGTCCTCTCGACGAGCTGCTTTCGCACAGCGCTGTCCATGGAATTGATGTCAGGAGTTTGGTCGGTCTTGAACTCGTCCCATTCGGTGAGAATGACCACTGCGCTCGCATCTGCGCAGGCCGAGATGGCATCTCCGAACACTTCAACCTGCTTCTTCACAACCTCTGCTGGGTGTTCGTACGTGAGATCTTGTCGGATTTGCTGCTCGGATACTTGAGGGTCATAGATTGCGATTCGAGCACCTTCGGCGATTAATTGTCCCACAATAGTGATGGCCGCACTCTCTCGAGTGTCGCCCGTGTTCTTCTTGTAGGCAAATCCAAGGATTGCGATCTTCTTCAATCGCAAGGTGTTGTACAGACGCTTGGTGATGCGCTTGGCAAAACGTTCCTTCTGGTATTCGTTGATGTCGACCACAGACTTCCAGTATGCCGAGACTTCTGGTAGATGTAAGGTTTCCGCGATATAGGCCAGGGACAGAACATCCTTCTTGAAGCATGAACCACCGAATCCAGCCGAAGACTTCAACATCTTGGGGCCAATCCTAGTGTCGAGACCGACTGCGAACGCCAACTCCTCAATGTTTGCCCCGGTCGCCTCACATATGGCACTAAGCGAGTTGATGCTCGAGATCCTCTGTGCCAGCATGCAGTTTGCAGCGAGCTTGGCAAGCTCTGACGACCACAGGTTGATGGTGATGATTCGTTCTTGCGGCACCCACGAGCCGTACACCTGCGCAAGGGCACCTGCGGCATGTCGTCCTCTGTCATCCGCCAGTGATCCAATCAGAATGCGGTCCGGTTTCTGTAAGTCGTTGATGGCGGTGCCCTCGGCCAAGAATTCAGGGTTGGAGAGAATGTCGAAGTGTACATCTGGTGAGGCATGGGCATCCAAGATTTCCCGAATGCTATCAGCAGTTCCACAGGGGACAGTCGACTTTTCGACGATGATCTTGTCGCTGGTGGCGACCTCAGCAATGTGTCTCGCAGCAGACTCAACATAAGCCAGATCCGATGCGCCACCAGCGCCCAATCCTACAGTCTTGGTGGGTGTGTTGACAGCGATCAAAATCAGGTCGGCCTCGTCGATCGTCCTAGATATATCCGTGGAAAAGTGAAAGTTCGGGGTTCTGCCGTCGGTGCCATCTCTGGCAAGCTCAACAACCTCGTACAGTCCAGGCTCATAAATGGGCAGCGCCGTTGACTTCCACGCGGCAATCCGCGCCTCACTTAGATCAACCACAGTCACTGCGACGTCTGGATTGTGTTGCGCAATGACCGCGCTGGTTGGTCCACCCTGTCAAGATCACATGTGAGCAGCTGGTTGAAGAGCGGTGGGTATCGGGCAACACTTACGACATATCCTGCGCCGATGCAGCAGATCTTCTTGACCGGCCGGGGAGAGATGCTGCCCATGTTCTGTCTGTTTTACTCTGATGCGCTGTGAGGATGTTTGACTGTCACGCGAGTGCCTCGAAGTAAAAGACAAATTGTCTGCAAAGGTGCACCGTTTTTTCCAGACCAGTGGAATATTATTGAGCCAACCTCCACGTCCGCGGGGTGCACGTGTGTTGCAGGATCAAGGGATTTGGCCGGTCGAACTTTGGGTTGCCACCTCGCCAAAATACAAGCACAAGGTCGAGTTTGCCAGGGCCTATAGACGTGTGTGATGGCGCGAGGCAGACAGGCGCGTGATGCGAAGTCCAGGTGACGGCGCTGTGCACTTGATGAGTGCCTGAGGAGTTGTCGAAGGTGTCGCTACCGTTGAACGTGGATTGGCCAGGCCAAGTCAGGGGTCCGGCACTGGCGGTTTTTCTAATTGTTGGGGCCAGAGGCTTTGGGCCAAGGAGTAGCGACTGTTGAAAGGCTCACGGAAACTAAGGGGTATTTCTGCGCATGTCATAGGCTCATGCAGCGCACCACGATGGATTAGTACAGTACTCAGGTCGAAGGCTGAAGTGGGGCGAGGCCGGAGATATCAACTGCCAAGGCTGATCATTTGGCGTGGTCCAGAGGCCGCAACTGGGGCCGACGTGCAATCTGCAGCGGTGAGGCCACCCATAGTACGGAGAGGCATCGGACACAGTTGACACTCAACATTAGTAAGTGACTAATCGTGGAAAACACGAAGAAGGATGGATCGGCCTGCTTGAAAGCGGCGGATCTTGCGACCGGCCAAGCAGCCTTCGGGCCGAAGCAGCCGAACAACAGCAACAGCGTGTTTGGTACGCTCCACACTGCAGACCTCAGCTCTCACCGAGCTGTGCTTTGTCTCTCTTGAGCATGGCCGTACATGTGGAAGAGTGTTATGGGCGGTCGTACAACAGCCATACCAGCGGCCAACCACCCGATGCAAGGCGCGTCGGAACACGCCTCCACGGTAGCTTTGGGTGGCGTGCAATCAGCTCCCTCTCGCGCCATCCGCACCAAACTACTGCAGGTCCGAGATGATATGTCTTTGAGGCGTGTGCTCAGCGGCGCTAGCCACCGCCTAACAACCCCCTTCCGCACATGGAGCGGCGGCCAGCGCACCTCGTATCTCACATATCTACGCACCCGTCCTCCCGATCGTGGTGAGTGGCATGACAAGCCTTTGAACCACCTCGCACTCCCCATCCCTGCTCGACCTTCCGCCGTAAGCGTTGCAGCTCTTGGCCCTTTGGAGGATCTCCACATCCTCTGTCAGTCTTTACCGCCCAACAGCAATGACTTCTAGCGATGACTTCCGCGCTCTGTACTACTTCTCCCCGGACATCAACTCTCCGCGTCTGCAGGATCCAACCGACTACGACTCGCATGAACCTATCGTGGACGAGAAGAAGGCGGTGCGCTTCTCTATACAATCCATGGATTCCTCCGAATTGAGCGCCATTAACGAGGAAGACGACGAGCTGCTTCAAACACCAGAGGACCTGGAAGCTCAGAAGGCCACACCACCAACCTCACAACCTGCCGAATACACAGTGTCCACCAGCAAGAAGCTCACGTATCTGGGCTTGTACTTTCTTTTGAACTTGGGCGTGACTCTCTCCAACAAAGCGCTCTTGAGGAGTGTAGGTTGCTCCCCTTCTTCGACTGTCAGGCTGATGCTAATCCCAACGGTAGGCGTCTTTCCCTTGGCTGCTCACGTTCTCCCACACGTTCTCCACCTCCATTGGCTGTACCATCCTCCTTGCTACAGGACAGCTCAAACTCTCCAAGCTCTCGCTGCGTGAGAACCTCACCCTCGTCGCCTTCAGCTCACTCTTCACCCTCAACATTGCTATTAGCAATGTATCCCTGGCTCTCGTCTCGGTCCCCTTTCATCAGGTCATGCGATCCACCTGCCCGGTTGTCACGATCCTCATCTACCGACTAATGTACAGTCGCACATACTCGACACAGACGTACATCTCCATGATACCCCTCATTATCGGCGTTGGACTCGCGACCTTTGGCGACTACTACTTCACTCTTGCAGGCTTCCTGCTGACGCTGCTTGGCGTCTTTCTAGCTTCGGTCAAGACCGTGGCTACAAATCGGCTCATGACGGGATCCTTGAAACTGTCGGCAATGGAAGTGCTATTCCGCATGTCGCCCTTGGCGGCGATACAATGCCTGTTCTACGCTGCTGGATCCGGTGAAATCACGAAATTGCAAGCGTCAGCTTCGGGAGGCATCTTCACGACTGGCCTGCTCTGTTCCATTGGTGTGAATGCAACCATGGCATTTGGATTGAACTTGGTATCGTTCCAGGCGAATAAGGTGGCAGGAGCATTGACAATGTCGGTGTGTGGGAACGTCAAACAAACATTGACGATACTGCTGGGAATTGTTCTCTTCGACGTGGTCATTGCACCTCTGAACGGATTGGGCATGTTGGTTGCAGTGGCAGGAGCGGCATACTACAGCAAAGTCGAGCTGGACCGGAAAAAGGCCGCTTCGACGACATAGACACGTATAGAAGCATGAATGCACGATTGTCATGTACTCATCAAACACTTCCCACACTCAGCCCTACATTCACCTTTTAGCTTAAGTGCCAACACGAAGGACACGAAGGACATGCTGTCATTTCCAATCCTTCCACTTCTTGGCACGATATTTGGAGAATCATATGCATGCACAATCCTACGCGTACATCCTCCATACATATGCCACCGCTGGGCTGGGCTGATGAAATCAGAAAGAGAGAGCCAAGCCACTTCGTCTAAACTTTCGGATCCCGGATCATTGTGGCTCCTGCAGGTCTTGGCCAGTCGGATCCCTCGTGACATGCGCGCGTACGCCAGCGAAAAGGAGGCTGGGGCAAGACATTTCTCACGAAAGCTGAAGGTTTGCGAAACCCGTGTGCAACCATGTGCAGATGTAATTCGATTGTTCAGGGCGAATAGACGGCGTGCTTGGCGTTGGACAAGGATCCTGGTCAGTCGGTCGCTGTGCTCTTTCCGCGGATTCTGAGACGACGAGACGCCTCAACCACGCGCGGTCTTCCGCTTCCAAGGTTCTACTTTCCTGTCACTACTGCTGTTTCGATATACTCCCAACCCGGCGACCAGGGATGATACGATCAAGATGAAGGCTTTTCTGAAGATGCCGACTTCCCTTCGCGAGGTCATCGCTCAGGCGCGTCTGCCCACGTTGTCTACCAAGCAGCGGAATGCCGAACCCACCGACGAGGACGAGGATGCCATCGCCCTGCTGCCGGACGAGGAGAAAGATGAACCATTACCCAATAGGACACCTGCGAATCTTTTGAATGGACGATCAAGACTTTTCTGGCTTGTCCTCGCACTCATAGGCGTTGCATTGCTCGCGGTTGCTTTACTGCTGCCTTCGAGAAAGAGGCCGCCGCCAGAGCCAGCGCCGCCTGAGGAACCACCTCATCAGACGGACTACTATTTTCACATCGTTCTGCCCACGACTCAAAGCTCGGCGAACTTTTGCAAAACTCTGCTCAGCGCGGCGGTGCTCAATCTGCCTACGCCATGGCTGATCAACTGGGACTGGAATGGTGATGCAACAGAGGATCCTACCCTCTTGAAGCTGCGAACAACTACGGAGTGGCTTGAGAGAATGCCACCGGAGCGCGAAGATGACCCGGTGGCTATCGTTGGGAATGTGAATGCCTGGTTTCAAGTGAGATCTGATGTCTTGCTTTCGAGATATCACAAGATCCGCCGGAGGGGCGACCGCCAGATTGAGGAGTTGTTCTCGAACAAAGTCGGAGGGACGCAGGGCTTGGAGACGAAGATTGTGTTTTCAAGTGAGAAGGACTGTCAATTGACTGCGGAGAACCAAAGCGGCTGTTTGGCTGCTGCTGCTGAAGATGGCTCTCTGCACTATCTGAGCACGAATATAGTGATGGGACCGCTGAGGGATATTCGATCTCTGTGGCAGCGGGCAAGACAAGAAGCAGAGCGGCTTGCAGAGAGTGAGTCGGTGATTGACGAGAACAGGATATTTGCGCAGATCTTAGGCGAACAAGAAATGCGTCGAGGGACTATGCGGAAGTCGGAGGCTGACGAGACTCCTGAAGAACGCGAGGAGGACTTCGGCATCATGCTCGACTTTGGTCGAGAACTAGCCTATGCGGCAGATGAGAAGTTAGAAGGAGTGGACTGGGTGAAGCATAACGGAGAAGGAGACAAGAGGCTCTCCGTGCCAGACGACATCGCCATCTCCACACCACCATTCTGGACATTCGAAGCCTCCGGCGCGCTACCAAACACCCCCTGGTCCGAAGTACCCCTCCTCGCCGGCGTCCACGCCAATATCGTCCCAGCGCTCGTCCAGCGCGGTCGCAAAGCAGACAAGGAGCTATCCAGCACTTGGTTCGAGAAGATGTGGTTTCAGCCATATGGCCGGCAACTGCTCGACGCTTTTGCGCTGATTCCCAGCGCGCCTCTTGCTGTGCTTATCGATGACGAGGGCAACCAACAGAGGTATTGGAGTCCGCATCTTGAGAAGGTCGGGGCGAAAGATCAGGATCTGGTTTTTCATGATTGGACGGAGTTGTGTGCGACGGAGCAGTTTAAGGAGGATGTGGCCAGGGAGGTGTTTCTGGATGGGAAAGGGGTTTGGGAGGATTCCAGGCCTTGAAAAAGATCTTCTCTATGAGGGATTTGGCGTTTGTGGCGATCATCATGTGTTGGGTCGCCAGTCGCACCTTCCCTTCGACTTTCACTTCGTCGACAAACTTCGCGCTAAGCGAAGCAACCGCCGCTTGACCCGACTTCATCTTCGCACGCTCGACCACAATTCTTTCCATCACCCGCAGCACATCCCGTACAACATGGATGACTGCTTCCATTGCCAGGACACCGGTGCTGAGCATCCGGAGGGCGTTGAGCCGCTCATGAGGTCAGACTGGGACGGCCAGCGTTGTCATCATCCGCTGACAGCTTTTGCATCAGGCAGCTCAAATCTCAGCGTCTCATCAAGATCTTCATCGGCGATATCACCGAGCCATATGTCATGTCCGAAACGACGCTCGTGAACGCCTCCGAATACTTCGTCAAAGCCCTCAAGCACGAAGACTCAATGGGCACATCTCAGCCGGGAGTTCTGAGGTTTCCAGAAGATGATGATTTCAAAGAGACATGGGAGATACTACTTTTCTGGCTCATGACTCAACGTCTTCCTCCTTGCTTGACCGTGCAGGATGACGGAAATCCCCAGCCCGAGGCCACGGAGCCTTGGATTCGAATGTGGGTACTCGCGGACAAGTATCTGGTTCATGAACTGCAAGACACGGTGATGCTGGAGATGCTTCGGTACTTTGATGGGACGTTTTTGGCCAACATGGACAGTGATGCTGCGATGGCCAACGAGATGCTGCGCATCAGTCCTGTTGACAGTCGGCTGCGGAGATTGGTGGCAGAGGAAACCATTCGCGGCCTTTACGAAGAGGGTCCTTCGGAGTGCTCATTGAAAACAGAGCATTTGATCGCAAGTGATGGGGTCCCCGGCTTGAGTGCGTCACTGCTCGATGCGTATCACGACTACATGAAGAACAACAAGACATACGTGCGCAACCACCGCAAAGATCCAGATGCCAGATTCAGAGCGTGGGGGGAGTATCTCGTGGGCTGCCCTCCAATGATTCACTGGCTGGGCGAGTTTGAAGGACAATAGATGATAGGAAACGAGCACGAAGACGTAAAGCTGGTAGAGGCCAGAGAGCATGTGATTTCAAGAAGAAACTGATTAGATTCTCCCCAAAGGTTGTTCGGTCAACCTGAAAGGCCTGGAGGGCTCTCAACACATTATTTCCTCCTCTCTCAAAGTGTGCAAGAATTAATTGTGTACCATCGCTCGTACTTCGTCTTGAGATACAGAGTAGTGTTGCTGCAGGGAGCAGCTACATCATCGCTCCTTCCCTTCAACATTCACTTCGCGAGTTAAAGTTTGCGCTAAATCAGGGTCTAGCGTACCGCATCTCCCAGACCTCAATTCACTTTGCATGAACCTCCCCCTGCTCACAAATCCATCGCCAACCACCTTAACAGCCTCACCGCTACCATGGTCTCGACCTCACCCCAGAAGACCGCCGACCCGCCCGCCGAAGTCGAATCCCTCATGAAGTGGGCCATCCGTCAACGCCTGATCAAAATCTTCGTCGGCCACGAAGTCAAGCCCTACTTCCTGCAAGAGAGCACGCTCGTCAACTCCTCGACCTACTTCGCCCGCGCGCTCGACTACCAAGTCTCCCTCGGCGGCAACGAGCCCGGCGTCCTAAACTTCCCCGACGATAACGAGTACAGACAAGCGTGGCAGCAGCTCCTCTTCTGGATCATCAACAAGCGTCTACCGAGACACGCGGAAGAGCAAGAGGAACCCAGCGCCGCGACGACGACGACACCACCAGAGGATATCATTCTCTGGGTGAAGACGTGGGTGTTGGGCGACAAGTACTGCATCCCCCGCCTGCAGAACGCGGTGATGTCGAAGCTGCTGCGATACTTCCGGACGAAGCACCTCCCAGACGACACCGTGCACGTCAACACGATGCTGCTGATCAGCCCCATCGATACGCCTCTCCGGAGACTGCTGTCCGAAGAGGTGGTGATTCTGACGCAGGACAAGGGGTTCAAAGCGAAGGAGCTCATGCCGAGTGATGGGACGCCGGGGTTGAGTGCTTCTTTGTTGAAGGCGTTTTCGGACTATGTCGCTTGTAGGGAGGTGTTTCCGAGGCAGAGCTCGGAGACGAGGACGAAGGCGAGGCGGGAGTATATGGTTGGGGAGGAGTATGATGAAGATTGGTTGGAGGATGTGAAGAAGGTGAAGGCGAAGCGGAAGAGGGCGAGTGAGGAGTGAGTTGACGTTACGTCGAGGAGAATGCGCTGAGAAATGGTCAGATATGTCTTGGAACTGCATGCGATGAAGTGGGGAGAGATTCATGTTCTTGGTCAGTCATATGAGGGTTCTTCACCTCGTGTAATTTTGACGATAGAGACCGGTTAAGATGCTGTCTTGCTCGACTCCAGTCCTTTGTAGACGCTCCATCACAGCCTCTCAACTCCCTCTACAGAACCCCGAGATTCGTCAGGGACTCGCCTTCAAGCTCAGCACCCTACCTCTTCGCCTACGCAGAACATCAGCAACCATTCAAGCCACGTCATCATCGCAAACTCACCGTCTCAACAACATCATACCCCAGCACCCACTCCGTAAACCTCCTATCCATCTCTCAAATCTATCACTCACTCCTTTCCCCTATCTTGCATCCCGCCTTTCCCTACACAGCATGTCGTGATCTTAACCGACCGCACTGGAGTGACTCTCGTCTGCATGAGCGCGTGGGCGCAGGGGTCTCCAGATGAGTCCAGTAAAAGCATTCTTTCATACTTGAGTGTATCCTCCTCAAGGAGACCTCAACTCCACCCTACGCCCACGCAATCCAAACCGAAGCCCTGCCTCGCATAATCTCAAGATCAAAGAAACTTCGACCCCAAAAGCGGTACAAGATGCACCAGATCCTCACACTCATCCGTATGAATATACACCTTCTGCCTATCGAACCTGACATTCGTAGGCTTCCACATCATCGGTCGGCGGCCGATTAAATTATCCGTGATCATTCGTCCCCAGTGGCCGCAGCCGAGTCGGGTGATGATCAGTTTGCACGGCGCGCTGGCGGGTTCCTTTTCGCGCTTGCATGCGAGGGGGAAGGAGATCGCGACGGTGTCTTCGGTCGCGCCGGGGACGCTGATCTGTTCCCAGCAGTTGCCGGAAGGGATGACGGTGAAGCCGGGGAGCTCGACGCCGCCGGTCTCGTTGTCGGCGACGAGGGGGACTTCGAGGCCGTGGTGGGTTACCGTCCAAGGGGATCTTTGAATTCCCAGCGTGCGCACGATGTCCCCGGATCTGGCGAAGTCTTCGGGGGATGGAGCCAGGATCGCGAAGAAGGGGCCGTGTCTATGCCATGCCGTTTGCTCTGGGATGGTTTCGGTCGACCACGCATAGATGGATTCGTCGTGCGAGGAGCGGATGATTTCCTGTTGCAGTCTTTGGAATGCCCGGCGACCCTCCCCGTAGAGAAGGGGCATGTTGACCTTGAAGAGCCCAAGCAGGCAATACGCTTCATCTTCGACCCGTGTCGTCTGACGATCTGAAGCCCAGCTCATTCTCTGCGCAATCGAAAATCGCTGCACCATGCCCGGGTTGAGCAAGACCTCACTCGGAATCCCCGTCCGGTCCGTGGTGGCCCAAAGCACAATCTCGGACGTCCACATCGCGGCTTCTTGCAACCGGTCCCAGAGTTCGGCGTCCACGCCCAGCGTCGCCAGTTTCGAGAACCGGTCGTACTCGAGATACTTGCAGCCCAGAATCTGCCACTCGCGCGAACAAAAGACGACTTGGAGTGGTGCGAGGAGCTCCTGGAGCGTCCACCCTCTCTTGAACCACGAAGATTGGCTGAATTGTTGAAGGAGATCTTCCGGAGAGCCCGTCTCACTGCCATTGGAGACATCGTGCAGCCAGACCCAACATTCTGTCGCTTTCCTGTACCATTCGAACCTGCGCCTCGTCATTAATACACTCAATGAACGCTGAAGAGGGGATCCATTTACATAGAATTAATCGCCTCACTCAACTCCGCACTACTCCTCTTATCAATACAAACCGTATCAACCCAGCACCACTCCCTCTCCCACCCTCTCAAACACTCACAAAACTCGACAATCTTGCGATAACCTTTCTTGTCTTTCGACCGGCCTTTGGAGAATTCTTTGAAGGAGAGTTCTTCGTCCGTCCAGCGGTGGGAGAGGATGGCGTATTTGGGGGTGTTGGAGCCGGTGAAGTCGTGGAGGGTGAGGGTTTGGGTGTTGATGAGGCGCATTATGGGGGATATGAGAGAAGGGGAGGCGGATGGGAGGTTTATGGGTTGGGGAGTTGGGTATTGAAGATGTGAGGTCGAAGTTGGGACGCCGTCGTGGCTGAGGGTTGCGGGAGTGGGGGCTGGAAAAGTGAATCGCTCATGGTCGTGAGAATAAAACAGCCAAATGTCATGGTCGTGAAGGGTGTATCTATCGCCACGGAAGGGAGAAGCTCAGAGATGAGGTGGGATGTAGGAGCAAGGTGGAGGATAGAATAGGTAGACATGAGAAGCTCGGTTCGGGACAGCAAGCAAGCGCGGTACATTCATTCGCATTACAGAAGCACTCATTCGCAGACATTCTAGGTACACCATTCCTGTCAATCGGTACCGCTCAAACCTTCCATCTTCTCACACGGCAGTCATCCATCCATCGCCCTCGAGAACATAACCCAGAAAATCCACCTCGCGAAAAAAGAAAAATCCCGCAGAACATCCCCTCCATCACCCATCATGGCCCCCCTTCCGCCCCAACCGGCACGCCCTTCGGATCAACCGTACACACCGACTCATCGTCCGCGACCTCAGGATCATTGTAGCCGTCGCACTCATCCTCCAGATGGCCCTTCCACTCGCGATTGCCGCAGTACTTGGCCATGGCATGGTGCAGGGCGATCTTGTTGCCGTTCCAGCGGTGCATGAAGCGCTTCTTCCAGGCGGGGCTGCAGAGGTCGTCCGGGGTGCCGTCCTCGTTGTCGTTGGGGTGCTTCGTCTTGGTGGGCTTCTTGCCGTGCTCCTTGCCGTCCTTGATGTCCTCGTCGCCGTCGCCGTGCTTCTTTTTGTCCTTTTTCTTCTTTTTGTCCTTCTTCTTCGCGGTGCGGCGGTCGAGGACGGGGGTTGGCGCGGGCGTCACGGTGGCGCGGCCGATGATCTCGACGCCGGGGGAGAGGTCGCTCTTGTGGACGGGCTTTGTCACGTAGACCGTGCTGAGAGTCTTGTGGGCCTCCTCGCGCTCCCAGATGAGGGAAGCTGGCCCTGGCCCGGGGATGTGGTGGCGAGAGGGAGAGATGCTAACCCCATCCGTAGGCCACACGGTGTGCGTGGCACTGACGACGCGGTGAGGCAGCATCTCTCCCTTCTCCGTCCAGTACTCGACGCGGGCGGAAGGGGTTGCGGTGGGCTTTGTTGGCCCCGCGAAGGCGGAGCCAGCAAGCAAGAGGGTGAAGAGGTTGGAGTACTTCATTGTGTGTGTGATGATACTTTGCTTGTTGATGTGAAGAAGGCTTGATGTGATGTGAGAACTGGGAATCCTAGAAAGGCGTGCGGGCCTGTGACTTATAAGGGGACGGAGCCGTGATCCTTCGAGGCATTTTCACATCTGTGGGCAGGAGATTTATCCTACTATCCCAGGAACCTGGCGATCGTCTAGGCTGCTGTGGTGGATATGGGGTTGTTGCTGACCCTTTTGATGCTGGGGATGGCGGCAAGATTTCTGAGAAGAGAGTATTTTTTCACGGCAGGACCATAGGGGCAGCTGGGATATAGTATTACCTGGGCTTCTGGTGATAATTGTCAGCGCAGTGCCACGCAGCGAATTTTCATAGCGCTCCCTTTTCGTGTGTGTAGCTTTCACATGGCGCCAGCAGCCAACCAGCAGTGTGGTAATTACTTATCATGAGCTTCAGTATTTCAAGTCTGGTGGAAATTGCCCTCACCACCCGCTCAAAGTCGAATGTGAGGAATTGTCACATCCTCAGTCTCTCCAGGCGACTAGGCTCCCGATCGCACTTCGAACTGCTCAGTCGTCTTGCAAGTAACGGGGATGGCAGCGCGATTTGAGCGGGTCATCTTGTGTGAAGTTCACCACCGGCAGCCTTTATCTCCCTCATCTCTGCAAGTGACTGAGCTTGAGATGGCTTCTCGGGTGCCTTGGAAGGCTTGCGAGTTCTGGGGATGAATGATCGATTCTGAGCGGGACATCTAACCGGGAAATTCTCCACCTGCAGGCGAGAGACAGTCACATGCTCCGATGTCTCTCGAGGCGACCACGCCCCTGATCGGTCTTCGAACTGCTTGGACAGCTTGCGAGTAACGGGAACGAACGTTCGATTTCAACGAGCGAGATCCTATTCGTGGACTTCCTCCATGGCCAGGCTCGATATACTCGCTAGAACGTCACACAAGTCAGTGGCATGCACATTATCTGTATATGTGGATGTGCATTTGTGCTCTGTGCAGAACGTCTCTTTCCTGAGTATCCGGAGGTGAAAACAGGACGCAGCCAATGTGAGGACACCAAGAGATCTCGCTCCGGGCCCATCGGCTCGAAGTATCCCATACCATGACATATGTACAATACCAGGAACTCCACAGGGCCATGCTCTTAACCCGTGCCTTGCCCAACCTCATCTACTTCGTCCTAACCTGCTTCAACTTCTTCGGACTGTGCACAAACTGGTCCGCATACGCCTTGGGTAAAATCTTCCTCTCATTCGGCTCCTGGACAAAGAACTCATACCCCTGCTTGTTGGCGAATCGGATCGCATCTTCCTTGCTCTCGAAGTTCAGGTGGGTGCCTTGCATGAAATCGGCGGAGGATTGCCAGCCCATGAGGGGGTTCTCCCAGCGGTGGCCTTTGGAAAGAGGATCCCAGTCCATTCGCCAGTGGTGGCCGTGCCAGTCGCCGGATTGTGTGGCGGGTTTGGCGGGCTTGTAGATGCTGTGGAGGGAGTGGTTAGTTGGGCTTGTGGGATGGGTCTGGTACAATGTGTAGTTACCGGACTGTTCGTGCTTGGAGCTCTACGGGTGCGCCTGAGAGGACTGCAGCAGGAGTATCGACACCTGGTTCACTGCCATCCATGACGCGGATTGGGACAGGGGAGAAGTTGCTAGATTGTCCCTTTAGTACCAGTTCCACTTCACAAGCTTCCTCCTGGTGGCTCTTACGATGTCCTGTAGTCTGTTGCGACATTCCAATCGGGGTTGTGAGAGGGCTGGTTCTGGAGTGGTGCATCTTCGGCGGTGGTCAATTGGTGCTTCGAAGAGTCGGTGTTCTGCGATTGGAATCGTGCCAGCGCTGGGACGCGTTGTGAGAGAGCTGGTCTGAGCGATACAGCACGCAATGCTGCCGCCGTTCGTAGAGATGCCATGGTTTTGTGGGTGTAGGGGAGAGTGAAGGCGATGTGGTCAGCGGTAACTCGAGTGCTTGGGAGCGTTGCGGGTGTTCCCGCTGCTCGCATTGGCTTCGACTTCACGACGGCATCACTCTCTGCTCCAGACCACATCCGACCTACCACACAGCAGCCATGGTGTCCTCGATCATCCCTCCAAAGGTAATATAGCACAAGGCGCTTGAATCTGTGTATGAAAATGCTGACCAGACATGCGCAGGTTGCCTCACCCAACGTACGTCGCTCCCTGACCTCATCTCCTCCGACCAGCACCTAGACACTCCCCGAGCCCTCGAATCGCCCCAAACCCGCCGAAAACCTCTCGAACATGTTACTAGGGACTTTTAGAAGATATGGAAAGCTAATATATGGGTATACAGGCCATCGGCGGCGCTGCCGATGCCGCGCGCATGCAAAATGTCGTCGGTTTCTACGAGAAGCTCCCACGCGGCGCTGCCCCAGAGCCCAAGGCACGGGGTTTCGCCCAGTGGTACCAGTACAGGTACATGGGCTCGAAGGCTTCTCCAATGCGTACGTTACGACCGGGCTCGAGAAGAGAATACCGAGACAGGAGAAGAGAGGAAGAGGCTAACGGATATGGCAGCAATTGTGCACGCGGTCGGCGCTCTGATTCTTCTTGGATACGCTCAGAACTACTACTTCCATCTCCGTGAGTTTACAGGAGAAGAAGAATTGGGAAGATGGAGAAGCTAATGGGATGCAGGTCACCACAAGAACAACGCCCACTAGGGAGGCCAAGACGAGATCGAGATGCGATAGATGAGGACGGCGAAGTATCAGAGGACAGATCACGTGTATATATAAGAAGATCCGAAGTACTTCGGGGCTGAAGAGTCTCCTTTGTTAACACGCCATCTGTGTTCCGTGTTTCCTCTCCCTCTCGGATCAAACGTGTGGATGCTGCCACGATGTCGTCGGATGTGGAAATCACTCTGCAGAGAAATCGAGGTCGAATGGAAAGCACTCCATGGTCTTCCTCAACCACGAAATAAGATCCTTGGGACTATGAGTGAGAGTTGGTAAACGATCACGTGATACTCGTTTCTTACTGTGCTACATGACTGTAGGCTTCACCGTGTGGGAAAGGATTGGTTGAAAGGACTCATTCTTGAACTGTGATTCTTCTGTGATTATTACGACTCGTTACTAGCCCCTTACCACTGTGTACTGCATCCCTCGGTGCAGATGCAGGATCCTTGCCGGTGACTCGCTTAGCTGACTGCGGCGTGTCACGTGGCATGGTCAAGCTCCCTTTGACGACGGCTGGGAAACGAGACGCAGCGACACAACACGCCTCCACCACCCAACACCGCACCGCGCGCACCCTACCTCCCTCCTCCGCGCCAATCCCCGCCGGAGTCCCGCTCTGATTTAATCAGACCTCACCGAGCGCAACCCTCGAATCCGACGCCGCGACCGCACCTCTTCCAACTCTTCAGCGCAGGCGCAACAGCCTGTCCCAGTCCGAAGCCGTATCGCATTCGCCGTGGCGGCACCAGGCTCCTTCTGACTCTAGGTACTGACTCCCTTTCTCCCTTTCTGCTGTTCCCCTTCTCGGCAAGAGCATCTGGAGGCCGTCGCGTGACTCCGTCGCCCAGCGACTCCCACTCACAGAGCGCGCGGCGGAAAGGATGCCGTCCGAGTTCTGTTCAGACTCACCACCACAACCGCCTGCTTCTTTCAATGCAGCTCTACTCCCAGCAACTCTTTCTGACAACCCATCTTGCGTTTCCGCAGACCCCAAGACTGTGATGGCAGAGCAGAGTGGCCACAATGTGGTAAGCAACTCCCAGTCGACCGGCGGTTCGCCGCTGGTTGACATCGCTGCGACTACACCCACCACCGACGCCGCCCTCAGTGGCACCCAACCCCCCGCCAACGCCGAAACCACCTCCGCGCGACCCGAGTTCTCGAAGTCCGCCGCCGATCCGCCCACCGACGACAGCCTGGCTGGATCTGATGCGACCAAGAACGCCGCAGAACCAAGTGCTGGTGATGCTGCGATCGCGGCCGTAGACGATCACGCGCATCCCTCAGCCAACCATGTGGACGGAAAGTCAGGCGCAGGCTCTGATCTTGTTAACGGCATTCGTGATGACGCAAGTCAGGGAGATGTGAGAGACGACAGGAGCAACGCCGATGTGTCAGTGGATGTTAGCATCAACTCCGACACAGACAACAGCCGGGGAGATGCGTCTGAAAAGAAGGACGGACACCACCATACTCGCACCAACTCCGTGAAGAAGCCGACCACGTTCAGCAAGATCACTGCCACCAAGAATTTCATGAACAAGATTGCGCCAGCAGCGCCAGTGGCCCCCAAAGTTGGGGAGAAGCCAAGTCCTGTGGCAGCAGCAATCATGCAGCCGTCGTCGAGGCCTCGACTGGTCGCGAAGACTGGTGCTTCTCTGGCCAGCCTGCAGAGCAAGCGCACAGGAGAGGGGCCGACTGGTCCAGACGCGAGCAAGGTCTGGAATAAGAACCGTCCCGTTCAGCCACCGCCGCCCAAGCAGTTCACGGATGAAGAGTTGAAGCAACAGTACGGAATCCACTTGGCTACACGTTTGCAGACCGACGAGGGTGGAAAAGAGTCAAAGTGGGCAGATATTGATGATGATGAGGACGATTGGGCCCCAGAGACTGTGGTATGGATGGATGGAACAAAGTCAAGCATCACGCCACAAGATGCGGTACCTTCGAAGGACGCTCAACCGGAGCAGAAGCCAGAAGTTCCGCAACCAGCTAAGCCAGCTGAAGGTACTCGGCCTACTCTATCTCTCAAGAGCTCTCGACCGGAGCAGGCCATGAAGATCCTCAAGCCTGGTGTTGCCGCGATCCAAGCCAAGCAGAATGAGCAGTCGCCTGCTCTGGCTTCAGGTGACAAGCCGTCCTTGAAGGCTAAGAGCCCTGCGCCTGCTCCCGCGAAGTCGCCCTGGGCACCTGTACCAAAAGTCGATTCCGTATCGCCTATCAACCCGCCCATCCAGCAACAGCCGCCAGTGCGTGCTCCCCTGGCCACTCAAGATGCTCGCGCCTATGACCAATCTCAGCCACTGCCTGCACGAGAAATTGCGGCAGACACCTTTGATCGATCTTGGAGAGATGGAGAAGGTGGCACGCGTGAGCTGTTCAATTCTACAAACGGTCGCTATGAGCCTGCTCCTGAGGGCAGACGGAGCTCAATCAAGCCAGACTCTTCCTTCCGCAAGCCTGCGGTCTTGCAGCGCCCATCTGCCGCATCTCCCGCAGAACCATCAGCAGCTTTCCAATCACGGACGTCTTCGCAAATGGATGGCGGCTGGGGCCGTAGACGGGGCTCAAGTGTGAGCCAGGGCAGTATGCCACCTGGCAGACGCATGTCGATGAATCAACGTCCTGAGCTTTCAGGTACTCCAGAAGCGCCTCAGGACATGCGATCGCCTCGCAGCGCACGCGGTGAGCCCGTCAAGCCAACATTTCCCCAACAATCAGTCTGGGATCAGCAGATGCCACCACAACCAGAAGAGGGAGCGGAGATTGCTGCTGCTCCTCAAGCTGAGATCGTGGAGCCTGCTCCTCCGATGGAAGATGCTCTCAAGGTCCAGGAGCGTGTCATGCGCGAGAAGCGAGAGCTTGCAAAGAAAAGGCGCCAAGAAGAGGAAGAGAGAGCGGAGACGGAGAAGCAAGAGCGACTCAAGGCCAAGCTCGCCGCATTGGAAGGCGCTGGCAAGTCGAAGAAGGAGCGTGAGGCCGAAGCTGCAGCTGCCGCCGCCGCAGCTAAAGAAGCACGAGAGAAGGAGGCGAACGCTGCACCCGCGACAGATGCCAAACCCTCGCAACCTGAGCCTGCGCATCCAGCAGAGGCTTCAGCATCTACTGCAGCATCGCTGGAATCCCAGTCGCTGCCTCCGGCGCCTGGTCAGGCACCGCAAAAGCCAGCTCCGCTTGACGACAAGCTGCCCGCACCGTTCCCGCCAAAGCCACAGCCCGCAGGGTTGCCAGAGCGTCCCACTTCGAATGAGCAACAGAAGCAGACGTCTCGAGGGCCTGTGTCTCCAAGAGCTGCCGGTCGCGCTCCATACCAGCAGTCGTCGGCTCAGTACAAGACCCCAGCGTCGTCGTACTCGTCACCAGGAGACCGCAAGCCTCAACCTGCTTTTGGTCGTTCGCCAAACCTCGCCACCGATACGTTCTCACCATGGCCAGTGACTGGACCAAGCAGTAGCGTGTGGGGTACGTCAGGCATAGGAAACGGTACTTTCGACAGCAGCAGCGCGTTTGCGCCGCTTCCAATGTCTCAGCAGGCGTCTTCACTGCTGCCACCTCCGGGCATGCCCCGTGCATCTGGCTCCACTCGAATCTCTCCTCAAGGCTTCAATCAAGAATCACGGTCGCCAAGCTTGCAGCCACAGCAGGTGGCAGAGCAACAGCGTGCCTTCCCTCCACCAGGCATGGAGTCTCGTCCTGACCCATTTGCAGGCCAGGCCCGTCTGAATGGTGTACCACCTGCTCCTGGCATCGGCCGACAGGTCCCTCATCCGCCTGGTCCTATAGGCCCACCGTCAAGGACCCAGGCACAGTCTCAGCAACCTCAGCAGCCCGTGCAGCGTCCCGACCCCATCTCAGCGTGGAATAGCGCGACGCAGAGCCTTCCCGCACAGTACGCTGCGAACCAAGTTGCCGCCCAAGAGCGTAGGGCTAAAGAATTGAGTCAACCGTTGCCTCAGCCACAAGCCTCCGAGGCTCGGTTCAAAGAGACCTTTAAGAAGACGTCAGCAGATCAGGGCGCGCTTGGAGGTCCACGTCGCTACGAGTCGACCGAGTATACGGTCCATGACAAGCACGGCTCTCGTCCTGTAGCTTCTCACAGCCCAGCGCCACCATCAACGCAGACGCAACCATCGGCTCCCTTCCCGACCAACTCTCCAGCGCAGTGGAAGGCCTCAAACGAGAGTGCCGTGCGCATTCCAGATGGCTCGCAGAACCCAGCCCATGGCGGCTCGCATGCTCAACAGCCCCCGATTGGCACTCGAAGTGTGCAGCAGGCACCTGTGATGCCGTATCAGAGCACCGCAAACTTCACAACAGCGCCACTGCCTCCAGCTACTGAGTCCAAGGATCAGTCACCACCGCCTCCAGAGACCGAGAGTCATCCTGTTAACCAAGGAGGAGACTCGTCGCATCCTCACGTTAAGCTGCCCCGGCCGCAGGCAAAGGTTAAGCTTCCTCCTGCTTCTCCATCCTCTCAAGCCGCAGCACTGCAGCAGAACAGCTCTGTCCTCATGCCACAGCGTCCACCGTCGAACTGGGGCCCACCTGGTGCTGCCCGGCCGATCGTTATGAACGAGGCCTGGCAAGCACGGTTCAATGGCCTGTTCAACCGGACGGCGGTTCAGACGGAGACACCACCATCTCCTCCACGTACTCCACCCAAGGCACAAGGCCCTGCTCTAGCAGTTGCATCCTCTAGCAGAGCGCAGCTGGATGAGCAGTCGGGAGGTGCTACTGTCTCTCTACCGCCATACCGAGGAGTTGTAGCTGACCCGGGCAACCTCGCAGTCACCAAACCTTCGATCGACGAAATGTTCAATGAGGAACTCAGTTTCGGTTCTATGCCAAAGGTGCGCGTTCCTCGCGGTGTGCACTACGACACGAGCACATATTCGTCCACGGCGAAGAATCTGCTTCAATTTCCCAACTCCAGGATGCAGAGGCCGGTCGATACTATGACGCAGAGCGATCTCGGCTTTTGGAAACACCCAGAAGGCATCTTCGTGACAGTGCCTGGAACTCGATTGAACAACAAGCTGTGCATGACTCCCGGCGCCCCTGAGAGGCAGCCCCGTCACGACCAAGACAGGAAGCCATTCATCAGATTCAACAAGAGAGAGAAGGGCGACAAGGGTGGGTATGCGCAAGGCAACCATGCGACGTCTGAATGGCCAACGAATGACGGCTCAAAGAAGAGCGGTTACCAGAAGCCATATCGTCAGCCGTCCAACAACGGTGCTTCTGCTGAAGTGAAGGAAGGTCAATCGGCGAGCAACAGTGAGCGTCGAAAGCCGACTTGGGGCAAATCGCCTCGTGGTGGACGCCATACTTCGGGTGCTCCTCCTTCAGCACCAGTCAAGTCCGGCTGATCATCTACTATCGAGCGGAAACATGTGGGCGAAGGCAGGCATTGCAAAGCAGCAGCGAGTCGCTGGACGATGAGGAGAAATAATTGTGAGAAGATATTTGACATTCACTGACATTGAGTCGGCCATGCTGCTTTTGCCATGGCAGACTACACCGACAACACACCCAAACACACACAAAAGGGAGCGAAGGCGCTCTCCGATGTTACAGACAATGTTGCAGTCGTTGCTTTCAGCAGGGGAGGGACGGGAGCATTGAATGGGATGTTTTCACTGTACGTTTATTAGTGCTTTAAGATGAGTCAAAGTCGACAACAATTGAGTCTTTTCCCACACTCATTATTACATTGCTGTCTCATGTGATTGTCATGTCAAGGTACATTTGATTCCGTACCGATCATGTGTATGTCGTCGGATTATGCTCGTGGTCCGTGTGGCTACCACCACCAGGTGAGGCATTTTTCGTCTCCCCTAAAAGCCTCTGCTATGTAATACAGCACCATTCGCCAACACGCCCTCTCCATCATCTCCTCTCGAAACTCGGTCGACTCTTTCTTATCCCCTTCTTCTGTTCCTTTCTCTCTCTTACTGTCGTTGTTGTGGTCGATCTGCATCGCCGGGTATCATCTCATTCTTCATCGCACACGGTGTCTTGGCCGCGAAGATGCTCACGAGCACTTTTCCGACGCTCTGCACTGCTGAACGTCCTCCCTTTGCTGGCGAGGTCGTTTTCGGGTCCTGAACATTGTCGTCGCTTGCCGGGAGCCTGGCGGGATGTCGAAGACACCTGAGTAGGCCCGCCGTCGCCGAGGCCCATCTTTCGACCCGGAACAACCTCGATACTACGACACGATGGACATCGATCTGATATACCGTCTCACAGATACACAATACCACGGACTTGGCTGTATTCGAGGCAAAGACTGCGAGGGCGTTTCACCAGAGGAGGGAGATCCCACGTTGCGGACGCGGGAGCTCAGGTCAGACAAGGCGGAGAGGTGGTACCTGACGGGTTGCTGGAAAGAACCGCCGGCCAATCTGCTTTGCAGACACTCGGGCGTGAGACGAAGCACGTCGACAATGGAATCCCGAATCGACACACGAGGAAACGAGGGAGAAGACCTCGACGGCGCCGAGACCCGCTGGCCTGAGCTAAACGGTGATAGGAAAGTCCAGGCGAGTGAATCTGGACTTCGGGTTTCGAAGGGCTGTGACTGCAATCAGCAACAAACATCATGGCCAGCTGCTTGGAATGTCGTCTACCACATCAAGAGGGACAGTCGTCTTGGATCACCACCGCGAGGGCAAACAGCAGTGGCTGTCATCCCGTGGGAAACACGCACCAGAACACCAAGGCCACCCACTCTTCGCCCGCCTGCTCTCCCCTCCACAAGAAGCATCACGAGCAGCGCTATCTGCGGGCCGGAATGCGTAAGAGGTGCTGCCATTAGCGTGGGGTCTCACTCCGATAGGACGAGACGTTACGTCCTCACCTGCGTATATCAAGGTCAGTGTCGTTTCACTCCAGCTGCTTCCCTTTCTCCTCTCCTCTTGACAACAGAGAACAACAGCCGAACTTTTCGCTATCTCTACGACTACTACTTCATACACATTTACTGCGGTCCTTCGGTGACGTCCGCTAGATAGGGTGCCCCAAGTACAAGCTTGTCCTACACGCAAGCCATCTATCTACCAAGTCTACCATTCATCTCCCACAGATCTTCCTCCCCAACCAAGTGCTCGAACGTGTCGAAGAACAACCAGATCAGATTTTGATACAGATCGATTTCACTCTTGCCAGTGCCAGTGCCACAGTCACAGCCCAACCTTGAAGGCCGGATCGATCAAACTCATCTTACCACCACCACCGCAGCTCTGGACGATACCCTCGACACCCGCATGACGAACCACGCAGACCATCGAAAGTTGATGTCGGATTTCGTAGACATCTCCAAAAAGTCAGGCCGCACCTTCATCCCGCTGAGTAGTAGAAGTAATTCGAAACACAATTCGAATTTAAATCAACCTTGATTGGAATCAACCCACCCAACATGGCGTCAATCACTATCAACAATAACAACATCATTCCATCCCTCGACGCGGAACGAGCAGCCCTCGACAGCGTCGCCGCCGACCTAGGCGTGAACGACCGCTCTGCCGCCGCCGCCAAAGTCATCAACGAGGGCCATGGTCTGACTACTACACCCAGCGGGAACAACAGCGTGCGCGTCCTGACTTTGAGCGAGTACAAGCAAGCCGGTTCGACGCTCGCGGAAGCCTTCAGAAAGGACCACACGAGTCTGTACTTTACGCACACGCCGGATCGCAGCGACTGGTCTGAGCAGCAGAAGTGGGAATTGCACGTCAAGATGATGGAGTATATCACTTATGCGCATCTGCTCAAGGGGTTGGTGGTTTGTGCCGGGCCGAATTATGATTCGGTGGCGTTGTGGTGAGTCTTGACATAACTCCTAACAGATGGGGGAGAGGTGTGTGGTTGCATAGCGATATTGACGTGTGTTTCTAGGATGCCCCCCGGCCAAAACATGGACGACTTCCTCACCATCCTCCGCTCCGGCATGTGGCGTCTCAGCTACCAACTCTCGCGCGAGGGAAAGAAACGCTTCTTCGATGAATTCCTCCCTCTGCTCAACGACACCAAAGGTACTTCCCCATCCCCCTCCCTCATCCCCAAACCCACCACCAACTAACCCCCCTCCCCCTCACAGCCCACGTCCTCGGCCCCCGCGACACCACCTCCTGGTACCTCGTCTACATCGGCACGAAACCCAGCTCCCAAGGCCAAGGCCACGCGAAAGCCGCCATCGAATACGTGACAAAAATGGCCGACGACAACGGCCAGGCGTGTTACTTGGAGAGCAGCCACGCGTCGAATCGGGCCATGTACGAGCGCCGCGGGTTTGAGTTGAGGAAGGAGGTCTTTTTGCAGAGGGAGTTGAAGGAGAATGTGCAGTTGGATATTATGGTGAGGGAGCCGGTTAGGAGGGATGGGGATAGTGGGGTGGAGGTTTTGTAGAGGTTTTGTGAAGGGATGGGGTGGGGAGGGGAGGGGAGGGGAGGGTGGAGGAGGGGATGGGGCAGGGGATGAAACAGATTGTCCATGAATGAGGGTTTTGGGCTTCGGTTCGGGGAGGCGTTGGTATGGTTTGGTTTTGAGTTCCGTCGGTCTTTTCTGTACCCTTTTGAGAGAGTTATTAACGATATACTGAACTCACCGCTCAATTCAACATGAGTGTTACAGCCAAATTACACATCTGCAAACTTCTTTCTTATAAAAACGTTGCCATTCATCTCATCTAATCAATATCACATCAAATCCAACTCATCCTTTCCAAGCCAACCTCCCCACCCCTTCCCATCCCCTTCCCCTCAAAATCAATTCTTCCTCTTACAATGTATATATAAAATCCGGCCTCTTATCCCCCGCCACCCAAATCTCATCCTCCGTCATCCCCTCATGCATCCCATCCCGCCTCCCACTCCTCCTCTTCCGATTCTCCAGCGCCAGCATCGTATACATAAACACGGTCCCGCCCAACAAACACACAATCAGATACGCCAACACGGTCCCATGGCCCGTCCAGTACCGCGGCCTCTCCTCCGAGAGGTAGATATTACTCGACACCACGCCGTTGAGATTGCCCCACCCGACGACGATGCCGATGATGACGCCGCGCTTGTAGACGCCCTCGATGTTGTTGGACGCCCAGGAGAGGGTGTTGGGGATGGTCGGGTAGATTCCCGCCGCGCCGAGGAAGGTGCCGGCGTATTGGATCTGGGGGTCCTGGGACGCGAGCAGCATGATGAAGCCCACGATGGCGAGCAGGACCACACCCATGTTGCAGAGCCCGCGCTGGCGCGTGCGGTCCGCGAGCCAGCCGATGAAGATGGTCATGCAGGCCGCGACGGCGTAGGGCGGGACGGAGAGGAGCTGTGCTCTCGTGCCGGAGTAGCCCATGCCGTTGAGGATGGTGGGGAGGAATAAGGAGAAGGCATACAGCGGGCAGAGGTTGCCCATGTAGATGAGGGCGTAGCCCCAGCACTTCCAGTCCTTGAGGGCGGCGATGACGTGGCGCTTGTCGTATTCTTCGCCCGTGCTGGACTGGTTGTCGGCGGCGAGGCGGCGGCGGACGCGCAGGCGTTCGTCGGGCGTGAGGAAGCGTGCGGTGTCGGGCCAGTCGAAGACCATCCACCAGCAGAAGCCGCCGACGAACATGGTGGCGAGGCCTTCGATTATGAAGATCCTGGAGGATGGGTTAGTGATGTTCGTAGTCTTTGTTGTCTGATTCCATACCATGCCCATCCGGCTTTTCCACCGACTCCTCGCATCTCCGCGATGGCTGCAGCTAATAACCCGCCAAAAGAACCTGCCAAAGCGGCAGCCGAGAAGAACGTCGCAGCACGAACGCCCAGCTCGGATCGTTTGTACCAGCAAGACAGGTAGTAGTTGACACCAGGGAAGAGGCCAGCCTCGGCCAATCCCAAGAACCATCGAGCGGCGAGCAGACCTGCGTAGTTTGTGACAAGGCCCATGAGCGTCATGATCAGACCCCAGATGAGGATGATTCCGGTGAAGAAGACTCGTGGGGACAGACGCTTGAGGAGGACGTTGGTGATGGGTTCCGCCAAGGCGTATGAGATGAAGAAGATGGTCAGGGTGTTGTTGTAGTCATGACGACCTGTCATCCCAATATCCTCTTCCATGCCCGCTAGACGTGCGTTGCCTGTACTGAAGTTAGCATAGATGTAGCGAGATTGCGCAAGATACAGGTAAGAAGCCCACCGATATTTGTACGATCCTACGACTGGTCAGCAGGTGCTAATTCAAGTCTTATGTATATACTGTGCTATACGTACCAAAAACGATAGAAGGTACAGCAGGCAAAGCCATGGGATCAGCCAGGCATCGACCTTGCGCATGAGCTTCTTGTCCTATCATTTCCAATCATCAGCATTGCAATCCTCAAGACTTGTCAATCCGTACCAACTTACCAATGCCTTCCTCTCTTCATCTGACAGCCCAGCATCGGGATCAGGAAGCTCGTCCAGAGGAGTCTTTCCAGGAACGTCTTTCAAACTCTCATCCGAGCTGATGACCTCTTTCTCCAGGGCACTTCCATCCTTGACCTCGTCTGCCATGTTGGGCTAAGAGAGGATAGACTTCTGCTGAGGAAGGGGGAAAAGCAGACAAGAAAAGTCAAACACAAACAAAGAGACAAGGCCCAGAAAAAACCACTCACATGCTCAGCCCGACCCGTGCCTCTTTATACCTACCCGCCCACGCGCCAGCTCGCTCCTCCAGCACCCATCTAGGTCAAGACTCCAGCCATAGTCCGAACCTGAGTCCGTCGTCGCCTCGCGTGCGTGCGGCGTGGACAAAACCCGCCCAGGCCCGTAGATAAGAGCTCGCTCATAGAACCGTCCCCTCTCCAGCGACCGTCCATCTCTACTCCGCAGAATTCCCCATGGGCCACCAAGACCTTGACAGGGATCCTCCACATGGCACCACATGCGCACGGCAGGGATCGTAAAGGCTGGGTCTTTGTCCGGTTGGCGGTGCCAAGGCCTGCCAATGCGGCGATATGACCAGCTTCGGCGGCGGAGAGGCCTTTGTGCTGTTTGGCGCCGAGCACAGCATTCAGCTCGGACGGATGGCGAGCGTATGTGGTTGTTAAGGGAGAGGATGGTATTTTGCCTGATTTTCTTTCGCATGAAGGGAAGAAAGGTGAAGTCGAAGTTCACGGACGCCGAGCGCCGAGAGTCTTGGGCTTGGATGGGGCGGTCGTTCCAAAACTACGGCAATTTGATCTGGCAGATTCGACGTGGTTTTCCAGTTTCTTTCGTGCCGCGTGGTTGGGAGTTGATGTATTGATGGGCCAGGATGAACAATTCGGTGTTTGCTAAATTGAATCACTCGAGAGTCGAGGGCTTGTTGCCAGGCCGGCCATGTTGGACTTCGACGTTCTCTTAAAGGCCCATCTCTTCGAAAGCCTGATTTTTGCTGCAGTCTTATCAGTAGCACCTTCATCCCTGATCGTGGCTGATATAGGTTGAGGACCGTCCACGTCTTGGAGGAGGCGACGAGAGAAGCGAGCTGGAATACGGAGCATTTATCATCGGCGGAGCTATATTGATTGCGTATGCAAGTAACGTTAGGCGAGCTGTTTTGTCGCATGTTATAGGTATGCGATTAATGATATCCGATGTCTGTTGTGTGTCTACGAGAAAGGTGACCTCGCTGCTCACGGCCTCGCAAAATCTGATGTGGAAAGCTCGGATCACCCACGTCCTCACCGAAGGATTCGCCGCTCGACCGCACCTCTCCTTTTTTCTCACCACATTCCATTGCACATCCTCGACATCCCTACGCACAGGAAGACGGCTGCTCCGATTGCTCGTGAAAATCAAATCTCCACAAAGACGTTGGGCACAACCATGAGCATGCAGACTGCCAACTCTTTTAACGGCTATGGGCGACCACTTCCTAGCAGACCAGAAACATCCAGATCCGACGTATGATGGCCACCTCAATACACCCCACTAATCTGCCATCCAACCTTCATCACCCTCGCAGCGACAAAGCATCCCAGCCCGCACACATAGCACAGCCCGGTGAAAAGAGCGACTCCCCAATACGACCCGCCACACGCCGACACCAGAGCACCAGCGATAGGCAGGCCGATCAACGTCCCGATCGATACGACCGTGTATGTTGTCGCCACATAACGGCCATACTCCTTAATCGGACACAGCATGCTCACACAAACCGGTGTGAGTGAGATGTTGCTGCCCGAAGCGAATCCCATGAGGACCGCGTACACGATCGTCAAGCCTAGGATCGTGGGACGGGATGTGTCCGAAGCTTCGCTTGCAAGAACAGTCGCCGGCAGCCAGAGACCTAGCGAGGATGCGGCACAGAGGAATACGGCGCAAATCTGGGTGTTGAAGCGGCCGAGCTTGTCGGCGATCCAGCCTGGTGCCCAGCGTCCGAGGAATGAGCCTGCGTTGAAAATGGCGAGGAGTTGATAGGCGAACGTTGGGGAGATGGCTCCGTTTGTCTGTAAGGAGTATGAGGTAATGTACGTGATGGGGATGAACAGCCCAAGCTCGAGAAAGAATGCCCCAGCCGTGACGAGTGCATAGGCCGGATCCTTGAACACGCGCACATGAGGGAGAGTACTGCCTCCTGGTCGTGGGGGCAGTCGTGATCGAATGAGCAATATGGCGAGGAAGAGAAGAAGGATATAGATGAACCCTTGAACCCTCGTCGCCCACGCCCAGCCAATCTTAGGAATCAAGGACTGTAACATGAGCGGGAAAATCACGCCTCCCAACGCACCGCCGCCGGTGGCGAGTCCAGTTGCATTGCCTCGTCTTTGATTGAAGAAGTGGCCCACAGCAGACACAGCTGGTGTGAAGATGAAAGCCGTCCCGATCCCTCCCAGGACCCCAAAGACCAACATGAAATGCCAGTACTGAAAGCAAATCCCCAGAAGCATGATACAAAGGAACGTACAGATCGATCCAAAAATCACCAGCCACAGTGGGCCGTGTTGATCGAAGATTGGTCCGACCTGCACGCCTGCTCCGAACGCAAGGAAGATGTACACGCTGAATATCCAGCCGATGGAGGACTCGGAGTAGGCGGAGAGTTGGTGCGTGGCGATGTAGGCTTGGTAGGTGCCGACGGTGTTCATGAGGCCGAAGGCTGCCATCATGCCGCTGAAACCGCCGAAGACGACGAGCCATGCTTGGAGGCCTCCTTCAGGGTATGTGTTTTCCTCTTCATCGTTTGTGACAGGCTCGATCTTCGATGTCGTCTCTTCTCCGTCACTGGTCTCCTTCTCAAGATCTTTTGCGGACGAAGGCTGTCGTGACGACAGTTGGTCATCTTTTTCAAAGCCATCACTGGACTCGTGTCCATTCCAAGTACGAGACGTCGACATGCTGCTATGGTCTGCAGGGGAGCACGTCGACTCTTGCAGGCGATCCGAAAGAAAGGCACTTTATTATATCCAAAAAGGCCATCGCAGATCCCCACGCCATCTCCCCAAGTAACCCACATCCAAATGACGAAACCATCCAAGCAAGAACCATCACTCACATTCATCAAGCGTGATTCGACCGAGTTGGCTCCACCAAGACTTAAACTCGGAGCGACTGGAGATCGTCCTGTCTATTAGGCTTGTACCATTTCCCGATCGGGACTTTGCAGCTGTCGACGATGATGCGAAGCCCAAACCTTTCTTTGCAAAGACGATTTGTGTTCGAAACCGATGAAATGGATACTTTCTTCTTGGACCAAGTAACTCTGGTACGGGATTGGTCGGACCCGGGAAGATCTTGCGGGAAGGTTGGTGGTCGTTGAATAAATATCACGATTGCTATCGATGGTGTTTGTAGTGAAAGTTTCTGCGTTGTCTGTGGTTGTATACGAAAGGGTGAATACTTGTCGAAAACGAGAATCGTAGCCATGTCCCTACCTCAGGAAAACGGAACGAAAGCCAACAGCCCCGTCGTATGCGTTTTGTAAGTCCTCGCACCCCATCAAAAGATCAATAAGCACCTCCAAACTAAGACCACCTCCCTTCGCAACAAAAGCTGCGGCTCAGCACCCGGCACCTCTCCAGCACACATCTCTCAAGCCCGCGCGCTCGCCCAAACCTTCCACCAGCACGGCATCAAACTCGTCTTCGGCGGCGGCACCTCTGGCGTCATGGGTGCCCTAGCCGCCGAACTCGTCCGCCTATCGGGCCCCAGCGCCGTGCACGGCGTGATTCCCACTGCGTTGATTAGATTCGAGCGGAATTACGACGACGTGACTGAGAAGGAGGAGAAGGAAAAGGCCGACGAGATGACCTTTGGCAAAACGACCCGCGTGCCGGATATGCACACGCGGAAACAGACGATGGTGCGCGAAGTCCTGGAGGGAGGACCCGGGAGTGGATTCGTGGCGTTGAGCGGTGGTTATGGGACTTTGGAGGAGTTGATGGAGGTACAGCTTTCCCTCCCACCTTGTGACCTACTCTTGATAATGATCACTCACGTCGTCCATGCAGATAACAACATGGAACCAACTCGGCATCCACGACAAACCCATCGTCATTTTCAACGTAGAAGGCTACTGGGAAGGCCTGCTGCACTGGATCCAAACAGCGACGGAAGCAGGCTTCGTGCGCAAGGGCAATGCGGAGATTTTGGTCGAGGCGCATTCGGCAGAAGATGTTGTGGAGCGATTGCGGGATTATGAGACGGCGGGTGGGCGGTTGGAGTTGGATTGGGAGAAGTAGTAGGATGGTATTGGGTTGCTGGAGCATCTTCTGCGAGACTTCGACACCTTGTGCCACAGCTCCCTTCGCTTCAGCCTGATTTTGTATCAGCGGGAAAGCAAAGGAGACCAGTCCTCGTTGCGGATGTAATCTTCAAGGCTCGTGGGTGACAGTTCCATCTGGACCTACAGAGTTTTGCAAGAGTCAGCTAGCCCCTGATCCACGACAAGAAAGTAGACAAGAACTCACAGTCGCAGAAAACGTGACGGAAGGATCGCCGCCATGATAGCCAAAGTCACCCAAGTAGCCGTACATTTCTCCAATCTCTTCTGCAAATCCCCTGTTCCTGTCCAATCTGGAATGTTCGGCAACACTCGTCCTGATCAACTTCGCAGAAACTCCGGTGATCTTACTCCACAGAGCTACGTATTCTTCCCAAGTGATCCTGTCACTAAAGGCGAGCAAATTGGTTTTGACGGGCAGATTCATCAGAGCGAGGACGTATTTCCCAGCGTCTTGGGGAACAGCGAACGGAATCGGACAATCTCCATCGCCGGGGATTCTAAGCATTTTGGACTCATCTGACGCCTTTGCATGTTCGATTAGCTTCAGCAGAGGCAGGACAGCAATAACCCACCTTCTCCCACGGCACAAAGATTGGACCATGCATCCAATTGTCGACAAAAAGCCCCATCTGAAGAATCGACATCTTCGCCGCAAGGCGTGGATGCACCTCCTGGATATAGTCCACCACCCGCGCTTTGGAGCCAAAATGCCAGACCTTTCGATATGTGCCTCCACTGTGCTTCGAAGCGGCGGACAGGGACGACCAGATGAACAGCTCCAGTGTCTCTACCCGGGATACGGCGTCGACGATATCTCTGCCATGCTGGAGCTCCACCTCGTATGCTCGTTGCTGCATCTGAGGCTGCATCGCCATTTGCGAGGGATACGCAGTGTTGGCGAAGACAATACTGGCTCCTTGCACCGCTGCCTGGAGCGCATCGGCATCTGCGATGTCGGCTTGGACCATTTCCACGCCTTTGTCTTCCCAGAACTTGCTCTGTGGCCCGTCGCGGTTGCGGGTCACTCCCCTCAACTTGACACCCGGTCGTCCGAGGAAAGCCTTGAGGACGGAGGAGCCCTAGATAATCACGTTTTTAGGCATGGATAAATAAGGGATGATCGCTTTCGCTTTGCAGTTGTGTACCTGCGTGCCAGTGGCTCCAATGACAACGAGCAATTTTGCCATGCTGGAGAAAAGAATTAGTTGGAAATTCTTAGAATGGTGCACCGACGACGAAAATGTCAGAATTATCGTCGTCAGAAGGCGCATACTCAGCCTCCCTTACTAAACTGGAGGCAACTTTACGTAGATACCGCTCTTACTTCCTGTTTGAGTATATCGAAGTCAGCATAACTACGTATGCGACTGATCACTCATGTAGAAATGCTGTGCAGTCGTCAGATATGTGCTTACACTGCTGTTTTGTCTCTATTCTCGAGCAGCATGCACAGGTACAGCGACCAAGCGCTCTTACTTCCTGATTCGGAATAGTGCATCCTGTCGAGTGAATGAAAGTGAGCAGGGGAAAAATACCTCGCTTGCAAGGGCTACGCATGCGTCTCAGAAACGTACACGACAAATTGATCTTGATCTCTTCAGCATGTATGTTATAGCTGGGGACGTCAATTCAGCAAACACATCAAAGCCCCCGGATTTTCGCGTGGCTGACAGTCTATTCTCATCGATCAGAATCGTGAGGCTAAATCGGCATTGCAGCAAGAGAGCCCGTAACAGCGACCATAGCATGTCACCCTCTCAATTGCGCAGCTGCCATGGTCGTGCCGATCACTATCACCAACATACCTTCTTCCATCGACGCCGGCATTCATCGCAACGTTCACTGGAACCAGGTGCATGACCACCAACCATTTCGTAGCTCTTGTGGATTCAGGGGCTCTCTTGTCGATTTTCTTGAGGGTGAGGATGAAATACTGCAAGATGTTTCTGAATAAGTATCAAAGCTCGAGCTACTTCGTTAAGTACACGCTAGTCCCACCAAGGCAGGAAGAGCGCCTGTAGGTGGTACAGCGTCTCCTGCAACCCCATGTTAGCATACAGAGGGTCTCTATGGAGACTGCAGAAATTTCAGCTTCTAGAAGAACACAAACGCATTACCAATCGATGGATGTAGTAAGCACGCACAAAATCTCTTTGGCGACGATGTAAGCAGGATCATGGCTCTTAGTCCTCCATTTGTCGAAGACTTTCCAGAAGACGTGAGTATGCAGACGGGCCTCAAAACCGAAGGACTCCGGTGTCTTTCGAGACACTCAGCCCCTTACGAGCCTCACGATGTCCGTACCTTGCTGAAACCGTGAAGGTAGAGCACTTCGGCAAGCCATACACTCATATCTCGGATCTTTAATGAGCTACATCATCTCTCGCCACCATCCTCCAACATGTTCATGATACCGAGCAAAGCTGCATTGCTGACATAGATTCCAATCCTCCCTTGTACGACATCACCTTCATCGACACACGGAAGCGCCCGAATCGCTCGTCAGGTCGGGGCCATCCTCACTGCCAGGCACGGGCGGCATGTCTGAATTCGTCGGGTCAGGACCATCTTGACTTCCAGGGGGAAGCACCCAGTTGATTGGGTCTGAAGCGTTGCTTGCATCACCACTTCGTTCATCCTCCGGGGCCTGGAATGCTGGCTCTGTAATGGCGTATTGCTCGTCGAACTCCGAAGCTCGGTGTTGCTCCTCCTCCTCGGTGACAGCATCTTCCACCTCTGGGGCTGCGTATTCATCCTCAACTTCTGGAGAATGACGTTGCTGCTCTTCTTCGTCATTGCGGTCGTCCTGGTCGACCATAGGACCGCATTCTGCTTGTTGATTTGACTCCGGCTGGGTGTTCACCTGCGGTCGGGCGAACAGGCCACTCATTCTCTGAGACACTCTGCTGAGCAACGTTCTCGGCTCTGGCTGTTGTCCAATGTGATCGCCGTCTTCATGAGACCGGTCCGGATGCTGCCCCGAAGCAGGAGCGCCAGCGTGTTCATGATCTGTCACATCATCCTGCTCTGGAAGCTGTTCTTGATCGCCGACATCCTCACGGACACGGTCTGGCTGCTGCCCTGAAGCAGGAGCACCAGCATGTTGGTGATCCGTCACCTCATACTCTCGTTGTTGGTCGTTGTTATTGACGTCCTCTAGCTGATCATCTGGTTGCTGTCCCGAATCATTTTCGCCAGCAGGATGATGACCTGTCATCGAGTCGTGCTGTGGTTGACGGTCATGGTCGCCGCCATCTTCTTGATCATCACCTGGCTGTTGATCTTGAAGGTCGACATCCTCTTCATCATCTTCCAACTGCTGGAAATGAACGGAGTTTTCATCCAGCGGCTGCTGAATGCTCGCGCCTTCGTCTTGCTTGTGGGCGCCGGGAGTCGGATGACTCAATTCTGGCTGCTGTTCTGCAGGTGCTTCTTCTTCCTCTTCGTCGGTGGGTTCTGATAGACTCTCGCCAGACTTTTGGCTGCTGATCTCGATTGGCTGCTTTGGTCCAGTCATGATAAACCCAAGTGCCTCCCCAATGTTGTCTTCCGACGAGATATTTGGCTGACGTGGTGGCGGTTGAGATGCTCTAAGAGCCATGGCGACAAGATCCTCAACATCATCGGAGTCTGGAACAGCAGGCATGTCTTTGGCATGCATTCCAGTCTTCATGTTGACACGAGGGCTGCTGATGATGTTCGGATGGAGCGATCGCAGCTTCTTGCGCGGTCGCTGTACTTCGCGCCGCTCCTGTTCCTCTTCCTCCTCGCGTGCCGCATCATATGCGCTGAGGAGGTCAATCTGCCCATCGTCTTCGGGCGTTGGCAAGAGATGCTCGCGCTTCTTTGGCGACGCCGAACTGAAGATGTGCACCTGCGGATGGGTAACGATCTGCATCTGTGCTTGCGCTCTGTGCTTGTAGCCAGGAAGTCCGTAGTCCTGCGGGTGAAACTTCTTGCTGTAGTTGATAGGCTTGCGAGCTTCGCTGCGGGCTGAGTGGCGGATTGCACGAGGGTCAGGCGTTCGTGGTGTTGCGATCATGCGATACTGCTCTTCATCGGCGTCCCCATCGTCCTCAGACTCTTCGTCATCAGAGGTATCGCCACCGTCACTGGGGCCAGAGGACACCCCACTGCTCTCCGCCTCGTCATCGTCGTCCAGGGCGAAAGACACAGACTTGGAACGATGTCTGATGGTCGCCGCTCTGTTCGGTCGCGTCACGACGTCCATTGGATGATGCTTCATGTCGTAAATCGGAGCATCAGTCTTGCCCTGTCGAAGAGAGCGTCGGCCAGTCGCAGGGCGCTTGTCGGTGGTAGATTCATCTTCGCTCTCACGCTCAATGCTCTCTTCTGTGGCATCGGCGACGACATTGTCGAGGTTCAAGCCACTGAGCATTCGGGGACCGCTCTTTCCTCGGGGCATCTTCTTCTCGTGGGGTTATCTCAAATGGGTGTTGTTGGTTTCGTGAAGGTCATTTCGAAAGTCAAAGGTCAGTTGCGAAGTCGAGGAGATGAAGTCGGAATTGACTTTCAGGCGGTAAGCCCATCATGAGGAAGGCACGCGGTGACGACGCGAAGAGACGTGATGTTCCGCTCAAAGTAGAATCCCCATTACTTCCAAGCCATCCAAGCAGCTTGCAGTGCAATCAGCAGCGTGGTAGCTTGTGAAAAGTCGGAGAGATGGCACTTTTAGTGCGGACGTTCCACTTTGACCGGAACGAGGACGGTAGATAAAAAGAGAGTTAAATACCAACGAGCGTAGGTCGTTTCCCATGCCGTGTCGCCCCATTCCATCCCATATCCCATATCAACTCCAGTCCCTTCTTCCTTCCATGCCGCTCAGTCGCTTCCGATCCCAGACTCCTCGCTACCCATCCATGACAAAAGTGAAAAAGTCATTCAGACTAGACCCCATAAAAACACAAATCAACCGCTCGAACGCACATTCCCTTCCCGCTAAACAAAAGTAAAAGATCAACATCAACATGACATGACATGCCAATAACATGACAGGAACTTTTTTTTTAAAAAAAAAGTGTTAGTGAGCGGTGAGCCTTGAGCTTCGCATGTGACCAAGCTTTCCACCGAGGCCTGCAAACTGGATGTGGCCGATGTCGAATTCGGCGTCCTCATCGTCCTCATCGTCGTCGTCAACCTCAAGGTGGTCGACCTCTAGCTTCCCTTCGCCAGGATATGTGACGTTGGAGACGGCGTTGCGGATCGTCTCACTCAGCTGAGACCGCCGCTTCTCTTCGGCTTCTTCTTCTTCAGCTCGACGTCGTTCTTCGCTGCGCCTTCGTCGCTCAGCAGCCTTGTCTGCTTTCTTCTGGAGGATAGGAATCTCTGCCTCGGCCATCTTCAACGCTTCACTGAAGTGTTCCTTGGCGTTGGTGACTTCCAACGTGCAGTCTCCGTCTCGCAAGACTTGATGAGCCGCACGCTCGCACAGGTTCTGGCCCTTCTCCAAACGACTGTCGACCCGATCAAAGACTTCAGTGCCGTCATCGCGTCCAAATCCGCGAGGTGGCCGGTAGTCGTCCTTTGCCATGTCGTCTCCACTGCTGCCGCTAGCCTCGCTGCCACTTGATCCGCTGCGGGACAGACAATCCACTTTGGCACTCATCTTTCCCTTCCTGATAGAATTCCGTGTCGATCCGACTGTGCGTACCAGCTTTTCGAATTGCTTTTGTGTTTCCCCATCGTAGTATACCACCGCTGCCGCCCGCGCCCTCAACTTCGACGGCCCCGATTCATTACCAGAACATACAGACGCCGTCTTCCGCTTTCGTTGAGAAAGACGAAGTGCATCCGAGTTGGTGAGGTGTTTCATCTGAGGCCGTGCCAACAATCCATTTTCCTGTACTTTCTCCTGACTCTCCACCGACCGTCGAGACTTGAGCGAAGACGACTTCGACTTGGCCTTCTTCACCGACGGGACGACAACATCCTCCTCCGGCCGATTGGCAAACAAAATTTCTTCCTGACGCTCAGCCGCCGACTTCAAAATACTCTCCAGGTCGGCAATCCATCCAGGGACATTCTCGAGCAAACAAGTAAAACAAGCCAGCGCTTCGTCTGCCATGCTGCGGCACAGCAATAATGTGGAGCGGTCAAGATTCGTGATGGGAAGCGGTGGAAAGGGTGAAATAGACGTCGATCATGCAGCCGAAAGAGTGTAGGCTGCGAGTTGCGAGTATAATTGTCCCGAAAGCGTCCGGTCGCACCACGTGGGCGGGCCTGCTTGCAACCAGGTGGTGTGTATAGAGGGATGTGGTCGTTCTGCTGCGGAATGGTCACTCTCGCACCGCAAGATCGAACGGCGGAGGCAGCGGTACGAGTGGTGGTGGGAGTGTGGTGTGGGAAGAGAGAGGTGAAGTGTGCTGTCCGTCGGTAGTCAGAGCGAGGTGTGAGGTGTGAGTTGAGGGAAAGGCGCCAGCGCACGCCTCGTTCCGCCGACGGCCAATGCAGGAAGATCGGCGCAGCTCCACTCGCGGTGCCGCCAAGAAGTCGTCTCTGCGGGCCAGGATGTGCGGCGTTGTCCAATCCCACGTGAAAGCGCAATCGGCACTGAGTCAAGAGGCTTTGGTGAAGGCGACTTGTTTGTCAGAAGGTTTCCGGATGCTGTTAAGGTTGAGGTTCTCGCCGCTCTCCCCGAGGCCCGTCCCAAACTGTGGCAGAGCGAGAGCCGACTCCTTACGTGCCTCTTCGTCCGCTCCCTGTCACGCCTTGTCAAAGAGTCCCGTCAGTGAGGCTCAATGTGCCACAGACAAAGGCCGACATCCAGCACCGCGGCCTCCGGGAGACGAATCATCACTCACCTCGTAAGTCCTCTCGTATCTCATACTGGCAGAAAGAAACACTCGTCGTTGCAGCATCATCCAAGATGCCAGCCATGGAGGCCTGGAAGCACCGCTGCACCAAATTGCGCAATCAAGTTCGTTAGGCTAGGGCTATTCCGCGCTGCTGCCAAAACCCGCAGGCAAAAGCTTCCTCAGTCACATCACAGAAGAGACACTTTTTCTCCACACCCAACCACCACATGATCCGCTTGGTAGATTAGAGGGAGAGACACGGAACCACCCAAACTCTCCCAACTCTACTGCGACGACAGCACATACTTACATATACACTACCATACTGCATGTCATCCGCTAGATGCACCTCGTGGTTGTTACAGCCAAAAGCGACGAAACCTGCCAACGTGACAACCCCCTCCTCTTCCTCCCACGGATGCCAACGCAGCAGCGTGGAGTACGCACAAGCTAGGGGTGTGGGCGTGCGCATGTGAGAACCCGCTCAGGATCGAAGGTGCATCTCAGCTGTTCGTACGGCCGTCGATTGTTGGCTGTGGTGGAGGCAGACACGGCACATACCCCTAGCAACATCGGCGACGGCTTTGCCGTGGCATGTTAGAGGCATTAGGGTCGCTGCAGCTCGGATCAATGCAACGCGCTCCCATCATCACGATCAATGATGAGTTGGATTTGTTGCTTTCAGCTGTCTGGCCAGTTCTCTCTGAACAACCACGTCTCCCTCCATTATTCTTCTCATCCCATTCTCACCTCTCGCTCCCCCAAGAAATACCACACCACCCAAACCCTCATTCCCCTCCCATCACCATCACCAACACCAAATCCTCCCACTCCAGCACCGCAACGGCCAAGCCATCCCACCCGGCGCCTAAAACCCACCACTCACAATCATCGGAACTCCTCTCCCGCGCGCCTGTCTCTGAACGCCATCCCGAAGATCCATCTCAAATACGGCAAACTCCTCCACTTCGCTTTCTTTCTTTCTCGTCGGCGTCGATGGCCCAGACTTCCGTGTTGCACAAGGCACGGGCGGTTCATGTGAGTCTTTTTTGCCTTCTGGAAATGTTCTTTATCGAGATTGAAGATCGTAGAGGCAGGAGAGAGATGATTGACATACGGCTTGCCGAGAGGGGGTTTGCCGTGTTTCGGTACGAAGAACATGAGGTGCAGGTGCATTTTGGAGATCGACAGACACGTTTCTTGTTCATCACACGCGAGCGAGAGCAATCCATCCAGTCGTCAGATGTATCGAAGTCACTTCCATCACTTCCGTCACTTCTCTGTGAAGAACACTGGTAGACCCAAAAACCACATCACCACCAAAGACCTTCCCATCCCATCCGATTCGAAAAGAACACACATGCACAAGCGGCCCACTCGCTCCATTTGTTACTCGACCCGATCTGCGACTCACGGCGCTGGGAATCTGGTGTAACACACTCGCCTCACCCCCAGCAGCCAAACAAATCTCCAGCCAGACACTGCCCCCGCTCTCGTTTCTGCATCTGTGTCGCCAACAAACGTCGCACAAGAAGACATCGCCAAGGGTGTGTTCCAGCGTTGACGTTCTCGTCGGTACAGGGTAAGGAAGCCTTTCCCGTACGGGCAATCGCATGTTGCCCGTATTGAGTGTATATCGGTTCTGGGTCTGTCATGTTGGCTCTCTTCACGGCCATGTCTCCTCGTGAGACCAGTTCTGGGTCTTCTCATCAAATTTGTACACCTGTCGACGAGCCTTCTTTGGGTCGGATAAATCGACGGACTCGACTTCTTCCGGCTTGATGACGACGACGCGGAAGTTCTTCCTCGCGACGGGGTCGTCGAGGTCTTCCACCTTCTCGCCGAGTTTAAGATTCTTGTCGTCGTATGGCTGATCCACTGGCTGCCCTGGAGGCGGAGCCGCAAACGTCCCTAGCAATCAATCATCAGTTCACTGCTCCTCACCACCCCATCACCACGACGACATACCTCTCATCCCAGGACTCATATTCCCAAAATGCCCCGTAATCTCCCTCTTCCAACTCCACCCCTCCTTCCCCTCCTCCTTCACAACCCTCATCCTCCGTCCCAATTCACTCTTGACAGTCCTCACCCCACTACTCTCCGTCTCATCCTCCACATCCGGCCCAACAATAAACGCCTCCCCTTTAACCCTCCACTGCACCATCACATCCTTCACCCACCACACCGCCTCGCAAGGCCCTCCCCCTCCACTGCCCTGTATCAACCCCTCGCGATCCGCCTTCCCCGAACTCGAACTGAACAGCTCAAACACCTTCTGCATCCGCACGTCCGTCGTGAACGTGGGCATATCGCTCTCGTAGACTCTTTCATTCTTCGGTGCGGTGTTGTGTTTGTTCTCTGGCAGTTCCGCCCAGAAGGCGCGGAAGATGCAGTAGCGGGCTCGCGGGAAGTAGGGGACGGGGCTGGATGAGGGGGCCGGGTGGAGGGAGGTGAAGACGAATTCGGGGGAATCCATCTTGGAGAGGTGGGATTGAAAGGTCGACTTCCAGGGCGCTTCGGCGGGCGCTTGGGATGGAATAGTTGAAGCCATAGTGCGCTGGATGGTGCGCGTGAGGTGGGCGAGGCGAGTGGACGCTATGGTTGCTGTTGTGGAGTTTGCTTTAGTGTTGCGATTCTGTCGATGCTGAGGTTGTCGAGCAGGAGGTGTACTTGTCATGAAAGTCTTTCTTTCGATGTAGTGGTCATTGTGAGCTCACTGAATATTGCTGGAGTCTTGGTATCATTGAATGGGAGCTATGGCCCTAGGCGATGACAACATTGATTTTAGTTGGTGGGGCAGGTCGATCGATGGAAAACTAGCCGTCGATCCGATCGTTCACATGAAAATAGAAGAAAGAAAAGGTTTGCGTTTAAAGTGCAAGTGCAGACTTCAGCTCTCAGTACAGGGAATCGACGCTTTTCCAAACCATCTCATGCTCGTGTCTGCCTCGCCAGGCCGACTTCAAACCAGGGCATCCTCAACATCGCAGATCAAGCAAAAAGCACGCAAAGCAATCCGAGCATCTTCTTCTCTTCGTATCGTCCACACCAGATGCACAGCCGTACGGCGCCCAGAGAAGTGTGTTCGCAATCCGCAACCTCCATTTGGACTTCCATCTCGAGAAGCTAACAAACGTCTTCTCAGACGGCGTCCTTCTTTCGCGAATGAGGCCCCTTCTTCTTTGGACTGAAAAGCTTGCCCTTAGCCTTGCCCATCTTCTGTCCCTTGCTCTCGCTCTTCTGATCAAACAGCACCTCATGCTTCAGTCCGGTGATGTTGTAGATCTTCTCCGCGAGACGCGGGTACGGAGTGTACCCGGTCTGCTCCAACATGGCATACATGTTCTTGATCCACACCTCGCTCGCAACTCCCTTCTTCTTGAGGTCATCCAGCTCCGTGCCGAAGATGTTCTTCTCCACCTCGGCTTCGTTTGACGCATACTCCAGCGCTTTCTGATGGTAACCAAGGTCCATCGCAAGAGACGAGGCAAGGCGGTAGGCTCGAGTCAGCTCCAAGGCCAAGAGTCCTTGCTGGAGGAGTATCGTGATGACACCTTCAGCTTGAGCGAGGGCCTCGGGGCCAGAGCTTGGAATCAGGAAGTGAGGCTCATCCAGTGGCTCACCCTTCTTGAACTCTTCGATGCCCCAGATCAGGGCTCCCAATGCTTCGTGTCTGTTGTCAGAGGTGGTGCTGGGGTCGGAGCAGGCCTCGCACTGGCACGTGAAGCCATATCTGGCCCGGAGGTATTCCCATCGCATCGTATGAGACCAGAAGTGGCATTCTTGACCGATGTAGTTCATGACCAGCTCTTCTCCCTGACGGATGTCGCGCACCGCATGCACAGTGAGCTTGTTCATGGTTGGGTTGTAGCTGTGATGCACGTTCGGAACGCAAGAGTGATTGAGACGGGCAGCGTTTGGGAAGAGGCCAAGTGCGCCTTTGGACATCTCGAAGTTGTTGACGGCAAAGGTGCCCATAACTCTGACATGTTCAGCGATGAGTTCTTCCTCATCGTCCGACTCAATAGCTTCGTCCGTCGGGTCAAGCAGAAACATGCGACTCGCCTGCTCGAGATGCAACTGGTTATTCTCCCAGAAGTAGAGTGCATCGAACTGGCGCTTCTCGTCATTGCCAAGTCTGCAGTAAGGGCCCCAGACTAGATACAGCTGGTTGGTGGGGATCTTCAAGAGAGGGGAGTCGCAGATGATACGTGCGCCGAGGGGTATGTCCCGAGCTGCGAACACGCCAACGCCTCCACGTGCTGAGGATCGGATGTTGAAGAGCTGATGTGGCGGGAATGGTTTGTGGGAGGATGAGAAGGATTCGAAGGCGGCCGATTGTTGTGGCTGTGGCGATGGCGTGAACTCGGCGGCAGTCGCTTTCAAAGGCGAAGATGTAGACTTAGTGGGGCTGCCACTCTCTGTGTCTGGCGTGTTCATGCCGGGAGAGCTTGATTCCTCGGTGACGGCGGTGCTGTCTGGCTCATTGTAGGCGGAGACGGCTTTGAAGTTCGAGGTGGATGAAGCACCAGCAGCGGCCGCATCATCTCGAGCAATGGAATCGGTGGGTGAAGTGTTTGGAGAAGAGGTGATCGGCGCCGTGTTGACTGTAGCGTCGGTGGGCTGATGATCGAGTTCGCGGTCCTTCTGCTCCTGGACATCCATCTTGCCAAACTCGGAGACCATGGATGGAATGTCCATCTTGAAGTTGCGATCGGATGAAGTTGAGTGACAAGTGTGTTGCGGTGCAGTTGGAGGATTTTGTTGTTGCGGCTTAAGATTCTGGAAGTGCGTGGGAGGTGGGTAGGTGCAGTGTTTGTGCCAAGCCATGCGCGCGGTTTGGGAGGCAGCCGCGGCGGCCTTAGTCACTCGTTTGTCGCCAGGTATTCACGTCCAGCATGTCTCTCCTCTCAAAGTACATCTAAGTCGATGCGCTGTTGTCATTTTGAACATGCTATATTGCCCAGCCACTTGCCTTCTTCTTGGTTCGCACCTTCTCCGTCGCAACGTCAGGATCTTGCGGCAGGTCCAGCGGCTCGAGGCCGAACGCTGCAGGGTCGAATGGCTTATGCCCGGTTCGATCGTCGGTCGAGAGATCGTGCAGTTCGTCGACTAGTGAATCGCCCTCTTGTAACTCCTGCCCCAATTCCTCCTCGTCTTCTCCTGCGGCGTCGTCATCATCATCGTCTTCTTCCTCCTCGGCCTCCCCACCCGCAACCTGTCCTTCGTTTGATTGAGCGTTCGCCTCAGTCTGGTCTCCTCCAGTCGCTTCGATGAACCTCTCCAGGTCCTTGCCCATCTTCTTCGAGAACCCACTTGCTTCCACCTCAACGTCGAGTCTCCGCTCTAAGTCGGCGCCCTTGAGAGCGTCGGCAAAGAGTGGACCAGGTTCATCTGATACATACTTGAAGCGCCGCTCAAAGTAGCGCTTGATGCATGCCACATCGCGGTCGAAATAATATTGCGCATTAGCATGGTTGGTGCTGACGGTTTGCGGGAAGTCAATGAGGACTGGTTTCAGCGTGACCTTGTCTCCCGCCGTCTCTTCCTGTCATACAATCAATACGTCGACACTTTAGATATTTTAGGTAGACGGACCTTGATAAGAATGTTGAACTCGTTGAAATCCCCGTGGATGAGACCTCGATGTGCCAATTGAACAATCATATCCATAAGCTCTGCATACAGCTTGCCGGGATCTGGGATGCTGTCGATCATGCGAAGCGGGAACGAGTCGATGAACTCCATGACAACGGTGTGTCGACTCCAGGCCAGAGGCTCGGGGACTGAAAATCCCTCCCGGTACAGCACTCGCATGAAAGCATGCTCCTTCTGAGCCGCCAACCTCGACAAGTACATCCATGATCCAGTGCTGCGCTTGCGGAGGTAGTCTCGGTTGGCTTTGACTGTCCTGAAGGAGATTCGTCCCAATCGATGGAGCTTCAGAACCTGTTGCCTTCCGTCGGGAGAAGCGGTGATGTAGATGTCTGATTCTTTGCCGACTCCGATTTGGTTGCCCAAGCTGAAGACCACGTTTGACTTGCGATGTGCGTTCAGTGCGAGATAGTCGAGACCGCCATAAGTAAGACGGTATCCATCATCTGAGAACTGGAGGTTAGGATATAATACCACAGTGAAGAGCGGGATAAGTCAAACGTACATCTCGCGTTCTTCACTTTGGCGATCAGGCCGACTTTGGCCAAGCTGGAGATGCATTTGTGGACTGCACTTCCGCCTCGAAGACCAGCAATCTGCTGTATCAATGGTGTTGGTACGACTTCATGGTTCTTGCTTCCTTGTTCAACCTAGACGAGACTTTAGCACTCGTCAGCCACAGCATTTATCTTCACTACAAAGACCACATACTGCCGTCAGAACTCTCCAGTCGTCGCCAGTGAGATATCGTATGGCTCGAGTGTCGAGCTTCATGATGAAGAAATCACTAGCTTGTTCGAAAGTGAAGTGAGTCGAAAAGAAGACGTTACTTGTTTCTAGTACATTGATGGCATGTGAAGGCAGAAAATGCAGGTGATGTCGGCGATGGCGGTTCCTTCCGCGAAGCCAAAAGCTTGGCCGCTTCGGAGGTGCTTGCTCAGTGCTGAGCTCACAGGCGACCAAGGACGCGTTCACACGACATCAAACACCGACCACGCCTCCATCTCCCAACCATCCTCCAACGACTTCATCAAGCAGCCGTTCAACGGTATAGCAGCTTCTGATCAAGACCGACTCCCTTGACGCATCACCTCTCACTGCCGCCCTCGACGACAACCTCTCCAGCTAGACCCGCATCAACGAGCCTCAGTACCGCTTGGGCATCATGGCCAAGGAGGAGGAGAAGCCCAAGGCACAGGACAAGGGAAAGGGCAAAGCCGAAGATGCAAAGCAGACCAACGGCGTCAACGGCGCCAAAGCAGATGGCAAAGATGGCAAGAAGGAAGGCGACCTTGATTTGCCTCCGGAGGAGTTGAACGAGGAAGACCAGAAGCTCAAGGATGAGCTGGACATGCTCGTTGAGCGGTTAACAGAGTCAGACTCGTCGCTGTATAAGCCCGCCCTCGAAGCCATCAAGACCAGCATCAAGACGTCAACAAGTTCGATGACCGCAGTGCCCAAGCCGCTCAAGTTCCTGCGACCGCATTACGATAAGCTCACAGAGGCGTACGAGAAGTGGCCCAAGGGTGCGGACAAGGACTCGCTGGCAGATACACTCTCCGTGCTGGGCATGACATATTCCGATGATGAAGACCGGCGGGATACTCTGAAGTACCGTCTGCTTGCGCCGGGCACAGACATCGGCTCCTGGGGCCACGAATACATGCGCCATCTTGCTCTTGAAATTGGCCAAGAGTATCAAAAGCGGTTGGATGAAGACAAGGACACTGATGATATCACTCAGCTTGCGCTCAGTCTCGTGCCGTTCTTCTTGTCTCACAACGCAGAGGCCGATGCGGTGGATATCCTCTCTGAACTCGAGATGATTGAGTCGATCAAAGACCATGTCGACGAGAACACTTACAGCCGAGTCTGCCTCTACATGGCATCGATGGTCCCTCTCCTCACATACCCCGACAACGACCGCTTCCTCCGAACCGCCCACGACATCTATCTCCACTACAAGCAGCTCGCGCAAGCCATCTCCCTCGCTATCAGACTGAACGACATGGAGTTGATTCGATCCGACTTCAACGCAACCAAGGACAAGGCTCTTCGCCGTCAACTCGCATTCATTCTGGCGAGGCAGCGGATATGCTTGGACTTGGATGAGAAGGAGGCTGAGGAAGACCCAGAACTGCAGGAGTGTCTCAACAACACCAAGCTTCCCGAGCACTTCAAGTCGCTGGCGAAAGAGTTGAACGTGCTGGATCCAAAGGTACCAGAGGACATCTACAAGTCACATCTCGAATCAAGTCGGACTGCGGGGCTCACTAACACGGATTCCGCACGACACAATCTTGCCTCTGCCTTCGTCAACGCCTTCGTCAATGCAGGATTCGGAGATGACAAGCTGATGTTGGTCGAGGGCGGTGTCAAGCAGAGTTGGATCTGGAAGGTGAAGGAAGAAGGCATGATCTCGACGGCAGCATCAGCAGGTATGCTCATGCTGTGGGATGTGGAGATGGGTCTGGACAAGATTGATGCCTACACCTACGTGCCTGAAGACCAGATCAAAGCTGGTGCCGCTATGGCCATGGGTATCATGAACTCGGGTGTGAGGCTCGACAGCGACCCGACAATGGCGTTGCTGGGTGACTTCGAGGGCAAGAGTGTCAGCGAGAAGGTCGCCAGAATCATGGGTCTTGGTTTGGCATATGCTGGGTCGAACAAGGAGGACCTCCTCGAGATCCTGCTGCCTCTCGTTCTTGATACCGGCTTGGAGATGCAGCTTTCAGCTACGGCAGCTCTGTCGCTTGGCCTGATCTTTGTCGGAACTGCGCAGTCAGATGTCAGCGAAGCCATCATCCAAACGTTCCTTGACGAGGACCGCAACAAGCAGCTCAAGGACAAGTGGACACGCTTCATGACTCTCGGTCTGGCCATGCTGTACTTTGGACAGCAAGAAGAGGTGGACGTTGTCCTGGAGACCCTCAAGGCTATTGAGCACCCAATGTCCAAGCCAGCGTCTGTCTTGGCTGAGATCTGTGCCTGGGCCGGGACTGGTGCAGTGCTCAAGCTGCAGCAGCTCCTCCACATCTGCAATGACCATCTCGAGGAGAAGGACGAGAAGGATGACGACAAGGACAAGAAGGAAGATGGCGATGAGAAGAAGGACATCTCAGGTGAACAGACAGTCCAAGCATACGCTGTACTTGGCCTGAGCTTGGTAGCCATGGGCGAGGAGGTAGGCCAGGAGATGGTTCTGCGACAGTTTGGACACCTGATGCACTATGGCGAGCCAAACATCCGCAAGGCAGTACCCCTGGCCATGGGTCTTATCAGCCCGTCCAACCCACAAATGAAGGTCTACGACACATTGTCGAGATACTCCCACGACAACGACATCGACGTCGCCATCAACGCCATCTTTGCGATGGGAATCCTGGGAGCTGGCACCAACAACGCCCGTCTTGCGCAGCTTCTGCGGCAGCTTGCCTCATACTACCACCGTGACGCCAATGCACTCTTCATGGTACGAATCGCACAGGGTCTTCTACACATGGGCAAGGGCACGATGTCGATCAACCCATTCCACACTGATCGCTCAGTGCTATCAAGAGTCGGCGCTGCCGGCCTGCTCACCGTGGCAATCTCTCTCATCGATAACCCCAAGGCCTTCATCCTTGGCGATCACCACTACCTGCTCTATTACCTCGTCACCGCCATGCACCCGCGCTTCTTGATCACGCTCGATGAAGAGCTCAAGCCGGTGCAGGTCAACGTAAGAGTGGGTCAAGCCGTGGACGTGGTTGGCCAAGCTGGTCGGCCAAAGACCATCACTGGTTGGCAAACACAGTCGACGCCAGTCCTACTTGGCTATGGTGAGCGTGCGGAGCTCGAAGATGAGGAGTGGATCTGTCTGGCGAACGTCATGGAAGGTGTTTGCATACTGAAGAAGGTGAGTTGAATGCTCGTTCTAGTCGTACCGTGGCTCGTACTAACACTATTTCGCAGAACCCTGACTGGGAGGCTCCGTGAACCGGTATTATCCTCACGGGAACGATTGATGCTCTGATACACGTACGCATCGTCCCACGGCGTTTTGCTGGTGCATGAGGAAGGGAGAAAGGCGCGGAAAGCAGTGGTATAGATAGTCTACCGCTTAGAATCCGACATTGATGTCGGCGCGACGTTAGGTAGTGACGCCGCTAATGTACCATACTACAATTCGAGGCATTGCAAAGCGTCCACATGCGTCGTTATTACGTCTGTTTTGCATGTGCTGTTGTCCATGCGCAACATTCACTTGCAACCGTTGAGAGAGCTGTCATTGGCCCGGAGTCCGCGCCGATGCCTGTCAGGCAGCTTTGAACTTCGTCATGCACCGCCCCTCGATTCGTCGTTTCAATTCCCAGAACGACACCGCCAACACCGCTGACAACATATAAAGCACTGCTCCATCGCCGTCTTCTCCACCACCAAACCAACTCTTTCACCCACTGACACACGCACCATGGGCGACCAACCGCCCGTCAACGCCCTTTCGGGCCCCACTCTCAGCTACTACATGCTGTCTTCACTGCCACAGTCCAGCCAAAAACTCACACACGCCCACGAATGCATTGCCCTCGCCGCACATGCATCCATGCTCGCAGTCGGCTTCCGCCTTGTTGGCCTCGGCGAAGACCACCGCACCGAAGCCGAATCAGATCCTGACCACCCATCACCTCTACCTGCAGAATGGAACGCCCAGAGTGGAAGCTACGCCTTTCGATACAAGCACAGCCAGAGTAGCATGGAGTATCTGATCAAAATCAACAAGATGGGCAACAAGGTCATCGTGATGGGGATGGGGATGGGCGGAGATGAGAGGACAAGCCAGTTCGAGGTGAAGATGAGTGAATGGGTGAGCGATGGGAACCTACCCTTCGAGATAGCAGAGGGCACGAGCAAGGAAGATGCGCAGAGGAGGATCAACGAGACTTTCATCTCCGTTGGACGACTCAGCGATTTCGGCAGTCGCATGAGAGTCTCTCTGATCCAGAAACTCGCGCCGGGGCTGCAGAAGGAGGGATACGAAGAGGTCACACAGGAGCAGAGGGAGGAAGGCAGGAGACCTGCGCCTGGACGTGAGGATGATCGGCCTCGATATGATCCTTTGCGGGAAGAGAGAGATCCGCCTGCGAGACCGTTTCCATTGCATGACCCCCTCGCAGCACCTCCACGACGACCCATGCCGGACCCTATGCCCGGCTTTGAAGACGAGTTCGAGATCCAGCGACCACCGAGAGGAATGCCACAGGGCGGCTTCCCACGATACGGTGATCGTGATCTCTATCCTCAAGGCCTGGGTCCGAACGACCCTCTACGTGGTGGTGTAGGCCCCGGTTTTGGAGGTCCCAGAGGCGGTGGTGGCATGCACCCTACATTCGACGATCCGCTCTTCGCTGAACAAGGTCAAGGAGGTCCAGGCTTCGATCCTCAGGCACCTCCAGGTGCGAGGTTTGACCCGCCGTTTGGACCTGGTCAGGGTGGACATCCACGCGGTGCTGGAATGGGTGGTCGGCCGCCGAATCCTTTTGGAGGGTTTGGAGATGGCGATTTCATTTGATGAGTGGCCCTGGATCACTGAAAGGGAGTCTGCCCTGCTTGTACAATACTGACGAACGAGACGTTGATGAATGATGATGCCCATGAGACGCACGACGGCATGCATCATGAATGGGAGGTGTGTTATGCAAGTCCAAACCGCCTTCAGAGAACTCAAAGACTTTGAAATACAAAGAGCAATGCAACCGATATTCGCCATGTCCATATTTCCGCCTCACGCACCGCTCAAGTGTTGCAAAATCGAACTCCTTACACCTTCGTCCCTATTTTCCAGCGACGATCTCCAGCAGATATCGCCCTCACCACCGCATAGATCCCTCACAAGCCTTCCAAAACTTCACCCAACTCGGCACTCACGACAAGATTGTATCACATGAACGCCAAAACTCCCTATCCAGAACTAAAACCTCCCTCCCCGCCATCTCCGCTCACCCTCATCCTCCACATCTCCACCCCTCCTACCCCTCATTCCCCAACCCCCTTACCGGCGGCCTAGGAGTAAGATCCTCAAGACTCAATCGTATTCCAAGGCGGCGCCACCCACCCAAAACACACCTGCGTAGGTTTCCGGCCCAGCGTCTGCGTCGTGCAGAAGGTTGTTTGGCCGACCTCGTTGGTGCCGGTCGGGTGGAGGTCGAGGTGGACTTTTGGGAGGACGCCGCTGCGTTTGAGGAGGGTTGTGGGAGTCTGGGAGGGGGTTAGTTGGTGGGTTTGGGGGATGGTAGATGGGAGGAATGCGAGGGGACTTACGGGGGTTTGGGCGGTTGTGAGGGTTAGGAGAAGAGTCAGCAGCAGGAGGAGGAGGGTGGCGTGGTGGTGCATTTTGAGATTTTTGTTGTCGGGTTTTAGGGGTGCTGGATCGTGGTATGTTGAGAAGATGTTGAAGTTGATATCGCGGATTCACAACGAAGAGAGCGTAGGTCGACGAGACAAAGATTCCTAGTGCGCTTTGTATGTACTGGCTTGACCGAAATTCCAGGGCCATGGTCACAAGCTGATTTTATCGTTGGTGGAGCGTGACTGAAATCGGGGGAAGGCTGCAGCCAGTCGAGGCTGGTGTGGTCAGCGTGACTTGAACTCAAAGCAGTTGAGGGTATGCCTAATTCTGAGAATCCCTTAGCCTTTCTCTGTACACGCTTTTGCTATTCAGATGATCGAAATATGCTCTACCTCTTCGACGCTCCAATCCGGATCATGGTCGTCGTGGGCCAGACTGTGAACGTAGCAACTGCCGACCCATCGCCACATCTCATTTTGCTTCCTCAAGATACCCAGACCGCTGTATGCACCTAATGCGTAGACATGATCGTCTGGCCTCGTGTCGCACGGAACGAGCGATATGTGGCCTTTGGTGGTTACCGCGAGCCTCCTATAATTCAAGATGGAGTCGATATAGTCGACGAGTTGCAGATACCATTCATCGTCGCTTGGAGCTTTTCGCTGCTCTCCGTGGCCGTCTGTGCCCTTCGTCGAATGAGGAAATTGCTCCAGTACATCCCTGAGAAGGTAACCTCCAGGAAGTGGAAGTTCGCCATTCTGTTCAAGGAACGAGACCACTCGATCGACGCTTCGCGAAGTGCCTTTGTTGCGCTTGAGCCATCCCATAGGAGGCAGCTCTGGGTTTAAGTAGAATGCCGATGAGCTTGCACTGCCTGATAGAAATGTCGCGGCGAGCTCTCGATAGAGATCCTTGATACTCCGTTCATATTGCTTTGTAGCCTTTTTTGTCGTGGCCGAGGACTGAACGATGCCCCTTTCCGTGTCCCTGTTGAGAAACAAGTCGTCGAATTCGCGGCGCACAGAGCTCACGGAGTCGATCGTGTCAAGGCGCACTCCAGAGACGTTCAGGACCTTACCATCGATCCATGGATCAGATGCCTCTCGAATATGAATTTGTATGATTCGCACCTTTCCAAACGGCAGAGCTACATTGCCGTTTCCCAGATCAGGAGCCCAAGAGGGAGCGTCTCGTGCTCGATTATGGTCAGGCTGGGAACAATGACGTAGAATCTGAAGACTGCCTGTCATCTCTATGGCTACAGAAGCGAATTCCGTCCAGACAGTACCCGCAGTTTTCCTGTAGTCCACGTGTATCGGTTGGGAGAGGGAGGGATCGATCAAGCTGAGCAAGCCGTACACCTTATCTCTCGCATTCGTCGCCTGAGCCTTTCTAGCCAGGCGAAGTATCGTCGAGGGTTGGGCGTACTTGTTTTCTTGCACACGATCTGCTACCAGTTTCTGAATATCCACAATCTTGTCGAGATTGGACGAAAAAGGGGCCATTGCTCTCCCAGAGGCTCTCACAGACGCTACTAATGTTTCTCGAATCGTGTATGGCAGGCTCCGGAATAGCGCAGCAACACTGGAGACCGTGTTCCAAGGCATAGAGTTCGTCCCAGCTAAGATCATGATGTCCCGCGACGCCAAAGCGATCTCCTGGATGATCCATAGTCGAGTCCAATAGGGGTTGGCGAAGAAGTTGAACAGAGAAGCCCAGCGCTCGGCACTGTATTGCACGACTCCAGATCGCAAGTGCTCTGCGAACGCCTCTCGCCCAACGTCTGACTGTGCTCCGGCTAGAAGGCGCAGCATACTGACGCCAGCATCCCAGCCCATGACTCTTGCCCTCGCCTCTCCCGTATCAGTCAGGCACCACTCTGGTGGCAGGGCACAGACAACAACGCTCGCAGCACCATAGATATATCTCATCCGCAGAACCTGCTTATTTCGCTCATCGAAATTACTCTGGTCGATACACACCGCGTCCACCCAAATCCGACGGGGAAACTTTTCATCCTCTCGCATGAACCTGAGCAGCCTCGTAAGAGCGTTGTGAAGATTGAGCGTGACCTCAAACTTCACCCCAGAGATGTAGATGTGTCGTTTCGGCAGGGTAGAGGAGCCCCATACGTATGATAGAGCGGCGAAGGTGCCCCAGCCATGTTGAGAGTCGATAGCTTGATCTGAAGGGGATTCGAGATACTCGACGCGCAGTAATTCGCAATGAATCTCCCCGACGACATTTTCCCCTTCCTTTTCATCGGCTCTCGGTAGCAATTGGAGCAGCCGAATCTCGTGCGTTTCCTCATGGAGTGAATGATAGGCGAAGGGAGGCTGCGAGGCTGTCATGATTTCGTTAAATTTGTAGGTCTTGGGCGATGTCCTCAATTGTATTATTGCTTTCGAATGTCATGAGGAGCCATGAGTCTTTTCCACTTCGTCGTTGTTGGAGATCTCCAACCTCAGGTACCTCGTGTGAGGCTTAGGCGGGCACAGCCCCCTTTGATTGCATCGACCAAGCTTGATATCTCCCAAGTCAAACCGCTACGGAATTCGAAAGTGATTTTGAAGTAACGATTTCTACCACGTGCTATTGTTAGATGGTATAATAGAATGATAGATGGCGACTTTGAGGTGGCTCAACATCTAGTATTCGTCGCCGGGATATGAGGATCAAGGCCCTCGCGGCCAGGAAATTGGCGTAGAAGATGGAAACATAGTAGCCGTAGTAAAACTGATCATCGTATGAGTTGATCACTCGGGATTCCTTCTTGGCTTTGGCAAACGCCAGGCAAGCCGTGTTCGCGCATAAGGGGTTCGACAGCGGGAGAAAAGTGATGTTGACGTTGGTGTCCGGCCAGACGTAGTCGACGCTCATCTTCTTGGCGATTGCTTGGACATTGGGCATTGGTTAAAGACAAATAACTTGTTCATATGGCCAGCATGGTTGCTCGACATACGGACTGAGAAGGTAAGAGCGAGTTTTGTCGTGCAAAGTTCAGGATGATCGCAGACCCCCCTCCTTCCTCCGAATGGAGTCGACATTGGATCGAGTGGGAAAGGAAAGGCTGTGGACTTCACGAAGATTGAAAAATTCTTTTGTTGATATCATCCGGGGGTATCATCTCTACCAACACGCCATCAAAACGACAAAAACGCACCTTTTTATCATTCACGCCCGTCATCATCTTCGTGCAAATCATCATCCCCACCGACACTCATATGCCTGTCCCACCACTCCTTTCTCGGAGTTTGAGCAGGTGGCGGCGGCTGTTCCTGCTGGCTCATGACATTCGTCCTCCTCTCGTTCAGACTGCCTCTATGTTGATGATAATCCCGCCGCTCCATCTCCAAACGCTCCTGTGCTCTTTCAGCCGCTAAAATTCGACGATCGCTGCCACCGCTGTGTGTACGACGATGCATCGCTGGTGCGGCGCGGACTCGCGAAGGTGTTGTAGGCCCAGGGGCTGCTCCAGGGGCGGAGGGAGTCTTCAGGGAGATCTCTGATCTTCGCGGCGAATTGCCCTTGCCAGTCACGCTCAGGCTGAATCTCTTCAGAGAGTTCAATAGTCCTGACTGAGAGCTGTTGCGCTTCTCGTCTCCGGTGAGGTCGCCACCAAAAGCGCTGCTTTTCCGTCTTTGATCTCGCCAATTCTTGTTGAAAATGACGCTCCAGAACTTGAAGCTGCCCAGGAACGTCCCATCGCTGCCGGGAATGTGTCGCCAAGGCTTCTCTCGCCACGAGAAGATGAGGACATCACAGCATCCCATGATCGTTTGGTAGAAGATGTTGAGGGCGCTGATGGTGAAGATTGGATGTTGTGCGAAGTGGCTGCTGTAGTTCAAGGCGTGAGAGACGAAAGGTATAATCCATAGGATAAGATAGACCACGGGGTAAATGAAGAGGAGACGAAGTTGCCGCTGTATCGCTTTTCTTCGTTGTTTCATGGCTCGCGATGCCATGTTGTTTGGGGTACTGTCGGTAGAAGCTGCCGACTTCTGCTCTGCAATGGGCGCCAAAGCCGGCGACTGCTCGTAGGAATGATCTCCTGACGATTTCATAGAGCCGACCGTCGATACTGATCCTCGAGGTCGGTCCATGGTAAGGGGTAGTGGACGTGGTGGCGCGAAATCTTCGGCCGTGATGCCAGACTCGATTTGTCTGCTGCCTCTTCGTGAAGCAGGGTTGCTTTTGCTCGTGGGGAAGGTCGGTCCACCAAAGGCGTCCGTCTCCAGCCCAGCACCCGTAAACGGTGTCGACCAATTCGGTGTCGATTGTCTTCTGGCGGGTTTCCATATACTTTGCTTCGATGACCCAGGCAAGGCTAGATATGCCGCTGGCATTGGCGGTACACCAGAGTCTTCGGGGGCGATGGCATCGTCCTGGCCGGCTTGTTTCTCTGCCGCGGCGCCATCCGAGCTTGACGATTCCGTGTGCCTCATGGACGCCGTTGTTGGTCCTGATACTGCGGACTGCGCATTGGGATTACTTGAGTCTGCCCCAGCAAGGCTTGAGCTGCGGTCTCTTTCTTCGCCAAAGACCTTGAACTCGTACCCGACGTGCATGTAGATGCGGATTGCCACTGCCATGACGAAGATCCAAATTAGGTACCGCGGTATCCAAGACAATGCCAAACGATACCAGAAGGGGCGGATCGGGAGAGAGCAAAAGCCACCTTGCGATATGAACGCCGAGCCAGAGTTGACGAATGCCAGCGAGCTCATGATATTCGGAAGCACAAACCAGGTGGCCATGACTGCATGGCGGAGTCGGTATAGGCCATCGTGTCCCAGGAAGGAATCTTTCGGCGGAAAGATCTGCAGTAGCATGTGCAGGCTCATGAGGAAGATCGCTACATCGCAAGCCTCCAGACCGACTTGCAGAAAGTATCCACTCGCTTGACAGAAACTCGACTTGGTCGCAATGTGCCCAGCGGAGAGCGTCCTCGCGGAGAAGACCAAGAACCAGAATGACTTCCACAGGTCACCGCAGATCAGGAGTAGTACCAGATCCCTTCGAAAGTTGCGCTTCATCATGCAAAACCAGTAGATGGCGCATACTGCTGCCAGGATGCTGACACTCGAGAAAGTCGATGCGATCACTTGGATCTGGTACTGCTGCTGGCGCGCCAGTATCGATGAGGCATTGAAGTCGGTGGTGGAACCTAGCTGGGCCCTGGTTTGCATGGGGAAATCGTACGGCTGTTCTGACACGGCAGCGACCGTATAGAATGCCGAAGGGGTAGGCCAGGTGCCGGAAGGCGCCAGCGTAGAGGCGAGTTTCGAGCCATTGTCCTCCACCAATGGATTCCCGAAGTCACCGAAGTCCATTGATGGCGAAGCAGCGGCAACGGCACCAGTCACGGTCGACCGTCATGCAGGTATCCAGTAGGGACTGTGGTTGGTAATACCAGGACGCAGGAGACTTTGCGCGGATGGTGCCCTTGAAAGTGCACCAGCCCGCCGTAAAAGGCCTATGTTGGCATTCTTGACGAGCTCGAGTCTCACAGTAGACTATTCCCGAAGATCCAAGCCTTCGGCTGTCGCCTGGGTAGTCAATCCGAGTTCCTGAGGAGCGTGGATATTTTGTGGAAAAGCGGAGGTTATTTGAAGAGGTGTCCACGTCGTTGCTGATGGCTCAAATTGAGTTATGCAACTCTGGCATGCGGAACGAAGGAGTCTGCACACAGGAGCTCAAAAAAAAAAAAGGCGCTACCACGTCCGGTCGGATTGCGTATTTGATCCCGCGGCCAAGCACGTTGGTTTGTCTTATCACTGGTCCAGGTGCTGCGATCCGTCCATCCACCCCAACGTAAGCCCAGATGACGAGGTAGCAATAGCAAAGAAAAAGAGCAAACAGGAAGTGAAGCGAGACGCAAACCTCCTCTCCCTACAGTAACAAATGTCCTTTGCCTGCAACGTTTTCGTGGCGGGCCAGCCGAGGAGGTGGTGTCGGGACGATGGTCACATTCCACGCACAACCGCGTGCACCAACGGTCGGAAAAGAGAATGGAAAAACTCAAAGCAGACACTGCGATTCCTCATTCAGCGCGAAACGTCTCGGGGTATGAAGATCACTGCCGGCTGGGGTAGGTGTGGGAACGCCGAAGGGGGGTAACGGTCGATAAAACGGATCAAGATCTGCAAGTTTTGGCGCGAGATTCGGCAAACCAATAACCGTGCTAAGCTCCTGCGCAAGCCACAAAAGCGGCCAAGCCAGCCTTCACGCCCCGTCTTATTTCTCCTTGAAGACGCGACTTGGCATTCTTCTGAACACCAGCAGAAGTTCCAGCAACGACTTACCGACGTACAAACCCCGCTGAAACACGGCCAGGACGATGATGGGATGCCCGCTGACGACAAGGCTGTGAGCCGTGGTAGCCGAGCTTACCACAGCTGGAGATGTTCGTTTGGGGCCGAAAGCAGCTGAGGAGCAGCTGGTGTGCACGGAAATGCACTTTCTGTTGATGGACAGGCATGCATGGCGAACGGGCAACTCACGGAGCGGACGAGGTCCATCGAAAACCCAGCCACCCACGCAATGTTGAAGATTGGGAATTGGAATGTCTGGTAACACGAGTCTCCCTTCGAGGTTTGCTGGACCCAAGGGGTTTCCGCAAGACGCAAACGCCACCGGAGGATGTCTCAGAAGAGGCATTGCTTTTCGACTGGCGAGCGCCTGCGTAGCCGCGCGCCGACTATCGGGACGAGAGCCGAGTATATTCTCAAAGCTCTTCAAAGATCGATCTTGCCATGCAACATCAAGTTGGATCGTGTTTGAGTCCTCGATCCTCGCATGCATCGCCCAGACCAGTCATTCATACACCAGCATTCTTCTGCTGTTGTAGCAACTCTTGCAATGCTGTGTCTCGCACTATCGTCGAGCTGCTTGCGTCGAAGCAATCTGGAGCGACGAGTCATTTGCCTTCCAATGGTAAAGGCATGAGGGCATTCTGATGATATCGGCGACTTGGAGTACGCCCCTTCAAGGCCACCTGTGCAATGGTAGAAGATGCGCTGAGTTCTCGCCTGTCAAGTCAGGTCCACCGGCTTCTCCTAAGAGCAATTGGAGCGGACCTGGCCAGACAAGGGGCAAGCGATCTCAGCGACCTTGTCCAGACCACGTATCTCAGCGATGGCATCAGTGGCATCCTCTCCACCTAGCTCTTTTGGAAAGTCCCACTCGAATCGACAAGATGGCTTGCTATCCACAGCTATTGTCCGACGAAGCAGCGGGCCGCCGAAGCTCTTGGTGATGCGGCCAGGTGAGGTTCGTTTCCGAGCGAGTATGGTCACTCAGCTCTTGGTGTGTTGCAGCACCAGAGACAACGCATCGAAGGCTCCGTGGGATTCGACGTGAGCAGTCTGTCCTCAGGCGACGAAATCCAGCTCCTGCGATCGTGGATAGGGCATCGTAACTTTCGAGTCGGTGGCCCAGTGAATCGCCGAGCTGAAGAAGATGTTCCGGAGGTGCATTTGATGACTGATGGACCGTGAGCTGACTCTTTCAACCCCCATCTGCAAAAGCACTTCCATCTGCTCCTCGAGGATCTAGCATGCATATTTGGGGTCTCGTTTCAATGATCTTCCCGCTGTTGTTGGTGACTCGTCAGCTTCACACTCACGAGACCGTCTGGTTGAGGGATGGCTCTGGGCAGGATGGTAGGGTAAGGCGATGTGCTGCTGACTCCAGAACCCGCAGCGTTGTTCTACTTTCCGCGTATAGGTAGAGGGTCTTTCAGGGCAAGAAGAAGCGTGAGCCTACGATCCTTCGCCCTACTAACGAAGTGCCCTCATGAGGAAGCATGCAATTGCCCTTTCATGATGATCGCGGACCGCGAAGGTCTCCCGTCCGTTGTTGCTGACGACAGCAGCAAAACCGACAACCACAATCACATGATTCCGCCTTCATGCGGGCTGAAATTGTGATCTGTAGCCGTCTCCGATGAACACACGCCGGCGGGCCGACGACGAACAGTCCCTTTCTGCCGTGCTCCCCTGGTCCTTGCTAACTTGTCTCTCAACAACGCGAACACACGAACATGCCGGCTTTTGCTCAGAATCCACCAGCTGATGAATGAGAGGCAGAAGAAGAAAATCCACCCGGGCTCGTTCATTCCTTTGTCTTCCTCCCGGTAGATCGCTAACATGGGGGCCAACATAGCAAGGATTCACCACTAACACACACATCTTTCATCAGCTCATCAATGGCGTGGACTGTCATCCACTACGCCATTTAGTCAGTGTAGGGCCCGTTTCACCCCTCGTCTCGTCCCGCCTTGGCCGAATGTTGTGTACATGTACTCTGCACTCCATACACATCCGCGTATGCCTATACCTACACAGAGCAGGTGATAATACACATCCAACTGCTCTGTCAGCCAACCTAACCCACAACCGTCAAAAAGGCAACTGTTCCTGAAGGAGTCTGCAAACCTGCACGTCGCGAGCGTCCCGTCGCCTCTCGCACGCGTATCGACACCACTACGGTATGCCCATCGGTCTCGCCCGACAGCCAGCATCGGACAAACATAATGTGCGGATTCCGTGCGGAGCCTATTGCAGCAGTAGCCCAGGCCTGCGTTGGGGTTGGGCCAGCCTTTTGCGTCATATGCGCGGAATGGCGGTTGCGGATGTGTGATGTGATGGATCTTGCGTTGGCGTGCCCGCTCGTGCCGACAGACAAACAGGCGTCCCGCATGCCGAGTGTGTCTTGACAGACTGGCGCGTATCGGTGCGTGCGTGTCTCGGTTGCGACTTCTCGAGGATGAGGATCCCTCCCGGAGCATGTGGCTCACGTGGTTGACGCTGAATCGACTCTGTGCGTGGTTGCATTACATGTGTCGGACATGGATGTTGATGCAATGGTTATCTCGTATCTACATCCACAACAACCGTGCGTCGTTGTTGTCTAATGATCCCATGGTTCGTGGAAAAAATCGATGCGGCCAGATTTCGCCGCAGCGTAACGACAAATTTCTCAACCAACATCTCCTGAACCTCACTGTCGGGATCAATCTGCTCGATGGACAATCGGCGTCTGTCCGGAGTTCGCAGAGCCTTCTCTATTCAGACAAGTTCGAAAAAGACCCGAGAAAGCACATCCCATGAAGTCTGTTTTTTGGCGTTCACCGAACACGGTCGCTCCCCGAACAAGCACTTTCTACACTTGTACTTGCTGAAGATGGTATGTAGAAAGCAGCGCCATGGATACGAGAGGAAGCAGAAGGAAAAAGGAAATCTGCAACGCTGTTATTCAGCTAAAAGGCACTCGTTCCTCCTTCCTTCCGTGCTCCATCTTTCGCGTGGGTGGAGAGATAGCCTCATGTGTCGGTGCCGAAAGAAGGAAGTGGACTGCTGCCTCAATTCTGCAAAGCATATAACCAACTAACCTACCCATCATCGCCGCCGTCGCCGTCTCCGCCAGCCTAAATCTAATTAATGCTCGACATCTTGAACAGGCTTACAATCCTTCAAACTCAAAGGGTACGTGTTGGTATGTACCTGATGATGAGCTCTTCCCTCTCTTCTCTTGTCCACAGTCGAAGAGGGAGAACGAGAGAGAGCGTGTGTGGGGCCGGCAGGAGACAGACGACAAGCATGCGACCCGGCACCGTAGCCATCCCCCAAACAGCCAAGCGTGCGCCTGTCAAGAACCGCATAAACGACCAAGCAGCCAATAGCAAAAACCCGCGTTGGTCGCCGTGGGCGCGTAAAAACAAGGGCCTCGGGGAGAGCGAATCGGGTCGCGCGTATCCACGGGTGTCGAGACACCTAACTGTGCAACTACTGTACACCGGCGTGCAAACAAGCCAGCCAAAGCCAGCCAGGCCAGCAAGGTTTCCTCTCTCAGCTCGTCCCGCCCGCCGACCGCCGATCCGCCGACCGCCCCCAAACGTCACCCACTACTGCTTCGTGCAGAGACAGACGTGCCTTGAAGCTGAGCGAGCAGAATACCGATACAATGGTAACGAGATGGGAACGAGAGATTGCGATCCTGCGAGGCGCGCAAGCCCCCCTCCTCTCGTCTCCGAGGAGTTGCCCCAACAGAATGAGTTCGTCTTGTGATTCGAAGGTGTCTGTCTGTCTGTCTGCCTGCCTGCGTGCTGCTGTCTCTCTCTCTTGCGGCCACGTCCGAACGAATTGAACACACCGTCTCGACCCGTCAGCCTTTGCGGTTGCATGCCATCCCTCATGATTGCCAAAACGCCTGCCCAATGCCTGAACGCAAGAAGATACTGACTGATGCCGCCCCCGATGATGTCGGAGCCCCGTCGTCGTAGCATGATGATGATATGGTGGCGTGCTGCCGCCGTGTCCGCCGCATGTCGTGAAAAGAGCGCCGCCAACTCCGCACACGATGCTGTACATGATTTAGTCCCGCTCCCACTGCTTAGCTGAATGCATGGCATAGCCGGTGCCGAAGTAGTTCACAACCTGGCCACGCCATGCTGCCTCCCCGGTCTGTCGTCGCCAAGGCGGTTCCTCCGTCGAATCCTTCGAGAGAGATCACGGAGACTCGTCCACTTTTGACACGGGCGAACCATGGTATGGTTGTCGTCGTGACGATGAAGGTGAAGCGTGTTGTCGCACGTCCGCACGCTTCCTCACCTCGGGCCGTCGAGGACATCCGTCGTCAATGTGCCTGTAAGAAGCCACCATCGTCAGCAAGCGAGCCCAAAACCCCATGCAGGATTCCACGTGGACACGTACCGTCGAAGAGTGTCTTTCCGCGCGAACGCGCTATGGCACAAGGGACAGCTGAAATGTCGCTCCCTCAAATGCACCTAGAGTTCGTTAGCCAGGCTTACAAACGCCCAGGTGGATGTGCTCACGCTGCGTTCGTGCCGAATCAAATCGGTCCGTCGCACAAACCGTCGCTTACAGCCTGGATAGTGACAAGCGTGCGGTTGTTCGCGATGTGGATCGTGTGTGTCCATGTGCGCTTTGAGATTGTAGCTGCGTTGAAAGAGTTTGCCGCACTTGTCGCAGTGACAGGTCGAGTTGGCGTGAGTCGTGTAGCCACGCTTTGGTCGTTGGTCGCCGCCCATGGAGACGCTGCTGTCCTCGGATACTGCACGCCGTGTGCGCGATCTTTGAGATGGTGCGAAGGGCTTCACATCCTCCTCGTCTTCAAGTTTGGACGGAAAGCTGCTGGAGCTCATGGCCACTTGGTCGACGGCTGAAGGAGGAGGGCTCGTGTATACATCACCGGGGTTGACGTGCGATGGGTGATCGAGCGATATCGAGCCTGGGACTGAGTACAGCCGGGGTCGTTGCGTTTCCGAAGAGTCTTCTACCTTGATGTAAGGTGGACTGTGGAGCTGGTAGCAGCCGTCTGAATGCGCGTACGGCGATGATTTCACAAGAGATTGGTGTGAGCTCGTGCTATAGTCTGATCGGCCAGGCGAGTTGTATACCGGCACAAAGGATGGGTTTTCTTGCTGTGTCGCATTCCAAGATGTGGTCGCGTTAGGCAGCTGGCCTGCCAAAGGATAGCACTCTTCCATCGCTGGTTGTTGAGGCGCATACTCGGGGTAGGAGGTCGATTGGAGAGACATGCCAGATGCTGTGCTCCACATTGATGGCATGTTTGAAGAGGTCGGGGTCGGGTATTGTGAGTCGAACAAGCTCTGTGTCGGTGTGGACATCATGTCCAACCCAAGGCCTTGAGAGTGCTGAGTGGGCCACATCATGGGCTGTGAAGTCGGATAGGCATCTTGCGTAGGCCACCCGCCGTGCGTATGCTGCTCGTCATTGATCCCGTGAGGCTGTTGGGATGGACCGGGCGATGGGGCTGTCGCGGACATCTGGTAGTAGGCGTACTGTTGAGCCATCGCTGCGCGCAGCTTCTCTGGGTCTGCGGTCGGGAAGAAACTCATGGCTCTGGTGCTGTCGTCGTCGGCTGAAGTCTGATTGGAATGTCATCAAGTTGGGGTCGACAGCGCAGAGATATGTAGTGTGTGCGACGAGTCATGAATGGCATGAATGACGGGGCACTGCAATAATGCACAGCATGGAGAGCTGTTGCCAAAACAAGGGCGGCGGTGTTGTGGTCGACAGGTGGTAGCGGTTAAGAACGACTGGTGGTACAGAGTCGAAGAGACAACATCGTCCAAGCACCTACAGATGAATGATCAGGCAGCGCTGCGGGACCGAGCCTAAGATACCCATGAGGGCGAGAAACCCTGCGCACTAGTGGAGGATGCAGTGGCAGGAGCAGCAAAGTTCACATGCATCATTAAGCTCCACCGTGGGCTGGCGAGCAAATTGAAGCCAGCCCAGCTGCTGCATCGATAGCGCAGCAGCGTACTCAGCCCACGGCGAGCAAAGGCTATGCAAGTGCCAGAGAGTAAGGACGCCTGTGGGCGAGGGTCGCCCGGCACAGTCGTGGATCGGCCAGCCCTTGGCATCGTCCCGGCGCAACGGCTCGTCGCGAACAGTCGCTGCGGTCCGGGTCATCACGCTCAGCCTTTGCGCGAGCCTGTTCGTCGATGTGAACGCGTGCAGAGGGAGTGGTCCCGTTGTTGGCGTTTGTCGCAACCGTGCAGCCTGCAGATGCATCGATCCTTGCCCATCTCCGTGCTCGCGGCTAATTAGGTTGGAAGCGCTTCACCCCGCAGCACACTCGACCTGTCTTGACCCCCGGCACCTCACGCCCCAGTCGCCGTGCTCCACCCCAGTGCGTGGAGGTCGCATGTCACTGGCCTCGTGCCCTCAAACTTTCGAACTTCTCATTTTAGTGGCGCTTTCATGCTCTCCCTCACAAACCTTCCTTGACCTGCCTCTCCTTTGCCAGCAACGCCGTGAGCTGTTCGACTTGGGTCTTGAGATTGGCAACGGCAGTTCCTAGTCCTTCAATAGTTTCAGGAGCCGCTACTGGATCATCTGCCGGGGGCACTGCAGTCGAGCGCCCGGGCGGCGGCTCTTGGTCCAATCGCGGAGTGCGTGTCGATGACAGCGCCTTGCGACGCCGCAATGAAGTGGGAGAATGGCTGAGTGCTCGTGAAACGGCAGAGGAGCCGGATTTCCGATGATCTGCCCATAAGCGCCGGCCATGCTCGTAGCCGAGAATGGCCAGCACGAAAGGCCAATGGGTAGCCCGCAAAAGGACAATCCTCGCCCGACGAACCTTCTGAGGTGCCATCACGAGCCGGAGAGGACGCAGCAAGAGCGGCAGTAGATTCTAGGATAGGAAGGTCAGTGCCGGAAACGGTCGTAACGAAGGTGGTGTTGGTGATGGCAACAACTGGCAGACGGTGTGAGTGACCCGCAGAAACCAACACTCTCAACCATTTGTGGCGGCAATGATTCGTTGTCGACGAGTTCGATCGCTCAGTGCCGGAGGCACGGATGGGGGACGATTGACTTTGGGGCGTCCGTCTTGCCATCGCCCTCGGCCGCACAAGATCACATGCCCGGCGGTGCATGCAGCCTGCGTAATGACCGACCGGTGGCCAGGGCGACGGTGGAGATGGTTGGCGTCGACTTGTCCTGTGAAGGAAGGTGCTATAAATTGGAGAAGAGGGAACATACCAGTGGTGGGAGGAAGAACGTCAGCCTATTGCTCGTGCTGGCTTCAAGCACAAAAACGCTGTATCTGAACACAGCCATCAGTGAAAGGGTACTGCCACAACGAGGCTCAGCACTCACACAAACAAGTACTCGTCGCGAGCGTGCAGCATCACCTGTTCACAAAATGTGAGCTCTCGTCCAAGTGAAATATGGGTCTGAGCCGCTGGCGCTTATACAAGCCGCCGGTTGGTCGACCGGGGACAGCAACACCGACCTTGTCGAGTTTGTTGCTCAATAGCGAGATGAGCGACGTTATCAAGAGGATGTTCGTCATGCAGACGAAGACGAACATGAGTGGGGTCCCGATTGTTGGTGATATCTGCGTATGGGTTAGTTGTTGTTGGTGGCGTTGGTGTGACTGCCAAATGTCAGGGGGATACCTCTTCGGCAACGTCCTGTATATCTCTCAGTATGCAACTCATCGCCAGATCACACGCAGTAGCTCGATATAATACGTACAAAGCCAAGGTAACTCGATCCGAAGAACACCTTTATCAAGATGAAGTTGATCTCTTGCAAAGTATACTTCCCCCGAGCGAGGAAGGTGAAGCTGGTGCTGAAGCCTGTGCAACGTCAGCATATGTTGCTCTTCCGATGATCGCTGCAGACTCATACCGCAGTAAAGTATCGCCACTAGCCCGAGGAACTTAATGAAGTCTTTGGTCTAGATGGTCGGTCAGTGACGCCCAACGCACGTGATAGGGGTAATGGCGTGCCATCTCCTTCAGAACCGGAATGAGCATGCCGAAGTACGGGTGCAAGCTCAGCAACGAGCAGATCCTGTGAGACTGGTCAGCCTGCGTGGCCCTCCCCTTCGCCCGAGCGATTGCTCGATGGTGAGTAGCTGACCTTGGCACTAGGAAGAGTGCCTCGAGGGAGAGTATGTCGAAGGCAATGTCGGTCGCAACAGGATCGTGACGGCTCAAGCCAATCATTCTTGCGACGAAGAACGCTACTCCGACGAAGATGATCCCAAGATCCCAGAGAGACCAGAAGTCGGTCGCGTAGAACGTGGACCCGGCGTCCCAGAACTCGACCAGTTCTACAAAGTCGTTAGCATCTCATCTGTACGCAGATGATCAGGCCGCTGACGTTACCGTTGTAGGAGAAAGAGACCAGCCACACGTAGAGAAGAACCTCCGGGCCAGTCACACCACCCGCGTGCTTCTGCACCAAGACGACGTAGTAGAAGGTCAAGAACGCCGCGAAGAACAACACCTCGAAGGCCTTCAGGTATAAAGGGACACGAAGTCTGCAGAAGGGGTCCGAACGATCCTTGCGATAGACTTTCGCCCGTTTGCTGGAGTACGTGCTGAGGGTCTCCCAGAAGACAATGTCGCCTTTCCATATACATTCGATAACATGTTGGATGGACTTCTGGCTGAGAAAGGCTTTGGCGTTGGCAACGGTGGCAATCTCGAGCGCGTTGAGGTTGGCGAAGAGCGTTGCGAAGTCCGATTCCTCGGCGTACTCTGAGCGTCTCGGTTCCTCGTAGAAAGATTCGTCCATGTCGGGTGAGATGCCATCCAGTAGTGGTGCTTGTTCATGGCCTGCTGCCTCAAGGTTGTCGACCTGATCCGCTTCCTCAAGATCTCTATTACCGGCAGGAGATCCAGACCGCTTCTTCGTGTCAGGCAAGTCATAGCAGAGGAAGTCAATAGTCTCCCTCTGGGTCAGGTGAGTGACGAAGCGCCTATTCCAGTATCAGCAATGCTCATTCATCAAGATCATAACAGTGTCGACTCACCAAGCAACAAGCTCACACGCCAACCCCCTCGTCTCATTAATGCCCCGATCATCACCCGTCTCACACTCCGCAAAATGCCATCTCAGCGCCCTATCCCACAATCAGCGCCCCATCTCTCACAAGAACATATTGCCCAGAGCGGCGCTTACAGCAAAGCACAGACAATCGCCTCATGCTGCACCTCATCGACCAAATACCTCACCAGCGGCCTCAAAACAGGCCCGTACACCTCTCGCCTAAGCTCCTCCCACTCATGCGGAGCCTCGATGGCCGATACAAAGAACCTAGCCACGAAAATCAGCACACACGCGCCCCAGCCACGCCATGAACCACCACCGCGGAAGCCTCGCCACAGCGGTCAGCCAGCTACTCACACGCTCAACTTCCTCACCAATCCATCAAACGACTCATCGCCCCCAATGGCGGGCACATCAGGCAAAGACCGCCGGCGTTCACGCATCTCGGCAGGAGATAAGGAGGTGAGGTCAGGTTGTTGTTTTGCGCGCGCTCGGCAACTTTGACCTAACCTTGCAGAGAGAAAGGGATCGGACGTGGCACCAAGCATCGCGCTAGAAGTAGCGCCCTGCCGCCGCCGGGACGCTCCCGCGGCTAAGTTATCCGCGCGGTACCAAGATCTCGACTGCTCCAAGCGCTTGGGTCCATGATGCGACGTGTGTGTGTGGGTTGCAGGGTTGGCGATGCAGGAACGGGAAAGTTTGATATATTGGGATTGTTCTGGGCGTTGAAAGGGACGTTTGTCTCGTGGCTGTATTTGCAGGCGGGCTTTGTATGCTAGCCGCAGGATTTGGTTAGACGAAACAGAAATATCACGGAGCTGACGAATCAGCTGACGGGTGGATGGACGTGTTGTTGGTGGCATGAGTAGCTTATTTCAACGACATCTCTCCCGCGATAGACGTGGGGGTTTTGTTCATTACAAAGCCTCGTCCTTCGCTGTCACTCAAGCATTTCCTGCCTCCTTGTCTCCTGTCACGTTCAGAACTGATACTCACTCAAACTCGGCGGCAAATCACGCGTGTGCGTACCCCAGCTACTCTCATTCCTGCCGAGATAGAGCACGAGCTCCTTACCCTCCAGGAAGAACGAATGATCGATCCAGTTCCTCGTATAATTGCGGCCATCCAACGTTGCTCGTTGGATGTAGATCGCCTGGTAACTCGGATCGAACCCAACATTGCGGATCGTCGCCTTCTTGCCACTGACCGGGCTGGTGATGCTCACGGATTCGAAGAAGGGTGGCGTGATCAGGTAGACGTCTTGGCCGGGTACCGGGTTGAGACCCATCATGGTGAAAGCTAGGAAGGCGCCCATCGTGCCGGAGTCGTCGTTGCCAGGCAATCCGCCGTTCGTGGGCGAGAAGAATGTCGGGACGTAGAAGTGCGCTCGCTTTGCTGATAGTGCCGGACGACCGGCGTAGTGGTATTGGAAGACGGTCAAGAAGGCCGGCTCGTTTCCAATGTAGGTGATCTTCTGATCGTGCAGATAGTCGAGTCGTCTTACGAATGTCCTTGGGCCACCAAACGTGGTGATTAGGCGAGCTTGGTCATGAGGCACATAGAAGGAGTACTCCCAGATTGAACTCTCAAAGGTCTCGCCGGCGGTATTCTGCAACGAGCACACACTGTTGCCCGTGTCAATGTTGGAGCAGGTCAGCGGATCCTGGAAACCCCAAGTTTGATTCAGGTACTTCGGCTGGAAGAATCCAACAAATCCAGTGTCTGTTGTCGAGTTTAACAAAAGAGACGTCTGATCTGCTTTGAAGAGGTTGCTCCAGTATTCGCTCGTCCGCTGGTACTTCTCCTTGTCTCCAGTATTGCCGAGCCCTCCAGCAATCTGCGAGATGCAGAAGTCGTTGTAGCTGTACTCCAGTGTTCGAGAAATCGACCTCGTCATCGTGCCGAAGCCTTTGTAGTCAAAGTCCTGCACGGGAATGTAGTTCAATGACTTCCAGCTGTCGAGACCACCACGGCCCTGACAGCACCAATCTGACAGATGTTAGCGATGATTGTGACCAGTTGCAACAGTTCAAGACTCACCATAAGGCTCCTCTTCAGCATCCTTCTGAACAGCTTCATACACAAGACTCCAATCAATATCGCTGCTTTTGATCTTTAGGTATGCGTCAGACATGATGACGTCGGCATTGCTGCCACCTTGAGTGTAGCCTTTATTCAAGGACATGTGGCAATCTGGGAGCCATCCTTGAACTTTGTACAGGGTGAGTAGACCCTGCACCATCTGAATGACAGCCGGTGTATCGAATATGATCAAGAAAGGCGTGTGGGAACGGAACAGATCCCAGATGCTGCTCCCCTGTCAGTCACAGTAAAAGTTCGCAAACAGGCAGTCTCTCTTACCAGTAGTAACTGTCAAAGTAGATGGTGTTACTGTCAACGACAGGATTCACACCAGTATAATTCTGCGGGTTGATCATCGTTCGGTAGATGCCAGAGTAGAAGTTGGTCAGAGCGCTCTTGTTCACTCCTCTCGTTGACACATCAATTGGGCTCATCTTCTCTCTCCAGCTGTCGACCGCAGCGGACTGTGTACCACTGAAGTCAAAGTTTGGAATCTCAGACTCCGCTAATTGGCATGCTTGCTCGCTGCTGATCAAGCTCAATCCGACTCTGGCAAGAACCGGGGTAGAATCCGTAAAGCGAATGAAAGCACCTCCTGGTAACGGATAGCCGTTGATACTCCTGGAGATCGTCAAGTCCTTGACATCCGCACTTCCACGACTGTTGACAAAAATGCCGTTGTCTCGGATGGAGCCTCCTCGGAAGTCAGCGCAGAAGTAGGCGACATAATTCCCTTGACCGAAAGAGGGCTCGAATCTAGCCTCTCCAGTCATTCGCCCAGATCCAGCGTCCACTGAGATGCTTGCATTGTCTTGTCGAGAATCTGAAAGGTCAGTAAGATCCAAGATGATGACTGGCCTGGCGGAGTTCGTAGTTGAGAATGAGAACCGGAAGAGAGATGTATGCTGTGCTGCGGTCATCTCTGCCATCACACCACTTTGCAGCTGCAGTGCAAAGTAACCCGGAGTGGCCTTGACGGACTCATTCGTAAAGGACACGGATCGCGATTTCTTGGGAAAGGTGCATCCATCGACTGTATCGTTGGCGCATGAGGCGAAAGGAAACAGTGGGAAAAGACCGAGGGATGGGCTCCCACTGTGAAGTTGTGAGTACATACACTTTCTTCCACTGTATTGATGCGTACCCAGTGCCCGAATCGTGCATGCTCGAAAAGCCAGTGATGTTCGAGCCGTCCGTTGTGAAGCCTCCTTGGTTCGAACCACTGTTGGTATCGGCGACGGCCTTTGCCATGCCGAAGGGCAGAGAGGCGCCTGCAAAGACGTTGCCTATTTGCTGTTCAGTCTCCTGCGTCAACACATATTCTCGATGTAAATACCTCCATTGCTAGTTCCAATCAATGGATCTACATATCTCAACTTGTCTCGAACTTGTGCTGTGGCGCACTGCGCCAGCAATGCCAGAGTAAGAATACGATCCATTGTCGCCAACATTGCGAACACGAAGGGCAAGCGAGGAGTGTCGGAGACGAGGGAGAGGGAGGAAGGAACAGCATGATTAATACCCCCGTACAGGTTTGATTAGAGAAGTGCTGTTTCCCAGATGATCCCCAGTGCTCGACCGGGGCCGCATGTGGGGAAACCATGGAATAGGCTGGGATCTCCATCAACCACGGCAGATCAGGAAGCTCAGTCGCAATCAGGAGTTTAGGCTCATGCAGATAAATGGTAGTTCTGCAGATATCTGCCGGTTCCCGACGCATTTGGTGCATCGCTGCTGTGTCCGCAGCACAGCGTTATGTTTGCGATTGGACGCTTCCACCTCGTCCGCACCTGACAAACATTTCGCGAGGGTGAGACTGCAATGGTAGGGAAGGGTGTACCAGGTCAGCAGCCGTCTCCTTTCATCAAATGTTTCGCAGGGACGGATCGAATCAGCAAACCACGTCCAGGCACTTGGTTTTGTACCTGAAATCTCGCAGGGGGCGGGCTCCGAGCACCCTGTCGTGCGTGAGAGCCGGACCTGGGAGCGAAGAAGAGCCACCGTGGGTGAGGACTGCGGAAAGTGGTGGGAAGGACTTTCCAGCCGCTGAGATTGAGCAATTGCTTGTAAAGGGATTCGAGGCCGCCCACAAGGCCTCTTTGATGCGTCTATCTATCATTGAAGATGGCTGCCTGTTGTTTGGCATGAAGTTGATCGAAACAGGTCACTGCTGGCGAGTATCGCAAGCGACCAGGTCTTTCACCGGCGAGGGTGCTGAACTTAAGGTTTGGCCCTTTCGGCCTAGCGTAGGCAGCGCCCGCATCCTAGTGGTTGCTCTCTCTGTGCGTCCTTCAACCTCAGGTGTCGTGCAACATCAAGAGCATTGAAAAGAGGCCTTGATCCCTTCGACTTCCATATGCTACACTTCACTTCGGGGGCGATGTGAGCTGATACCAAAGGCACCCGTGAAAACCTCTTGGAACACAACTTACATTCGCCTTGCAGAGGAGATCATCGAAGGCGAATCCCACCCGAACGACAACAGCCTGAGAGCCAACAATATGCCGAGCACTACGCCCCAAAACGATGGATCACAAGCCGAAGACCACCTCACCAAACTCCCCTCGGAAATCCTGCACATGATCTTCGACTACATCTTCTGCCAACACAAGCCCGACAAAGCCTTCACGGACCTCAACCCCACCAACGGCGACGACATCCTCACATCAAAATGCAACCACGACCTCGACTACATATCTGCGACCTCCAGAATCCTCCGCGGCGAGACGAACGACTGGGCCATCCACTTCCTCACCACCCACAACGCCATCACCCACTTCAAACCACCCAAAACGACCAACAAATCCCGCACCTTCAACATGCTCCGCGGCCGCAAAGGACTCCTCACGTGGGCGAAGAACCACTGCATCTTCTGCGGCAAAACCTCCTCTCGCCGCGCGATTATGATGAACGGCTTCAAATGCTGCTCGAAATGCGATTTCCGGGAATGGCCGGACAAGATCACCAAGACCGCCGCGCTGGATCAGTACCAGCTGAAGAAGCACCATCTCTTTCCCAATATGCGGACGGCCGATACGAAAGATCGAGTCGTGCCGAAGAGTCCGTTGCCCACGATTCGGTACGGCACGTATATCTGTGCTGGTGGTGTGCCGACGACGAACTTGTTGCGTTCCGATGTCGAGAGGGTGGCGACGGCTTTGCATGGGGACTTGGATGTGTATTTTGCGATGCGGAAGGCGAAGCAGGAGGAACGAGCGCAGAGGCGGGCTGAGAAGCGGGAGTTGGAGATGGAGGCCAAGAAGGTGGCATTTGGAGGCGGACGTGATAATCCCTTTTGGATTGATGATGATGACTGGGGCTATTAATAAGAATTGCGACAAGCATCACCCGTTGCATGAAGTAGTATGATAGAACGACTTTCACGACTCGACTCTCTTCAACCTCGTCCCTTGCTTCGTATATGTACCATATGTACAACCTCATCACACACATGTACTCATAAAAACCCATATCCCAAAAGATTGACCCTTGCCCAAGACGCCAACGCTAAACAGAAAATATCCATCACGACAACAAAGTAAACCACCCCCAATTATACTCTGTCCGCAACCACTCACAACTCATCCAACTATCCACCCTCTTCTCCCCCTCACCCTCTTCCTCATCACCACCATAAAGTCACGACCCCGAAACCCCACTCGCAACCGAATAAACACTCATCGAACCCCTTTCCCACTTGCCCGTATTCGGATTCAGCGAATACCGCTGCTCGTCCGAAGAAAGCGGCGAGACGTCCGGGTTCGACCACCACCGCTCTTGATGCTGGCGTTGGGAATGTGGGTTAGGTGTTTGCGGCCGGTGGGGGTGATGATGGCCTGAATCGACCCGCTGCGGCGAAGGGGGCAAATTCTCCCTGCTCATGTACCGCCTCACACTCCCCCAGCTATCCGCGCGGTGGAGCGACGGCGGCGGGAGGGTGCTGGAGCGGTTACTGTGTGGCTCGATATACGACTGCGAGTCCGAATTCAAATTCCTCCGCGAGTCGTACGTCAACGCCGGTTTCTCATTCCCATACTCGCCCGCGAAGACCGTGCCGTTGCCGTAGGAATACGGTCCCTTGCAGCCGTCGGGCACGATGAAGAATCTGTCGATGCGGATCCCGAGCCAGAAGAGCACGACGAGGATTTCGATGGTGAAGTTGAAGGTGTAGAAGGCCGCTTTGGAGAAGTACCAGGGGGTTGGGTTCGCGGAGGGGAGGGGGTCGAGGTAGGAGGTTGTGGCGCGGTACCAGGCTCCGAGGGAGAGGGGGACTGCGGTCACGAGGAGGAGGAGGGTTTTGGTGAGGATGGAGCCTTTTTCGCCGAAGTTGTCCGTGGGGACTTCCTTTAACTCGGGGTGTGTCTTCGCAACCCATGAGACGAGCGCCATGGGGATCGGGAGAATCGCAGCGAGGCCGAAGAGTGTTGCGCCGTAGAGTTGGACGCCTCTAGTCCACCTTTGAGACAGTTCATCCGGCTTGTAAAACTGAACGACAACAGCGGTTATCAGGGCGAAGATTGTGATGATCTGGATACCGACGAAGATGGGCAGCCAGATGGAGAAGGGCTTCGACCAGCCGAATCGTGGATGTTGCGCTCGGACGATGCGCTCGATGAAGAAGAGGTTCGTGATGAAGAGGATGGGCACGCCGGCGTAGACGAAGATCTGCGCGGCCATGGCGAGACTTATGTTAGTTGGATGATAGGCCCATGCGATTCGGAGTGAGGTTGCGACGATTCTTGTGAGGCAGAAACCTGGCAATTCTCTCAGCAATCAGGAACCAAATTGTTACATGTTCGAGGCATACCGAAAGTCGCAGCATTGAACGCGAACTTCTTGTGTCGTTTCCGCATATTGATCTGGAACAACCCCATATGTCCTACCGCACCGAGGGTGAACAACGCAAGGAAGACTGCGCTGATAGGTACATCTGGGAGAATCGTCGGCCGGCCTCCCAAGCCTTGGTGTTGTGGAGGATATGGAGGACCTTGAGCTGCCTATGGACCGATTCATTAGCCTTGCTCCATGAGGACCTCAACGACTCCACTCACCAATCCTTGTCCTGCGGTCGCCATGATGATTTCGTTTTGCGCTCTTGAAGAGCGCAAGGTAGTGGAAGCCAAAAGACCAGTAACAATCTGATAGCGATTGCTCCCAAGCAAACCACCAATCCGTCAGCCGGTGCAACAGGAGAGAAGTGTTTGAGATATAGTAGCCTCTCTCAAGACCGACGAACGAAACGAACGTGCGCGATAGAAGAACTCAATTATCAAGAAGCAACCATCTCACACACCCTCCCTCACGCTCCCGCAAAAGTCCATTGCGACTATATGTACCTCGAAACTCCATAGTGCCCATTGGGGAGCCGAGCGCAGCCAGATCTACGCACTACAGTCTCTGGCATAAACGTTAGCAACCCCTGCTAGCGTCTTGCAAACAAATCCTGTCTGTGCGATTGAGCACTGACAGCGTGTGCGTGTCGACCTTTCACCGTTAGGCTAGCAGGGGTTGCTAACGTTTGTGCTGGGGACTGTAGCATCGACCAGCAACGGCAAAAGTCCTCCCACGCTCCTCCTCCAGATCCAAACGGTTCAGGATCTGCCTCGAACCAATCATCATCTCTGCGCAGTGATAGTATGGGGGTTAGCGTGGTTGCTGGTGCCGTTCAAAGACGATGAGGCTTGGAGCTGCTGTTCGTTGGAACGGCCGGGTCTGCAGCTCCGATGCACGGTTCCATTGCGACTCGACGACGACATCCAAGGTCGTTTCGTGCGAGAACAGTTTTTCTCACAGTGGGCTTTGTGGTTCTGGGTCGCAGACGTTTGCAGATTGTTGTTCAAGGGTGAGTCCCCGGAATTGACAAGAGGTTCGATAAGGGAGAGAGGGGGTTGTGGTGCTGCTGAGGGAGCGGTATTTTTGGGTTTCGGAGTTCCTCGAAGCACTCGTGATCGTTCCTGGCACTGGCACGCGCCCAAAGGCTTGGAGTGAAGTTGTTCCAGGAATCGATAGGGACTGTACCCAAATACCGAAGGCCTGGGCAATGGGTTCGCGCAAGTTGTCATGATTGATAGGAGGAAAAGGAGTGTGAAAACGCTTGTGGGGTTAGATCTCGTTACGGGGAGGGAGAGGATCAGTGCTGAACTCTCTGTTGACTTCACGTGTCGGTTGAACTTCCAAAGCAGGTACTCACAGTTGAGAAATCAACTGCTGTCCGCGATTGTGACAATCCGTCGTAGCAGTTGTCAACTGACGCAACGGTAGTGACAGCACGGCGAACGCAACAGTTAGCAGCGATAGTCAGGGCACATGAATCGCTTCAGCATTGCATGTACTACACAGACAGTACGTACGGGTATCTCTCATCCAAGTCGTCATAATCACTCAACGCGCGCCGCTATACTCAGAGGAAGTAATCTGCCACCGGCTTCTTCGCGGGCATGCCTCTACTATCCTGAGGCGCAGCATCGAACACTCGGTATCGTCTTCCGGGCCCTTGCCGTAGTGGTGGGTCGGCCCTCTCTGCCAGCACACCGTTTGTTCTGTTCATGTCGCCGTTGCTGCGTGGTGCGTAGCCAGCGTTGGATCCGTCCTCCCCCAGCTCAAGGATAGCCGCCACGTTGCCGCAACGGTAGCAGTAGTTTGGCGCCGACCACACCGTGACGATGGTGCTGTCGAACATTTCTTTGAACCCCTCCATGACGAGTTGGTGTGCTCGGCAGATCAGACTCAGATCGTTCTTCTGGTTGAAGCATTTGACGATATCAGCACCAAAGAGAAAGCCGGCGCCGCGTGGTGACAGGCCCCAGCCGTCAATCTCGTCGGGATCCGACCATAGAAGATCGCACATGGCGCCTTCGTGCGGCACTTCCTGCTTGCGATCCAGTAATCGAATCTTATCGATACTGTCAATCAGCGGGCTCAACCCGCCGTGCACGCAAAGTACAGCGCCGCCAGTGTTGTTTGCGCTTCCTCTACTCGACGACGTTGCACCAGTGCCTGGAGCGCCGTTTCTCGATGGTGTCTGGTCTTGTGTTTGTGAAGGGGATGAAGGCGGATTTGAGGATTGAGATGTATCCTGAGTTCCTGGCCTTGCTCGTGGGAAGCGATTGATAATCTGGCCCTGCGAGTTGAGGAGCTCAATCTCAATGTCGTCTGTGTCGGTGTTTGATTGTGATGGGTCGGCGTATGGAGCGTCTGATGGAGTGAGTTCGGTTCCCGCGCCCATGATCAGAGCACCCAGCGCGAGATAGTCGAAGACATCGCAGCAGTAACGCCACACGTTGGCGCTGCCGTACTTTCGCAAGCATTCGTCGTAAAAGCCGTATACTGTCGTGATTTGTCGTGACTCATGATTGCCTCGTATCAATGTGATGCGATCGGGATATCGCACTTTGAGGCAGAGGAGAAGGAGGAATGATTCTAAGGAGTAGAAGCCCCGATCGACGAAGTCGCCTGGGCACGTCAGCACATGATACCACCACCCTCGGCAGAATCCATACCCATGAAGAGATAGTTGGTATCAGGAACATCTCCACCCACACGGAAGAGCTCCATGAGGTCGTGGAACTGTCCGTGAATGTCGCCGCATATCTGTTGGAACGTCAGCCTACATGCCTGGCCTGTGCAGTCGCAAGGATCTTACCGTCACCGGCGCATCGACCGATACCACATTGCCCTCCTCAATCAAAAGCTCTCGCGCCTTGTAACATAGCTCTCGCACTTGGATCTCCGGTATTGGTCTGCAAGCGCGCAACTGCGCGATCGCCTTGTCCAGATCACTCATGGCGCAGGCAGCGCCCGATGGCGCAACTGTTCGTCTGCTCTGCTCTGCTCCGCCTGCTGCCGCCCGCTTTCTCACTGGTATGCGCTATTCTCTTACCATGTACACAAGTCCTAACGCCTTCTTTTGCCCGCCGTTTGCACCGGATGGAGTGGCGCTGATCGTTCGTCTGGCGGCTCGTGGTGAGGGGTCGATTCGATGCAACGCAGGGAAGGTGATCAAGTGGGTAATGCGACGTCGATGCAATGCTTCCGATGTGATTTGCGGCGGTATGGATGGGTGCACACGCGACGTGTTTCTCGAGCTGGTCGATGTCGCTCGGCGAGCACTGAGTTTCAAGATCTAGCTTTCGGCAACTCCCGCACTTCGCGGCTTCCAGAAATAGCCTGGTCCGCCGAAGTTTCGCCTTGGTCGTCCATATCAGCGCCAACCTCACCTCCTCCCTCTCCTCCATACCACGCACGAGTCCCGACTCAAGTTCGACGAGGCTGGAGTGTTCATGATCATGCTATAGTACTTTCGTTACAGTCCGATCAGTCATATCAGTAAAGTCACGATCAACAGCACCAGCAAGGTCAGGCATCGGTCAAGAGGAAAAGAAGCTTTCACAAACCACCCCCATCTCACTCCTTTCTTATTCCCACCTGCAATACCCCGTCTCCCCCGATTCCATCAAAGCTCCAGACCACCAGGATCTCGTCTCGAGCCAGGTGGTCGAGGAAGAGGAGCTCATACGTACCACACAAACCCCGCAATCTTTCGAAGCCATCGATGCAAGGAACTGGTGACGCTGCAGCAAGTGTGACAAGCTCAGCCAACGACTCCTCGCATTCCAGATCCCCAGTCCACGATTCGAGCAGGCCCGGAAATGGAGACTTGCTCAGGAACAGTCTTGGGATCAGCGCCTGTCACAGCGTTTAGCTCCAACCCCGCTTGGATGAGATATCGTGAGCTTCAGCCCCTCACGTAGATATATGAGATGGATCGGTCTCTTTCGACTTGGTAGGTTTTGCTCACAGCACTGATTGAAACGTATCCAACAAACCAACACCTGTTGCTCCAACCATTCGACAGAAAGAGAAAGCATGGCGTCCTTCAAAGGCTACGATCTGGTAGTAGTCGGATCGGGCTTCGCAGGATCACTGGCCACTCTCAGCTTCCTGGAACAATGCAAGGAGCAAGGAAAGAACGGTCGCGTTGCTCTGGTGGAAGTGGGAAAAGAAGGCGAGCGAAGTGGTGCTTCAAAGTGGACTATGGCCTACCTTCGACTAGACAAGAACCTCGACTTCGGTAAAATCTTGAAAATCATCCGATAGAGACCACGCTAAGATTTTGGCAGACAAGGACTGGGTCAAAGAAATGCGTCGAGTCAGCAACGGCGTCGCCGACGAAGAATACTGCGAGAAACTCCGCCAGGAAGCCCCAGTCAGCGCTCGATACCTCCAAGACCGCGGCGTCGAATTCGTCCACCACGACGAGCCCAACGTCCTGCTCGAATTTGACACCGACCAGCACTTCGTCTTTCCGAACGGCGGCGGCAACGCCATCATCCAGAAGGTCTTTGAAGATATTCGCAAGTTCGACAACGCCGATATCCTATACGAAACCGAAGCCATCCGCTTGTTGACCGACGAGGCTGGAGCTATCCGTGGATTGAAAGTCCGCAAGAACGATGGCCTGCTTCATGACCTTCTCGCTCCTAATGTCGTCCTCGCCTGTGGTGGCTTCGAGGGCAACCAAGAAATGCTCGCTCGTTACATTGGTCGCGACTCGCACAAACTACCTCTAATCGCCCCAGGCTTGAAATGTAAGTACACCTACACACACCAGAACTAGCCTCTCAAAACCACCCACTCATCACCCCCAGACAACCGCGGCGCGGGCCTCCGCATGGCCCTCGAAGTCGGCGCCGGCACCGCAGGCTCCTTCGACGGCATGCACTGCGAACTAGTCGACACACGCGCCAAAAAACCTGACGCCGTGATGTGGGGCCACAACTACGGCATCATCGTGAACCAGCACTCGCAACGCTTCTACGACGAAGGCCAACGCCACCTCTTCGCGACCTTCGAAATGGTCGCCCTCTACTGCTGGAAAGACCACGACCAGAAATGCTACTTCATCACCGACGAGCCCATCATGCAGCGCTTCAAGGGCAGCTGGGTGTACGAGACGACGGATATCCCGCCAGAAAAAGCGGACACGATTGAGGAGCTCGCTGAGAAACTAGGGTTGGAGGCGAAGGAGCTGAAGAAGACGGTCGAGGAGTTCAATGCGGCTGTGAACGATAAACCTTTCGATTTGATGAAACTCGACGGGAAGGCGACGAGTGGTCTCAATCCGAATAAAACCAACTGGGCTGCGAAGGTCGAAAAGGGTCCCTTCTATGGCTACCCACTAACCGCAAACCTGACGTTCACGTAAGCCATCCCATCCCCCTCCCAACCCCATACCCCACCCCCCTCTAACCCCCCTCCTTCAATAACAGATACGGCGGCATCAAAACGGACCTCCACGCCCGCGTCCTCAGCACCAACGACATCCCGATCCCGGGCCTCTGGGCCGCCGGCGAACTCACAGGACTCTTCTACAACGAATACCCGCCCGCGACGTCGTGCTTGCGCAGTATGACGTTTGGAAGGCTGGCCGGGGCGGAGATTGCGGGGAATTTGGGGAAGGGGACGAGTGCGGGTGGGGTGGGGAGGAGTTTGGTTGTTAATGGGAAGTAGCAGCGATCAGGGAGGAGGGAGGTAGGAGACGAGGGCGTGAGTGAGTGAAAGGTTTTGGCGATGGTGTAGTTTATTCTTCCTGCGTTGAGCATATCTCAGTTTTTTTAAACAGTATATATCGACTCGACTTCCCACCCCATCATCGTGGAAATGGGCAGAGCCAGCTATATACCCATCTAATCGTAGGCGTGCTCGGAGCAAGCAACACCCTCACTGGCAGCGATAGCCATGAAGTAGTAGTGGTGAGTGAGTAGCAGCAATCTATGTCCATACCTCCATCCTCTCAAAACGAAATCGACTCCGTGTTGCCCAAACCCCGTCGCCACCGCCGCCCATTCCGATATCATCCACCCCATCTTTGAGTAACACCGATGCAAATGCAGCAACATGTTCGTAGTCCAGACTCTTGCCTACTTCTGCAGCTTGACCATAACGTACGGAATCTCGACATCCTCCTCCGTCTCGTCCTCGGCGGTGATTTCGAAGATGACGTTCTTCTGGTGCTCGGGGATGGGCTTCTTGCTGATGTGCTCCACGAGCTTGGACATCCTACAAAATCAACATGTTAACATTTTCATCCTCTCAACAGGAATGTGGGGACTCACTTCATCGGCAATCTCTCCTTGTTCTTCGCAGCAGGGTAGAAGGAAGCATACAACAAGCTCACGCCCGAGCTGATCATGCTAATGGTAAGACCCTTGGCCTTGAAGTCGTCAATGAACTGCTGCAGCGTGACATCTTCCGACTCGAAGCGATCCCACAGCTTGTCGATGGTGACCTCGCCGTTTGGTCCTTGGTACTTGCCCTTGGGGCTGGCAATTGGCTCAGAGAAGCCAAAGAATGGAAGCGCCAAGTTGACGAAACCATTCTTGTACTGCTCGATGTCGTCCTTGCCATCGATGATCTTGTACAATTCAAGGACCACAAGACCGGTAACCAATGCGGTGGTGGTGGCGATGGCCGGAATGATCTTGCCAGCAATGAACTTGGTCTTGTGCCGATCGGCCGTCACAATCTTGTAGTTCTCGGCACGCAGATTCGAAGCAGCGGTGATGAAGTCGATGTGGTGGTTCGTATCATCATCCTTCTCAAACTCCACAGGCTCCAGGCGGAAGTCGCCGAGAGACTTTGGCGGCGGCAGTGACTTGGCAATCTGCTCTAGCTGCTCGTTGTCATCAGCGGGACCATTGGCGTTTGGATCAGGCTCCTTGTCGTCTGCCTGAATCTTGACACCTGGATCAGGCTTGAAGTCTGGCACGATCATGCGGTCCAGAACGTTGTTGATGTACTGGCGGTCGTTGTTGGGCTTGATGTGGTAGTTGAAGGCGTGAAGGTTGGCGCCGGCGAGGATGAATGAGAAGTGAGTTGGGTTGTTGGGATCGAACTTGAGTGGGTCAGGGGCACGCTTTGGACCTGACCAGAAGGGCTGACCAGAAGAGGTCTTGGAGTCCTTGGGGAAGTTGTACAGCAATTGCTGGATGGCGTTGTTGTACTGCTTCTCGAACTGCGTGCGTGCCCACTCAATGCAGTCATCGAAGCTCTCGGGCTTCTCCGTGACGAGGAAGTCGCGAAGAGTCTCGAGAGTCTGCTTCTCATTGCCGGACTGCTTGAGAGCCGACCCAAGGTAGTCCTTCGAGGTGATGTAGGTGTTGACAATCTCAGCCGGGCCGGCGAAGAGTGTGTGGAAGAGGTCCTTGGCCCAGGCGATCGTATGCTCGATACGGTTGGGGAATGAACGAAGCGTGCACATCGGGAACGACTGCTCGGGAGGATCCTGTGAGCTGGAGTACGACTCCGTCTGGCGAGGCAGCACGACCTGCGTGTTGCCCTTGGTACCGAGAGTACCACTGTCGAGTAGTGGCTTGTGGAAGAAGACACACCGACGGTCGACATATGTACGGGCGTCGACATTGTCCAGAGCGTTCGTCACACCATCCAAGCTCTCCCAGAAGTCCTCGTTGAAGACGTGCTCTGTGCTCTGGGCGACGAGGTCCTTCATCATCTGAATCTTGCCCTTCAAATCCGGGTTCATGGCTTGCACCGCAGTGGCAGCAGACTCACTCTTGAGCTTGCCAACATCCTTGGAACGGAATAAAAATTGTCTATTGAGGTTGGACTTCTCGATCTGGTCGTTGTCGGTGACAGTGATGCGGCCGTTCGGTCCGGTACCAAGTCCAATCATTGCCCAATTCTTCAGCATCTCACAGCCAATCGCACCAGCACCGACAAGGAACTGCTTGATGTTTGCAATCTTGTCCTGGAATTCCTTGCCAAACACTGCAATCTGGCCATCGTATCGGGTACCAAGAGGCTTGCACAGCTCTTCGGTGCGATTCGAGTTGGTAGGCAGGGATTCCAGGGAATCGAAGTACATCCACTGCTTGATGGGATGGAACTTGCCCGATACCGACTTGAGCACCTCCTGCGCCGCAAGACCACCAAACAGAGCAGTCATGGGCGACAGGTCACCTCGCGCCTGGTATGACAACTCCTTGATGATCTTCTCGTCCAACTCCGGCACCTCCTCTTGAGTCTTTGCAATCTCCTGCGCAAGCTTCAACACCTCTGCCGCATCCGCATCATTCATCGATCGTGGGAACTCGCCATTGTGGCTGTCGGCAAACGCGTGCAAAGCCTGAATCCCCACATGGAGCTGTGCAGGACGGTCGAACTTGGCGAAATCGGACATCATCAACTCCGGCTTGGTGAGCTGCTTGCTCAGAGGCTCAAAGTCCAGAATCTTGGGCATCTTGACCTGCTGGTACAGTCCACCGCGCTTGTACTCTCCCAGGACCGACACATCGCCAATTGAGAAAGTGTATGGCCCCTTGACTGTAATTTTCCGCGGTGTGCCATCGTTCAACTGCTCCATGCCTTCCACCTCTGAGAATGTGACAAAGTCTCCATCTTCTAGACCGTGACGTGTCTCGTCCAACGCCGACACCAAGCCCTCCGAATCGATACCAGCAACGATGCCGTTGAGTGGGTTCTCGCCCGTGGGGTCGCCGACAGTGAAGTTCTTGCCGAAGTCAGTGAAGATGGTACCGAAGAGACCATAGGTATCAGTGATGACGACGTAGACGCCGTTCTCGTGACAGTACTCTGCGATGGTCTTCTGGTCTTTGAGCGAAGTATCTGTCAGTACAACAACCTGGTACCGCTTGAGCTGGCTGAGATCGCTGGTGAGGCTGTCAGACGGGTGAATATCGACAGGAGTGTATGGATTGAGCTCCGACACGCGGGGCTGGGTTACGGCCGCTCGCGGCTTGCCCACATCCTCCGGGTGGAGGAAGAACTGAGACGAGAGGTCCTGAATAGCAGCAGGCTTAGGGTCGTAGAGAGTCAAGCTCTTGACACCGGCCAGCGCCACGTTCTTGGCAATCTCGACACCGAGACCGCGCAGCCCGACGATGAGGACGTTCGAGGAACCCATGCGCTTCATGGCCTCGTGGCCCAGCACGTACAGCTGGCGCGAGTACAGCGACTCGTCGATCTCGCCGTTGCTGGCATCCTTGAGCTGCGCGACCTGCGCCTGCGGCGGGGCGTCAAGGTCCATCTTGCCGGTGCCGTTGGCGTCGGTCATGACTTTCTTTTGGGGGCTGTCGGTGGTTGGGAGGGGGCTCTCTGCGCGTCGCTTCATGAGAAAATCGTCTGGAGAGCGCGGCTGGGAGGGTTGCGTGCCTGTTCCACTGTAACCTCCTCCTCAACCAGACACGGCCGTGTTTCCCTTCTGCTCTTATCCAGAAGCTTCGTGGAAGTGACGAGTGCGAACGATAGTCGATGGCGTGGGAGGAAGAGAGGGTGGATTGGTAAGCGTTTGTGGTGGTGGCTGAAGTGGGAGAGAGGGTGAAGTTGACTGGCAGCACTGATCTCGCCTCAAGAGCTGCGCCTGCGCAAACGCCTGATCCCTGCACGTCTGATGTAATGACTGCCTGGACGGGAGCATCCGCTTGAACATTGATGGCGGTCTCATCAAAGTGATTGAGGCTGTCACATGCCGTCGACGTTGCTTCAGATATCGATAGTGTCCAGGCAGAAATACCATCGCACCGGGCTAATGGCGTGAAAGCTGTACATCATGATCTGTTATCTGGTCCTGCTTTACACCGCCCAAATCCAAACACAAACATTACACTCTACAAATTCATGACCTCGTCAAAGCCTCTTCCCATCACACTCACAACCTCGCCGTCACCCCACCGGTCTGAATCCCCTGCCTCCGTCTTATCTTCATCGGCACCCCCTCCGGCTCCAACACCGCATCCTCCCAAAGCCCCTCCCCAATCGACCTCGCCAGCCCCAGAATCCTCCTCCTCACAGACACCCCCTCCTTCTTCCCCTTCGCATCCCGTCGACTCCGGTCAATAAACTCACACAGATCCCAGAGCTTCCCTTCCGCGATGAGTTCATCCTTAACCTCATCGTACGCCGGCGTCCACTCCAGCTCCAAACGCACTCTTTGCGGCGCTTTAGAATCCTTCCCGGGTCGAGTGACAACGATGATGCCCTCCTCCTCACTCCGTGAGATAGCGTTCTTGAGCGCCTCCTTGTTGACGGCTTCATAATAGCTCAGATCTCCGCGGTGGTAAAGTGTCTTCCCCAACAGCTGCGCTTTATCTTGAAAGGTCTTCATATCGACCCAAGCTTCCGGGTCCGGGTAGTGTGGTGGAGGACGCAGCATGAAGACGGCGATGGCGCCGAGCCAGGAGGCTTCGACGAAGGGCCAGAGGAGGAAGTTGTAGAAGTCGAAGTTCTCCATGTCGAGGGCTCGCTCGTCCGAATGTATCTCGATGGTCTCGATTTTGCCGTCTGCGCCTGTCGTTGTCGAAAGCACTCGATCGTTGACGAGGCCCCTCAGCGTTGTTTGCAGATTCTCCTCCAGCGGCGTGGTAGGGAAGATGAATTCTGCCCTGAACAACTGCGACAGGAAGAAGACGTAATCGTACAACTCCTGATACGACATCTTCTCCGCCTCTGCGCCGCCCCCAAGCTTCACCTTCGTATACATCGCTGTGCAGACCAACGCCTGCGAGATGAACAGGTGGATCGTCATATTCCGATAGAAGCTGAGCTGGAAGCGGTCCTCGGCGTAGTACATCTCTTCGGGAAGTCCATCGATCCGACCAACGAGATTCGGTCCGAGAACTTCCAGAGCCTTGTCGACGACTCCTTCGATAACATTCCCAGCGAAATGCGCGACTCGTCCACCTTGAGCCTTCACCCTTTGACTCAACCACTCCACCCTCCGAATCAACTCCCCCCTCCCGACACTCCGTCCCGTGAGCGTCAACAACACCGTCCCCACCAAAGCCGTGGGCATCACCACGCTCACGTCGTTAATCTCACTCAACACCTTATAGCCAAACGTCGTGAGTAACCTCCTCTTCAACGCCGCATCATACATATTCTCAATCCCCGGCGACAAACTCCTCTTCATCATCCTCGCCCGCTGCTCATTCACAAACCCCCTCAAACTCCACGGCTGATGGAACCTCACATCCACCCGGCCCAACTTCAAACTCAACACATTGCTCGCCGACAAGAACCCCGCAAGATCCTCCTTCTTCTTCGGCTGACCCAGCAGTTCGCTGATGTACGAATCCACTTCAATCACCTTGTCGTACTGCGTGCTGACGGGACACACCATCGCATCCTCCACGCGTCCACTCAGGACGGAGTCCAGAATGTACGACAAGATACCAAACTTCGGCTGCAGCAACTTTCCCGTGCGGCTCCTGCCCCCTTCCACGAAACACTCCAGATTATACCCATTCTGCAGCAACGTATCCATATAACTCTGCACCAGCGTCGAGTACAACTGATCGTCCCCGAAACTCCTGCGAATCCACATGGCGCCCGCATGTTGCAAGAAAGGTCCTATCACGGGGAAGTTGAGATTATCCCCCGCCACGACGGTCGGCAGGGCGAGACCGAGGCGGTAGCAGACGAGTTGAAGCGAGACATAGTCGACATGGCTGCGATGACACGGCAGGAAAATAATACTCTGCTTCTTCCTCGCCGCCTCCTTCGCCACCTCCCTGAGCCTCAACACCTCCTGCGAAGAAACATGGATCCCCTGATGATACGCCCGCGTGAGCAGCTGCGTGACGAGATAATACGCCCCGCGGATAAACGGCCGACTATCCATCTTGCAAATCATCGCATCCGTCCACTCATCCGCCACCTCCGTCAACTGCTCCTCAATCTCCTTCCGCCTCTTCCCCCGCAGGTTCTTCCACTTCCCCTCCTCCCCCACCAGCCCCTTCGGCCCCAGCATATCCCCGTGCACCTCCTCTTCCACCCTCTTCTTCGCCAATTCCCGGATCTTGCCCCGCAGCATCTCCTGCTTGAGCACCATATCCTTCAGCCGCTCGCTGAACCCCGGGTAGAAGATCTCCTGGCCCAGGATCCTGTCGTAGGAGCGCCATGCTGTGCCGAGGACGTGCAGGCCAAGTTCTGAGAGGGCGTTGATGGGTTCGGTGCGGAATTTCGCGTAGGGCTCGAGGAGTTCCTGTTCGGATTCGGTGGTGGGTTCGTCTTGAATGATTTTGAGGTCGTTTCCTATGATGGCGATGTCGGATTCGAGGGAGGCGGTGGAGGAGGAGGAGGAGGCATTGTTGCTGCCGGCTGGGGAGGATGCGCGGGTCATGGTGTGGTTGTGTTATTGAGGAGCATAGGTCCAACTTTCCATACTCCAGACGACAGGAACTGTACAATCTCCTAGGATCAGAAAGGACAGCTCAACAACAACAGCACAATGTCGTCAACAGAGCAGCAATCCTTCCACGGAATCGGATATCCTCTCAGTCCGACTCCGATCGCAATGAGGCCAGATGTCAGGATGTATTCTTGGATGCCTAGACCGTTCGCAAGCTGCTCTAGGACAAGAAGGTGAGTGTTGCAGGTACATGCAACAGAGTAACAGAGTACAATCCGCGAGGTGTGGTTGTTTCTTGGATGCAGGTGTCGTTGTTGTTAAGGGACCCTGCAACCTTTCACTCTGGAGAAGCCGAGGCAATGGATTTGGACGAATGAGGAGCAAGCCGAATAAGGGAAGGCAGATGCGTCTTGGGGGAATATCAAACTCAAAATTGGCTGAAGACGCGGTCGAGAAGCAGAGAAAGAGTCTGGAAGCCTGGCCAGGCAGAAGAGTTGAACCTCTTGCTAGTACACTTCGTCTACCAATACCATCCAAGAAACCTCCACTCAGCTGAGTGTGGTTTTTAGTGCAGCTCCTTTCCCTCCAAGTTGGCAGTCACCAAAAGAAATAATCAGTACAGAAGCATGGGTATCTTTTCTCCATCCCTCCATACCGTAGATCCATCATTCCTCAAACGCCTTCCAAAACAGTAGTAGTAGTACAGTCAAAGTTCATCCGACTTTTTCCCCTCCCGAAACGCCCCCCTATGGGTTGTAGTACAGCGGGCCTCCTTGAAGTGGTCCGCCTTGGGTTGGGTTGCCGAAGCCGACATTGTTCGGCGGCACGTAGAAATTCTGATAAGGATGTTGCGGCAAGTTGAAGTCCGCCTTCGAGAACATCGGATTGGGGATGCCTGACGGCGGTCGCTTGTTTTGCTGTGGCTGTGGCGTCTGCTGCGATGGCAGAGGAGGCGTAGGTTGCATGTGTTGATTTGGGGTCGTCTGTTGTGGCAAGCCCGTCGCCATGCTTTGCTGCTGGTTGAAGTCGAATCCTTGTTGGAGCTGCATGGATTTTCGATGCGCTTGTTCCTGCATTTGACGCTGTTGAGCCTCTTGGGCTTCTTTCGCTTGTCGGTGAGCTGTATGGGTTTGAGCGAATTGTTGTGGTGAAGGCTCTTCATTCCAGCCCCATTTCTCCTTGAGCTCCTTGTACACGAACCCGATCCTCCAGCCGGTCTCTTTGTTGATCTTCTCAAATATTGTGAGGACCTCGTCTTGTTCTTTGCGGTCGGTGAGGACCTCGGCAGCATGGGCGAGTGATCGAATGGCCACAGACGCAACGCCGCTGAAAGGATGTTAGCTACACCTCAATTACTCGAGTTTGATAGACCCACCGATCCTTGACATGCGCGACAATACCACAAATCATCTGTGCATGTCGCGTCTGCATGTCCGCCATCTCAGGGTTATTGTGTACATAGTAGTATGGATGGATTTGAGACATTAGCAGCATCGCGGTGTGGTAGAAAAGCCTTGCGACGATTGTAGAGCGTTTGATCAGCCATACCTCCGGAAAGACAGACTTCGAGCTGGTTTGAAAAGCGTTCAGGTAAGCCATGGGATGCATCGTCCTGGGTATGCCATCGTTCCATGCGTCACACAACGATTTTAGGCGAGACCATTCCTCGTGGCGTTGCTGTGATCTGACCTGGTTGTCACGGTGATTCATCTCCGGCTGCCGTGGCATTGTGGCTCGGAAGTTGCACACCTTCGCAACAATGTACAACATTCGATGCGTCCAGACCTCTTCACGTCCATTGTGCAGCTCCCGGCTGAAGTCCAAGTCAACACCCCATTCGTCGGGATCCCACGCGACCTGCCAGTTGAAGTGTAGGCATGACAAGACTTCCAGACCAACATTGAGCCAGAAGCAAGCCGACCCAATGCCTTGTGCGCGAGCATTCCATCCGCACTCTTTGATCAACGCCCGAGCGCCGGCGATATGGTTCATGCGTTGCAATGCTCGCTCAGACATTATCTCGTATACATTTAGTATTACAGCCGTCGTCGCACAGATGACCGTGTCTCGATTCGGGTTCTGTAGGTTTCTCAGGAGATGTCTCGTGGCGGTATCGTAGTAGTTGAGAGCCTTCTCTTCGGTGTAAGCAGGATTGACCAGCGTCAGGTGTCGCGCTCCACAGGCCAGGAAGGCATTCAAAAGCATGGGCTCCGACAGTGAGTGGAACGGCAGCAGTCGGGAGAAGTGCTTCTGCGAGTCCATGCTGTCCATCCACAGGCCGACCTCTTCCACGAAGACTTGCATGAAGAGCGTCTCCTCTTGACCGTCGAGGTACTCTTTCCTTTGATTCTCATGTTCTGGTAAGTCAGTTTCAAGCGTATGGTGGCTTGTCACAGAGCCTTGCAAGGCTTTCATACCTGATTCAGCATATTGTGATTGCTGAGCTGAACTCGAATGAGGAGGCGCTTGTTGTTGAAAGTGATTCGCATCCTGTTTGGGTTGCACGTCGAAGATGTTGTTCATGCTGGGCTGGTGGCTGGGTGGCTCCTGATATGCATCTGGCATCAGGCCGTGTATGGACGGTAAAGGCTGGGCCATTGCGGCAACTTGAGCATCGTTGGTGGGGAATTCGAACGCAACGGCAGTGTCCAATGCATTCGTGTTGACATCCTGCCGGATACGCTTGTATCGCTGGGCGCCTCCCCGATACTCGCTGGCAATCTCGCGTGACTCGTCTAGAAACTCGACTTTCCAATCGTGAGTGCCGTAGAGTGTGACAATTGTCGGTGGTCGATCGACCCAAGTATCGATGAAGTTCAATCGCACGCCACGCCTGCATATTCGATTGCTCTTTTTGCAGTTGTTGCAGTTTGGTGTGGCTTCATCGCACTACAAGACGTCAATATCAGGTGTACTATCAAAGAGTATGTCCACGCGCCTCACCTTCAAGTGGCGCTCCCGACAGGTGAGACAGCCCGTCCGAACACGTTTGGGCTTGGAAGCCTCTGCATCCTTGTCCCCGTTGTTGCCATTCGGAGCATTGTCTCTGCTTTCAGATCTCGGACCAACTCTCTTGACCTTCTTATTCGGTTTGGAGCTCGATGGATTTGGCGGCTCTTTGCGCTTCGGCGGCATCTGCGGTGGGAAGTTCATGTTGGTGGGAGCCGCCGTGGTCGGCGAAATCTGGTCATCGTCGCCATAGGGAGGGTACTCATAGCCAGGCTGCAGGTACGCAGTCTGGTCGACGATGCCGGCCAGCGTTGAGAGGAGCGGCCCGCGGGCCTGCGAGAGCTCTGGGCTTGCAGAGGAGAGGTTCGCAATGCATGCGGTGGATTTATCTCGCAGATATGGCGGGGGTCGGTGGTGAGATGCGAGATGTCAATGGTTTCAGGGCGTCCGGGTCTGGGGCGTGGGCGGAAGTGCTGGCTGTGGTCGCAACGTCGGCCCTGGCTGCGGTGTAACACGGCGCGCGCGCCCTGCCGGTATTGCTGCTGCGCGATGGACTGACTGCCGGACGAGGGTGCAGGCGGCGAGGGTGTTTGCGGCGGGCGACGTGTGGTTCGGGCGGTTGACGTGCGTCTGGACCAGGCCCTCTAGAGTAGAGTAACGTTTTCGATGCTAGCCCCAACGCTGCTTTGTTCCGCCAAACACTGCCCGCGACAACGAACAACACCGCGCTGCCGACAAACGAGGATGCTGTTGCTAGTAGCTACAAACAGCGGCCGTGGGATAGGTCAACGGCGCAAGGAGAGAGAGCGAGGCAAACAGACGCCTGCAGAGGGAGGATCACGACCGAAGAACGGGGCCAACCCTGGCTCGCGGTGACGATGATGGTCTGCGGGGGTCCATTGGGGGAGGCCGAATGATGAGACACGACACGGCCGTCAAACACAGCCAGATCCAACGGATACATGTCGTTGAACGTCGCCGTCGTCGGTTCGAGGTTGCTCGGTACTTTCTGCTGCACAACACACCCTGTCAGCGCCAATCCCATACCGCAACGCCGCCATTTGAGTTTGTGGCGCGGGCTGCACCTCCGTGTGGGCGTCGTCCAGCGACATCCACCTGCATCCCGACTTCACACACCCAATGACCGCCCCTCCCGGCCTCAGATCCCCCATATCTATGATCGCCGCCCTGCATCTCGCGAACACCACCTTCCGGCCAGTTTGACTGTCGCCTCGGGCACGTCCCAGTTCTGACACCGATCGTCCTGCCCGTCCCTTCCCCGTACACCTCTCCGCACCCTTCCACCGCCCTCCCAAGTCTCCGGGATCCATTGCCATACACTGCTGCCAAGCCTTGCCTATGCGAGATACTGCAAGCTACGACAGGTACCTGCGTATCACCCCGCCGCCGCCCAGATCCGCCTCGCCGGCCATGTCCTAGGGAGCAGCACATAGCCTGTCGAGGCTCAAACTAGCTGCTATCCAGGGCCAATGTCTGCCCGGCAATACGAGTCGGTCGCTTCAGACGACAAGGCGGCCGACGAGTCTTCCACTTCGGCGCGCCTGACGCCGGACTCGGACTCGGATGATGTAAATCTCGACCAAGTCGAAGCTGAAGATGGGTACGAGTTGACGTCAATGGGCAAGCAGAGCCCCAGACTGGAAGAGCACGCGACAGCTGGAGCTGAAGAGGACGACGACGATGACCAGGCGCCGCTCGCTGGTGGACGGCGTAGAAGACAGAGCAGCGTCCAGTCCTTCGAGCTGTACACACCGCATGAAGAACGACGTGTGAAGCGAAAGCTGGACATTCGCCTGGTCCTTTTTGTCGCGCTGCTGTACAGCATCTCGTTCCTTGATCGCTCCAACGTCGGCCAGGCCAAGGTAGCTGGCCTCACACGCGACCTCAACTTGTCCGACGACCAATTCGAATGGTTGCTCACCGCCTTCTACATCGCATATGTCTTATTCGAGTGGATGACCCTCTGCTACAAGATCTTCCCACCGCACATCTACATCAGCTGCTGCGTATGCGCATGGGGTGTACTGGCCTCGCTGCAGTCGTTAAGCACAGGGTTCGCCTTCATACTGATCCTACGCGGATTGCTAGGCATTGGAGAGGCCGCCTTTGTTGGCATACCGTTCTATCTGTCCTTCTTCTTTCGCCGAGATGAGCTGGCTTTTCGAACCGGTATCTTCATCGCAGCAGCCCCACTCGCAACCAGCTATGCCAGCTTCCTTGCGTATGTTATTATGTGGTTAGGCCAATCCACTGGCATTGCAAGTTGGAGGCTGCTCTTCCTTCTTGAAGGATTCCCCGCCTGCCTTGTAGCAGTTTGGGCGTGGTATTGGATTCCTGACAATCCAGCAACCGCTAGATGGCTCACAGCCCGCGAGAAAAAAGTTGCGACGATGAGGATGCGGAATGAGTCGGCGGTAGACATGAAGTCGGAGAAAAGCAATGCCCTCCATACGAATGTTCCACGACACAAGAGGAAGTTCAAGTGGGACGAAGTTCAACGCACACTCATTGATCCCAAATCTTACCTCACCGCGGGCATGTTCTTCTGCTGCAACGTCGCCTTTAGCAGCATGCCGGTCTTTCTGCCCACCATCGTTAACCAAATGGGCTACACACGCCTCGCATCGCAAGGACTCTCCGCACCGCCCTTCCTTTTCGCCTTCCTCGTCGTACTTCTTACGACTCTCGTCTCCGATCGCATCAAGTCTCGAAGCATCCCAATGATAGTACTCGCCCTACTCGCGATGAGTGGATACGTTTTCCTCGCCGTGGCCGGTGCACTACAGGTTGGACACACATTGCGCTATCTTGCAGTATTTCCCATTTGCGCGGGCTTTTTCTCGGCTGTCGCCATCGTCATAACTTGGACAATCAACAACCAGGCTAGCGATGAAGGGAAAGGCACGGGCATGGCGGTCTTGAACGTCATCGGTCAGATGGGGCCCTTGCTGGGCACCCGGCTCTATCCTGACAGCGATGCTCCTTACTTTGTAAAAGGCATGAGCGTGTGTGCGGTAGCAATGGCGCTTGTTGGCATTCTAGCATTTGTTTTGAGGTTGGTACTACAGAGAGAGAACGCAAGACGAAAGTCGAAGTGGAGGGGTGGTGTAGGTGATGCTGGGAAGGAGTTTATCTACATTATATAACGACAGAGTAGGAAACAGAGTCCAGAAGTAAGAAACACACAGTGTATCCATTTTCCTACTATGAATCAGCAGCCATTTATGTACAACTTGAGGTGAAGTGGATGGATCTCTTGGCACTGCTGGGGGCGAAGCTTCCCTCGCTTCAACCTTCTGCGACCAAGCTTCTTTGTTTGTGACAACTCAACACACTTCACTCCATGACTGGCAACACCATGATTTCGAAAGAGACAAGCCCAAGATCACTTGCAGTTGGGAAATAATCCACGCCGCACGACGAAGCGGGGTTGAGCCAAACGATGCGACACCAGCGACCCATGACCTTCATCCCATCATGATATGATCCTCCAAAATGGACCTCGGAGACGTAGACGCAGGTCCGACCCTGGATGGCGAATACAACGGACCTCGAAGAGCCTACTCGCCTGATCAAGACCGAACAGCATCCAGAAAGCGAAATGGCGTCCGCGGAGAGTCGACAGTCCGCAGGACCAAGACTCACGAGACCGAAAACGGCGAAGAAGAGATCCATCATGTCAAGTCTGGCCATCACAGAATGCGTTCGGGGAGTCAAGGCTCTGCATACTCCCTCAGCGACCCGCCTATGTATCCCCGAGTCGGCGCGACAGCTGAGGAAATGGCAGGCGAGGTCTGCGTGGATGACGACGAGCATCTGAAGGAGTCTGAAAAACCGCCCGTTCGAGATAAGGAATTGAAGCCTCATCGCATGTACAAGTTTACGCTGTACGAGACGAATACACGGTACTGGATTACGGGTTCAGATATCACCGACAAGTACTTTCGCCTGCTCCGGATTGATCGGAACTCGCCACCTGGGCAGATAACGCTGTTCGAGGACGAGACGGTATACGATCGCAAGCAGATGAATGATGTGCTCAATACTATTGACCAAGGTAATAAGGCAACCAATGGCCTGCGACTGAAGTATAGCTTTTGGGGCTTGCTGGGTTTCATCCGCTTCACTGAGGCTTACTACATGCTCATCATCACGAAGCGCAGACAGGCGGCCATGGTTGGTGGGCATTACATGTACCAGATCGAAGGGACAGAACTTGTCCCTCTCACGACTGGTGCTGGTAGCTCCTTTCTGAGAGACCGCAATCCTGAAGAGGCACGCTTTTTGGGCATCCTCAACAATCTGGATTTGACAAAGTCGTTCTACTTCAGCTATTCATACGACATCACGAACTCATTGCAGCAGAACATTATCAAACAGCGGGTGGCTCTGAATGAGGGGCGTGACATGGCAGTGCACGAGTACAACGGCATGTTTGTTTGGAACCACCATCTACTCAAACCTGCCGTCAATGCGCTCAAGCATCCTTACGACTGGTGTCTGCCGATTATTCACGGATTTCTCGATCAAGCTGCACTCGACATCTTTGGCAGGACGGTCTACGTGACTATCATTGGCAGGAGGTCTCGCTTCTTCGCTGGTGCTCGATTCTTGAAGCGTGGTGTCAACGATCTGGGATATGTGGCCAACGATGTTGAGACTGAGCAGATTGTATCTGAGAAGCTGACGACGTCGTTCCATGCGCCTGGACCCCGACTTTATTCGAATGCCACGTATACCTCGTATCTCCACCACAGAGGCAGTATACCGCTGTACTGGACCCAGGACAACAGTGGTGTCACGCCGAAGCCAGGCATCGATGTCAACTTGAGCGATCCGTTCTTTCAGCCCGCTGCACTGCACTTCGATAACTTGTTCGAGCGGTATGGATGTCCCATCTACGTACTCAACCTCGTCAAGGCTCGAGAGAAGGTGCCCCGTGAGTCGAAGCTGTTACACGAGTACCAAAAGTGTATCAATTACCTCAACCAGTCCATACCAGAGGACAAGAAGATACAGTACAAAGCCTACGATATGGCCAGAGCAGCAAAGACTCGCAACAGCGATGTCATTGGAGGCCTAGAAGTCATTGCGAAAGACATTCTTGAACAGACTGGCTTCTTCCACAATGGCGAGTATGGCTTTGACGAGCCGCAAGTCCAGAATGGCACCGCCAGGACCAACTGCATCGACTGTCTTGACCGCACCAATGCTGCGCAGTTCGTCATTGGCAAGCATGCCTTTGCGCTGCAGCTCAAGGTGCTTGGAGTGATTAGCAAGGATGAAGTGGATTACGACACTGATGCGGTCAACCTCTTCACCTCGATGTTCCACGATCACGGAGACAACATTGCGATGCAGTATGGAGGATCACACTTGGTCAACACGATGGCCACGTATCGCAAGCTCAGCCACTGGCAGAGCTCATCCCGAGACATGGTGGAGAGCTTCAAACGATATTACCACAACTCATTCTTGGACAGTCAACGTCAGGAGGCATACAACCTTTTCCTTGGCAACTACATCTGGGCGGCAGGACAACCCATGCTGTGGGATCTAACAACAGATTACTATCTCCACCATAGCAGTCCCCGTGCTTGGTTCGAGCGGAATCGGCGAGACTACATCGACTGGTATACGCCTGAGTATCTGGAACCGCGTGTCATGCCACCTCGACTCAAGCGAGAAGTTCCCGAGCTCAAATCGGAAGGAGTTGCTGCATTCGACGACTATTGGAGAGAGTGCTACCGCCCAACAGCACTATCATCTCTGCAAAAGGTCTACAGCTACCGAATGACATCCACACAACGCTACCTGCCAGAACGACCGTACGGTGACAACAAGTGGGACTTCAGTCCCTTTGTCCGCCGTGCCGACCCACACAAGCACGTCGAATCTCCAGAGAAGCAGCGAAAGCCACCACGAAAGGGCGTCAAGATCGTCGACCCTCAAGACGAACCGCCCATGTCACCCATGCCCCTCTCTGAAGTCGTCCCTCGCCCCCCAACAGCCGCCGGCGAAGAAAAACCCAGCATCCTCCGCGAAACCGTCTACGCCAAACTCCCCCTCCCGCAATCCCAACCCCAACCCCCCAACAGCAAAGAATTCCAACCCGCCGACAAAGCCCAAATGCACCTCTGGACCCTCAACCAATTCCACACGCAATCCCTCCACCCGCACGTCTCCGACCCGGAAACCCGCGAATACGCCCGCTACATCACGCACCCGCAGAACCTCCCCCTCGTCACCTCCACCGACCTCCCCTCCGACGCCAACATCGACTATGTCGAGTACATCCACAAGCCCGGCGGCCCGGCCTTCGACTCGTTCGTCGACTCTGACGAGGACGCCGCCACCTTTGCCGCCGGCGTCAGCGACGCGGACCTGCAGGATTTCTGGGATTTCTTGGAGGCGAAAGGGGATCCGTTGACGGTTACCGAGGAGGATCGCGGGAAGAAGAGGTATAAGGCGTATCGGCAGTGGTTGAGGGGGAAGAGTCTTTTTAAGCAGAGTAAAGTCGATCCGGAGTTTTTGGGGCAGGGGGTTTGAAAATTTGATGTATGGTGGTAGAGGGCGGGGGTTGGGGGTTTGGAGGGGAAGCGTGGTGTTTGGAGTTGGAATTGGAATGAGGTTATGAATGAGCGGAGAGATGTTGGTGTCGTTGTTTGTGTTCTGTTGTTGGGTCCACCGTATGCATTGGTACGATACAAGATATATACGTCTCCACCAGCTCCCGTCTCCACTTCAGCCTTGTCCAAACGGACCTTCTATCTCCTTCTCAGGCGCCTGGCGTGCTGTCTAGCCCCCTAGTCGTCCATTGCATCTCACTTTGACCCGTATGGAAGGGATTATCCCACCGCCGATAGAAAGTCTGGGAATCTCTGTCGCTGGCAAGCGCGACAATTGGTTCTGGATGTTGAACTGGGCCGTGGACGTTCTCAATGTCCTGGAGATAGCACGATATTCGTGCATTCCACTTGGAAACGCATAAGGGAAACCACCTTAGGACTCTCGAGGCATCCCTTCGTCTTAGCCTTCTGCGTCAATTCTCACCGCCTTTCTCATATATTTCTATTTTTCACCACCCCCGTCTCCCCCTCGAATCTTCAAAATCCTTCCCTTCCCTTTCCCGGTCTATCCTCGCATCGAACTGTTTCTGTGCCTCTGCCCTTGCAAGCTGCTTATCCTCATCCGCGTTCGAGAAGGTGAAGCTATCACCCTCATTAGAAGTAGATCTTGACGCAGGCTGTGCTCGAGACGTCGAAGGTCGATTCTGCCCAGAAGCAGCCTGCTGCCGTAACCTCTCCCACGCACTGCCAGAGGGTTTCGACTCGGGTTCAGACGATGAGCTTGCGAATGGATCTGAGGCTTCTTCTCTTCGCGATCCATTACCACTCGGCCTCTGACTCGGACTCTGACTCTGCCCTCCATCCTGCCTCTGCGCCGAAGAAATCTGCCTCTGCGCCTGCACATCACTCGAAACAAACGTATCGCTCTGACTCCCACTCCCCTCCTCGACAAAATCCCCAGCAAAAGCACCCCCCGTCGGACTCATATCATCCACCGCACCCCCCGTAACCACCGCCCCACCCTGCCGATTCCTCCTCCACGCCTCCTGCACCCTCGCCCTCTGCCTCGCCATCTCCACCGTCTCCCCCTCCCTCGGCCCCGCCGTCTGGTCCACCTCCCTCTTCCCAGGCAACAGCCCCCCCGGCCCATTCCGCGCATTCTCCCTGATCTTCTGACTCAAATCTTTCAGTCTCGGATCCATCAACCGCCCCGCACTCCCCGCGCTCAACGCATAGCTCCCCAACGCCACCTGTCCCGCCATCGTCCCCGCGAAGGAGTACGCGAAAAACCGCATCGTGTGCCACATGATCCTCGCGCGGCCTCCACTCAGAAACATGAATTTATCTGGATTGAACTTTTTCCCCGGCGTCCAGCCTGGGAAGCGGAACTTGGGAATGCCTCGCAGGAATATGGGCATCGCGCAGAGAGTGCCTATGGGTCCTCCATAACTTCCTATTCGTAGACCTCGCGTCATGTGGTATGCCAGTGCATCGGCTTCTTCCTGTCGAACGGGGCGTTGGAGCACTGACGACGCGGCTTTGCAGGCGTCTTGGATGGCGGAGGTCATGAACGGCGGGTGCGTCGATTGGAATACCGGTTTGGGGAGGTTCGTGAGGTTTACGTAGATCTGTTCGGAGCCCGGTTGGTTTATGGGGACGTAGGTGGGATCGCGGGTCGAGAGGATGGTGGGGGAGCGGTCGCCTGCGTAGGGGTCATCGTCGGAGGAGGGGGCGTCGGAGGGGAAGGTTGAGGCGGAGGGTTCTTGGGGGGAGGTGGCTTCTTCGAGGACCATGGTGGTGGTGGGCGGTGGGTGTAGAGGAGAAGTGGTGGTCGCGTGGGAGCTTTGGAGCTTGAGGTGAGGTCGAGGCCGGGTGCTGTGGAGGCTTTCATGACGACATTTTGAATTTCATTCACTTGATCGCGGGACGCCACGTGCTTTTTAATTTCAACACTAACATTGTCTCCTGACTTTCTGTCAACGATACCATGGCATGATGGGATTGTTGACGATGAGATGCCGTTCACGGACGAAGATGCGGCTCTCGAGGCCATCACACAGCTGGCAGCTCTCTCATCTGGGCAAGAAGAGGCCAAGGCCAAGATAGACAGCATCCTTGCAACAGACGATCCATTCGTCGACATTCACGAGCTATTCGGCCTCTACAACACTCTATACTTCCGCACCCTACTGGTACCCCGAGTAGAAGTCTCATGGTCCGCCAGACTGACCCTCTGCGCCGGCATCTGTGAACTCGTCCGCGACCCATCGAACAACAACAAGTATACCAGGATCCGCCTCAAACTATCCGAATCACTGCTCAAGTACCGTTCCCGAAGCGACGTCGTAAACACCCTCCTCCACGAGGCCATCCACGCATACTTCTTCATCACCACCTCCTGGCGCCATTCCCGTGGCGACGACGGCACCGGCCACGGCGACGGCTTCTTGCTCCTTGCGGACGCCATCAACGACCACGGCGGGTACAGCATCTCCGTATACCACACTTTCCATGATGAAGTCGACTCCTACCGGACGCACGTCTGGCAATGCGACGGGCCTTGCAAGGGGAAGGCTCCGTTCTTCGGGCTCGTCAAGCGGAGTATGAACCGTGCGCCTGGGAAGAGCGATGTGTGGTGGAAGCAGCATCAGGATGAGTGTGGTGGGAGGTTTGAGAAGATTGCGGAGCCCGAGATGTCGAAAGAGCGGGTGGAGAGGTTGAGTGGGTTGGAGAGGGCGGGGAGGCAGAGGAATAAGATTGATGCGTGGGTGAGGAAGAGGGGAGCGTCCCGGGGTGGGGATGGGAAAGGGGCGGAGGCTGATGGGGTTCCTGCGGAGAAGAAGATGAAGATGGCTGTGAAGTGTCCTGTCTGTAGTGAGGAGATGGAGATGAGTGTGGTGGATGAGCATGTTGAACGGGAGCATCCGCCCGGAAATGTCCTCAAGTGAGGTTTGATGTGAAGTTGGTTGCTCCTTCCTTCACTTGCAGCATGTATGGCTTGGCATGCGGTTTGCTCCTTCCTTCACTGCTTCAACACATATGGCTTGGCACGCTAAGGGGACTCTCGCCTGACCTCATACCAACCTCCTAACACCCTCTGGACAACGTCAACCACCATCGTCCACTCGCAACAACCAATTCACGATGGCTGACACGGCGGTTGCTTTCGCTGAGTACGTTCCATTCACATCATCACACGGGTCCAAACACTGACATCGACACAGGCAGCTCAAGCTCAGCAAGGCCACCAACATCACCATCTACGTAGGCAGACGTCAGCCAGACATCGAACCATACGTCCTGCCCAAGATTGTCCTCTCCAACGCCGCCCCGTACTTCCACAAGATCGTCAACTGCGACTTCAAAGAAGGCCAGGAAGGCGTCTTGCACTTCCCCGAAGACGACCAGTACTCGTGGAGGCTGTTCATCTACTGGCTCTTCAACCGCCGCCTCCCTGAGCCAGACCGCCCCGCTCCACCAAACCCTCGCCATCTGGGTCCGCGCGCCTTAAGCCCATTCTTCTCGGCTCTCATCAAAGCCTGGAGCCTGGGCGACAAGTACGACATCCCAGCATTCCAGAACAGCGTCACCCTCCGCATGATCCGCACCTTCGAGATCAGCTTCCCAGCCATGGAGAACGTCACCGAAGTCTTCGAGACTACACCAGTTGGCTGCCCGCTCAGACAGCTCATCGTTGAGGAGCTCGTCACTGCGACCATGAAGCTTCGTGTTGCGAAGATCGCAGATATCGCGCCACTCTCAAAGCTCGATGGCTTCTTTCCGCTGTTCATACAGTGCTATCAGGACCTCTGCGCCAATGTGCAGCGGTACCCGCTTCACAATTATGGCAGGAACTCGACGGAGATGCAGAAGTATCTTGTCGAGGAAGACAGAGATTTGGCGAATGAGGTGGAGGCTATGATGAGGGAGCACGGGCAGGCTTAGGATCTATGGAAAGATTGAGGTCTGGTCTGGTCAGTGATGTGACGGGATGGCGGAAAGAGAGTTGCGCAAGAATCACCATGGCGCATGTTGCTCTTTGACGATCCAGTCGTACTAGTGGTTCTATGGTCGAAACAACATCGAGCCTCGAAATGCAAGTGTTTCAAATCTCCTGAGTCTGTTGTTGTTCTCGTATCTACCGTGGAAATAAATGCCGCGAAAAGACCTGTTTTCATCGGACTAGGCGTCTACTTCTTGACATACGCCGTATACGCCGTCCTCGAGGTTGCATGGCGAAGACAGCACAACTACTCCCTGCTCTGGTGGGCCACGGTCTTCCCCGTCGCCACGATCAACACGGCGTGGATCTCGCTGGCCACAGCGATGGAATCAACGGCGTTCAAGGTGCTCTCGACGCTTTTCCTTTTGGCGCTGCTGGTGCTGTATTTTGTTAATTGGGGGTTTACGTTGGTTTTTGTCTTTACAGGGACGACGGCGCTGTTGCAGCAGCCGATTCGTGAGACGCGGGATCGGGAGAAGGCGAGTTGAGGTGAGGGCGGTGTTTTGTGGAATGGTTGATTTTGCGGCCTGAACTTATACATACGGTCTGTGCCTCTTCCGGATCCTGCATTGTCACATGCTTGCCATGTAAGGACATGGGTGGTTAGTTGTTTCCCTTTTCAGCCACAGCCTTGCCTTGCAAAAGAAGTCGATGAAAGCGCAAGCGAAGAGAGGTCCACTTCCACGTCGACCATAGAACCAAGGAAGGAGAACTCCTCCAAGATTGTCACATATTTCAGGAAAAGACGTCATCGTTCAAAAAGGCCAACAACCCATAAATCAAACTCCCCCCAACAACCCCCATCACCGCATCTCACCAACCAACACCTCATCCACCTTCGTCATCACGTTCCCCGTCGTCCTCGCCTCGACAAATTTCCCCAACATAGCAACCTCAGCATTCAACCTCCTTGCAACCTCCACGATCGGCCATCCCTCCCCCAACAACCTTAACAACACCCCCTCCTGCTCCTCATCCCACTCAGGCCCCGGGCGCTGCAGATGCACAGCCCCAACCTGCAAGTCCAACATCTCCCGCGAGATCGTCCACGGATGCGCATCGCGCGACTCGAAGAGCTCGTTGAAGCGAGCCGCGATTTCGAAAATACTCGCCACACTGCGAAGTTCACGACGGAGATGCTCTCGTTCGTCGTCCCGGAACACCCGCTTCGGCAGGCCGGGCGCGTCGTCAGACGGGTCAGTGTAGCAGTTATAAGCCCCCGCGAGGAGAAGCAGGGCATCTTCCACCGCCACGGCACTCTGAACGCAGTCCTCCCTCGAAGAAGAACTCAGGACCGACTTCATCAACCCGACGACACGCTGCGTCCCAGTTCCATCTTCGAAACAAACCACCTCGTCGAGTTGAGCGATGTAGTCCATCCTCCCCAATAGCTCGTTCGCCCGCCACATCCTCGCGATGCGCACCATCGCGGCGTTCTCATGGTCGTTGTTCAGAACCCAGCCGTTCTTCTTCATTTTGCTCGTGGTGTGGCGGTACGGACGCAGAGTATCGTGCTCTCTGTCGGCCACGAGCTGATCCCGGAGGTCGTTGCGCAGGGAGGTGGAGCAGGTTTTGAAATGCGGCCTCGCGCTGAGGGTTATGGGAAGGAGGGCTTGTTGGGAGCAGAAGGGGCAGTTGATCTCTTGGGGGTTGGGATCGGACATGCTGTGGGCAGAGGGGACTTGATGGGGAGGGGTGCATGGACGGGGTGGAAGGGGTGTTTATTGCAATTGAGGGTTTGTGGATAGGTGCACTCTTTCTTTCTTTCTTTCTTCATCGAGGGAAGCCTGAACGAGTGAGACTAAACATTGTCTTGCTCTCCTTGTCTTTGCGTGGAAGGTTGATTGAATGAACGCCGACGGAGAACTTTGGACTGCCGTTCGAATAAGGGGGTTCTGTTCAGAAGCCAGGTCGTCTCCTCGGCCTTGGCAGAGGCGACTAGAGCCAACACTTCAGCGAACAACTTCATATCATCGCCAAAGACGTGGCAAAAGTACGAGCTGTTCTCAGGAATCCTGTACGACCAAGGCGGGGGTGCACCAGGACGGAGTCGTCTCAGCAATATCTTCTTCTAACTGCCGTAGATGATCTTTCCTCGTCGCGGGCGGCTCGTTGCCCGTCATGGTGGCATCACCGAGCCAGATCAGCAATTTCGTAGCGTGCCCGTAAATGCAGCCCATGTGTCAGATTTAGCGGTTTCGTTCGTGGATGTTGGCTTGATTGATGCAGAGTTGGTCCGCCCAGAGGCTACGTATGGTATCGGTGCTCCTCAAGCGCCGTAATGCTTTCCAGAGATTCTTCGTGATGGGAAGTCTACCAGCTCCTTTGATAGAGACGTACTCCATCTCATCGCTGCTGCCCCAGGCGTACGATAACGCATCGTATGTTCTCGAGAGTGGATGCTCCGCATCAGCCTCGCCTGTGACTTCATCTCCACAGTTGATCGATTGCACACTGAGTCAACACTCGATCTCAGCATCAAGCTGGCCCGGTAGAAGTTGCAAGACTCGAATCTCGCGGTCCGGATCGATAGCCGGGCCCGGATAGACCGAACCAGGCCCCTACAAGTCCTCCGAGAACCGCCCACCACCCTCCGTGTGATGATGCACAACGTACGAGAAGGGCTTGACATTGAAGACATATGAAAGTAACGAACTACGAAATATGTGATACTCACCAATCAGGTCTCCCTCTCGAACAAGAGATTAGTCACGATGTGTGACTTTCCGAGGACACCCATCATAATATATAGATGTTGTCGAGACGCCTGAGAGTGTGGATGTCGATCACGTTCGTCTGCGCTTTTGTCAATTCCGTGTATAACAAAGGGGGAACACCCAGCCATGCTTGGCGTGCATGTGGCAGTGCATGAGACCAGGCTGCAACATAAGACCTGGGACTCTGTCAATTAATTGCCAAATGAAGTGCTGGCAAGTGACATGGATAGAGGCAATGGTGTCTGCGGCCACCAAGTCAACGGGGCGATTGCGGAAGAGCCTTGTCAATTTGGCAGCGTCAACGACACCACGGATACGTTGAAACATACTGTGGATGTCTGATAGTGAACGTTCTTCTGCCATTCAGCATAAAGCCTTATCTCTGTCTCATCCACGAGGAAGTATGATCACATTCACACCAAACCCTCCTGCTTCGGGCACACCAATAGTCCGCCCTTCTCAATAGTGATGGCTGCGCCCTAGAATGAGGAAAGAGGGTCGACATCAGCACGTTCCATCTCTAAACACCTCCTTCATCATCGACCGGATCACCTCTGAGACATCCTCGGTCTGTGGTTTTGGTGATTTGTTGTCTGGTGGATCAGAAGATGGCCCTTCGCCAGCTGGTGCGTCTCCAGTTGACAGGCGAACTGATTGTCTGAGTCTCGTCTTCGTGGGTGTTTCAAGGTCACCTGCAATCTTCCTCCTATATCCATGCGACTCCTTCTACTTAGCCTGCTCGAGTGGATTCAGTTGATCCCACTCGCCTCGCTCCTAGCGCCTAGGACCCATAGCAATACTCGGATCGAAGCCATCAACAAACCCGCGGCCTCGACCTGGTGGCAGGCCATCGGTAGGACTGCGCATCTGTTGTGCCTGCATCGGGAAACCAGGTGGAATACCTTGCGGCCCAAAGAATCCCGGTGGCGCATTCGCTGGCGGGCTTTGCAGACCTCCAAATCCTGGCGGCGGTGGTTCGCGCTGTTGTGGCTGTTGGAAGATGTTGATATTGTGGAAGCCAGGGGGATGGCGTGGCATGTGCGGGTTGAAGCCCGGTGGTGGTGGACCTTGTGCACCCACGGGTGATGTGAGCTGGTGGTACTCCGACGGCGGGAATTGCTGGCCTTGTGGGATTTGCATCTGGGGCAAGTTGGGGTGAGCGCTGGGTCGGCGACCTGCACCTGGCACTTGCTGCTGCAGTGGTGGACCATCAGCAAATTGTCGACGCATCTGCTGTTGCTGCGGATGCTGCTGTTGTTGCTGTTGTTGCTGTTGTTGCTGAAGGAAGATGGACGGCTCATCGTAGAAGCCTGGTGGGACACGCTGTGACGGACGCCTCTGCGGTTCATGCATGCCAGGAGGCATCTGAGGCTGCTCTTGGCGTTGCTGTTGCTCAGGTGGGTAGTTGCGCATTAGCTGCTCCTCAAACAGACCAGGAGGTTGCTGAGGCACTCTCGGCTTGGGGGCATGTGGCTCAGCGTTCATCTGAGGTTGTTGCTGACTGTTTAGCCAATGCTGCATCTGGTCGACGGCGCCATAATTAGGCAGTGCCTGCTGCGAGGGTGGTCGAGAGCTCGACGGTTCCTTTCGCAAAAGGCTGAGCAGCTGTTGACTCTCGCTTGATCCGTGCTGTCGCTGGCGGCTTTGGGCAATCAGGTTCTGCACGTTAAGGTCAGGTGAAGCAGTGCGTCGTGAAGGCGGATCAAACATGGCCAGATCGTTGATGCGTCCAGACGCAGGTCGTGGCTGCTGTTCTCGTAGGGCATTGAATGGAATGCCGCTAGGCTCAGGCGACATTGCAGATTGAGGAGCCTGAGATCGAGGAATCTGCTGCTCGCCGACTTGCCTCTCTGGCATTCGATCACCAAAGGAAGCTGCTGGTCCATTAGACTCACTCCCAAATACACTATCTCCAAGTTGAACGCCGCCTTGCTGTGGTGACTGCAATCTCTCTGGGCTCTTCTGTGCGAACATGTCAGTGAAACGACTCTTAGGCTTCGCTGCAGCTCCACCATTCATGCCAGAGGTCTTGATGGGCGGTGGAGGAGAAACAGGAGTCTGCTCTGCTTGAGGAGGGGTAGGCTGGCCCAGTTTCGCAGACCCAAGCATTTGCAAAACCCTGTTGAAGCCTTCTTGGTCTTCTGCTGTTGTCTTGGCAGCATGTCCATTTGCTGGCTGCTGTGCACTTGGCTCTTCTGCTGCTGGAGTAGGGGGCGTCTCTTCAGCGGACGGCTTGAACATTGAAGCAAAGCGGCTCGTCTTCGGCTTGCCAGTGGATGCCTTGATGGATCCTGTGGCCCCAGGTGTGGTCGCCCCTTGCGAGCCAGTATTGGCACTGCCAGCACCCCAGCCACCAAACATGCCGCTCTCGAAGCCATCGAGCTTCAAAGGTGGGACGTTAGCCTTGGGTTCAGGCGGTGGAGGCGCTGGTTCTGATACTGTCTCAACAGGCTCTGCCTTGTCCACGTCACCCTTGGCTTTCTTGCTCATGCCCTCCTTCCACTTCTGAAACTCTTCTTGTGTGCGGGCCATGCCAAATCCAAGCTCTTGGTCTTTCTTAACAACCGGGTCGTCCATCCATTCAGGCTCCTTCTCCACTCGATCATGGTCCCTGTCGCGTCGTTGCTGTTCTCGCTCGCGCCATCCACCTGCTCTGTCGCCGTTGCGTCTGTCATCTCTCGTCCATCGTGGATCGTGTCGCTCGCCAAAGCCATTGCGTCGATCGCCATCCTCGCGATCTTGCTTCTCTCTGCGCTCACGTACACTAGTCCAGCTGTCTCGGTTGTCTCTGCCATCTTTACCCTCCTTCTCATTGTTCATGCTCCTGCGATTGAGCTGCCGGTCTGAGAAGAAACGACTGCGCGCGCTCTCTGGCTCCTCGGACGTAGTTCCGTCTCCTATAGTTGTTGCAGTGCGGTCTGGCAAGTCTGACAATCGGGACACGTTTCTGCTGCTGGGGAACATGGTCTTGGGCGGACCCAGAGAAATATCTTCTGCACACGCAACATCATCCATCAGTAAACCACGTCACCACCAAGAACCAATCACATCTCCTCTCAGACTCACCTCCATTCCCCCTCAGAGTACTACTCCTCGTCCCGAGCGTCGGCCTCCCCGTCGAAAAGCTCCCCATCGGACTCCCCTCAGCGCCGGCACTAACACGCTGCTGCTGTCTCTGCTGCTGCTTGGGCTGCTGGGCCTGCGCCGACGACGACGGCTCACTATGCGGAATCCTTAGCTTCTCCCTCACACCGTCTGCGCGCTCCATGTACACGTACTCTATCCATTGCTCGATGGCGGGGAGGTTGTCGGGCTTGCACACCAGCGGCGACTCCCTCAGCGCCAGCAGCTGCGCCGCCGTGTACTGGCGGACGGCCATGCTGGATCAATAGCGGTGTCGTGGGGGTGTATCGTGCGCAAGGTGGGTGACGAGTCGGGCGGGCGCAATGTGTAGGCGCCCAATGCCCGAGGAGGCGTGGTGCGGTGGTGACGGGCCTCCCGTCCCCGCGGCGGCGTGTCAAATAGCGATTATGAGATTGTGTCTTGCTCAATGCGGCCTTGCACAAGATCAGTAGTGATTGTTGCCTGTATCAGGTAGAAGGCTGCGGGTGGTGGTGACGGAGACGATGCGGCGGAGTTGGCTGGCGGTCGGGCAGCAGCAGCGGTGGGTGGAAATTGTGGGTCTAGCAGAAGGAATTGATGGCGGAAGTGTGATCGATCTGGCGGTGTTAAGCGTGTGATTGTCGTAGCGATGTGTGTTGGGGGCTGGCAGTGGTGATGTTGCGGGTTGGCGGTGGTGTCGTGGCAGTGAAGTGAAGTGCTTCGGCTGAAAGATGTCTCCAAGCCGCCCCTGCAAGAGCAGCACAGAACGTTAATGGACCCTGGCTCCCTGATTCAGATGCGTGAATTGAACGGCGTGAGCGAATAGCGAGTCTCAGTCAATTCTTCTACCATTGATTGATTGACCAATCTTCAATACGTGAAAACGTTTCATGGCCGAGCGCGATTTAATCGTCAGTCGACTCGCGCTTCATTCATCTCACTGTGTCACTCTTTCCCTTCTAGACCTGCCAAAAGCCTTGGCAAAACTCTAAAGTGTCATTATTCGACCTAGCACGTGAGATAGCTATATACGCCACCAAATACCTCTGATATATGCTAGATGCTGTAGTCTCGTGGCAAGCATCATCATGGCGATCCTGTCGCGGTCAACATCATATCGTCCTCCTCTCCTCATCATCGTCGTCTCATTCTATCGTCTTCGTCTGCTCCTCTTCCTCCCCCTCTCCGCCGCTGTTCTCCGTCCAACCACCTCTCTCCAAGTTGTTGCAATAACAAAGCATCTCATCAAAAGTCAAAGCATGCAGCATGGCTCTCAAAAGCCGTGTTCTGAATGTTAGGCACCCGCCACTGGTGATGGCATGAAAAGACCGCAAAAAGGGTTGCGCACGTGCGATCTCTTCAAAATCCATCACCGTCGTCTAGTCATCCGAAAGACCTGTCCTCGAGTCAGTATCGCGATGCTTCACAAGACTCCACGTATCTTGGAGAGGGCATCCACTCACGGTAGCCACGAAATCCCTACAGCAATGTCAGCGAGCCATTCCAGCAGTTCAAAAGAAGGCCATCGGCGTACTGCTAGTCTTCTCCTCGTCGAGCTCGTCTGACTCCTTCCAGAACGCCGTCGGTCCAGCCGGGCCATGCAGATCGTAGTCCTTGTCAAACCAGTTTCCGAGGACACCTCGGGCGCTTTTCAGTCCTCCGACTTGAATCCCTTCGCTACGCCATCGTTCCTCGCCGTGGAAGATTGAGAATGTCGTCCAGCGGATCTCACCTTCAGGAGTCTGTCGCACCGTTCCTCGTATTCTGCTGTTTGCGTTCGGGTCCCAACTTGCATGTAAACTCCGCGATGTTCCACGGAAGCGCACGACTGGCAATCGCTCGCCTGTGAAGTTTGTCCAGTCCATACCGTCTCCGTCCTCTTCTTCTCCTTCATCGCCGCTCCCGGGCGGGTCGATGCGAGTCACTTGAAGCTTGATGCGAATCAGTCGAATAGCTAAGGTGAATCAGCTAGTGTGCAAGGCAAACATACGCTTTCCATGAGATCAATCAAACCTTCTTCCGTGTCAATTGGCTCTCTAAGCTGCTCATCAGGGATGCGTTCGCTGAAGTTGAAGGCGTAGAGATCGTTATAATCCAGGAAGCACACAACTCGCATCCAGCTGCCACTGATACCGTATGGGTCTTGTGCGTCCAGTGAGAGAGCCTTCTCCCGGATCTTGTTAATCTCTTCATCAACCTCTCTCGTAGATCCAGTTATTCTCGGTAAGGTCTTATAGCTGTTTGGAGTTGCCCCACTCCACGTGTCTTTCCACACCATCGGAAAACGCCCATCACTGCGATCTGTAAACTTTCTTAGATTGAATCCCAGAACAATCATCACTGCCTCCACCTTCTCCCAATCGACTCGTTGGCTCCCATCGTTCATGAAAGGGCCCCACAACGTGTTGTCCGTATACTCTCGCAGGTCGTACACCTTACTTCTCGCATATGTGTGCGTCAGCAATGGCCTCGCGTGACTCCTGGTGCATAGACTCGGACTCATCGAGACGTCTGGCTGCAGCAGTGAAAAGAAGCTCCGAGTCGGCACTACATCAATCGGTACGCCATAGAAGCAATGCAGCTTCGCGCTGGCTTGTCTCAGCTCTTCCGTATCCGCAGGCAGTTGCAACTCGTTCCCCGCTCTTGCGAACAAGCTGCTGGCGCACAGGAAGCTGTCGATGTTGTCTGTGTTCTGAAACCAGTATCTCAACCAGTCGACGTTGTGGTTTTCATCCTTCTCGTTGTGAGGTGTGCTCGCGGTCTTGACAAGACGATTGACCTCTCCCGACACGAATGCCAGCTCCTCCTTCTTGACCCTCCGATCTTCGGTGTCGAATATCTTCTCCAGCTTGACCAATCTGTGCAGCGCATCTTCCCAGTCTGGCTCAGGCGCGGCTGGCGTAGGTTCACCATACTTCCGGATGTACAAGTCTTTGTGCAGGAGACGGTTGCCACGGACATAGCTATGCAACGCACGACAGCTCTGGGTGAGCGCTGAGACATCGGCGGGTTCGACTTCGGTGAAGATGCAATGGAGCAGTTCGTGCGAGAGCTCGAGCAGGGAAGCCATTGGGTTGGCGGGCGGGTCGGCGATGTCGCCCATGGTGGATGTGCCTCTCCGACGTGTTACAGGAAGGAAGCAGGACCAAGGCTATGCGATGTGAAGCTGCCCATCCCCGGCTGCTCGGTTCGTCTGGGATCGCGTTATCGCGCTATCTCCGCCGGCAAGCGGGAAGGTGGGGCTCGCGGCATCACGTGTCCGGCGCAGCCTCGAGTCGGGGTTAAGTATTTAACTTAACCTTTGACCGTGCTAACGATCAGAGACTTCAGAATACAAGATTACTTCACCACTTTTGAGTAGCTCTTGCTAAGAATGAGGTACGTGGCCCTTCAGCACAACTCGCTACGACATTGAGGAAACCGTGATACTGTGACAATCCGAGATGCATTGCAAGCCGTCCAACTAGCTTGAGGATGGAATGACGCATGCAAGAGATGTGCCAACAATTAGAGACATTATATCCAAGGTCAGTCCACCAGAGGTCTATGCCAGCAGATTAGAGGCACCATCGTCCCATGTATCCCGAAATGGGCGGAAGGGGCAGTACTATCAATCCGAGACTTCACTTGATAAGGGGCTAAAGCAACAAATCCATCGATTAGTGGCTCCTCTGTTTGCAATTGAGTAATGAATTTTTTGATAAATGAAAGATGAAGATCAAGTCAAAAGAATGTATAGCGTGGATCACATATTGGCTATCCAATTTTGTCTACGCTGCAACGTTGTACGTGTTGCCATCAACGCCTGCAACAGCAGAAACCCCAACCGTCTTTTATCATATCAAGGATCGTTATGATCAATCATTGTTACAGTCCAGTAAGTACAGTCCTTGATTGCTCACTGTCCAGTGACCCATTTTACCTCCACATACATTCCATTCCGTCATGTTTTCATCATGCCGAATCCTTTACTAAACCTGGTTATAACCCCAGCCGTTCGCAGTTGTAGTAGGGGTGGGCTTAATGCTGCTGGTGATGATTGGCGGAACCGACCACGAATTGCCTTGCCCGGGCTTGGTTGGAACTGGGTACCAGACCGTGATCGACGTGGTGTAGCCGTACTCAAGCGTGATGGTCGTGCACGAAGACGTGATGGTGGATCCCGGTGGGCAGACTGGTGGGCTGGGCTTCGAGACGTACGAGGTAATGGTCGTTGGTGCAGGGCAGACAGGGCCGGGGCCTTCAGGAATAGACGGGCAAGCTGAGCAGCCTGGGGGTGGAGGCGGAGTTGATGTGACAGTAGTCGGCACTGACGGAGTCCATGGTGGCAGAGTCGAGATCGCAGTCGTTATCCAGGTCGATGAACCCCCTGGACAAGTTGGGCATACCTCAGTGACGATGGACGTAACAGTAGTCGGCACTGACGGAGTCCATGGCGGAAGAGTCGAGATCGCAGTCGATGTCCAAGTTGATGAACCCCCTGGGCAAGTTGGGCACACCTCAGTGACGATGGACGTAACAGTAGTCGGCACTGATGGCGTCCACGGTGGCAGAGTCGAGATCGCGGTCGTCGTCCAAGTTGACGACCCCCCTGGGCAAGTTGGGCATACTTCGGTAATTGTAGACGTGACTGTAGTGGTTACAGACGAGGGAGGGGGAACAACAGTCGTGACTGGAGGTGGCGGCCCCCAGCTAGTTGGTGGCGGCTGCGGCTTCGTCCAGGTTTCGCAAGACGTATAGGTAGTAGTGTACCAAGTAGTTGTCCACGTAGCCGTATCCTTTGAGCAAGGAACGACAGTGGAGACAGTGGTCGTAACGGTCCACGTGGTAGTGATTGGAGTCCAGGTTGAGCTAGTAGAAGACCATGTGCTTGAAGGAGTAGAGCTCCAGGTCGAGCTAGACGTAGGCCACGTGCTTGAAGAGGGAGTCCAAGTAGAGCTTGAAGAGGGAGTCCAGGTCGAGCTTGACGAAGGAGTCCACGTAGAGCTCGATGGATTCCAAGTGCTGGAAGAGGGAGTCCAAGTAGAGCTCGATGGAGTCCAAGTGCTTAAGGAGGGAATCCAAGTAGAGCTTGAGGAGGGAGTCCAGGTCGAGCTTGAAGGAGTCCAGGTCGAGCTTGAAGGAGTCCAGGTCGAGCTTGAAGGAGTCCAGGTAGAGCTCGATGGAATCCAAGTGCTTGAAGAAGGAGTCCAAGTAGAGCTTGAAGAGGGAGTCCAAGTAGAACTTGAAGATAGAGACCAAGTGCTTGAAGAGGGAGTCCAAGTAGAACTTGAAGACGGAGTCCACGAGCTTGAAGACGGAGTCCACGACGAGGTAGTGTCCCAGTTTCCACCGTTCCCATAGCCCTCAGGCTGTCCCGGCAGAGCAATTGCTGAGCCAAGAACGGCGGCGAAAGACACGACGGAGCGCATCATGTTGTGTAATTAGGCTGAAACAATGGAAAACGAAAATTCGATATTCAAGAAAAAGAAAATTGCGGTCGAGACCCTGAACGAGAGTGATCTCAAACTTTGGATAGGAGAAACTGTTACTTGGTCACCATGAGCTGGTGCTGGTTGTGTGGGAAGGACAATACTTCAAGTAGCAAACATGGGCACTTGATATACCCACGCTGTCGTCTACGCAGCGATCGGTGTCATCGCATCTCACCGAGACACTCAACATACGCATTTCTGATCGTGTCCACCGCGCTGATGGAGCCTTCCTCTGATGAAGCCTTCCCGTCGAGCGTACGAGTGAAATAGCAGCTGCTCGGAAAGGGGCGGCCTATTCGCCTAGCCAGTAGAAGTCATCTCTGCCGTGCCCTGCTAGGCTCGATCAGAATGTTTCCACTATTCGTTCGCGTGGTCGCCAGATGCAGTCGTCGTGGCTGATTCTACGTGCATCAGATGCTAGTCTTCCGTCAGCGTGGGCATAATAATAGAATGTGATCCATTTCGTTCTCAACATGCGTCCTTCGCAGTTGTTGAGTTGAGCACATTCCGCGATATATTATAAGGTGTCCGTCGTAGAGTCGTTTGATTAACTGGTACCTTTGATCCTCTTTGCCTGATTCGATGCATCGTCAGCATTCTATTAATTGCTCATTCAATACTTCAAAAGCCCGCTTCGTATCCTCTTGTTCCTACTTAGCGACGTCGCGAGTCGACTTCATATCGGTGAATTGCAGTGACGTGGCCCTTGGGGAGAAAGTAAGTGAAGGAGTAAAAGGATTTATTGAAAGCGGATGGCCGGCAAGGAGATTTATTCACTCAACCCTGTCAAGCCGTTGCGCATGTGTCAGGATATGACGCGGCTGCGGGTCTGCGCAGCGCGGGCCTTTCCTTAACAAACGCCTCTTTCTCACCAAGTCTCGCATCTATTTCTCTATTGCACCAGCCGCCAAATTATGTCACGAAAGTATTGTTTGAGGTCCTGCTTTACTGGGAAAATCGGTACGCTTGGCACGCCTACCCATATCACATGAAGGCGCTTCTCTGCACGGACTTACCTATCTAGGTTTAGACGAAGTCTCTTGCGAATGCTAAGGATTGTACATTCTTTACAAATTATATATATCAAATCGTCGTTCGTCTAATCTTGTCGCTAGTTGCGGCATTTTCGGTATGTGTGGCACTCTCGGCATTCTTAACTTCGTCCGCTGTTCTTTCAAGCTCAATAGCAATAGCCTCATCGGCAACATAAGCGTGCAGCGCATCTTCGAGGGCCCGTGAAGGCATGCAGTGGCCACTAGTGTGTTTTCTGTGCATAGCCTCCCTTGCCAACAGATACGGCATTGAGGCGAATCCCAAGAGAGCTACGGCGAGAGAAGCCACGGATACAACAAAACCTTCGAAATACCACGGCCTTTCAGATGAATCATATATCTAGAGCGGCATTAGCAACACGGCGATGGAAGTGTGGCGCTCTCATGCGTACGTACATGTGGGCTGACGATGCTTGCAAGCGACAGAGCGCCGAGCGCCGAGCGCAAGAGCACCTCCAAGAGCTTGTTCCGAAGCGCCATAAAGTGTAGACGAACGGTAGCTTAGAAGGCAGGGGTTGGCAAAGGAGACGGTGTGGCCAAGGAAAGCCAGACCGTACAAGCTCATTGGGCTAATGTTGCCAAATGATGTATTGGCAGCCACGTGCGTCCAGACAGCAAAACAGGGGATTGCTGCGACAAATGGAAGCAAAATGTGCCATGTACGCTCGCCTGTGTGGTCCGAGTGCCAGGACCAGAACCAGTAGCAGGGTATGGCGACGAAGTAGATTATCGAGGTGTATGCCGTTGCTTTGTGGGATGAGAAGCCGTTAAACTAGGAAATAGTGAGTGTGAGCAGGTTTTACCTACAAGCATGCGAAAATTTGCTTACATTGTTTAGTATAATTGGTAGGAAGTTGTTTAACGATGTGCTGACTATCTGCTGGAGAAAGTAGGAGACGGTGAAGACCCATGTACTTGGGCGGCTCACGAGCGCCCAGAATGCGGAAGTGTCTAATCGATCGCAGTATTAGCCGAGGATGATTCTAAGACAAGGGAATCATAAACAACTCAATCTTACCTAGCACTTTATCTGTGGAGCGGGGAGCACCGCGACCGAACCTGTTGACTGCGATGTGTCGTTCTCGCTCACTGAGAGAACCCGAAGTCTCGGGATATGTGAGCAGAAGCCAACCGATTGGCAAGGCCATTGACACGGCCATAAGACCTTCCTGTTCGATGATCAGTACGAGTCAAATATGCCGATCAGAAGACGCACAATCAAGAACAGCCATCTGGGACAGAATCAGTATATCATAGCGCAAGGTTATCAGCTTTCTCGAACGACGAACCTCCACGACTCGAGCCCAGCTTTCCCATTGAGGTTGTCAATTCAGATAGCGAGGAAACCACCAAGTGCAGTAGCAAAGGCATTAGAGGATTCGAATATGCCGATTCGTAAAGCTCGCTCAGACGGCTTGTACCAGAAACTGAGGTAGAGGATGCCTGGGATACATTATTACCAGTGTCACACATTCACGGTCAACGTGCTTACAAGAAGCAGGTATTGATGCTTCGGGTACTCCCAAGAAGAAGCGTGCAGCCAATAGTCCGGCAAGGCTGCGAACAGCACTGACAGTACAGGCGACGGTTCCAAGTGCAGCCAAGACTACAGAGAACCAGTATCTTCCACCGATCCGCTTCATCAGCAAATTGGATGGATATATGCAGATAATGACCGCGAAATAAGTGATTGACACCGCCCAGTTGAAATCGCCGCCATGGAGATGGAGGTCTTCGTTCAGCGAAGAGCTTGTCTTGGATCGAAGCGTGTCGGCGTAGCCCATGTTGGCTCGGATCAAATATGAGAGGAAGTAAAGAAGACAAGTCGGGAAGAGGACCCGAACGTCGAGTTTTCGAACCAGCTTTCGTTCCTCTCCAGGTGTCCAGTCCTCTACGGCATTGACATGTTCGACGATATGGTGTGCATTATCTGAGAAAAGAAGATCTATCAGTGGAACGTCACAGCTCGACAGTACCGTGAACAGACACGATATCACCCAGGCGAGGGAGATAAATAACATCACCACGAGCCGGCCAAAACGCTCGTTTCAACGACCAGCCGTCGATAAACACCCCTTCGGATTCTGCAAGTCGACGTGCATCTGAGAACGAGAACACGATGGAAGCAACCACAATGATACTAACCCCTAAGTTTGGAGCTTCAATTGCAAGTTGTCGACGGCGCGAAGTTATTTAATCAACGACCACAGTTATGTCCTAAAGGTCCGTCCCCGTTTACCCCACGGGACGCGTCCGACTCCTTCGGTTGTGGGGCCGGTACTCGCGATATATGTATGCGAGAAGCCATGAGTATCTGGGCTCCACCAATGCGACTGCTTATGAGATCGCATCTAGAACAGTCTATTCCTAAACTTACATTACCCGCGTCTTTACCGCTTACGTCGTTTTCGTAAAGCCTCGCGAAGCCTCGAGCCCAAGTCTTGCTTCATGTCTGTCAACGGGAGGCTGTCAACCCACAGACCTGCTCTACCGCCTGGATCTTGGGATACCCACATACACGTCTTCGAACCCTCCAAACATCCATTCGCCGAAACTCGAGCCTACACACCCACAGCTGCCTCACTAAGCCAGTATCCTGCCGATCAGACTGGCTGCGTGTCATTGTTTTGGGCACCGTTCAAGGCACGAGCAACGATGGCCTTGTCGATGTCCTCACTCGAGACGTCCCTCCTACCAGTAAGCCAAGGGGGATGATTCGTGGTATTGCGGTGATAGATCTCCAAGACGCATCTGATGCGAAGTTGGACGAGCTGCACGCCGCGGGTGTGCGTGGTATTCGGCTACACGAAGTATCATGGGGTTTTGGTGCTCAAATTGAGGACCCTGCTGTTGCGAGAAAGATCCAATACGCCGTCGCACGGACCGCTCGACTAAACTGGATCATCGATGTCTATGTGCACCCTCACACATGGGTAGCAATAGCCCAGACTATTCGCTCACTGCCTCGGGGAACCAAGATCATTGCCGATCACTGGGCCTGCCTCCGTCCTGGGCAAGAGGATACCGATCAATGCCGAACAATCATGGATCTTGTTCGAGAAAAGCGTATCTTCGTAAAGCTTTCATCAACAGAACGCCAGTTCTCTGAGCATCCGAATGGCACTGAGTCAATGGAGAGACTTGCCCGACTGTTCATCGAAGCTGGACCTGACAGGCTGCTATATGGCTCGGACTGGCCTCACACGAATCTTCCGTCCTTGCGTGTTGGAAAGACTCGGCATCAACGGTCGACGGACGACGAAGAGTTTCGGAAGGTTGATGTTGCACAGCACATTTGCAGTCTTCGTAGATGGATGGAGGATGAGGAGACTTGGAACAACTTCTGGATCAAGACGCCGTCGTCGCTATTTGCGTAACAGAGAGACAGTGGCTGAATTCAATACATCGTTGATCGTACCAACCATTTGCAGAGCAAATGAAGAAAGATTTCGTTTAATTCTCTGTACAAAGCTCCCTTGCAACTCGTCTCTCCATAAAGACTGGTATAGACTATCATGACTTCAGAACCTCTTTCTTTTCCCAAGCAGAAGGACACAAGCAGTCAAGAAGGCTATCGCTCGCCCAACTTAGGAGCCTGCGAATACTTCAGAGGCGACACACCGGTGCTTTGAGCCACACGACCTAGCATGAGTCTCTGAGCGCTGTCGACCGGAATTCCCTCCTTCTGACGTTTCGCTGTCATGCGAAATTCAAGCTCGCCTGGGAGCAAAACTTCCGGGAACCCCTTGGCAGGAGTACTCGTATGAACTTTGTGCACGAATGTGTCCATCCTTTGTCGCACCTCCCCAGGCTCTAGGAACGCGTCTGGCTTTAGTACAATGAAGCAATGACCGACATCTTGCGCTCGCGAATCCGTGTACCAACTACCAACGCCACAGGCGAACCCTGCGCCGGAGAGTACGCCCGCCATGATGTCCATCAGCATCGCAAGACCAGAGCCTTTGGGCCCACCAATGGGTAAAACCAGTCCTTTCAGAGCGGCTACGGGATCTGTCGTAGCTTGCCCTTCTTCGTCTACAGCCCCCCCCTCAGGAATCTCTTGTCCTCTGAGCGCCTTTGCTCTAATCTTGCCTTTGGCAACGACAGAAGGCGCCATGTCCAGGATGAATGGGATCTCATTGGCCGAGGGAAGCCCAACAGCAATGGGAGAGGTGCCCAGCAGTGGTTCCTTGCTGCCAAAAGCAGCCATGGTCTTCGATGAGTTGGTGAAAACAAGCCCCATCATCCCCGCTTCAATCGCCTGAAGAACATACGATGCGGCCATTCCGAAGTGATTCGATCGCTTAGCCGTGACGATTGCAATGCCATACGTCTCGGCGCGCCGAATGGCTTCTTCCATGGCAGCACTCGCGACCACAAAGCCAAAGCCGTTATCACCATCGACCTGCGCCACAACGGGCGTGACATTGCGTATCTTGATGTTGGGTTTCGTATTGACGTGATTGCCTTGGGCCCGGATGATATATTGCTCGAATCGGGCAAGGCCATGCGAGCTTACGCCTCTGAAGTCTGCCTGCACGAGGCATTTTGCCATTGTTGTAGCATGTTCCGTGGAAAGGCCAATTGATTGTAAGACTGCTTGAGTAAAGGCTGTCACATCAACTGCGTCGGCGTAGAGTGTCTCGGGCGTCATTTTGGGAATCGTGAAAGCGCTGCCCGCGTGCCGGAGAATTGCGATCTTTGTCTGTTACGTGAGACCAGGCAGTGAACAGAATCGGCAATGGAGGAACGTCGAACTGCGTGCTAGAGCTCGCATATATGTCAAATGATCAAGAAGCTGCTTCGTTCGGCCCTTGCAGGCTTCGGGCATCCAACCCGCTTCAGTCACCGGACATTCCACCAATCTTCGACAAGACTCTAGACCGAAGACTTTGACAGCATCTCCGAGAACATTTCAAAAAGGGAGACTGGCCACCAGCTACGCCACATGGGGAGCGGAAGCGGACGTCCTGTCCGAAGTATGAGACAGTGCCCTTCGGCACCCCATCCGTGCAGCGCTTACATTGATCGGCTCAGGGTCCGCAGAGGGAATGAAACTGGAAAGCCGTCATGCTACTATTCGTGTTCTTTCAGAAAGTTGCTTGCTCACGAAGCACTCTCCGCGTCTCCCCTATCCTTGTGAGAAACTTGAAGGTTCGATTTGGCCCATGGTTCATGGCTCATTAGACCAAGCAAATGAGAGATGCCTGAGGCAGCCAATAAGGCTATAGGTCCGTGCCCGTGCGGCTGAGCGTACAGCTTCGTCTTTTGAGCAGCCCGGATAGTCTTGCTATGAACTCCACTACCTACGCTCCTACTTTGCTCAAGGTGAAAATTGCGTACTCTGCATCTGGTGACCGCACCTGGCCGTATCTACACCTTGCTGAATTCACGCCATGTGCAGATCGAGCTGCAAATCTCCCTCACGTAAACTTCAAGCCATTCATCTCCTTCGCACGACTGGTTGCAGCGGCCATCAAAAAAGCATTGTCTGCACCCGCCATGGCCCAAGATGCCCCCATCTCGCGGAATTTCTTGATGAGGTCTAATCTCGAGTTCAGCCCTCCAATGCCGACGAACTTGCCATGCTTCTTACACGCCGCAATTGTTCGCTCGTATGTCTCGGTGACCCTGGGGTGGTCGAAATCATGTGGCAACCCCGTCTCAAGGCACAGATCATTGGTGCCGATCAAAAGTGAGTCAACGCCCTCCAGGGCGGCAATCTCGTCGACCAGCTCCAGCGCTTCCAACGTCTCGATCATGGGAATAACGACGGTGCCTGTATTGCTGGCGTGGTTCGCGTTGGGAACGCTGCGATGTTGGAACTGTGGCGTTCCACTGGTAGCTGATCGTGTACCGAGAGGGTAGAATTTAGCTGCGTCGACTGCTTTCTTCGCCTCCGCGACAGATCTTATGTGAGGGATGATGACTCCCAGTGCTCCGCCATCCAGAACGCGAGAGATGAAAGCCGTCGTGTTTGAGGGCACACGAACGATCGGGGCGATGTTGGCGTAAAGTGCAGCAAGGCAGAGTTGCGAGGTCAGATCTACGTCGAAAGTCGAATGCTCCATTTCGATGAGCAAGCCGTCGAATCCGGCTGTCTTCGCCATCATGGCGATCTCGTTGGTTCGCACAAGCCTGACACTGAGAGTGCTTGCGAAGCCGTTGCCGTGGACATTTTCCAGGAAAGTGTTGGGTATTCCCGAGGATATCATATTCTGCTGTAGTTCCTTGTTGAGATGGTGAATGGGTGAAATCGATGCACCCATACAAAGGCAGTGTCGTCAACAATGCAGGTCACGAAAGTTCGGCTATGACCAGCGTGACCACTTCCAAAGGTGCTTTTATGAAACAATAGGCATAGCCGTTGCTCGGCTCAGCGCCGCCACACGACACCAGCAGCGCGCAAACAGTCCGAAAGCTCGAGTCCGTCGGAGGTGGGTCCCGTCTCACAGCAACAGATGTCGGTCTCTTCCCCCACTTCTTGAACCTCTACACGTTTGGAACGCCATACCGTCACGAATCTTCAGTTTCTGGCAGTTCGGACGAAATGTCATCCGACGGGAAGTTCATGGTGCCGGCATGCACGAGATGCTCGATACGCAAGATGAAATGCTCCCGCAGTGCTCCAGCCTGCTCAGCATGCACCAAAGCCGGCTCGGAATGCTTGATTGAAGATCGATCCCGTAAACGATCTTATTCTCGTCAATACGTACAGAGCTTGATCGACGAGATACAGGCACTCGAGGCTACCGAATGTTCTCACGACAGCCTCAACGGGGACGGCGCTCCGTCCGAGTCGAATGGACAGACTGAAGGGTTGACCGACGGAGCAACGGAGCAGGTCACTCCACGCTCGTCGGTCCGTAATCAACGCTTTGTTGGAAACAGCACTACCGTCAGGTGAGTCGAAGCTGCATCAGAGGTTCTGTTCGATGGCTGAAGCAAGCTTAGTTTCCTGCGGTATGTGTTCGAGAGCGGCTACTGGAAACCTGCCGAAAAAGATCAGTCTTATCTGCTTGGCCAAAACCACGCACTTTCCAAGCAGCCTGGACATGCGTATGACTGGCCGCCCTTTGAAGTTGGACAGTTGCTCGTGGATTCATAGTAAGTGAACAAGACCACAAAAGCAGGTTTCGTGTCAGTTAAAGCTCTGAACAGTCTGAGTACAAGTCATGTCCTGCATCCTTTTCTCCAGGAGGATGATCTTCGAGCCACCTTTCAGAGAGTGTACAGGTCAGGTGGTGCAACAGCTTCGGCAGCCGATGCCTTTCTGCTCCTAATGGTCTTCGCCGTGGGTTCTGTGCGGACTTTTCGGGATGGTCTCACCGAGCATCATCCGTATGGATACTTCATCGCCGCACAAAAGCACCTGAAGCATGTTCCTCTGCTCGGGGATCTGAAAGCTGTGCAGAATCTGCTGCTCATTGCACGGTTTGGCATATATTACGACATTGGTGAGTCGTCTTGGGGATCCTTGACATGCGTCGATGCTCCGCTGACACCGTCCGTGCTAGGTACGTCTCTGTGGGCGCTTTCCCATACATGTATGCGACAGTGTATCGACCTTGGGCTTCATCATCCGCCGAATCACCATGAGCCCTTAGAAGACCAGCAGCTGAAGCGCTATGTGTTCTGGGACTGCTACTTGAACGAGCGATTCTGTAGCGGGTTTCTTGGCCGCCCTTCTGCACTGCCGGATGAAGACATCCGGATTTTGCTTCCCTGGGAAGCCTCAAATGAGGAGCTGCGCTCACACGACAGCGTCACGTCGCTCGAACATTACATTCATTGCCGGCGATCCACAGCCCCGAGTCAGATTTCTGTCTTTCTGTTCACAGTGACTTTGCGACGCATTCAGTCCGCCAACAGATCATGGCCTGCTGCGGACACGTTGGGCTTGCGCATTGGCAGGGACTGTCTTTCCACATTGCCAGGACACATAGTACACAAGGCACAAGCACGTCTTGCAGAACTCGACCGCACCGCTGGCTTAAGCAAGCGCCGAGATTCGCCAGCCCGACCAGCATGTACCATTCCCCAGAGTGGTACGCTTTCATGGTGGAGAAGGAGAAGCTTTCTGTCCTCAGAGCCAGTCTGACTCGTCTCGCGCAATTTCACGCACCGCCGCCAACCCACATCCTCAAGCTTTGCAGCCTTTCCGCCCTGAAAGTCACTGAGCTTTTCGGAATCCTGTTCGACAGCTGGCGTATCCTTCCCACCAGAATCTACTTCGAGGCAATCTTTGTGGCTGGTCTTTCCCTTGTATTCTGCAATTCTCTCGAGTCTGCATTAGAGCTTCGTGCGGAGAGCTTCGTGCAACCGAGACGTGAGGTATCCTCAGCACTCTCCCTGTGTTCCAGGAACCTTTTGCTCTTGTCCAAAGAATTGCCGGATTCCCAAAATTACTACCTCATTTTCGAGACCCTTCGCAGAAAGTTCGATCGACAGGTGTTAGTGCAGCACAGCCCAGGAAAATCTTCACCGACAAAGAGCAGCGGCGTCGCTCAATTGGCTAACGAACCCATGCATTCCAGATCGCAGAATCCCATCGTAGTTTCTGAGAGTACTGCTGGTCCGGCTGGCCCAGAAAGCTTCATGGTCGGGCTTAGCGACTTGGAAATGCCGGATAATCTTCTGGACCTCGATACCAGCTTTTCCAATCCTATCGATTGGAATCTTTCTTTCTCAGAGGAACAAATGAGCCAGATCGTCGCTGAGATTGAGGACTATCTCTGGGATCAACCATCTTGATTATCGCTCTGGCTCCTCCCCGCAGCTGTGGCCTTTTCCAAAGTCCTGTGCATGAGTCGACACACATAACGAGGTAGTGAATATTGGCAGGGCCTGAGCAGGTCGGTTAAGATTGTATCGACAGCGTCTCCATCGATGGGGAATTGCGCGGAGTCTCGTGCGCCACTTCCTGAGGCTGCCATGAAATCCCTGAGAACCTGTCTCAGGGGCAGCATGGCCTTGAAGCGTCGAGAGACCAGCGTGAGGATATCCGCTGCGATAGCGAACGCCGATGCAACCGCTGCCAAGGAGTTCCACAAACGGGATAGGTACGATGCCGCATCAGCGGCTAGCCCATGCGCTGCGAAGTAAGCACACGCGATGACTCCTGCGAACGCGTCGTGTGCTTCGACCGTGGAGATACTCAGCCCGTGGACCTCGTTATAAGCACGCAAGATCTGCAAGAACTGCAGTATGTCGTCAATTGCAGCAGAATCTGGGACTTCGACCTCGCATGCCACGTCCTGAGACATGATCACTGCCAGTTCAATCCATCCACGACATCGAAGTCTACGTCGATACTTGTGCGTCCAAAGACGAGATGACTCTGCGTCTGGCTCTTCCGCAAGATCATGGATCGGATATCTGTGTAGGAACTCACGGTAGTTCGTGGCGTGGAAGTTGTATGCCCGAATTGGATTGAGTCGAAATTCGGTCATGAGAAACGCGTGCACGACCCCTTCGCACAGTAAAGCATCTTGATGTGCGCCGTCTGTTTCGTCTGCTGTAGGTGGTTCGATAGATATTTCTGAATGTGGTATAGCAAATGGGCGTCCCATGGCAAGGGAGACGGAGCTGCAAAAGCTTCAGATGAGTTGTTCCACCAGCACAGTGCTGAGAGATACCTTACCGATCCATGATGAACACGGCCCAGAAGAATCTGTTCATCTCGAGTCGCTCTTTTTGTGGCATGATGGACTGTTGCTCATAGCTGTGAACTCCAAGAGATAGACACTCAACCGCCAATAATCCCACCAAATACCAGGTTGACCCATACGCTGGGTGAAATGTCGACAGGCAGGTGAACATGGCCAGACACTGCGCCATTCGGTATGGCTCGACTCCAAACGTGATCATTCGCATTCCCCTCACGGCCGCGTCGACTAAATGCGGCACGGATGGATCGGGACATGCTTGGTCGCCACTGTAATAGATTGATGCTGCTGCCATTAGATACACCAATGTTGCAGATGCGGGCTTTTCGGTAAAGATGTCTGCAGAATTGTCACTGTGCATGGCTTCTGCGACGAGCTTGTACATCGCTGAAGCTGTGTCAGACGCCACGAACGCGGCCATGGCGTCACAAAGTTGAAGATATTGGTCGAAGCATCCACTGGATGTGAAAGAAAGGATGCGGCGAAACTCGTTTTGCGTAGCCTTGGTGGCATCTCCAGTATCTCCGTCAATCAAGGCCCCGGTAACGTTGAGGTTGTAATCATGCCCACGAGAGCCACGCACAGCAGCATCCAGGATGACGAAGTGTATGGACCGTTTTTGGGAATCAATCGCTTTGCTTTCTCCCTCCCACATAGTATGTAGGGTGAGCGGTTCGAAGTCGCGCGAAGCTTGGGTTGCAGGCGTGGGCATAGACGCCACTGCCGGTGACTCGTGCGATGAATCTAGAGATTTCGTCCCAACACTTGAAGTGGCATCAGCCTGTTTTGATGGGGCTGTACTTGCAGCCTCGGTCTGTGGAGCGTTGCGTTTTAGGTCGTAGATTCTCTGCTCAAGCACAGCGATGAAGCTTCGATTAGACTCGCATTAGTCGAATGTGAAGGATGCAACATGTTCTTGGACCAAAGTCAGTACCTGTCACCGTCGTGGCGATGAGTGCGCGGCAAGCTCCGCTGGGTACACGACAAATTACGCGCCGCGCATGGCGTGCATGATGGTAAACGACGATCACACTGCCCATAGACAGTCAGTAGGACATCTGAAAGAGGTGCACTAGAACTTTACTCTTTGCTTCCGCCTCCAGCACCGCTCACACGCTTGTGCATGAATGGATGTTTGCGGTGACCTGAACGCGCTCTCGTCGAACTCATTAGTTCCATCTAACGGGCTGGACATCGCATCTTCCTGTTGGGAAGATTTGCCCAAAAAGGCAAGGATTCAGATGTATTGAGCGCGATTAAACACGTAAAAAGGTGGATTGGTGAGGAGGTTTGCTTGACCGATTGACTCCCACACGGTTTCAGCCGCATCGAGTGAGGTTGATGATCACGTGACGTGAGACTTACGTAGTCTCAGCGGACAGGCCGCCTGGCAAAGTTTTCTGACTAGACTTGATATAGAACTTTGCCACATATCAGGGCACCTCAGGTTTTCCAACGACCGAAAAAGGCAACCATGCCTCGAAAGTTGACACTCCTGCTGTATCGCACCACGAGTTCTAGGACGGCAATCTGGATAATGTAAAACATCTCGAGTTAGAACCGTCGTCCAGTATCTTCCTCGCTTTCGAAACGAGCTTTACGATGGATGCGACCGCTATCAAAACTTGGACAATGGATCTGCGTAACATGTACGACATGGCACCCAAGCAGTCTCCAAACATGAATGATCGACACACGCAAGGTGCAGGCATGAAACCCTCTACGAACCAAGCAAAAGCCGTGTTGCACCGTGGGTGCCGCGGCCGAACGAAGCAACAGAGAAGCAATGTTGCCGCCTACCCCAAAAGACACATGATCAACCGCGCACGACATGATGCTAATCATTGCTGATCAACCGCAAACGATGTATTGGTTCCGGATACTCATCTGTTCCACAAGCCGGCAGTGAAGTCCTCGCCAAGAACATCGCATTGCCTCGCATTCGCCACGCTACAGCACTACCCGAAGCCGTTTTGTGGAGCCTGGCGTGGATGTGCTACAGAGTAGCGTGCATGGCTACGTTTGACTATACACAAAAGGAGTAATGGCGAAACCGCCATTGGCCCGTCGTGTGCCCTGTTCCCCAGTCGTGTTGCTCGTATCATTGAAGGGTCAACTTTGGGGTTTGAGGTAGCTTGGCGAGGCTGAGAAGGGATTAGGTCGCTGCGATGATGAAGAGGGGATTTTTGACGCCTATGTTGGATATATAAAAGATTGGGTTCGCTGGGTTGACTTGGAACACCAACCAACCTGGTCCTTTGCAGCATCCTCCTCGACGAAATGAGATCCTTTGCTTTTTTTGCTGGCATAGCCATTGCTCAGGCTGCCTCGGCGCCTACGAGCAGCGAGGATGCGAGTGCGTACTCGTATTGGCAACCTGGAGGGCCCGGCGATTGTACGTTGTCTCTCCACCTCATTGTCGAGGATCTTGGGCCAATACATTCGACTGACACGCGTTGTAGTTCGAGGCCCTTGCCCAATGATGAACACAGTCAGTACTGCCATACATTGAGCGACATCTCGGGAGAGCTTCGTTGACCGTGATGACTCCCAGCTCGCAAATCACTACTTCCTACCTCACGATGGAAAGAACCTTACTCGAGAGGTCGTCACCAAAGCCTTGCAAGATGCTCTGCACTTCGAGCCTTCCTTGACGGAGATCATGTTCGAGCAGGCCTTGCCGGCAAACCCTCTTCCCAACGCTACTTGGTTCGATCTGTGAGTTGAGGAATAACATTCATTGGGTGGTGTGGGATCGATGGCTAATATCATGAGTAGAAATCAACTGAATGTCCACGCTGTACTAGAGCACGATGCCAGTCTAAGGTTCGCACTCCAGCTCCGTATCACCATACTTTGCTAATCATAATCACAGCCGCTCCGACGCCTACTTCGGCAACAACCACGTCTTCAACCAGACCGTCTTCGACGAAAGCAAGAAATACTGGATCGACGACCCCATCACCGCCGACCAGTTGACCAACAGCAAAGTGGCCCGCCAGCTGCAATCGCGAGCAGGGAATCCAACCTACAACTTCAGCTCGACGGTAGATAACTTCAGCCGAGGCGAGATCCTCGCTCCGATTGTGGCTTTCGGTGACAAGGTTGCCGCGACGACGAACAGGACGTTCACGGTGCATTTCTTCGGTACAATCGTCCTGGCCGTGCGATATTGGTGTTCAGCGACTGATATTGAGTGTAGAGAACGAGCACCTTCCCATCCACCTCGGTTGGCACCGACCCACCGATCCAGTCACCCTCGAGGACGTCACTAAGCTGTCGGAGATCCTCGCCAAGTCGCAGACATTGTTGACGGACAGTGTCAGCGAGCAGCAAGGGACGCAGAATACCACTCATGGAGAGACGGAGGAGGATACTTGTGGAAAGAAGAAGATGATCAGAAGAGGTGTTGGACACTTCGGCATTTCTTGAGGCTGCACAGCCTCGCAAGATAATGTTCGAGACGACATGTGACTTTGTACATAACTTCTCAGACTGATCACGTTCGACTGATGTAGTATCTACTCGGCTTTCAAGTAAATTATCCTCGTTCTCGCCGATTTCCTGTCCGAATGGCAGCAGCATCCACGCCATATGACCAACAGGGACAATATCATCATGCTTTGTGCTGACTCTCAAATGAAGTCAGCTAAGCTCTGCTATCGCCCGCATAAAACCCTTATACCCAAAAGCTCGAAGTCTATTATCCTCATCGGCGTTGGAGGACCGGACCTGTGGACGATCCTTGTGGCTCTTTTTGGGCCTTTGTACGACATGAAGGCCGAGCGTGACGCCACCTTGGACGGTGATGTACGTCGGGAGGTCCCAAGCATACGACTCTCCTGCACAGCTTTGGCTACGACATGCCTTTAAAGCGTAGACAAACTTCACCGGAGGCTAACGTCGTAGTATGTCTTCAATGTTTTGAGATGCGATTTGGCTGAGGTAGGTTGAGGTGCGATCTCGATCAGAACGTCAATATCAGCTCTCGTTGATCGAAAGATGGTGCCTAGATGGCTTACGGCCTTGTTCAATGATTCACTTACATGCTGAATGGAAGACCTTTCACAGCACTAACCCGTTAATCAAGATGCTTCTGCACACCCCGACGAACAACAACTTCTTTCGATGCTGTCTTCAATCCCCAACAGCAAACATATTCACGTCTTTGAGGTCCTTGCATGCTTGCCAGGAGCGTCATTGTGTACAGACCCGTCTACAGCCTGACTCAAAGAAATGCCGTCGTACATCTTTGAGCAGAACACTTCTGGAATCTACCCGTGGGAATGCGTCTCTCTGTATTGATTGCTGCGATGGTTCATGGTATAGCATATAATGCAATCCTCTCATCACCTACGACTTGCTCTTCCCAACAGAACACTCAACTCGAAGGACCACACGAGAACATGTTCAACGGCACCTCAACCAACGGAGGCAACGCAACAAACGACAACTCCCACATTCCCAAAGTCGACGACGCTATCATCCAGTTCAGCAGACATTCTGGCCCATGCAAGCTCTGCAACACCCAACTCTCACCCTTTCAAGACCTCCCCATCCACTGGCAAAGCTGCTCCAACCAAAACCGCTTAGCCCTCAAAGCAACTCCCTCAATCTACCTCCAACAATTCAACCTCGCCGAATCCGACTTCCACCATCTCAAGACCCTCCGCAACCCTACCGACGTCAACACCGAAGGTGCCAAGATCCTCTGGATACTGCAGAGCATCGAGCGACTCGGCGAGAACGACTATCGCGGAGCGCTGGAGAGTCTGTCAGCAGAGGGGTATGCGGGTTCGGAGTTGAAGAGGGAGATTATCGAGATCGTGCTGGGAAATCTCAATCGGAATGGGAATGTGTTGAGCACGGTTTTAGCGGTTGAGGATGCGCTGCACTTTGACTCTGAGAGTAGCAGGCTGAGTTTGAATGATCGCACGAGCGATGTGGGATTGCTGCCGTATTGGAAGGTGTATGAGGTTGAGTTTCTCCGGGCGAAGCTGAGTGGTGGTGGGAAGTTCAAGGAGATTTATGAGGAGTTTGTAGGGTGGGATAGGGTGAAGCGGGATGCGCTGCCTGGGAAGGGTCCGCTTGGGGTGGCGGTCTGGTTGTTCAAGTTGAAGACGTCTGGTGATGCTGTCTAAGGGGTCAGGAGAGAGTTTATGTGTGTCATGGAATTGGCGTGGGAAGAGCGAAGAGAATAAGCACGAGTGAAGGGCATCTTGCTTCGGAAATACTCAGCATTGAATAGATAAGTCGCTCATGGTCACAGTTCATACAACGAAAGACACTCCTATTCCACGTCATTCCCTCCAACCCCATCATCCCAATCACCATCCCATCAAACCCTCTAAACAACAGCCCTTCCAGCCCACTTCTCCGCCCTCTCCCTATACTTCTCCGCCTTCCTCGCCGCCCGTTCCGCCTTCCTCTCCACCTTCCTCTCCCTGCGCTCCTCCCTCCGCTCCTCCCTCTCCTCCCTCCTCGACTTCCACTTACTCACAAACGCCTCCGTCGCACCCTGCAACTCCGCATTCGTCCGCACCGTCCCGCTGGGCGTCAACTCGAAAAACTCATCTGCGTCGGAGAGGTCGTCGCGGGACTCGTTGAGCTGCGACACGATGTGTGGGTCGAGGTTGAGGGGTGGAGGGCGTTCGGATGGGAGGATAGTGCGGTAGGCGTGGAGTTTGTTTGGTACGTTGGGCATGATGGAGTCGTAGCTGGGTGGGGGGATGCCGGAGCGTTTGAGAATTTCGGCGGTGGCGTCTTCGGGAGGAATGCTCTTAGATGAAATGCTAGAGGTGGAGGAGGATGGTGTGAGTATTGGTGGCGAGGTGGATTCTTTTTCGTCTGATGCTCGGCGGAGTGCTCGGCCTCGTGGGCCACAGCCTCGGGCTTGGGTCTTGCGGTTGCAACACATTTTGCTTGTGGTTGAGAAGGCTGTACTGGGAACAGGTGAAGTCGGACTTTTGAAAGCTGATTGGTTGATGTGTTGGCCTCGATGAACGAAGTCTTTCAACAGACGTTCAATGACTTTGAATGTTTCTGAAGTTGCTGAAGCGGGCTCGATGGTTCCTTGAGATATCTGGAGTTTCAATCAGCGATGCCTGCACACTTGATATCTATTATACGTCTGCCTGATGCCAAGCCCTTCGTCCGTACCTATGTACCTCAGTATCTTTACCCCAGTTCCCACATAAAGTTCACCCGCATCCCTCGGCCGTAGTCACTCTGCCCTACACGTCATCTCGCAAAACCTCGTCCTTTCGCAGAGTCGCAATCCTTCGTACACAATGCAGCGAATAAAATTGCACGACGGAGCTAGGCCTTCCGCACGGCACAGATATCACTGTCGCAGCCCGGATCGGCATCGTCGCACGAGTGAGGCTATGCTACGGCGGAAATGTGAGCGGTTGACTTAAGCTTCTTACTCCTGCAGAATAGTCGTCTGGCCTCGCTTTTGTAAGCGAGTGCTCCACGGCGAGATGATGGACCATTCGAAGTCTTGACTGGTCGTTGAATGCGAGCGCAAAGACAATGCCTATGTGAGAGCCTTGGCGGACGCGTGGATCCTAGCCTTCTCCTATGGCCCTAAGTCGAAAATCCTTCCGGTCGACATTGATCTCCCCGTCTTAACTCCACCTTGTTCGTTCCGTACGATAAACGACTGCGCACAGGTCAACAGCTTCGCCTGCGTATTCTAGGGCTGACCCTTTCCGTCGACTTGATCAATATGATCAACATGCTCCCCCGAAGCGAACACCGAAGTTCCCTTCTCTAAATCCTTATCTCGCTCAATTTCTTCAATCGGCTTCAGACTCTCCTGCACCGGCTGCGAGCGACGGGCGAATTTCTTGAGACCTGTGTTGCCGTCCTTGGTGAAGAGGAAGTCGATCTCCTCGAGGGTGAGGTTCGACGTTTCGGGATCTTGGGTACAAAGGATCAGATTTCGCACAATTTTAGGACCCGAATATTGTGCCACTTACAGCAGAAGTAAACCAATGGGATGAAAGAGAAGTTGAGGGCCATGAAGATGAGATAGCCTTTCCATTGAAGCTGCAGGGAAATGTTAGCCAGCCCTAGTCGTTGAGAGGGATGCATTGCATGTACTCACGTTATTAATCAAGGTTGGCGTGATCATGACCACGACGAAGTTCTGCAAGGCTCATTAACAATCTTCCACTCCATGCATGAGATATTACAAACCCAAAGCCAATTCGACGATATCCCAATGGCAGTACCCTTTGCGCGAGCATGCAGCGGCAGAATCTCCGGTACATACACCCAAGGAATGCAGTTGGCTGTCGCGCCGAAGATGAGCATGTACGTGAAGAAGAAAGCTATGCTAGCTTCGGAAGTCTTGGTCTTGAGGTCTTGAGAGAACTGCGGTCGACTGAAGCTCAGAAGGACAGACAGCATCATCATGGAAATGGCCAGACCGAAAGATCCCCACATCATTGGGCGCCGTCTTCCCAGTCTATCCAGGAAGAATGTTGGGACAAGCGAGCCGACGAAGAACATGCATTGGACAGCGCCGCCAATGAGTAACGCTAGGTTGTGTGACAAGCCGACGTTTTGCTGCAGGGCGGATGGCACAAAGTAGCTGTGAGTAACGTTAGTGAGGTACAACGCAGATCACTGGTCAAACTTACACCACCAGGTTGATACCACCCATCTGATTCATGAACTGCATTCCGTATGCGAGAAGGACTCGGCGACCGGTCTGAACCTCATCCCGCTTGAAGATCTCGCGCCACTTGTACTCCCCGTGCTTCCTCTCGAGCTCCAAGGCACCTAGAATGTCGTCCTGCATCTTTTGAACCTTTTCGCCGGAAGGATCACTATTCCAAACATCGCAGATGACTTCAAGAGCTTCTTCATTGCGGCCACGTGCGTAGAGCCAGCGAGGTGACTCTGGCAAGCCGAAGACAAGGATAATGACCACGATCGCAAAGACGATTTGACAAGCGATGGGTACACGCCATGCTGTTGGACCACCGACGAAGGACATGCCGTAGTCGAAGAAGTATGAGATAACGATGCCGACGCCGACGAAGAGCGGCTCCGAGGATACGAGTCGACCGCGCTTGTCGGCATCGCAAAGCTCACTCTGGTACATCGGCACAGTGCTGGTTTCAATACCAGTGCCAATGCCGGTGATATATCTGGCGACCAGGATTTGAGGGACAGAGTACGAGGTCGTCTGAAGAATGGCTCCAACGATCTACGATCGAAGTCAGCGGCTGCTTGCACACCTGAACAGCGAACTCACGATCCAGCCCATTGCAACCCACATACACAGTCTCCTCCCAAACTTCTCGCCCCAGATGAAAGTCAAGATACATCCTGAGAATGCGCCAAGATTGTAAATCGAAACGATAATGCCCTCGAGTCCACTGCTGGGATGTCCGAAAGTGTTGAGCCAGTCCTCGTTGCCGACGATGCCAGAGAAGACACCTTGGTCATATCTGCAAGCGGGAAGAGCATGTCGTTAGCAAAAATCCATACATATTACCGCCGGAGTCATACCCGAAAAGTACAAAGGCGAGCTGGCAAGCAACAGTGATGGCGACTTGGAGCTTGGTGCCCCGGCCATACCAATTCGTCTTCATCAACGCCATCCTGGCCTATGCTCTCGCCTTGGAAGACAGAAGGAGAGAGGGAAAAGAAGTGATGAAGAGAGTATAAACTCAACCATCATCGATGTTTAATGGTACTTACTAGGTTACATCCAGAGAAGATCAACATGTTTTCGCCGCATGAGCGCGTGGCGTCGCATTGCAGCCATGAAGCACGCACGACGGCTTTCGCTCGCGGCTAAAATGCACGCGAGAGATGGAGTTTGAGGGGAGGAGATGTCTGGAGACGGGGACGTGGAGGTGTGGGGAGACGGTGCGGAGGCGCTTCCACTTGCTTCTTCGGCTGTCTTGGAAATGATAGGCCTAGAATGGTGATCAAAAGCGATGCTGTATCGGATTTGTCTTGCCGAAGGATTGCACATAACCTGGTCTCACGACGTTCGTTGGGTATCCAGGGAATTTCTCCAGATGGTGATCCTGGATTGTGAGGGCTCTGGTGAGTTCGACAAAGCCTGAAGACGCAGTTGCTCCGTCGTGACACAGAGCGAAAAGATGAGGAGGTCTAGCCGTCTGCCTCGTCTGGATCAGAGTCACATCACTGCCCAGGAGGCTCCGGGGCACATTCTGCTGCTGGTATATCCTTCCAGTATCTCGATTGTGAGCGTCGATGAGCATGTAGACACGTGGTACCTCGTCGTCCTTGATGGCTTGTAAGAAGTGATGAAGGTGATGCAGAAAGCAAGAGGTTGGGCCGGCAACGCTCGCGAACTCGCGAGCCTCGGCTCAAACCCTGGGGCAAGGTAATCTTGACGACACCTCGTCCAAGATAACACAAACAACATCAACGCCTTCGACAGGATACAGAAAAGTTTATCAACGCGAGTGTATAGCACAATGTCAGAGAACCAAGGCAGAACACCGTCGACAAAGCTCAGCCACGTGCGACAATGGAACCAACCCTGGGACACGCCTGACCCGGAAGCGCCATCGGCGTATCAACGGGACATCTACTCAGCCTTGTCGAAGCCCATCTTCTCGACCAAGCCTGCGCAATGGGAGGCGCTCGCGAGGGAGAAGGTGCCGGCGGAGAACTTCGGCTACGTGTTTGGGTCCGCCAGCAGCAACAAGACCTACCACGCTAACATTGAAGCCTTCGATCGCTATCGCCTGCGGCCGAAGATGCTTGTCAATGCCACGAGGCGAGACCTTGGTGTCGAGTTGTTTGGGACAAAGTATAAGAGTCCGATTGTGGTTGCGCCGGTGGGCGTGCAGAAGATCATGCACCCGGATGCCGAAGAGGCTACAGCGAAAGCTACCAAGAATCTTCAAATTCCCATGATCTTGTCGACAGCTGCGACAAGGACTACTGAGCAAGTCGCGCAAGCAAATGGGGACGGTGACCGATGGTATCAGCTCTACTGGCCGAAACCGCAGGAAGAAGCCATCACCGTCAGCTTGCTGAACAGGGCCAAAGCAAATGGCTACAAAGTCCTAGTCGTCACGCTGGATACATTCACTCTTGCATGGCGTCCTGAAGATCTCGATCACTCGTATCTTCCCTTCCTCTGGGGCGATGGCTGCCAAATCGGACACAGCGATCCCGTCTTCAACGAGCGCTACGCAGAGATGGAGGCGGAAGATACCCGCTCAGTCTCAGAGAAGCTGGCAGAAGCCTGGGATATGATGAAGCGACCAGGTACCCCTTGGGGCGCTCTGAAAGTGCTTTCGAACGCACAGACACTGAAAAGATCGAGAGCATGGCTTGATGTGATGAGCTCAGGGACTTACAGGGATTGGGAGCAGCTTAAAATTCTGAAGAAACTCTGGGATGGCCCGATTGTGCTGAAGGGCATTCAGACCGTCGAAGATGCGCAAAAATCCGTCGATTACGGAGTGGATGGGATTATTGTCTCGAACCACGGAGGTCGACAACTCGACGGCGCCATCGCCTCCCTGGACGCACTCGCTGAGATTGGTGCAGATGAGAAAGTCAAACAGTCCGGTCTGACAATTCTCTTCGACAGCGGCATCCGTACTGGAAGCGATGTCTTGAAAGCACTAGCTCTTGGTGCAAAGGCCGTATTGGTAGCAAGACCATACATGTACGGGCTTGCGATCGGTGGCCAAGCTGGGGTGGAGCATGTCTTGAAGTGCATCCTCGCCGATACAGACAATATGCTTGGCCAACTAGGAAAGCAATCTGTCAAAGATGTTGGGAGGGATGATTTGCAGTTTAGGCGGGAGTCGAAGCTGTAGAGTGAGACTTTGATCCGAGACTTGACATGCCAAATTCAATGCCGTCTTTGTGTAACGACAGCATCTTGAGTGAACTCAGAGATATTTCAGCTTCTCTCCAGTTCGAGACATCCGGTTTATTACTCGAGAATGTGGAATTCTGTCTCGATGCAACGACATACGACTCTCGGGCAAGGCTGTCTCATTCATTGTCTCTCATTTCAGGGCTACCCAGCATCTTGGCGAAGATCACATATAAAAGCAAGTGCAGGCACACTCCTCCCTCTGTCATTCCAACCTTCTCTTCTCACCCTACGACTACCGGCTAGTCAACACATCTCCAGATCGCAGGCGATCTTGCCACATTCACCCTCCCTTCAAACCCTTTCCACCACCTACAAACGATCACCATAAACGAAAAGATTGCAAGTAGTCCCACCAACACTCTCTCAACCAACTCAAGGTAACATCCACCGTCACCCTCCACCAAACAACAATGACCGACCCCTGTTCCTACTGCGGCTACGTGGGTGTCCACCACTGCCCACGCCTACGCTCAGGCAGAAGACCAGCACGATGCTTGCGATGTGGCTGTCCGATGGGCATCCCACCATGCAATTGCGCCAATGAGCCTTCGAACAGAGAGTCGCCGCGTTGGGCTTACTGTGCTAGGAATCGGCAGGGACCTTGTGAGAGGTTTTGTACTTGTCATTAGGGTATCGTTGTAGCCAGAGCAGTTTGAGACGCAAGATCGGAGAGAAGTTCAGGATCCATACTGTACCCGACTTTTTTGTTTTCTTCGGATGGCTGACCAGTATCACTTTCGACTGCAGATCATTCGCTATCCTCTCGAAGGACTGCTCTCAACTCGATCTCAACGTACGATAGACTGCAGGCAGTCTTTACACATTCGACTCGCAGCTCCAATCAACATATCAGCGTCCGCAGAACTTCTCATCGAGTACTTCCATGATGCCCATCATCTACTCAGGCGTCACCGTCCGGTACTGTCCACACTGCGGCCGCAACAGACGAGGCTCGCACGTCTGTGTGCTCAGACAACGCTTGTGTCCGCGATGTGCAAGTGCCGGCCTAAAGACATGCAACTGCGGTCACCAGCCGACACCTCAAACCCAGGATCCTGCTATCCGCTCAAACCCAGGCTCCTACTTGCCCAGAGGGCGTCAAAACGCCTTGACGTGAAGGGGAGACTAAGAAGCTTTTGAGCGTGTCACCCTAAGATCTTTGCGGCGTGGATAGCCAGCGGGAACGTATTGACTGAATGGAGTTTTGTGAATTCCCAGTCCTCTTCTTTCTTTCTGTCACAGCCGTGCTTCAACGCCCAAGGAAAAGATCCCGAAAGCGACCTGCATCCAACACCATGCAGGGCAAATCCTTCCCCAACCTCAAAACAACCACGCCTCTTTCCCTCCGCCTCACCTCCAACTCCCAACCATCCCCCAAAATGTCTCTCTGGCAAGCCTCCTTCTCCCTCCTCCAAACTCTCTACCCAATCCGCCAAACCAACCTCCAGCGCCGCGACCGTCCCCTCCAAGTCCTCTGCCTAGGCCTCTCCCGATCAGGAACCCGCTCTCTCTACGCGGCCCTAACAACCCTCGGCTACCAAAACGTCTACCACGGCCAAGATGTCATGCTCTCTCGCCTCGGTGACATCCCGCAATGGATCCGTCTCGCGCATGCAGTCAAGACTGGAGATCCGAATGGTTTCTTGAATGAAAGGGAGTTTGATCGAATCCTTGGGGAGTGTGATGCTGTGACGGATTTTCCTTGTGCGTTGTTCGCGGAGGAGTTGTTGAGACTGTATCCTGGGGCGAAGGTGGTGTTGAATCGGAGGAGGGATGCGGAGGGGTGGAAGAGGAGTATGCTCATTTCGATGTTGGTGGTTAGTCGGAGGGGGTTGTGGGCGCGGACGGTGAATATGTGGCATCCGAAGTATGCTTGGGTGAGTTGGAAGTCTATGTATGGGTGAGGCTAGAGGGAGATTGATGGGAAGAATAGGTCCGTCTCTTCTGGATCCACGTAATTGACACCCTCTTCCACGCCCCCTGGCTTCTCGATGACAGCGCCATGGTCTCAGACTATAACCAGCACTACACCACCCTCAAAACCCACTGCTCCAAACAAAATCGAGAATATCTCGAATGGTGCGTCGAAGACTGCTGGCTTCCATTCTGCTCCTTCCTCAACAAAGACGTCCCCAATGAAGACTTTCCAACTGGCAACAATCCGAGCAACCCTGGCGCTGGGGCGAATCTCAAGTTTCCGACTTGGCCGGAGGATAGTAAGAGGAATATGGCTTTGGCGGGGGCGACATTGGTTGTTGCTGTCATGTGGGCTTTGTTGGAGTTGTTTGGGGTCAGGGGTGGGGGGAGCGCTTTGCGGACGGCGGGGGCGATGGTGATGGTTTTTGTTGGGAGGTGGGTGTGGCAGGCTCGTGGTGATAGTTGAGATTTGATGCCAGGCTCTTTGGTCTTGGAAGAGCTGTCTTGTAGCTTGGCCACTCTCGTCAACTCGACGGACTTGTCGTTCCTGGTGCGTAATTGAAGTTCTGCCAGTTATAGCATCTTTCTCCGCTCAGGAGTAACCCACCAAGCTTTCCATGTCGGTGGAGTGGTGTTGAGGGACATACTCCGGCGGAGAGATAAGGTCATTTTTGAAGACAATGTTTCTCCCCGTCCTGCAGCGCATGGCAAGTAGACTACAAGTGCTAAGACAACCTTAACATGTTCGGGAGGGCTGTGCGGTCCACGATATCACCGCCTGCTCCAGCTTAGCCCATTCAGCCCTGACGGCGACCATCCTTCTAGCCATAGCTGGCGTTTCTGATCGACCCCGAGCGCTTTCACCATCGTCAGTGAGTGGGAGCACCAACAAAAGCTATTGCAACTCACCATTCCAACGATCCTCCATCGCCTCGCCCAATTTGAACGGCTCATCGGTCCATATCAACTGCTGGCTCGGCGTCGCAATACACACTTTCACCTCAAGACTCGGCCCTCGAACCTGCCGAATCTTCGCCAACTCGCCATTGACACTGTCCAGCGACAGCTGCGTATGGTGGTTCAAAGCAAATCGCTGTCCCAACTGTAGAGGCAACATCTGCTCGGATCGGTTTCGACAATCAAGATACGCCCTCTTGATCAACTTGAACTGGTGTCCGTCCGGCAAGTAGTTCAAATATGATAACCACATCTTCAAGATCCATGGATCTTTGCTGACGATGCTCAATGCGTTGTAGTACATGCTCAATCCCTCCTCGTACGTCTGTCGACACGCAAACACCAGTCCCGGAGCGGGTGTCGTGCGGTCTCGGTATTGCTGATCGATTTCAAGCTCGCCGTCTTCGAACGCGTACGCATAGATTTCGTTGCGAATCTCTGAAGGAAGAGCCAGAAAAGGCGATCGCTGGGAGGAGACTGTCATGGTGGAATGTACTTGGGAGGAGAACCAGACTTGCGGAGATCTGTGAGAAATCTGGACACCTACATTCCTTATGGCCTGCCCGTCCCTTGCGGAGATCAACACGGCAAACTTTCGAAACCTGACGTTGGTGGCACGATCCTGCATCCATCACACGACCGTTGGGAGACACAACCGAGGCCTTGGCATGCAGGGACGCGTGTAGTCGGTACGCAGTTCGTGGGGTAGGCAGGTTTGCCCGTGGGGTTTTCTCCTCTTCTCCATGTTTGCGGAGAGAGAATGCTCCACTTCTCACTCCACCGCCTCCACCTGTTCGAGAGAGACCTTCACCGAGTCTTCGGAAGTGGGGAGCCACGAGAAGATGGATCCAGACCAGGAAGATGATGGGATTTGATGAATCTGGCTGTTTGATGGGTTGTGGTGGCGCTGAGACAGCATCTCGAGCATGCACCGGACTGAGCATCATGCGACCCGATCACGCTCCTCGACGACGAGCCAGGAAGCTTGAGGCTGGGAAATGGTATGACAAGCGGAGCAAAGAGTGTCTGGAGTCCAGTTTCCATGATGATCGGAGGGTTCAGCCTATGGATTGAAGCAGAAAGAGTGTTTGGCATCACTGCAAAGAAACCACCACCGAGACAGAGCAAGCCAATAGTCCCAATCTCTCGCTTGCGAGAAGAATTGAGATGGCGAAAGATGTGCTGTGTTAAGAGAGAAATTTCTGTTGAGTGGAAACACCATTCCTCGCGGATTAAATTTTGAGTGCAGTTCGTCGCCACGCCATGAGAGCCGCCGCATTCTTCAGATCCGTCAGCTCAGTGGACCTCGTTCAATTGTACGACGCCGACTGTACTGCTCAGATATCAAGTTCAGAGCCCTCGTTCGTACGCATTGAAAGCGCCTTAACCACTTGCCTGGACGAGGGTATCAAAGCAAGGCTGCCACGAAAGCGATGGACAACACGACGCCAACAGCACTGGTCCCAAAGATCGGACCCAACGTTCTCGCTATCCAAGACCGGTCAGTCACGATATGGTCGACGGCAAGATCTCGTCACACACCAGCATTTGTATCCGCAACCGCCTCGCTGCCGCTTTCATTCCCTGGAGCCGGCTGGCACAAGGTTCCCATGAAAGTTCCATTATTGAGGTCGTTCAAGCATGATCGAAAGTCGTCTGGATCCGCTTCACAGTACTGCGTGCAGTTATCGACGACTCGCAGCGATCCGGAACAGCAAGGTGTGATATTCAGCTCGTTTGACGGAATGGATGCAGCGCAGATGGTGCCGTTCAAACCAAAGAAGTCGAGGTTAGGTATTCCGGCACATGGTACGATTGGTGTCGTTGTTGATGTGGCAGCTGGGATTGCGGACGAGTTCATGGCTGCAGAGTGATTCTGGTGTTGAATTTGTGAGTGGATTGCGCAAGAGCAGGAGAAAATTTCCGGGTTTCTTGCGTATGTGGCACTTGTTGGACATGCAGCTGATGGACAACGTTTTGTTGATCATTACGACTTTGTCTCCTGGACGATATTGCACTGCATACGTCGGCCGAGGCGCTCGTATGGTCAAGAAAGGGCTCGGAGACTTGGCTGTTGACCGGATCGAAACGCCAGTATCCATTCCGCGGAAACCATTATTGAAGTCCTGATTGTTCCTGGGAGACTTCTACGACTGTGAGGCGATGAAGACCACTACAATACAGTTGACTGTGGCTCCGCGGGAGCTAGGCTGAAGCTCTTGGCTCCAATGTAACTCGATCTGGTAAACTGGAGAATAAGGCCTATACCAATCTTCTTGGCGAAGCATGGCAACGCCGATCCCCCTTGCCACGTTACACGCCGAGTCGCATAACGGCTATCATGCCCAGGCGCCTTGTGAGGCGCTATGCCAGGCTGGCCTCCCACGTCGCCCCATACAGTCTCGTCACACGGACAGCGTATAGCCTTGGTGGGTCTATGTTGGGCCAAGACCACTATTACTTTGGGTAGTACCCATTAGGGAAACTCTGCTAAACGACTCGACCTCCTGCCATACTAGTTTTCAGCTATGACTGCACTGGACGACTCACTTCATGGCTTTCTCGTCTCAAATTCTTCAAAGAAAAGCCTCATCGAAAGGTCACCGATGTGGCAGGAGACGTCTCCTTCGAAGGTGCCGTGCATTCCGTCGCTGCTTCTACCACGCCGTCACAGTTCAATCTATACCTCGTTTATCTCGGGAATCGATCGACCGATCATGCTACTGGGATATGCTAAAGGTAAGTAGTTCCAAAGCTATGCCCGCAGGTCCTATGTTGGTTTTCAATGCCCAGACTGTTGCCGCGGAGGGTTCTCCATACTCATGGACCAATCGACTGTCGACCACGTGTAGAGCTACCGTCGTAATGTCCATGGAGGGAATCAAGAGACGAATGCTGAACACGCTACTAGATGTCTCCGTGCCTCAATGGGTAAAGGCAGACGTTCGATCAATGCAGAAGCAGACGTTCGATCAATGCAGAAGCTGAAGTCGGGCATCCTTCGTTCATGGTAGACGACCATACTACGACAACAACATCATGTTGGAACTAGACAACGAACCAAGTCCATCCTTCGCTCCACGACGAGAAGTCATGACAGTATGCCAAGACATGAATTGTGTTGGAGAGTTCGACATTGATGGGAAAATACTGCCGACCATCTCGACTTGCTGACCCCAGTGCTCTCCAAGTGCTCGAAATGGAAGGTCGACAGCAAGAAGAAGGAAAGAAACCACGATTGGGGCAACGTTCAGAAAAGACATAAAAGAAGCCTTTGACGCTGTGTGTTCGACAGCTCATCAGCTTCACTGCCTCATCCCGTCAAGAGCCTCTCGTCAGCCTTCAGCCTTCGCAGCAATGCCTCAATTCATCAACTTCGCTCTTTTTGCGGCAGTCCAGCTCGCTGCTACCATGCCATCGTCCTCTCCCAAGTCAGCAGAGCTTGAGAAGCGTCAAGGTGCTGACAACAACATCTACGGCTGCACTGAGTCAGGCTGTACCGATTGTCCAGTGTCCTTTGGCACAGGCAGTGTAAGTACAATATCTCCTGTAGAGTAACTGAACCATGCTAATCACCAGCTCAGGGCTTCCCTGAATGCATCATCTACGACACTGCGCAGCTCCGAGACCAAGGCTACCCAGTCGAAGACAACGGCCAATCGACCATCTTCTTCGACGTCCCACCGTTGGACAGTGGCTGTCAGGTCATTGTCCGCACCCCAGTCGTCCCCACAGAGAACGACTGTGGCGGCAACGTTCTCATCGCCCAAGGCGCTACCTGTGCCCCTGTCCGCGTCGACAACACCTTCATCACCTTGTTCTGCTGCGGCACAGACGACTGCGCTGGCGCTGGCGCACCTCCCGCCAAGCGCAGCCCCAACCCAGCTGCGAATGCTTTCGGTGGCAGCGGTGCGATGTACATGACTATGCGCGATCGCGATGGGAATGTCATTCCTCCACGCAACGCTTCTAGCACTTCCATCAGCGAGCGAGATGTCGTGAAGCCGCTCAAGAAGCGGGACTGCGAGTCTTTCACTGTCACCCGCCAACCATACACTGTGTCTGGCGGCAACAACATTGTCTCTGATACCGTGACTTGCAGCCAGACCGAGTCGTGTGATGCTACTCTGGGAAGCAGCGTCACCGAGACTTGGGGCGTGGATGTCAGCGTCTCCGTCGGCGACCCCTTCGGCATCGTCAGTGCCAGCGTCGGTGTCAGCTGGGAACAGTCGATTGAGCGATCGTTCTCTGGAACGTTCACCTTTGGCCCTGGCGAGAGGGGATATGTGGTGTTCATTCCACTGCTCACGTAAGTTGTCATGATCATGAAAGTCTGCTGGGAATTTACTGATGGATCGCAGCTGCGTCGAGGGCGCTTTTGATGGAGACTGCGAGGGTAATGGCCAGGTTGTGACTGCTTGTGGTCCTACTTCCGCTGGTGGCGAGATGACGGGCGATCTCCGCGCTGTGACTATCAGAGGTTAAGTATGCTTTGGGTGCAGTGCCCAGATCAACTCATGGCACTGGGGACAGCACTGTGGTGCACTAATGGGCGGCATGGATGTCCAAGAGCATAGCAGGTGTGACGTAGATCAATGAGTTGTTAAAGCAAGTAAAGCTCCAGGCTTCGAGAATGAGATTTGCAGGCCTGCTCATCTCGCTCTTGTTGTGATAGTGTATGCCATTGATAATAGAGACTGATCCTCTGTGCTAAAAGGATGTGAAAGGAGAGAGCCTCGTTTCATTCCTCTGAAATGGATTCAATTCCAAGTCCGACGACGACAGACAGCACAACGTTGAAGGAGAAGACTGGCGATCTTGAAAGGCAAGAAGAGGTTCCAAGCCACAAAGGTATGCCGTCATGTCCCACTCGCCATGCCATTTGCTGACTGAAATATGAGTACGCTCTCAATTGACGAACCTGATATGCTCGTTTGGTCGCCTACTACGTGTATCATCAACCAAGCCAACTTTCAGTCGTTCGAACGCACCTGAGAAGGAGCACCAAAGCTCTGGTGAGTCGAGAACTGCCCACTAAACGGCAGTTGATTAAGTCTGAAGGCCTTGGGTCACCAGACCACGATGAGCAGAGCTCTACGGGTGTCTTCAACAATGTGTTGTTTCACGTCAGAAATTTCTTCCGTCGGCAGAAACCGAGTGAAGATTTGCATGCAGTTCGATCCCGTAAGTCTCCCATGCCACGCCAGCGTAGCTACCATGGCCAGTGTAGCATTCCAAAGCGGAGACAGATTGCTCTGATACGAAGTATAGTTTCCAGATTCATACGGGGATATCCAAATCTCGCAGCTTTCCACAGTAATAGCGAAAACTTCATGATCTACAGGCGGTTTGGGTATCTTTCGGCCAGAGTGCTACTGGAGAAACAGGATCAACTTCGACGTTTGGAGGAAGAGCTTGACGAGTTCGACGATATTAACCAAGGATGTTCGGTCACGACAGAACCCAACCAGAGAACTTCAAGTACCATTGATGACCGTAACAGGCTCCTGACAAAGATCGATACTACTCTGGGAGCATACGGTATGGATCGTCCTTGTCTAGAGCCATGCGCCGCTGACATGAGTAGCAACATCCCTTATGCATGCCCAACAACTGATGGGCCTCAATAAACCTAGCCATCACGAGCAGCAAAGCGTATCCGCGTACCTTGAAAACCACAAACCAGTCAAGCCTCGAGAGAGGGGTTATGTCCATCACAAAGAAGACCTAATAACGCTTCGTCCTGGAAGAGAGCACGCATGGCTTGATCGCATGATTGAAGCGTCCCTCCAGTCTGTGCAGAAGCCCCTACCATTTGTTCACGTATGCTGTACTCGGTCAATCGCTGCAGAAGAAACATCGCTGACTCTCGTGTAGAAATTGTTCTGCTCCAAGGTACAAGCCGCTGTGCTGCGTCGCATTTCTCTCATTGACCATAACGTAGGAAACGAGAATGAAGGTCGGCGACTCCAAGACATTCGACGACGTCTACTACTACACACGGGAGAGAATCGACCGCTGCGCCAGTGCTCTCATAACGCTGGCAATTCTGGTACTGCTTATCGTGCCCGTGTGGCTACTGTATTATATCATCACGAGGAACGAAGGCACGTTGTCAGGCCGCGGAACAGCCATCTGCATTGGAACATTGCTCATCTCAACACTGCTATTTTCTGCTGTGCTATCGCTTTTCACTAAGGCAAAACGACACGAGATACTAGCAGCAGCCGCGGCGTATGTTTCAGTCATCCAATCGAGCGAGAGTGTAATCACTGACATATTTCAGCTACTGTGCGGTGCTGGTCGTATTCCTGGGAAATGTTCGCCCATAGCGACATGAGGCTGGCTCGAGATAGAAGCGGCGTAGCACACGTGTTAGTGCCGTTCACCATGGTCAGTCTAGTCGGAGAAGGCAATCAGGCCACAAGGGGTTACAGTGTATTGCGGGACAAGGTGAGCGTTTGCGGCTGTGTATGTCAACAATTTTGGCCGTTCCGGCGGCCTCCTACTGCGCCTCAGCCTCATGTGCTCCATGAAGCACCTCAGGTAAACTAAGTCTAGCAAGTGAAGCAGACATGTGAGTACTTGATCGAGTGCGGACAAGCAATGCCCAGTAGTTCTGTGCTGACGACCCATCCACCTACAAAACCCTTCAACCCGCTTCTTTTCTCTGACTCTGCAAGGCTTACTGCCGTTGTGCACTACACCGACATGTCTCAACCACTTCCTCAACCAATATCGCCCGATGGTCCTCGCTCGCACTCGACTAACGATCACGTCAATGGAATAGCAGACGGCCTCGCCTCACTCGAAACAGACCAGCGCGACCTAAAAGGAAAATGGACGAAACTAATGGGCCAGCCAAAGCCAGTGATGCACAAAAAGGCATCTGTCCTTATGCTATACTGGGATCCAGCGTATACCTCACTTCGTGGGGTATCTAGTGAAGTACCACCCACTCAGAGCCATCCAATGCACACTTAATTGACATTCGTCAAAGGTGCGAGCGCTACGCGAGGTCTTCGAAACGAGATACAACTTCAAGGTGGTCGAGGGCATGATTGATACGAAGGACAAGTACCCGCAGATCCAGGCTTTCCAACATGTCTCCAACTTTGTCGCCAGTGAAGATTCCGAGAACGGTCTACTGCTAGTCTATTACGCTGGTCATGGCCACACTGAGGCTGCTAGCCTTGGACGGATCACACTGTCAGGGTACGTGATGACCAAACTACACAAAATCTAGATTGCTAATCGGAACAGGGCATATACCGAAGACGAAAGCGAGAAGAAATTCGCCTCGATTGAGTGGTCGTCAGTCGAGCTCGTTCTGAGCAAGACAAAATCAGACGTCCTAGAGATCTTCGACTGCTGCCACGCTGGCCTCTTGTGCACGCAGGCTGAGTTCAGAAGTTTTACAAGGTGCTTCGAGATCCTCGCCGCCTGTGCACACAATCAACGAACCCCAGCACCAGGGCCCAATTCATTCACGACCGCCCTCATACGAGCACTCAAAGAACTTGCCTGCAGAGAGGGGTTCTCAACCGACCAGTTGTATTCAAAGCTGAAGGAGTATGATGTTTTCGACAACACGCGAATGCCAGAACTCTACCAATCCAGGTTTCTACCGCCGTCGGGCTTCGAAATTGCACCCGACCCATTGCACCTTGCCCCAATCTCCAAGTCTGGCAACGACACATCGGGCACATTCAGAAGCGATCGTAACAAGGAGGTTGAGAATGAACAACTACTCCATCTTCGCTTCCATTATCGAACTGAAGTAAGCGATGCCGACCTGGAACAACTCGCCCGAGTCCTCAACAACCAAGTCGTCAATTCAAAACGCATCAAAGCCCACCGTGTCACTGCTCTCGGAAAATACAATATCGCCACATATGACTTGACTACGAGGAATATGATGAAGAGATTTGGCACAACGTGGATGACAAGGGCGAGGCAGAAGAGCAATGCGTTTCAGCGACCTGAAATCGATCTTCAAGATCCTATCGTTCACCCTGCTGGCCGTGCATCAGCTGCAGCTGTGATGAAGGAAGAAGAGCCAGAGAACTCGACCGACTACCGACCATCGCAGCCTGCTGCACCAGCGATGTTGACGACGCCAGGTCCTTCTGAGCATGGAACCGCGAGAAGAAAGCTGCGAAGCGATCGTGAGCCGAGCCTACCAGCCTCGGCCACGAAGGGCTAAGATCTCTTCAGCAGCTCTCTCCCCCGACCGAATCGCACCATCCATATATCCAGGCCAATAATCCGATGCCTCTGTACCCGCCCAGTGAATCCCGCCATCCGGCTGCTTGAGTGCCGCCCCATATGGCTGAAACGTATGCAGTCCCGCGAGAGCAGTCGGTCCGCCTCTTGAAAATGCCTCGTTATCCCATCGAACAAGCACCCACTCTTCTGCATTCGCCGCCTCGGGGCCAAAGTACCGAACATAGTCTTCTTGGACGAGTTTCTGGATCTCTGCTTCGGTGGCGTTGTCTAAGGCTTTCATTTGGCCGGCTTCAATGAAGCCTAGGATGGCGCCGTAGGATGCGTCCGCGGGCGAGTCGTCGAAGGTAGCTTTTACTGTTCCGGAGGTACTCTGGACTTGGCCGGACAGTCCATTCTCTCTCCAAAATGGTGTCTTGTAGATGGCGTTCATCTTCCCTTCGTTGCCCATGAACATACGTTGCATGAGCTTCTGGCGCTTGGCAGAGACGGGAGGCGAGTATTCGACCAACCCGGCGACGGGGGGAGACATGGCCACGATGACATTCTGTGCGAGGAACGACTTTGATTCTCCCCGGATTAGGTATTTGCCGAATCTGGTCTGAGTGATGGATTTGATTGGGTTGCTCAATGTGATTTTATCCCGTCCGATCTTGCCAGCGAGACACTCAGGCAAGAGACCGGTGCCGCCGACGATACGGCTCTCCTGCCCGCCATCATTGGTGAGAATAAGTCGTTCGAATGTGCCCTTGTTTGTCTGATTGCCGGCACCAGCTACATAGGCGAGAGCGTAGAGGAAGGACAGTTGCTCTGCTGTGCCAGACCAGATAGACTCGACAGATATCTCGAATGCCTCTCGTCCGACTGTCGTCGTGAGCGTTTCATATGCCCAGTCTTGGAGGGTGATGGCGTCCCAAGCAGTGGCATTTGGAGAATTCCAGGGGTTTTCGACATCGAGCGTGGCTGCTAGTGTATCAATCTTTGTGATAATCTCAAGGATCTGTTCCGTCGTGGTCGGGTCGACTGGCGGTGATGGACTGCTGGCGGAATAGTTGAGACGTTGGCCGTCCACGAAGGCAAGATTGTAGCCTTGGTTGTACTCTTTGAAAGTCTCAAGGTGCAGTTCATTAGCCAAAGCTAGGACTCTGTCTTGTGTAGGTCCTATAAAGGCAGCACCAAGTTCTGTGACACTCCCATTCTTCAGCTTTTTGTTATCAACTCGGCCACCAACCCTGTCCCTAGCCTCGATGACTGCGACCCTCTTGCCAGAGTCAATGAGCTTTTGTGCCGCTGCCAGACCGGAGAGACCAGCCCCAACGACAGCCACATCGACTTGCTCCGGTTTTGGGTGGCCGAAAGCCGATCCAACGAGATAGAAGATGGAAAAGAAGCGTTTGGCAAGCATTTTGAGTTCAAAGTATGTCTTGATTCGGGTTCATTCAGCGCCAGGAAGCCAGGTACTTTATCTATGCTGCTCGAATTGAGGCTCGGCAATTTCCGCATGGCGTACATGATGACCATGGTCAACGCCTTCTCGAATTTATTGCCTTCGGTCGCTCGGCGCCGCTCGTTGCCGGTCATGACATCTCATCTCGAAGACTCGAGATGCTGGTTTCCAGGGTATACACTCGGATACGCCGGGCTTCTCACGGTATACGACGTACGAAATGCCAGCTATTGGTGTGCTCGTTGACCCCTTACAGACAACCAGGCCATAGGGGAAACCTCGGAATCCGTCAGTATGGGACAGCAGCCGTCGGGTACAATTTGGCAGGGAACCCCTGTCATCGGCACAAGTGTGCTAAGATTGATCCTACCAGAGCCCACATTAGGCTGTTGGTATGATGAGAGGCGTATTCGATGTGATGATGGACGTGGAGAAGAAGACGGGATGTTTTTGTGGTTCTTGTCTCTGAGTGCTCAACCTCGTTCCAGACTTGATCAAGCCTAGCGTAAGATCTTGAGACTGGCAGGATTCGCAACCTTGAAAGTTTTTCCTCTTGCGGCTTTTAACTTCGCCACCATTTAATCATTGGCTACCCCTATCAATGGCATCCGGTCCCTCTCCAGCCTCGTCGACCCAGAGCGACTCCACCACTGTCTCCCTCGAGGAACTCACCAACAGCCTTGAACAGATCATCCGCGATGTACACAGTGCGCTTAATGCACGCATGCTTGATCGGGACCGATATCCGTGGTCAGTGTTTCTGGAGGAGTTCCGATGCGAGGCCGCGTATACCGTGAAGTACACGACATCGATACAAGACTATCTCGAAGATGTGGGCGGGCTATTCAAACGTAACCCAAGCCTTCGATATGAGATCGAAGAAATCAGCACCCATGTTTCCCGCAACGCGATGCGGGCTGAATTGTTCATGAACCATCTCACGGCCGGCTGGCCGATGGATCTAGTCAGACGAAGTGTTGGTATTGCATCTTTTCGGCTGATCAACGACGTATGGCGTATTGCCAGCTTCAAGCAGGCTCCGGGATATGCGCCAATGTAACCAAGACGCCTTTGCCCTACTCAAGCTCACTCAAAGGACTCTTGCAACTCGGTTCCGGGCCGGCCTTCTCGACGTTTCCGGGTTTCGGTTGCTTGTAATCAGATATTGCAAGCGTCGTCATCACTCTGACTACTCACTTTATCCCTGCCACGGGTGTTCCTGGGATCTTGGGCGCATTGAAACGTCTAGACTTCACCTGGTACTTGGAGAGGACGTTGATGGTAGCTTTGCAATATACAGCCTCAATTTGAGGACGAAAAACTTCTGCCGAGAACAGCGCACGATTGTGTGCCGCTTGAAGTATCGCAGCCAAGCACCATCGCCATTTTTGGAGACATCAAGCAGCCGCTTCCTGCCGCATGGGAAACGCAGCTGATCCTACGGGCGAGCGGCAATGCAGAAAGATCCCCGCCTTCGGAAATGGCCGCCATCTCTGCCCTTCGAATTGGAGAGCCTGTGCGTCAAATTGTGTACTGGCATAAGCCTACGACGGTCTCGCCGCTGGATTTCCATGTCTCTCACGCAATAGGCGGGTATTGAGGTATCAGCTCCAATGTGGCTTGTATTGTCAAAGATAGTCTCGAAGCATTGAGAAGCTACAAGTATAGCGTGCAAGTCCAGCTGTGTGAGTGGGCAGCAGTATCTTTGCATGGAGATGGCCATCAGAGCGGCAGTCGCTGGTTGGACCAGCCAGCCCAGATCATTGTCAGCACAAATGGTACCTCAGGGGCTTGCTTTGAGCATTCAATGATACATGGCCTGGTTATGATTCGCTTCAACGCTGCTATCGTGACAGGGGCTGAATACCAAGCTCAGGCTGTTGATGACGGATATGGGTAAGTGTACATGTCCAAGTTGACAGAGAATTTTGGGCTAAGTTCTAGAGGCTGGGGTACATGATCAACGAGAAGAGCATCGATTTCACAATTACTAGCAAGGAGCAGGACTGCGAGCAGATGGCTGTGTCTTTAAGACTGGCTATGGACGACCTACGAGACCTTCTCACAAGTGACGCAGATATTTTGAATATTCGCGGCTACCTGTGAAGGGACATCGAATGAAGAGATCCATTACACATCTTCAGGTTCTCTCAGACGTTCTCAAACACCATCCCCCTCGAAGCCCCTCGATCCTCCACACCAAAAGTCAAAATGAATCCAGAGTTCTCGGTATGTACTGTCCATAACGCTGCCGAGTTCTGGGGGACTTTGCTTCTGCGGGCGGTCTGCCGCGACCAATTCCTAAAACTCCAGGCCGACGTCCCACGTCTGCACTCTCATCGAACCCAACATCATTGTGCTGAGGTTGGTGATCATAGACTGGGACTAACGATTCTCGTTTGTCAAGGTCGCGATATGAATTCGGGTAGCGTTGCATGTTGCGAGCCAAAGACACTGCAAGATTCTGCTTTGGAAGCTCCTTGCAGCTGCTTGGTAGATGGGGTGTCATGGAAGAGGATTGAAATTTTTTGCTCGCGCTTTATATGTGCAGAAACACTCGGGATGTCTCAAGGGTGAACGCTGAACCGATGCCGCTATCTGGACTTTTACGAATCAGATCTTTGTGAAGACATGACCAGAATCATGATTTCGTGAAGATGATCGATTTGGTCCTACGTATAGTATTGCAGTGACTCAACATAGACCACTTTTGCTTGCATTATGACATGAAAACACAGTGCAGCATATGTAGACGTTGAATGCGTCAAGCTAGACTGTCTCCCCGGCCGCTCTCCGAATGGCCATGGCCATGGCCATGGCCATGGCATCAGGCTGTGAAAAGAACGGACTGTGCCCAGAAACGAGTGTTTCTGTTCTGATCTTATACCCCTTCGCGAACTCCTCCACCATCAATTTCTGCACCTCCAGCGGAATCGCATTATCCTCCGTGCAATACAAATAGGTGCTTGGGACCCCTTTCCAAGCTGCGTAGGTGATTTTGCTGTGGATCACTTGATAGCTATGCGGCTTCAGATGGGCCGCGACAGCCTTTGCCTCGTCGATCGGCAGATCGTTGTAGAATGTGTGGATCGGCGTTCTCGGAGTATAATAAGATTTGTCCTCGGCGACACTGTACCACGGGAGATCGTGGCCTCCAAAGCTGGAAGCGAGGGACTGGCCTTGTTGAACGATGAACGAGCAACAGTAGAAGATGTGAGCCACGCCTCCTGTCAGGCCTCCGTTAGCGCGAGAGGCGATATCAAGCCCTTTGACCGCTTCTGTGCCGGGTACTCCAGAGTATGAACGTACGACCAGCATGATTTCGTGACCCGCATCCGCTTCATGCTCAATCGCATTTTGAATCAACGTCACGTCAGGGTCAAAATCTTTGAGATGCTGTTCAGGGCCAACTGAGGCGAGGCTGACAAAAACTGTCCGATCGCCTGCCTCCTTGAGTTTGTGGGCGACGATAGAGTAGCATATTGGATTATGCCACGCCCCTGGCTAACGTCTAGATGTCAAAAAGAGGTATAATGCTTGTGATGGAGACTACTAACCACTAAAATGACTGATGTTGTTGGCATTCTGCTGGGGAAGAAGGCCCTTCACCACGCCATTTGCTTTGCACGCACCGTTCTATATGACACCTGCTCGCGATGCTTCGCGTTAATCCGACTCCAGCTCCATCGACGACCTATCACTATCTTCAGAGGTTCCAGATGACTGGAATAGTTTGTGGAAGTGTAAGCGATCGCCAGTATATTCGCAACGATCCAACATGTGCATAAGTCTTCTATTGCCCAATCACAGCCTGATCCACAATGGTTCACACCTAGTATTCTTGGAGGATTCACGGCCCGAGATTTAGCGCAGTTAGGTCTACCGTCTACATAGTTCTTCACCTGTTGCAGTCATACAGCTGAGAAATCTTCCCGTCTTGGCTTCAGCGGTACTGCTCGACAGTCCAGCTCGCTCCTTGTGCATAAGCGCAAGCCCTCAAAGAAGACTATCGGGCTCAGGTACCTTCGAGAACTTGACTCCCACTAACACATTTGTGGGTCTCCGTTCTCATTGACCTTTCCCTCCTCAGCCTCCGGGTCTCAACGGGTATCAAGCCGCAAACTATATGCACCAAAACAGCAATGGTCTCGCCGCAACATTACCAGTTCTGGCGCCCGGGCCAACAGATCTAGACCAACGATATACACACAAGTGGGATGCGATTATTACGAACTATCTCATCCATTCGACTTGCGAGCACGCCGAGGCCATTAGTAGCCGGGACTTCGATCTCAATTCCGCTCGCTGGACCACTCTCGACTCCAACTTCAAGTTCGACAGCTGGCTCGCCGGCACCCTCGCGCTGACTGGCTCGCATGAATGGATGGCCATGCTCAAGAAGACCGCCGAGATGAATCCTGATTATCACATCCAGATCCTGGACATATCTGTGAGTCTGGCACTTGATCGAAGACACGCCGAGGTGTTTATGAACGTCAGGACTGATGGCCTACCTTCTGGTGTTGTGAGGCAGAAAGTCACTGTGCTGAAGTGGAAGCTGGTGGGAGAGAGATGGTTCTGCGTGGAAAGGAAGAGCTTTATGGGAGTCGAAGCTTGACTAAGACATTTACGTTCGTTAAACATCATTCCAACTCAGCGCCATCGCCCATGTGATAGAATCACAGTAGCACCGCCATTCGTCTCGCTAGGCTCCTCATTGTTTCGTGAGTCAGCCTCGCAGCCCAGACGTCATTACTAGCCTGCGCGACTGGGACTGGAAGACGATCCAGCTCACGTATGAGTTCATCTAGTCGAGCATTGATGTCGGTCACGAGGCTGTCGATTGTAGGCAATCCATGCAAAGCCTCCGGAATATTCGATTCCCGTGCAGAAGAGTTGCCTCCCGATGGCTCGTGATGCTCATCATCTTCGCTGATTGAGTGAGATCCGTCGAGTATGCAACTCAAATCGTCAAGATAGTGGGTTTGATTCGAGAGAGGCCCTGACGTACGGGAGGAATGATGCCTGCTCCCATTCCTCCGGGCAAAAGCTGCCCTACCATTGGCAGTTGTTCCGTTGAGCGGTCCTCGAGTGTGTCGAATGTTGTTTGACATGGCTGATCTCGACCAGGAATCGGCTGTAAAGTTTTTTGGTGGGTGTCTTTGGTGTTTGCAAGTTGGTCAAAGTGGATCGGTCACCAGGGCTAGAGTTCTGCACACTCATATGTCAAATGATCAAATCATTGAACGATGCCGATAGATGGTACGCAGACGTGAACTCTGCATAAACGGCAAAGGCATCCCGATCATCTATGCACAGTTGACAGAAGATGTTGTAGTGAAGGGGTGCCGATCTAACCCGGCGTTCATTGCTCTTTACGTTTCCCATGCCATCGATCTTCAACCCCTTGCATTGTGCGTTATTCCATGTAGCATAGCATTACGGAGCAGCTCGGTGGGTATCATCAGAAGTTTGTCCTTGGTGTCATACTCTGGTACTGCGCAAGCCAATAGAGTAATGAACTGGTACACGCACAAGCGCACGGGAAATTGCCCACTTTTGTAGCAGTCGCCCGCCAGCGAGTCTTTGGCGAGGAAATCGAGAGAAAGGACCTTCTGGTAAGCGACGCGAGCGATGTCAACTCCCGGAGCATCTCCACTGCCAACCATGAGGGCTAATCTGATGAGGTTGCCATCGCCTTCAGCTTCGCTCAAGACTACGGCAAGAGCTGTCCCGGCCAATCCTAGCAAAAGGTCGCCTGACTTCACCGTGGCTTTTGTGCAGTCTCTGGTTTCCATGGAGTAGCGTTCCATACGGGGGTGAAATCCATTCATGTCTTTGTGACGTTCGATGTAATCAGTCTCGAAAGAATGCCACTCGTCATCAACTCCAGCACCATTCGCTGGTGTAGTCACTTCCGCGACAGCGGCACCCCAAGCAAAGTCCCACCAAAAACTTGTCTCCATACTGAGCGAGCATTCATCGTGCTGCTGATTTTGAGGACTAGGTAGCAGCTCTTCCCAGCTCAACTCCAGTGCCCTGCGAAGAATCTCTGCATACTTGGGCTTTCTATCATTGACAAAGGTGTTGAAGGTTTGGTGAAAAAGCTGTGCCTTAGAAATGGAATAGTCAGGGACAATAGGGCGCGGGCCGGATTTGTAGAAGTGAGATAGGCCAAGCAGAGCTGTAAACTTTATCGTGTCTCCTTGAACACTCGGTAGTCTCGAACATCTCCATGAGATAAGGCAGCCACCCGGTCCGGTCCTCTAGGCTGCGATCACGAGGGGGGAATTCTTTAGCATGATCTGCCAGCTGATAATTTTTTAGATTGGCATTTCGTCGAGCAAGCCTCATCATACTAATCTGGTGTGGTGTGGACTGTTCGGACTGGCGGGTGCGGATGAGTAGTGTGTCTAAATGCTGAAAATCGATTTCTTGATCACCGCAGAACAGTACAATCTTCCGAGCTAGAACGAGCTCTTGTATGATCCAGGCTCGACTCCAGTACGTTCTGCTCAGTAGTCGCTTTGTTACTTCGTTGTTCAACATCTCTTTCACCAGAGGGTCGAATGGATGACTGAGTGACCAAAAGGATCCGGATGGATGTCTGTTGCGATATCGAACATCGTCAAGTTGCATCAAGCGTAGTGAAGATTGTCCGCTCATCAGCCGTAGAAGACTGCTGGTCCCTTTGCTCTCCTCGCCGAGCCATACAAGCACACTCTCTGCGCTATAGTATATGTGTCCCATAAGTGCTACTTGTTTCGACTTCTCGGCATCATCAGCTTGATCGATGCACAAAGCGTCGACCCAGAGTGGGACGTGATCATCTATTGTTGTATTCTGGTCAGAAACCTGTGCAGATTCGGCTGAATGGAGATTTGATGGCCTTTCAATATCATTGTTAGAGAAGAAGACTCATTACTAGCCTTGGTTCCCCATTCGTATGAAACCGCGCGATATGCAGTCATATTTGAGAGCGTCGACAGTGCCAGACTCGCCTCAATGGTACCCGCGGTGCGTTTTTGGTCAAAACTCAACAGCCGAATCGTATCTCCGTGCTGATCCAAAGGTCTATAAGTTGGCTGTAAAGACCGTTTGGGTATATCAGTATATTGAGTTTCTGTAGATTGCTGCGTATCCAGCCGTGTAGACGGTAATGCCTTCCTGTGCTCTAGAGATTCGGATATCCAGGGTTCTGTCCTATCGCGGAGGCGCTCTGGAGTAATGTGACCTCCAAGAACAGTTCCAAGAAGCTTGCGGAACTTTGTGTTGACCAAATCGGTTCTCGACAAGCCAATTTGGGAACAATAGAGCCTTAGATACTTCGTGCTTGTTGAATCCACTCCGATAAGCCATCTCCATAACCTTGGAATGCTGCGTCTGACCTCGCAAGCTTCGATGGCGGTGTTGTCAATTGAGGGTGGATTTGTAACGCCCTTTGCGGAAATGGAAAAAGAGGCTACACCAGATAGGCTTGCGACAGTCCACGTCTGAGAAGATTCCAGTGTCATGTTGACTTCAATCAGGAAGTCTCGAAATGACGGAGCTGATCATGACCTCGGTGTCGAGGCTGGGACATGTGATGCCACACGGAATTCCTTGAGCTGCTGCGTGAATAAGATGGCACATCTTGGGCGGCCTCTTTGAGGCTGAGTCGTTTTGAGACACGCTCGCAGTCGGTTTGCATGCTCTTAAGCGGCGCCGAATGGTGGGAGAGGAAGCCCGATTGTCACGAGTCCATGTTCAGAGGGCGAATGATGATGGTGAAGCATGCCAGAAGATCGAACCTCTTCGTGGAGGTGGCTGGAGGGAAATGCTTGGCGTTGGTGAGTCGCTCCTGTACGGAGACATGTGGAGAACAAATACATTCGAAGATAAGCAGCACATATGTAGTCGCAAAAGAAGAGACATCGTCGACGAAAGTCAATAGCTAATAAGCGCCGCCGGTGAAATTGTGGTGGGCTGATTAAAAAGGGGCAAAAAAGTTGATCCATTACACCCGGCGAGACTGAATTTCTGTTAGCACGAAGATCAAACAGAAGAGGCCGGATGGCAGAACATACTTCGAACTCGCGACTTTCGCATTACCATATTGATCCCACAGGATAAATATAAGAACGACACGCTAAGCCACTGCGTCACGGGTGTCGCCTGAAGAAGCGACCACGCCACAGCGTATTTTAAGTCATGGCAAGAGCTTTGTAATTTATAGATGCTATTGTATTCTCCGAATCACACAGCAAGGATTAAAACTTCGCCTCATTTCACTTTCTTTATCCAACTATCAAAATATTTGCCTTGGCCATCGAGGCCACTCATCTGCATTCTAGAGTCTGACGATCTTCTAGAAATAGGACGATGGCTACCATTAACAGAGCTCTCGCCGCCACCAATTATACCTGCTCCTTTGCCGGTCAGTCATCCACGGCTCAGTCGCATGCAAGGCTGCCCTCGGACACGATAAGCGTGAAACCCAAGACGGTCAACTCCTGCAAGGTCAACTCGCTTCAGCGGCAAGACTGTAATGCCCGCCTGAGACACCATCTCGTGGGCTCTGGACCGGTTGATGTGGGTCCAGGGATTTTACCACTGAGCATGCTCAAATGTACAGGAACCTCCTCAAGGCTCATTGCTATGACATGAGAAAATCGGAGACCACCGACAAGAGGGCGAGCCTGATATCGTCCCGCCTAGACGAGCAAAATCTTCTAGTCTGGAGCGGCGGAACAACGGCATTGTTGATAGGCGACGATAGGGCCATCTCCATCTGGAGACCCCGATTGGACGTAGAACATCACTACATGTTCGCTGCTCCATGAATTTGATGAGCACTTTCTAAATTAAAGCACGGCTTTCTGCGTAGTCGCTATGGTAGTGTGGAAATGGAAGGTATAAGTAGTGAGGATGTCGAGGCGTGGCCTGCAAGTTCCTATATTCTTGCGTCTTGCCTAGCTTGTCTTTCACCATGCGGCTCACTACTGCTCTCGCTGCTGCAGCAGCATTTCAGTTTTCAGCAGCTTTCCCTTCTACTCATGTCCGGAGGCAGTCGAATTACACTACGAACGCAACTTCGACATACCGCCCAAAGATTATCTTGGACAATGACTGGGGCATTGCTGGCTTTATCCCCATCTTCCAGGCCTTGAAAGCAGGCTGGGATATCGTTGGCATTGTCTCGGACACTGCAAACTCTTGGGCTTTGCAGACTGGATTGCATGCTCTTGCAACCTTGCAAGTTGGCGGACTGGGTTGCATTCCTGTCTACCGCGGTGCCGACTGGCCTCTTCTGAACCGACCTGGTCTTTATCGTGCTTGGGCAGACGTTCATGGAGTGCTGGCATGGGAAGGCGCTTTCGCCCCAGAGAACCTCACATATGAAGCACTAGGCAATGACCCGACGAGTGGCGATCCAGATCGAGTCTCGAGAGCCGCTTTCGAAAAGCCAGGCTACGGCTACCCCAACATAACATTCGTGCCGGACATCACAGCCGTCGAATTCATGGTCCAACAAGTCAGGAAGTACCCCGGCGAGATCAGCATTTACTCGGGCGGTGCTTTTACAAACATCGCCTTGGCCGTTCGTCTGGATCCCACATTCGCAAAGAATGCCAAGGAGCTCGTCATTATGGGTGGATACCTGGACGTCAATTTGCTACAGACGACGGGATCCGTGCTCCTTGCGGACTTGCAAAGCGACATCAACCTCATGATCGATCCTGAAGCCACCAAGATTGCTCTTACCGCCGACTTTCCCAATATCACCATTTGTGGTAATGTCGCCAACCAAGTCATGAGCACACAAGACTTCCTCGACGAGATTTACGAGGTCAAGACGCCGTACAGTGAACTTATGTACAAGTACTATGGTACCGAATTTCCCTTCTGGGACGAGACAGCTGCCGCGGTCATGGTCGAGCCCTCGATTGTGAAGAACAGCACCAAGTTCTACCTGGATGTGGACACTAGCTATTCTTCGCCAAACTATGGCAATATCCACGCTTATCAGAAGGCTCTCGCACCGACGGCACAGCCTTTGCAAGAAGTCAACTTCATCATCGAGATTGATGGTGACAAGTTGAAGGAGAGAATCAAGGAGAGCGCTCAATATCCACCAACATGTGCGAGCGCAGGAGATGGTGCATAGAGACATCGTATAGAATGTATGCTCCCAACATCGACCATTTCTTGCTTATCTAAGTTCCCAAGCGCCCAAATATGAGCATTATTGCGGTACCCCTGAGCGACACAAAGGTACCAAAGGTTAAGTTCGAAGGGATCAAGGATGGCTGTACCAGGCTACAACCATGTCGATGCGGCTTTCACGGTTACCTCGTCAACGTACCACATCATGTGCTGATCACACATGTTTCCTAGCCGTCCTAGAAATCCACGCATTCCCTGGCGTGCAACAGTCTGTCGTCGAAACACTGAAGGTCCCAACAAGATGTGGCTCAATCTTGTACTTCTGAGCCTGGCTCGCCTCGCTTCAACGCAATTAATAACGCCACAAAATAGCGACTGGAACTCATCCTTCTCACTTTGCAGGGAACAGATTGAGAAAGCTGGCCTGGACGAGGAGACGGCCCAGAACGTCAATACAGCAATCCGGTTCGAGCGTACCAACTGGGCTGGACCAAGTGTATCAGACGATGCATTCTACATCCCACCAGCCAATACATCTCATCTCCCTCCTGGATCTCTTTTGGCCGTTGAGGGATACACCAACACCTCACTCTACACCCCCCCCCCCCCCCCCCCCCCCCCCCCCCCCCCCCCCCCCCCCCCCCCCCCCCCCTCCCTCAGCACCGCTTTATCGCGAATTATTTTCCAATCGGAGACCTTCAACGGCAGCACTGTTCCAGCCTCAGCATACGTTCTCTGGCCATATATGCCTGGCGAAGATCCGAAAAGGAAAGGCAAATTTGCGGTCGTAGGCTGGGGCCATGGAACCTCCGGCGCAGTAGGCGAGTGCGCTCCCAGCCATATCAGAAACTTGTGGTATCAGTACTCTGGCCCTTACATTCTGGCCCTGCAAGGCTATGTTGTGGTAGCGCCAGACTACGCTGGTCTTGGAGTCTCCCGACATGCAGACGGCAGGCCGATCAAACATACCTGGCTCTCGTCAGCGCAGGGCAACGATATGATCCACGCCGTCAAAGCCGCACAAGAAGCTTTTCCGGAGCTGAGCGAGAGGTTTGTTCTCGTCGGCCACTCACAGGGAGGACACGCTGTCTGGGCAGCGGCGAGAAGGCTGGCATATGTGCCTTTTGCAGGGTATCTTGGGACGATCGCTGCGTCGCCGTCCGCAAACATCTCCTATACCCTCCAGCGCCAGCCTCTTGCGGCGACGACTATAGCTTTTGGGATCATCACTGGCATTGATGAAATCTGTCCCTCTTTCCACCCTTCCGAATGGCTCACGGACAAAGGGATCAGATACCTGAACCTGATCAGAGATGTCAGCGCTTGCAACAGTGTCCTGACCCAACTGATCCTCCAGCCAGGCCTAATCAAGACCGAATACGCATCTTCACCACGGCTTCGAAGCTATGCAAACCTCATGGCCAACAGCGGCCGCCTATTTGCAGGACCCATGCTAGTCTTGCAGGGTACACCTGACTCGGTGCTGCCTATCGAGACTGTGGACAAAGCTGTCAACGAGACATGTGAGAACTATCCTGACAGCAAGCTGGAGTATGCGTCGTTCAAGGGGGTAGATCATGTGCCTATAATGTATGCGGGTCAGCGAATCTGGTTGGATTGGATCGCTGATAGGTTTGCTGGGAGGGAAATTAGCCCGCCATGTACGAGGCGGGAGTACAGTCCGGCGAGGTCGGTGGAGAGCTATCACAAGGATCTGGGATATTACCTGGAGTATACCACTCAGAGATATTTGGTGGCTTGAAGTAAATGGTCCGAAGCAGAGTGGGATTTGAGGCTGCCCTCTTCTCGGGCTTAGCAATGTACGCATTCCAGGTGAGATGCCAAAAGCGAACAGTTTGCTAATTTTAGGCAAGCTCATCGACATGCCCTCGCTTGTGCTTTCATTTGCCCATTTACTGTTGTCGTGACTCTGTCTCGTGCTGTACTGTCTCAAAAGTTGTAAATTTACTTCGTAGCAATGCGATCCTGCTCCTTCTCAAGACCCGTTGCTTTTTCATTCAAGACGCCACCAGATTGCTCAGAATCTTTCCAAGACTGTCGACCTGCGGAATCTGTTAGTTGTGTTCCAAGTCATCCATCTCAATAGACAGCTTACATGAGGCGGCTGTGTTATCTGGAAGTGGTTTCCAGTCATATAGTCAAACGTGTACTTCGCTCCAGGGAGCAGCTTCTCCCAGTGCTCAGTTTGCAGGTTGCCTCTCGGCTCCAACAGAAAGCGAGTGACTTTGATGTTCATATCGACCTGAAGTCCAGATTCCGGAACACTCTTCACCAATCCTTCCTTGACCCAGATGAAATTCACATTGGGAGGGGTGTGCTCTTTTGACAAGACAGACGGCCAGTACTTGTCCACTGAGCCGACCGTCGATGTGAAATGCTGCACTAGCCACTCTGGTGCCTTCTTCTCTCCGGACGCTCCCATAAGTCCTTTCCTGGTGAGTTCTTGAACGACCTGCGCCGGCAAAGCCTCGTACTCCAGCCGACATGGCGAGTCGATCAAGATTAGTCGCTCGACTTTCTCCCCAGCCGCGGTCAACAGTCTCACAACCTCATACGAATAGAAGCCACCTGCAGACCAGCCGCCCAAAACATAAGGCTTGCCCTTAGGCTGCAACTTTCGAACCTCGCCAACCCACAGCCTCGCCATCCGCTCGATCGAACACGTGAAGTTCTGCGCCTGGCGAAGGAACGGCGAATTTAGTCCAATCAAGCAGACATCCTTTCCGATCGGAGGAAGAGTCCCATACGATGTCCCCGCACCACTTCCATCTGGGAAAAGAAACACAACCGTCTTCGCCGTCTCGGGCTTTCCCTGCAATACCACAGACAACGGCACTTTCGGCTTCGGAATACCCTCCCATGGATCGGCCGGACCGAGATCGGGAGCAGCGCCAGGTCTCAGCGGAGAATGAATCGCAGTACTCGGCCGACTCGCATCGCCATTCGACGTAGACGAGCCACCCCTGAGGAAAGCCTTCAGTGAGCCAACAGTAGGATATAAAGAGAACACATCTGGCGGTACATCCACGCCGGCTTGGTTCTTGATATCGGAGGCGGTCGCGGATGCCAAGAGATCGCCGAGTCCCAGGAACTTCCAAGTTTCGTGGTCCTGAAACTCCTCAGGTTCGACAGAGATGGCTTCGCCGATGATTTGCAGGCATTGCTCTATCGTCTCGTCGGATGCCATTGTTGATATTGCGGGAAGGATGGGGAGGATGAGGAGGGGAAGTCCGAAGGCTGGTACCGTTGAAGTGCGCTCGAGCCACTATCGAAGGCTATATTTAGAGTTGAGGATCCGATACCGAGGAGTTGATAAATGGTTGGAACGAGAAGATGCAGTCTATTTGGTGAGGTACGAAGTAAATCTGATCAATGTAACCCATGGAAAGCTCCATTAAGCAGAGACGTGTATGCAAGGCCGAAGTCGGAATGTACATAGTATGAGCGATACATCCGGTCGTCTACCACTACTTCAGCCCAAACAGCCTCTGAGCATTACCATAAGCTATGAGCTCGAACTCAGTAGGCGTGACAAGCCCCGAGTTACGCAACCTCTCCATGAAAAGACTGTCTTGATAATTCTTGTTGAAAGGGGTATCGACGGAATACTGTGGAACATGTCAGTGGACCAAGATTCGCCAGATCAAGACGTGTTAGCACTCACCATAATCCTCTCCGCCGCCGTGTTCGAAAGCAATGTGGGTATGGGATCCAAGGAGAAACATCCACTCGTTGTGATCCATACATTCTCCGTCCATACCTGTGCCAGGCTTTTCCTAGGGGCTGTCAAAGGACTCAAGAACTCGTCGGACCGGCTCAAGATGTATGGGACCATCTCCCCTACGTGTCCAAGGACAATCTTCAGATTTGGGTATTCATCGAATAAGCCAGCGGCATAGAGTCGCAAGAATGCAAGACCAGCGCTAGCTTCGAAGCCCCACGAGTCGGAGGCGAGAGTCACGGCAACGTAGTCGTTGAAGGTCTTGTTGCCATCCGGTCCGATCGCAGGCGCAAATGCTCCACCAGTCTGCAAGATGTGTGAAGTAGGAGGAAAGCCTGGATGGAGATAGAAAGGCACGTTCAGCCTCTCAGCAGCAGCGAAGACCGGCCAGTAGGAGGGAGAATCGAAAAATGTCCCATTTGGGAGATTTGCATTTGCAAGTCCTCCAACGAAGCCGAGTTCTGTCACACAGCGCTCCAGCTCTTGAGCAGCATCGTCCAGGCTGTCCATTGCGAGTGCGCAGAATGCCGCGAAACGACCAGGATGTGCCGACGTGAAAGCCTGGTGGACAGCGTCGTTGCTTATGTGCGCTGCTGTGACGTTCTCCTGGTCGAGATTGGCGTTGCTCACAATCTAGGCCTAGTCAGCACTTGGAAGGCTGATGCCTTTCTTTTGCCCTTACTTACTTGCATCTGGATGTTGTTCCGGTTCATATCGTCAAGACGACCAGCACTCGCGTCGAGGAGATATGACACCAACGATGGTCCAAAGCTGCTATTGACCAAGAGCTGCAAGATCGGGTTTGATACCAAGGAGCTGGCTTCGGCTGTAGGAAAGACGTGTTCTTCTAGGGTGATACATGTTTATACGGCAACGGTATCGCGCCTGCAATGGTCGCAATAAGGAGAATTAGTGTAGCGTAAGTCATTGTGAAATGTGGTTGAGCTGCTGGCTTGTTCACTGTTGATAATTGCATGCTGGCCGGGTGGTTCTAATAGTCCTTCCCTCGAGAAGGCCATCAATACCCATTGACTTGGTTCTCGGCTTGATTGTCGACGACATCATTCTCGGGAGTTTCAAGGAAGACGGAGTTTCCATAGTTCCCATAACTATCCCGCTCGATCCGCAAAACACTTCAGAGTTGGCCAGATTTTGACCTTAAGCGTATCATTGTCCTTGGTGATGGCATCTCGATGGAGAGAAGCGGACAGCAGCTCTGTGCAAACCATTCCCGTCGTCTTCCGCAATGGCACAGTCACTGCCAGGCTGAGGCAGTTGGAGTGTAAATTTGGAGGTACTGCTGCAGCATGTTGTCGGGCGCGGTCTAGAAGTTGCGAAACATTGATGAGAACATAGGAAGGTGATGTTGAGGCGAAGGTGGAGTTGTCACGGAGCGGATTCTCGGACCAAAACACGGACGAGGATTGTGTCTATGACCGTCGATTCAGGACGCCGTACTCTTCCTCTGCTTGGGACTGTTCAGCGACTTCGCCTTTGATGCATCCTACAACCACAAGTCCATCATCATCATCATCCCTGAGTCGAGAATAGATTTTATGACGAGGTTTCTAACGCGAATATGAACCTTTGAAACAGATATCCACGATGTCGAAAGAGTCTGACGCCCCGCACCAGACTGATGCTCACTGATCGGCCCCGTCTGAAAGAGCACTCTGCATTTTCGGGAGCACAAGGCTGGTCGCTGGGAAAGATGTCCTTGGAGCAGTATCCCAATTCAATGCCTAAGGCATGAATATGGTCTGCGGCTGAAGCTCCTTGAAATACTTTCGCTGTGCCGCATCCTCCAGAGTTCTAGGCTTCTCCATTTCCTGCCTTCAGCTACATGGGGCTCTCACTCACGCCCAAGAAAGACAACCAGAACATGCGATGGCCGAGCAAAATCGCAATTACGGGACCATCGTCGTGGAGACCCGAGAGCAACAACACACGCAGCCTGCGCCACGAACAAGTTCAACCGGACGTCGCATCTGCATCTGCCTCCTCATCGTCTGCTTCCTTATCATCCTCGTATTTGCCTACATACTATATGTCCTCGTGCCAAACATCTTCACTTGTTTTTACGACCTGAATCCCCTCTGTGAGCGATGGGCAATAGTCATAGGGCCAAGATCGCCCGTTCATCACAACACCACCGGGGATTCTTACGCCGTTGGCTTCAGCCTCGCAGCAGGCTACGGGTATGCAACGAGCACACATGTATGTTAGGGGGCTACTGACCGAGAGACGTCTCAGAACTGCGGCGATCAGCTTTCGAAATGGCACGAGCATAACGATCGGCCGATACGATGGAGACGATGCGTACAGGAAGTTCATGGCGAAAGCGACCTCCAGTGATGCTGTGCATCCGACGTGAGTTGATCTTCTCTGTTCAAATGGTCCTCGCCATGCTAATGAATCACCGAGTCCGCCGTACTATTGCAATGGAGCCTATGCCGATTCGACGCGGCAATGGGCACGGCTGTGGCGAAAGAAATTGGGCAAGCCCGCGTCAGAAGAGATAGGCGCACTCGCAAGAGTTCTTATCGGACTCAAAGGTCCCGTCAACAAAGCACTGGGTGACCTGGGTCCTCTCAAGTACGCCACGATTGCGACACCATACTTACCGGCATTGTTCAATGAAGACCTCGATGACATCGCAGAGTACGCTGGCTTCCAGTTGATCACGCCATTCAAACTGTCCGGGGATAGTGAACATAAAGCAATCACGGACATCAACTTCTCGTTTTGCGGCATGCGGCTCGGGAATTGTCAAAGCTTCACCAACCAGACGGTAAACCAGGAGCTAGATGTGTCTCCTGAGAGCGACGACGAGATACTCAGCGTCTCCTATAGCATAGATATGCTGACTGCTCATGTGTCGCCTCTTGGTGGCTTTGCCAATTACTTCTACGCCGCCTCCGGCATAGCGGATCCGTGGCTGGGAAGAGGAGCACTGGAAATGTACTCATCACCACACGAGTACTGGACCGCAGTCGGATATGCACTCGTCAATGCAACGGACTCATATTCATGGCGAGCAGCGAGACTTAGCCGTGTAGTTGTCCACAGCGAGTCTGCAACAGATCCCGACTTTCAACGTGTTCTACGGGAGAACGTCACCAAATATCAGATCTCGAAGAGCATGCCGCCCGTCTCTATGGATAGTCCTCTATATGCAGCAGCACTTGACGCGGCAGAGCTCGGAAAGCGGTGTATGCTGCAGGACGATGGCTCGTCGTACTACACAGGTTGTGTGCCAGATCTTCATCCGAAGATGCAAGGCTGGTAGTGCTGCCGGGAGACTAAATGCGCTCAATTCTTGCACCGAAATTGGAATGAGACTGGAAGAGGTTTTCTGGGCAGCAAATTCTCCCCGTCACTGGATGAACGAGCGTGAGGACGGAGCTATCCTTGACGCCTTCGAAGCTACAATGCAGTTGGGGATTTACGCCCATTACCTTACCCCTTCTACGATACGCAATGCCGATGAACCATCTCTTGAGCGGCACAAAGACACGACTTCGCCAGGTATCACCATCCCGCCATCGAACGGCCTCACCACGTCGGAAGTCTAAGAGCGGTACCCTTCAGAGCGGAGTCAGTCAAGACGACGACAGGCATTTCCGAATGTGTCCAACTTACCTCCAACCCCCAAGCTTGAAAGATCGACGTCTTCAGCACTGTCGACTTGTTCTGGGCTTTCAGCGAGCTCTTCGTACGTATCGCTACGCCTGTACTTGTTTTGCTGCACGTGAGTTCAAGTGCAAGACGGACATGTGCTTGTGGGCATTACCTGTAGCAGGTGCGGCAATCGCGAACGCTGCCAGAATACTGAGGACAATGACGACCTTCATGCTTTCTTGCGATTGGGTTTGATTTTCGTGGCTGGAATGAAAAAGGTAGATTTTGTGAAGTCCACTGAAGCGATTCGGCGAGACTTGAGTGGGACACGGGTGCAACATGTAATGATCCCTCACGGCTATCATACGCAGCTCGTCGATATGAACGGCGTGGGAAGCATGCTGACAGAATGCCCGTTCTTACGCTAGATCTGACCTACATTCGCGGACTTAGGGCCCGAGATCAGCACACGATCAACAAGAAGGCTACACATGCAGCAGCTGCGTGATATATAAGGATTCCGGAAATCGCAGAATTAGCTGTTTCCAGAGAAAGGGTGGGTCCCCTTCAGACGAGGCTGGGGCAAGGTCACAGATGAGAGCCTCGGTTTTTGCTCGCCCTGCGAACAACTGCTTTCTCGCAAGATGCCTTCTGCCCAGTTCTCGTGGAAGCCCATTGGCAAGTGGCCGTGGCAAGACAACACTGCTGCGTACACAGCACTCAACAATGGCACACCCGACGCAATAGGAAGATCTGATGAGCTCGATCAGGCAGATGTCAATGCCACAAAACGAAGCTCCACTGCCTGGACGATAGGCGTTCTGTTTTGCATTGTCTTACTCACGAACACATTTACCTTCACAGTCGCTCCGGGGATCGCAAAACGAGTAGGCTGGCTTCACGCCAACATAATCGATACCGACCAGCCACCAAAATCATGGGGTATGATCAGTACACATCTTCTGGACACCGCAAATCTCTTACGATCCTCTGAACAGCTCTCGTCGACGGACTGCCCACGAAGTTCACGCGCTTCAACTGGTGGACAGAATACAGCGATAAGAACTTCACGGAGACGGATGCTCTATGGGATGACATTAGTGAGCTGTTTGCGACGGCAACCGTGTATGGTGACACTAAAGGCGATGATAGATCCTGCCCATGGCTTCATAGCAGTCGATCGGGAATGGGCCACGGCACAGCACTGGCCGAAGAGCATGCATCTGCCAAGCGACAGTACGAAGAACGTGTATCTACTCGAGGCATACCACCTCATGCACTGCATTGTAAGTCCTGAATGTTTGTCTTCTTGTATTGAGACCACCATCTGATCTAGATCAACAGACAGTCATCCGCAAAACCTTCTGGCAAGCCGTCCACCACCAAGACTACACATTCAACCCTCCCCACGCCGGGCACTGCATCGACATGATGCGGCAATACATCATCTGCAAAGCCGATAACACGCCCCTATATACGTTCGGAGATGATAGTGCCGGAGACGAGCAGGTGCGGAAGTGCCAGAGTTGGGACGCTCTTCGGGATTTCGCCACAGAGAATTCAGCGTGCTATAGGGACACGCCGCCAGATGTTGATTCCAATACGTTTCCTTTGGGGGCTCATTTTGGATACTGTGACAGTGGATACGATGGTGTGAAGGAGGGCGAGAGGAGAGGGTCACGCGAACATGGGGCAGTTTGGGATGAGGATCGTAGATAGTAGCTTGTAACGAAGCATCATCATGTCCCGGGTAAGCAGGAAGGGTTGGTTCCAAATCGCGGCCACGGGCAGAGAGTATTGCGTTTGCTACCCATTTGTCAACTAGTTTAGCTCCCTCTGTTGGTGTGTCAACTACAGGGTGTCATATGCATACGGGGAATGCATTCTTCAGGGCCTGGCTGAAGTCGGCTTGACTGTCATGAAGAACTGCCTAAATCAGCAAAAATCGTCGAAATCCTTGTGGACTCCGTTCCCCGTATGCATATGACAATCTGCAAGCGAAGAGATACAGGGCGTGATGTACTTCTGGCTTCGTACATTTGGCTTCTTTGGGCGTATATATCACTGGAAGGTGATGGATGCCACCCGGGGCCGGCACTGTGATCCGTACAATCATCTGTACTAAGACAAGTGCTGACATCTGGACGAGATCCTCCATGGCTTACGGAGAATGCAGAAGTGTCTGTAAGGTTGATCCCTCGTTGTCTGCTGATCGCAGAAATGCGGACATTGACGGGGCCGACGAACCGAGTTTTTGGCAGTGGAAATGCATGAGATGTTGATTATACCTCCCTTGTTCGATGCTACACATCATGATCAAAGAATCGGGATGGAAACCAAAGTACCAGATTGTCCCGGGGGATGAGACGGAACTCGTGCACAAGACACGGTCAGTTCTTGTCAAGGCCATTCACCATAGAACAAGACGTCTGACTTGAGTCAGAACTCCTTACCGCCTCGCGCTCGTGATCTCGCTATGCGCGGCACTCATCATAACAGCCTTCACGATCGTATACCCACGGATAAATGCTGTGAACACATGCTCACAGCCACGAGTCCGACGAGAATGGCGATCTCTTTCAGAACAACAGCAGCTCGACTACTTGAAGGCTGTGCAGTGCCTTGCACGAACACCCTCCGGCATTCATCCGAATGCAAGCCTACATGACGACTTTCCGTGGGTTCATCGCAATATCGGATACATTGGTAGGCAACCCTTGAAGAACGTGCTTGGGCACACGAGGCTGACAGCGGCTCTTTGCTAGCACATGAGGCTGCCCTGTTTCTGCCATGGCATCGATACTTCGTACATATCTATGAGACAGCCTTACAAGAGTCATGTGGATACATCGGCCCGATGCCATACTGGGACTGGAGCCTGGACTGGGAAACCATCACGCACTCTCCCGTCTTGAATGATTATACAGGCTTTGGAGGAACAGGCAACGAGAACAATCATGACTGTGTGGAGCAAGGCCCGTTCGCCAACATGCCAGCCCTGTACAACGGCACGCATTACGAACTTCACTGCCTCTCGAGACATTTTGCCTTTAAAGAAGATGTCGGCGTCCGGCATTACGACGTTAGCTACTTGAGTCCACAGACCACCGCTGACGTGCTGGATACCGACGACTATATGGAACTCGTACTGGGCATTGAACATGGCCCTCACAATCACCTGCCATTAGGGATAGGAGGCGACTTTCTGTCTTTCACTGCCCCGGCTGGTACGTGAGACGTGACCTAACAACTGATATACGCTGACCATCGATCAAGAGCCCCTTTTCTTCCTCCATCACGCCCAGTTAGACAGGCTGTGGTGGATCTGGCAAAGCAGAAGCAAGCAAAATTCCCGAGCGTACTCAGGGCCGAAATCAATGGGCTCGAATGAAAGTGCCAGCGTGGATGATCTGATACCGGTTTCGTTCCCTAGTCTTGCGGATGATGTTCCTGTGAAGGAAGTGCTGAGCACACAGGCTGGAATTCTGTGTTATACTTACGACACGGCTCAGATAGGTGAACCTGTCTAGCTCCGAACATTCTCCCTGGCGTACGCTGATGTTATGATTTTCCTTGTATCCCCTTCTCTCCAGCCACATCAGCCTTGGCCTGTTTCTTCGCAGCTTTTTGCTCGTTCTTCTCACGGTACTCTTTCCGCCACTTGGGCCCGTTGACCATTACATACCACAAGATCGGACTGAAGAGCACAGGCAAGAGTGCAAAGAAGGTGGTGGTCCACCCTATCCCAATCTTGTTGATCATGGGAATGACTCCACTCGTAACACCAGCGCCAAACCAACACCGCATGAGATTGTTCGCTGCCGTAGCTGAGCCAGCTTTACCAGGAAATGTGTCGACAAGCAGGACCTGAACGACGTTCACTGAAGCGCTGGCACAGAAGCCGATGACGAACAGGAAGATCAGTGGACCAGCCAAATTGACATGTGCTTGCACCATCCACCCAAAGCCGATCTCCGCCGCTGCAGCCATAGCCAATGTTGGGATTGCAACTTCCAGCCGGGCTCGCTCGATGGGGAAATTACTGAGGTCCACATTGCGATTCTTCTCCAGAGGTAGGCCACGTCTTTTGGCGTGCACGCGATATCTGGAGTCGATGAAGCGGCCTCGTACCAAGCCTGCTAGCAGGCTGCCGAAGCCGAAGGGGAGGTAGCATAGGGCGATCTGAATCTCGTTGAAGCCGTAGATTTGGCCGAATTGAGATGGGATCAAGGATGCTACGGCGTAGTAACCGCAGACCACAATGGCAGCATATAGCATGATGAAGCCGGCTTGCTTGGTGAAGACGATCTTGAGCGACTCCCAGGGATTGGGGAGCTTTCTGATATGGCTTCGTGCTCGAGCGAGTTCCTCTCGCCCTTCCCATGGGATTGTGTGGCCTTCTCGAATTGCTCTCCTCTCTCTTATAGCGTTTGTCAAACAACGATTCCACTTCGGCGGTGGGACAGATCCGTCATCGACGACCTTGCGACAAGTCTCTGGAAAGAACAGTGCGACAGGAACAAAGATAGTCCCGCTGACGATGAGCAAGAACCAGAAGATCCAGTGCCAGCCGCAGTACTGCCCGATCAAACCACCTATGATGGGACCGAGCGAAGGGCCAGCCTGAGGCGCAACAGACATGTATGAGACATACACGCCACGTTCTGCTGATGTGATGATGTCGGCGGCGACTGCTTGCGCGAGGGATACGGTGCCGCTGCTGCCTGCGCTTTGTACACATCGGAGCACCATGAGTGCCGCGTAGTTATTTTGCAGGCCTAAGCCGAGATTGGCGGCCATGTAGATGATGAAGCAGGCAATGTAGGCTGGACGTCGTCCGGCCGCATCTGAGAGGCTGCCAATGAACGCGGGCGCGAGACCTTGCATAATCTAAGAAAAGTCAGTCTACAGGCGAGTCGAAGATGCGATGATCGACGAACTGACCAGGTATGTAGTGATCGTCAAGTTGACCAGGTCATAAGAGACGTTCAAGTCGGCTGAGATCTGATTCAATGCAGGGAAGTAAATCTGGCCTGATACCGGTGACAAGAACGAGCAGACTCCAGCGCAGAAGATGATGATTCTCTTCTCGCCATGTGTAAAGACGGAGTACGGCTTGCTATCGACTCGGTGCAGAGTTGTCTCATTGCCTTCGATGGCAGCCTCCTCATCAGCGTTTGCTGGATGGGCCGTGTCAGACTCGGGTTCTCCATAATCAGCGTTGTTCTCGTCCAGCTTGTTTTCCTTGTCATCGATGTGATCTTCTGAGGTCGCACTTTCGACTGTGGGCAACACGTCGCCGTCAACTCGAAGCTGGTTCTTCGATTGTTCTGGCTGAGTTCTAACCGGCGAAGGCATTGAGCTTTCTTCCTTGGTGCTCTTGTACTTTAGCGTTGTCCGTTGAAGCCTTCGGAGTCTCGAGACCGCGCAAGAATTGGAGAATCCTCGATGGGAAGGATGAAAACATAGTTATCGGTCTTTCCAGAGTTTCGCTGTTGCAAAGAATCGGTCATCTCGCTACGTTAGTGTAAGTCGGTGTTAAAGTCGAATCGCCGGGTGATGGGAGACGAAGCTGGCCGAGACCGGCTTCAGAATTCCGACATGCGCAACAAAGCCCGCGACGATGTCAGGCTGAAGGCAGTTCAAAGTCGCACAACAAAGTTTTCATCGCCCAAAAGCCCACAGAGTCGCCAAAATGTAATCAAACGCGTCTAGTCCTGAGATACCGGTTATGTGAGTCCTGGCTCTACGTTCAATGCAGTCCCTCTTCTCCAGAGCTAACTCGTCGTACACTCACGCACATCATCCCCTCGCCCTCTCAAACCCTTCCATGAACTCCGCCGCATTAGCGACGTATCCCCTGTTCGGCATCACCTTCTTCACAAGCATATCATGGACCTCCTGATGTGGATCCGCACATGCATCCTCAATCACCGTGACGACAAACTCAAGATCTGTTGCTGCCATGGAAGTCCTCAATACACACCCAGAAGTGCTGATGCCACAAATCATTAACGATGTGATGCCTTTCGTCATGAGAAATTGGGGTAACCCGGGGGATCGAAGGGCAGAGACGTATCCTGGGAGTCGAAAGAATGTAGGTTCGTCCTCATCGACGCCTTCTGTGAGAGCAGCAGGCTCATCGCCGCCGTCGGTCTCGCTCATCATCTTCTGGACGTTGGCGAAGACGACTTGGTCCTTGCATGTTGCGAATGGAGTGCCTTTGGCGTCCACCAAGCCGTGGATGACTAGGATGCCTTTCGATTTGGCCCAGTCTCGAAGCTTGACCGCAATTTCAACGACGGCTTGACCAGCATCCTCGGGTAAGGCTTTCTCAACCAGGAAACTGTGGAAGTCGAGCAACAAGAGTGCAGTCTGAGATGGGCCGTAGTAAGCTGGTGATGATTTGTCTTTACGGTTGAACAGGCCTGTAGGGGCTGACATCTTGCGAATCTTCTTCGTGCGTTGAAAGTGGTCGTATTGATTTTCCACGGCTGCTGACAGCGTATTTTTCCCTTCACTACAGTGCTGAGTGCTCTCATCGTTATATTTATGGTCACCACTGATCGCAAAAATACGCTCTTCCGTCGTCAACCGGCTCCATCGGAGTTACGGCTCGCACAGCCTCGTGGACTCCGATATAGGCCATGTGAAGTACAGTTAATAAACTTCGTATTGAACTTCAGCGCTGCACGACTTCAAAGTACGAGAATAGCAGAAGCATTTCGATGCAGAAGAATTGTCGACGTCGCAATATTGTCGCCGACGGAAGATAGTGTACACGGCGTCACCCCCTCACGATCGACTTGAATTTATAGTTTGCGGTAACTTCTCTAGGCAACCCGTCCTCGCGAGGAGATTTACTCCACAGCCACATGCACTTCACGCGGTCCAGCAAGGGCTTACCATCATCACCAACATCCTCGTCCTAGGCTATGGACGTCTCATAGCCTTCAGTCTGTCTACGTGTATTGTGAGCATGTTCTTTACTGTGCCGTTCCAGTCTCAACCAGATGAGGCAAAGACTCGCATATTCCCCAAATAGGACTTCGGTTGGTCAACCTCCTATTCGCCAATGTTTAAGGCGTGCCATCCAAGACAGCACCGATCGACAGCGCCGTTCGTCACAACAAGCCGTCCGAACTGGTGCAGCATGGCGTCAAAGGATCGACCCAGCTGAAAGGGAGATGGAGCAGCAGCTGTTCATCTTTCGTCAGGCGTCCGACATCTTCTCCTCTCCCGTTGCTGTTCTTCGACACAACAGCAGCAGCCGTGGATCGCTATCTTGGCGGCATACACCCACTGCCTCAGCCTTGCAGTCGCTGTGAAGGATGACTGCGTTGGTGCGACTTGTGTTGTTGGTTTCAGCCTTAGCGCTGGGAGGGCTGTGTCAGACGGGCAATGTCGCGTTTGGATACAACCCGCTGTGCAATGGCTCTTTCGCTGATGCCAATGCGGTATGAGACGCTTCGTGTTCTTTGCGCGTCATGCGCGTAGCTGACTGATGCCACAGACTGGGGTCTACTACTACAATCCACATGTCGACCAAGGCCAACAAGCCAGACAGCCCGACAACAACTCTGGCAAGACGAGGGACATCGGCATCGCATTTACTGTAACACAGGTCAACGACTCCCGCCTGCAGGACGCGACATGGATCAGCACCCAGGCAAGTTACCTTTGAGGTATGCAAGTACAAGATTCTAATCTACCCCAGGGCGCCAATTACTCAGATGACTTCGGTCTTGGATACGACGTCTGCGGGATGAACTTTGGGCCCTTCCCGGACAACACCAACCTTCGCGGGCAGGCAGACAATGGCTCTTGCACGACCATGTTCGACGCCGACTGCGTCAATGCGATTGAGCTTGCCGTACAGCAGTATGCACTGGACCTCGTGGCCAATCCTACTCCGGAGCCAAACAGCAATTTGACACAGCAGTCTCTCCCAGGCGTATGCAATAGTATCGGGGAGATGTTGCAGAGCAACATACCGCAGGAATGCACGAAATACGTCAACGGCTCGACGCAAGTTGGAAGTCGGACAGGTGAGGAGTCCATGCAAATAGTGGACTGTTTCCCGCTAACACACTCATAGGTCTCACCGGCTACAACGAGTCCCTCGTGTACGCCACAGGTTGTACCGTCCGAAATAATAACGGCACATGGTACGAGCTCCTCAGCGACACCGTCGATTACAACAGCGAGACCTATTCCATTCTCACGCAGACCGTTACACCCATCATCGCCGTCTGGATGCCGATCGCGAACGCCGACCGACCCTCGACCATCTCATACGCTACGGCGGGAATGATCTGCGTGAATGTGAATCACTTCAACCCCGGGAGTGTCGTGCCGGCCGCTTTACCCTCACCGACACCTGTAGGAAGCGGAGGAGGATTGAGTGGAGGCGCAATAGCAGGGATCGTGGTTGGTGTCGTCGTAGGCGTGGCATTGATTGTCGGACTGGCTGTGTGGTGGTTCCTGGCCAAGAGAAGGAAAGGCAAGAAGAGCACGGAGTTGCCGGTGAACGAGAAGGATACTATTGATATGAGTGGTAATGCTGTGGTTGGCGATACGGATTACAAGCACACGCAGAGTAGTCCGGTCGAGGCTCCTGCGGAAGAGAGGCCTTTGGCTGAACTGGAGAATCAGGACTTCAGGCCGGAGCTGGATGCCGGTAAGGATAACCAAGTGTTTGAGTCGGATGCAAAGCCCAGTGCTCCTGCTGTTGAGCTGGAAGGCAGTGCGCCGAACGCGCAGAGGTGAGCATTCGTACATTGTATTCAATGAGTTTTTGCACAATTCTGGTCCAGCCATCGGCATCTCTCTATGCATGTAGGAAGCTGACGACGGGCCTTGTTCACAATTGTTCCTTCAACAGCTCGTCCGGGCGTTCAGCATGTTGGAGCTTCGTCCATTTCACAAGGCTTTGGATCCATGCAGAGTACAGTGCGATGTTGTCTTAGCCCAGGAATCCTGGCAACAACAAGGTCTGGCGTTATGTAAGCAGACTTGGCTCCAACTTCACCCGATTTCTGCTGCCGACCAATCCCTCAAAACATCAACAACATCAAAATCAATGTCCATCCTGAAGACTGTCGCTATCATCGAGCTGCCATAGGATGTAGTATGACCTCGAGTCCAGCCGGCGCGGCGGTATGTCTGACGAAGCCGCCTCCGTCGAAAAAGCGATCTTGCGATACATGCTTCAAGTACAAGGAAAAATGTACCTGGTCTGGCAATTCTCAGGATGAATGCGACCGCTGCCGCCGAACTGCCTCGAAATGCACCAATGCTCGGCCTTTGCAACGAGTGGGAAGGAAACCGAGATGTCTAATAAAGCCAACTTCCGCTGTCTCGGGCTCGAACATCCCTCCCGTCGTGAACCCTTTCGGTGCTATGTTCAAGGACCTGGATCCATTCGAAGAAGGAGTCGTCGGCAGATTCCTCGATGTAGACTTCTTCAGTGAGCTCATGACCGTCCCTCGTATGGGCCGGGCAATGCACCAGCAGGCTATGAGCAGCTTACTGCAACACTGGGAGCTGACCCGCGATGGGTACTTCTCCATGTTTGGCGCCTTTGCTGCAGCCAAATCGATCGAGATGCCGGCGTATGATCATGAGAAGAATCTCCAACGAGGGACACGAGCACTTAAGCAGTTCCGCCTCATGCAATGCCCGAGTGTAACTTCAGAAGTCACTCCGTGGCTTTGGCTTGGTATTTCCGTTCTGATCTATGCGCATTGCGGGCTGGGCAACTCTGGGACTACTGTTCGACGATACATCCTTCAGCACCTGCTCGAGCTACGCCAGCAAGGACAAGACTACACTTCGCACCCAGGGGTGATCTCTCTCATCGCTCTTGACATCTTCGAGTGTTTGATTCATCGTAGAATGCCCGTGTTGAACATGCCACTGCGTCAGAATGTTGGAGCTGATGCATTCTTGGGTGTATGTGCCCCGTTGGTGCGACTGTGCTGCGACTTGGCTACGTTGAGCTACAACTGGCAAGACGGGAATTTCGACGAGGATGTACTGGCTGGATTCGAAGCTGCCGTGGATTGCTGGCAGCCAACGTTGTCGCCGGACTGGTACGAAGAGGCCTCCAAGATTGAGACCACACATGTCCTATCCCAAATCCGTGTACACAGGGCCATGTTACTCCTGTTCGCGCACCGATTGAGGCACGCCTTTGGAAGAGAAGACGCAGCGGCATCCCAGATGGCTCACAGCATCCTATCTGAGCTGGACCTTGCTACCATTGCCACACGCCAGCCTCCAATGTGGACCATGTCACCCTTTATCGTTGCGGCATTGGAGGTACCAGATACCAATGAAAGATCGAAGGTTGTGCGCAATGTTCCAAAGTATGGCGACAAACTCTCGCCCAAGTCGCAGCGAATGGCCGCAGACTTTCTACGGGCTTTCTGGACATACCGAGACCAGCACGATGGCTTCAGATGGATCGATATGCTGCATTACTTCCCACCGCTGTGCCTATACATGTGAGTACAAATGATGATTCACTGGCTTAGATCTCGCTGAGGAGAAAATGACAATTGCTCCGTTGGCACGGCTCAAGCAAGTTGATTACAATTTCGAAGACACCGATATCAAGCTGAGGCTGAGCCGTGTTGGAGAACAAGTCTGAAGGCCTTCGAGCAAATCGATCAGGAAACCAAAGCGCAAAATGGTCGTATTTGATTGACTGGAGTCGCGAGGTGGGTCTCGACGGCATGCCGAAGACGGTTACACAGGTTGTAATGAGGCTCGGCAAGACAAGCCTCGATTCAAGCAACAATCCTCCGTAACTTTAAAACGAGCACGCCGCCGCTATACCACATGAGACCAGCATCACGCCAGGGACGATCGACTACAATGCCTCACAATGCTGCCGTATGTGAGTTTTGATTGGTTGCAGCATTGCTTTGTATCGCCATGACGAGAGGAGCAACATGAGATGCCGTGGCATATATCAAGCCTTGGATCCTGCGCAGGAACAGATGATCCTTTCACTTCGATCTTGCAGCCTCTGCCTTTTTAGAAATTACTCGCAAACGTTCCTAACGATCACATTCATGATGGCCACGAAAACCCCATATGCGACCACAAATGTCCACCAGCCGTCTGCGCAAGATCTGGACAACCGAATAAACGATCTTACCGCCCAGCTCGCCGAAGTCAAGGCCGAACAATACAAGCGAAGCCGTTCACAGCAAGAACTCGATCCCAAGCAGCCATCCGTCTACTACGACGCACAGCCCATCGACAATGACGACCAGATACCGAACTATACGACCGAGGCACCTCTTCCAAATACCAGCAGAGAGATTGTCTCAACGCCCTCTCAATACCCTACAATTCCAGATGCACCACCGCCGCCCTATTCTGCCAACCAGGACCGCATCCCTCTACCAATTGTCCTCCCCCAAACGTCCAAGAACTTCCGAGGTGCCTTCTATAGCCCCTTCGTCCGCGCTTACGTCCCTGAATTAGAAGCCCACGGCCTTTCATAATCCGACTTCCTCACATTCATCGATGGCGTCAATGAAGCTTTCGTAGCCAACCCGGTCTCCGAAGGATTTGGAATCGCAGGCATGATCATGCAGCAGCTCTACGGTATACAACCTGTCCAATGGGCAGGACTGGGGCTGCAAGTTGCGTCCGGTGCCGCCAGCGCCGCGACATCGTATGCCAGGACAAGAGCGTACATCAAAGCGGTGAATGCCGACCTATTCCATCCAGTTGGGTTGCATGTGAACATCTTAACTACGAAGAAGATGATGGCGAAAGTCGGCCATCCCGAAGAGCGATTGAGTTTCCCGCCTCTAGACACCACCGAGCAACTCGAATAAAACAGCCTAAGCCGCGAATCGACCGCCAGTAGCAGTGTCTCAATCCCCAACGAAGACGCCCGCATGCGCCGAATCTGTGCCCTGCAAGGCTACGTAATGCCACTCGACTTCGACGTCCCGGAAGCCGTCACGCCCGATAACGTCCTCAAACGCATGGGCGCCGCACAAGCCCGCCGCCAAGCGCGGAAACAAGAAAAGAAAGACGACAAACGCCGCGAGAAAGCTCTCGAGAAACGCCACGACAAGCTCGACAAGGCCGATGAGAAGATCGCGGAGATTGAGAAGGATCTCGCGAAGGAGAGGAGGAAGATGGAGAAGGAGATGGGGAAGAGGAAAGCACGGGAGGAGAGTAAGGAGAGGAGGAAGGTTCAGAGGGAGTTTGAGAGGGACGAGAGGAAGTTGAGGGGGGATTTGGAGAAGGCGGTGAGAAAGAGGGAGAGGAAGGTGGAGAGGCATGGGGAGAGGGATGGGGAAAGGGGGGAGACGGGGTTGCCGAAGTTGGATCGGAGGGAGGAGAAGACTGCTAATAAGATTCGGTGGGTGGTTGTTAGTTGTTGGGAGGGGGAGGATGAAGAAGGAGATGAAGAGGAGGACGACCCCTCAAGTATGAGTAGTGAGGGCAGGGGAAGGGGATTAGAGAAACAATCATAGTCTCCGCAAGGAAGATAAGGCTTGTAGCCGCGACGATGAATTTCGCACATCTACTTCAACTTGAAATCCTTGTACGTCCACTTCTCCGTGCGGAACGTTTGCTTCTTCTTCATCTGTCCAACCTTCTTCCTCACCTCCAACTTGCCATTGATCAACAGATTCCGATAGCGATCTGTCAGGAGATTTCCCTCGGGCCTCAGCCGTCTCAACGACTCCTCAAGATCCTCGGGTAGTGTGACTTCCAGTGGTGCTTCCGGGATGGCTTTCTGGCCAAAGCGACGTTTCTGGAGCCCAGTCTGGCGATCATTTTCGTCTGAGTCCGAGGAGTCGTTGTCGGGTTGGAGTTGGCTACCTGGCCGACGCTTCTTGTCCCGCTCTGAGAGTTCTTTGGCGATTTGCTTGATCTGCTTTTCCTGCTTCTCGCGCTCCTTTTGCTTAAGCTCCCACTTTTCTCGCGCCTCTCTCTCCTTCCTTGCTTTGACCTTGTTGCGTTCCGAAGGCGTCTTTCGCTTCGTCTGCTTTTGTGTATGTGCTTCTTGCTCAGCCTCGGATTGAATGCCGTCCCATTCGCTCTCCCAGGCACTTTCGTAGTCTGTGGCGTACTCGTCCTTCTCGGCTGCCTCAACCTTTGCTGCCTCCTCCAGTGCTCGTATCTCTTTCTCCTCTGCTTCTGCCTCTGCCGCAAGACGTGCCTTTTCAGCTTCGACAGCAGCTTCACCTTCCCTCTCCAGCAATGCGGACCAGTCACCAACAAGCGGGTTGTACGACTTTCCAGCATCAGGTTTCCGTACATGCGCCAGAGGTTTTCCACTCGCGGTCAATGGGACAGGTGCTTGTTTGAGCGTCTTCGGTGCGACCTTGTCTTTCGGCGGCTCCAAGAAACTGAACTCGGGTTGCTCTACGGGTGCAACATCTGCCCATGGATCGTGCGAGGCGCCCTCGTCCGCCACCACACCCACACTTCCGCCGTCTGCAACACCCTTCAATCTCTGCAGCTCCCTATGCGAGACATACGTCCCGTTTTTCTGCCTCTTTCCACCACCAACCGTCTCTTCCGCTTTCCGCTTGCGGTGGTCCAGGCCCAGCACAGCGCTTCTCTGTCCCAGAATCTCGTCCGCCTTGAGTGACTTCTTCCCTCGCTGCTTCTTTTCAATCTCTGCGTCGCCTTGCAAATCAGTCGCGAACAGTTGATCCGCATCTTTCTCCGCGATCACGCCGCCCTTGATGATTTCTTCTCGAACATCGTCCAGGCCGGTCTGTACTTCGGAGATGTCGACATTCTTCCGCCAGGCCTTCTTGCCCTTTCGGGAGGGCTGTGAGTGTGTCGCCGGTGCGATGACGGTCTTGTCGGCGGCCATGGTGTAGTTCAATGTTGAAAGTCTGAAGTTTTGAACGGCTTCGAAGAATTTCAGATCGAAAGTCGCTGCGCTAACTCCGCTCGCCAACGAAGGATCGACCCGTGCCGCTGCTCGGCTGCTAATCCTTGTCCGGCCTCGTGGACTTTCCACTGCGGTGGAACGACGGACTCCCCTTAACTCACCCCTCCACAATCAATTGCGCCAGTGAACACTGCGGCGAGAATAATCGACCTCCAACTCGACATCTCTCGAATTCGCCGTTGAAATTCAGATCCAAAGACCGCCTTTGATCAAAGCGCCACGACCGAATCCGGAAGCAATCCATTGAACTCGAGAATCAGCGAGAGAGGGAGACACAAGACTCGAGAACATACGACTTCTACGAGGCGACGGATACGGTCTGAGAAGAGAGAGTGAAGTCTCAGACAGACAACCATGGCCTCCAACGTAGGCTCCTACACCAACCCGCTCAAGAAGTTCAAGCTAGTCTTCTTGGGCGAACAATCAGGCAAGCAACCAACGATAAACTCCCCTCACATCCACACTCTAACACGACACGCTCAGTGGGCAAGACCTCCCTCATCACCCGCTTCATGTACGACTCCTTCGACAGCACCTACCAAGCCACCATCGGCATCGACTTCCTCTCCAAAACAATGTACCTCGAAGACCGCACGGTGCGGCTGCAACTCTGGGACACCGCGGGGCAAGAACGCTTCCGGTCGCTCATCCCCTCCTACATCCGCGACAGTTCCGTCGCCGTGGTCGTCTACGACATCACGTCGACGAAATCCTTCCAACAGACCCGCAAGTGGGTGGACGACGTGCGGGGGGAGCGGGGCAACGACGTGATTATTGTGTTGGTGGGGAACAAGACGGATCTGAGCGAGAAGAGGGAGGTTACGGCGCAGCAGGGCGAGGAGGAGGCGAAGCGGTTGGGGTGCATGTTTGTGGAGACGAGTGCGAAGGTGGGGCATAATGTTAAGGGGTTGTTTAAGAAGATTGCGCAGGCGTTGCCTGGGATGGAGGGCGAGGCGCAGCAGGGGGTTGCGAATAGTAAGTCGAAGATACATGGTGATGTTCTGGGTGGTGTGCTGACTGATGAATTCGCAGCTATTGATGTCAACGTTAACGCACCCAAGCCGGAGAGTGAAGGCGGATGCAACTGCTGATCGAGACACGGCACGCGCAGCAGGAGAAGAGCACAGCGGAAGTGGCCGATCAGGGACTGTGTATAGCGTATGCGAGGGAGAGGGAAAAGCACATGGACATTTCACTGTGCTGTAGAAACGAAAAGCAAGCGAGAATAAGCCAAGGGAAATGACATGCAGCGCGGCGTTGGAGGCGCAGGGTGCATGGCTGCATAGCGAGCGAGCGCTGGGAGGGAAAGTTCTGCCTGTGCTTATTTGCGTGCGTTGATGAGTCTGAGAGAGACGACTATACATACAATCTGAAATGCGCCATGAGCGAGTCTCATAGTCCATTTGGTGGGGAGTTAAAGGTAAGTATGTCATTGACCTCGTGTGATTAAGGACTGTACCGTCCCATATATCTAATGCTATACACTGTTCATGTAAGACCGCAGAGTACTGAACAAAGACTCACATCCATCCACGCGACTTCGCTCCTCAACGCCGCTATCAATGCACCCATGCTTCGCTCATGCCCATCATCCATCCTTCCCTCATATCCAGAATCCACTCGAAGGGGTTTTACTCTGGTACCTTCTTTCCAGCACCAGCCGGCAAAGGCGGACCAGTACCACTCCTTGCCCTCCTCTCCCTCTCACCCACACCCTCAGGCACCTTAATCCTCAACGCCTTCCTGCCACTTTCAAATCTGCCACTCGTAGCTCTCTCCCACTCACTCTGCCCAGCCTCCGATTCCTCCCTGCCAAGCCAATACCTCTTGCTCGGGAATCGGAGCATCAGCCTTCCGAGCTTGGAGCTCTCCTCTCGGCCTTCACGGAAGGGGTTCTCAGCCATGGTAGGGTCGGAAGTATCGCTGTAGGAGGCCGATGAGTTGGATGTCGAGGCGACGTATTGTCGTAGCATGGAGCGGGCGTAGGACAGGACGATCATGCAGAAGTAGATGCGCACGATGATGAAGGCCGCGAGCAGGGCGATGCTGGTCATGGAGTCGCTCTGCAGGACGGACTGGCTGAGCGAGGCCTCGCTGTGGCCGATGGCTACTGCCTGCTGGCCGGCGAGAAGACCTGGCGCTGGCTCCGCGACAACTTCCACCTGCGTGACGTTGTGCTCCGGATCGGTAAACCCGGCCACCTCGTTCATCGTCCCGGCACTGCCCCCGATCGGACTGTCCTTCCCAGGCTCCTGCAAATGCTGCGAAAGAAGCATGAACCACCCCGCGCTGAAGAGCGCCGTGTACACGCTATTCACCACCGTGTCCAAAACATATATCCACGCGAGCGCGACATTGCGCAGCGGCTGGTCCGGGCGTCGAATCGCGGGCATGAGCCATGTTACGAGGCCAAGGATGACGAGGGAGTAGATGTAGTGGGAGAGCTGAAGGGGGTTGAGGTGGTAGCCGGTGAAGAGGGCGAGGATGCCGTAGAAGCCGGTGACTTTGTTGATGATGAGGGTGAGGTTGATGAATTCGGCGGCGGTGCGGAGGGAGACGAAGTGCAGGAGGGACTGTAGAGACATGTCAATCATATGCGCCGGTTTGTTGGGTTGGGGGTGTGGGCTGGCGGTGCTGAGGTTCGTTTGGAGACTATACGAGGAGATGACATACTCGCGGTTTGGGGACGCGCAGGACGGGCGCCATGTTGTCGTTTTGTTGTCCCACTCTTCTTCCAATTTCAGTACTGGTGGTTGATTGTGAGTTCAGAGGTATTCTGGCGGGTGATGGTGTTTGAGGAGTGGTGTTTCACGAGCTGACGTCCGTTTCGCAGGCAGAGATGACTTTCTCGTCGCACAGCTCGGATCCCGGCGGCTGTGAAGTTTGATGCCTGAGGCACGCATTGAACTTGGCTCAACTTCGACCACACCTGACCTGCTTCTTACCGCATCCACCAGCAACAATGACCGTCTGCTGTCCCGATGACAACCATCAAGTCCAGACAACTCATTCCAAATCCCGACATGTCTCGAAGACACAATGGGCACAGGATATGCGCGATTGGTCACGATGGGCTTCGCGTCCTATCTCCTTTGCTTGCGTACCACCCTGAAATACTACGTCTCCCATGACCAAAAAGCTGCCAGTCGTTGCTGAGGAATGTGATATTAGTGGTAAGCCAACGACATTGATCAACAGATGCTGTGCCTCTCCAACATTCGCTCTACGGGCCTTGCGCGATTTTGTTTCCAAGAGCTAGCACAGAAGCATCCGCGGCTGAAGGTCGTGTTACGTACTGAGAGTGTTCCCACGACCGCACTGCTCCTCGAATGCTCAGGCTGGCCATCGAATCTATGAGGAACACTCGGACGTTTCACGCATCTGAAGTCCTTCTGCCTCCATGGACGCAGTCATCGGCGTCATGGTCTTCAAACTTCCCGGCCTCCTGTGTCGCCATTGCTCGCAGCAACCCAACGACTTCGACTTCGGTGTGACTGAATGTTAGCCGAATCCACTACGAAATGCACGAAGATGAATCATCATTGCCAACACCGCACGCTTCGCTACATCTACTCACTTAGTTGAGGCATTTCCTTTCAAAGGATTCACAATGAGGCATTTTAACATTCTCTATCCAGGGCGACAAGTATAAGAATCATCCCATCAGCGCAGGTACATTATTGATAAGTCCATCCAACACTTCAGCAAGCCTCTCACCAACAACAACGGCAACAATGAACTTTCAAACCCTCTACCTGGCGGCAGCCGCCCTCTTCGCCACCACTGCCTTCTCGGCCGCTGTTCCTGAGCTGTTCTCGCGCGACTGCAACTTCTCTTGCAGACCATGCGCTGAGTATCCCAACAATTGCGTCCAGGTTCCTTGCGTATGCAGAAGGATTTCAGATGTTCAAAGATCGTATTGCTGACTGCGACTAGTGCAAGACAGACTGAAGCGGTCGTGACCTTCCCGGGGAACAGAGTCGGGGGTGTATGAATTGGCACCCAGAGTCGGAGGAATATTGTCTTCAGGAGAGCGGGTAGTGTCGTTACCCGTTCTCCTAAGAAGTCGTTATGTTGAGGGAGGCAATATGCTCAGACAAAATCTGGACTTGATCGTCTTCACCAACTTGCACCGCAATAACACCCACAATATGCTTCACCATGTTCTTGATTATCATGAGGCTGCCACTCTTCTCACTTGGCAGTGATGACGCGCGCCTGCAGAATTCTCTCCGAGCGAAGCTGCTGCAGCATTGCTAAGGCGAGAAGGATTCGTTCAGGCACCTAGTAAACTGCTGATGAGCGTATAGCTTAGGGGTCTCTGTATCCTCTTACCACTTCCAAGATGGGACACCGGAGAGGTGCATCTCTCTATCGAGACGAGCCTTTACACATGTGGGAAGGGAGTAACAATCGGAGCCTGATGCAGGCTTCGTCAGCCACAAAATGAGACAAAACCGTCCATAGGTACTGGTCAATATATCGCTCGGTAAGGGTAGTTTTGCCGTCCCGATAGCAGCACTAGTGTTCAGGACAAGTTCATCGACCTCTAGTGCTGCCCAGGACGATGTCTACTTACTGGGGCTTCCAGCCGTAAGAATCCTTGACAAGCTGATTGCAGAGATGCCTGCTTCTTGGTGCCTCGCCTTCAATCAGGGAATCAGAAAATACTCGCCCGCTAACCATCGCCATTTCATCTCTTGCGACTTCAACATTCGTTTCTCTGTTACTGAGGACATCCACCATGGCAAGCACGCACACTTCGACATTCCTCCCGAATATCAGCCCAAGCTGCGTCCTGTGCAGCCCAAAGACACACGATCGGACGATGAGATTCTTGATTCCCTCACCCAACCCACTCCAGTCTCAAGCGAAAAGAACATCTGGGCATTCTGGCACGCCGGTCTGCGAGGGCTTCCGAACTGGTGTCCCCGCAACTTGATCGATTGGCACCGTGTTTGTGGTCCATCATGGACCGTTCGGCTCCTGGATACGGTCCCAGGCAGTCCGAACAACGCTTTACAATGGGTCGATGCTGATATGCTACCCGAAGCTTTTGTCAAGGGGACGATGGAAGGTCCGTATGTTGGACAGCATTCGGCAGATCTGTTGCGGGCGGCTACTCTGTGGGAGCATGGAGGTGTTTGGATGGACGTCGGTATAATCTTGATTCGTGATTTGGATAGGGTGTGTTGGGATCAGCTTGCTGATGAAAGTAATCCGTACGAGATGTGCAATGCCTATGTCGATGGTGTGATTATTGCGAATCACTTCGTGGCGGGCAGGAAGGGAAGTGAATTTCTGCGAAAGTAGTATGCATGGAGCTCTTCATTCTACTGATCAGAGACCTGCTAACTTCCCAGGAGGCAGGAGCTCTTCTCTCACCTCTGGTCAGACCGCAACTCCAGCACCGGACTCATATCCAACCCTCTCCTCGCCTTCCGCGGCGAAATGCTCCCATCAGCAGCCATGGCACGCTACAACTTTCCCATGAAGCTCGACAAGATGCCCACGATCATGGATTACACCGCTCAGATCTCTGCCTATGCCCGGCTCGCCGTTCTGGAAGAACCGAGTGGTGGCTTCAACGGCCAGGAGTACAGAAAGAACAAGATCCTTAAGTTCGACGCCCTAGGCGAGTGCTGGGCTGCCGAGGCTGCGATTGGATTTGGCGGTCAGGATCTCTTCGACCTACTCGCCACGAAACGTACTGGGCCGGATGCACAGCCTCAATCCGAGGAGTATCAGCTCGCGGAGAAAGTCGTGTGGAGACTCCTCAGCAGTGCATCCATGCAGAAAGTTACCCACGGGCACGATCTCGTGCAAAGTCTTGGTTTGGGTAGTCTGTGAGATATGCCTGAACACGAGGGTAAAGACAACGAGCCAGGCACTTTTGCGGATTTATTGAGGTGTGGGAGTGTGCGTTTCGAGCAGACGAGGGAGGAGATTGAGTGTGTTGATCCAGAGAACGTGGAGGTTGTGATGAGGAAGGGGTTGCTGGAGCCTTGAAAGCTCAGCTGAATCGATCATGGCAACTCACACGGCCACGGAAAAAAAGAACAGCCCATCACATACTCCTGGAATGACTCTTTGGTCACCCGGTCATCAGACCCTCACAAGCTGGTTCTCTCCTTATTCCCCGCGATCACCCCTCCTCAGACTGCCTCCTCCCAGCCTTTGAATTTAAATATCGATTCCTCAACAAATGTCAGCACAGCAAACCCCTCTTCCCCCTGAACCACCCCCAAAGAACTCACCTCTCCTCAGCCCACCCCATAACCCACCAAGCCCCCAAAAGCGCGGGAACAACATACAAGAACTGATTCCGACACCTTCAAAACGTATTGAAAGGGCCCTTGCCGTCGAAGGTGTGGTAGGAGGGTCGGATGTGGTTGGGACTGAGCTTGTAGGTGGTTATGTTGTATTGCTGGGGGAGGTCTGGAGGGATCGCATCAGTTAGACAGATGGGGGAAGGGGGCAGGGAGGGAGGGAGGAAGTACGTTTATGGCCCCAGCAGAGGACGGGTTTGTGGCTTTAGAGTTGTTAGTTGGGAGAAGGGATGTAGGGGATGGGGGGAGTACTCTTTTCGGAGGTCTTGGTTGTATTCCATGGTTGTTAACTGTTCATCGATATGCTGAGGATTAAGAACGAGCCTCTGCCTCAACGAGGACACCTTTTATATTTTCCAAGTATGACATTGTCGTCGTGGTGTAGCCTCACGTGACCGGACTGTTATGACGGTCGCTAGCCAATCAAAAGACAGGGAATGGACCGGCCAAGCTTTTCGAAGTGAAGGATTGGGGCTCCGCTTGCTTGCTTCCCGCTTCGTGTTTACAACATCATCGTCTCGGCGGCGTTTCTTCAGGAGGACTTTAGCGATTGTGGATCTCTGCATATATGAGTGATTCAGGTCTCATTAGCTTGCTGCCGCTGATGACCGTCGATGCCTGGAAAGGAATTATCCCCAGCTCGTATCGCATGCCCTGAAGACGTGCTGTCACCTTCATCAAGCAGGAAAGGCGAGATCTGTGAAGTTTTAACTGCACAGCAAATTCTCTCATCTGAACGGTCAGCCAAGCAACCAAGATGCACATCTCAACGAGCGAGGGACCACAGCAAGGCGCCACGCCGATGCCGAAACTCCTCCCAAAGCCCAGCATGACTCCTGTCGAAGACCCGTCCCTCGAATCCCACATCAAAAACCTCGTCCTCACCATGATCAACGCCATGAACACCCGCGACTTCAACCCCTCCTCCCCAGCCTGGAAACCCACGACTCCGGACTTCGTCTCCGAACCCTCCTTCCACATGAACTACCTAGCCGTCAGCCTGCACGACTTCCTCCGCCTCTTCGACGAACAAACCCGGGACCACCCGGAGTATTTCTGCGAGGTCAAGGAGGTCAATGTGCATGTGAACTCGAAGCGGGATCATGCGGTTTGTTTTACGGAGGTCGAGACGAATGGGCTGCCGATTGGGATTGTGAGGAGTAGTGTGGGAATCGTGGAGTTTGTGCGTGTTGGGGAGGGGGAGGGCTGGAAGTGTAAGAAGTATCGGTGTATGCCGGGGATGGAGGTTTTGGGGGTTCCGGATGAGGGGAAGGGGAGGAAGGGCGGTGGGTGATGGAAAGAAGAATTTGAAGAATCTGCTTGCTTTCTGGTCCTGGCTCCCTCGACGACGGCTATGAAGACGGTCTCCAGCTTGCTTCCTGACCGACACTTGCCGATCCCATAAAAAAAATCCCTCGAAAACGACAGACCAAGCGGCTCCTTAACAACAACTAAAAGCTCCCCTTCCTAGACTCCTCAACGACTGTCCTCACAATCACCGCGTCAAGCTACTGCTAGAATCAGTCGTCCGTCCGTAATCGAAACTTTCGCACGCAGGGAAGCCTACCTCACGATCCTCGCGTAATGATGCGTGGCGATCATGGTACTTGGCACGGACCCCAATCCTATCTTCACTCGTATGATGGGTCTTCAGGCAACCGTCCGCCGCAGTCGGTGACAAGAGGGTTTTGTACGCCGACCTTCGAGAACCGTCCTTGGTTGGAAGTTTCGGCATTGTGGAGCCGCATTGAAGGCCAAGTGTACAAGGACGTTTGTTTGTCTACGGTCACGCAGATTTAGAGCGGGATGAAAATAGGAAAGGTTGAGACATTGAGAATGATCTTTGAGATTTTGTCTGGGAGTTTGGGGGTTGGGACTGGTATTTATCTTCCCCCGGGACCTTTGACCACTCGCCATATTTGGTGTGAAGGCAAACCCTTTGCTATTGATCGCAGAAGTTCCGTCAAGGCAGACCATGAACGGGGCGAAAAGTTGCCCTGCTTCAAGGGAGAAAAGTGCGTCGTAGCGGTGGACGGTAGCGTCTAATGCCCTTTTTGAGGATGACAGTCGCATTGTCATTGGCATGGCTGCTGCTGTCCGCTAGACAACATACAGGATCGACGCTGCCGGGCGAAATGGAGTTGGAATTCTATTGGGTCGACTTCCTTCGATGTACGCCACGGAGTCTCGGCTTGCTTCCAATTACGAATTCAACAAGACGGCGCCGGGTATAGTAAGATAGAGGCATCTAGCTCTACTTTCCAGATTGCCGAGTTAGGCAAGGCTTGTGCAAGGCAGACATTAGGGTATAGTTAATATAGTATATCTACTATAGATCTTGTATTTCTAGTAGTTATATCCTTCTATTACTTACCTTCTAGCTCTTCTATAGTAGAACCATCGCCTTTTATAGTAGGTTCTTAAAGAAGCGTACATTACGTAGTCACGTGCATCAAGCCGTTAGGACTCCTAGATCGCTAAAGGTGTATTGAGGCGACCGGCTCGTAAGAGGAGGTTTTGTCACGTGGAGCTATGCTACTACTTCTTCTCCGTCTTCTAGACTTTCTGACTATAGAACCTCCACTGCGACTGCCAGTCGGGCGACAGAGGATCTTGCTTTAGCACAGCTCGTAAAAGTTCAATAGGCATCATATTCTCCTTCATAATACGATCGTGAAATTCCTTCTCGGTCCAGACCCCGTTTGGACCTAGCACTTCCTTTCTTAGTGCGTACAGTTGTAGCGCGCCCAACATGTAGCCGGCTTGGTACAAGGGACTGTAATCGCCGTTGAGAGATCGTCGAACCTCGCCTTCAGCTGTGGCCCGCTCGTGTCCGACCCGCTCGACTAGCAAGTCGACGCACTCCTGCGGGTCCATCTGGCGCAAATGGAATTTGATAGAAAATATGATGCGTGCGCATCGATGCATCCGCCAGAACAACATGCCGATCCGGTTCTGGGCCTCGTTGGTCGCGTATGTCTGGGAGATTTGGCTGGGGAAGCCGCGATCCCAGAGCAGAAATTCCCAGTATAGCGCCCACCCCTCAATCCAGAAAGGTGTTTCGAAAAGTTTTCGGTGGGGGTGGTAGCGATCCATGTAGTAGAATTGGAGGTGGTGTCCAGGGATGAGCTCGTGATGGACTGTGGCGCGCGAGAATGGAGGATTGTTCCCACGCATGCTCATAAGCTTGTCTTGATGGCACATGCCAGCCGTGGGGTATGAGACGGTGATTTCGGTGCCGCTGGTGAAAAAGGGGTTGACCCTTTGTTGCTCGGGAGTCATCATTACAGTTCGCCAGCAGTCTTTGGCGATGTCGGGAACCGTAATCAAATCGAGGGCGACGACATAATTCAGTGCCTCGGAGGCGAGATCGTGGACGACCTGTTCAGCCAATATCAGCAAAGATTGCACGACACACATGATGTAGCAGCGCCGTACGTGAATTTGTTCGCCAGGGTTGACAAAGCTGTTCCGCGTGTGCTCAAGAGCTTCCCTGGGGTCTCTAAATCCCAGCGCCTTGGTGGCAAGTACCATATGTGCTTCGCACCACGCGAACTCGCGCTCTCCGATCTCGACCAGTTCTTCAGGAGTGTAGGGGATGCACTCGGCTTCGAGTTCGTCCAAGATGGCTTTCCTCCCCAACGGTTGTCCGATGATGTCTCCGGCAGAGGTGTCCATGTTGTTGCCAGACTTGCGTTGCAGTAGTCTCACGAGGCCACGAATCGCTTCCGACAGCGATTTCCAAGGGCTGGCCAGCCACCAGGTAATGACGGGGTCGTAGTCACGGTAGAAATTGACTGCTTCTTCCAGGACATCGTGGAGCTCGGCTGCCATTCGCGCAGCCCTGTTAGCGATAATTTTTTCTTGCGCGCCGGCAGCCTGCTCGCCATTGTCACGAAGCTCGTCGCTCAGCTGTTTGATGCACACGATCGCGTCAGACATACGAGCCGCAGCGGTCAGGCCCTGGAACCGGGTGACTTGCTGCCGCCAGAGGCACAGCTCAGCGAGTGGCGGCATCCAAGGTGAGAAATAGTGATCCGTTTCCGCATATTGGGCGGCTTCTGTATGAGTCTAACGGTGTCGTCGAGTCAGATGAATGCGCGAGAGCAGCCAATCAACCTGACCGGACTGGTCGAGCGCATGGAAAGGGAAAGCCTGCAGGTCATCGAGCTTCCGCGATATATATTTCTGGAGCTGGTGCAGCCTCGTGGTCGAGAAGGTCAGGGGATAGAAAGTCTCAATGTCGCGCAGATCGGCGGCAAGGCTATGCACAAAGACTTGCATGGCGGTAGGAGAAACGCGTGCATCGCCATCATCGAGCAATGATGTGGTTCTGGTCATAGTGTGTGTCTGCTGCAATGTGGCAGAAACGTGCATCGCATCACTATACATATAGGTTACCGCAAAGGACACGCTATCACGCTATCCGAGATCGAAGACATTTTGATCACGTGATACGCGGAGGAGTGTTCCGCACGCGGCATCAGAGTCGGCTTCTACATCCAGCCGTTGCGCAGCTTGACTCCGCCTGTCTGTCCCTCACAATCCACAAACGACACACGGCCTGATGAGATGCTCGACTCGCCGCCTCGTCATCGCCAAGACCTCGACGACAGCAGGGATTCCACGCGCGCTCGCCGCATCCAACAAGCGTAAGGCCCCATCATCTTCATCAGCATCAGCGTCATCATCATCAATATCACCATCAATGTGATCATCAATCCCTCCATCATCATACTACCCATACCTGCCGCACCAGCCGACTAACCTCTGTGGTGGAATGCGTACAGATGTGACCGTTGTCGAGCGCGCAAGGTTCGCTGGTCGGGTCTACGCCCCTGCATGTCCTGTCGCCGCGCCGCCGTTGAGTGCGTCTTCGCCGACAAGGGGCAGCGCGTCTCCGTCTCCACGCACTACCTCCACCAGCTGCAGGAACAGGTCCGTCAGGCTCGAGTCGCTCAACAGGCTCCGCAGCCGCAGCAGCAGATTCAGCCTCAGCCTGAGCCGACACCGACGCCGCCGCCCCCATCCCCACGACCCCCCGCCACATTCCACCCTGACTGCGCAGCCTCAAATGAGTCGTCGTGCAACCTTGACGGCAACGAGGGCTTCGAGCGCAACATCCTGGTCGACGGCGCTCATCTTGTCCGCGACACGGATGGCACCGATGCTCAACTCTGTGCGAGAACTATCCGCTGCGCTGCGTGAGCCGCCTGCTGACATGTCCCAGGGTACCTGGGCCCGTCATCGACATGGTCGTTCAGTCGGCGTGTGACGGCGTACATCGCGCAGAACACGTTGCCACCCGACGGCCCAACGCTGCCCCCCAACCTGGACGGTGCAGCGTACTCTTCGCTGAGAGGCATGTCGTCTTGGAACTCCCATAACCCGCCGCCGCCGCCCCTTGAGCGTCGAGACGTGCCGTCCCTGGACTATGCCATTTACCTGTTAAACACGGTCAAGTTCCATCTGAATCAAATCTTTCGCTTCATCGATGAAGCGTCATTCACAGAATCCATCCATGTCTTCCACAACAACCCGGCCCAAACCAATCTCCCAGCTCTATGGCACGCCCAGTTTCTTTTCGTTCTGGCCTTTGGGAAGGCCTTCCTCACCAAAGCCAGTCGAAATCCGCAAACCACCCCCAAGGGCTGGGTCCATGCCTCGCAAGCCTTCGCCTTTCTCCCCCGCTTCCATGAGCCCGACCAGGATAACTTGCTGGCTATCGAAGTCTTCTGCCTTGCTGCGCTCTACTTGCAGTCGATCGATATGAGAGTCTCGGCCTTTGAGTTTGTATCGTAACCCTTAACCCCAAGCGTGGCTGTGCTTTTGTGCTAAACGCATACTCCAGGCCGGTCGAGCGCTACGTTTATGCTACGTCGTTGGTCTCCACAACAGCCCGCCGCCGTTCGACGCTACTCGGAGTCAAGCTACACGATGTGCTCACCTGTGGTGGAGCGTGTACATGCTCGACCAACATCTGTCCGCCCTAATGGGAGCGCCAAGCGCCGTGCAAGACGCAGATGTAACGGTCTTGCTCCCCTCGAGTCACGACCCCTCTCCACGAGCTGCTGCCCTAGGAACCAATGTTCGCCTGTCACGCATTCTGGCACGTCTCGTGCGAAGTAAGCTTTGGCACAGTCGTGGACCTCTGCGGTGAAAGCTGCTAAACTTCGTATAGCGGTGTACCAAGTTCGTGTGACTCTGGACGGCTCATTCCTCGTGCAGTCTCAAAAAGTCCTGCAAGATCTCGCAGATATCTCGTGGGACGTTCATAACACGGTCGGACTATCCTCTCGACTTTCGAGCCATATGATACTCTGCTATCATCACGTAAGTTCGGATGCCCTCGGTCAGTTCACCATGGCCTCGCAGCTGATGGCAATGAAAATAGTCGGTCGTGCTGGCTACGAGACCCATCGTCATGTGTGCCCTTGCTCGATTCATCGAGAGTCCAACCGCATTCTTCAAACCCCATGAGCCCACTCTCTCGGCAACTGTGACTGCGCTTTTGAAAGCGTGCATTGAATCTGCAATCAATATTATAAAGAAGCTTCAAAGCCTCAATCAAGAGAACTTATTGGGTATGTGTACCAGCAGAATTCATTTGACAGAACGACACTAATCGGTGTCGAGAAACCTTTCTCCCGTTCCATCTCGAGCAAGTGTTCTCGTCTGCTCTTGTTATCTATATAGTATCTGCCATATGGACAGACAACGCCCGGGATTGGGCTGCAAAGGAGATGGTGACAGATATCCTGGAGTGCATGATTGCTGCTGGCCACAATCTTGCAAGCCTTCGGAAATCTGAGCTAGACCATCTAGCTGCCCTCCTAGCACGTCTCAATCGCCCAGCATCAAATGAACCATCGTCGCGCGGCATGGACGTTGGAGCTCCCAACATAGATCACTCAGTTGCGACCCCGGCGGGGCCGTCTGCCCTCGACGACGTCGACGCCATCTGGAGCAGCATGCATAATGACAACCTTGCGGAACTGGCGGAAATGCTCAACTTCGATAGTACACGTGCACAGACAGCGTTTCCATTAAATGTTTGATCTACTCAAATGGGGTTCATTCGCTGCATCTAGCATTGGAAGTTTTGTCTGCTTCAGATCATGAACCATGGCGTCAAAGAGCAACACCGATGTCTTCTGCCATCTGCCCAATGTCTTCGTGACGATATTCCCATCAGTGCTCACACTTATTCGAACCAGATCGATATCGATGTACGTCATCAAAGGCTTTGCGCTCGTTGCCTATCTAACTACATGATCAACGACATACAACACCTAGAGTTACACATGTCGGCTCTCTTTCCACCTCTAGGTGAACACATGTTTGTGTGGCGGTAAATGGCTGCTACATCTTTCACCATGAAGTCGGACCAAATTTCTGTCCCCCAACCACAGTCTTGCGGAGCGCGGTTCCTAGGTAGTCCTTGGTGTCGAAAACCCCTACGTTGCCCCACCATTGGGGAACGGTCGCATTTGGTAGTGTAATAGCGAGGAACACTACAATAGTGCAGAAGATCAAGCCGGTGTCGAGGCCTGCGGCAGTCAGATAGTTGTAGGTCGACCACCAGCCATGATAGCGTTTGCGGATTCCATAGTTAAAGATGAGGCCTACGATAGCCCACGAGGCAAAAGAGAGCGGCGTCGCGGGTGGCAGCCAGCCCATGGCCCCAATCATTACCGGAGCATGAAGGTCGCTTAGCAGCTTGGACTTGGTGGCTCGGCAGACGACCCAGAAGACGATGGGAAGCAGTGCGCCAAGGACCCAGAAATACTGCAGCGCCACGTAGATCGATCCTTTGCTGAACATCCTATGTGGTCCGATGACGCCCCATGTGATGCTATTGGAGAAGAATGTGCGACCTATGGTTCAATCAATGATGTGAACAACGGCGCGAAAAGAGTTGCTTACCGTTGGGGCAGGTGAAGTGGTTGGGCTGACTCTCCGAGCATACGCCCTCGATGTTGGCCAACGCCCAGTTCATTACCGCTACTTGCACAACACAGGCCCAGATCGACGCAGCAATCCTGTGCACACAAGATCGTCAGAGTCGGTCCGCGCATCGAGATTGTCATTGGAAAAAACAAAAAGGGGAGCGGACATACTGAGCACTAAATGTGATGCGTGGTGGCACCTTCATGTATTGTGCGAGTTTCAAATCCCCCGAGAAGGTCTGAGCCTGACCCACGACGATGGTGCTGTACACCTTGAAAATCATGACGCCAATGGGCTGGCCGTGGAAAATGTAGCCGCCGATGAAAGGGCCGATGACGTTGAGAGACAGCTGGATGTTTGTGATGCCGAGGATAGTGCAGCAGGGGACGATGAAAACCAATGCCACGAGGCATGCCACGAACAGCCCCCACCAAGGGAGTTGGACGGGGAACCCCTCGACGGTGGCGAGGGCCAGCGCCATGGCGGCCGCGAAAACAATCAGGTACCACCAGTCGGGGGCCTCTTTGTACTTGCGTATCAGCTCGTAGTGCACATCGGCGACTTGCTGTGACGCGGTGCGGAATTGGTACCAGAGCTGCTTGCCCCGATGAATGCCCGTGTGAACAATTGAAGCCGACAGAGCCGCGAAACTCAGACCGTAGTTCAGCGCAAAGGTCGGGGCTAGGAACATGGGCGAGTAGGCTTTGTACTTGTCCGCATCGAAGGTGAAGTCTGGAGTCAAGATTTCGCGTATGTCGTAGGGCGATTGCGTGTTGTCGAAGGTGGTCGAGGTGTTGATGGGCAGGTAGGCGGAGTACCACGCCCCGGTGTAAGATATGCCGATGGTGGGAATGACCACAAAGGCGATTAGACCGATTAGCGTGTTGACATGTGACACCGTTGGAGAAAGCAGGGGATCCGAGAGATAGGCCGTGACATATGTCCAATCGAAGGTTATTGGGATGAGGGAGAGTCCCGTGAGGCCGCCGAATAGTTGGTTCACGACGGTGCTATCTGGTCGAATCCACGTTACAAATGAAAATACCGACAGACCTTGGAACAACGTGGCGGGGATCCAGTAGTAGGCGAACATACCCAGAGTGACGTAGAGAAAGTAGCGGTACTGCGATAGACGCCAGCCGTTCGTTGAGTCAGGGTCAGGCCTGGTTGTGTCGTGTAGCGCATACAATAGAGTCGTGGTCGAGAAGTTCGTCGGCCAGACAAGCGCAGCTGGCCAGACGAGGAACCGGCGGAACAGACCAGCCAGTCCGATTCCAATCATTTGACTGCTAATGGTGAAGATGATAGCGAAGCCCCAACCGAGATCGATGTTGTACAAGCTCTTAGACTTTAACGCGAGAAGGGCGTCGGTGCTATATGCATATCCGTAGGTCACGTTGGCCATGAGCGTCACGACGGTATGCTCTTTGATGTTCCACGGGCCTGGTTTGAGCGCCCAAACGACGCCGAACGTCTTGAATCTCCTGGTCGGCATAATTCGAGCCCAGAGGCAACCTGCAGGGTGGACGATGAGGAGGATAGCCACGGTTGGAATCAAGATTGCGGGAGATCGCATGCTGAGGAACATGTTGACCCCAGCAGATGCAGTCACGCAGATGGAGCCCAGAATCCAGGCTCGCAGGGTGTTTGCCGGCTCCTCGCTGTCGCCATGACGGACTGCTGCGTTGACGGCATCGTGCTGGCTACTGTCTGTAGTGGTGCCTTCTTTGATAGCCGACGGTGAAGACCCCAGGGCCTCCAGCTCGAACAACTTGGGGTCGGGCGTCATTGCTTCCTGCGCATCTGTCTTGACGACACTGTTTTCCTTGCGACTCGTCCGTCTTTCACTCGATGTGGCCATTGCGAGTGCAGCTAGGGACCACAATTGTCGGCGCCTGTACGTTCGCAGGAAGTCAACGAACACACTCGTGCTGGGATACGTCTTCAGGACAATATGATAGGACTTTCTCCTGCTACCTGCTTATCTCGGCCACGCGAGTGGGCTAGCGCCAATGAAGCCCGAGGCTGTGGAATATGTACATGAATCCGCTCGGCGTTGAAGATCCGACAAAGACCACGCGCACCGCCGTTGCATCCACACCGTCGAGAATCTTTGCTCGCGAAACGATGTGAGGCCGAAGTGGAGCATTGGCAAATGCAGTAGTAGTCGTGTAGCAGCGATAAGTGCCTCCCCTTTAGGCAGGCCAGATTGCTAGAACCCGGAAGTTCGATACATGCACGTAATTTAACCGCTGTATAGGATTCATCTTCAGTGTAGCGGATGCGGTTTCCGAATGCCGAATGCAACAGTATCTGCGCGCAGGAGCCCCGTTCGCTTTGAAGTACATGGATATACCGGCAGATGCGGCAGGAAGAAAATCCACCAAGTCTTATGCACTTGCGAGCACGAAGCTAGATCCCCTCATGCTGCACCCCTCACTTTGGTTCAGCCACCCCATGAGACTGACGGAGCGAGATTCCGAAGCCATTGACGCTGGGAGCCTTGCGTGTTCCCACCAATCATCTACTGCCGAGAAACAGATAAACTGCATTGGGAAGTCGAGTCTCATCGCTTAATAGACATATCGCAGAACGTAGCTGCGTTCAGGTGGTACAGCAATCAATTTCATCTCTTGACGCATTCATTTAATTCAAAACGATGAATTGGCTTTGGACATGTTCGGTTGCGCTACTGGCGTTGGAGACAGCGCAAGCCCAGCATTGGAGAGGAAATGGATTCGGATGGGGATGGCAGCTGCCGGGCAGGAACATCAAACCCCCTGTGGGTATTAAACAAGGCTTTTTCACACAAGTTCTCGATCACAAGAACCCCGGGCTCGGAACCTTTCGGCAGCGGTACTGGTACGACACACAATACTGGAAAGGCCCTGGCTCGCCGGTGGTATTCTTGAACGCCGGCGAGGTGGATGCGTCAGGCTACACCGGCTACTGCACCAACGAAACCATCACAGGCCTGATTGCACAGGAGATTGGCGCTGCAACCATTGTATTCGAGCATCGCTATTGGGGCGAGTCCTCTCCCTTTTCGGAGCTGACTACCGCCAACTTGACATACTTGACCTTGGAGAACAGCATCCAGGACATGATTCATTTTGCCCAGAACGTGCGCCTGCCATTCGCTTGGCACACCAACGCTGCCGATGTTCCGTGGATTCTTGTAGGTGGTTCATACCCCGGTGCTCTGGCCGCCTATACCGCCAGTGTGGCCCCTGGAACATTTTGGGCCTACTTGGCGAGCAGTGCGCCTGTTCAAGTCATTTCTGACTTTTGGCAATACTTTGCGCCAGTTCAAGCGGGCATGCCGACAAACTGTAGTGCCGATGTGGCCAAGGTGATTGACTACATGGACAACGTCATGGAGCACGGTACCTCAAAGAGGCATCCAAGTGTCGAGGCTTCGAATGCCGCATATACATGTCTACTTATTGACTCTACGCCACAGGATCCGAGTCGCAAATCCAAGACCTGAAGAACAAGTTCGGCCTTGGAGAGCTTCAGCACAACGACGACTTCATGACCACGCTGGAGAACGGACCATGGCTCTGGCAAGCCAACAGCGACCTCTCGATCTCGGGATTTTGGGATTGGTGCGACTATGTCGAGAATTCTGTCAATGCGAGTGGTTCCAGTCTGCCAGGACCAGAGGGTGTTGGCTTGGAGAAAGCACTGGACGGCTATGCTGCCTGGTTAAGATCTTACATTCCTGGAAGCTGTGCTAGCTACGGTTATTTCCAGGGCGATGAAAACACGGACTGCTACGACTCGTACGATGCAAGCAGCCCCATATTCACTGATCTTTCGGTCAACAACACAGCCAGCCGACAATGGACATGGATCCTTTGTAACCAGCCATTTGGATTCTGGCAAGACGGCGCTCCAGAGGGAAGGCCAAGCCCAGTCTCACGATTGAGTACTCCTGCGTATTGGATCAGACAATGTGGGCTGTACTTTCCCACGGGACCACAAGGCCAGACATATGGCATCAACAAGGGCGCCACCCAAGCCGAGGTTAATGCCTATACCGGCGGCTGGGAAATCACCAACACGACGCGACTCGTGTACACCAACGGAGAGTTCGACCCCTGGCGCTCCGGCAGCGTTTCCTCAACTTTCCGCCCGGGAGGGCCGTTGGCCAGTACGCCACAAGTACCCATCAATCTTATCCCGGGTGGTGTACATTGCTATGACTTGCTTGCCGCCAGCGGCCAGGCGAACGCTGCAATTGAGCAAGTTCAGCGCGCTGAAGTCGCGCAGATGATGAAGTGGGTAGCAGAGTGGCCATAACATCACGACTGGCAGGCTTGAGCAGGAGATACGTTGCTCAAAAGCAACGGTCTGGAGAGTTCTCTGTTTATAGAATGATGAAACAAGATTCAGCTTTGTTTTACAGCAATTCCAACTATCCTTGGAAAGAGCTTGAAGCTGGCTTGGAAATCGTGAGCTGTAACTCGGCGCTCGATCGGCCAAGGAACGTGACTTTGTAGATATGATTTAGATCATTGTCCGGGGAGCACTCTAGCTTACTCTTAACTTGGCGCTCTGCGCTTCAGCCCTTGCGTTTAGGAGAAGCGAGGTCAAAACAAGTAAGGGCATTACATTACACCGTCGCATTCGTACTTATACATGGTTTAGTATACTGCGATGGTTCAATTTGCAGCCAAGGAGCCGACAGCTGGAAAGTGAAAGACATCGCGAAAGACGACTTTCGTGACTGTACCTTGTGCAAATAGGGGTCGCTACCATGATATCATGATTGCATTCTCGTGGTACGGACGTTACGTAGATAGAAGAGAAAGGCCTCGACAGGTCTATCTCCAGTGGCGATTTCAAGTGGAAAACGTTACCTTTCCAGGAATTGGGACTGCGTATCCACCTAATTGCTGCCGGAGGCCGTGCGTGGTGAGTTGAACACCGCTATTCCAGGTGTCCTGATACTTTAGTGTCGCGTGGGTCGCCCGGGAATCGTCAATGGCGCCAATGCTCACTGTGATGCTGTGCGATACAGTATCGTACGTGATGTCGGTGATTTCGGCGGCGTCGAACTCCACGAGCAAGCCCTCAGGGGCGACGTAGACGCGGCGGCGAACAGTGTCCTTGGGGGTGACACTGAGGACGCTACCGCGCTGCTCGAGGTTGCCGCCGAAGCTGAGCCAGCCAAAGTCGGGGTGCTGGACAACGTAAGTGGTGGCACCAATAATGTGACCGTTATAATTGGGGCCGTAGTCGCCTGTGTACCCATCCCATTGCATGAGATCGGCGTAGGAGTGGAAAGCGGTCGAAGGGCAGCCGGCAGCGTTAATGTTGGTCAAGGGGCCCATGTTGCCACCGTACCCGATACGAAGATCATACAATGCCGCGATGGTGGAGGGTTGCGGGTTGTTCTCGTATGCACCGAGCACGGGTAATGCGTTGAGGCTGGATCCGTAGTGGTGGATCATGCGCTCGATCTGTTCGATTTTGCCACCATACTCGAAATCCCAATAGCGGCGCGCGTTGCCATTGTACCCCCAGTGCGCCACCGTGGGCATATAGCCCCTAATGGAGTTCAGGGTTTTCGTCACGGTCGCAGTGTCACCAAAGTATCTACGGGAGAGAGTGAAGTCAGTGCCGATGATCATGCTGCTGTCAAAGTCCTATGATTTGATTCATCACTTACTTGGACCACACGTAGACACCCTCTTGACCCGTCGAATCCCAGGCCATTTCATTTCCAAACGGATCGTCCTGACCTGTCCAAACGGCCTGCCGAGCTTGCATGGACTGCTTCAATTGATTGGCGTAATCTGTCATGCCTTCTGCGTACAAGGCATCGAGAATGCCTTTCCAGATCGTCTCGCCTATGAGGCCCACGTCACTGTAGGATGTGACTGCGGTCCCATTCGGGTAGAGAGCCTGCGACGCCAAGGCTGTTCGGTATGCCTTCTCGAGGTACCACGTACGGCTTTGCGTTTTCAAGATGCCGGGGTTCGCGCGCTCAGCACCATATAGTCCCCAATATACAGCTGACGCGTGGACATAGTCATATGCACGCCAGACAGCGTACGCGTCGGCTTTGTCCCAGGATTCCCCACGTGGTCCAGTCGATGGAGGGGTCGTAAGTGTAGCCCGGGACGTGGGAGGGGTCGTAGAAAAAGACGCTGCGCTTGACGCCATACTCGGGCTGGCCGCTGTCGTTGTTCCTATCCTGAAGCCAGCCCCACACGACTTCGTTTGCCATTTCCTCGAGCTTCGCGACTTCGGCGGGCACGGGATGGACGTGTGTCTTTAACGATGCCGCCTCATATGACGAACCTCTTCGTCAGAGAGGCCAGCAATCCATGCTCGCTGTTCTTGCAAGATCTGGTGGTCGGCTTGACAATCGTAGGCAATGACGGACGGTGCGCGGTTGAAAGGGTCGGACTTGTCGGCGAACCATTGTTCGTCGAACATGAAGCTGCTGAGCCGATTGGCGGTATCCGTGATCGGGCTGATGACATAGTAGTGGACCGTCTGCCGCAGGCCATTGTCATAGGTGATGGTAGCCGCCGCACGCCCGTAGCCGGAAGCGGCGACATTGTACGCTTTCCACGCTCCGTTGCTTGCCTTCGTAGGCGTGAACCTCAGCATTCCGCTCGGGCTGACGGATATCGAACGCACTGGTGCCGAAGCCTGGAGGAACAGCTTGCCCACTAGATCGGTGGGCAACACATATCCGGGAATACCAATTGCAACGGGTAAACCCAGAGACGCGACCGCGGATTCGATGTCGTACACATTCTGCGTTGGGGAGAAGGTGAGCGCAAACGTAGTGGATTGGCCGGGATGAATGAAGGCGGACGTGCCGTGGTTCCATGGATTCGTCGCATTCCATTCGTTTTCTGCGTATGCCAAACTATGAGTCTGCCATGCATAGTTGCCTTCGTACACTTGGGATTGGTAGTACGTATTCCCACTTTCTTCAGTCAAAAATCGCCACGCTTCTAATTGCGAGCCCTGCTTTCCAGGAGGGATAACGAGATTGGGTCCAGTTCCCGTAAGTCAGGTGGCTTGCACGTAGCCTGCGTCGAGGCCGATGTACGGATCGACCAGAACGCACTTATTGGTCGTGTCGGTTGCCGTTCGGTTGGTAAAGATATTGTTGAACTCGAGGGGAAAGCCGAAGGCACCTATCTCGATCGTCTGGCGGCCGGTGTTGGCGAGGGTGGCGTAGAGCTGCAAGTTGCCCTTTCGGTCAGTCTTCCAATCCCGAACAATGGAAACATGCTGCGCGGCTTGCGGGAAGACATTGGTGAAGTCTGAATGCAACAGTGATCCATTGGCCCGCGAGGAGATGGGGTTGTTCGGGCGCTGAGCAGCTGTGTCGACGTCGTTCCACTCCGACTGTCCTGAGACTCGCCACCGCAACGTGATATCTCCGGTGTGATAATTGCCAGTGTCATTACGTAGGGAGAAGTAGTCAGACGGAGAGAAGTCGAAAGAAGTGTCGCTGGCAGGAAGCAACGATTGCAGCACGCCCGAACCACCAGAGAAGATGCCCTGCCAACTGGTAGTAGAGAAGGTCGTCTGGACGGCAGTAGGTAAGACTAATAGGGCAATCGCTGCGACGACCCGCTCGAACACGGACATGTTTGGGCGAGAATTTCGATGCGATTAGTGGCAACAACGTACCGATGCAGTGCTTTTACATTCAACGCCAGGCACCAGCGTCGCAAGGACATGAATTCTTCCGTCCTCTAATAAAGCATCATGTCGGGTCCGCAGACATTGCTACGGCTTGGGCTTGGATCTGACATCCTTCCGGGGGCGAGAAGGCCGAAGGTTGCATTGAAGGATGGTCGTCTGCAGAGCCGTCGATTCTTCCCCAACAGCAAAACTGTATGCTCACACTTCAACTATACCAAAGCGGGAAGTTCGTCACTTGCACTAGTCACGAACAGGACAATGAGCGCAACGGCCAGCCGATCCTATGCGGAACGCTTTACCGCACTGCTGCACCGCATGGACAAGCTTTTGTGATTTTCCACCTATCGCATATACCATCTTTTGGCACCCTTCTCCGATATCAACCTGATCGACTGTCCCGCACTGCAAGCAGCATATCGGCCCTGCGGTCACCGTGATCGAACCTGTTCTGTACAGTCTCCTGTTCCGCTGCACTCTTAGCGCCCACAGGTTTCGTGCTATTTCGCACAATCGAGGTCCTTGATCTGTTCGACATCTTTTGTCTGCACTAGAGATGTTGCCCATAAGGCTGCAGGGGCAAACCCCCGTCCCCCCCCCATCCCCACTCCCCCCCACCATCCAAAATTAGCCGAGACGCGATCGATCCACAATAATGTCCATTATCGCATAAGTGCTCACGAACTGCTTCTTGTGCGGATTGGAGTGCGTGCCAAACGTTACTTTGCCATCTACATCTTCTTAGGTACAGATTGAGGCCAATTGCAACGCCTGGTTGATCGGTATTCTGGCCTATTCCTTGGAGCCCAACAATCAACCCTGAAGGCAGGGCAGTTCACCGAAACATTCAAATCTTCATAGCAGCCGGTCGCTGAAGTATTGCTTGGGCTATGCAGCAGTGTTGAACTCAAAAGGAATCGTTGTACTCTACATGGCACTTCTCTGACTTTTTCACACATGGCTGTAATCTCGTTAGGCCTTCTCTTAATCAACAATAGTTCGGTGTTATCGCGACTTATCTTTGAATATCGTAATTAGGTCTTTAGTACTTGTAAAATTAAGGCCTCGTACTTCCTAGAGAGCAGCATACGCAGGAGAGGCATAATCGTTGCTCTACTAAGGTTCTAGTAGATAGATGTAAGTTCTGAATGTCTTCAGCAAATACTCATTTCCATTACGTATCTACAATCGTTGGCTTGGTACTATTATGTCCATCAATGAATATTCCTCAAGTTGAGGACAGGCAATTCAGCCATATGCAGCTTCGCACTAGCATAGGGTACTAGTTTGACTTGGAAAGCTGTTCCGAGACATTTCCTATCATTTCCAGTGGGAGGCGGGCCGGGTGTGCTGCCATTGTAGATAAGTGGCCAGTCGATCAGGCAGCCTTGAGCAGTCATGTGCATCGGCGGTGCACCAGCAGCAAAGATTGGAGTTGGCAAAGCCTGAGGGGAGTCGTTGATCGCATAGGACGAGGGACCAGAAGAAACGTATCGGAGGGTGCTAGGATCGATGGCAATGTTCCACTCCGAATTGTTGATCATGACATAGTCGCGGGACTGAGGAGGGGCGTAACCTGGCGGATACTCTTCTCCAGTGTAGTAATTATGTGGCGGCGTTGATGTAACATCGGCCGAGATTTCAATGGCGTAGAGTAGTTGGCCGTAGTAGACTGCAACTGTATCGTTGGCGCGTGGAGTCGTGCGAATGCTCGTGCCCAACGTGTAAAGGAGGCGTGACTTTCCCTGAGGAACGGCGATCTTCACAACATCATTCTCAGAGGCGCCGGCCTGCATGCCCGTACTACTCCTCAAGACCGCCGATGTGGCCCAGCCAGGAATACGAGCGTAGAACTCGAATCGCTTTTCGGCCTCTATATTGTAGAATAGAGTGGACTCAAAAGGGTAATTCGTCTCACACTCAACCTGAACATTCCCACCACTGACTGTTGTTTTCACAGTTGCTGGACTGAGCAAGGCGTGCAGCAGTCCGTTGTTGCCGACAGTCATAAAAGTATTCTGGAGGAATTTTGGTAGTCCCGCGGGATGGTTGACGGTGCAGCAGGGATAGTCAGGCTCGAGCCCATATGTCTGGCCAACCGTATTGACGTCGTAGAACGGGGTCGAGGTGAGATTCTTGGAGAAGGGTGAGTTCGGCTGTGACATGTAATTGTGAGCCCACCAGTCTTCTGTCAAAGCACCAGGGAGTGCATTGAAGGCAGAAAGCTCGGCGGAGTCGGCATAAAAGGTGTCTCCAAAAGCACGATAGTTGTAGGCTTGCGAGAAGATGACTTCAACTGCCGTACATGTCTCGGATCCCTTATAAAACAGTGAGTCTAGCTTCCACAGAGGCGGCATGGTCATGAAGGCATATGATAGCCTCAAAAAGGAGAAGACCAAACTTACCGACCAAGGATTGAGACCATCCTCACGCTCGTCCGCAATCACCGAGCCCATAGGGTTGCCATGATACTGGAACGTCCAATCGTTCTGTGCATTGTCAGTAGTTTTTAGGCATGATATGACGTGGGTCGACTTACGCCATCCTTTCCAGTCTGCACTAGACTTTCGTTGTACGTGTAGCGACGGATGACCGCCGCAGCTTTCAAGCCTACGATCAGTCAGCTTGCCGCTCTTCGACATAGAATTGCTGGAGCTATTGCTACCTTCTCCCACGTTTACGCCGTGTAAATACTGGTAGTTGTCGTTCGAAAAGTCATCGCTATACGAGTTCAGATTCCCGAATGCATAGGCTGACTCGTCGAACCAGTCTTCCCAGTTCCAGCCGTAGTAGTGAAGAAGTTCGATGCCCTGGAGCAATTGCATCTCGTTTCCTTCCGGATAATTGTCGTACAACCATTCCAGACTAAGTATGAGGTCCTGCACTCTGCCACGTCCCCAAAAGTAGTAACCGTCGTCAAGTATGGAGTCAACTTGCGGAATGAGACCTGTTCCGTTGTTCTCCAACATCGAGACCATCAGCTTGTTAAAGTTGTGCATGGCTGCTACCACTGGCTTGGTGTAGTTGGAACCTGCTACGTCTGCAATATTCGTCCAAGCCTCGAAAAGCAAGGTCCTAGCCCAGATTAAGCGAGCTCCGCCCCCAGGTCCATCTTTCTCTGGGCCGATCCAGCCGTCTTCCTGTACCATGTGCTCTAATAAATAATCCATGGCTTGGAATACCTGACCCTTGAGGCGCACGTCGTCCACACCGTATGCAAGGGGGACAAGTCCATTTAGCCAGTATGGAAAGGCCTCGTTCAGGCCACTGTACTCAGAATTGCCCCCGAGCCAGCTCGAGTCATGAACGAATTTCCAAAAATCGTAGAGATGCCCGCTGAGACTATTGGCCTCTGTCTCCATTTCGCCTTGGAGCCAGCCATTGGGTGCGATTGATCCGAGTGGAATGTTATTGTAGACAAACGGCTCGACTGCGAGGACTCAGCGACCGCGAACTTCAGACATGTATGGACTGTTAGGGACGTACGAGGCTTTGCTGATGAGCATAGAGTTGGCAGCGTCGCCGACAAAGTCAATAAAGCCTGTGACAGAATCGCCATATCTGCCGCTGATTTTGATTTTTGGATAGCTCAGCAGTAGTCCCAGTCCTGATCTTTCACCTTGATGATATGGCCCAATCCCAGGTCCTTCTCAAAGTGTTCATCTCAATCGCTCGTTGGTGGGAAAATTTGATGAACTGCACACGTTGGCCGAAGGATTGGAACCTTATCGCACGCGGACGTGGTACCCGTCGTTGCTGAAGCGGCAGATTTTCCGACTTCACTGCTACGTCAGGCTGCGATAGACTTTGCTCGCGACGGCCTTTTCCCCGCATGCTGGTGCATCCTTTGATCAAAGTGTTCCAGACAATCTGTGGTCGGTTCAACCGATTCGCCAGAACTATCTATGGAACCACTCAAATGTTTCGCAACGGGCACGAGTCCTTAAAGGACCTCGAGTTGAGACGAGGCTGCTCAATTCTTTCTGACACAATACATGCAGCATAATGCGGAAGGGCCGCTGCGACACTCGAAGGGTTTCCTTGTCGCAGGAACCGGATTCAGAAAACTGTGCCATCGGTCGCGCTTGTGAAGAGCGGGGAAAAGGGGACCCATGTAGATCATTGGTCTGCGGGAAAGCGCACCGCCGATACAATACACATGAAGTTGAAAAGTAACCGTGACGGACCATCGTTCCGAACCTTACGACTAGTCCCACCGACAAGCAGCACTCCGTCTTCACAGCCTTCCGGAAAATCAACCTTCACGCGGATCGGGTACGGTCTTTCCACAGACGGCATTGCAACGCCAATGGTCTTAGAGATCGGCTCATGGCTAAATATACGGAGGAGCCTTGTCTCCCGTGCGTAACGCTGCCTACGGATTTGTGCAGCATGATTCCCTTCCAAAAATTATCACTGGTTCTCTACGCGCAAACCTCGCTCGCATATCACTTGCGTGATGGGTTGGGCAAACTTCCAGCTCTCGGCTGGAGCTCTTGGAACGCGTTTGGCTGCTCTATCGATGCTCGCGTGCTGGCGACAACTGCTGACCTGCTGGTATCCAAAGGCTTCAAGGCGGCTGGCTACGAGTACCTGAACATCGACGACTGTTGGGGTGATCTGGCCGGAAGGAATAATGTGACAGGTGAACTCCAGGCGGACTCCCAGAAGTTCCCATCCGGAATTCCAGGAGTGGCACAGTATTCTCACTCGTTGGGTCTGAAACAAGGAATCTACTCCAGCGCTGGCTTCCAGACTTGTCAGGGCTACCCTGCCTCTCTAGGACACGAGACGCTGGATGCTGCCACTTTCGCAACGTGGGAGATTGACTACTTGAAATACGACAATTGCAACGCGCCATCTTCATGGTACGACACGTGCTACAGTTGCGACCAGGACGACTATTACAACCCTGACCTGGTGAACGGAACATGTGTCGACCAGGATGGTCTTTGCCCACCAAATTATGATTATGGAACATGTAAGACTGCAGAACGCTATCGACGAATGGCAGATGCATTGCATGCACAGAACAGAACTATTTTCTATAGTCTCTGTGACTGGGGTATTAATGAGCCCTGGAAATGGGGCGCTTCAATGGCCCAATCGTGGCGGACGACGAACGACCTCACTGGTGGGTGCTTGTCAACGCACACGTATCGCTGCACAATCCTTACCCGAGATTGCTGACTCTTTTGCCCAGTCAACTTCACCCGCATACTCAATTTCGTCAATCTAAATACCTTCTGGCAGGATTACAACGGCTTTTACGGACACAACGACATGGATATTCTCGAGGTTTGCAACGGCTTGACACCTGCAGAGTCCCGCTCACACTTTGCCCTGTATGCCATCATGAAATCACCGTTGATCATTAGCACCGATCTGGCGAGTCTGTCGGATCATGACACGGAACTTCTGCAAAACAAATACCTCATCGCTTTCAACCAAGACCCCACTTTCGCAGCACCTGCGGTGCCATACAAGTGGGGACTCAACCCAGATTGGACTTTCAACTCCACATCCCCTGCTGAATACTGGTCTGGTGAGAGTTGTGACGGCAGGCTCATAGCCTTGTTCAACTCTGAAAATACGACCAAGGCGATGCAGCTGCGTTGGGGCGAAGTTCCGACCTTGCGTGACTTCCACAGCTACAATGTCGTGGATGTATGGACCGGCAAGGAGGAGCCGTGTGTGAGAACTGGAGCTAAGCACTTCGTTGGAGGGCACGATATTGCGGTTTTTCTGGTGAAGTCGAGGTGCACGTAGTTAGACGCGTGCAATACATTGCCTGAAACCTACACCACATACTTTTTCAAATAACCTTCCTTTCGATGCATTGTAACATGCTGTTGGAGCATGTTTGCTGGCTGTGGCTATTTGCAAGTGTATAAGCAACAACGATCTTGCCGAAAAGTTCCAACCGGACAATTCCCTTATGGTCTGTTTATACTACCGTGCTCCAGCACAGGTCTAATAAGTGAATGACGGGATATTGATCGTCGATACCTCCCAACTAACACCACCATCGCTTGTCGTGAAACCACTATTAGTCGTGCCACCGCTCTGACCCTGTGTGGACCCATAGCCCGGATCTGCAGAGCTTAAGGTAATGACAGTGTTGATCCATTCTGGCGATGATATGGTCAGCCGTTTAACATACAGACGAAGGCGATTCATCGTTAGCGCTAACTTACGGTGAGCCGGAAAAGTGCCACAATTATCATCGGCGCATTCAGTCGCAGTGCCCCAACCCTGTGCCTGGCCGTCACCTAGCGGATATGTGTTAGGGATAGTAACACAGCTCTGCTGCAGGGTGAAGTTGCAACTTACTCGTACTCAGTGTGGAGACTACATTTCCATTCTGGGAGAGGTATTGGGTATAGTTACCCGTGCCGGAGTTGTAGATATCTTGGACAGGGTTGGTATTGAAGTGAATGCAAGGCATCTTTGCTCGATGCAGGAGAACTCTTACAATGGAACTGGACATGGTCGCCAGTGTTTATTCTCGCTTGAGTAGAGATATCCTGCTCTCCGCTTTCAAAGAGAGTATAGGCGAAACCACACCATTCAGTGCTAGTTGTCACGGTTTCGCATGGTGTACTGTTATCCTTATCAGCGTCTATAGTTCCGATGGATGGAAAACTTGATACACATACTTGGTGCCTGGAGAGTTATTGGGTGTTCGGTTCACAATCGACTGGATCAGATCACCAGCCGAGGTGCCCATGCCGCACCATAGCGAGAAGTCACCAGCAAAGGGCGAGTTTCCCTCTGGAACCACGAGCGTGCTGATTGCATCGATAATGTAGGCACCGTTGGCCACGGGACCGGACGAGAAGGCGGGCCCAAAGGCAGCAAGGGCTGCATCAAAAAGAGCAGCAAGTGCAACAAATTTGATCGAAGAGGACATGATGATTTTAGCTTGTTTCGAGGAGCTAGGTTTCCAGATTGGCGATTTGGGTTGTTGGAATACGGTCCTTTAGCAGCACAGCTGGGCATCTTAATATCCTGATCAATTCGTATTCGCGTAGTTGGTCAATCACCCGGAAAATTTTTTTGAAGCACCGGCATCAGATGTCCATTGATGTCGCTCCAAACCGCCTACCTCTTCGTCTCTAGCGTACTTGCTGGACCTTGATCTAATATGCTGGTTGGTTCTCACAGCTAAGCAAGCAGATCGGACGAAAGGGATTGGGGGAAGAAATACTCCCGTATGAAGTATTGAGTTCAAACTGGCTGACTTGCGCCTTGTGAGACTTGTGTTTCCATAGGCAATGATCGATGGAAGGATTAGACTGCATACACTATCGACGGTAGATAAATAGTGCTTCAGCAAAAGACAAACACCAGCAATGAGGGATCCCTGGTTTATCTCGGGAACATACAAGCGTAAAAGAATGGGTGCCAGGGTAGTGTGTTGTCTTACCCTCAGATTATTCTGATTCGACATTGCTTGGTTCAATAGTAAGCCCAATGCCAACGGTCGAAAGCTGACGTCCAAATGCTAATTTATCGCCCTCGGACACAGAGAACGTCAAAGGAAGAACCGGTTTAGGAGGTCCACTGACGGTTTTTCCCCGCAAGCTAGCCTTTAACGATAGCTATTCGCCAGTGTGCCCATGGGGTTCCCGCCGCTCCGAGACCCTTGTCCGTACATGCGATGCCACAGTCCGCCGTCAGAACAAGCTTTTTGGATCTTCCGTGGCCGCTCTTACCCAGCAGGATTAACCTTCTAGCGTCCCCCGCTTATCGTGCTAGTTCTACTTTGGAGTTTGTAGACGATACTAACATTCTGGCGTCCAACCGATCGATGGAAGAGAATTGTCGTATATTGCAACATGCGAATAAAACGTGCACAAGATGGGCGGAGACACATGGCGCTACCTTCGCACCCGGCAAATACTAGCTCATGAACTTCGCCGCCACTAAAGAAGTTCAAAGTGCAGGCCATAATTTACATTCTGGGTTTCCAAAGCAGGTCGGCATGAATGAGTTGCCGCAGCGATGATTCATGGACTTGCATTTGACGAGTGGACTAGTGACGGAGGTCCCTCCCGCTCTTGTACCTTATATCCGAGCTGAATCTGTGGTAATCTCAGAGCAGTCTGGCGGTCAACAATGGCGAATGCAACTGCAGCCCCCTTCCCAAGCTACCTCGGAACCTTGCCTCGTAATCTTGCACCAATCATTATTCATTCTACATTAGTTCTATCGACGGATGGTGTACAGGACCTAGCTGAGCTTCTTGGACAACTGCCTACATATTTTTGGGAGAAGGCGGGGCGAACTTGGTCATGTACCAAAAAGCCACCTAGAAGATCAATCACAGACACCCTGCCATCGCTAGCAGAACTCAACGCTCGCCATGTGGTCTGGCTTCAGAAACATATCACCACTTGCTGGACTGATTCTGCTTGCAAACGGCAAGACACTCACGTTCACGCCGCCGGGCAATCCAATCCTCGTAGACGGATTATACTACTCGAAAGACCCAGGCCCAATCGTGGTCAATGACACCCTTTATATCATCTCCGAACAGGATTCGACACCTCTGAATGACAATAATTTCATCATGAACGATTGGCTTCTCTTCAGCAGCTCCAATCCTAAACTAAAAGATGGGCAGAAGTAAGCTTCTAAGATAGATTAAACTTATTCTATATTAGAAGCTTCTCTTCAGAATGCGAGCTCGAGCTATTACCCAACGCAGCTCGCGGCATGAACAATCCTGCTTCAGCCTCACCTGATCTCAGTCCTTTCAGAAATTCTTGCGAGCTCTCTAGCTCACTAATGTAGGATGGAACGCGGAGATAGCATTGGAATCATCCATGACGTCGTCATGAGCTCGTCGCTACATATATCGATCTTTATCCGCTGCCACCGTGCTGCATGCTCTTCTTCTTCTTGGATTTCTCTCGGGACAGCTGAATTGTGAAGATGGGCTCCAATGCGGACCTGGCAGCGAAATTTGAGAGTGTCTCTAACGAGGCTGTCAAAGCCTTGAAGGGAAGTAATAGTGCTGAGAGGGAAGAGGTGCTGCGAGAAGGGAGACGGCTGGTTCAGCAGCTGCAAACACCAGCTGATTATGCCTTGCGGATGGTCTGGGCGGTAAGGCAAAGTCAGACAACTATATGAAAAGCGAGTGCTGATGATTTCCACAGCCAGTCGAACTCTCGGCAGCGGCGGCAGCATGCGAAATGGGCATCTTCGCATCGTTAGCTCAAGGCGACAAACCCATGACAACTGCAGAGATCGCTCGCTCATCCGAAGGAGGCGACGTCTTACTCGTCCAACGCATCGTCCAAGCCCTCGCAGCACACGGCCTCATCGACCAGACCGACGAGCAACACTACCTCGCCAACGACATCACGCGAGACTTCACCACCCCCGGCCGACACGGCAGCGCCATGACGCAGATGTTCTCCATGCGAGCGTACTCCGCCCTGCCATGGTTTCTTCGCAAGAATGGTTATAAAAGCCCAGCGAGCGTGAAGGAATGCTGCTGGCAGGAGGTGTACGAAGGCGATGGGACGATCTGGGAGTGGATGAAGGAGAACCCGGAGATGGGGAAGTATTTCAATGATTATATGGCTGCTGCGAGGCCGTATACGAGTAGTGCGCTTGTGGAGGAGTTTCCTTTTGAGAAGTTGTTTGAGGGGTCGACGGGGGAGGAGATTGTTTTTGTTGATGTGTGAGTTGATTGATTGTTTGGATACGAATTTTGTCTGATCTTTGTTCGCAGAGGTGGTGGTCATGGACATCAGGCTTTGAGTCTGAGAAAATCCTTTCCGCCGGAACGTGGACGGATGATATTGCAGGATTTGCCGCAGGTGGCCGAGGGCAAGAGCCTAGAGGGTGTGGAGGTCATGGTGCATGACATGTTCAAGGAGCAGCCTATCAAAGGTAAGCCTGTTCTTTCTTCTCACGAGAAACAGGACTGATGAATCCCAGGCGCAAGAGCGTACTACTTCCGCGGCGTCCTCCACGACCACGACGACCCGGTCTGCCAAGACTTCCTCAAACAAATCGTCAAAGTGATGGGCCCAGATTCTCGCCTTCTCGTCCACGACGCTATCATTGAGGACTTCATGCCGTCTATACAATCCGTCAGGCAGGATCTCGGTTTGATGTGCCTGTTTGCGGGGAGAGAGAGGACGAAAGCTCAGATGAAGGCTTTGTTGGAGAGTGTGGGTTTGACGGTTGTGGCGACGTATAAGGCTGGGCCTGAGAAGTGGTCGGTTACGGAGGCGAGGCTGTCTTGAGGTTTCATGATCGATAATGAGTTGAGACTCATCGAGTTGCCATAGATGTCAAGACTTATAATCAGGTGATAGCGCGTTGTCAAGATCACTTTGAGAACCAAACGCTGCGATAAGGCTTCTATATAGGTCGAACGTTGTTCAGAGTCAGAAGAGGATCTGAACTGAACGATGGCGCATATCATACACTTTCCCCACTCAAACTAATTGTGTGATACTGCCTGGCTGCTGAAGTAGAATAAGCGGTGCTGTGACACAGCTCTCCTTCGTCGGTGCGCCCCATTGATCCGCAATAACAGCGATGACAATGCCCTTCCCAGCATCAAAGTCGGCGGGCACTCGCGAAGTCCTCTTCTTCGGGTCGAACGGCACGGATATATTGGCCAAAGCATGGAAAAACACGGCGAAATATTCCCCATCGTCGTCGAACAGAGCTTTCTGCTCCGTGAATGTGAAAGTGATGTCAGTGCCTGTATGCCCCGTTTCGTTCTTCCTATTCCAATCCAACGCTGGGAGATGCTGGTTAGGATACGGATAAGGAGGGTTCTCCTTCGGACAGGATCCATTCACGACAAAGGCATTGGTGGAAGCGAGGATCTGGTCGGCATAGGGGTATGCTGTATCGATGGGCCCGGAGAAGGGGTTGAGATTCCAGGCTTCGATCAATGCCCATGTATTATGGCGTGATTCTACTTCGGCGACGGCGACCAAGGCCGCTCCTGTAGAGGGGAGTTTGGCTTCTTGCGCGAGGCCTGTGAGGAAGGCCATTAAGGAGACTTCGATTAGGACTTGCAGGGCGAGCCAGCTTCCTGGGGCTGTGACGCCAAAGTCGTAGCTGCATGGTCCGGGTTTTGTGGATGCATTACTGATTTGCTGGAGGGATGATTAGCACTGCTCATGATGAGATGTTTCATATTGAGCGAATCCTCAACGCACATCATAGAAGGCATTCAAATGCCCAGCTTCATTATCTCGAATTTCGATGATTCTCTCGAACGTCGTATTTGGCAGGTCAAGACTTGTAAACGAGGCTGCGTCGAATCGCTCAACGGCTTGTTGGTAGAACGAGAAGACGATCCATTCAGCGGCGAGCAAGTTCTGCCACAGAACATCATCTGGCCCTGGTTTTCCGCATGCTGTCGGCAGCGAGGCTCCTTGAACGTTGCCGGGGAAAGGTGGAGCTACTCCGCTGTAGTTGTTGTAGAGAAGTGTTTGGCCCGGCACAATGGTGGAAGACGGCTGTGCGGTAGGTAGCGCCGCGACTGGCAAGCTTAGAGCTGGCATAGCAATGGCGAGTGCGAACGTTGCGGCTTTGAGGTCTGGCATGATGCTAGTCTGTAGTATTTGGGAATATGTAAGGGATGTAGACTGCTTGCTGCTGGTGAGCGGTAGGGTTGACACATCCTTATGTATCTCCACATCATCTTTTGTTGCACAAGATCACTGTCCAAATGCTCTTGAGCAATTGGTGGCGATCGACTAAGGCCGTGGACTTAGCTTTAGCCTTGCTGAGGCTGAGAAGTGAAGACACTGTTGTTCTGCAAGTATTTTCTCATAGACCACTACAGGCGCCAATCAAATGGAGAGATTATACTTCAGATGCTTTTTGCTGAGCCTTGCGAATTTTTCCACACTTGCGTTTCCCGCTTGCGATATTTCCGCTTCCGCTTCCGCGTCAAATTGCGCGTTCTCCTGCCTTCCTATCGACAAGGATTGAACGCGGCTGAGAGATTCGACAGTCCAAATGACAATACTTGTCTTCGCTGCGCGTCTGGTTTATTCTGGCCATCTATAAGATTCGTTGAGAAGCGACAGAGCTGCTCTGACAACGATTGAACGACTAGAACGATCGCAGCAACCACCCAGTCGACCAACTTTCCCTCGGAGCTGAAGCGTCACAGTCATGGAACAAACACCAGCATCGAAAAACTCTTGGGGAGCCTACCCGCAAGCAGAAGTACCGACCTCATATCCCACGCATCAAGCATACTACCCCGATGGGCCTGATGGACCCAGCATGAAGAACTTCCAGCTCAATCAAACGCCTCCCTACAGTGACGTCTATCCCGAAGAGCCTCGGTCGTCATACATGACCAACAGCAATTTCTCGAACCGTCAAGACATCACCCCATCGCACACCGGCGATCCTACTCCCTATTCGCGCTCGACCCCAGACGCCTCCACCAGTGACGAGTTCTTAGAGCGGGCACTTAATTTCACACAACAACCCGCACCGCAGCAGATCAATCCTCAGAGACTTCGCCAGCCTGTTGCCATACCTCAGGTCATTCCTGGACTCGGCCAACCCTACGCAAGAGCCTACAGTCACGAGCTAAAAGAGCATGGGGTATCAATGGAAGACTTCGTCAAGTTCATTGATAATCTGAATGTGGTCTCAGCTGGCAGCCCGCCTCTACAAATCGTCGACCTGGCGGGTGGTGTGGTGGGAATGATCCCATTTGCGCATGCCCAGCTGATCTCGTTTGGAATCCAAACTGTTGCAAAAGTCGGCGTAGCTGCAGTCAGCAAGACTAGAGGGTCGATGTTCTTGTCGAAGTCGAATACGGCCTTTTTCAATCCACGTGGTCTAAAGGTGGAATTAGTTACCACGGAAGCGCTCAGATACAAATTGCGAATACCTCCAGACGCTTCAGCACCAGCCGACGATATACATTCCAACGACATGGGCCTCATTGAGCGCCGTATGGCCATGCTAAAAGGTTATGCGGCTCCTGTGACCTTCGACGTGCCACCTCCTGATCAGCAGACCAATATTTTGAATAATATGAGCGCAGCGCAGCAGAAAAGAGTCCTTGCAAAGCAAGAACAAAAGTTTCAGAAGGAACGTGCAAAGGATTGGGCCCAGAGCGGCTCTTCGGGAAACAACGTGAAAAGAGGCGATAGCCGAGAGAACGAGGACATCAGCAAAAAGCAGAGGAAGGTTGACAAGATAAACGACGAGCTTGATCGCAAGCTCGCGAAAAAGCCAAAAGATGCTTCCAAAATTGAACGCGAGAGATCTAAAGACATAGAGAAGGTGGAGAAGGACGCTCGGAAGGAGCTCGAGAAGATGGACAAGGATCGTTATAAAGACAGTGGGAAGTCGAAAAAGGAGGAGAGTAAGAAGGCGGAAAAGGAGACGAAAGCCATGAACAAGATCCAGTGGATCCTGATCGAGAGCCTGCACTAAAGCACTGTTGACGAATAGGTCTTCGGTACGGATTGAAAAGGCTAGACGAGGCAGAAAATTGCTAGAGACCTTTCTCTGTCATCACAAAATTTCAAGACGCTTAGTCTTCAACATGCCATGGGTGTTGTCGAGTTAAGTGAATCAGGCTTCATCAGTAGTTTACTCTGTCGGCTTTCCGAGTTGGGGCATCTCCTTGGAGCGCTCGATCTTTGGTCAGCCTCTTCCGTATGATAACGTGATTGGGTAGTGTTCAGCGGTATGCATGCCAGATGAGGGAAGGGCTGCGATCGCAAGCTGAAAATGCCGTTTCCGCGCGATTGCGCCCGCCGCAATTACACCACCTTGCTCTATCCTCATGGGAGACTCCCTACCAAACGGCTCCCGAGGCAGCTATGCACATCTAATCTGCTCCGCCTGTCGTGCTCGCAAGATCAAATGCCGCCTCCCAATCGCCCAGGAAGAGGTGCGGCCTTCGAGCTCTCCCCGGCCGCCGGTAGAAGCATGCGAACGATGTCGCCGCCTCGATCTGCCTTGCATTGTCAACAAACCCAAAACAAAACAAAGGACAGCAGCGCGAAGACATGGTCCAGATCGGAGGAGCGCTGTTAATATCACTGCCGCGCCTGATGAGCGGTCGTTTGCCCCTGTGAATCCTCGTCTCTTCGACCAATACTATACGCCATCCAACCCATCTTCCACAGCAACAACTGGCACTAGCAGTCAGACAAAGACTCCTCCTGATGCGTCTGAAGCCTTTCGAGCCATGTTGACCTCGGCGAATCTCATGTCAGCGTTGCTCGCCCAAGACTCGAGCTTCGGCGCCTCCAGTCCGAGTTTTCCTGTGCCGGGACGTCTCCCTCTCACAGAAACAATCAGTAATGGCCTGGCCACCCTATTGGACGAAAGGTAAGACCCTCAGGTAAGATGGGGACCTTGTGTTGACGATTATACATAGTCTCGTCTGGCATCGATTCTATCTACCATTTCTTCCGACGTTGACGGAATTACGATCACAGCTGGTTGGCGGCTCGTTTACCAGCTCGTCGACCTCTTTGCTGTTTGCCTTACTTGCACTATGTGCTCTCGAACACCCATCCAGTGAGCTATACTGGCATCAAGACCTACGTCAATACCTGCAAGCTTTCGTCTCCTACCATGGCCAGGAGTTCATTTATGACCCGCCTGTTCACCGACACACGGTTTACATCCTCCACGTTGTGATTACCTACAAACCGACAGCATTAATCGCATGCCAACAATCTGCTTCTGCCGCTATCAGAGGATCTACTCATACCATGCTCGTGTACAGCATAGCAAAGAGCTGTCATTTTGGAGATGCGGCCAGTAGCCTCGCAAATATTTTGGACAGGGACGAAGTGCGCGATGACTATCGCACGAAGAAGGTTCTCGATGTCCTTCTATGGTGCCGTACCCTTATCCATCATGTCCTTCTCGAGGGTTCGATCTTGAAACCGCTCTCAGACATGCAAAGCCACCTCGACATTATGGATCATGCCTTGGGAGTTGTTCACGAAACGATGCTCAGGGTCTCTTTTGCGGCCCCGATCATTTATTTCTTCCACGCTGTGAGATGCGTCTACGTCGAAATGCGGCACTATGTTCGAATGAGAAAGGCTCGTCGTGACATGACGGTCCTCGCATCCATTATCACAGATCACGAAAGTACCTGTGAAGAGCAGAAGAATGAGATCTTGCAACGACTGTCCGCAGTGGAGCCCCACGACGCGACGAAAGAAGAGATTTCGGCTGCGATTTCCCTCGCCCCTATGGACAGTGACCAGTCTCGTGCACGTCTTTTCGCCGTTGCCATATTCTTCGCTATCATGGCTCACATGACACCAAGCGAGTCTCATGACAAGGTTAGCCCGCACGAGGCCGCGAGAATGAGCAAGCTTGTCTTCAACATCTGGAGGGATCCTGCCAGCCAGGGACTCCGCGATTTTCTTCTGCATTTTGTGGCGCTGAAGGATACGGCTGTACATGCAGTGCTACAAAGCTTCACAGATGCGGGTAAAACCCTCAGACTCCAACGCATGTCTTGGCTTCCTCCAGCACGGAAATCTTCGCAGGAAATTCTGTTCCAGTGCTGGCTCATTGTGGATCAAAACATTGCACGGCTTGACGAAGGACTCGGGGCGATTCCAGATATCGAAGGCCGGCTTGTTCTGCTCCAACACAGTGCAGAAACTCTCGAAGCCATATCAGCCCCGGCCGGCTGTTCCATCGATGATGCATTTGCCAATGGGAGCCACTATGCTGCAAGCGCGAAATTGATCCGATGCCTGCATGGTATCTTATCGACACGGGTAGCACAGCAGGCTGCCTCCAGCACGCGTGCTGCGGAAACGAGCTCGCAGTCGCATCTTATCGAGCCTGGGGAGACCAAGCAGAGCCTGCCGTATTCTGCCGATCTAGACCTTGAACAAGTCTTTGGCGAGTGGGCCAATTGGCCCTACAATAGCACCTGGGACATGCTTCAGTCTCTGCAAGACAACACGCCAGAGTAGCATTTGATCAGTAGGCATTGACGGGCCGTCCGACCCTGTCTACACCCCGTATCCAAGATTCGAAGGTACCCTCAACGGAACAGATCAATGCCGTATAGTGACGCAACGGCTCAACTTGCGATCCCCCATCCGTTCCGTCTCCTCATCCGAACGGTATGCCGGTTCTTGGTCAGCCTGACTACGACTAGTAACCAAAGACCATGCTCAGCCTGATTCCAAGGTCGCGCGCGGACATAAGCGCACATATGTAGCTGGTCCTGAATAGAATGGTCTTTTTGCACGCACTCCGCATTAGACGATATTCTACAGCATGGCGACTGCTCCGACAGCCATTGCCATTTTCGGCGCCACGGGCAATCTGGGGTCATCGATCGTCAACGCTCTGCTTGCAACTGGAAGACACAATGTTACATCGATAGGTCGGTTAGAGAGCAAGACGTCACTCCCAGAAGCCGTACGAGTCGTCAAAGGCGACTTGAATTCGCCCACCTTCCTCAAGCAAGCTCTTCAAGGTCACGACGCCGTGATAATTGCACTCGGTCTCGATACACCACAAGCTCTGGACAAGGCCATTGTAACCGCTGCTGCCGAAGCAGATATCAAGTACATCTTCCCAAACGAGTTTGTGTCGCAAGACTCTCTCCGCAAACACTTTCCGTTCGGACTGCATGAAAAGAAGAACGAGATTCGGACCCTGATAGAAAAGCTGGGGAAGAGTCGCTGGATTGCAATAGTCAACGGGACATGTTACGATTTCGTGAGTATCGTAGGTGCTACACAACGAAAACTTAGCTGACAAGTCTCACAGAGCCTCTTGGCTGGATCCTACAACATCGATGTCGGGAAGAGACGTGCCACGATCTGGACTCCAAGTACGGCTGCGGCCAATTTCACAACTGTCGCGAAAGTGGGAAAGGCGATCGCAGCCCTGCTCAGTCTCGAAGAAGATCAACTGAAGCAGTACGTCAATCGTTGTGTCTATATATCGTCATTCAAGGTCTCGCAGCTCGACATCCTCAAGAGTGTACAACATGCTACTCAAACGCAGCCCACGGACTGGCAAATCACTCATGAGAATGTGGACGAGGCGGTCCGAGACGGCCAAGAGAGTGCGAAGCAGGGAAAGGTGGAGGGTCTTATCAAGGTCATCTATGCGATGCAGTTCTTGTCCGGCGCTGGAGGAGACTATGAAGCGATGCATGGTACGTCCGATGTAGAGCTTGGTCTTGAGAGGGAAGACCTTGATATGGTGACTCGGGACGCTGTTGCGAAGTCGTTCTATGGATCTGTGACCGAGAACGGAGATTGGGCAGAAGAGTAAAGCGGGCAGCGTGGTGTTCATGTTGTTTTCCGTTGGCTATGAAGCTTCGCCTTTTGAAGCATCTATCAAGGCCTGGATATGACCTCTAAAGACATTCTGGAACATCATATTTGACTATCGTCCTATACCAGTGGAAGACTTATACAAGGCTAGACGAAATTCTTTACAATGTCGCAGCCGAGAATCTTCCGCACCCTCACGAAGAGCGGAACAAGAGGGAATCTCGAAAGATCTGTTTTCTGATTGGAGCGTTCAGGCAAAATGAATCCGACGATCATGTTATCTTGGGTGGCCTACGTAGTCAACATCTCTGACCGGCCACGATCCTCTATCAAGCACCGTCTCCACCAAGCCACCTTGTCCGCCCCAGACCTCTTCGCTGAATGCACGCATCGCATCAAGTCCGTTCACAAGCTGTCCCGTGGTCCAAAGCTTACCATCACGACACCATCGTTTCTCCACCCAATTTGTCTCAGACGATGCGCGGCGGAGACTTTCAGCATACCACGTGGTGCTGTTGCGGTTTTGCCTTCGAGCAAGCCGGATAGTAGAAGCGAGCGAAAGGCACCGCATACGGCTATGAATGCTGAAGAATCCTCGAAAGCCTTGCGAATGAACGCTAGTTCTGAGATCGATGGTTGGTAGTCCATGTTATTGGCGCCCATGAGCACGATGTCCAGGGGTGGGCAGGAGGCAAAGGTATCCTACGATGAAATGTCAGCGTCTGAAATGAAGATGTCAATAACACCAGCGCCGATAATCAACAGGGGCCTGAAGGAATCAACTCACAGTTGGAAGAACACGCATGCCCGATGCCAGCTGCGCCGGCTCGCCACTCTCGTTCACCCAGTGACACTCAATGTCCAGCGCTTGCTCTTTAAGATCCGGTGCGTAGACGCTGTCAGGCATATCCTTCAAATGCTTCGACATAGTACCCATCAGATGAAAAGGCGCAACATCTAGAATCTCCGTTACACTTGGCCGGGTTAGCAGATTTCCAAAAGATAGACAGGAGTTGTCGTACGAGTTTAGAAGAATTACACCGGCGTGAATCTTTCGATTCGGCCAAGAGAGGTTGAAGGATTCCGTCATGGTCGACGATGATGTGGTAATGGCATATGGACATGCTCCGACTCGACTATATGAGCTATATGCTTGCGAATGGGGCTGAAGTCACGACACAGTACGGCGCGGGTTACGCTTTTCCAGCCGTGCCGCAGCCGGTGCTCTGTTGGGCCGTGTCGATCACGAGGCTGAACGTAGTACGGCATCACGGGCAAAGTACATAACGTAGCCGATGCTGTACCGTAAGATCGAGCGTTGCTTCGAGAGTAAGTCTCCAGCCAATTGAATGGGCACTAGGTGCTCTCGCAGCCTTGTGGGATGCTGATTGATGGTGCAGACATTTGCAATCATATCCAGATTCGTCTTTTCAGCCTCAGGCTGGCCAAATGACTGCAATGCACAGTAGTATGCTGACAATGAATGGAAGCAGGCGGGAAGAAGAGAGACGATGGCATTGAGTGTTTCTACCGCCCGGGATCTGCATTTACTTGGGCTGAGAATATCCAAACTGATACATTGCTTCTACCAAAATATGCTCATCGTATCTCAAGTCGTTGTTTGTAATGACATAGTCGGCGGAGAATAGTCACAATCCGTATATCTGGCCTTGCAATGAATTCCTGTGGCCCATCCCTGAAGGTGCAAAGTCCCCTCGTTCTAGTGCAATGCGCGAAGATAGCATCTCTTTTCGATCACCATGTCTGCACTGAGCACATCCTCCATGGTATCCCTCGAGCACGAATCAAGTGTCTCTACGCCTACAGAACATTCATCGCACTCGCCCAAAAACGCCTTCGACGACCCAGAACAGCTACGCATGAGACGAGAGCTACGACAGAGAATGATGTCCACTCCATACCCAGTTGCGACTGTCATTGAGCCTAGCCATGTGGAGATAGGGAATCCCGTGCAGCCCCTGATTTTGGCACCAGATCGATCAACCGCTCTCCTTATGAACATGGCGGCCGACCGGCGTCGAACTAGTGCTGCAGAACTTGAGAACAAGGAAAAGGTATTAGCAAAGTTCCAAAGTGCTGATAGTGCAAGAACTAATTTGTGAATCAGGGCAGGGGCCACGATAACTCAAGTCGTCGAAGGTCGATGCTGGAAGACCAACACCTTCTTCTTGCCCAACAGCAATATCAGCGGCTCGCGAGAGGATGTTCATACGGTTGAACAGATTTTGCAGGACGTCGGTACATACTGCGCGGTGACTAGCATAATTTCAAAATGCATTGAGTCTGTTGTGTGGAGACTCCACTATCTACTCTCGTCTCCCAGGCCAACAAATTCCTGCAAAGCTGTCAGACGCTGGAGTACTACATCCAGCGAAGGACTGTTTCGAAGCCAGATGAAATCATTCCGACTGAATATCCTCTTGTCATCGGGTTGTTTCGTGCACAGCCTGGTACTCTTTGATCGTACAGATATATGACTGTCTCCCTGTTCCACTGTTCTAAAGTAGCCATAGTGTGGGATAAGTACTTGAAAGTCTCTTTCAAGCTCGCTTCGTGACCAAGTCCTGTGGCATCGTCGTAGTAGTTGTACTCCATATTGTAATTCTCATCCCTCCGAGACCTTCTGCGGTAGACTGTTGTTCTGTTTCGTCTTGAATCACCTTGATGACCGTTTTCAAGACTTCACCATAGCTTTCGCTAGGACGGAAGCGGCTGACAGCGCGTCTCTGGAGCGAGACGCCGGGAACGAGGGGAGGTTGTGCGCTTTTTTGTAAAGGTTCGTCTTCTGAATAGCCCATTGTGGTGTCGAAGCTGCTTTTCAGAACCCAAAGCTGCTGGTATGAGAGAGCAGGCAGTGCTTTGCAAGTAAGTCGTGCCTTTCTCAGTCGTGGCGCGTAGCCCAATGACAGCACCACGTCAGCCGGTCATAAGAGTAAGGGCGAATGACATGGATCTCAAGCACAGAAGGCAGGACGCAGGCAAATCTGACCTAGACGGGAGTCATAGGATAATCTAATCTGGCGACAAGCCTTTCATCTTTGCGCCTGCTGGTTCATATACATGTGGTGCAAAGGTGAAGAGGAGGGGTTCAAACACGCATATGTGTCAAGTGTCCCAAGGGGTCTCTAGTTACTATACTTTGACCGCTTCTCATTCTAGACTCGGCGCTTCCTCTCCGTCACAGTTCCATGTTCCTGATAGAGATTGGGAGAGATCTTCTCAATCTCATTCCGCAACAGGTGCAATGTCACGACGCCCAAAAATTTCTGCGAACGGGTCGTTGTCTGCATTCTTCGCACGGAACCACTCAACACCATTAACGACATCATCCACCAGCTCTTTTGGAATCAGGGAAGCCATCCACGCAATGACCCCGTCAGCACCAGCGCTAACACCGGAAGTTGTCCAGATATTGCCATCATTCACCCAACGAGCCTTCGCGATCCAATGCGTCTTAGGTCCGTACGCTGCGACCTCGTTCCAGAAGTCTTTGTTTGTCGTAGCTTTGCGGTCGTCCAAGATCCCAGACTTGGCCAGAAAGCCTGCTCCATTGCACACGCTGATGATGTACTGTAGTGGCTGATGGCCATTGTTACCGCTGTAGCGGTCTCGAATGAATTGAACGTAGTCCTCGAGGTTCGTCTTGTGTAGGTCGAAGGCCCCAAATCCCCCAGGCACGAGCAGGACGTCGATTTCCGGGGCGGACTCGAGTGTATGAGTAGGCAGGTATAGCTGATTACCGAGGAAGGCCTTTCCAGCCGTATATGGTGGAATTGGCCCAGGATTGACGGGGTCTGTGGTTCTGCTGATGACGCTCAAACTCATATCATGGTATCCTTCTCTCCGTGCGAGACGATTCAGCATCTCGATGGGACCCGCCACGTCCAAAACCTCGAAGCCGGGGAACAGGATTAGCCCAAATGATTTCGGAAATGGTTTGTTCGACGCCATGTTGCAGTTTAAAGGGTTCAGATTGACAATATTGAGTTGCAGACACTACACTGCAATGGCAGAGCTTCTGCGAGGTTGAACATATTGTTCCGAAGCCTACTTCGACTCATTATATGAGTGAGAAAGGATTAAAAACAATTCGGTGAGACAGCCGTGATCACGGCAATTCCTTCGCAGTGGTCTCAGCCTTGCCGGGCCGGACGAGCATGTGCAACGGTCCCGGTTCGGCGGTACCATGAAATCCCGCTCTCTCAACCGGCACGGCTCATCATTGCAGCCGTCGCAGGCGGCTGATACCAGAGTGTCTTGATGCCGCCCTTGTTGGCCGCGCTCGAGTTACTGCGCAGATAGCGATGCCGCAACACCTACGCCGCCATTTCGGATGAAGTGTTCATTTACATTACAAATGCCAGAACTTGAGTAGTTGTTTCAAAAATGACGTCTTTCTCATCCTCGATATTGGCCACGGGAGCGGATATGTGGAAGAGCGATTTTACCTGCCGAGCAGCCCATTGCTGGCGAACGGAAATGTCTGGAACAAGAGCTCCTTCGCACGCCGCAAATCTGAATCTCGGGAACAGTATTACCAGTATTATGGCTCTACTCATGCCTCGTCACTAAGCGGTGAATGCTGTGGAACACTTATTCCGTGTGTCAGGCTGCCCCGTCCCAAATTTCGGTGGCGCATGCTGCAAGAAGTCTTCCTTTGTATCTGCCATAGCCGCGGCCTCAGAATAGCATCATAACGGACCTGGCTACGTACATGCTATGTAGCTTAGTGTAATATTCATGGAATAGGTGTCCCCTCTGTTATGCTGTTTCTAAGGAACCGGAGAGCAAAGGAATAGTGTTCGTTTGTATTTCCCGTCTCCAAACTTCGGGAATAATACGCCTACGATCAGCATTTGGATCGTGCAGAGTAGTCACAGGATCCATTGACTGGAACAGTGGTTCCACCTATTTTCTGATCTCCACCAAATGTGGTGGAGGGACGTGTTACGGTCGTAAAAGTGTTCTTTTGTTTCCCGCACGACCAAACTTGCGCAAGGTGATATTTAAGAGTCGCGCTTCAATTAAATGCAGTATCGAACAGATCGAGAGATTGGAAGACTTATTCCGCCTGTCTGCTGGCTGTGCTTTATTCGGACGATGTTGTACTGGAGAAATATTGTTCCTTTGAGTGCTAAGAGTCCCAAGAGGCTCTACTTGAACGGAATAAAGTCGCTCACTCAAGCGCCGGTATTAGCAGACACTGAAAGCACCACAGTACGCAGAGAATGAAAGAGCGGCGTCATAAAGATCAGCTGAATTCGTCTCGAAGAACATTCATGGAGATTGCAAGCTTGAGTCGGAAACTGACGTCTTTAACGTCGCACCAGCCCAATTTCACATGTCTCAAGGCTGCACTGTGCTACTCCCGTGTCCACCATCGTATCACTCATCCAAAAAGCTCAGCAAAGCGGTACAGACTCCGCGATGCCCATCATCTTGCTTGTCAGCAGCAATCCAGGCGCAAGAGACGCTAGGCGTAACTTTTCGTACATTGGCGAGGCTGCTCTTCTGAGAAATCCGTTCTTCCAATCATTTCAAAGACTACGGAATCGGATGCCAAGGGACCTAAGCATCGAAAAGATGTCGCATAGATATACTGATATTGCGTGAGTCTCACTAAATTTGATTGGCCAAGCCAGTTATGCATTGCATAGAATCCTTTGTGCCACTCTGAGTACAAATTAATCGACCCTTTTGGTATTGCTTGCGAAAGGGGCTTGGCGAAATGTGGCTCTAAATTTGTAATGCAGCCTTGTTCGACATTGGCGTAATAGTAATGAATATAGATATATAGATATATATCCAGCCGTGATTGAGTATTTGAAGAGCCCTTCGACCAGCCTACCGCACTGTAAGCAATTCGGTCGGGCTTGAAACTTCTCTGACAAGAACAAATCGTCTCAAAATGTCCCGCCAAACACTGGAAACCGATCCCAGGACTAGCCCGGCGCTACTAAAAGGGCTTCATCCACTCTCGCTTGGGAAAGACAACTCAACGCCTATACCGCCACCGGATGCCTCACTGGAGTCCCTGCAGAAGATCATAGCAACCATGTCGGAGAACTTCTCCCCTCTTTGGGAGACGTTTCCCAACGATCTACCGTCGGATAAGGATGAGCCACCTGTTGAACGATCAACCTTCCACGTGGACGGGGAAGATGGCAACAAGATCACGGTGTACGTATTCAGACCTCAGCCTGCCGAGTCCAGGGATAGCGTGCATGAGCTTCCAGGAATCGTTTATACTCACGGAGGAGCAATGACAATCTTGAAAACGCTTGGACCTGTGCACGAGCGATGGTGCACGTCTCTCGCATTGCAGGGATCTGTCGTGTTCCTCGTTGACTTTCGGAACGCTTGGGGCGAGGGAAGAGTCCACAATCCATTTCCTAAGGGCTTAAATGATTGTGCCTCTGTTGTGAAATACATTGGTGAAAGAAAGAAGGAGTTCGGCATAGGAAACCTGGTCGTGCAAGGCGAGAGCGGAGGAGCGAATTTGGCTTTGGCTGTGGCGTTGAAAGCAAAGAAAGACGGATGGGTAGATCTGATTGACGGCGTGAGTGGACAGGCTCCGTACTTGAGTGGGGGATATGGATGGCCAGAGGAGAGAAAGAGAGAAGAACTGCCAAGTCTTCTCGAATTCGACGGCTATGTGCTGCCCTGTGGGAGCCTCGCGGCAATGGCGAAGTGGTATGCTCCGAATGATGGCGAGAATCCTCTCGCTTGGCCATACTATGCCACTGAGCAGGACTTGACGGGCTTGCCACCACACCATATCACAATCAGTGAGCTAGACCCCCTGAAGGAGCAAGGCAAGGCATACCATAGGAAGTTGCTGGCAGCGGGAGTCAAGTCGACTGCAGTCGTGGTCCTGGGACTTTCCCACGGTGCAGCGATATTGTTCCGACAAGCTCTACCAGATGAGCACCGTAAAGAGGCCAGAGAGATTGTGGCGTTCGCGAAGAGTCTCTAACGTGTATTGTATTCAGGCCACAGCGCTAAGCGTATTCGCTCCGAAGACAAGGCTTTGACGGTAATACAGATTGTTAGCTCCGAAAATGCCGCGAAGTCGCTGCTCAACAACCTGTTACGTGCTGCTAACTTCGCAGAGACGTCTTTCAATAGAGGTTAGTGTCTTGTGGCCTCTCGTACGCTGCTCGTACGAAGGAAGCAATGTTGCTATCGCCGAATGAGGCCAATGCGACCCAGGATCGACCCAAAGACGGGTACATTTCACCATGTCTTTCCCCTCTCAATTGTAGACCTGATTAGCCATGGAACAACGCCAGGCGACTTCTAATCCCAGTGATTCTTGTACCAAGGAGCAAACACCAGCCTCGAAGAACGAAAAAGCCACCCCGGAACCCGAGGTTCAGAAATCCGTGGACGATGAGGCTGGGGGCTTGGAAGACTCGAAAGACACCGAAAAGCAGCAGCCATCGAGTCACGAAAGCCAAGAATACTGCATTCTGCCAGAATGGCAAAAGATTGCGTTGATGCTCACAGCGTCTTTCGCCGCGATCATTTCTCCAATCTCGAGCAGCATCTACCTTCCGGCGGTCAACGTTCTCTCACGAGATCTGGGCGTCTCCATCTCATTGATCAACGTCACGATCAGTACCTATCTCGTAAATATCATGGCATATGTATCAAATCAGTCGCTGACGTTCATTCCAGATCTTCCAGGGCATCGCACCCTCCTTCACCGCAGCCTTATCCGAAAACTTCGGTCGCCGGCCAGCATACATGATGTGCTTCGTCATATACTTAGGCGCGAACATCGGCCTCGCTCTCCAAAGCGATTATGCAGCCCTAGTGGTGCTGAGATGCATGCAAAGCTCAGGCAGCAGCGGGACGATCGCGCTTGGAAGTGCGGTGGTGAGTGATTTGGCTACCAGAGCGGAGAGAGGGAAGTACATTGGATATGCTTCGATGGGTGTTACTTTGGGTCCAGCCTTGGGACCGGTGATAGTGAGACAAAATGCTAGACCACGTTATGGAAAACATGCTAACTTTTTTACAGGGTGGCTTGCTAGAGCACTTCCTTGGCTGGAGATCGATCTTCTGGTTCTTGACAATCTTCTGCGGAACCTTCGCAATCATCATCGGAGTTGTGTTCAGAGAGACATACCGCTCCATCGTCGGCAACGGATCCATTCCGCCGCAGAAATGGAATCGAAGCGGGTTGCAGTGGGTCTCCCAAGACCTGCTTCACAGGAGTCTTCCCGAGCCAGACCACGACTCATTACAGAAACGCAGAAAACGACCGAACCCTCTGAGCTCTCTTCTCATCCTCCGCGATCGAGAAACATGCATCATAGCACTGTTCGGTGCCTCGCTATTCGCAGGCTACTCATCAGTCCTCAGCGTCCTCACATCTCAGCTGGAAGCCCGCTACCATTTCAACTCGATCCAGATCGGACTCTGCTATCTGCCCCTGGGATTCGGAAGTTTGACGTCGCGCTGGACTATGGGCGTCCTGCTGGATAGGAACTTCCGTCGTGAAGCCAAGAAGCAAGGCCTCGAAGTCATCAAGAACAAACAGCAGAACATCGCCGCTTTTGACGTGGAGAAAGCTCGCCTTGCGATCACGATACCCTTCGTCGTGGTTGCAGGTGCGAGCATAGTTGCCTATGGCTGGACCATGGAGTTCGATACACCGTTGGCGGCACCGCTGGTAGTGGTGTTCTTCACTGCGCATTGCGCGACTGGTGCGTTTAGCAGTCTGAATACCTTGGTGGTGGACATCAACCGCGAACAGCCTGCTATCGCCTCAGCTGCCAGCAACCTCACTCGGTGCTTGCTCGCTGCTGGAGCTGTGGCAGCTGCTAATCCTCTGATCGATGCTATCGGGATTGGCTGGACGAGTACAATCTGTGCGCTTGTTTGGGTGGCTTGTCTTCCGCTCATTTGGCTTGTGTATGCCAAAGGTCATGAGTGGAGGAAGGCGAAAGCGCCAGGGGAGGCCGAAGTCTAGACAGAGGAGGGTTATAGTCTTGTAGATCAGAGTCATGATTCGTCGTCATCACACCAGATTGTACTCTTGAGTGTGATACCTTCCATCTCGAACAGCCTCTCCTTCCATGAATCCCTGCAGATAACACTCACCAACGAGCCGATACTGCCCCTTCGCTAGCGGCCTCAAGATGACAGGAACACTGCATCCGTACAGAACGCACACCAGATCCCCTTTCTGAGCTTGTTGAGGCACAATCCCCACGTGCCCACTTTCCGTGACCGCCAGCCTCCGAGCCATATCCCTAAGAGTCGCAGCCTTCTTGAACTTCCATTGAATGTCGTGCTCGCTCCCATCGGCTGCCGTTACATCGACCTCACGGAGCGGACGTAGGTGGTCGAATCTTTTAGGGTTTAAGGCCTTGCCCAAGGTCATGCCACGAATGAGTAGCGAAGTGTTGTATCGTAACCACGCGAGGAATTCTCGGGTTCTTCTCTCTTTCACGTCTTCATCAGACTCCGCGTCCTGAAGAAGTGCCTTGATCTGAGCTAAGATCCGATTTGCATCTGCAGGATGCTGAAGATAGACATCTGCTCGGCCGAGGACCAGGCTGAGAGCAATGTCTTCCGCTACTGCCATCGAGTCGGCATCTGAAACAGACCCGCTCTCTAGAAGTATCGATGGGCAGTTTAAAGATGATGTGGACTGTATCAGAGGCTCACAAACTTGAGTGCTGCCATGAAGAGGCGAATCCACCATCCCAGCCAGACCATCGATTTTGTCCAGTGTCGCACCTTTGCATCTCAACTCAGCCATGTCATTACTGAACTGGAAGTATGCCCTTTTGTCTCCGGCCGCCATGTAACGTCGACTTTGTCTTTCATCCAACACAAATCTCTTGGGGATCAGGCTACCGATGGACTTATTCGCGGGCTGACTGACAAGGAGAGGAACGGGGTTCGAAGCGCTCCACTCTGCAGAAGGCCGATCACGCCAGTCTGGCACCCATGAAGGAAGACCAGAATCTACCCCGGCTCGGCAAGGCTTGAAAAGCGTAGTGAAGCAGATGATGTCCAGGCTTTGGTGTCTCATAATCCACTTCCGACAAAAAGCAGTGTAGATTGACTCGACGCTAAGGGCGTAGTTGGGATTACCAACAATGCTTCGATCCGTGGCGTTGACGCATCCGACAAGTGAGTAAATATAGTCCTCATCATCAGTAGCCTGAGCGTGTCGAGTGTATGCGAGCAAAGCCGGTAGGCCAATTGATTGGCCTGGCAGTGCCACATCGCGGCCCCAGTACCACTGAGTTATCCTCCGACGGTTCCACATTGCCGCCCAAGGCTCCATGTCGAGGGATACGGATTTCGGGATGAAGTCCTCGTTCGTGACCAGAATCGCACGTCGCACTTGCTTCTCGCTCAGATGTTTGGTGCCGTAGTGATAGACGACTTCCTGGGGAACGAGGCTCTCCTGCAAAGTCCACGCTCTCCTCCACCAAGGGTTTGCGGCGACCACTTGATAGCCTCGCCAGGCTTCGATGTCTTTTAGCATGGGATGGGAGATTGGTTTGTCCTCCTCGCACATCGCCAGTAACTTCATCAACTCGATCCCTTTATCTGTTTGTGGAGTAGCCGGCCCAAGCCAGACGATAGCTGACCTCGCCTCGCCGAAGATATTCGCCATGTAAGCAACTTGCTGCCCGACTTCGACGACGTCTTTCTGATTAATGCATATTGAGTCCAGCCAGGTCCAAGCAGGGGTGGCGGAGTCACGGTTGTTGAAAAAAAGCTCCGGCGTGTCGCAAAGTGCTTGGAGAATGGTATATACCGAGATCAGGACCGAGATAGTGCAGCCATTCACGACGATCGTTCTGTGTGTTGTGCGGTCTCCCCACACGTATGATATGGCTCTGTAAGCTGGAGTGTGTCTCGAGCCCAAAACGAAACTCTCCAGCTCTCCGTCAATCTGGCCGTTGCGGCTACGATGGACACGCAGTAGCCGGATTGAGTTTCCTGTCTTCAGGGGTTTGTGGAGGGCCATTGCTTGGGATGCGCGAGGATGCGGAAGGAGAAGGCCTCTGGAAGTAGATGTCGAAGCTGAGCTACATCGAAGGTAGGTAGAGAATGGCCTAGCTTAGATTGTGCATAGGCGAGAGAACCCGATGTACATGGCAGCCTCGGTGGCTGATTACTCTTGGCAATGGTCGTGAGAGTGAGCAACGTGCATGGAGCAGTAGCGTACGAAAGGGGTTGAAGGATTTTCCGTTCTACATAACGTTGGTGAACTACTCAACAAGTCTGAACTGAGCTTGACTAACCATACGCGCATTCTCCCTCCTCAAGAGGCACCGCCTCGAACAAACGGAATCGCAACAGCATTGATCACCGCAAAAGCAGTATCCAACATAGCCAAAGTATGCAGTTTGGCCGACTCAGTCCAGAAAAGATAACCAGTCACCAGATGCAAGCACATCCTCGCTATCAACGCTTTGCGGTGGATGTTCGACTGTGTCGCAGAGAGGAGGGTGAAGACGCCTAGGCCGAGAACTTGTAGACTGCAACAACATCAGCATTTACCAAGTCAAGACAGAGGAAGGAGTGGCATAGCTGGATGTATACGCAACAGGCCTTGTCACAGTACTGTCAAATTGCTCTGCCAACGTAGCAACCGTGGCTGAAGGCCACAGGAGGCCATAGAGACCGAAGAGGCCATTCACTGCTCCTTGAAAGCCCAAGGCTGCCGCGGGTATTGATACTTGACTCGCTGCCATGTTCATGCAATCTCTGTATCTGCCAAGATTCCAGCGATAGGTTGAGACTTATAGCAGATGGACAGGCAATGGTAGCGCCAAGCCACTCACGTCGCCGGGAGGGGGAAGTGATCTGGCCGCGTATACTGTACAGTAGACGTTAGTAGCTGACCAAGGACGATCATAGGTCCCTATGAGATGAGGAGCGGGGCCACTCGAACTGCTTCAAACTTGAGGTATTCGTATCATGCTACCGTCTTTGCGTCAACATGCCTTAAGCCAAATCGTACATGTTGTTTCTATACTACCTCTACAACCGCGCTCGTTCACTGACGTACGAATTCTGCCTCCTGATTGCGTCCAGCGCTTCTTGCTCGATTCGGCTGACAAGCGTCTCGCACGAGGGAATGTCGTTGATCAGACCGATACACATACCGGCAGACCAGACCTAGCACTACGTCAGTAACACGAATACGGATATCAGAAGCCGTAGCTCGACTCACTCCATAGTCTGGGTCTCCATTAAGATACACCTGTCGGCCTCTCGCTCCACTAACTAAGGGCAAGACCTCCTCAAACTTGCCCGTCGTGCTCTCCCTCTCCACCTTAGCGGCCTCTTCGGTGACCTTGTTGCGGAAATACCGGTTCGTGTTCTTCCATCTTCGTAGAACAAGATGCGTATCGTTCTCGGTGGATTTGACAATGGCCTCCTTAATATTGTGGTGGATTGGTGCTTCCAGGGTACACATGAACCGCGTGCCCATGTTGATGCCGGTAGCTCCCAAAGCGAGAGCGCCTGCAAGTCCGTGGCCGTCTGCGAAGCCACCACTTGCAATATATGGAATGTCTCCAAGGGATTGCCGTGCCCTCGACAGTAGAATGAAGTTTGGGATGTCCGTCTCGCCAACATGACCAGCACATTCAAAGCCGTCGATCGACAAGAAGTCAACCCCAAGCTTGACAGCTGCGAGAGCATGCCTGATCGTCGTACATTTGTGTAGGACCTGTGCACCTCCTTCGCCCTTGACCTTTGCAATCACCTCTTTAATCTGGACATTGCCTGCTGTTTCCACAATCTTGATGCCTTCGTCAACGATGACTTGTCCGTAGCCGATGTAATCTGGTGCATTCGAGTTCGGGAGGAGCGTAATGTTTACACCGAATGGTTTGTCGGTCATCTTCTTGCATTTTCGGATCTCTTTTCGTAGGTCTTCGGGTGTTGGTTGCGTTAAGCTGGTGATCTTAGAAAGAATCTGTTAGCCAACGATCCCGACTTCGTTGACGTACAGCTCACAATGCCCAACCCGCCAGCATTCGAGACTGCGCTGGCCAGCTCTGCATAGCCAACCCACATCATTCCACCTTGTACGACCGGGACTGTCAGAGAACGGTTCTGTTAGCTGCCGAACTTCTCATTCTTGATCGCAAGGCTCATATCGTACCTCGAATGCCCAGCCGCCTCGTCAACTCGGTGTTGAAAGCCATGATGTGCCAATGTAGTAGAGAACGAAAGCTGTAGAATACACAAGTGAAGGACTCCAGAACATTGTTAAACAGTTCCAACAAGATGACGTTCGGATATCCGATTAATGATCCTTACCGAAAGAAGCAATTCCCGCTTCCTCAATGCCTCTGCGATTCGGTTAAGGTTTCGTGAGAGCCGAATCTGCCGAGAGGAGGAGTTTGGATGAGGACACACGTGGAGAAGTTGCTGCTCGACGACGATATAACAAGGAGAATGTTGACATGCCTTGACGAGTTTTCTCCGACGTTTGCCAGGCAGTCTGTGGCGCTGCAGTCTTCCTGAAGTAGCGACTCGCCGTTCGTGACATCGCCGGAGGTGCGAGAGGCTGTTCGCGCCACTGCTCTCGACCAGCATACCTGCTCATGTATTCGTATCCAGAGGCTGCCAATTTGTATATCGTAACTTCTCATACGATATATGCAGGCATTACTGGAGGGTCAATGGGTCCAAGGCTGGCCGAATGGGACCGACTGCCGCTTGCCTGCTTCTTGGTTTTGTTGCCTTTCCATCCAGGCCATCGCGCAGCCACTGAGATCTTGCAGCTAAAAAGCATTTCCCAAAGGGTTGGAGAGACGAGTGGATGTTCTTCGGGGTGCCATAATGTTGGGCATCCTAGTGTTCCAGACGCGTGGTCCTTATCTTCGGCTTTCCGAGTCAGAAGGGCGCCTTGACCTTGTTCTTGCAAGCAATGACGCCCTTCAATGCTCCGTCTATTGTAGAAACAAAGGATAGGCAGATTTGATAGATTCTTCAGCAGATGAAGATTGTTGTTGTTGCTTTGTCACAATTCGCCCCCTTCCTTCGGAGCTCGGGCCCTGCTGCTGACTACTCCTCTCTTCCCTGCCACCTCCACCTTTCTTTCACGCTCTCCCAACGTCGGTTCCTCCGGCTCTGCTCTCTCTGTCTTCTCTTCCTGCTATACGCTTTCAAATCCACGCCAATGCTGCGCGCAGAATGTTCCTCGTGGCGATACGGCGTTCTGAGGGATGTGCATGTCCATTCCTGCGAATTCTCGGCCGTTGTCGCCTGAGGCCTTGACTGTACTTCTCATAAGCAGCGACGACAAGCCTCGACTTAGGGCGGTCGATCCGGGGAATGGGCTGCTTGTGTCATGCTAAGGAGATACATACGCGCGGTCTTCGAGAAAATGCCCCGAAACTCGCTGAAACGCCTCGTCCTGTTGCCAAAGTCAAAAGTGCAAAGCACGTTATTGAAGCACCCTTATCACGCCAGATTGCGCTATGGCGCCTTGGCCACTCGACACATGCCTGTGCCTCATGCTACACCGACTTTCTAAACAACTCTTTCTCTTGTTCCTGCATTTGTGTCACTGTTCAAGTACCGCCGTATTTTGTGCCTGACTGCAATTGTTGCACACTCACGTCGACAGAAGAAATCCTCCCCGATCAATCATCAACAAGCCTTCGACCACCATGGCCAAAGTGTTGAGTCCTACGCTGGCTCACGCAACGCCAGTCGACGTCGTCAAGAGCGCATTTTCGGTTGCCGAAATCGAGTTCAGCAACTCGCCTCAATCCAAGACTCAGAACAAGACCAGCGTCTCCAAAACCCCCAACGTTGCTTCAACCGACGACTCCATCGACCTCAATGCCACCCACCTCATCAGCTCTCCATACCCAGACTTCGAAAACCAACTGCGACTCGACCACCTGGATGTTCCAAACCAACTCCTCGCCTTCGCTCTCACCGCATTGAAGCCAATCCGCGATGACTACGCAACCGCACCCTACCTGGAGAGCTTCAACTGGCCCGAAGTCTTCGCCCTTCTTCGATCCCTGAGCAAGCGAGTCGGTTATGAATGGAAGAAGCAAGACTTCTACGTCGTCATCTTCAGATCCAAGCTGCAGGCGAACATCGACCGGGATCGACTCGGCCTTCTCGATCAAATGTCGCACCAGGAGGCATGCGCCAGTGGTGGACTGCTGAAGTACTGGTTTGGAAGCCCAGATGAGGAGCGACAGAACCTGGCAACTTGTGAGTTTGAAACATCAGTTTCTGGCATTTGGTGCATTGCTGACGTGATTTTCAGGCTTGTGGCGCAATCACGGCGACGCAGTGGCGGGCGGTGGCGGGCCATGGCATAAGCAGGCGAGAGCTGCTGCGAGAGTCATGTAAGTTCAACTATTGCACTGGAAACGGAGTTGAGGCTGACATTTGATCCAGGTACGATCGCATCACCTTTCACACGCACAAGCTGATCATCGAGGATGGCGCGGAGACCTGGCAGCTGGAGGCATTTTCTAGCAAGTAGTCTTTTCGACATCACCAGGCTTTCTCTACGATGGAGACGTTGCTTTACTACACTAGAACTTGAGATTAGCGAGGAGTTCCGGAAATGGCTGACCACAGACTGCCCAGGAGGAGCAGTAGATACAGCCTTGCTTTACAACTGAAATTGAAAGACTGCATTCAACCATCAACCCCCATCTCTCAACAAACCACCTCCAAATCCTCAAACTCCACCTCCAACCCCTCCTCCAAGTCCCCATCCTCATAATTCGGCTTCGCAGCATAAACACCCACCCAAACCTCCGCCCCCTCCTCCCCCCTCTCCTCCAAAAACGCCCACGTAACCTCCCTGAGCGGATACCTCTCCTCCTCCAAAACCGCATAAACCCACATCTCCGTCGTGCTCCTCTCCACCACAAACCTCCCCTGATTCGATCCCGCCGGAATCAAACTCCAATCCGAAAACGCATACGTCCCCACGGTCCCGAACTGCGGCGCGGAGTTTTCGAATTCGATGCCCGTTTTCACCCATTTGAGTGGTTCCCTCCTTCCCTTCTGATGCCTCTCGTCGTGATGGTGGTTGGAACAAGGAAAGAACACGGCAATCCCGCCTTGATCGTACCGTGTTTTCCAGTTTGACGAGAGGGTTACGGAGATGGATTTGAAGGCTGAGGAGAGGCAGGTTGTGTAGATGTAGGGGGCTGTGAAGTTGTTGGCTGTGGTGTTGGGGCGCCAGAGGTCGGTGGCGGGTGGGGTGGTGAGGGTGAAGGTTGTGGGGCTTTTGGGGGTTATGTGCGGGTTGTTGATTGTGTGCCAGGTGTGGTTGTTGGTGTTGATGCCGGGTGGTGGTGGGTGGTGTGGGTTTGGTTTTGAGGCCGTGGAGGTTGCGCTTAGGACGGTTAGGGAGAAGAGAGTGAGAAAGAACATCGTGCTGAGTCGAACGAGTTTCAACGATGGGTTTGGATGTCTTGTTCTACAAGCTGTCGAGGTTTTGAACAAGAAAAGGCGTCTTAAGTAATATATTTACACAAGAAGCGGAGAACAGCGCTTGGCTTTGCTTGGCTTCCTCTTTCGTATGCATGTGAATGCAGAGCTAAACTTCCGAAAGTACGAAGGCAGACGGGCCGATCTTCCGATTATGTATAGTGCTGCCGCCGTTCAGAAGGGGAAGACTTCCAACTGCTTCTGAGTTGGTTGAGAGGACTTTGCCATTTGAATTCAAAATTGGAAAGACGTCGAGACTCATGACATGTTTGGACCGAGAACTGAGAAATGGATGGTGGATTTAGGTTGAACAGTTTCATGATCTTGTTTAAAGCTTCTCTCTTATGGAAGCACTCTCGGCTCATCATTTCTGCCAGATGGGCCGCAGCATCTCAGTCGTCGCTATCCAAGTTGACTACTTCCTGCTCTTGCTGTGCTTCCTCTGCAGCCTTCCGACGACGACGCTCTGCCTCATTCATGCTTTTCTTGTTGTTGCTCTCCCAGTTCGTTGCCTTCAGCTCGAGGCACTGAGCTGGGTTGCAGATCAACAGAATCCAATCGTCGGCGCATGTCCCTTTCATGACATCGTTGGCTATCCACTTGTTGACCTTGATAGCCTCCGCAATCCTAGACAGCCGTGTCACACAGGTGATGGTCTGATCGATTGGCTTGTCACAGCTCCTCGTTCGCGCATCTTCAGGAAGCCACGGGCTAGCGATCTTCTCTGGAGTGTCGAACTTCGTGGCGTTGAGTTGCGGCATGGCAATACCGTGTCGATGGACCTCCTTCACTGCATCGATGAGGAGGAACAGCCTTGCCGCTGCGTCCAAGTGGCTCTGGTCGTTCGCCAGCTTGCTTATGAGGTCGTTGTACTGACACTGATGATTGTGGTCGTACGTCTCGCGGAACTTGTGCTCACTTGGCGCCGGCATGGGAGGGTGCTGTAGACAGGCGAGCAAGGTCTTGCGCACATTCTCAAGGTGCTCACCTTCGACCTCGTCGGTGTTATCGCGTTCTGGATGGATGCGCAACTTGTAGTACCTTAAGTGCGGTGATTCCAAACGAACAATGCCTTGGGCCTCCTCTAGTGACGGGACTTGCTGGATGGCCTTCGCGCCGCTCGCGGAGAAGTCGGCAGGCATTGGCGTGTCGAATGCACGCCCGAACCAAGCCAAAGTCTCTTGCGTCGTTCGCTCGGTGCTATCGACCATCCCAGTGAGCAGCTTTGCTCGCTTATTTGCCTCACCTCTCGGCTCTCTGGCTTTCCGCTTCCTGCCACTACCGCCGGAGGACGAGGAAGGCAAGGACGTTGGTGAGCCTTGAGCTCTTGCAGACGCGGTCGCAAACACGTTGCCTCGCGTTGGTGGTGGTGAGTCGGTGAGGTCTACTACGTCTTTCTGCCGAGGAGGCCGCACCTGCTGGCTCGCCTGCTGAGTTGGCTGCTGCACTGGTGGGAAGTTCATGAACGCCTGGTCCGGTGCAACGACAGGAGAAGCAGACGAACCGCTGCCAGGCTGAGAATCAAAGTTCGAGACTCTTTGCCGTCGATTCCCTGGCTTGGGTCCACTTTTGCCTCTCGTCTCTGGCGTCAGAGGTACTCGTCGGAGAGGAGGTACCACTCTGCCCTGTGCCGCCGCCTTTAAGCGCCTCTCTGATTCCGTCATTTCAACTGGATTCGCGGGCTGTACAACGGGAAGGACTGGGCTGGATGGTAATGGAACTCTCGGCGCGGCACCGTTTCTGTGCGGTGGCTGTGACGCTCTGGTCGAGGAACCAGCTGTCACAACCTCACCTGCTTCCCCAAAACTCTCAAGCCCGAAAGGAGCAGCAAGCGGGATGGGCTGATTGCCAGTAGCACCGCCAAGTTGCCCAAACGAGGGATGAAGAGGTGCTTGTGTGCGTGGAGGATGTGCAAAAGGTGCGCTCGTGGAAGGCGGAAAACGTGGACTGCTCTGGTTCGTCAAATTCGGGGGAGCTTGAGTGCTCACGTCGAAGCCAGAGTTCGCAGGGTTGTCATCTTGGTCAGTACCTGCTTCCTCTTGGGCGGGCTGCGCGGTTGAACTCGAGTCTTGAGCGCCCGCTTCGAAGGGATTCGTGTTCTCGTCCATACCAAAAGCCTGCACGAACCAGTCTGGTGGAAGCTCGGTTTCTGTGAGATTCGCGGGCTCGGCAGTCGCGCCAGAGGGATCAGGGGTTGGAGGCTCTTCAGTCGCTTCGGTGGAATTCTGGTTCGCATCGCTCGCTCGCTCTTGCTCTGACGTGTCGTCGCGCTGCTCTGGCAACTCTGGATAGTAGCCCATGATGTCGAAGAAACCTTGCCTCAAGGCGGCGGCGGCGTCGTTGGTGTTGTTTGAGGCCATTGTAGCGTGCGATGGGCGACAATGAGGTGATCTTGAGGGAAGTGTGTGAGAGATGGAGGCTGCGCTTTACGTTAGTCGATGTTCATCATGTTTGGAGATGTGGATAGCTTACCTGAAGGCGTGGTCGTGCTGGAAGCAACGGAGAAGATCTTGCGGTTGATCTCGAAGGGTGCGTGAGATAGGTGAGGTGGAAGGGGAGGTTGCGCTGTGGAAGTCGTGCAGCGGAAGCGAGTGCCGGTGGTGAGCTGGTTGTTGTGGTGGCTGCTCTGCTTCGTGGAAGTTGTGTCTGTCTGATGGAGAGAGAGTTGCAAGAATCCGGAAACCGCGCGGTGGAAGTAGGTGCCGGAGCCCTCCTCTCTCGATAATACGCACATGTCTTTCTATTGTCGAACAGACATGAATACACGACTCGGAAGCAGTTGAATTCCACAATAGGAAGGAAGTCCTCCGCCGCCGCCGTTCACTTCTCATGATTGGACCCGCGACGGCCAATAGGATCCGCTTGCTGGGTCCAAGCAAGCACGGGTATAGCATTTTGCAGTCTTATTGTCTTTTTATTGTTGGAAGTTGTAAATATACGAGGAAGAGGCAGATTTGCATGTGAGTGGGAGGGAGGTATCTAGGAGTTTGATCAGCGGCAGATCTTATGTACGGAGGTAGGCAAACCTGAGATAAAGAGGGTGAAGATCTCACCCTGCGTGAAAGGTGGACCAAGACAGTGCTGTGTGGAAAGATTGCTGCGCAGCGTAGTCTTTTTGCGGCTTCTTGCAGGTCTGTTGTGTCGATATTGCTGATCTGTAAGAGACATCTTTCATGGCCATCGCTTTGGATGCTTGCAGGCATAGCGCTAAAGTATCCCAGGGATATAGCATCCACTTTCATGTCATTGTTTTGGGCTACTGTGTTCGACACCCAAGCAAAGCGAAACAATTTGGCCCTTGGGAAGCAGTGCCAGAGTCTTTCGCCGATAAGATTCCCAGGGATGGGGACAAAGGAGACATGGTAGCTCTTGTGAGATGACTCCTATGTCGCTTTAGAGTGGGGCGTTCGATCTGTATGATGAACAGAAGGCCTAGTTCATGGTGCCGGGTGGCAGCTCGCTGTTGGACGGACTGGAGAAACGTTGAGCGGTGGACTAGGGTAGGCGAGAAGCTGTACGATAGCTTTGACAATACCTGAGCATCTAATTCATTGCCCAATGTTACAAATGTGTGAAGATGACATACAGCTCAAGTAACCATATCCACATCCTTCTTTCCCACCCAAATACCGTTCGAGAATGGACTATCAAGGCCACTAATCATAGACTCTTGCATCATCCTTGGCTATGTTTGGCATCAAAATCAACGACGTTCGAGAGCTCCATCGACTCGATATCGCGCCCAGTCGACGCGAGGCGTACGGTCCCAAATTTGTTCTCGGTCAGCCATTGGCGAAGAAGCTGCAGATAGCGGACGACGACGAAGATCACAATGCATGCAGCCAGAATCGCAAAGCAGTAGCCAGCGACTGAGCCACTGCCGTTGGAGCTGTATCAAAGTCAATACTTATTATTTTTCGGCTTCGAGACCGACTTACGGATCAAGGAAGTCATAGACATAGATGCCCTCCGTCTCATGCGTGAGATACGCCAGGCTTAGATACAGCGCCAAGATGAAGATCAAAGGGGCGAGGTTGGTCCATGGATGAGGCTGGGATCGCGGTAGAGCGAGTTCGACAAAGGCGAACGCGGAGTTCATGGCATGCTCGGAGATGTTGGACCAGGTGCTGAATTGGGAGACAAAGGCGTCCTTTGACAGGACTGCCCAGTAGACCGCTGTAAGGACAGTGTCAGCTATACTTGTAACAAAGGACTTGGGCTCTTCTTACCGGTGACGATGAAGGGGAAGACTGTAACTGTAGCGTAGAAGACGCTATGCAGATACTTCAGCCATGTCGGCCACGATTGCAGCAGAGCTTTCTCTCGAAGCGCATAGGAAGTTGTATGCAGCGCTGCGAAAGCAAAGTAGAAAGCTAGACCCCAGTATCCAAGCACAGTAAAATAGCTGAAGCTCTGCTGCACTCCCTCAGCCTGGCCGATGGCAATTCGGTACCCGATGATATAGAAGAGTGTGGTAAAGGCATAAACGCTGAGAATCGCTCGCACAGTCCCGAGCAGCCATGTTGGCAAGATCCAGGAAGTACAGAGCTGTTCGATGTAGAGATCTGTAGTGGCGGACTGGTATGACCGGCGGATGCGGTCGAGTACGCGAGCTGTCATTTTGGGAGTGGATCCGAAACGATGGGATGTCATACGAGGTAAAGATCAGCGTTTCGGAGTCGAGTCCTGAACTCTATTTGGGAGATCGATGTTGGCAGTGTTGATGTCTTCTTGCTTTCCAGGAGCAAGATATAATTCCTTCAAGATTTTCGAGGAGATCGCTTCGGTGTGGCCATCTTTTCGGGACAGCCAAGTGGATCGGTACGCGTCCTTCATCTACGAGTCTTCAATTTTCGCTTACATACCATGTGCCAAGCCCGAGTCCAGTCTAGCGAGATAGCTGAACTTTAAGCCGACCTCATCTCTTGCTCTTTGAATTTTTGGGCCATTGAGCATTACAAAATTACTTCTACGAGTACCTAGCCTGCCCATCCATCGGCCTGATTGAAAATATGGTGGAGCTACTACGAATTGTCGTGAAACTTCTTACATCAACGATGACTTTGGCTATCTACCATGGGCACTTCTCTGGTCTTCTCCCATCTTGCACGACCTTCTTCGACCATTCGAACATCCCCTGCAGATACTTTCAAGACCGCAACACTTCATCACATCCTCATCATCTATAAGATCCACCCGTACTGGTTTGCTTTGCTTTGCTTTGCTTTGCTTCTAGCTGCATCCCTCTCCTCTATCGTTGAAACCTCTGCGGCGCGTCTTTCTTTTTCTGAAGAACCCTGCCTGCTTGCTGTTGAGACATTCTTAGTCCCTTTCCCCACCTCTCAGCACGCCTTCAGCAGCCTAGGACTCGCCATCGAAATCCTCATTGCTCCGGCCCATGGACTCCTCGTCGAACTGTACGCGTAAGTGATAAGCATCTTGCTGGACGTCGACATCAAACAACCCATTCCACAACTCGTTGCCCTCAATCGCAACCGAAGCCGTTGGGGCAACGGTGGTCGACTGGTCTTGTAGATCAGTCTGCTGCTCATCAACTTCTGACTCCCCGACCCCGTAGACACCTTGGCCACCATTCGTCCATGCGCCAGTCTGGAACAGGAGGCCTTGCCCGACTTGGCTTTGCTGAGCCTCCTGTTCTTCAGTGTTCAGCTCGTTCCAATCCTTGTTGGCACCTTGTAGCGAAAGCTGCATGCCCATGGTCGGTGCTTGCAGATCCCATCCCGCATCTGGCTGTTGACGCATTGGATCGAACGCAGTTCCTTGGTTTCCTCCATTGGCTGTAAATCCTGCCTCCTGCTGGGCATCACCAGCCAGTGGCTGCTCGTAGTTGATCTCGTCATCTTCCAAGTCAACTATCGGCGTCGATTGAGTTGATTGAGCGACTGAAGCAGTTTCAGGAGAGGCGGGGAAGTTGGTCAGCGGTCGCCGCCTGTTCTTCTTTCGTCCTCCACCTCTAGGAGCTCGACGTGTGGAATGAAAGTCTCCAGCAGTAGGAGACTTCGTGCGCTTCGAAGTCTTCGAGTAGGTCACTTCTTCTTGATCCTCTCCGTCATCCTCCGTCAATGCAGTTCGGTTTCGCTTGCTGCGCTTGGAAGGCAGGCCTTGCGATGAGATCAGCTTCTGAGTTGTGGAAAACGCCTTTCTCCCGCGCCGCTTTGGGCGTGTCCGAATCTCAGCAGCCTCTGAATCTTCTGCACCAGCCTCTGCATCCAGTTGCTCAGAGTCAGCCCGCTCTGATGGACTACCACTACCTCCCAAGGCTGCTGCCTCCGCGTTGCGTTCAACTTCTCTGCCGAGCTTGATGGTCTCATTCTTGTTGGCATTGCTCCCCGCATTCAAAGCCTTACGACTGAGATACTTTGTTAGACAGCGCGCAAATTCCGTCATCTTGTGGTCGTCGCAGTTCATGACGTCCACAGCGATCGTCTTACTAGAGCGAATGGACTGGATTACTTTCTCGCAGCGCTCTGAGCATTCATCTTGAGTTCCGTATCGTAGAGCTTCGCGCCCGAAGTCTTCTTGTCCTTCAAGTGCGCCTTCGGGATGCCTTCGGCGTGGACTTTGCATACGTAACCGACGAGTCGTATTTCTTGAGCCAGTGCTTTCTTCTGGCCGTGATCGTCGCTGAGAATCTTCTCAAGCTGGGCGCGAGCGTTGACTTGGGTCTTTTCATAGCGGCTCTTCTTAATGTCCGTCCAATGTGCGGCGGGCTCCTGGTGTTGCGCTAGCAATGCCTTCCGGATTCTCGCTGCGATTTCAATCACCTTCTCTGGCTTCATGACTTCGTCCACGTCGTCCTTGCGCTTGGCCAGATAATAGGGTGTGATGACTTCCTCACACTCCTTGATCCACTCCTTAGCGGCAGTAAAGGGATTTTCCTCGTCGAGCTCTTCGTCTTCGGTGAGATCTTCGAGGTCATCAAGAATGCCTTCGAAGCTCTCCTGCCCCGCGTCGTCTTTGTCCAGACTCTCGTTGTGAAGCTCGTTTTGAGCGCTGGCTTTGTTGTGGTGACCAGTATCTTCTGTGCTCGTGTTTCCAGGTTGGTACTGCCCGTTCAGTTCGACACGCGTCTCTAATGATCCAGTGGTGGATCTCGAAAGCGCTGGACGCTGACGAAGGATCTCATCACTGCTGGACTTGTTTCTGAGCTGGACTTGTGCACTGGAGTGGCCTGTGGTTACTTGCGGAAGATATGTTGGGTATGAGTTTTCGAGCTGAGCTTGCGGGTTGATCGAATGATGAGCCTGGTGTTGCTGCAAGGTGGACAAGTAGAAGTGCGTAGGGCGCCGTGCGTTCACAAAGCGAAAATGCTGGTCTGTTGCTGTCGAAGGTCGTTCGCCAATTCCAAGCTGAACCATGCCAGGGACCCGTTGCACTGCCAGCGTGTTCATATTTGTCATGAGAGGTGCAGTACCGTTGTTCGGTGCTGATGCTTGAGGAAGGCGACGAGCGAAAAATTGCGTCGTGTCAAGTTCCATACGGTCTTTCGAAATAGGCGCCGACTGCTTGAAGCTATGATTCGACGGCATCGGACCCGAAAAGCCGTTTGCGTGGTTGTTGTTGGTATAACCGAGACTCTGACCAGTTGGAGCTCCATATTGCGCTAAAGGTTGGGAGGGCGGCGAGGTGGGATCCATACCGCCTGCGCTCGACTGCGGTTCTTCGTTTTCAAGAGAGAAGGCAGGCCAAGCGTCGTCGTTGGCTGCAAGCAGAGCTTCTAAGATTGCCGGATCATAGTCGCCAGTGGCGGAGAACAAATCCATGTCGTCCATGAGTGGCAATTGATTAGCACTCATGTTCGTGGAATTTGAGTTGTTGAATGAGTTATCTTCGTTGGAAGACATGCTGAAAGAAGACGGCGACTCATGCGAAGTTGAAGAGCTGTCTGTGGTATGCGACAGTTGTTGTTGCAAGGTGCGAACGGTGTCGCAAACGCGGTACGGACGCGAGAACTGTCGAAGAAGCACAGCAGACGGAGCTTGATGTCTCGCGTCTGCGTGGCTGCGGTGATTTTCGACAGCGACTGCAGGCGGCTCTTGAATATCGAAGATCTTTTCTGGTAGCGGGTTGGTGAGGTTGTGGTCGCAAACAGAGGGAAGCGGGTTGAAAAGCAGTGGGTGGCCCGTGCGCGTCACATGCAAATCATCTTGAGCGAGGTTGCCGGGGCTACCGGCCCAAGCTTCGAGCCTGAGGCATTGCAGCGCTCCTTACTGTGAGAACTCATCATGCTGGCAATTCTAACTTCAGGTTCGTGTCTTGAAAGTCTGCTGAAAAGGTACTGCAGAGTGTCCGCGCGAGCGCTCCCAGGCGCTTTGTGAACTGTGTGCGCAATCCTGTTACTGATTTGAGACTGCGTAATGTTCCCGCGCTCTTCTACAGTCATACTGTCCCTTCAGGTCTGGTGTATGTATCGTCCTGCCAAAAGTTATATGTCAAGTCAGAAGTAGGTCCAAGACCTAGACAGTTGTGGAAGAGCATCGCACGGTAGGAAGGCGAAATTAGAAGCTAGTTCGGACACATCTCGTAGAAGGGAGATACTAAGGATGAGGAGCTTGGGAAATGCCGTCTGGAACAAAGACTGGTTTTGTTTGAATTGGTTCATTGTCAACGTGGATGCGCGAGGCGAGGGGCCGTGGACAAACAATCGTAATCGACATCTTTGTTGTGTTGCACAGCAGCTAATGAAGATCGAATATTCAAGGACAAGGAGCGTGAAACTTTACCTCTCTAGAGAACGTTGAGTACGGCTGTGTACGGTAACTACCACGTGTGATGTACTCTGAGGTTCATATACGCATTTCTTCGAAGTCCAGCCACAGTCCTCAATGGATGAAAACAAAAGCTTGGCGTTTCAATCTCAAACTCCTCTCATGACTGCTTCTGTTTGACTGACCGCCATTCCACCAGCAAGCTTCCAATGATCGTCGTGCAACTCAAAGCAACTGCCAGATACCATGTATGGGTCAGGCTCTGATCGATACCATTGAGAACAAGCTCCCGCTGAGAAACAGGAACACTGCTCGCAATATCACCCAGTCCATGATCCTCGATGAACTTTGGCGATAAACCTGGCACGACATTGTGCAAGTTAGAGGACAGCAGATTTGTAAAGATGACTTGGGCCATGGAGATGAATACCGCAGGGCCCATGCTCTGGCCAAATAAGATGACTCCAATTCCAAGGTTGACGTCTGCGTCGCTGAGGGTCGTTTGGACAGCGGCCTGGGAGCCCTGGAATCCAATGCCGCCAGCAAAGCCCGTAAATCCGGAGTAGATGATGATCTGAGCCAACGAAGTGTCCAGGCTGTACGTTGTCATCAGTCCAGCGGCGATTGGCATGCATACCGACGCAAAGATCATGAAGGGTGCGTAGTATCCAAAGGTTGTCGTGCCGAAGCCTTGCAAGAGGAGTCCAATCATCATACCCACCAAGATAGGCGTCATCAGGTAGCCGCTATCGCTTGGACTCTGGAAATGAGACAGATCAGCAATGGTCTAGGATCAAGAAGGGGTGAATGACATACCTCTGATCGAACCACCTGATAATACGTAGGCAAGTACCACTCCAGCACATTCATCATCGAGTTGGTACATGTTGTGAAGATGAAACCTGCAATAACACTCCTGCGTTTGACGATGCGGAAAGGGAGTGCCGCTGAGTCTCCACGGCGGTATTGGTTGTAAATGAAGGCTGCCAAGAGCACACCAAAGACAACGAACAGTCCGATGACTCTGCCGTCTGCCCATGGATACTTGGTCCCGGCCCAGGAAAGTGCCACGAACAACGTCGTCAAGGATGGGACGAACAAGCAGTTGCTGAACAAGTCGAGCGCTTTGATCTTATGGCTCAGTGGTAGGCTCTCTTCTGGCCGCTTCCTCGGGTTCGAGAAGAGGAAGAAGATTGATGCGATTGACACTCCGCCGATTGGAAGATTGATCCTTAGAACGTCAGTCACTAGGTATTAGACAACAACGGAAATGCTGTCACTCACCAAAAGCACCATCTCCACCCCAAAGACTGCGTCAAAGCACCTCCAACAATCGGAGCAGCGATGATGGCGAGCGACTCAACCGCTGCCATCATTCCTGCAAAGATAGGCCTCTTCCTGAGCGGCATGATCTCGATCAGTACTGCAAAACAACCTGATAGCTCCCCAGAGTTTCCAAGACCAGTCACTGCTCGACCCACGATGAACATAGTCGACGAGTTAGCCGTAGCACACAGCAAAGAGCCGACCAGGTAGATGACATTGCTTATCAAGAAGACCTGCTTGATCGAGAAGTACTTATACAGCTTGGCGAAGCCGAACTGAAAGGCACATGTGCAGAGACGAAAGGCTGAATTGTACCAGCCAACATCAGCGACGGTATGAAAGTGGTTTGTCAAAGCTGGAACCGCAGTGGCGACGATGTTCGCATCGAGTCCACCAAGGATCAAGATGATACCCAAGGTGGCGATGGTGCCCCAGAGTTTGAATCCAGTTGGGTACTCTGGCTCAACCTGTGCGGATCCTTCGACATCTAGTGGTTGAATCGTGACCGGAGCTGTGTCTACCGATGGTGGATTTGTAAGTTTTGCTTGCCGTGGCGGAGGGAGGGCGGTAAAAGGACCATCTGCTAGAGAAAGCACTTCTGTTGTCGATGAAGTCGCCATTGTATTATAGAAAAGCGGCCGATAATCGAAAGAAGTTGTGCGAAGGACGAGTGTTCTTTATCAAGGCATCCATGCCGTTACTCCGAGGTCATTGAGAACCGAGCTCCGTAGCAAGCTTGCAGATCTGCATCCTTCTCGGCATTGGTGTTATTGACGGAATACGGCACTGATCTGATCATGATGCGTGGTTTGCATTATTCGATAGCGCAGATTGATGATGTCTTGAAGATGGTGACGGATTGGTACCGTGGTGGATGTTGCGTCAGCCTTGTAGATTCGTCCGCTATGCCAAAACTGCACGTCATGCAGCGCTGTACTTGATCTTACCCTTTCTTTCATACACTGCTAGAGCTTGATGCACGAATGAGCAAGAGAGAAAGAGCGAGTTGAGTAGATTTCTTCGTTGGAAAGTGTTCAGGCTTGAAACAAATACGGCATGGTAGTGTCGTGGAATTGATGTCTTCGTGGCTTGAATTCGGGGCCAGCAAGACTGCCTACAGATGCTGAACGGAACGAGATCCATACTGTGATGGAGATGGCATGCATGAAGCGTCCGTTGCAGGGACATTTCTTCGTATGTATGGTATTAAGCTGCCTCCAGTGAGAATCGAAGAGCAATGGCTCTGACAGCGAACGGCCGTCGTGTTCGTCTCCAAGTTCAGGCAGCTTGCAATGTTTCCGGTCAATCCTCCCTGAATGTGCGCATTGCTCGCGTGCCTCGTTCGTTTAACAGGGGTGCTCATCTGATACATCGGGCGGACACGGAAGCTTAAAACCACCATCTTCCATGACATGAGATGGTCGTTGGAGTGACATTGGAAGAAGCCGCGTAGCTCTTCAATGACTCTTCACATACCCTGAAAGGTGGGTTCCGCTCTCCGCCTTCTTTTCGTTGCCCCATGGGGTTGTTAGAGCTTCGTGCAAGCGTACAGCCTGACCTCTCCGCTTTCACCCCGACAGCGTCGGCAGGGTTTCACAACCCGCTATGCTTCCCAGTATGCAAACCCAGCTTTTCAAGCTGCTCAGTTGAGGTAAATGTGACTACTTAAATGCGGGTTCAAGATTTCAACGAAGTTGATAACGGGCGAGACCGGAAGGTCCAAAGGACGGAGACTTGTCGCAGGTTAAGAGATAAAAGCGTCCCGACTCCCTCGATATTGTGATGTCTGACCCCACTGCTTTCGACTGTCGTTTCGCTGCGAGTCAACTGATCGTTTCTCAAATTTCGTCCTCAACTCATCGGTATCGTCTCCTACTTGAAGCACTTTTCGAAAAGATGGGCAGCATCGGTAATGGAAACGGCAATGGCAATGGCAATGCCGTACGGTTCAACGGACCCATTCCAGCGGCGAGGAGGCTAAGGCAGATGCTGTCTGATCCTCGAAAAGCTGTATTCGCTCCTGGAGTCTACGACGGTATATCCGCGAGAGTAGCACTCGCTCAAGGATACGACTGCCTGTATATGGTTTGTACACCTCAAACTAATTTTTTGCCGCAGCTAACGGTCCACAGACAGGAGCGGGCACTAGCATGTCATGCCTTGGAATGCCCGATCTTGGACTCGCCAACGGCACTGACATGGTCCGCAATGCCGGCATCATAGCCTCCTTGGACCCTTCGATCCCAGTCATCGCCGATGCTGACATGGGATACGGCGGTACACTTAACGTTGCCAACACTGTACGACAATACGCTCGAGCTGGCGTCGCCGGACTACACATCGAGGACCAAGTCGTTGCCAAGCGTTGCGGTCATCTTGCTGGAAAGACTCTCATATCACGGGAAGAGTACGCCAACCACATACGAGCTGCTTGCAAGGCCCGAGATGAGGGGACAGATATTGTGGTCATTGCACGGAGTGATGCTCGCAATGCCGAAGGAGGTGGCTTCGAGGAGTCTGTGGCCAGGCTTCGACTTGCAGCAGAGATCGGGGCGGATGCTTTGTTCTTTGAGGCGTTGGCTGGTGTCGACGAGTGCAAGGAAGCTATCAAGCTGCTTCCTCGCAATATCCCAGTGTTGATCAATATCATCGCTGGGGGCAAGACGCCCGTCATCAGCTTCGATGAGGCTCAGCAGATTGGCTTCCGGATTGTGATTTGGCCCTTCGTGGGCTTGGAAGCAGCAGTGCCTGGATTGGAGTCAGTGTTGCCTTCCTCGTGTTTTTATTCCTCTGCTGACCTCCGCTCCAGGAATGCCTACCGGATATTGAAGAAGACTGGAAAGCCACCAGCAGAGCCTACTCCTATGGGACCAGCTGGACTTTTCGATGTTTGCGGGCTGCAAGACTTAATGGCTTTCGATGCAGCAGTGGGAGGTTCTGCATTCAGCAGTGGTGTCTGAAGCATGTCGAGTCTGTTGCGTTCATCAGCTCGGATGAAGCTTCAACTTGAGAGAACTAGGATATGGAAAAGATATTTGAACCAATCTTGACTTCGATTCCATTGCTTGCTATGTCTTCTATACCGCTTTGAGATCACGACGCGTTGTACGCTGCCCATCTTCCTGACCAAGGAGAGGACTCGAGATGTGCAGCCTTGTGTTGTCGCGCTTGAGACTCGAAGATACTGCAACCTCATACGGATAATTTGTCTTTGTTGGTATATACTACCTGCTTCATGCACTGTCTTTAATGCCACCGATTATAAACATCAATGTCTCGCACTCATTATGATCTACGGTCTTAGACAGCACAAAGATGAGCGTCTCACGCTGTCTACTGGTGTGGGCTGCCTTGCCTTTGTCTCTAGATCTTCTATGGACGACCAAACACAGTTCACAACCTATATAGAACCACTGTGTGTTATGGCAGTATCTGGAAGCAGCTTGAAGCCAAAATCCCACGACTTCTTTGATAGCGAAGCAATTATCACGTCATGGTAGTGAGTGAATGTTCAGCACGGACGCCCCCTCCGCCTACAAAAGCCCGCTCGAATTTCTCAACCCCTCCAAATACTCTCCAACACTCCACCACGTATACACCACCGGACCAAAGGTATACCACTCGTCAACACTCTTTTCTCTCCTTCACATACTCACTCGCTCAAGTACACGCAGCATGTCGCAGCCACTCACCCCGAAGAACGAGCACGCGCTCACCTCGAGTGGCCTGCTCTCCTCCAGCATCATCACTCTTGCTCCGGTGTCTCCGCTAGCCAGCGCTCCCCCTGTCACTACCAACCGGTCCCTGCTCCCATGCGAGCCTCGATTCCTCATCCGCCTCGTCGACGACCCGCAGGGTAACTCGAGGTGGACGACACCAGAGGCAGCACGCGACGCAGAGAGTGGCAGTCGCTTTCTACCGCCGTATCATCCCGCTTCTCGCAGTGTTCAGGGCGCACTTGAAGCGAGAGCAGCTCACGCGGCCGCGGTACGCTATCGCGAAGAGCAATTACGACTTCAAGCAGAGGCTGACTGGCGAAAGCAGCAAGCGCAGATTCGGCCCATCTTCGTTATCGCAAATGCAGCAGAGGGTACTGCAGGCGAGTATACTCGCCTGACCAGCCCAGGTGCAGGTGAAGAAGATGGGGGTGAGGATGAAGCGGCTCAGCAGCCAGCTGGAGAAGAGGAGGCCGAGGCCGAGGAGGGCAGCGCCGGTGGTGTAGATGCGGACTCGATGAAGTGGGTCGGTGCATCTTGCCAGCGGTGTATCCAGAAGAAGACGCGCTGCAATCGCCGGCGGCCGTGTCAATTCTGTCTCCAAGACGGCGTTGGTGAGGAAGGTTGCGCTCTTCCTCGAGGCTCAGACTCGCCCGAGCTAGCAGTGAGTATCCCCGACACATCCTTCCTCCAAATTCACTTTGCTGATATCCCCAGGTTGCTGCACCACGAAACAGCAGCGAGCAAGCCTCCGTTCCTCCAGCTGGTGCCCCCGTCGCCACCAATCCTGGCGAGACACCCAGCGCTCATGGCAAGCGCAAGCGTGACGATGAGGCCCGGGAAGTGAGTGGTAAGTACCAGTGCCCGCCAGTACCGTTACACGCTTTCAACCCATTCACACCACCACCAGGCACGTTCCCAGTTCCACCAGCCGCTATCCCACCACGGTCAGCGTTCATGGCACCACCCGCTCATCCGGCCCCAGCGCCAGCGCCCGCTCCCTCGACTCGCCCACCACCGCCGACGGCCTCATATCCGTCGATCCTACCTCCAAACCCCGCCCCAGTTGCTGCACCAACTCAGCCAGCACCTTCGACTACCAACACCACCAAGCGGCGGGGCGGCAAGAGAGGGAACTCAAAGCCGAAGAAGCCAAGCTCTCCTCGGCCGTACCGTGGTCAGAACTTCCTGACCGAGGAGCAGGAGAAGCAGGTGCGGGAGTGGGATGAGCGTCACAAGGACGATTAGGTCCTTGGTGAGCTCTTGAGGATTGGGAGGCATGGCTGTTTTGTAGAGGCGATGATGATGAATAGAGATTAGCAAGGCGTTTGGGATTGACGAGGCCGTGATGATACCCTCGAGAAGTTGCAATTGACATTGTTTGATTTTGAAGTTCTACATCCCCTTTTTCGAAGTCCCGTTCTGCTGTGTACCGTACAATGCTTGCTGTCCCAACTCTTCATGCAACAGAAAACCTAACCCCAGATCCGACAAACTCATTTCCTCCTCTTGCCTCCTTGCTTCCAGCCCTAACTCCAGCTTACTCTCCATCTGCCCTATTGTACTTGAACCGCTTCAAAGTCTCACTAACATCAGCCTCCGTCTTGCGCTTCAGCTGAGGACGAGAAGTCTCCCCAGTCTGAGCATACTGCTGATGAAGCGTCTGATCCAGCGGCTTCTGAGCAGCAGACCCACTTGGAGTGGGAGTGCGAGGAGACAGATCCTGAGCAGGCTGCTTGCCCTTCGGACTCTTCTTCGTAGCACGAGGAGCCGGAGCAGCAGGAGTCTTGCTGGGAGCCACGCTGTTGCGCTTGGCCTCCTCGGCCTTCAGCTTCTCGAACGCCTTGCGAGCATTGACTCGACAATTCTCATGCTTGCGGCGGAGGTACCGAGCAGGCGAGCGGGCCAAGTCGGCGAGGCCGGTGCCGGAGAGAACGTCAAGAGCGACGTACTTGTCGTTGTAAACGGCCTTGATGACTTCTGCCAGACGCTGGGAGCAGATCAGCTCCGACTCAAGAAGGTAGCCAGACTTGAGGTCTCGACGCTCCCAGACGGACTTGGGGACGCCGTGCTCGTGGACGTTGATGACCTCCTCCAGCAGCATCATGGCTCGAGCTTCGGCTTTGGCCGGGTCGGCGTGGATCTTGTTGAGGACGGACTGGCGCACGATGTCTTGATGCTCGTAGTAGTAGACGGTCTGGTCGTCGGTGAAGTTCTCGGGTGGTGCACCTGGCTCCGCGTGGATTGCATTGAAGATTCGAGCGCCTGAGTCGCCGATGTGGTGGCTCTTTATCTGCTGCCAGTCATCGTTGGTGAGGTTGAGTGGGATCAGTCTGTCAACGCCAACGGGCTGCACAAGAGCTTGGCGAGCAGCATCGAAGCCGTTGAACAAGTTCTGATACTCCAGCCGCTCGTCATGCGATGGCTCAGGGGACTGTGCAGCTGGCGTCTTCTCCTTGCGCCGAGTCTTGGGAGCGGGTGCTCGAGACCGCACCGGTAGAGACTTCTGGATGGTAGATGGTATGCTCGCAGGCATCGGGTAAGGAGAGCGAGCGTGTGGCGAGCCAAGGGCTGGCAATGCCGGCTGCGAAGCTGCAGTTGCCGTCGCTGTCCATGCCGGAATCGGATATGGTGAGGGAATCGGATGTGGCGAGCGAGAGTATGGCGAGACATATGTTGGCAAGGCCGGTAGGGTCGTCGGCGTCGGTGCTGCTGCAGGAGTAAAAAGTGCAAAGCCTGGAGCCGAAGCCCCAGCAGGAGTCAGGATAGTCAGCTCCGGGCTGAAGTCTGCCAATGATGGTACAGCGTGTCCATCATCCGACTTCGCAGCCTCGCCGCCCCCAGCAGCAGCAGTATTGTCTGATCCCAGTAGGAGAGCACAGTCGGGATCATGATCCGTATCATGAGGAGCGTCGCACCAGACGCAAGGACCAAACCCCGGCTCTGAGGTATTCATGGCACTCTCAGACATCGCAGTGTCCTGTCCAAGAGGAGATGGTGGAGGCGCAGCAACTCCGTCGAGGAACTGGGTTGGTGCGTCGAGCTCGTTGAACCAGCCATCGGTAGCTTGGTCGAAAGGGGCGTCAGGGATGTGGTATTGGAGATCGTTCTGCTCCGGCTCGGTGTCCATGAAGTCCGAAAAGTCGAAGTTGGCGAACATGTTTGGATCAAAGTCGAAGCCGTCCATTGCTGGGCAGATGGTGGGTATGCTGGTATCGGATGGAAGTGCTGCTCTGCATGTGGTAGTGTCCGTAGATGTTGTGCAGAAGGGAGTGCTCGATGGTAGCGGTGGGAAAGGGGTTGGGTTGCTGAGATCCTGGGAGTTCGCCTTCCCACGCCATAAGAGGAACGATGATAGGTGTCGTCCGCTGTGTGTTAGGGGTGTTAGGGGATGGGAAGTGAACGGGCATCGTGTGAAGGGCATTGTGGGATGAACGAAGTCACTGGGCAAACAAAGACCTCGTCAAGCAGACAAAGAAACAATGTCATTGTTCCTATCTTCTCCCTATCCCTACGACTCAGTCATCTCCCATGCGTTCCAGTCCTATCTCGAACGCTTGAACGGCGAGCCGTTCGCCGGGGCATAGCCACCGAAAGTACCCTCGTAAGAGCGCTTCACGCCTCCAAAATCCGGCGACACTGTGACCGCCGCAGCACTCTTCTGTAGCTTCGCAAAGCAGCGAGTGCAGTTGACACCGTCGTTCTTCGTGCCGACAGGAGAGTCCTTCTTGCACGTAGCACAGATCATGCGCTTTCCTCTCTTACTCGTCTTGTTTGCTTGTGCCTGCACAGAGGGAGATCCGAAGATCTCTCCCTGGCTCTCCAAGCTCGGCCGAGGGAATGGGGTGCTGCTTGGGCGGCTGTGGTCTGCCATCGTGGTGGGGATACCGCCGTGGTTGTGGAAGGCCCACTGTCGGATCATGTCTTTGGTGACAGGCCCAGGTCCCACGCTGGTCATGCCATATGACGGGGGGCTTCTCTGGACTTGCGACTGGAACAGAGGCAATGGACTGGCTGATGGGGTCTTGGTGGAGTCGGATGTGGTGGAGACATTGCTGTCGCTGATCTTGCGTTTGTGTGTGAGCTGAGAGTTGAGTGCCGACATCTGGGCTTCGTAGCTGCTGGATGAAGGTCTGGCTGGTGGAGATGTGGTGGTATACTGAGCTTGTGCTGCTGTTGGAGGATCCTCTAGCTCGAAGAAAACTCCCAATCCGACTGCTTTGAGGTCGTCGTCGGTGAAGTCGCGTACGACTTTCTCGAGCTCAATCTCTTTTTCACTTTTTGGCTCGCTGAGCTGGAGGAATAGCATGCAGGTGTCGCAGAAGAAGTCGTCGAAGGGGCTGGAGATGTAATAGTGCTTCTTGCAGTATGCACAGCTGTTCTCGGCGGGTGTGGTGGCGTCGGTGGATGATGGGTCTTGAGTGGCGGACATCGCGACCGGTGAGCTGGGTACGAAGCAGTCGTCGAGGAGGGATGAGAAGAACCCTGGAGGCCAGATCTCGTCGAGCGGGATGTCGGTGACGGGGAGGTCCTCGAATGAGGTTGGTGGCGCTCGGTCAGATGAAGCCATGGCGAAACAGTCTCGGGGGTGGTGTCGGGCGGGAACTGGTCTTGTCGAGGGCGAGAGTGAGGTCGTTGATGGGACTGGGTTGGTTTGAGGATGTTTCGGGGAGAGAGAAGCTGGTCGAGGTGGTGTCGTCGCTCAACAGGCCATGTTGCTATTATGCACAGACCGTGCTCGCAGCGCTGTTGAAACGGCGCTAAAATTTTAAGCTGCACTAGCGCGACAAATCATTCACCTACGCCGTTTGCTCCTCAGCGTCATGCGGACTGCCCATTGCATACAGCACCTACATACCATATCTACTTTCTACTTGACCCTCGTGAACACCAGATCAAGCGGCGCCAAGCTCATCGTGAAGTGATCTTTTGAGTCGTTTAGGAGCCTCGAGCCATCTTCTCCAGGAGCGAGGCTGACGTCGTACTCCAGCAAAATCTTGGCAGTCAACGTCCTCAGCTCCATCAAAGCCACGTTCTTGCCAATGCAGTTGTATGCACCGATCAAGAACGGGACGAAAGCTCCCTTATACTTCACCATTTCAGGCTTGCTGTACCACCGCTCTGGGACGAAGGATGAAGCTTGCTCGTAGACAGACTCATCTGAACGCAAAGTTAGCGATCATTCAGTATTTGCATGCCATGGGCAACTTACCACGTGCGACAACATAGAAGGGAATGTTGTAAGCAGTACCTTCAGGGACAAAGGTATCGCCCACTCTGAGTCCTTCTGGTGGAGTCAGGCGGAAAGCGCCAGAAGGTCCAGGAGAGTGAAGCCGCAGGGTTTCATTGATCGTTGCGTTCAGATGCTCACAATGCCGAATGTCAACATCAGAAAAGTCACCCTTGACACACTGCTTGAGCTCATTCCTGATCATCTCCACATCTTCAGGATGCTGTGCGAGCTGGTAGAACATGTATGCGAACGTAACTGCGGTCGTATCTGCACCAGCGACGATCAAAAGCCGAGCATCTTGCTGATAGTATGGATTCCTTCCCGGATTCGGGCTGTCTTTGTATGCGTTGTACAGCCATGATGTTACCGTGCTTCCTCCAGCAGACGCGGCATCTTTCTCCGACGCATTTGAGAAGAAGTTGTTGCGGACGGCATCTTCAATCTCATCGTTGCAGAACTTTGTGAACTTCTCGACCCCCAGTGTATCTCCCGGTATACCTTTGAGTAGTCTTAGAAACCTGATATCTGTAAGTGCTTGAATGAAAAATGGAATCTCGACGTTTGCTCACCATACAGGCATCGTCAGACCGAGGGGTGCCATTCCATCGGTAAGTAGCCCAAGAGCGTGATGTTTCTCCCCAGAGTCAAGCATACGATAGTTCTTGCCGAACGCCAACGAACCCATAACATCAAATGCGTATAGCTTGAACCAGTGCGAGACATCCATCGGCTTGCCATCCAACTCGGTCAGTTTGGCGAGGAGCTTGTTGTTGAAACTCTGGATCCTTGGCTCGTACTCTCGCAACGCTTTGTCCGAGAAGGCAGGAACCCAGTGTTTCCGTCTGCGATCGTGCTGTGTTCGAACCCTCTCCGAGAGTAAAGCAGGAACCGTCTCCATGTCGTACCAAGGGCCTTTGGTAACCCTCGTCTGGGAGCTGTGGGATGGCTCTACAAAGTCTGGATCCACGATAGACAGTTCAGTAGCGCCTCTGCGGACTATGCGGCCATACTTCTGATGGAGTTCGTACAGCTTGTGGTATTGGTTGAGTTTTCCGCCGACCGTGAACGCAATGTAGAAATCTGAGAGGCGAGCTGCAAACGGGCCAGGGAATCGATTGAGCGGATTGAAGAACAGCCGGTACACCAAGGTGCTGCCCATCGCCCCAATCGCAAAACAGACCGCATACCCAAGTGTGGTTGCTGCTGCTACGATGAGGCCGACGTTCCCGGTCCTGGACACGAGCACAGTTGATACGGCGATTGTTGTAATGATGATGGCGAGGATGCGGTGAACGTAATTGTGAGTTTCGTATCGATGGAAGTACAGCAGGTGAGCTGCGACGCCCAGCGAGAGGCTGATAGGCCACACGAAATCGGCCATTGTTGGAAATCTTCAACAACAAGTGGATGATGGACGGCGAAGAAAAGCACAAGCGCCGTCGTCCCAAGCCGGATATATAATTTGCGATGCTGACACACTATCTTTAGCCCCTCCTCAGGAAACAAGGTGTCGATGCTAAGCTTTCGAATAGGAGGCAAGGGATGCGCAGTGTAACAAATCTTGGGGCTTGGTGATAATCGCAACACGGCGATCGGATTCGCACGAGGCCGTGATGTTTTGTGAACTGTGATAAAGCTTGGCCTGACCACTAATCACTCAAACGATCCGTCTCGCGCCGTCAGCAAGGATCCCTGCCATACCGATATTGAACCAGGGTCTTGGGTGATCGGGATCAAGACTTCATGTGTGACATGAACACAGAATAGGGGAAGGTGTCAACACTCCATTCTACTTCGCAGAAGCACACGCATAAAACAGCCTCTCGTCTATGCTCATGTTATGGACTTGCGATGCACCATCGTCTCCCAATCTTCTCCATCTCCCTCCAACTGAATAGCTTCAAGGTATGCATGTCCATTCCTCCCTTCATCGCTCTACAACCAAAAGTTTTTAAATCGTTGAGTGTGTGCTTTCCCTCCTCCGAGAGATCAACTGGCCGCTTCTTCTTCCTCAGCTTTGCATGGCCCGGCGCCTCATCCCGCATACCGCCTCGCTCCTCCCGCTTGATCGTGGACGGTGCAGCGTATGGCGGCATCTCCTCGTACCTCGAACTAAGCGTGCGCTCATTGAATGACTCGTTCGGATTGGTCTGACCCTTCTTAGGCTTCTTGAAGACGTGAACTCGCTTGGCGGCTTTCTTGATGATGGTCTTGAGCTTGTCTCGCTTTCTCTCCGTTGGACTGTCAGATACCATGGTTACGAGTTGCTTTTCGATAGGATGGTTGTCGTGTAGAGACCGGAGAAGACGCTGACATTTAAGGTAAAGGTTGAAGGTTGCTAGACAAAGCAGAGGGACATAATGTCACTGTGATCTCAGGTGAACCTCGTGGAGTGCGGAAAGATCGCGAGTGAAAGACGGGCATCGCCAAGCTGAACTTCACTCAATGCAGTCACGAACGACTGCAGAGACACTTTGAGCACTTTTAGTATACGGTGAGGCCTGTTCTATTAGCATTCACCCAAATGTGTGGCTATTCAATGCTGATGTAGTCCCAGATATCAACAGGCAAACATCTATCAGTATGTAGCGCAGGACCACTCTTTGCACGCCGCACCGCCATACTGGAACCGGCTCTTCTTTCAGCCTTTCTTGATGTACCTTGCACGACTTGGTGAGGGACAACATCGAGAGCGCAACCAGCGGCGGAGGTTGATTTGCAAGACATCGGCAGCAGCAGCATGATCTACCTCGAACAATATCTGACAATAAATCGTTTAATCATAGGGCTACCCCTAGCCTTGCCTCATTCCCAGAGCCGTATTTTGGTGGCTGGACATAACAGAAGAAGTGACCAATAGCAGCCCTTCGAATCTCGATTGTGGATCGACGTTTCATTCGCTAGGACATTTTCAGCCGCCGTTGCGAGTTTGCGGATCACGCTAACTTGTACATTACAGCGTTGCCTTCGCCTTTGCTATCTGTTGACAACATCAAAAAACCCTCTATGCTTGGCGGATAAAACTACTTCCTGCGCGAACTTGATACCAGCATCACTTCAAATACCTCATGCAAGGAATATCCAGCACATCTCACTTTTGAGTCTCCAGAACGACAATGGACGACGACCCAAAAGACATCGTCAAGAATGCCTACGACAACATCGCGCCCTGGTATCTGAACTGGGTAGAGAATGACCGCTCACCTCGGGAGAGATATACCGTCAAACTCCTCAACGACTGCCCTCCAAGCCCGAAAATCCTGGATCTCGGCTGCGGCCCAGGCGTCCCAGTCTTACGAATGCTGCTCGATGGCGGCGCCAGCGTAGTCGGATGCGACATCTCAGCAAAGCAATTGGAGCTGGCGAGATCAAAATGTCCAGAAGCGACTCTTATTCAATCCGACATGGCGTCGCTATCCTTCGACCCCAGCTCTTTTGACGGAATCTCTTGCTTCTACACCTTTTTCCATCTCCCCCGAGCGGAGCAAGAAACCTTCCTGACCCAGATCTACTCATGGCTCAAACCCGGCGGCAATTTCGTGATGAATTGTGCGGTGTTCGACGAGGAGGAGATCCATGGCGAGTTCTTGGGCTGGGGGACGTTTTGGAGTGGGTTCGGCGTGGAGGACAATAAGGCGATGTTGGGGAGGGTTGGGTTCGAGATCGTGAAGGAGGAGTTGGTCCAGTCTGGAGATGGACAATTGGAGGAGGACGATCCGGATTATGGGGTGGAGTTCTGGTGGGTAGCTGCTCGGAGGCCGGTGCAGGGTGTTGGAGAGGACGCTGGTGGTCAAGGCGAGGGGTCGAAAGGCTCGAGTGGGTCGTCGTAGGATCATCGTAGGTTGGGAAAGGGTGACAGTTGTGGTGTCGATGGTGCTGAAAGTCTGGGATGGTGTAAGACTGAGCACTTTGGTTGATCTTCATGCAGAGACTTGTACGAGTTCCTGGTCACTCCTCGCTTTGCTATTGCGAGTAATTTTTTGCAAGTCTCCAATTCTCTTATCGCGCAGCGGCTATTGTTCAGTCTCTTGCCAGTGACATTCCCACCTTCCATCTCTTCGGTAAGCTGCCGACTGGCTCGTCTTTTCTCGCTTTTCGAGTACAATGACAGTCCCTTTTGCGAGCCGGATCTCGACTCGCCGTCCAACCTCTGATAGTCTGTGTCGAAAGTACAAGCTCCACCTACCTCGCACTCCTGTCATTGCCATCGCTGCCGTCGTTCGCAAAGTCTGGTGCCGCAGAATACATCACGCAAGGCCGTGGACCATCATCTAATGAACAGAATGAAGATGCTGTGCAGAATGGGCTCTGGAGACCGATTCCATGCACTGTGTCAACAAATTTTACAACCTCCTATTATTCCGGATCGCTCACCATGTTCAAGTTCATCTCTTGATCCTGGGATAATCAGTTCTTTTTAATGGACCGCCCCCCTTGCTGTATCCCAGTCCCTGCCCCCCTTTGCTGCGGTGACAAGTGCATCGCTCCTTCCCGCCCCTTGTATACCTCTGGTCATCAATGGATATCATCTGTCCTGTTCTTGCTCTCCTTCCGTCGCCAGTCTTTGAGAAGGCCCTTGCTACATCGACGACCTTGTAGTACTGCTGGTTGGCCTTGCTGAGTTCGCGTGGACCAGATGGATGCTGGCGTGCTAACGGCGGACTGTCACTCGGTCGCCGTCGAATGTTATCAATAACGATCTTCGGAGTGTGGTTTCGCCGGTGTTCAAGTGCTTTCGACAGCGCTGGCCCTCGTCCAAAGTCCCTTGTCTGTGTCTCGCCGTCCAGTTACTCAAGGCTGCCACGTCGAAGGTGTTGGAGCGAGAAGGCTGAGGCAGGTAGGCGGCTATGTGAACCTCGTATTTATCAATTTGCTGGCGAAGTTGCGGGTAGGGGTCATCGTTCGTGTCGTGTAATCGCTGATGTAACGCGCTGAGCATGGCGCCATCGCCTGAGTCGCGCCTGTTCGTCTCGTTCTCGTGCTGGTGATCAATGAACGAGCGAAGGCTGCCATCTGCGTTACCATTCTCGTGTATGATCTGTGATCTGCAAAGTCGTTCGATGAGGTGGAGGCGGAGGACGATGTTGCCAGTCGCATGGGCTCGGTTTGATTCCTCTTCGCCGCCTCTTTGTACAGCGCTTCACTGCCTCCACCTTCTCTGAACGTTCTATCACCGTTGTCTGACAAACCGCGACGCGAGTCGCGTGAGCGTGATGTATGGAGCGACCTCATGTGGTGTTGAGGCCCGTAGTGGTGTTACGCTGGTGTTCGGTCGTACCAGGGCGCGTCTCCGGTTTCATCAGCTTCACACCACCGGCCGCACTCTGCAGCTTCCCTCCTTCACCATAAATCGAGCAACGTTCGCATCGATGTTGTTCGGTGCCGAGGAGCATCGAAATGCTTCTATCAAATACCACCAAATTTCAATTGATCGAAAAGACGTTATGGTACGGACGTTTGACGATGAAGTTGGAATTCCACGTCCCAATATGGCCGGCTTCAAGCTGGATTTTCCGGCATCACCAACAAGTCTGACAGTCAAAAAAATGACAGCAAAAGTCTGAGACCTACTTCTTTTCGATCAACCTCAATATGAGTGATCTACACCGCAATTTCTGCTGTGCAAAAATTTATGACACTTTCTCCATGCAGGACATAGTCAAGGGAAACCTAAGATAGAGCAAAAAAATGTCAAGAAAGAGTATTGAAGATCTGTTGATCTTAGTGCTGAAACACTTTTTGCTGATAAACCTGGGAACTGTTAGCACTGAGCTGGAAGAAGTTCTACCTACATCTATCTAATCCAGAGCAAGCGAACAGAGCAGATAGAGCAGAGAGCATTTCGAACCTAGATCAGAACCTGTTGTTAGTAGTAGTCAGTTCGCGCCAACTGCGCCATTCCACAAGTTTGGACGGGGGATAACTTACATGCAGGGACTGATTCCGAATTACATATAAAGGTAAAACGCTTCTCAGCGGGACTTTGCCCTCTCAGGGGAGCTCACCATCCACACACCACTTTTTGACAAGCAGAAAATCGAAGGTTTGAGATTGATATGAGTGCATCCCCCGTATCAAGTTTGATAGCATTCGGCCATGTTGTTGTTGAGTTATTGAGGGTAGGGCGTTGACAGTCGTGCTGCTCGCCGCAGCAAACTCGGCTCCATGGAGACCTTTCGGGGGTGTAGGAGTTGCAGAGGGACGACAACAACCTCTAACACGCCACTGCAGTCTCCAATACATCCATAGCATGGCCCTGGACGAGCGCGAGCCAGCAAATACCATCATTGATCCCCCAGCTACGAGAGGGCGCGATGTGTGCTTCCAGGTGGACTCTTTGTCTGCATTGCGACGGCGAGCAGCATCTCAACAACGAGCCACAGCAGCGCAAAGGGCCTTGGTAGCACCCAGCACCATCGTCTTATGGCGACGACACGGTGGAGGAAGAGACAGCAACAACGCGATCACCTGTCGCGCCTGCAGTGTGAACGAGTGGTATGTATCCACGCCATCGTGCTCGTCTTCACAGTCCAGCAGTCTGCTCGGAAAGGGCGCGGATAGGTAGTGGATCGATCATTCGACAATGACCTCCTCGAACCCGCCCCTTACGACCCGACGGTGACGATGATGGCTGAATACAACCAATGACCAGCTCTGAGAGACGGAGCATGTCCAGAGCCACCATCGAGCGAAATGATGCCTTCACGAAGGTCTCGGTCATGCGAAAGCACCACAATGGCATCAGCACCACGCCAGTCTCGATACCATCGCACTCAAGTCGCCGAACAGCCACCATCTTCTAACCGCGACGACGCGTCGCGCCATCATCGAAAAGACGAGCGCACGGTGACAGAGGTTTGCCAGCAAGAGATGGACGAGCAGAAGATGCGCTTGCAACGAGGAGGTCATACCTGAGGTCTCCAGGAGTACGTTTGACAAACAACGAGCGCCTTACGCCTCTGGCAGCTGGTCATCCATCAAAGCCTCTCTTGCCGCCGGAAGCGCGCGTACAAGGCTGGTTGACGCCATGAAGGGAACAGTCAGCGGCAGACAAGTGATAGCCTGCAGCACGGTTCACATCTCCATACTGATCAAGGAGGTAAGTATCAGGGGCGCAACCTCAGCGAGAGGCCAAGTTGTCCGTCCGCGCAGCCAGCGAAGGATCCTCGGGACGACACGATCGATCGAAATCACTATTGAACTCCATTTTTCAGCCTTGCAAATATCTCCGACCAACAAACAGTCATTGAGAGCGATGTCGACCCCTGATCAGTCGAAACTGAAGAGCTGGCAGCCGCGGACACTTGGACCCATTCCTGCTCCAAAGACAAACCACCAACTGGTCCCCATTGGTGCCGTGGCCAGACGAGGCGTGTGCAACATAGGGCATCAGAGCAGTAAGCGACAAAGCCTCATATTCCGAAGGCTGACGTCCTTCACTGAAGAGTGCTAAGTCTAGTAGCTGCAGATGGACGAGGTAGGCCCCTTGCATGGAAACACCGGAGGTTCTTGCCTTGCAAGACCGCGAGAATGACGGTCGTCTGCTAATATCGCCAATAGGTTCGTCGAATGCTTGCGAGCCCTCCGCGATCGTCAATGTGGTCACAACTTCCGAGACGCGTCACAGCTGACTGCCCGAGACACCACGCCCATGCATCGATAGCCCTATCTTCAAAGTCTTGCACCAACAGCTGGACATTATGCCGCCGTATGACCTGAAGAAGGGGTCTCAAAGAGCAAGAACAACGCTGGCGGGCAGGAGCGGAGATCGATCGGACAAAGTGCTAAGGGCAACACGAGAGCAAGGCAAGAGCAGACTGAGGGTAGAGCATAGAGCAGCTCAGGCAGTGAATAACCAGGGCTGTGGGTGAGGCTGTCAGATCCTGCTCTCGGGCCAAGAGACATCAGGAGTCCTGGGCGGGAAAGCCTCGGCAGCCGCGCTGGCCAGAGATCTCGCAAAGCTGAGATGATGGGCAGAAGGCCGTGCAAGGAGGAAAAGGGGCCAGGACAACACAGCCACTAGTTGATCACATTGGCATTCGTCCAACATGCTGATCAGCAACAACCAAGACACTCGTGGACGCAGGATGCTGGCCAGGCTCAACGAGTGCTCAGCCGCGACAGCTGAGCTACAACAACCCGCATGGAGGCATTTGATGGGACGTTGGCAGGGCCATCCTCAGGTGTCGCCTTCAGGGTCTGTACGATGATCTTGGCCATCGAATTGATCAGTGGAGCTCTCGGGAGTGCTGCAGAAAGGCTCCAGAGCTGGCTGATTGCCTCTCGGTTGCTGTAAGCCTTGCACGCACAAGTCACAAACTCTCGGCCGCTGTGGAAACGCGAGCTGTTCTTAATTGCCTGCTAAGACACTACAGCAAGTTGTTTGATGGTGAAGAGGACACAGCAGGAGCAAGAGACGGTCCAGAATAGGGCACCCAAGGCAAGCGGGCGACCAATGGGCCTAGTACCGTGGCAGCCAGAGTGACGCTGGGAGCAAACATCATGATGCTCCAGGACGCGAGCAGAGACGAGCTTGGGATAGTACCAAACACCTGGAAGGCGAGCCATGTCGTACAGGAAGAGGGTATTGCTGGCAGATCGAGCTGGGAGACGAGGTGGGCTCGGAGCAGACGACATTTCAGTCGACACTGTAGATAGGAATCGCTGAATAGCATCCGTAGAGCTTTAAATGGACGTGTAATGATCATTTCCGGTTCCTCGCAGCAGCGAACGTAGCGTCTGTTCTTCGAGCAGGGACCTAGCCCAGACGTTTGTCGTTGCTCACGTGCAAAGGAACATCCTGAACCTCTACTTTCGTGAAGCTATAGGTGCTACGAGTAGCGATGTTGGAGATGAGTGTCGCGGGCGCCGTTGTAGTGGTCCATTCCCGCAGCTCCGCTAGTTCTGACCTCGGTCTCTGCGGCCTTTTTGACGGATTTGCATAGCACACAACCTGCGCACCACACCACCTATTCTTTGCCCGTGACTTCATCTAAACGTCCCTGTGCACCTCCGGATAGCTCGGTCGGCTCTCCACACAACGCAACGTCTTGCATCAACCGATATCGACGAGGTGTCGGCCTTAGGAGCAAACGAGAGGATAAAACCACACCTTCCACGAAGCCAGGAGAGGGGAGATGGCCCAGATCTTCAGCAACTTCCAGTCGTGCAAGGCAATGCAAGCGAGCAGCAAAATCAGGTCTTCATTGATAATGGCTCATGACGGCAACACGAATGTCCACCTGGACAGCGGAGACCGCGAGCGGAATGCAGCCACCAATACGTCGTGAAAGCGAACGCAGGGACATGAAGTCTGGGCAGATGAAGAGCCACTCCCCAAGGTTGCCGTTGCGGTTCTCCCGTCGAGGAAGGCGCCTAGAATAAGGGCGCTCTTCAAGCTCAGAACGCTTCCTCACACCTCTCTCCAAGGTTTGCCAAACCGCATGGCTCAGCCCGATTGGGAATGCAACGCAGCAAGAGCCGAAGGACAACCCAGTACGCCAGAAGAAGGAGCTCATAGCAAGGCGCTGGTTCGTAAAGACCCCAACAGGCGTAATGCGACGTTTGGAGCGTCTCAACCTGCTTCTGGGGCACCGCAAGGTTACCAGAATCGACTTCGGGCAATTTTCCAGCATCAATTGAGAGGAGACGTCGCGGAGCCAGCGAAGGTCGTGAGTGAGGGCTACGCAGCCCCGGCAACTATAGTGAAGATGGACGAGTGAGCTGCACCGACACACTCTCCTTTGAACATGGCCTCGATCCATTGCACTCTGTTGGCCAAGCGATTAATGGAAGCTGGAAGAGAATTTGGCATGCTTGCCGGGAATGTCCTTCCCGCTGCGCAGGATCGTTTCAAGCCATCAAATCGACACCGCCTCTCACCTGACCGGCATTCCTGGGGACTTTTGGTCGTCAAATCAAGCTCTACCTAGGTAGGCATCAAAATCGATGAACTCCAAGTGGATAGAGCAGGAGATGGATATCCTTTCGAACTCCTGAAGTCTTGGATCCCATTTTCACGCCTTTCCTCTTGTGGGTGTGGGTCTCGGCGCTCGGACTGAAGCAACTCCTTGCGATCCTGGGCCTTGGACCGCATTCCATCGACAATCGTTCGGCGGCATCGATAAAATGTATCCAGCCCGGTTCGAAGCTTCTCGTATGCACGGCGATACCGCAGCAGCTCTTCTCGTATCCCGTCTCGCCCCGGCGAGCGATTTTGACGCATATCGACGAATGCATACCGGTCAGGGGAACAACCTTGGATGCCTTCCGACTGCGCCAAAAGAACCCCCGGGTGGCCTTGAATGAGCCTCTCGACGATCATGAGCCGAGCAGATGGACCGCTTTCCCAATGAGTGGAAGAAAGGAATACTATTCCAGTCCTCATAAAAGCGTTGGTCCAGAAACGCAAAATCGAAAGATGCTACTCCAGTGTGGATTGGTAGCACATGCAGGGAGTCTTCAGTCTCGACGATGCGGCGCCTCGATGTCTTGGGTACCGTCTGCTCTTCTCTTCCCGAGGGCCTGGAGATATTGGGAGTCGGAAGTAAAGCAGTCTCCTGTTGCTCTGCAAACCAGCTTTACGCTCTGAATGCACAAGACGATGAGTCTGGCCATTTCACGCTTCCATCCTCTTCATCGCGAGTACAATCGGGACTTGGCTGTCGCCTGGGTGCCGCCATCTTTTCTGGACCTCTGAAGAATGAAGAAAACGATCGAGTTCCTATTCAAAAAAAAGACACTTCCCTCTAGGTCAATGTCCAAGCTCGGTGCTTGCTGTCAAGATGGCTAGTAGCAAGTGTGTGGGTCCGGTACTGATGTCCTGGATATGAGCGGCAAGTACATGTAGTACATCAGGATTGCTGTTTTCAATCATAGTCCGGACAGGAGCGTGCTGCGAGATCCACCTGCCACTTGTCGACCAGATCTCGATGTTGTGATCTGCAGAAGCGTCCCTGATCAACCAAGTCCTGCCGGCTTGTTAGTACGCTTCAAGATTTCGCTCCATGGAACTCGCTTCACCGCAAATCGTGTGCTCCTGGTCTATTCTTCGGATGTATACTTGACTGGACCTTTCTCCAGACACTCGCCCTTTTCCGTCGTCAACTGTCGTGGGGTCAAATTCCAGCTCGATACTCCTTCGACTTTGTAAACTTGGGACAGCCAGCTGGAAGGCATGTCGTTAAACGCCAGAGAGATCGCAAACAATGGTCTTGCAACATTTGTCCGTCTTGACCAGGTCATGTCCGCTTCTTCAACTGTTCATTATGCCACGCCATCAGCACGGGCTCGACAAGTGGTGGCACAGCCGAGAACTGTCCTTTGCTCTTCAATAAGCACTCGCCGCCCGGTTGGCCTACGAATAGACCATCCTTGCACGTCCATACGCATGCAATCCTCGAAGTGAAGACGCGGTGGCTGCAACAGCCACCTCCCAGCACATCGGTCCCAGCATTGTTGATTGTCACCATGTCCATCGGTGAACAAAGTCTCGCCTCCTCCCTTGTATGATGCCAACAAAGCTGCTCCTTGCGTTACATCCACATGCGCCCACGGCTCAACCTCTTTCGGGCGTTCCTGCGATCGACGAATGCAAGGAATGCTGAGGAATTCGAACGCCTGCTTCCTTCCCGACCCTATCTTTCCTAGACGAGATGGTCTTGGATCTTGCCGAAATCGTTCTTTCCAGCTGTTACTCGCTTGTTTTAGGCGGCAAGCAGCATCGGTGGTGTATGATGCTGTCTTTTTGCTGAAGAGTCTTTGCCGAAAAGATCAAATGGTGCGTCGTTGGTGGCGAAGAGATTGTCACTGCTGCTGCTGCTGCTCGAAGTGCGAACAGATCTTGGACAGCGAGCTGTACCTCAACACTCTACGACAGAGCAGCTTTCACAAGTCGGCTATGTTCATCTTGCTGGTCCTTCTGCGTGTTATCCTAGTCTTGCGGGCTGGCGGCCATTGGAGGCCGCGTCGAGTTTGTATGCAAGCGATCGAAAAGATGCACGGGCAGGGGCCCTCGCTGTTCATTATTACAGACGACCGCTTATGGCACGGAGTGCGTTGATCGAAGAGCCGCCGCTTCGCAGGTTGTACTCGACGCTCCCCTGTGTCATCGTAAATGCCTCGAGACTCTCGCCGCTGCCTCTTGCCTTGCTCTTGACCAACTCCTCTTACGGCCAGTGTGGCCTTTCTGTGTGTGGCGGAGCTCTGCAACAACAAGCTAGCCTGAGCTTCACCTTGGCCTGCCCTTCTCTTTCAGTCACTGCAAATGTCTGATACGTTACTGCCGCGCAGGTCGATAGTAATTTCCAGCCTCCGGTGAGTGCTGCGCTGTCGTCGTCCGGCGGAGTGCTTCGTGGAAGAAAATTGTTGGCATGCACTACGCTGTAGTTGCTTCGGAGTCACTCGAGGGAGTGTTCAGCATCAGATATGCGACGAACGGGGCGGCGGATTACTCGCTTGCCGTGAACGGTTCTCGATCCTTGGGTGACGGAGTTGTTTGCGACCATGGTCATGGTGTGTCTTGTGTGCGGAAGTGCCTGGTCTCAAGACCTCAACGCCAATGTCGAACTCAGGAGCGTCACCTGTGTGGGTTGCGCTGGCTTCTGACTTCCGCCGGCCGCAAAGGAGGATTGCCCACGACGGGACTCCACAAGTGACGGCAACGTAGCAGTGGTCGCTCGCTCATATCACTATGTTCAGAATTTCCAACACGTAGGCCAAATGCAGCTGTGCGCCGGCTCTTCATCACCAGCCAGGACGACCCTTCGAAGCGGCAACGAGCGCCTGCTGTGCGTAACAACCTTGAATCGTTCAAGATAGTGTCTGCGTGATGGCCAATGTTCGCTTGAAGAAGAAGTGTCAATCAGTGCAAGTTTCTGTCACTCGCGTGTCTCAATGCTACGGACTGCGAGATGAGAGGCCTGTTGTACAGGAATGTGGAACTTGACTAAGAGGAATGCGCGAAGCACAAAGTCGTTCGCAAGAGTGGCACCATCGCTTCGTCCATTGACGGCTACCTCGAGACCTTTTGACTCCATTAGTGTCTTTAGCTGTCTCTATCTCAAGTCGGCCTGCTCAGCGTGTTCTCAGGGCACCGGTACCCCTATTATCGAAGCGCCATCCAATACAATCCCATCAGACTGCCCATCAAGCCAGCAGCTTTCCCTGATCTCAGCCTGCAGCAAAGGCCTAAAGAAGAGATACATGAGCTGGAAGTTGTCTCGTTCATCCACAGCAGATCCTATGAAAGAGTCAGAAGACACATTGCTAGCCATCCCGAGAGGATCCCCTGATCTGGGAGCTGAGGTTTCACGGTGGTGGAGTCCTTGTTGAAGTTGTAGGCCCTGTAAGATGCCTGATCCACCACCCACTATCTGGCAGCTCTCACTTGCCCAACGAACGTACCTTGCGTACTACTACATTGGTGTCATGAAATCGCATGGTCGCGATGGCTTCTCCGACCTCCACGCTTGCTATATCCCTTCACAATGCTAGCGCAGCCTGGTCGAGGGACAAAATAATACTATGAGCCCGAGGGACACCCAGCCTTCGTACTCGATTATCAGCATCAAGTTAAGAGCAAAACAATGAGAATAGCCTAATTGCTTAGTTTTAGTGCCTTCTCTATATGTTTGCTGCAACACAGCTGCCTGCTTTAGCAAACGATCTAAGGGCTATAACTTCGCTCTGGCTGCACAGCTGTATGCCTGTTTACTGGATATGCTTCTACTACTATCTGTATTTTCAGCCTCTTACAGCCCAGTGCATCCAAGATGCGTAGGCAACGCGCTGGCGCACTGACTCCTCAAGGCGTGTTTCAACTTCCACAAAAGGCTTAGACTGTGCTTCTTTTCTGCTTGCCGTCGGCGGGAAGACTTCTTCGCTACTTGTGTTTGCGCTCTTCGATCTTCCAACCAACACGACTTGCAATCCCCTCACACACGGTCAACAACCTCGAGGATCTCAGCGCGCAGTCAACACTACCCAGCGAACGCAATACACACTCCGACTACGCAACTCAGCTGATCGCCATCCTCACCGCTGTGCACCCGATTAACTTATATCGAGATAGCAAGTTTCCTATACCCACTCAACCCAGTAAGTGGCTCTGTCCTTGGAGCTCGCATCCAACTAACCCTGGCGTAGAATTATACACCAACGATGGAGGAAACCACTTACGACACCTTCACCACGCCTGTTGTCGCTCCCAACATCACTCAACTTCCCCAGGAGCACCTTGCCTACGTCCGAGCTCAAGGCTACAACGAGGCAGTTCACGAGCCTCTCGAGCGGTACGCCTCAGAAGACATCGACAACGGCTACAGCACCTGGATTGCCATCCGTCGCACGGACAGCGATGAGTCGGAGGAGAGTGAGGAGGGAGATCTTCCCGAAGAGGAGCAAGAGGACGGCGTCCACTGGGAAGCCTACGCCGACTTCCTCCACCTTCTAGAAGACCAAGCCGCGGAGGCAAGTCCTCTCGATGGTACTGCAGTTCCCCTGACAGAAGGCGAGCGCGTAGATTCCAAGTAATACGCTGGAAGGCGGAAGCGGATTGGTAGCGCGAAGACGATTTTGGAAGTGGAAATGCTCGGCAACATCGCCTGAGCGCGAAGGGTGTATTGATAGATCAGATCGTCCTGTACTATACAATCACAACCGTCAGAGTTAACATCTATCAGCATGCCAGCACCAAACTCTCGGGCTTGAAATTCTAATTAAAACACTAGCCACTTCTTTGTCTTTGGCTGGTCAACCCCACGGTGAAAGACTGACTCCTCGGGAAGTGTTTCGTTTGCTTGAAGGAGTATAGGGTCGGCTTCATTTTGAATGACGGCATCCCGAGCGCAGCACAGACCCAACTTCTCTTTGACTACTTCGACTCGAGGTCGCTACTCTTTCTTCTCTCCAACACACACGCAAAGTCGAGAAACCCATCCGTCGCAGTCAACCACATTCGACGACTCGGACAGCGCAGCCTCGACTTCGATCCCTACTTCTCATCAGAAGTATTTTTAATTCGCGCTTCAAGTGTTAGACTACACTCAGCTCAAAGCACATCCTCTCGTCCCTCGCACACCACGTTTGTATGCCCCTTCCTACACCTCGGCGAAGCTAACATCAGCGCAGCAAAAGCACATTGCAATCACCCACACCTGCAAGATGGAGGCCACCTACGACATCTTCTACACTCCAGTTGTCGCTCAAGGCATCGCCTTCCCCGACGAGTATTTGGCGCAGTTGACTGCCGCTGGGTACAGCTCCATCACCCATGAACCCCTGCAGCGATATGCCTCTGAAGACTTCGCGAATGGGTACACCGCGTGGTGGGCTTTCAGGCGCGACGGTGATGATGAGATGGAGGATGCCGAGTCTGTCGACGCGAATGGTGCTGGCCTCGACGGCGCGCTCGACTTTCCAGAGATCGACGATCCACGCGGCGGCAGCCTCGACCACCAGGAGCTGCCAACATTCACGTACTCGGCAACACCGCTTCCAAATCTGCCCAGCGAGCCTCACATCTTTGAAACCGAGCAAGAGGCGAGCGACACGTTGTTCAGCACCACCAGTGCGATGCAGCTGCCAGATGGCCTCCAGGATGACATCGAAGTACTGGCGGAGAAGAAAGCGCAGGCCGTGAAGCTCCTTTACAAGGCAATCTGCAGCATGCCTGTGAGGACCGGCCCCGTCGAGTTGAGCCAGCAGCAGACCGTCCAAGACGTGCGTGCTGACAGGGTCAATGAGCTGGTCAACTACCTCGCTCAATATCGCACCGACATCACGCACCTGAAGCTCTCCTCACTTGCCGACCTCCTTTTCCGAGCCATCATCAAGCTTCACAACGAGGGCTACACCGTCAATATGCCAGCCAAGTACCGCAGCTCAGACAAGCACCTCACCGCTGTCGAGCGCTTGGAAGCTTTGATGCAGTACCTCTCCGACATGAAAAGCCTGGTCCTGAAGTGTCTCCAAGAAGGAGTGGACGGGATCGGTGAGGTCGTCGCCTTTCCTAAGATGCTCTTCGAGCAACTTCTCAGCGGCGAAGTGGTGGACTCTGGCGACGAAGAGCGAGTCGAGGAAGTTCAGGGCCTCGATCAGGAGGAGAGCGCTGTTGGTGAAGCAGCAGATCCAGGCGCTCCACCAAGCCTTACCATGTCTGCAACCCCGGCCTCCGCATCCGGCTTTGCTCCTGCTACTTCCCAGGCCACGCAGCAGAGCACTCCACGAACCACGAACCCACGGAGCAGAGGACCTCGTCGTCGCCTGAGACCGAAGATGGCGTCCAACTTCTTGTAGGTTGGGTTGGGATGAGGGAAGCAGGAAAAGAGGGCTAAGGGTGGGGCGATTGATAGTGGTATTGTGGCATTGGATTCGGCGTTCCCTTGAGAGCGCAGACTGGTCATTGTAATAACCCATTGATTGCAACGTATTGACTTCCCGAACTTCGCCAATGAACTTTTGCAGACATTTTGGTTACTCTCTGTGTCCTTCCCTCTCGCACTAGTATATGAAATTTGACATGGAGCCTACTCTTTGTTGGCGTACGAGCGAAGACGGTATACTCAATGTTTTTGTTTGCTGGTTTGCCTTGTACCACTTGTATTCCAAATCTTTTACGAAGGACGGCATGAAGTCACACAAAAGGAAGACACGTCTCGAATCATGGTCAATATTGGTATGCTATGCAGTAGCTACAACTACAACGCAACTTGCAAGTGCGATCTCCATCCCCTATCACATGCTAATTGAGAGCTCATTGGCTAGCGATCCCGCAACTTCCCGAATGGGAGGAGCTTCGACAGTGAAGAAATTCAAAAGCCACATTCTTCGAAACTTGATCTTTGATGGCGCATTGAAGAACAGCACCCTCCGACAAGACATTTGAGGAATACAGAGTATAAAGTACTACACCAACATCCATCAGCGAGCAGTCGACCAAGATACCCACCGCAACACATCAGCAACGCCACTATGCTCGCCCTACCCATCCTCCTCTCGGCGCTCTTCGCGACCACCGCCCTCGCCAGAGAGCTCACCCGCTGCGACACCCCCTCGCCACCCACCGACACCAATCTCCAACACCTCCACAACTCCTACCTCGCCACCAACACCACCGACAGCCAATATCCCCTCACGATCAAAACCCACATCCACCTAATCACAACGACCGCGACCAAAAACGACTACCCACCCTCCCTGCTCACCGCCCAAATGGCCGTCCTAAACGAAAAGTACGCCCCCTCTCACATCGTCTTCACCACAGAATCCATCGACCACACCGTCAACGACGACTGGGCGACCTGCGAGCACGGACCCTGCGAGATGGTGTACAAGCAAGCTCTGCGCAAGGGCGGGTACGCGGATTTGAATTTGTATTTTCTGAGTGATTTGGCGAATGGGTCGCTGTATGGGACGACGTATCTGCCGGGGGATGCGGGGAATGAGACGTTGAGGGTGCTGGATGGGAGTGTGGTTGTCGCGGGGAGTATGCTGGGGGGTGTAAGTTGGAATGCTGGATGTTGGGTGTGGTTGGAGTGATTGCTGACGATCTTGTACAGGACGAGGAGTACAATCTTGGCTATACAGCCGTGCACGAAGTCGGGCATGTAAGTACCCCTTTTCCATGGCACTGCCCATTCTGCCCTATGCTCACATGTCCCTGCAGTGGTTCGGCCTCCTACACACATTCGGTGATGGCTCCTGCGACGGGCCCGGCGACTACATCCCAGACACGCCTCAACAGCAAACGGCAACATCAGGTTGCCCAGAGATGTCCGACTCATGCCCGGATCTGCCTGGACTCGACCCGATTCATAATTTCATGGACTACAGCTCTGATGCGTGTATGATCGAGTTCACGAAATTCCAGGCGATCAGGATGCGGGTGTTGTATGAGATGTTGCGTCTTGGGAGGTGATGAAGCGACGACGACAGCAAACGGGGTTTTGTAGTGTTGAACGAATAGCATTCGTAGTGTTCCTTGGTATCAACGTAAACCTTGAAAGCGTCAAGTCATAACATTTCCGCAACCACCGTTTTATGCAGAGATTGAACTTTACTCTCCCGATGCAAGCTTATACTTGCCAACAGCGTTCCTCAAAATGCTGCCAAAGTAGATGCTGTTGTCCTCGGGTCGGTATTGCGCAGAGATGTCGACATAAGGAGGAAGGTCGGCCAAGACTGTTAACATGTCAGCACTCACATCACCAGAAACCACCACAGCATCTGTGAAGACTCACCACCACCACCACGAATGAACTCTGCAAAAGTATCCGGGAACGGAATATACGAAAACTTCAACGTTCTGCTGTTCAACAGCGAGATGACATTCGCGTCGAAGAAAGTTCCTGGGACATTTCCAGCTCGGGTCGGGTTGGCAGTGACACCCCCAAGGCCGCCAAGTTGGTTGGTGTGGTAGACTTCGACCTTGTGGGTCTTAATGTTGATACGGCCGGTGCCGTCACCTTCGAAGAGGGAGAAGTAGACCCAGTCGCCGACTTAAGCGCGGGTGACGGCGGGGCCTTGGAGCGGTACTGGGAGGGGTACTTCGACAATGGATTTATCTTGGGGGTTGAAGATCTGCAAAATTGAGATCAGTAGACTGTGATAACTTTTCGAGATGATCACTATTCACCAAGATCTTGTTGCCAACAAGCTCAGGGATGTAGACCTTCTTATCAGTGGCCACGTAAACACCAAGAGGCAGAGCCAGTGGCGTTGGGACGTGATAAGTGGTGAAGGTGTGATCCTTGAAGGAGAAGAACTCAAAAGTGTTACCAGTCGTCTGCGTCAAATAGAGGCCATTATCCGCCGTGTACAAATCGTTAAAAGGGAACAAGTTGCCAGTGGGATCAACCGGGCCGAACAACTTGATTTCCTTGGTCGTCTCATTGATCTGGACAAGCTGGTTTCGAACACCGTTGGTAGCATACAGATAGCCATCAGCGCCTGGACGAATGGCGCAAGAGAAAGCAGTCCGATCAAGAATCTGCTGTGCTGGGCCTGGGATCGGACCAAGCGTGACGTTCGAGATGGGCGTAGAGAAAGGAATCGGGTAGTCGGTCACGACACCAGTCCTAGGATCGAGACGACCAATTCTGTTGACGAGAATGTCTTCAAACCAAATCGCCTTATCGTGTCCTTCAGCAAGATCACAGATTCCGGAGAGAGGTGTCGGGATTGGGTAGAAGCTAAACTGTCCCCGAGCCGCCTGGCGCTCCTCGATGGGAGAGGCAAGGACACTGGCAGTGAGCAGCGAGATGGCGATGACAGACCGCATCTTAGCAGGTGAGGTGTGTGAAGTCCTTGGCGGAGAGGGAAGAGTACTGTATGGAGTAGAAAGTGGGGAATGAGCAGCAAATATCTTTCTTACCTGCAGTGGCCAAAACAAACCTGACCCGGACGACATGGGATCATGCCGCCATCGCATCACAGCTTTGGGCGGAGAACCTTCGCAGCCACAGCCTCTTGCGTGAGTTTGCGAGTCCTCGCAGCGAGCCTGAAATTGGTAATGGCATAGGCCAGTGAGAATGGCGCAAGCTCTTGGATCTGTCAACTTCTCCACAATCAACAGGTACATCTCCACGAAGGGATCTTCGGGGAACGACGATTCTAGTCTGGTTCACGCCACGAGCATACTTGACTGGTTGCCCCAAGGCCCGAGGTCGTGGAGAAGCTTAAAGCTTGGGTTTCTTATGCAGCTTGGATGACGCTTGAGAGGACGCCACAGAACAAGATGGCTGAAGATGTTGTCATGATCGATCGTGTGGGAGGCAGGACATCGAGATGGGAGGTGACGTTGCCCGGCAAAGACCAATTCAGTTCAAGCCTGCTCGGGGTGTGCCGACGGGAAGGAGCCGTTGATCGACAAGGACGTTTGTGGTATAGCCGTTGGAATGCTTGCATGCCAGTGAACGCAAGTAATGAGGTGGTCAAGTCTTGTTATATATTCTACTTCTATCAGTTGAACAAGTACCAAGCTACTGGACTTACAACTTCGGGATTCGAACTCTGAGGAACTGGCTGGGCCAAGCAACATCAAGATCGAGCTGTGCTGCCACTCTCAGTACCCACTCCGGCTCTCTCATAAACTGGCGTGCAACGAGAACGACATCAGCCATTGGCTCTTTGCCATTGCCAGGCTCAGTCATCTTCTTCACAGCTTCCGCCTCCTCTTTGATTGTAGCTTCTTCTACAATGTCTCTGGCCTGCTCGGCTTCGGTGATCAATCCCACGGCGCCAATGAGAAGGTTGTTCCCTTCGGACCTGACTGCCTTCCGGATTTGGGCTGCCAGCTTCGTTTGATAGTCTTTTGCGTCGGTACCAAATGGGTTCAGCTGCTGGTCTGGATGATTGCCCCCAGAGGAGCAATCGAGGAGGTCGATACCAAGATCAGGAAGGCTTTTGGCAAGTCGAATCGTGTCATCAATGGTCCAGCTTCCCAGCTTCTTCCCTACGTCAGTGTTCTCTAGCCACTCTGTCGTGCTGAGTCTGAGGAATAGCGGCATTGTGTCGGGAATGTTGGCCCTAACAGATTTGATCACTTCGACCAGGAATCTCGTCCTGTTCTCGTAAGATCCGCCATACTGGTCGGTTCGTTTGTTGGTCACTGGGGATAAGAATTGGTTGATGAGGTACTGGCTGATGTTAGTGCGTCTACAAGGCATTCTGATGAAATGGTACTTACACCATGAGCACCGTGAATTTCCAGAACGTCAACGCCAGCCCTGACTGCTCGAGCAGCTGCCTTGCCCCAATCTTGGACAAGCTCATGGATGTCGGAGATGGAGAGTTCCCTCGGCGCCCAGTAGCCACCCTTTGGGTCATCAATACTCTTCCCATCCCATACCTCAGAATCGCCACCTGAAGGTCCAACAACATTCTCCGGCCAGCCGCCGACATCTTTCGTGGCTCTCACATTCCGGAGACCCTGCTTCATGGCGATGAATGGGGCAACACAGCTGGCCTTCCTTCCAGCATGGGCGAGCTGTAGACCGCAAAGACCACCTTGGCCATGGATGAAGTCGGCAACGGCCTTTACACCGTCAATCTGAGCGTCGCTCCACAGGCCCGGGCAGTTGGCGCTGATGCGGCCGTTGGGTTGCACTCCAGTAGCTTCAATAAAGACGAGTGCCGCGCCTTTGAGGGCATAGTGGCCGAGAGTAACAGTATGATATGGTGTCAAGGCACCTTCCAGTGGCCCAGAGTCGGCAGCGCTGTACTGGCACATGGGAGCAACAACGATTCGATTGCGAAGTGTCTTGCTGCGAATCTTGAGTGGCTTAAAGAGAGTCGGAGTATCGGCGTTCAGTTCAATGGCAGATCCAGGCGAATTGGCATGCTGAGGCGAAAAGAATGGCAGGCCTTCAACAGGGGCATTGTAGATTGGGTTAGCCATCGTTCTTCGGGTGGCTGTGTTGTCGTTTAGTTAAAGATGGGTGCTCAATTGATCTGACTGCGACGTCTCTCCCGATTTATAGACTTTCTTACAATGTCAATGGTGCATGCAGGCTGTCTGGATTTTGTATTATTCGTGGTGAGACGCGACAGAAGTTGATTTGTGAGCAGGATTGCGTTTGCAGGTCGGCTTGGAGGGCCGTCCCGGCTGGTAGCCTCGGCACTAAATCCGGTCAACGAGATAGCCAGGTCTCCATTTGCCACCAGAACCAATGTATCTTTGCGAACAGTATACGACTCGGCCATTTGCTCGCTCTTTCGGAAACTTCGAACTGAACGTGCCTTGTCGATCCCGGAGGTAGGTATCAACGGCATGCCGAGCGGAATAGCCAAGTCATGAACTGTCGAAGATGCTCCCAAAACAGCAGTTAGTGCGATTCGCCAGATCTTCCTTCCAGAACTGATAAATCAACTTGTGATTCGTTTGGATGATTTGAGGATCAGTCAGCCGTATCGAGACCCTGGCAGCTGATTCTCGTGGTGATCTGTTTGATTGCTCTCTCGATTTCAACATGGCAAATCTAGGATTTGGATCTTGAGACAAGACTGGCTTTTCGTAGATACAACAGATGATCGTTCGTGTTCGTTCTTTCGCGTCGAGTTCGACTCTTAAGTCCGTGCACGGAATGTCCAGTATGTTGGAGTCTTTGAGTGGCCATGTAGATTCAAGCAAGCGCCCTTTGTGGGATCCATCCTGGCCTCGTGGACACTACGACCACATCTGCTGCTGAGCATGTTCTCAAGTAAGTCGATCATATATCTCTGCTGGATGCAAATCAAGTTGACGTTCATTTGACTATGCGCTGTCTTGTTTTCTCGCGGCGAGAAGCCGTGTGAGCGATGGCTCTATGAGGCCTCGACACCCTATGTGAGTTCCCTTGTGAAGTAATCATACCGATATCGATGAGAACCTGATGCCGATGACGGCTTCTGCGGCGTTTTCATCAGGTAGTGAAGTTGATGCAAAGTCGAAGAAGTACACGAAAACAACGCGTGAAGTGAGAGCGAGGACACCCCGCCCCCGTCGCCGTTGCCAAGACCCGGCGTTTCGAAGCCTCCGAATGCAACGTCGGCGGTCAGAACGACCTCTTCCCCTTTTACCACCTCATCAACCTCATCTCATCTTCTCCCTCGACGTAAGTTACAGTCTGTACTCGGCGCCGAAAAGAATCCCATTGCAACAGTAAGCTATTGCGGTCTGCTATTCTTGACTCTCGACGACATGTCACTCCAGACAAGAGACCACCGACAGCAACAGTGTCATCAAAATCTTACTCCTTTGAAAGTGCGGTATATGGAGATGATGGAGTATATAGCAAGTCCAAGATCTGCTGTCTTTCCGTCCTCACAACTCAACAGCCCCAAGTCCTTTCCTTAACTTCAAATCTGTCCATCTGAACACTCTCGTCATGTCCGCCACAATGACCACAACTCGCCTCTCCCCCTCCTGCCAACAAATCATCTCCTCAGACATCTCCTCACTCCAAAACGGCAGCATCACAATCCGCTCTTGCATGGACGACCCCGACCTCGCCCCAACAATCACGAACCACCGCTGCAACAGCGTCGTCCTCACACCCTCAGGTCTCTACACCGAGTAAGCCTCACCAATCACTATTCTTAACACCAACCCTGATTATGTGATTAGCATGGCCATAACAGTCGCCTCCCACATCTGGCACCACCACCGCGGCGCCAACGCCCCCCTCCCAGGCCTAAACGTCCACAACCTCGAAGTCCACAAACCGCTCATCGTCAAAGACCCCACCCAAATGTCCACTCTCTGGCTCGAAATGACCACCACCCTCTCCCTCCCACCCAACACCCACGAAGACATAACCTCCACAACCCTCCACTGCGTCTTCCACAGCATCTCCCCCTCCGGCACAAAACTCCAGCAGAACGGCCACTGCAACGTCAGCTTCGAGTGGTACTACGGCTGGCTCTCCGAATGGAGCCTCCAATACAACCACGTAACGTCCCGAATCGCAGCCCTCCGCTCAAACCCCCACAGCCAAACCGTCAACCGCGCCAAGGCCTACAAACTCTTCGAGTCCTTCGTGCAATACAGCGGCAAATACCAAAACATGTCCTCGTGCGCCTTCGACGCCGCGACGCTCGAGGCGACGTCGACGCTGGAGTTCCTCGCGCAGCCGGAGAGTGATTTCTGCGGACCATATTACCACGACGGGAGTTGTCATGTTTCCGGGTTTGTGTGTAATGCCGTCGAGCAGAATAAGGAGAGTAATGCGTTCATCTCGAATGGGGTTACGGCGATGAAGTTGAGTCCGTTGTTTGATCCTTCGAAGGAGGGGACGGAGATTAGGTATGCTCTCCCTTTCCCAGTCAAAACTGCCACAAAACCTCGGGCTAACATGGATGATCATCTAGCAACTACGTCCAAATGTCCCCCCTCCCCAATGACAAAACGGTCCTGCAAGGCGACGTGTACGTTCTGCAAGACGGACAGATCGTGGGCATGTGGGAAGGCGTTCGGTTCAAGAAGATTCCTCGTCGGGTGCTGAATGTGTTTTTGCCGCCGCCGAAGAAGTAAACGCAGTCGAACGGCTGGCTCAGTCAGTCGCGGAGGAACGAGGTTTGGTTTCGTGGGAGGCGTGGCTGGAGTTGTTGGGAATGTTGCGGGAATGGAATAACTTTGGAAGAGAGAGGTATTAGTATCGTGTCGTAGATCAAATTCATTCTTCTACCTGGCGTTGGGATGTTATCGTCAAATCTTCACACACAAAAAAATCATCATGCGGGCCTCAGACTGCTGGGCCAAGATGATATCACAACTTCGTCCTCCCCTCCTCACTATGCCCCCTCCTCATCGCCATGCCCTCCCGTCCCGCACTAACGATCCTCGCCGCCCCTCTCACAGCACTACTGATAGCCTGCTCAACACTCGGTCCCGCCGCCGCCGCAACCTCACCGCTTCCTGCCCCACCACCAGGCGTCCCACTCCGACTCTGCTGCCTCTGCAATTGCACAGATGTCAGCCAGTGCACCTGCCGACTCAACCCGGCCACCTGCGCGCCCATGTACGTAATCTCCTCCCTCGTGCGCATGTTCTCGTTGAGGATCTGCATCGAGTGGCGGCCGTCGAGTTCTTGTAGAGCAGAGTTGACGCGGGACATTTCTTCCCGAAGCGCTTCGTGCATGGAGAGGAGGTGGTGAAGTGGGGAGGCGTAGGGTCCTGTTGTATTGGGTGGTGGGGGGAAGGGGGAGGCGAGGTCGAAGTCGAGGCTGAAAGGTTCTGGTAGGTCAGATGGCCGGGGGCCGGGTGGATCGGGGATGGCGCTTTGAGGGATTGAGGAGTTTGAAAGACGATCGGTTGTGCTTGTCCTTGAGCGGCTTTGGCGAGTAGGAGGGGATTGGTCGGCTGGGAGGAGCTGGGCTTCGGCGAACTCGTCTGAGGGCGTGATTACGATATTACCATCGGGTTGCACACCACCGTGTCCCTCTAGTAGTGGAATCGAACTCGGGTCTGCACTCGTAGAGTCGGGGTCGTCTTGGTGTGGAAAGAGAATGGACTGCATGGTTGTGAAGCCTTTCTCCAGTACATCCAATTTCCGAGCCATGTCCTTCTGAGCAGACTCTTGCTCATCCAGCCTCTCGGTTTGTGCGGCCAGTACAGGTGCGAGCTTGGCAAATGTGCAGCTGCGTGCGTGAATCTGAACCTCTTTCCGTTTCGTACGAACACTGCATCCAATCGCAGCCCCTGGGCATGGTATGCTGATGGAAGAGCAGAGATCGAGGTTGTGTTCGGCAAGGTCACGGTAGTAGACCTTGTTCTTGCAGGCTTCGCAGGTGATTTTTCGATCAGGACATCGACTCCGCCAGTGTGTCTCCAGATGACACTTTTGCATTTCTTCGTGACAGGCCAGGCAGCTGACACCGAAATGGAGACATCCTTGGGTAGAGTCTTTGCGTCGCACGGGTAGCTCGCACCCTTCCGCAACGCACTCAATCAGAGCATACCCGCAGTAGATGGAAAGATGGTCTTGCACTTCACCGCGCTTGACCTGAGCTTTGCAACCATCGTCACTCTTGGGGCACTTGACAATGAGATCGTCCAGAATGTTAGTCAAGATCTTGCTCGTCGCTGACCGTGGGCCGAGTTTGGCTGGTGTGCGGCAAGATGGGCAGTCTCCCCTCGGCCCAAGCGGATTATATGCAGTTGAAGTCGTCCACGTCTGGCGTATACAATCGCGGCAGAAGCAATGATCGCATTCGGTCAGAACAACAGGGTCCACGAAAGGGCATCGACAAATGGGACACATGAGATTATCATCGTAAGGCGTGACATAGTCCAGCAACCGCAGATCAGCAGGTGGATTGAGGTTCTGGGAGCGAGCTTTGCACTGCAGGAAGTTCTTCTCCTCCATCGTTCGGCGTTTCTCGAGTCTCTCCATGCCGCGCAGCGTCACCTGGCCGGGATGACTTGAGGAAGGAGCCCTATTCGATGACTGACTTCGGTGAAGCGATGGTCCTCGAGCGTCTGAAAGCCGAAGATGAGCTTGTTCCAGAGCATCGCCGGTCGAGTTACCCCTCCTGTGGTTTTGTGACTGGGTTGTATGGGAGCCCGAGTGGCGATTCGAACGAAAGAAGTTAGACGGCGACCGCGACATGTCGAACGGCGACTGATGAGAAAGCTGATTGAGTAAATGTTGGATGGCCCCTTGCGGAGAGAGCCGGGCGTGTTTTGGAAATGGTTGTGAGGTATATCGAGGCCTTTATCTCCACTCGTCCTCTGAGACCAAGAGTGCTAATGTGATCAGTATGCCATGCGCAGGAGTGCAGACGCTCGTGTTTCAGAGTCGTGATGACGGGAAATGGTTCGGGAGCACGAGTGGTCGGTATTGTTTGGTCCTCACGCCCCTGTTCTGAAGGCTGCTCCGGCCCTGCTACATGCGCGTGGAGCCGTATACGAAGGGTCAAGATGCAGTCCGAAGATCCCGGTCGAGATTCCGGAGTCCAGGAAATCGAGTCCAGACTCCAGACGTGTTGGAGGGGCCGGGGTGGTTGGTGTTGCACGAGATGGATGCTGCTCGTGCAGGGTGTCGTCGGCTATTCCTGAGCGACCCGCCCGCTACGCTATTACGCTATTCCAGAACTAGAGTTAACAGGGTCCTCCGCATCACGTGCTATTGATCTGATCGCCGTTCGTGCCTGAGGCTGGCATCTGACGGAGCTCCTCTAACAGTCAACACACCTCTCTCGTCTTCATCTTCACTTGCTTTGCTTTGCGCGTACCAATCCAGTCCCAATACCCGAAACCCGATCAGACCGACCGACTGACAGCCTGTGCAACGAGCGAAGGCGACACCCTGCACACCTTGGACGTGGGATCGGGCGTCTTAGATTGCGCGGCTGCAGGCAGCACAACGATAAAGTCTCCCATCTACCTTCTACACGCTCTCGGCATTGTGTCACGGATAGCCACCGCCTACCACCATGTCGACCTCACCCCGTCAGCTTTTGCTCCTTGCGGACCACCTCAAATTGTCACTGCTCGAGCGCCAGCGCGCCATCTCACTTAACCTCGAACCCAATAAGCAAGATAGCCACATCTCACGATCCTTGTCAAACCTTCACGAGGGCATCGAGCAGCTAGAAGCACAGCAGGCGGATCTTGGAGAGGCAGAAGATGACAATTCAGACCTTGCGAAACTACGGAAACAGTACCAAGAGCTATACTCGCAATTTCACGGCGCAGCACCTACATCACCAGATGTCCAGACACCCAATGATCCTACCCTGGCCGACGACTTCGCAGCGGCACAATCACGACCAGCCAGGCAACAAGCTGCACGGAATAAGAGCGTGCGGTTTAGAGACAACCCCGACGATAATGACCCCGAAGCACAAGCGAACCGTGCGGCATTATTCGCAGAACAGGAGCGATACAGAGACGAGCCGGGAGCACCAGATCAGACGAATCTGGACAATCAGCAAATACACACCTACCATAAGCAAGTGCTGCGGGATCAGGATGAACAGCTCGATACTTTGAGTCAGAGCATAGGCAGACAACGCATGCTGGGCATACAAATGGGCAGTGAGTTGGATGAACAGAATGAGCTGCTAGATGACGTGGAGCACGGCGTGGACAGGCACTCCAACACCTTGACAGGAGCGCAGAAGAGGCTGGGCCATATTGCGAGAAAGAGCCGGGAGAACTGGAATTGGATCACCATCACGATCCTGATCATTGTCTTGGTGTTGCTGATAATCATTCTCAAATGAGGGTAAAGAAACGACGCAAACGAGAGAATACGGGAGAGTTTACTACGACACTGTACGAATGCGAGCGAGAGCGAGAGCGGAGACGACGGTATGATCATGATTGATACCATAATGAACAGCCTTCACACAGAAGCTTTATTGGTATTCAAAGCAGGATAAATTGAAGGCACCGCGGCTCTCGAGTAGAAGCCCTGAAGCAGATGCGGGACCGGTTCGGATGCTGATCGCTCCTTACTCACGATATGGGATGTTGCATAACATATGTTTGTACCTGCATTGAATACCCGGACAACACTTATATGCTTATAGGCAGCCACCTTGTCCGAGAGCAGATCGTCCAGCCACATTCATCTCAGTAGATGTAAATCGGTGCATATCGGTGTTGTCTCCTTCCTCGTCATCGCTTTCATGGCCTTGGGCGGCCCTACGGCCATTCGTCCGTATCTCGACCTTCAGATCTGTCTACTGGCCGCTTCTAGTACACCATCCATCACATTTCAAAGCCACCTACACCACTTGCCTTGCTGAGATAGAGCTGTGCCTGGTTACGTAACATGACATGGTTTCGTTCTCGCTTCCACCTGCACTTGCCACCCTTCTACAAAAGGCATCCCTCGAACAGCTTAGCACTCTACACATACCAGCACATCAAAGTGCCCTCCCTATTGAACAAGCTCCAGACTACCTCGACCCGGAAAAGAGCCCCTAACAACGACCATGCATCTCGGACTCGACAAGAAAGTTGTCCTCGTAACAGGTGCGTAGCGTTTGCCCTATGAAGATATTGCGGATATGGCCTCTGCCTTGCCTCTCCCCTTCCAAGGTTGTCCACATGAGCCTACCGTGCCCTAGAAACAGATAGTGGATAGACACCTCACCCCACACCAACCTTCAAGAACCTACACTGTAACATCACGAATATACGAATGCCTCCCCAGTACTGACAGACGTCGACCCACAGGAGGCACCAAGGGCATCGGGCGCTCCATCGTGAAGACGTTCCTCAAAGAAGGCGCCACGGTGCACTTCTGCTCGCGCACGAGCGCGGATGTCAAGGCGGCCAACGAGCGCTACGCGGCTGAAATCCCCGATGCGAAGGCGATTGGGAATATCGTCGATGTGACGAATGGGAAGCGCCTGAGGGCTTGGGTGGAGGATTGCGCCAAGGAGAGTTCGAGGATTGATGTCGTGGTGGCGAATGTTAGTAGTTTGTCGCATGAAGTGAGTTTGAACGAAGAGATTGCGTGATGAATCGGGAGATGGGTGCTGATTGTATGGTGTTGGGTAGAACACGACCGAGAGCTGGCAGACGGCGTTCCAGACGGATATGATGGGCACGTACGAGATGATCGAGGCGGCGTTGCCGTATCTCGAGAAGACGAAGGGGAATATCGGTAAGCCTCTCTCTCAATCCCACAACATCAACCTGCCCTGCTAACACATCTTCTTCCCTTACAGTAACAATCTCCTCCGTCTCCGGCCGCGACGTAGACTTCATGGCGCCCTCGCCCTACGGCGCCCTCAAAGCCTCCCTAATCCACTACACCTCGCAACTAGCACACGTCCTCGCGCCCAAAAACATTCGGGCCAACACCGTCTCCCCAGGCAACATCTACATCGAAGATGGCGTCTGGGGCGATGTCGAGCGCGGGATGCCGGAGTTGTTCAAAAGCCAGATGAGCAAGAATCCTATGGGCAGGATGGGCAAGCCCGAGGAGGTGGCGGATGTGGTGGTTTTTGTGGCGAGTGAGAGGGCCGGGTTTGTGACGGGGAGTAATGTTGTTGTGGATGGGGCGGTTTGTAATGGGGTGCAGTTTTGATGGAAGGGTATAGGGGGTGAGCTGAGTTAGTGGTTGGGCTTGTTAGACTGGATAGCAGCATTTGTAGGGGAATGTTATGAAGGTCGGTAGAATACTCTGGGAGGTTTTTACTCTATGTCTTCCTACAATTTGTTGCAAATGACCCGCGGAAACGGTGTCGAAGATGTCTCCCATACCAGGCCCGTGGTATATAAGAACGGCCAGTTGACCAACGCATATCAACCGAATATATACATCCTATCATGGGATGAAGCTGTAAAAAGTGTTACCCAATCGTCAAGTTCAGACTTCAGACTTCAGACTGTCAATCGACGTGCAAGGCAAAATTTTCTACTTATTACCGTCATTGTCGAAACAACCATTCCCGACAACATAGTCAACATCGAATCTCAAACCAAGCTCGGCAACCCACCAAGCCAGCAACAAACGCACCCCGGTCCCGAAAGCAAAGCAAGAATCCACACTTCGCACCGGCAGAGGAAGCTCCCCAGCAGCAGCAGCTCTCGACAAGGAAAGCCCGCCTATAACTCCTCGCCACGTCATATCAGAAATGCCCTCCCTTGTGCAAACAGCGCCCGTCGGTTGGCGCACTCGGCATTTTTTTTGGCGCCGGTAAAGAAACTGGCTTTGACTGCTGGTGAGAGTGTGTTGCTACGTGCTTCCTTGTTCCTGAGCAGACCACTCCCTCGGGATCGCGATATCTCACCACTGCTGTCTGTCCAATCGTGACGGAATCCATTCTGTCGGGAGCCATCCCAAGGCCAATAGACATATATCTAAACGACCACAATGAGCGACTCATCGAGACTTACTGAACTCGCAAAGCAAATCGCAGATAACACGAAGATTGTAGACGAATACACACGAGCAAACGGCATTTCATTGGGCTTCTCCGTCGATTCTACCGCGGCGTTTCCCAGCGATGCGCCAGCGGAAGTGTTGGAGGCGAGGAGGATTGTCAAGGAGGCGACGCAGGAATTGAATGATTTGGTGACGGGCCCGGCGGAGCATTTGCGGTGGTTGGCTTGTCGGGTGAGTTGTTTCTCTTTCTCGAAATCACAGAAAGGAGCGAGTTTTGGTTGACGTTCGTTAGTACCACGATCTCTCAAGTCTGCGATGGATCTACCACTTCAACCTCTTCTCGCACGTCCCCTTGGACCAAGCGATCACATTCGAGGAATTGGCCAGCAATGCAGGGGTTGATGCAGTCCAAGCGAAACGCATTCTCCGCCACGCAATGACAAACAACATCTTCCACGAACCCTCAGCCGGCAAAGTCGCACACACGGCGGACTCGGCACTCCTCGTCCGTGAACGCGGTGTGCGAGACTGGGTAGGCTACACGACGGAGGAGAGCTTTCGAAATGCTGGCAAGTTGGTGGAGGCCACAGAGAAATGGGGATCTTCAAATCGATTCGATCAATCAGCGTATCAAGTAGCGTGGGATACTGACCTGCCAATGTTCGAGCATTTGGGGAAGTTTCCTGAGCGAGCAGAGAGGTTCGCGAATACAATGACCGATATGACGAGTACGGACGGGTATAATATTCGACATCTTGTGAATGGTTTCGCGTGGGAGTCGCTTCCTGAAGGGAGTACGGTTGTCGATGTAAGTTGTGGATGGAAGAAGGTTGCTCTTCGGTCTGCGTGCTGACTTGTTACCAGCTGGGCGGATCTGTAGGGCACGCGTGTGTCGCTATCGCGGAGAAGGCGCGAAGCCTGCAATTCGTCGTACAGGATCGTCCGGAGATTGTTTCGCAGGGCGAGAAGCAGCTGGAGGAAATCTCTGACGAACAGATTCGAAATCGGATCAAATTCCAGGCTCATGACTTTTTCACGGACCAGCCGGTCCACGGCGCAGCTGTATACTTGATGAGATTCATCCTACACGACCACCCGGACTCAGAGGCGGTCGACATCCTGCGAAAGCTCGTACCGGCTTTGAAGAATGGAAGCCGGATAGTCATCATGGACGGCGTGATGCCCGAAGCGAACGTCCTCCCCAAGAGCGAAGAACGAACCATGCGAATCATGGACTTGGAGATGATGACGACCTTCAACGCCAAGGAGCGCGAGAGGGCTGACTGGGAGCATCTTTACTCCGTGGCTGACATGAGGCTGAAGCTGAAGAGCGTTGAGAGGCCAGTGGGGAGCGCGCAGTCCGTGATGGAGGTCGTTTTCGAGGACGAGAAAGCTGCGTTGTGAGTTCTGTTGCGAGACGAACCCCTTCAAAGTTTTGGTTGCTGGAATTGCAAGTAGCGGTCAAGGCCAACCGTTGCGCACGCGAGCTGGTCGATAATTTACCATACCTTTGGGTCAAGGCAGTATCGGTTTTCGTCTACCTCGTGTCGCCCTGAGCTCGAAGTCGCTGCCTCATTCTTCTCCTGTTTGGGCTTCTCCTGACGGCAGTCGAACGATTGAGTGTTTCCAATGCCTGGGCTCGTCCTTCAACCTGTGGACCATCACATCACAGCCAAAACGTTTGCATGTGAAAGATCCCACTCGACGACCACACCAGGAATCCCACGCCTTCAGGCTTCGCAAGTGCCGGGTTTAACAGGCTAGGAGCGCCGGCCCGGGTGATCAGATGCTCTAGCGCCAGCGGTCCGAGCGGGCATTTGCCTGCACAAGGAAGGAGTGGAGTCACTGGTCGTCGGTCTAGCGGGGATCACCCGACCAGCTGCCGACGCTGCATTAGAGCCCAATCCTCGAGACCACCTCTTGACAACCACGTCAACCTGCGTATACCGGTCTTCCTGCAGGTCACCGTCGGAAGAATTGAGAAGATCGTCCCTTGGGGTCTGCACCGTTGAATTGTTCCATCTTCCCTGTTTTCCCTCTTCCCCTCTTCGAAATTTTCCAACCGGGATGCTTCTTTGCCGCATGAACTCTCCGTCACCTGACTTATTGTGAATTTGCGGCGACGATGGCCGATTCTTTGCACGGAGACGACTCCCAGTTCGATCCAGTGGTATGTCGGCGGAGTCCCAATTCTAGCCAGCGCTGATTGCAGTTTCCAGGAAGCCCAATCCGTGGGTGATTCTTCCGACTCTGCGTACACGGACGATGACTAGTAAGCCTTTGGCGTGCGCAGAGTCGCTTGCATTGCTGAGAGAAGCGAATATCCAGTCGAAGCTATGCGACGTCCTTGTCATCCAGTGTGTCAGATTTCAAATGGGTAAACGGTCGGCGGTTCCACAGCTACAGAGAGGGATGTGAGTGTCGTGTTGTTATTGCCACGGGGAGCTTGTTGTTGACGATGATAAAAGCGTATCAATTCCCCAATGACGAGAAAGAACAGGTGCGTAGGTGTGGACGGCCCTTGTGTCGGAGTTGCTCAAGTGCTGCCATTGTAGGACCGCTTGGACTTGTTCCATGCCCTTTTCACAGAATGCCTTCATGGAAAGCTCTTCCTGGCTCCAGTGCTCAATCCACGGCGAATCTTGGACATCGGCACTGGCACCGGCATCTGGGCTATGGAAGTTGGCGACAAGTTCGAACATGCACAAGTCGTTGCGAACGACTTGTCGCCTATCCAGCCGCAATGGGTGCCTCCAAACCTGCAATTCGAAGTCGATGATGTTGAAAGTCAATGGCCTCCTCGTCCGTCATTCGATTTGATCCATTCGAGATACATGGCGGGCTCGATCCGGGATTGGCCAGGACTCATTGCTCAGTGCTATGAGCAGACAACTCCTGGTGGATGGGCAGAATTCCATGATTTAGATCTGCACAACGTGTCTCCTGACAGCTCGATGCCTACTGACAACAAAACCCTCGCGATGTACAATCACGTGATCGAAGGCTGCGAGAAGATGGGTCGAACGTGCTGTCCAGGTCCTCACCTGAAAGGTTGGCTGGAAGACGCTGGCTTCGTAAACGTGAAGGAAGAAATCTTTAAGCTGCCCGTGGGTCCCTGGCCCAAGGATCCCCATCTGGTAAGCATATTTCAGTACGTCTGAGCGGCCATACTGACAGCTCGTAGAAAAAGATTGGCGGGCTCAATCTCATGCAATTTCTCGATGGATTGGAGGCGTTCAGTCTTGGGATGTTCGTGCAGGTTTTGGGCTGGACTGTTGACCAGGTACATCTGTTTCTTATGGAGGTGCGCCGGGATGCAATGAAGAAATCCGTCCATATGCATCATTGGTTGTGAGTTCGCTTGATACATCGCCGGTCAACGCAACATGTCGCTGATTCTTCGCTCAGCTACGTGGTATATGGGCAGAAGCCTGAGTAACCTGGAGGGCTACTGGGATGTGTCGATTCGCGAGCTTGACCTGCATTGCGAGGGCTTACGTGGACAGTGCCACTGTTTGTATAATGCCTAATTGAGCGCGTTCAAGAAGACCGCAACCAACCAGAAGCTCGTTAGGGCGTGGCGTCCAGACCATCCGTATATCAGCTGCGAGCGGGGAGCTTTCCAGCTTTCCAGGTGGGTCCAATGAGACGTCGGATGAGGACCGAAGGAAGCAAGAACGGGAGGCTGGGTGCATGTGTTCCAACAAGGGCGCTCGCGTGAGCAGCGACTAGGCGAATTTGAGGGGAATGACCGCAATCCGGACTTGATAAAAAGGGTTGACCACCTCGTCAGATTTGCACCTGCTTATCTTGCACGAAACTTCCAGACACCATCCCGAACGCAACGTGTGCTACTCTTCTCGAGCGATCATGGCGTCGAGTGCGGGTACGGTGTTCTGGTCCGATGATAAATACGAGATTCGACCTGCGAAAAGCACAAATGAGTTTCGTGATGTTTGGTGGGGCTTCATGCAGGTCTTGGGGTGGAATCGCGGATATTACGACCTCGATACCTACATGAATCCATCACTTGGCAGCGGTATGATCTTGCTCATCGAAAAGGCAACTGGGAAGTGCGCTGGCCACGTCTCCGCTATCATCAATCCAAACTCGACAGGCTGGGTATCGATGTTCATTATTAATGAAAAGCATCAAGGCAAAGGTCTGGGCAGAGAGCTTTTCAAGGCTGCACAAGCCGACTTCAAGCGCAGTGGTACCAAGATTATCGGATTGGATGGTGTGACCGTGCAGAGGCAGACTTGTAAGAGCATGCACGCCAGGGTTGTTTGATCGACTGACACGGCCACAGATGAGAGAAGAGACTTTGTTGTGTCACCACTGGGCGAGGTCCAGATCATGATGCGGCCTCTGCTGGCGAAGAAGCCAGTGCAGGCCTCGCACGTTGACGGCCACATCGTAGACATTCGACAAGTACCCCAAACGCTGCTTGTGCAGCATGAGCTGAAGTACACCGGATTTGAAAGACCGGCACTCTGGAGCGATGAGCACATCTTCAATCGAAAAGACGTGGATGGTGTGGCTATTGCAAGCAAGGAAAGCCCACGAACTGTCGATGACCTTCGAGCTTGGGCGGTGATCCGGCGTTGCTCTGGAGGCATAAGACTTGGGCCAGTGTATGCGTCAGACTCGGCGGCTGCAAAAGCAGTGATTGCGGCAGCTATGGAACGATCAACTCCCAAGGCGATCCAAGCTGTGCCGTTGCCGAAGGAGACGATGAATGAGTGGTCTCCTGACAAGATTGCGAACGAGGCAACGCTGGTCACCGAGGTCTGGGGTGGCAATCCAGAGGCGATCAAAATCTTCAAAGAGCTGGGTTGGGAGGAAGCTCCTGTCTCATACTATCGTATGTGGGTTGATAGTAAAGCCACACCGGAACAGAGCGAAGGCGGTGCTGCCCAGGATGGTGTGTACGCGATCTTCGACGCGGCTGTTGGGTGAGCGGCCGGAACAGTAGTTCTCTGGGAAAAGCCAAGAAAACAAGGGATTCAGGCTGTCTTCGAGAAGGTCAGAACAGGTCTCACTCCGATCCTTCACTGGTGAAGCTTTGAGATGGTTCCTCTTGCAGATCTTCAATCCATGTCTCGAACTCCATTTCTCCAGCTGTCACTGATCTGATGGGTGTGGTTTGCTTTTGTGCCTTCTGTGCCAGAGCCTTGTTGCTCTGCTGTTGAGCCGATACCCAAGGCTGAGGGTGGCCAGTTGGAGCCTCGCCATTACGTCTCAGTTCGATGGCTACGGTAAAGGTACAGCCGGAAGGCAGTGGCTGTAGTGCGGTGCTGCAGTTCGTGAGTCTGCTCATGGTTGCTCTGAACTGCTCTTCCATATCGACAGAAGGCAGTATAGGAAGTTTAGACCCATTTGCGTCCACTCGCTCCAGGGGCACGTCCAGCTCTGTTGCAGGTACAGCCGGAAAGCGTGCGAGATCGAACACGAAGCGCTCCAAGGGCTTGTTCTGCTTGCTGTACATAACGACTGCCACTCTCTCCACCGCGCCTTTCAATAGCTCAGCTTCAACAGCACTGGCAGCATCATTGATCCACTCGCAGACTTTGGGATGGCGATTCTGACGGACGGCGAAATTGTACTTCCTGGCCGATAGAAAGGAGGTCTGCGGGTAGATGTTTCTTTCGTACAGAATCGTGTGTATGGCGACAGTGAGGAAGTCCGTGAAGGCCGTGACGAACGAGCGGAACGTCGGCTGGTCATGAGCCATGATTCGCACTGTGTTGTCACATTTGATGGGATTTGATGAGGGTCAAGTCGAAAGTGAAGGTGAAGGTGTTTTGTTGACAGCCCACCTTCGTGATGACGTAATACGCGTTTCGCGACTGCCTTTTGACGGTTGCCAAGAGATTAGCACCACTTCACGTGCAGATCTTCAGATCTTTCTCGTTGTCTGAAACAATCGACGCACCAATTCCTCCGACCTTGCGGGCCCGTTTCTTGCACCCCATCTCTACTTTCAGCACAGTCTACAAAGGTGAGCAATTTCATTAGTCGTCAGCGGTCATTTTGGCGGCGGCGGCAGCGGCGGCAGGTGGAGCAAGAGCATCACCAAACACTGCGGTTCGAGCAATATCTCGCAGCACGAGCATCAGACCCGCGATCCACACCAAACTTACCAGACATCGACCGCCGTTCCATGTTACACCAGCAATTCGGGCACTAGTTACTAGGCAATTCCGCCGACATGGAAGAGCAACTAGTGACACTGCTAGCCGAGACGCAGTCTTCGCAGGAAGGCCCTCGAAAGAACGCAGAGTGGCAGCTCAAGCAGCAGTACTCCAACCCGGACTTTCCAGTCGCTCTGCTTTCTGTTGGAGCTCACAACGACGTGCCGGTAGAAGTCCGCCAAGCCGCATTATTGTACCTGAAGACCTTTGTCCTGGCCTGCTGGTCTCCTCAGTTCGACGAGTTCACTGGAACGCTGTTCGCCGATGATGGCAAGAAAGCACAAATTCGTCAGCAACTCCTAGAACTGGCCTTGAGTGGACGCGATGAGCGAAAGATCAAGAGTGCAGCGAGCCTTGTCGTGAGCAAGATTGCCACTGCCGACTTTCCCGATGAATGGAACGATCTGCTACCTTCGGTGTTGAACGTGATTGCAAGTGGAGAGGATGCCCGTCTGCATGGAGCGCTCAAGGTCCTCAATGAGTTGGTGGACGATTGTTTCAACGAGGAGCAGTTCTTCAGCGTGGCCCGAGATCTCGTCAAAGTCATTTACGACGTCGCAGTCAACGACAATCGCAAACCCACCCTCAGAGCTCTAGCTGTGTCGGTGTTCAGATCATGCTTCGACACCCTTGAGATGGTAATGGGAGACCACAAGACCGAAGTCAAGGCGTTTGCAGACGATGCCCTGACCGGCTGGATACCGTTCTTTATCAACGCCCTCAAGTCACCCCTTCCAGCAGCTCCAGTCGAAGGACAAGAGAACAATGAAGCCTCAGAGCTCTACCGAGGATTCGTGGCCTTGAAGCTGCAGGTCGTCAAGGTGCTCATGCGCATTCGCTCCGTACTTCCACAAACGCTTTCGCCGCACAGCCCTGCCCTCTTTTCCGCCACCTGGCAGGAGCTTTCCACACTGCAACCACAGTACCACTACATGTACATCGAGCAAGACATTCAGGGTCGACTGGAGGATGCCGACGGCTTGCCATATACCCTCGACTTTCTCGTTCTTGAGGAGCTCGACTTCTTACAGGCTTGCTTGCGCGCACCGCCTGTCCGGAAAGAACTCGAACAGCAGCTTCAAACGCAAAGTCTGGGCTCTTCTTGGGTGACAGAGGTTATGAAGACCGCAGTCTCATACGCACAGATCACGAACGAAGAAGAAGGATTCTGGGACATCGACGTCAATGTGTTCTTGTCCGAGGAAGTTAATGTCACGGCAAATTACACACCACGATCAGCTTGCGGTGATCTCGTCATCAAGCTTGGCGAGTGGCTGAACAATACCACTGTGGAAGGTCTTCTGTCATACACGCGGTCGTTGTATGCCGAGAATGCAGGATGGAAGGCTAAAGAGGCCGCTCTGTACCTGCTCAACCAACTGCTTGGGGACTTCCAAGACGTGGAGAAGCAGATAGGATCCGAATCAGCAAACGGCTATGTGGACTTCATCAAGCACGCCATTCAAGAGGAGCCGGTGTTCCTTCGGGCCAGAGGCTATCTGGTTGCTGGTAGTCTTACTAGGACTTCTGGCGATGCACTCCAGACCGTGGCCACGTCGTTCATGGAAGCGTCGTTGCAGGCCATCACGAATGATGAGTCAGAGATCGTCAAGGTCTCCTGCATTCGAGCCATTCAGTACTACTTCGCAGCACTTCCATCTGCCATCACAGTACCGCGACAGCCTGCAGTCATATCCGCACTTCACAACTTTCTCAACACCCAGGACCTTAGCGACTTGACCGATAGCGATGACTTGCTGATCACCATCATCGAGACTCTGCGCGATGCTATCCTCCTGGACACGGGAAGCAGTCTGAATGGAGGTGGCTTGGACCTGCTCTTCACGGTCGCTAGTCAAGGTGCCTCAAACTTTCAGATCGCCCTCCTCGTCACCGAGACGTTTGAGGAAATCGCAAGCACCATTTCTGAGGCCGGCCCAGAAGCGTTTGCACAACTTGCAACCAAAGTTCTGCCATCCCTTATGGGCGCATTCGACGTTGCAACACTTACTGAGGAGAACGCGCTCGCGAATCTTGCAGCCGAGTTACTGGCTGTGCTATCTGAGCATGGCTCCAACCCACTTCCGCAAGGCTTCGTCACTACAGCCATGCCACGATTGACTCGACTTTTGCTCGAATCTGAGGACGATGAGCTGCTCAAGTCCGCCACTGCTGCAGTCAAACACATGGTGCACAATGATGCAGATCAGGTCTTTGCGTTCCAAGAGCAGAGTGGCAAGAGCGGACTGGAGGTCCTTCTCGTCATTATCGACCGTCTGCTGAATCCCGCCGTCGATGACAACGGCGCAGCTGAGGTTGGTGGACTTGCAGCTGAGCTGGTTGAGAAGGCTGGGTCCGAGAAGCTTGGTCCCTACCTTATGCAACTCCTGCAAGCTGTTGCTCAGCGTCTAGCTACTGCACAGCAAGCCCAGTTCATTCAAAGCTTGATTCTGGTGTTCGCTCGACTGTCCCTCATCTCGGCTGCAGAAGTGGTGAACTTCTTGGCCGATGTTCAAGTGGGAGGCGAGTCTGGTCTGGAGGTTGTCGTTCGCAAGTGGCTCGAGAACTCGATCAACTTTGCAGGTTACGATGACATCAGACAAAAGTAAGTGGATTACATATTTTATGAAACCCATTACTGACATGCAACAGCGTCGCCGCCCTGTCGAAACTGTACGAGCTCAACGACTCCAGAATCGCCGCCATTCAGGTCAAAGGCGACATGATTGTGCCCAAGTCGGATCGCATCATGACCCGTTCTCGCGCCAAGCAACAACCTGACCAGTACACGATCGTCTCCGCCCAGCTCAAGATCATCAAAGTCCTGATCGAGGAGTTGCTATCTGCGTCTGGCACCAACCGAGGCCTCGAAGCTGCAGCCGCCGCAGGGGACGATGATGGCGAAGAGGACGGCGACTGGGAGGACGATCCGAACGACTTCCTGGACTTAGGGACTGGCATGAGCAAATCTCAACTGATGGCACTTGGCGAAGATGGCGGAAGCTTCTCTCGCGGTCGTGACGACGAGACGCAGTCCTTCCTGGTCAACTTCTTTCAACAGCAAGGCCAGAAGCCGGAGTTTGCGGAGGTCTTCAACGCTCTGTCGCAGGAGGAGCAAGAGAAGCTGCGTGAGATGAGCCAGTCTTGAGCTACGAGCTCAGCGCCAACTCAAGGAGAAGATGAGAGGATGATGCTGCTTTTTCAAGTCGTTTCTTGCATAGCGCTGCATATTGCGTAATGTGCATTGTGGGAGTTTTGACTGTTTTTCCCTGAGAGCGTTTCCCATGGCCGTGCTATCCCTCCGCTCGTAGTAGATGAGATTGAGATACCCGGATGCAGTGGCCGTAGTGGTAGTCAGTAGATAGATACCTCAAAGCGAATCGTTTCACACACCATGTATTCTTCACAGCCGATGCCTTATTGTCTCCAATACTTGGAACGTTCTTGCCTCATGATTTCGTACCCTTCGGATTCGGATCCGGATCGATCCTTCGATATCGAGTCTTGGCGGACGCTTTGTCTTGACGTCGGCTCTTTGTTGGGGGTGGGGATTTCTTTGATATCGATACCTTTTTCATCTTGTCTCTCCAAAACAGCTGTTCTTTGCGCTTTGTTAGCTCTTCGCATCTCATATTCTCGTGCATTGAATTTTACCACAGTCTGGAGTACGTTCCTGGCCTCGAACACAGCAGTCTTTCCTCCTTGCAGGGGCCGTCAACATGCGATATCGAAACGTCGTGACCTTGGACCAATGCTGCGAGAGCTATGGAATCTGTTCTATCTACGTTCAGCAGATGATCATGTTGATGGTCTCTTTGCCAGCGCTCTGCGACGCTTCGCTCAAAGAGGAGCGCTATGGATCCATATAGCCCTTGGGCTAATGCTGCAAGACCAGTCTCACTCCAGCAAATGGCAATGCTCGCAGTCCCTTTGCTAGCGCACCGAGACACTGCCTTTCATGCAGCATCGTCGTTGTGGTCGATTCAGCATTGGGTTTGCTCCCTTCTAAACGAACTATGAGCTCGTCCCAGCAGCAAACGCTTCTATAGAGTATAGCTGCCGCAATACCCTGCAGTGGGTAGTGATAATGCTCCTCTCCTCTCATCATCACACTATACTTCTTGTTAACATTTCGATTATATCTCATTTCGACGCGTTCGAAAGCCCTCATTATCGTTTGAGCAGTTCTGATGCAATGCAGGCGTGGAGAGAGATGCGGCAGCGGACTGACGCTTTCATTCACTCACCAGGCTTGGCAGCAGGGCATGTTTGCTGCCGCCGCACTGCCACAGCGGGCCGGCATGCAGCGCTCGCCGCCGCCACACGCCCCACCGCCCCCATTCGGTCTTGTCTTCTTCGCCGGCGGCGTCAACTTCTTACAAACGGCGGACATCACACCAGCTCCGGGTTTCAACATACACGCGTCCAAACCACAGTCTACCAACAGTCGTAGACTACTCAGCATTCTACCTGCACCAGGGCGGCCTGAAAACTTTCGACCACTTACTCGGACCGTCGACCTCCCAACATGACTGATCAGAACGCGACCAGCGGAAGCCGCTGTGCCCGATACAAAGTCGGCACGGAGAGACTCGAGAGATGGCTCGTCACTACAACAAACAGCTGTACAGACGTCACGGCCCTCGTAGAGGTGCTCAGCGCAGGCAATGCCAACGAGCAAGTTATCGCTGGAACAGTCCCCCTGCGGTCTGATGAGTACGTGCCGGTAGCGGAAGCCATTGCCAAAGCCGTGGAAGACGAAGAGTACAACATTGTCGTTCCGGGCCATGTTCTTCGCAACCTCAGGACAGTCATTCGCCTGCGCAAAGAAGAACACCACATACACGCCGCGATATCGATGCGAGTGTACCAGGCCCTTTCAGACAACGATAAGAGCCACAAGCACTTCATCGAAGTTCTGGAAAGTGTGCAATTGATCTTGAAAGGCGCCTACGACCTCGCTACGACGCGGGCGGCCGACTTCTCGACCGTCGAGACCGATGCGCAAGTCGAGATCGACAATGATCAACAACAAGAACAAAATCAAAGAAGCCAAGCAGAGGCCATTCACGAGCGCTACTCTCCAACAGCATCGACTACACCAAAGAAGAACGCTTAATCCAAGTCCGGTCCAAGACGGGGTGGCACAGTCAACCGCGTGGATCTGTCAAGCGCATCTTTCAAGCCGAGCAACAAGGCCGCAGAGCCCGAGCATACTCTCTGGAGCCATCTACAGGAGCTTCACGACGTCAAAGTGTCGATACAAGAGACTCTGGAGCAATGGCGTCGCGGCGAAATCACCACCACCTTCGCGCTGAAGAGCACTGACGCCGCGTTCGAATTGGTGAAGTGCCATGATGATGTCTTCCGCATTCTTCATCCTAAGATCGATACTCACAGCAAACTTCTACAGTTGTTTGGCCTGCAGTTGAAGGATATCCCGGGAGTGCCTCTGGTCTACGTCGTCAACAAGATCAGCGCCGGCATCGACTCGAGTGAATCCCCCATTCCAGCCACCGTCCTCGAGCTTCTCTGCCCAACTGGTGCCATGGTCATTGATGTCTTCCAAGAAACTTTGTCGCGGTACAAAGCCAACAAAAGGGACTACGAGCAGAGAGCCTTGCGCGAGATCAAGCCTCCATCGGCTCGCGAGAAAGGCTGGCGTGAGTGCCATAGATTTGTGAAGTTGCTCCAAGACAACGTCGCCGCCCTCGAACACCACGCGTCAGACAGCTCGATCAGCAACAAGGACAGGTTTGTGGAAAGCCTTGTGACCGACCATGACCGATTGTGGCTCAGCTTCGCGGTTGAGCTTTACCTCGAGGTGGTCGACACTCTCGGACAAAGCACAAGTAACCTTTCGGAAATGCTCGAGAACCGGCTCAGAAGACTTTCCAATGAGTTAAGTAGGCATAAATCCTTGGTTGCGGAGAGCGGCGACAAGGAATTGGCTGAGAAATCAGCTGCTAATGTCGACTGCTGGGTGGCACACATCTCCCACGCCGTCCGCATCCTTCGAGTCAAAACCCCAGCGTTCAATGGTGGTGACTTTTCTTCTCCCCTGTATAAACAGCAGAGGCAAACGGTCAAAGCTCACGAGAATGGCCTGGTGCACGCTACAGCAAGCTTCCTCCCCGTTCAAGTGGGCGCAGCGGCGTACGACATGGATAGACGTACCATGGATGTGGCGTGTGTGAACGCAAATTCGGCTGCTCACTTCCACACCGTGAGCTACCTTTACAAGGTTGGCCTAAGAACTGGACTTGTCAAGATCATTTGCGAGGATCTTGAGATCCTCGCGTCTTCATACGCTCGAGATGGTCAAGGGATGCCAGCGTACGGACCACGGTACCCTCTCAGGAGTTTTGCAGCTGGTCTCAAGGCTGACTTGGGCATCAACTTGTACAACTTCTCCAATGCAAAGCCCGGCGAAACTTTCACATTCGATGTAAACGGAAAGGGAAGACCGTTTCTGGGCTCGGAAATGGCTCGAAGACTGATCGATCTGGAAGAGCGCAATCGGAATGACACCATCGACACTACGAGCGGCAAGAGGCTGCAGATCGTTCTTGACGGTCTTCTTGCTGAAAGAACGCAGCGCGATTCAGGCACACGAACATCAGAACGCCAGGAATATAGACCCGTAGAGCTTCTTGCAGAGTTCAAAGACCAGTTCGCCCGAGAAGAGACTTTCTTGGCCATGGACCTGAGGGCCTTCCTGAGCCAGTGTGATGGCTTTTTCAAATGCATGATGGACCAGATTGATCCCGCGTCGACTCAAAGCAGCGTATCAATCGCTCTTGATGTTATGGAGGCTATCGTGCAGTTTGCTGATGACCCTGTGCAATGGGATAACAACCGGTATGCGCCATTCAGCCCCATCATGGACTCGTACATCGAACAGGCCGGTGACAAGTACAGCAAGTTGGCACGCGACGCGATGGCTTCAGAACGCCTTCAAGGTCCAGGGCTGCACGATATCAGTGGGCATCTGCAGGCGCAGCGCAATCAGGACACCGCGAAGTTCAACCTCAGCGGAACGAGCATCTCCAGAGTCGGCACGTTGGTGGCTCTCTACCATCCAAGGGCCACGTTGGAAGATCTGGATAAAGCGAGACTGCACCCAGCGCCTCCTGGTTGCGTGAGTTTACCGGGCTACATGATGCAGCCTGAGGTGGACAGCAAAGAGCGCCAAGTCAAGGAGAGCCTGGAGCAGATGAGCATCCCTTTATGTATCAGGAGCATCGAAAACGTCCAGAGCGCAGAACGCACGCGAGGGAACCAAGACCTCGACGAACGCAGAGACTCGATGGAACCCAAGAAAGCCACGAGTAGCTGCAACGTGACTATGCGATGCAACGGCCCAGCCACCGCCGACAGTGCGCAGAGAGAGGACGCTGTGAAAGCGCAGAACGAAGACGGACATGGCGAGGAGGGCCCGAGCGGTGAGAAGCTCACTGCAAAGGCTAGGAAGAAGAGGAGGGACAGGGAAAACAGGAAGAAGAGGAGGGCGCTCACCGCGGAGGGAGTGGTGGTTTGGAAATCCTTCTGAGGAGCGAGCAGGGGACTCACGAAAGTTCAGAGAGGAAAGTTGCAGGTATCCAGGGGCCACCACGATTGTAGGAAGTCAGCAACGAGAACAAGAGGGCGCAGAGTAGAGATAGATGGGGACTGCAGTGGAGGGGCGAAGAAGGAATAGAGAGGAGACAGCAGGGAACAGGAGCAGTTCACAGTTGAGAAAACCGCTGGGGCTCTTCATAGCCAGCGTGCAGAAAGGTAGAAAGCTATTCTTCAGCCTTCTCCAAAAAGCCCTCCTGAGAAAGCCTCCTTCAAAGATCTCCCACATTCTCTTGAACGTCCTTCCATAGCACCTCCATACCAATCCTCAATTTCCTCTTATGACCTCCTCCTCTTATAATCCTCTCCTCTCTCTCCCAAAATCCAAAGTCTCAGAAAAGCCCCACCGAAAACCCCGTTCCGACTGCCCCAAACAGCCACTAGCACCGTCATCAACAGACCAATTCACCCCACCCCGTGGTCAAAAGCGTAAGTCCAAAGAAGGAAGACCACGGGATTCCACCCTCGCAGCCTCATTCGTCTCGGAATGCCAGCATGGACTGTTCAAAGAAATCCAGCGGGGAATTCACCTTGCCAGGTCGTCTCCTCTGTCTATTTGCGGACACTATTGGCGTGGCGGGCTTGAGAACGCCGACATTGAGACAAAGGTGGTTTGATAGCATCGCTGCCATGGACAGGAAAAGGTGACAATATACGATGTATGCGGTCGAGAAGAAAGCGGGAGACGATGGTATGGCACGATGAACGACATGTCAATACGACAGTGTACATATCTCAAAGTAGCGATAGATCCAATCCTAGCTCTTCCCCTTCCACCTTCAACCAGAACCCCTCATCCGACTGAACCACCCATCACCCTCGCTCGGTCCCGCAATCGACTTCCGCTCCCTGCTCCTCCCTCTCGCGTTTTCGTCCTGAGCCGTGCCCATGCTCCTCCTCGGTGGCATATTTGCAGGAACACGGGCACGTCCTTCTCGGGCCCACAGCTCTCCCGCGAGCGTTTGCTGGAGCTGTTGAGGCTCAGATACCTCGTTGAGCGGATCCAGTGAAGGTGGCACGTTCTCGTTTTGAAGGGCACGACCAGTGGGGGATATGGCGCTCGAACGCCTTCGCGAGCGAGGTCGTCGAAGCACAGATGCTTCATTCTCGGTTGTTGATGCAGCCGGCTGTTGTGGATCTTCCGTTTGTGGTTGTTCGACGGGATGCGAAGTGCTAAGGCGCGGCGAGTGGATCACATTGTCGGGAGACGAGATTGGAGTATGACTGGGCCGTTGGCTGCGACGTCGCGGAGGTGTGACCGAGTACAGATCCTCCTAGTCGTCATCTGCAACAGCACTCTCCTCGCCTCCCGTTTGGGCTGCAGTCGACTCATGTAAGTTTTGTTGCCGTGACTGTCGCTCGTTGGTCCTGTCAGAGACCGCCACACCGGGCTCGCACTCCTCTTCAATAGCCTGCTCTGTTGCGGCAGCGTCATATCTAGGCATTCGGAAGCCGAAGTGTTCATCGTTGCCTTGATTGTTGCAGGCCACCATGCCATCTTTCTTCAACATTTGGTACGTCCCGATGTAATGCTCATCCACTCGAGGGCGCTTCTGTTGCCGTTTGGTATCGATCGAGCCACGACGAAAAAGCTTGGCGATGCCGCTTACTGAGGGTCGGCGCTCAGATGGTTCACCCGCGTCTTCGCCCGGCTCAAAGAGCTTGGTTATTGAGTATAGCCTTCGCTTTGCAGCGGTGACAACCGTCTTAGCCTTCCTGCCGGTTTCAGGGCTATAACCACCATAAGTTCCTCTCCCTCGATCGGTACCGCTCGAATACCTCGGCAAATCCCCAAGAACCCGCCTTCTTCCATCGATGGCTTCCCTCTCGGCAAGATCGCCTTGCATGTCACGCCATGACCTCGCGAGGGGTGGGTCGTTGTCGGGGGGAGGCTCCTTGTGCTCCCATGAGCCAATGTGTCCTCTTGGATCATCCTCCGGGTTCCGGAATCTCCGCAAGAGGTTGAACTGTGGTTCGGCAAATCGAGACAGGTACCTTTCAAATACTCGCCTCCTCAAATCCCTCCCAGAATCCAGGACATTCGGGAAGTCGTCGTATGTGGTGACTGCTGCATCCGTGATCCGTCTACTTCGCCGTCGATTCTGGTTGAAAAGAGTAGGGAAGACAGGAGCGCAACCGCGGTACATGTGGATCTTTAGATGTTGATCCAAATTGCTGAGTGTCACAAGCAGCTGACAACGCTCATGTGCACTCAAAGGCAATTTCAGCGCGACAGGAATACCACGACGGGTACCTTCTTCTGGATCATCAACGTGTCGGGTAGGATGATCAAGATGGAACGGTTCAGGAGCACTTGCACGCCTTACATGCCTCCAGATCTCGCGAGTCGTGATGATGAACATCTCTTCCTTGTGCGTTTTGGTGACGGGGTTGTGGCTATGTCGGTATGGCAGGGGTGTACGACTCTGTCTTCGAGAAGGACCAGGACGCAGTCTCTCTGTCGTACCTGGAAGCTTGCCGGCGGACTTGGGTAGGAGTGCACGGTGGTTTGATTGAACACTCAAACCATTCTTCTCCAGTACGTCAGGTAAAAGAAGAGGCTGTCTTGTGGTCGACCTCCATGTTGCCCGGAAGGGGATATCATCGTTGTTGCTCCATCTGCGTCGGCCGATGGCAGGGAAGTCGTGGATTGGAGGGGGTGGTGGGAGGAAGCTCGAAAGCACATCTGAAGCCCGACGTCTTCCTGTCTGTCTACGCTCGGCATCAGTTGGTGGTCGAGGGCCGATTTCCGGAGCGCTCTGCTGCCGCAGAGCCTCAGTCAGATCAGCATAGGGGTGACCGAATGGCAGTTGGGCTATGCGCTCGGTATTGCGCTTGGCCTGTTGAGCTTGGCTATCGACCGCGTCGACTTGTAATTTCTGTCCACTTTGACGCTTGTCTCCGATATCCTTGGGGCCACAGATGTTCGATATGCTGAACTCCTGCCAGCTTGCTTTGCGGGCTGCCACCTGGATAGGATCCGCCCAGTCCACCTCATCGACCAGAGTACGCTCATCATCGTCAATCTTCCGAGGTTGGTAATTACCTTGTTCAAGTCGACGACTGATATCTCGGGCGATGGCTGTGGCCTGCCTTGATGCACGTCGTTGAGCAAAGCCTTGCAAGGTGGCCACTGCAGCTATTCGTGTTCTGAGCCGTGACTAGCGACTCTGAGGAGGCGAAGGTCGTCGCTGAGACGCTGGATTGACGATGTCTTCAATAGCTCTTCGGTCCTCCTCGTCTTCGTCGGACAATGTCTGGACTTGCGGTATTGGCTGTGACATGGCTATACTGTGGGAGCGTTTCGCCATTGCAGCAGCCGCCTCCTCTTCAGCTTTGCGCATCTCAGGATCAATCCAGATCGGCTTTGGCGGATTCATTCTCTTGGGTGGAGGAGGTGACTCGGGAGAGGTAGGTGACACTGGTGAGGGTAGATCTTTCGGCTCGCCTTTGGACTGATCACGCCAAAAAGCGGGAATGGCTTTGCGAGCGGCTGCCCAAAGGTATTGCCCCATTGACGTCGATTTGTCAGGCGACTCTATATTCCGCAAATGATGCAATCTTGTCTGCTTGCGTCGCAATCTCTAATTTGCGTTGTGGTTCTCATACCGCAAGCGAACTTGTGCTTTGTTGTGTAGTAGGGCGGTACGCTCGTCGGCCTCGGCTTCCGCGGCCTCATCGACTCCGTCTACCTGTCGAACATTTGCACTGCTGACTCTGCGGTTGACGTGGCCGCCGATGACTGCACCGAAATCTTCTTCAGCTTCAGCTCGTCGTCGTTCAGCATCAGCGGCAGCTGCTCGTTTCTTCTCCTGCCTTCGGCGCCAATAGAACGAGATGCCCATGCCGAGCAAGATGAATTGCAAAACACCAGTGACAATATACACTAGCCAAGTGCTCCATCCTTGCCATCCGACTCTCAGGCCCAAGGAGAGGGCAAAAACGAAAGCGCCAGGAGCTTGTATGCCCAATGTCATGATTGACAGGCTTTTCAGATCTTTAAGGACGTGGGTGTAGTATATCTGCGGGACGTATTGAATGGCGGCAAGCACGCCAGCGATTGTGCCCAAGACATCGGCCCAGAATTGGGTGTGGTCAGGGTATTTGAAGACCAGAATGATCGATACGACGGCGACGATAAAAAGTGAGACGAAGATCAAGGAGCCGACAATAACGGGATCACGGCGGTTGACGGGGTCGGACCTGGTGAGAGAGGCGGTTGAGGAGGACAGGTCTTCGACTTCGGGGCTGGCTTGTTGGAAGAAGATGAGGAAGAGCATGATACTGTACAAGGTTAGGAGTTGTAAGTCTGTGTGCTGCTGCATTGTCTTACATCAACATGAAGCACGTCCACTGCACTCCAATCTGTAAAACTCCCAGCAACGCAGCAAAACATTGACCCTCGCTGAGCTCGTTGCAGCACGCCATGTCTGCTCGTGAGGTGGGTATGGTGAGGATATTGCCGATTGCAGCGATGGAGCTGAGCCCACCCAGCAACACCCACCATGGCGAGAGACCCTCCGAGGTACGTCTTTTGATGATCTTGGCATGCTGTGGGAGGTAGGACACGAGGATGCCCACGACGAGTAGAGCTGCCAGTCCGGTGGTGAGGACGCCCGGCTCGGCGAGTGGCTGGCAGTGCTCCGAGAGACCAGGCTGTGGAGCGTGCATGGTGATGACGGTAGCGACGTGAGTGAATCTTGTCACATACTGTGGAGCGATGGATGTTATGTATGGGGAATTAGCGCGAGCATGTGATGGTGGAAGTGCAGGTGAAGGATGGGAGTGCAGCAGGTGCCTGACGTGTGACGCGTGAAGCTTCCCGAATAAGCTTCAACGGCTGTGGGGAAGGTGCGAGTCTCGGTCCGCAGTCCGACTGCCGATCGCCCAACCACGCGACGCTTGATGAGGGACTTCAAATTCGGAGGCTGGTATCGATCACGACGTTGTTGGTTTCACCGCAGATCCCAGTCCTTACTCAACCGCCGGACCATGGATACCTCAAGACTGCTGGAGTTGCCGGACGAGCTGCTTCTCATATGGCACGCTCACCGCACCGAGATCCTCCTCTCCACCGGGGTACTGCTGGCCATAGTGCGCTTGCTGGTGCATTGGAGGGGTCGGAAGGCTAAGATCGCATTGACTCCTCCTATTGGAACTCCCACCGATGAGAAGCCGCGGTTTGAGACTGAGATCACGCCTGAGAAGGCCGTAGTCCAAGATGTCTCAATCGGAGAGAGTCCACTGCAGAAGAGAAGAACCCCACGAAGAGTCAAGGGCACCAGGAACCTGAGAAAGAGCGAAGCCGAAATGCCTGTCGTAGAACGGATACAGCCATATGTCTTCTACTTCTCATTAGGTGGCTCAACGAGGGCACAAGCTGAGAAACTTACGGCCTCGTCTGTTGACGAGAACGAAGCGATGCTCCCACCCCACCTACTCGACTTGACCGAGATCGACTATGAGGACTACTTTATTTCGCCTCCGAAACAGCCCGCGTCAGGCACCGCCAGCTTCTACTCAATCCTCATACCATCCTACAACATTGACACTGAGCTGTCGAACTTCCTCTCCCATCTGGAAGAGACTCATCATGACTTTAGGATCGATACGGCACCCTTGTCAGGCCTGGCTGGCTACAGCGTTTTTGGGTTTGGAGATCAGCAAGAATGGCCGACAGAACAAGAGGGATACTGTACACAAGCAATCGAAGTCGACAGGTGGATGGCAAGATTGACTGGCCGCAAGAGAGCCTTCCCGCTCGGCATGGGTGATGTGAAAGGAGATGAATTGGAGCACAGACTGGAGGACTGGAGAAGAGGCGTACACAACATAATGGTTGACGTTAGCCAAGGCAAAGGACTTGGGGATGGGATCTCTGGAAGCGGCGACGCCGTGGAAAGTGACGATGAGGATGATGTGGATTACGATGATGGCGAGACTGTGATATCAAAGCCTCGGAAAGGCACAACAGGCGATCTCGAGGATCTCAAGGCACCCATTCCGGTGGATTTTACGACCACTTCCAAAACAACCTCTACGCCCAAGGAAATGGTACCGAAGACATCGCCAACCTACACAAATCTCACCAAGCAGGGCTATACCATCGTCGGCTCCCACTCAGGTGTCAAGATCTGCCGCTGGACCAAATCAGCCTTACGCGGCAGAGGGTCCTGCTACAAATTCTCCTTCTACGGCATCGCTTCGCATCTATGCATGGAAGCAACGCCGTCTTTGAGCTGCAGCAACAAGTGCGTCTTCTGCTGGCGGCACGGCACAAATCCGGTCGGCACCACCTGGCGATGGACAGTCGATCCACCCGACATGATCTTCCAAGGCATGAAACAGGGCCATTACCAGAAAATCAAGATTCTTCGTGGTGTACCTGGTGTCAGGAGCGAGCGATTCAGCGAGGCGATGAGGATTCGACATTGCGCTCTGAGCTTGGTCGGCGAGCCCATCTTCTACCCTCACATCAACGAGCTGCTCGCAATGCTGCATCGAGAGCACATCTCAAGCTTCTTGGTTTGCAACGCGCAGCATCCCGACCAGCTTGCAGCGCTTGGCCCTGTCACTCAACTCTACGTCTCTATCGATGCCTCGAATAAAGACTCTCTTCGTCGCATCGATCGTCCTCTACATCGCGATTTCTGGGAACGCTTCATCAGATGTATGAACATTCTGCGCGAAAAGCGCTTCACACACCGGACAGTCTTCCGCCTCACTCTGGTCAAGGGCTTTAACATTGAGGAGGAGGCTGCCGGCTACGCTGACCTTGTCGAACGAGCCCTGCCAGCTTTCGTCGAGGTCAAAGGCGTGACATACTGCGGTACGTCCACCGCGGCTGGTGCAGGGCTCTCGATGCAGAACGTGCCCTTCTACGAGGAAGTCAAGGCGTTCGTACTCGCTCTCGAAGCTGAGCTGAACCGCCGCGGTCTCGACTATGGCATTGGCGCTGAGCATGCACATTCCTGCTGCATCCTCCTCGCCGACCGAAACCGCTTCTACGTGAAAGGTGAAGACGGCATCAGCAGATGGCACACCATCATCGACTACCAAAAGTTCTTCCAATGTGTCGAATACGGCAAGCCGTTCAGCCCAGAAGACTACGTCGGCCGACCCACCCCTGAATGGGCCCTGTGGGGAAATGGAGGCTTCGATCCGCGCGATGAGAGGGTAGACCGCAAGGGAAAGCCGAAGAACGATGCTCCACCGAAGCCCAAGATCGTCCCAGCAGTAACAGACATCGATGAGATCACGCCTGTGGAAGCGGCGGCTGAGGTGGTCAAGGAGACACCCAAGGAGCCTGTCGGCACAGATCAACTTCTTGGCCGGCAGTATCAACGGACGTTGCAGATGCGGAAGCAGCTTATCGAGCGAAATAGAACGTCGAGAGTTGTGGAGATATGATGATGATGACGGACGTTTGGCTATATACCATTGATTTCGAGTACAAATGTTCTACCAACGAACGATCACTCTTCCCACACGTCAATCAGTCTCCTGTTACAACCGCCGTTCACACTTGAGTTCCTCTGGCCTGAGCGAATCAGCAACATTCCCACAAAGGGCCACCACATCCCCTCACCTGTCTTTCAAAGGAACGTCATACCCCAACTCGTCAACGTCGCAAACGTCCCTGGCATAGCTGGCGTGGCGCCCCCATAGACGGCGGATTGGTAAGCTGCCGCCAGGGAAGCTGTCCCATCGTCAACAGATTCGCCTGGCACGAGCAGTGGTCTTTGTGGTTGAGGGGCTTACCAGGCAGAACACCCGTGCTGCTGAACCCGACGTAGGGCAGGAGGGGGGCGATGAAGGCTGCGAGGGGCATGTTTTGTCGGTGTTTTGATGGAGGTGGGTGGTTTGGAGATTTGGTGTGTTCGAGGTGAGGTTGGAAGTTGAAAGTTGGAAGTTGGAAGTGCTTGGCTGTTTTGAGGGAGAGAGGACCAACGGAGGGGCTTTTATCTCTTCTTATGGCTGGGTATTATCGTCATCGTGTCTTTCGATTGAGTGGGAGGATGATCTCATCTTTTTGGGCATCAGGTTGTTGGCAATCGACTTCGTTATACTGATCTGGCGATATGCGGTTGGAGCATGCTGTTCAATGGAAGCGATACACTTCGACAAGAACTGGAGCTGACTTATCGCCAACAAGTTCTTCAAACGTTGAAAGTGTCCCCGATCATTATCGGTCGATCTTCCTAGAGATTCAGCAGATACAGACAGCTGTTATGCCAAATCCGATAGCCTAGTCGCCCCTGCGTCAGGCTGCAAGTACCCGTCAGGCACCCCCTGTCAATTTCTGGTGGCTTAGTTCAGTCTTCGCACGCTGATCTGAAGTGGTCCTACTGACACTATAGCGAGGGCATATTGCAGGGATCCATGGTGCAGACACAAGGCTAAATTGCCGTACGGCGAATTGGCGCTGAAGCGTGGTTCTTGCCAACGCAGCTGCGAAAGTCAATCTGCTAGGACATGCAGCCTTGCTTCATAGGAGCTGCAGAAGGCCGTGAAGCTACCCTTGCGATGTTCTTTGAGCTTGCTCAATTTTGTTTACATCGTCCACCGCCCGACAAGACGATCTCAGCGACCTTGACTTCAACCACGACATCATCGCCATGGAGCACGGCCAGATCCTCCGCAGGTAATGTCATCATTGACGAAAGTAGTTGGGCACCAAGACTGACATCAGAAAAGCCTACGGGAGACTGGCGAATACTCCGACCTGACTGTTGTTTGCGGCTCCAAGACGTTCAAGGTCCACAGGTGTATCGTTTGTCTGAGGTCGAAGTGGTTTGAAGCTGCCTGTCACGAGGGACGTTGGAAGGTGTGCAATCCTAATTGGCAACTCTGGTCAATAGCCGTATTCAAGTTAGTCTGGCTGACGGTGTCGTTGCAGGAAGGCGAAGAGGGAGTCATCGAACTCAAGGCTGTGGACAGTTATGGCGAAGATGAAGACTTCAGCTGTGACGATCCCGACGCGGTGTCGTCCATGGTTGACTTTATCTATCTGGGCGATTATGGACTAAGCCCGAGTGCTGCTGTTGCAGCGACAAGCTCTACTCCGGCAGCCCAGCAAACCAATATCTTCGCAGCACCCGATGACGAGGAAATCGCGCCGGTCGAAGCTCCTCCAGTGGACTGGAGCTCGGTTGCACCTCCCAAGCGAAACAAGAAGAAGCGACATGTAGACTCATTTGGTTGGGGAGTGCCCCAGCAGGGTTTCTGCACTGAGCACGATCCAGAGATTGGCTCTCCCACACGCATACCGCAATCCAAGGGAAGCCTCACCATGCACGCCCGACTCTACGCCCTTGCGGTCAAGTACAACCTATCAGATCTCAAGAAGGTCGCCATTGAGAAGATGAAGCTCGCAGTGCGAGGTACTTGGGACAGGGAGGATTTTGCCAAGGCCATTGCAGTTGCTTTCGGTGCGACTCCAGATGGGGACAGAGGTATGCGAGACATTATTATCCAGACGATCTTGTCTTGCTCCGCCAACCTCGTCAGCGATCCAGTTGTGGAGAAGGCCATCAATGCTGTTGATGGTCTGCCGTTTGAGCTGTTCAAGCTGCAGAGCACGAGTGCGAAGCGGAAGGGATATTGAGTCTGAGTCGTGATTCTTTCCAAGGACTGCGAGATGGAAGACCGGACGTTGGGAGAGCTGTGTAACCTCACCGTGGTCGTAATGCATCATGCGTGAGCGCAAATGGGGTTCTCAGTTCAGGCAATAATTCACTGGAGTGCTGTGGAGGTTGAGACGATGAGAAAGCGAGGGGAGCATCTGCAAGCTGACGCAAAAGAAGACAAGTGGGTTGCTTGTGGTATTGTCCTGAGCTCTGCTTCGCAAGAAGGTGAAGCAAAGCCGGTCGGCATATGTTGGGTCTTAGCCGCAAAACTGAATGCATGTGATCCTTTCACTTTCACATGTCGCCAAGATTTCGTGCCTTCCTCGTCTAGCTAGCGTAAACTCTAGCGTCGCACCTGCCAACTTCAAGCCGTGACTTCACTTCCCCGCCTCATCCACTGCAACAATAAACAACACAGACCACAGAAATTGCACTTACCAATAACATACCGCTACACCATGGCGACCGCCAAAGACAAAGTCTTCGCGACACCCGAGCTCCTGGAAGCCATCCTTCTCGAGGTCGACGACATGCAGACGCTACTACTCAGCCAGCGAGTTGACAAGACCTTCAAAGCCGCGATCGACAGCTCAATCCATTTCCAGAGAGCTCTGTGGTTCAAACCAATGCCGTCAACTGCATCGCTACCCCGCGACAAGGTCCTTCGCAACTCCCTCATCGGCAAATTCAGACGACGGCTAGGCATCGAGCGAATGGTACAAGGCTCATTCCAAAGGCTCCACGATGATGGTTCGGAGTCGGAGGTAGACTTTGAGTGGAAAAGCACCAAAATCATCACACTCTCCGTGATCAAGCGCCGAAAAGGTAGCTGGCGCAAGATGCTCCCTTTCCAACCCGGACTGGCCACGGAGACGTGGCTGGTTGGCACTCCGTTCGGGCATTTAAGATATATGCCTGAGAAATGGGACGACGACACTGTTCATTATTGGAAAATTGATTTCCATCCTCCAATCGCTGGTGTCATCGGCTTGTGCGGCCGGTACATGAATTTGGGTGAGCCGAGCCAAGCGCTGACCATGGGCGAGGTTTTTGACCCAGCCGATGCACGGGCTACGTCGCTGAAACGTGCATGCATGAAGTCTCTATGTGATGAGCTTCGGGGCAAGTATGGGCAGATTTCGGCAAGCGTTGAGCGATGGTGGATGAGCGAAAGGGAAGAGGAGCAAGGCGTTGTCAATTGGCCACCCGGATGGGACAAGGAAGCAGCGTGGGTCCTCGATTGAGAGCACGTTGCTTCATGGAACGCACCTTCGTCTTACTCAGGATGGGCATCCACCATGCTTAAGAACATCACAAGCTGTTCCAAGGAGGGTGTCAGTGGCGGAAGTCAAATGGAGCATACAAGACGTCTCTCAAGATCAACCATACACTAAACGACACTCCCTCAACACTCTCAGCGCAGCCCCATTCACCCTCACATCCCCAAACCTCATCACACCAACTCCTCAGCACACGACACAGCGACCCCCCTCTACCCTTGAGCTCCAAACATACCAACACCATGGTATTCAATAGAACAATTGAAACCTCCTATATCCTCGCCTACGATCCACGCTCGACAAGAGGAGCGGTAACGGTTATCACAAGCTCTCTGGCTAGAGGAGGTCTATCAAGAAGGTAGACGGAGGAGTATCGAGTTGGACAAGCCTAGAATGCAAGTCGTTGGGTAGTATCATGAACGATGTATCTCCTAAAATCGTAAATCCAGCTTTCAGAACAAGATCTCCTACTCGATCCTTCCTGAACATCATCATCGTGCCACAGGGCGACCGCGATACAAAGGCTGAGACTTCTGATATACTGATTCTTGCTGTTACAACATCTCCTCTCCTCTCTATGTACATCCCATCCCCACAACAACCACCCCCTTTCCCTGGTCACCCCCTTCCCCCAAACACCATCGCTCCCCAGCACAAACACAACCCCCTCCCCTCCCCTCCTCTCTCCCGTCCCTAACAACTCCAACCCCCCACAACCCCATCCCTCCGCCCCTCAATCAAATACCCATCCCGTATCCTCACCCTCTCCACAACCGACGGCCTCGCCCCATCCTCCTCAGCAGTGACACCAGCTCCACAATCCCACTGCCGCCCATCAGTCTTATCGTACACTTTCACGACGTCCTCCCCGGCCGCGGCGACGATCCGGCGGGCGTCGAATTGCATCGAGGTGATGGGTTGGTCGTAGGCGAAGGCGTCGTGGATGTTGCCGGTTCGGAGGTCCCAGATCTGTGATCGAGATGTTAGTTTGGGGTATCTTGTTTTGAGGGACAGGGAGGATGATGCTTACCCGTATACTCCGATCTTGACTCCCCGTCACGAGGTATACATCGTCGAATTGTAGGGCGGTGACAGGACCTGTATGGCCCACCAGACTGCGATGCACCATTCCTGACCGCAGATCCCATAGGCGGACCATACCATCTGCTGTTCCGCAGGCCAGAGCCGTTTCGAAAACTTGCAGCGCACCGACGAAGTCCGCTTCTGCGCTTTGTAATCTCCCACCTGTCGGCCTCCACCAGCCGCCTGTCTCTGCTGTCGCAGCATTGCTGGGTGGGTTGAGAGTTGCGGCTTGAGCGGCTGCCCAGAGCACGTCTAGGGTCTGCACGCATCGTCCCTTTTCTAGATCCCATTGTCGTAGTGTCTTGTCTGCCGAGCCAGAGACGAGTGTGCTTCCGCGGAAATTGAGGGCAGTCACTTCTGCTACATGTGCTGAGAGCGTGAACATATGGCAATCAGCCATGGCATCCGTGTGGTACTCCTGTTGAAGCGGTGCTTGCTCAGCTTCTGAGGACGCAGGCGTAAATAGCTCCTCCCCAGTCGCCGAGCCTTCAGCTTCTTCCGGTATTGTCGGTTTCACGTTGATGCTCGTTCCAGCAGCCTGAGGGTTATAGTCCGCCTGGCTGAGGTCCCATAATCGTATGCTGGCATCCATGGATCCGGTCGCGACAATGTTCTCTTCAACCTGCAAGCATCGCACACTCGAAAGATGACCCTCCAACAGACCCATACATCGCCCTGCATTCAAGTCCCATACTCGTACAGTGTCGTCCAAAGCAGCCGTAACCATCGTTCCGAAAGGCGCATCAAAATCCAGAGCCGTAATGATATCGTTATGTGCCTCAAATTCTCGTATCCGACTCCCCGGCTCCATGTGCTCATGCAACACTGGCATGGATATCCTCCTTGGTACTTTCTTCCTCTTTGCCTTAGGCGACTCCTTTGCTTTGGGAAGTTTCCCATATACACTCTCTGACATGAACCCGGGCTCCTCCTCACGGTCTTCCGCCTTATGTTGCTCCTCCTTCTCCGCCGCGACTTTCGGATCCGTCCTCGCAGCCAGCGCCTGCTCATCAGCCCACTCCTCCTGCATGGTCTCTAACCTCTCCGACAAGTCCAGGACTTCCTGCTCCAACTCCCTCTCCTCATCCTCCAATCCCGCTAATCGATCCAGAATGACCTTGCGCATGGTGTTCAGATTCGAGATCTTGTTGTCAATCTCCTTGATCTCGCTCGAACACATCGTCTTCCTCACGCCCATCATTTCCAGTCGATGTTCCAGCTTGTCCTTCTCCCGCTTCAATTTACTTAGCTTTGGCGGTCCATCCTCTTCAGGCCCTTCCAACAGCTTCCCACTCTTACTCCCTATCTTTGAATGCCTCTTCTTCCTCCTCACCTCCTTCTCGTCCACCTCATCTTCCGGTAAAGTCGCCTTGAATCCCTCAAACAAGCTGAACGGACTACTACTCTGCGGCGCGCTCTTGATCAGGTCATCCGGCAAGTACGTCAACGCGCGGTGTTCGATCTCTGAGGTGTTGAAGTTGCTACGGATGAGTTCGCGGGGGTTCGCTTTGGCGAAAGAGAAGACCGATCGTTGGATCGCGGGTCGTTGCGAGAAGCGGCGGACTGAGGAGAGGGCATTTCGGTAGGGGTCGGGGGAGTTGGGTGAGGAGTCGCTGGATGGGAAGTTTGTGTTGATGAGGTGCGAGGCTGTGGCGTGGACGGTGCGGCCGAAGGCTTCGAGTTGGCGGGACTTCAAGTATCCATGTTAGCGATGTCGAACTACTTGATTTAAGATATGTCTCACATTCAGTATGGAATCGTCCTCAGACAGCTGGTGGTGGTGATGTCCTCGATTTGGGCGTTGCGGCGAGGTACTGCGGCCTCGTCTGTCCGCCATGATGAATGATGTGGTCTTGTTATGATCGTCGCATTGTCATCAATCAATAATTGATTGACTAGTCGTAGGCGCAGCCGAAAGGGTGTGTCGTGGTCAGTTGATAGTCTGTTTCTCGTTGCCCCAGTCCCAAGCTTCGAAGCATACAGGAAAGATATATTCAGGCCTCCGTAGCCAGACCGTCACACACCAAGCATCCCACCTCCGCCGATCTCGCATAAACAGATCGGCAATCGCACACAGATCTCACACAGTCACTCTCTGTACCACGACAACACAGTCCTTACCGCAACAGAACCACCAACAATGGACCTCGCCATCGACCTCTCCAACCCCAAGAACGCCCTCTCCCTCCCCCACATCCGCTACCAACTCATCCGCCTCGAAGACACCGTCCTCTACAACCTGATCGAACGCGCCCAATTCCCCCTCAACAGCACCATCTACAAGCCCGGCGCCGTCAAAATCCCCGGCAGCGAACTGAGTTTCAGCGACTGGGTCTTGCGGGAACAGGAAAAGTTGCAGAGCAGGATACGGCGGTATCAGAGTCCGGATGAGTATCCTTTCTTTCCGGATGCGATGGAGGAGTTGATCCTGCCGCCGTTGGAGTATCCCAAGATTCTGTGGGAGAATGATGTGAATGTGAATGGACGGTTGAAGGAGGCGTATGTGGAGAGTGTGTTGCCGTCGATTTGTGCGGTGAGGGAGAGGGAGGAGCGGCCGGCGGAGGCGCAGGAGAATTATGGGAGTGCGGCGACGGCGGATGTGACTTGCTTGCAGTCTCTGTCGCGAAGAGTGCATTTTGGCAAATTCGTCGCCGAGTCGAAGTTTCAGCAAGATCCGGAGAAATTCGTCAAGTTGATCAAAGCGGGGGATACGAAGGGGATTGATGAGGCGATCACGGATATGAAGGTTGAACAGAAAGTTCTGGAGAGATTGAGGCGGAAGGCGGAGATGTATGGGACGGATCCGAATATGGATGCTGAGGCACCCAAGAAGATTGCGGTTGATGCGGTGGTGGCGACATATAAGGATCATGTTATCCCTTTGACGAAGGTGGTCGAGGTGGATTATTTGATGCAGAGGCTAAAGGGGAGCGAGTGGGAATGATATGAATCGACAGTGTACAGACTGCCTGTGCAGTGTCAGGACGATCTACCAATGATACCCTGTTCCCCAACATCAACACCAGCCAGAGCAAGCGGAGATTGCTGCTGGTCAAAACAAAACGTAAGAAAAGCACACCCCATTCACATCTCCCACATCAAATCGACAAGCTCACTGCGTCTTCTTGCCAACGACCCCCTCCAACCACTCCCTCTTCCAAACCAAAAAAACCCACCTCATCCCCAGCAAAACCCAAAGATTCCCCACAAAGAACACCAAAAACCCATCCTTCAACCCACTACCCCCAGCAAAATACTGCCACCCAAGCAACGCACTCAAAACAACCTCCCCGGCCCCCATAGTAATATAGGTCGCGCGCGCCGGAAGCCCGCCTGGGCATCATTGGGGCTCTTGGGTTCGGACCAGGAGAGGATTAAAGGTACTGTGACGAAGGCTACCACGCCGCCAAACCATTGGGTTAAGGAGCGGGTGGCGGGGGTGATTTGGGCTGGGTTGGCGACGAGGAGGGAGAGAGCGGAGTCCGGGTTTAGGAGGAGAGAAGGGAGGGAGACGACGTTGGCGAAGATTTCGAAGGCGAGGGCGGATTTGAAGGGGGTTAGGCCGAGGGAGGACATTTTGGTTTGTTCTTCTTGTTAAGCCGCTGTTGGAAAGCTTCGTTTTTGATAGCCCGAGTCCAGGGTAGTGTAGAGCTCCTCCAAGACGATGGACAGCTAGATAGAGATGCTGATGACAGTTGAGATGAGAGAAATACTTGCGGCTCATATATACTTTATGTTCCCCTCACTCATTGAAACAAATCCGAACCAGCTCGGAAACATCTCGAGCTTGCTGATGCTTGCACTCAAGGGGACTGGTATCCCGATCAAGGAAAGAGTCTACAAGCCTGTCAGCATATGGTCGGTACCGGATCGAAGCGAGAGTCTTGGTGAAGGATTACGATCAGGATCACGATCAGGATCAGGTGAAGTCTTGAGCTCTCCGCCCGCAACGTCACACTACGGGGCTTCCGTGATTCAAACTTGGGCATGTGCCTGCATCCAACCACAGTCTCCTGATTATCTCGAGGCTATGATATGGACAGCAATCCTATAGCGACTGGTCGGGTAGTCGGTGCAAGAACGATGAGGGAAACTCGCAGGACGCATAGCCGGTAGCAAGGAGGAGTCATCAATCGAATGGTCCGCAGCAGTGCCCCGTCAAACCGACAACGACACCCGTCCAGCACCGCAAAGCACAGCAAAGCAAAGCAGAGCAGGCATCCACCCTCGACTCGCCGTTTCATCACACACTACTGCGCTGACGCCCAAAGCCCCGGGGCACTCTCCCTATCACATCCCACTGCGCCCATTCCAACCTGATGCCACTAATAGCAAAAACAAGACATGACCACCACCTCCTCCGCCGCCAACCAGTACGTCCGCCAGGTCCTGCACCAACCACCGGACCCACCTCCGCCCATCCATGCTCGCTTCTTCTATACCTCGCCCATCCCCATCGATGACCCGCTGTCGCCGCTGCCACCGCCTAGCGGGGGTGAGAGTACCTGGGTGAAGCAGCCGCCGAAGCCGTTCTCCGAGCATGATAATGAGGCGTTGAATCGGGCGTGGTTGGAGTTGAGGAGGAAGATTTTGAAGTTCAATGAGGAGAGGGGGGAGAAGGAGGCGAGTAGGGAGGGGAGTCGGGCGAGAGGGAGGGCGAGCTCGTCGTTGGTGAGAGGGGAGAGGAGAGGGTCTGGGTCGAAGGGGGCTGCTGCTAAGACGAAGGCTGCGAAGCATGCTGCTTCGGGATTGAGCCAGGTGGATGTTCCACCTGGGGAGGAAGAGGCGGTTGTTGTGGATGCTCCTGAGAGTACGACTGAGCTGGGGACTGGTAATGATACCACAGGCAGGCCTTTCACCAGGCTTCCCTCACACAGGAAGAGGGATAGTGGTTCGTTCAGCCAACCAAGCAGGCCTGCGATGAAGACGCATGATACGTATGAATGGGAGGATTCATCACACCTTGCTGAACGAAGCCCTGCGCCTGAGAAGAGGAAGCAAGTGGAGAAGAGCCCAACGGACAAGGTCGCGGTTGGAGTGTCACGGCTACACCAGGTGGAGATGCCAGATTTGCTCATGACACCTATATACTGGGCGCCTGTCCACGACACTGCTCAGGTGGTGAGAGGAACGTGGTTCTACAAGGATACGATGCTGCCTGTGGAAACACCGGTGGCTAATATGCTTGAAGCTGGATACTTGGACCTCCAATGTTGGACTCAGACATGGCAAGATGAGCTTAACAGTGCGATGGAGGTTGGCGCGCTGGGAGAGATGAAAATCGTGCACAAGCTCTGGCCGGACAAGATTCCAAGATCGATTACCACACCACCTGGCAGTAGGAGAGGGCAGCGGCCAAGAGATGACAATCTTCTGAGAGCGGCGACTACCACCTCTATGCTTGAAGGCGAGCCAGAGACCGTCGAGCAGCAAAGAGTCAAATCTGTCGAAGCAGCATGCGACATTATCGATATATCAACGGGCGCTGGTGGACCGGACAACAAGGCGTATGGCGAGTCGACATATGGTCGAGCTGGGGCTGTACGGACGTATGGCACTTGCGGCGTGATTTACGCGAATGACAGAGAAGCGAAGATCTTGAAGCCCACCCTACTACCCTCGGCATACTATGGTCGACGGCCCCTTGCAAACTACATCCGGAAGGGACATGAGATTGGGATACCGGTAGTTCGAGGGTTCAAGCAGTCGATATGGGACAAACTCCATCCTCCCAAACACGATCCCAGGAAGGCGAAAGCTGCACACGGTGTTGCGAGTGCCGGACCCGATGCAAATCGGAGACGAAAGGCCGACCCTGATCTCGCGCAGAGTGATCGACCTCAGGTGACGGATCTCATCTTTGTGATCCATGGCATCGGCCAAAAGCTCAGTCAGCGAATGGAGAGCTTCCACTTCACCCACGCTATCAACGCCTTCAGACGAGAGATCATGGTTGAGCGTGGCAATAAGGAGGTGAAAGCTGGTCTTCGGCGAGGGATGGGTGGGATCATGGTCTTGCCCATCAACTGGAGACATTCGCTTTCGTTCGAAGAAGGCGGCTATCGACCTGACGATCCATCTTCTGTCAATGATCCTTCAGTCAACGAGTTCACATTGGACGACATCACGCCTGATACCCTCCCCTCCGTCAGAGGCATCGTCAGCGATGTCATGTTGGACATTCCATACTACATGTCCCACCACCAGCCCAAGATGATCGCAGCTGTGATCCGAGAAGCCAACCGAGTCTATAAACTCTGGTGCCAAAACAACCCCGGCTTCGCAAAACACGGCAAAGTCCACATCATCGCGCACTCCCTCGGCAGCGTCATGTCCATCGACATCCTCTCCAACCAACCCACCGTCGTCCCACCCCACCTCTCGGACCCAACCCAAATCGACATCTCCGACCCCTCCATCACCCACTTCCTCTTCAACACCCACAACCTCTTCCTCGCGGGCTCGCCCGCCGGCTTCTTCGTCCTCCTGCGCAAATCCCAACTCCGCCCCCGCATCGACCACCCCTCCGCGCAAGCCCTCGCGGACCCCGAATCCAACATCTCCGCCATCTGCGGCGAGCGCGGCCAGTACGGCTGCATCTCCGTCGACAACGTCTACAACATCGTCAACGGCTACGACCCCGTCGCCTATCGGATGAACGCCGCCGTCGACGCCTTCTACGCCGCCTCCCTCCGCAAGGCCTTCATCCCCTCCTCCGTCCCCTCGTTCTGGATCGCCGCCGACGCTTCCCGCTCCACGCGCTGGTTTGGCGGGACGTCGTACTCTACCTCCTCCAATCATCCATCGAATCATCTGACGCTTCCGAGACTGCCTTCGAACGTCGAACTCGAAACTCACAATTTCACCCGCGAGGAAGTCGCGGAGAAACGCATGCTGCTGCTCAATGACAACGGCCAGATCGATTACTTTGTCAAGTATGGAGGCGGGACGTTTGAGATTCAGTATTTGACCATGCTGGGCGCGCATAGTGCTTATTGGGGTTTGAGGGATTTTATTCGTATGGTGGTTGTGGAGGTGGGGAGGGAGGGTGGGAGGGAGGGGACGTTTAAGGGGTTGAGGGGTGTGAAGAGGAGGGTTGGTGGTGGGGGGAGGTGATGGTGCATAGGTGGCGTTCGTGAAGCTGAGAGGGAGGAGATGGTCTTGGAGAAGGTGTGGGATATAGAGGACCACGATACCCTACTTTACTATTACTTTCGGCAAGAAACCCCATTCAAAACATCAACCTATACCACGCAACAATCTCCCTCTACTCCTACGACTCCCTCTCCCCCCCACTCATAACCCCCCTCCCAAACCACTCCCCCAAAACTCCAAACCGCTCCCTCTCACTCTCCCTCAAACTCTCCAAAAACACCCCATGCTTCCCGGCCGACTCCACCTGCGCCTCCCTCATCCGCCTGACCAAAAGATTCTGCCCGCTACAAATCGGACACTCAACGCCCAGCTCCGGATCCTGCACGTCCGTCGCCTCCTCCGGCAGGTTCAGACACCGCTGGTGGTACGAGTGTTTGCAGAGGAAATGCACGGTGGGCAAGTCGAGGGATTGGCTGCACTGCGAGCAGCGCGTGGCGGAGAAGGAGGTGGGTTGCGAGGCGAGGGTGGTGAGTTCGGAGGTTTTCTGGGCCGTGTCGGCGCGGTAGGAGGCGATGAGGCGGCGGTTGGAGGTGATTTCCTCGCGTTCGCGCGCGACGGTCGTGGTGAGGTATTTTTTCACGAGGCCCATGGTGGCGACGGCGTTGGTGGAGAGGGTTTGGATGACCTGGAGCGGGGCCATGAGGCCGTCTTGGTCGATTTTTTTGAGGACCGATTCGACTTCGCTGCCGGCTTCGGAGAGGATTTGGGGCGAGGAGGTGAAGTAGGCGAGGGCGGCGGGGTAGAGTTGGGGTTCTTCGGGGCCGTATTTTCGCAGGGCTTTGATGGCGCCGGCGGTGTCGTGGGCGGCGGTGTAGGAGCGGAAGACGTCGAAGCGGAGGCCTTGCTTTTCGCTGACGAGGATGGTGCCGTCGCGGAACTTTTCGAGGTCGGACAGGAGGAGGATGTTGGAGGTGGAGATGGAGGAGGTGTCTTGTTGCTCGATGAGCTTTTTGGCGTTGCTTTCCCAGTGGGACTTTTCGTCGCCAGAGCTTGTGGAGGCTCTGTGGAGGTACATTTCGAAGAGGGTCGTTTGAAGGTCTTCTTTATTTTCGGGCTTGACGCCATTGCTGCTAGTGCAGGCTTCAAGGAAGGTGATAAATGAATCCGGGTGGTCGACGAAGGCTGAGAAGGCGGTACGAGGTTTAGGCACACTGTACTCAATGTATTCGCCTTCGGTCATTGTCTCCACGACCTGCGCTTGCGTGACTGTGCTCTGGTTCTCGCCTTTCGATGAAGGAGGCTGAAATGAGCTGGTGCTCATGTATGGCAGAGGGATCAGTGCTGCCAAATTCTGTGCCGCTGAAGTCGCCATGGTCCCGAAGCCTCCGCTTTGTTGCTGCTGTGAGACTGGGGTCTCCTGCACAATGACTGCATCTTTCTTCGCTTTGAAGTTGCCAGTGAAGTAGTCAATGAAAAGCTGAGTCGCTTCAGCTGGGCAGTGTTCAAGCAGAACTGTGCCATACTTCATAAAAGTTGGGCACGCCTCCTTAGGCTCCAGACGAACAATGTAAGCCAGAGCTTCTGCGTACTTCTTGAGGTCTTCGATCAGAATGTCTACGACCAGGCCGTGTTCGTCGTGTCGACGGGCGAGGAAAGCTGCTTGATCATAGTATCCACCCTGTCTACACATCACAATTGCAGTGTCGAGATCAAACTTGAGCTCGCCAGGCTGCTTGATGAACTCCTCGAGTTTCTCTACATCCTTCAGCTTGGCGTAGCAGTTGAGCAATAATGTTGTATGATCAGATGTGGCTTTGTGATGTTCATGTAGCTCTTCGAGGTAATCGATCAGGTTTTGGATCCGCTGGTTGTCCAGAAACTTTCGAATGATCTGTGAGGGTTCAGTATTGTCGATAGCTTCAAGGTACTGCTGCATCGCCGTGTCGTAGTCCCCTCGTTGATACAGGTAATCGCCAAACTTGCGGAAGATGACATTTTGTTGGGCTTGATCCACTTTGTACTTGCGAGACAAGCTGATAGCCAAAAGGTAGAGACTTTGCTGATAGAGTATCTCGAGCTTCTGCTGAAACGTTTTCTCGTGGTATCGGTAGAGCTTGCCTTCGATGGTGAGGAGGAAGATGTCGTCCCAGATTGAGAAGACTTTGTTGATCTGGCTGGACACTGACTCGGATAGTGCGATGAACTTCATGTCCGTGTCGAGTATGGTGAATGTGCTCGCGTTGAATATCTCGTCAGCTCGGGTTCCAGCGAAGGCGCGCAAATGGGTAGCACGGCCGATGTTGTTGGCAGGCGGCGAGACAATCAGCACATAATCCTTTTGCACATCCACAAGTTTCTTGGCACCTTCATACGCATATGAAGCTGGTGGGCCGCGCGGGGCGTAAGAGTAGATGGCATCGTCACGAGCGACCACGATGTCATTCGACTTGGGGTCCAGGGTCATGCAGCCGACAGCACAGCCTCTCTCGTCCAAAGTCCGAGCAGGAGTTCCTTGGGCTTTGCCGGTGATAGCAAGTGCCAAGATTTTCGATGTAGTGGCAATATATAGGGCTGTGGTGTTGGCCTCGCGGAATTCCAGTCCAGTTATCGGCTCTTTATCTTCAGATTCGAAAACTGTGCGCTGCCTCGTTCCCCGATCGTGGATTAGATCGCCTCTGACGACGGTGACAGCCCCATTGGCGAAACCGACTGCCAGCTGTGTGAGATCGCTAGTCACGGAAAAGGCGGATACTGGGTGTTTCTGCCTGCCGTTTTGAATGGTCAAGGAACACAGACACCGCGGATTGCCCGTCTTCTTGTCATTAAGATCCAGAGTCCAGACTTTCAGCTCCGGTTCCTGGGACAAAGTCTCGGCGAGAGTTAGTAGATATGCGGTATCCGGCACCTGCTGAACATGGGTGACGCTTCCAGCATTGTGGGCCTTCCACGAGCGGCTGGGCTTGAAGGTGTGGTCGAGAAGGTGGACCAGGCCGTCTGGTGTGCCGACGAAGATGTTGTTCGCTCCCGAGATTAGACAGCTGATGTTCGATTGCTGTGCTCGTTAGTGTTTAGATATCCTTATTCGTATGTCTGATGCCTACGTCGAGCGAGATTGCGCCTTCGCCATCTGGAAGGCGGACTTGGGAGACATCGAAGAAGCGGAAGGCTTTCCACTGTAAAAGTCAGCTCGGTTCATATATGTATCTTGATATCACTAACCGATGTCAACGCCATACTATCGAGCCATGTCAAGACAGAATCCCAGCATCCACAGCGGCGAACAGGTGAAGTGAAGCTTGGTGGCTGGTAAATGTGGCGTCACGTGGCGGTGCAGTCCCGATCTCGTCGACCTCACGCGCTCGTGCTTCCAACCTCGAAACAATCACATTCCACCACCAACACCTTCTACAACTCAGCAAAGATGGAAGAAGATGAGGATGACTTCTACGGCGAAGCTGGCGGTGTCAAGCAAGAGCAAGCAGAGGATGGCGACGACAAAGAGGAGAAGATGGACGTGAGCGACGACGAGGAAGAAGAAGACAGCGATGATGTATGGATCACAACCAAGGCGCATATACTGGGATCAGTAGATGCTGATGGCAATGTCAATAGGATGTCCAATTCACACTCGAGAAGCCTGAAGGCGCAAAATCAGAACCACCGTAGGTCCAGCTTTCTGTCGCATTGCTCTCAAGTTCATCTCTAACTGGTATGAGTAGGGCAAAACAACAAAAGACCCACCACGACCGCACAACATCCGAATCAAGACCCCCGAAGAGCAGCACACCCATAAAACAAGAAACCGCCAAAGAGCCTACACGAGCAGGCTCGACAGCACCACCCACAGCCCTCAAAGGCACCCTCACTCACAACGGCAAAGAAGGCAAGGACTATCCGGAAGTACGGACAAGCAAGATTGATGTCGACGGTACACCTATATGGCCACCGAACGGCAAACTCATTACCGAAGTGGATATCGACGCCGACCTCGCAGAGAGCTCGAAACCATGGCGGTTACCAGGCACCGATATCACCGATTTCTTCAACTACGGATTCGATGAGTACACCTGGACATCGTACTGTATCAGACAACAGATGATGTCCAACACCATCGGCGAGCAAAAGCAGCAAGATGCGCAGATGAAAGCACTGCTAGGATCTGGAGGCGGCGGCGGAGGTGGTGGAGGAATGCCAGGAATGCCACCTGGTATGCCCATGCCAAGTCCAGAGCAGATGGAGATGATGATGCAGTCAGGCGGGTTTCCTCCCGAGTTCATGCAAATGATGCAGCAAGGTATGCCAGGAGTGGGAGGAGGACAGGGTGGCGGTTTCCAAGGCGGTGGGTTTGGATCGGGACAGAATAGCGCCTCGCCGCATCCTCAGGGTGGGCAGGGTTTCCAGCCGCCTCAAGGGCCCAGTGGTGGGCAGGGACAGCAGGGTGGCTTCCCACCAGGCAACATGGAGGGCTTCAGTCCGCAGCAGATTGCCATCATGCAGCAGGAGCAGGGCCAGATGGGCGGTGGTGGAGGTGGCAGGGGTCGCGGTCGGAATCGAAGAGGCGGGTGGTAGCACTTCACGTGACGACATGAGAAACGATCGATAGCCTCTTGAAACTCTCGAGATTTTGGACAATTTGCATCATTTTCAATTGCTTCAGATTCTGGACATATATGTACTTATCGAACAGCGTATCTAGGGGGCGAAAGAGCTTAACGGTGAGTTTGAGGTGGCGAACGTGCGGCAAAAAGCCTGACGTCGTCGATGCATCCAGCGCCTCGAAGCCTTGCTCACCAGTGCAAAGGCGACCTCACGACTCTGGAAGCGCGATATGTGATGCTGATGTAGTCGTGTGCTTTGCGAAAGTGGTTGCTTTGTTGGAGAGGCTTATTTGTGGAAGAGATGTCTGAGGATGCGCGAGAAGTGGGAAGACATGCTTGCTCTATCCCCGAAAGCCCCCAGCTGTCTATGCATTCGGTCTGTGCATTGCAAAGCCTGATCGGCAAAGTTCCCCGGGGATGACACCTTCATTCGGGTAGGGTTATCTGGTTTCATCTCCTTACGGCCCGGCCATATAGGTGTCTTTCACGTGGCCAGGTTTCACACTTCTTGGCCCGCTGCTGCGCCATCTCGACAACATCCTCACCGTATCCCTCCAGGATCTGTGGGACCCTCCACGCTTCTCGCTGTGAGCTGCAGGCTCACCAGGCGATGAGGAACTGCTGCCTCAAGCGGGTCGCAAGTGAGCAATTCCGCGTAGCAATCCTTCACCTCGACTTCGTTGGCCCCGTCAGCCTGATTGTTGAAGGCATTTCAGAAGCAGCGTGAGTTGATTGGCCAACATGAGATGCCATGACTAATCCTCAGGCACCCCTTTACTCTCTCATATATAAGCAGCCATTTTCATCAGAATGGTCTCGTCAAGGGAGGCAAAAAGGACAAGATCGACTTCGGCGAGACGACCAACAATGCCCGATACACGGCGCTCCGCGCGCTATCCCAACCAAGTGAGGATAGCTAACACGCCTTCAGGTAACCCCCAGTATCGAGCGGTGTATGTGTCGTCAACCTGCTCCTTGGCAGGGTTGCTCCTTCACCAAAGCTACGCTGCGGCGCAGGTAGGAGCGGCGAGGTGAGACCAGGAAGCTTGACGAAGCGCTCTCCTCGCTGCCGGAATCAGAGCGGGAGAGGCAAGTGTGACTCGCCAACGCCAGGGTGATTCTTCAGGCGTGGTGAGAGAATGAAGCGAGAGATCCTCACACCAGTTCCTTTGGCGACTTTGCTTATGATAAGCCACCTACTTTCTTCTCACGTTCACCAGCACACAACTCGGGTACGCCCGTCACGACTCGCAACTCCCTTCCCTGCTGCTGAAGGGCTCTGGTTTTGGTGACCACCCGAGTCGCCTGATGTCATGTTCGGCGACGATAGTGGCACTGTGGCGAGTTGGTTATGGGCGGTGTGGCGAGCGTGGTGACATGCGGTGTGTGGTTCAGATGATGGAAGCTTTTGTCCCCTTGCCAGATGGCGACTAAGCGCTGGTGATGCGTAGCTTCCTCTGTGGGTGGCTCGCTTCTTCTCCGCCTTTACCCGGGCGTTCTCCGCGTGAAGGTGCTTGACCTGGAGTTTTAGGAGCTTGATCTTTCTTTCAAGCTTGGTCTGCTTGACGGAGGCAGTGATGCTTGCCATGGTTGCTTGGTTGTTGGTGTAAATGCGGGATGTGATGTCGATGTGGAATTGTCTTGCTGGATGACACTCCCCTCGAGGCGGGCTTTCGTGTGATGTATATGTGAAAAGAGGGCGAATCAGGGCCAAAAGCTCCATGGTACCGTACGTAATCAAGAATGCTCACTACAAACAGCGAGATTGGGCCCAAGAAACGAACATCACATGAATCTGCAAAAGTTTGATGACCACGCCATGGAACAACCCTCACTCGTGTTACCAATGACCAAGCTCCGCTGTCTAGCGCATCTCGTGTGTTTGGTACTGGGCAAGCTGTGCAGAATTTCACGTCTAAGGCTGAGTAAGGCCATTTAGGCTTTTCCCCCTTAAACGCCCAGGCTGCGCGATTCCTCAAAGCGCTGTTCCGCCAACCATATCACTGCTAGTCATACTCTCAGCGCCTGCTGTGAATTTTGTTCGTTCAGAGTCTCTCTCAGTAACATGAACGTTTCTCTGCTGGCATTATTCACGACCACGGAACCATGTATAGCATCGGCGTAGTCTTTCGTTTCCTTCTTGCGAGAATGAGGACAATATCAGGACAGCTGGCACACAAGATGACCTGGAAAATCTTGTTTCAATGCAGAGGTTTCTTCTGTCGCTCTGCTACCTAGCTTTGAACTATTCTCGTAACCTCAAATTTTCGAAATGGAAACTTATACCAATATTTCCTTCCTGCATATGGCGAGTCTCACTTCTACACAGTAGTGCATAGTCTTCGCCTCCAAAACGTCAGCCTCGACAGCAAAAGGCCACAAGTGATGAGGATCGTGCTGTATTTTTTCATTCAACGCAGCAGGAAAATAATGAGACCGTAGGGAAAATAAACGAATACGATACGACGACCACGAAACTCACGGCCTCTATACTTTACGCTGTACCAAACTCTCCTTCCTGCTTACTTCCAAATCCTCCCATCATGAACCGCAACACAAGCCTTAACCTTCGGATCATACATCCTCCCCTCCACAAAAGCCGTCATAGCGTCCCGATTGATCACCTGTAACGTCTGAACCGTAACACCAGATATCCACGCCACATGAGCGGAGACAATGAAGTTCGGTACCTCTTCCTCTCCCTTGCTGAGATCCGGCAACAGCGGTGTCGTTCCTGGACCTCCAGGCTCCGTATCGAGAACATCAGCAGCTGCGCCGAATATTCGGCCTTCTTTGAGGGCTTTCGCCAGAGCTGCTTCGTTGACGATTCCGCCTCGGGCCATGTTAATGACCAGAGCTTCTTTCCGCATCATATTCAACTCAGCTTCGTCGATCAGATTAATTGTCTCCGGCTCCTTGGGACAGACAATCACAAATGTGGTACTCCTCCTGATGACTTCTCCAAAATCCACCCTGCCTTCTCGAACTTTCGCAGACCCCTTCCGCTCCGCAACCAAAACTTCAGGGAATCCTAGGCCTCTGCACAGCCTCTCGATGTTCTGACCCAGCGCTCCGTAGCCAATGATCCCCAGCGTTTCTTGCTTACAGCCCAAAGGCGGTCCGTCCGGCCACATCTTCTTGCTCAAAGAGTTTGTCTTGATCCACTCATCTGAAGTCTTGACCGAGTGGTCGATTTGCGGTATCCGTTTTCGACTTGCAAAATATAGCCCAATGAAATGCTCAGAAACAGCATCAATGTTCGCCGAAGGCGTATTGACCACCGTAATTCCTCGCTTCGCACAGTACGGCTTATCGACCCACGCCATGCCTGTCGCCAGAACTGCTAGGAGTTGCAGATGTGGTGCTTGATCCATATCGCTGGGCTTGACGTTGATGACATTACTGATGACAATCGTGGCGGGTTTGATTCGTTCCGCTATTTGCTCCGGGAAGGTCCGTTCATACTTGTCCATCGTAAATTCGAAAGGCAGCTCTGCCAATGGAACGTGTACAGCTTCCAGAAAGACGATGTGGTGTTTCGAGTAGCCTTCCGGCAATGGCGGAGGTTTTTGCAATGTCCATCCTGTCGAGTCGCCGTTGGGAGTGTCCGCCATTGTCGTGGTCTTTTTCACGCTTTTCGAGCTCTGCGTTGACTTTTCCTTTACGTTGGATCGAGGCAGGTTTATATGGTTACACGAACAAGATAAGACGGGTATCGCAGGACCAAACTAATCAAGGAAGAAGTTCCAGTCATCGCGGAGCTTCCTGATTTGCTGTGCGCGAACTTCTGGTCCCGATGTCGGCGGCATTGAGACTGGCCTTTTGACTTCACCTGTCCGGTGGCAGCGAATGTGGTAGCACATATTGGCCGTAAGCACATTATTGTCTACGGGTAAGATGATGACGTTGGATCAGAGACATCTTCGTTATATTTCATCAACATCCTCGGGAAAGAAGAGCTGATAGGTGAACAATTTGATTTCATAAGCGACAACTAAATGCAGCTCACCCTTCCAGGCAAATTTGTCCGAAGAGACATAGTCGATCCAGAGTCATCCTACTCCTGACCCTTTCTACGAAGCCCAAGTCAACCTCGCCATGTTGGTAAAGGTGTTACAGCTAATCCAGCTAACAAGCAACGTAGCCCCACTCTCATCGAAACCAGGCTGCGAATGAACAAGATAAGATATACCACCATTGCCAAGCGTCTGACACTCCGGATCGGTAGCCGGCTTGAACGGGGTTCCAGCGAAAGTGTAAGGACCTTCTGGGTTGCCACTCGTCGAGTATGCCACCGCCAGGTACTTGGCGGAGTAGGGATCAGCGGGACTGTAGGTCAGGAGCCACGTTTGGAAGTAGGGCGAATAGTAGAAGTCGCTGCCGAAGATGCCGGTGTTGGGAGGTGGAGGGGCGTATAGAGTCGTGCTGTTGTCGTTGAGGGTGTGAATGGTCTTGGTCCATTGCTTGGAACTTGGATAGTAGAAGTAGTATTGACCTCTGTTGGCGCGGTCGCCGACGGCCACACGAGCAAGCTTGTAACTGAGAGAAGTCAGTGGCATTCTCGAAGTGTCATCGAGTCAAAGTCTCACCCGGTGTTATCGAGGGCAAGAAGGTAGTAGTATGTTCCATCGGTTGCGAGACCGTCAGTACCATACTGCGGTTCATTTGCCTGGAAGATTGTTCGATCAGTCGCTAGCGCTGAGAAACCATAAATCATCGATAAACTCACGTTGAAAAGCCTCAAAACCGTTCGCTGGGCAGGAATGTTCTTGTTTTGACTGTTCAATGTGTCCGGATTTACGACGTTGAACTCGATGAGGGTGTTGTACTGAGCCACGGGAGGGTTCTGGCAAGCATCGAAGACTGTCCACACCGTCACGCCGCCGGTCGAATTACCGGGGATGCGGACCATCGCCGTGTTGGGTCCAGGACCGAAGCATGGACCATGGACGGAGTCGCTGGAGTCAGAGATGATAACGCCATCCTAGGCAGGTCAGCTAATCTCATTCAATGTGCCAAGTTTCGAGAAACTTACACCGCTCCCATCATCGCCGAGGTGGTAGAATGGAGGATTTTTGGTGTAGTCACCTGCGGAAGACACCCAGTGAGAGGACACAGCAAGTAATTGTTCTGTATTGTGTACCAATGATCGTGATCTGTGTTGGATCGTTGTTTCGAGTACCAGCGTACGCATACACGGTGTGTACGGGGTAGCTGTTACCCACACGAGCATCGCTCAGCGTGAGAAGATTGTAACCATTCACCTTACCACCGGCACCTCCATCGCTGTAGTATTGATTCGAGAAGGCAGCGTCCTGAGTATGGCCCAATTGTTGAGGATCTCCGGAGACTCTAGGTGGGAGATGAGCCAAACCGTTGGCAACGCCAGAGCACATGGCAGCGATGAGAAATGTGGAAACAACGGTGGCGAACATGTTTACGAGGCTGTTCACTGTCCTTTGGAAACGGCTTACTGGCAATGCCTAGGCTCACTAAGTGGCAAGTTCAGTTTATATGCCATTTTCAGCTTGCAACGCAGCGTCCAGCTAGCGTACGGTCGTACGGCTCTTCATCAGCAACGGGCATGGTGGTCCTGTCAAGGCTGTTGCAAATCGACCATGTTGGAGGTGGACCACAGGGGCAAAGTTCGCAGGGCAGCCGTGCGCCGGAAAGCGAAGCTGTCCTGTCGTCCGCAAGAAGGACGGTCCAGCACAGTTCGTCTTGACCTGCGGATGTCCGATGGTACGTCGCCTATTTTCTCGATGATCTTGTCGATTTCGAGGGCAGGCGCTGCATAAGTAGACATCTAGCTGGATGTTGGTATGGCATGATTGGTTGAGCTTGTACGCTAGCCTCGGGGTGGATGGTTGTTGTAGAGCGAGCTGGCCTGAAAAGGCAAGTACTGAGCTGTGGGATGGTCCACGTGAATGGATTGAATCCTTCCGCATGCCTCTAGCCTGAAACTGATATAATTCGGAGTCGAGTCCAAATCTCAGCCGCAGCGTGAACGAAAGCATGTTCCACCTTCGCCCTGCATTCCCGAGAGCTCTGCCGACTGCGAGTGGACAGACTAGTAGGGAGCACGAGCAGTCATGCTTGTTGTCGATGTTCCAGCACATTCCTTTGGATGTGGAGGCATCGATCGGTTCTTGGGGTTTCAGAGGAGGTGTATGGACTGGATGATTCGCTGCACCCCGCTGTGACAGCTGTTACTTGGATAACACCGAGGCTGTCTGTACACCAACTTCGTTACATCCGTCGTCGACTTTAGCTTTGTGCTTTGTGGTAAGCCACCACTTAAGCATAGAGTAGGGCCGGACCGGCTCCACGTTTCCAGTCCTGAGTACGCTGTCGAAAGTATGTCCAAAGAAGTATTGGGGACATACCACCGGCTAGCCATATCTGCAGGTCGCTGCCGTACTTCCAGGCCAGATGTCCTTTTGTTGTCCCAGGGCAGTCGAGCGGTCTGAGGCCAGCTGTATCGCCCTTTGCAACGTGCGAAGCCTGCTTCATCAAAAACGTGGTCTTTCTGTCCTTGTCAATCCTCGAGGGGTCTGGTCGTTCTACTTGCGCTCAATGTCTCCCTTCTCCTCATCTTGCCGCACAGGAGTTGAGACTTCGCTGTCCTGTTTCGCCAACTCCTGACACATCGGACTACTCGCCCTGAGTCGTTCACCATACCAAATGAAAGCATAAGGTATAAGACACATCAAAAGACTCGCAAAGCCGAGAAGACTGCAAGCCCAGGCAACGCCCAGGGCTTCATACATGGGTCTAGCAGCAAATGGCATGACGACTCCAAAAATGCTCCTCGAGATACTCGTGGCACCCATGGCACTCGCCGAGTAGATTCGATAAGAGTCGACGAGGAAGTTCGCGAGACCGCATACACGGACCTCGGCTTTATTAATTATATTGTTGACTCTTTCCCCCTCCCCCCTTCGCCCCCCCCCCCCCCCCCCCCCCCCCCCCCCCCC